AGCTAAGAGATAGGTAAAGGAAGGATAGGTAAAGGAAGGGAAACGTGATTAGTAGAGTATCTAGTAGTAGATATTTCGTCCTATTTAATTAGATAAATACCTAATTTCGTATTTTAATCGGTATATTAGCGTACTATCCTTCTCCTCTAGCGTATAGTCTTTACTATTTAGATAGATTCTAGCGCTTATAGCTCTTTCTACAGAGATTAGGTTGATATAGAATTTAGGGTAATATATAACGTGCTTAAGGGAAAACTAGTTCTATTAAGAGATTGTATTAGCTTTAAGATAAGCTCTCTATATCTAAGGATAGTAGTCTTAGTATTTCCTACTATAACAGAGGAAACGACTAGCCTATAGTTTAATAGTAGATCTCTGTTGTTCGTAATATAGATAGATACTCTAGTATTATAGCACTAGGTATTATTTTTCTTAGCTAGGATCTAAATCGTGCTTATAGCTTTCCTATCTTCGGCTCGGAAGAGGTCTTTAGCTTACTATTTCGGGATATAGGCAGAGAAAGTATCCCTAGTTATCGTTTCTTTGTCTAGTAGAGCTTACTCTAGCTTACGTATACGCTTCTAATTGCCTGATTTAACTAGCTTTTAGTGTCTTTTGACTGTAAGGTCGTACGTAGTCTTAAATACAGGTAATAATTCGTAAATCCTTTAGAAGGTCTGTTGAATTTCTTTGTCTAGCTCCTAGCCCTTAGGCCTAGCCCTTAGGCCTAGCGTATAGGTTGATATATAGGTATCTGTTGAAATCGTGGTTGCTGTTATTAGGTAGACCCTAGTAAGGGCAGGTGCCCTTTCGGTGTAGTTTCGGTGGTTTTTCGTTATTATTATTATCAGGATTTCGGCCCTAATAGGTTATATAAGCAATCTGCTGTCTGCTTCCGCTAGTAGACGATAGTAGGGCTGATCGATATTAGTTAATAAATTAATTGACTAGCTCTATTAAAGTAGGCTGCTTTATCCCCTAAAGGATAGTGTTATATTAGAACGAGTAGAAGCTTTGATCGTAAGGTTGAATAGCCTCTAGGAAGTTATAAATTAGTGATAAGGGATCTTAGAACTAGGCAATATTAGCCTGTTCACCGTCGGCTTAGCAAATCACCTATTTCTAGTACTATATAACTAGATTAGAAGGCTTAGTAGGCGGCGTTTAGCGCTTTAATATATCCTAATTGCGTAGGATTTAGCGGTTCTTCGATTAGCTAGATAGAGCGAATATAGTACGTAGCTTTATAATAGCTTCGCGTAGGGATAGGCTGTTAACGATTTGCCTTCCCTTAGGCGTAAGTAATAAGCGAATACCTTACTTTAGTAATTCGATTGCGCGTATATAGCGAAGGTAGTCTGATTTCGACGACTTATACTCGCTTAGCAGAATCTTATAGATTGATAGCTGATTAGGTATAAGATTAATTAGGTGTGTAGGTTATTTGTCTAAAGTGAACGTATTCGATAGTCGTTTAACTATATTAGATATCTATAGCTTTATCGGCTCCTGTAGTAGCGTAGTAGGCTATTTATTAGGATTAGTGTATTTCTATACACTATTAGATAGTGTATAGTCTTACACAGTAGTATACTAAGGGATCTAATACGTGTGGCACTTTAAAGGGTAGTTAAGCTAGGTGGCTTGAATATTAGTCGAATCTATTACTTATAAAGCGAAAGTGATAGATAGGTAAGACAAAAGTAAGAGATAGATAAGGCGAAAGTAGTCGAAAGATTAGAGAAGAGTAAATCCGAAAGCTTTAGCAAAAGGCTACAGCAATCGGGCTTATAACTATCGAATTTACGGGGTCAGCATAAATCCTTCTACGTGCACAAGCAAGTGAGTATACACAGTTAGTTAAATTAGTATACGATTAGCGAAGAATCGTATAGGTCAGGTTAAAAGGGTCGTACGATTCGGCTCAGAATCGGAAGTTAACTTATAATAGAAGAATACTCTAACTTCATCACAATCATTAAACTTGATTCAACTAGCTATAGAAAACAGGCAGTATTTATAACTTTATGAAATCAAGGCAGTACGTCAGACTAGAATCTTATAGAAATCAGGAGAAATGTAGAGTGTTAAAGCTCTTTCGCTATGTGTACAATCTGTTGATGTCAATCGTTGAAGATCATCGTCACGTAGACGTTCCGTAGCATTCTGTCAAGTTCGATAGCTCTTATAGGCTTATACACCCACTTATGTCGACACTATATAACTTCTAGTAGGATAACTAGATAGGATTACTATTAATAGTATAGTTTGTATATAATAATATAATATATACTATAATAAAAGAAACACTATTCTTTATAAATTATAGGTTTAATCTTACTATTATTAGAGAGCTAATCGGAAAATAACTACTTATAGAGTTATACTAACTACTAGCGACTAGCTTAAAGTAATTATACCTATAACTATCTAGAGATATTAAGTTTCTTAATATATATATAAAATTATACTATAATTAATTACGCTAGGAGGCGCTAGACTTCTAAAAAGGGGAGAAAGTTTACCTTTTATAACGTAATATTTATACTAGGTAACCTAATATAAAACTTAACTACCTTAAATTAGGACTATTCAAAATTATAGAAAAAATAGGACTACTTAATTATTGTCTAAAGCTACCTAATAGTATATAACGTATTTATATAATATTTTATATCTTATTATTAGAAAAAGTACTTCAAAATACTAAAATCGCTATTAATATAGAAATAGAGGAAGAAATAGAAAATAAATATAAGTTTAAAGAGATCTTAGATATTAATAAAATTAGCAGAAAACCTTATTACCTAATAAAATAGAGAGAATATAATATCTTAGAAAATATATAGGAACCTATTAAGAACCTAACAGGCTACTACTAGCTAATTTAATAATTCTATTAATAGGAGATAAAGAATCGCTACTCAACTTAGAGATATTTAAACTATCTTAAAAGGAAGAGGGGAACTAAGTAATCTCCTAGAATATTTAATTAAAGTTCGGATTCTTAATAGTAGAAGCTAACTATTAAATATTAATAGTAAAAGTAGTCTACTTAAGGGACGTTATCTTTTTATCTAAAATCTATAATAGTTTAGTATTATTTTCCGATATTTTAAAACCTTTTTACTTTAAAAAAGCTACCTACTTTTATAGCTAATACTACCTTAATATAGCCTCTGTCGACATAAGTAGGTGTATAAGCCCCTAAGAGAGTGGGTGTATAAGCCTATACTATCGAACTTAACAGAATACGACGGAACGTCTACGTAACGACGATCTTCAACGATTGATATCAACAATTTGTATATATAACGAAAGAGCTTCAACACTCTACATTTCTCCTGATTTCTATAAGATTCTAGTCTGACGTATTACCTCGATTTTATAAAGATTATAAGTACTGCCTGTTTTCCATAGCTAGTTAAATTAAGTTTAATGATTGTGATAAAGTTAGAGTATTCTTCTATTATAAGTTAACTTCCGATTCTAAGCCGAATCGTACGACTCTTTTGACCTGACCTATACGATTCTTCGCTAATCGTATACTGATTTAACCAACCATGCACACTCGCTTACTTATACACGCCTAAGGATTTATGCTGACCCCGTAAATCCGACAGCCTCCTAATACTATTATTACTTATTTAATAACTATTAATAAAACTGTCGGATTTACGGGGTCAGCATAAATCCTTAGGCGTGTATAAGTAAGCGAGTGTGCATGGTTGGTTAAATCAGTATACGATTAGCGAAGAATCGTATAGGTCAGGTCAAAAGAGTCGTACGATTCGGCTTAGAATCGGAAGTTAACTTATAATAGAAGAATACTCTAACTTTATCACAATCATTAAACTTAATTTAACTAGCTATGGAAAACAGGCAGTACTTATAATCTTTATAAAATCGAGGTAATACGTCAGACTAGAATCTTATAGAAATCAGGAGAAATGTAGAGTGTTGAAGCTCTTTCGTTATATATACAAATTGTTGATATCAATCGTTGAAGCTCGTCGTCACGTGGACGTTCCGCCGCATTCTGTCAAGTTCGATAGCTCTCATAGGCTTATGCACCCACTCATGTCGACAATAACTCTATAAGGTAAGGCTATAAATTATTTAACTTAGGTTTTAATAAATCGAGTTTATCCTTATTCTTTTTAATATTAGAAAATAGCTTATCTTCTATATAATATAATAAATCCTATTCGCGACTAGTATAGAAATCCTATCTATATACCCGGCTAGTATAAGTATATAATATATACTTCGAATAATAATAACTCCGATCTATTATACACTCTTTACCCGACTTATAATAATAATTATAAGGAACTAAAGCGATAAAACTATTAATAATAATATACTTAACCTAATAAATATAACTAGTAACTTAGTTATAACTAGTAGAAAGTTTCGGGGTACCTTCGAGAAATAAGTTAGCCTTATATTTAGGTATAGTAAGGGAGTATATCGAGAAAATACAAAATTAGAAAAAGTAATAGTATACGGAGGACCAATTCAAAAGTCTTGCGCCGTGCACAGGCCACTGGCCCTAAAAAATACTGTATGGTAGATACACTAATATCCTACTCAGCCCCCCTGCCCTGCCGATACTCTCTCCCCTCTCTATATTCGTTGCCCCCTTCTAGTCTAATAATCTCTTGGATATGCCTACCAAAATTGGGATCCATGCCGAACACATGATAGAGGTAGATAAATGGACTGTTTCGGCTCAATGCTCGGGGCTAATGAGATCTGTAGTACAATATGCTGCCTGAATTTCTGAAAACTGCACTTTCCGGAGTTCTCCCTGGTGGGCAGGTCATGAAGACCGCAACACTGGGGCCGCTGAACTTTATGGCAGGCTGGGACAAGCTCTACGATTCCTCGTTACCACTCACGCAGAGCTGATCACGGACGTCGACGGATGGGTTAGACCTCCCACGCCCAATCAGCGTGTCTTTGAAATTTTTGGATCCTACGCTTATCGAACCGGAATGTCTTATCTCGACGGCAATATGAATCTCCTCAAGAAACAAATCTTCCTGGGTCACCAGATCATAGGAGACAAGTTATGGAGAGACAATATCAAACTAGTCAATGCGGGTGACATCAAGGGTGCCAAAGTAATCATGGGCAAGTTGCAACAGGTATATATGACTTTCCTCTTTCATGAAAACAAAGGAGAAACCTTATCTAACTACCTATAGACTGTCGGTATATTCAATTACTTGAATTATGGTGAACTGCGCCCGTACATGGACGCGGCTTGGGCTCAGGTGGCAAAGGGGATGGAATACGCAGATAAGCACATGCCTGAGCTCAAGGGTATTCTGGCTATTTGGAAGGAGTTCGAGCCAGCATTCTATTCGAACATGGTGAAGGTCGCACAGGATAATTTCTTGTCGAGGATCTCACAAATAGCCGCCAAGTACCCATTGGGAGGATCTGTGAGCAATGATGCTGTGACCAAGATGATCTATGAGTATGAGCAGTTGAAGAAGGCTGTAGATCAGATTGCATTTAAACTGTAATTATTTGCTTGATTGGGTGTTGTAGACAACTATCATCGTCTGATTCCAAGGACCAGATAAAATTAAATGTTACAGCCTGGAAGGATTTTTTTGTTCCAGGATCCTTCCCAGAAAGCCGCAAGCGCAAAAAAGTTCACATTCATCTGTCTCAGACCAGAATTTTCATACGGAGTTTTTAATAACAACCTAGTAGTAGACCTAGTAAACCTGTTCATGCCAAATCGGGGCCCCAAGTAACTAGATACATGAGTGCATCATACAAGTACTCCAACGAGATAGATAATAGGTCCGAAGTGCTCAACAGCCCCGAAAGGTCAGATATGTAGTGATTCGGATCAATCCAAGCCCGGATAGGCCTAAATAGGACTAATAATTGCGGGATACCTTCCATGGCTCCTACCTGCTCCAGGGATTTGATGTAGTAGATCCTGCATCCGGGTCTGGCATGCAAGTGTGAGCAGGTGGCCAGATGGACTTATTGCTGTGGCCTAGATTCTGCTCAGTATTCTGCCGGTAGTAAAGTTCTGCCACCAAGACCCGAGTTCTTTGAAGCCGCCCCAGGTCGCGACTTAAACTCATCCACGATCTCATTCTAATGAGAACTTTGTGAGCATCTAGATTTTTCATAGGCGATATTTCACGTAAGATGCAGTTTCGTTGAAGAGGAGAAGGGGCGATTTGGAGACGGATCAAAGTTACAGTATCATCTTTCACTAGGGCGATTAATACCTTTAGAAAATGGTGCTATAGATGTAGACAGTTGTAGCAGGCGGTAAGCCCATCCGACCACCTGCTCATACTCCCTGCCATACTCGAGGATCCACCTCTTCCGTTTCGACAAGACAGAGTTACATCTCACAAACGAGACCTCCTGTCCTTTGTTTGCTGATATGCAACCTCTATTCCAAACCTTGATATTTCCCTCCTATCTTAGTTTTTCTCGCTGTTTTCTGCCAGCACCAGCACTCACACGGGCAAGGAACGCTTGTCGTCATGAAGGCTCTGCACGCTATCGGACATCTCAACTTCATGTTGCCGGTGAGATCATGTCCGCTACTACGAATTCTCAACAAGCCCACGTGCATCCAGTCTCGCCATCCAGGGCGTAGGACGCACTTTTCTGATGGACGTATCCCCTTTTCTCCAACAGGGAAGGTCCCCTGGGAAGGCATTCACATGTCCCGCTGCAACACCCACCTCAAAAAACCCGATCTCCCATGGGGGTTTTCTATCTACCGCTGCACGTACAAGGACGATAAAGCGTGGGAGCGAATACTCCAGCTACTCCAGGATTCAGTTGAGGAGTTCCTTGAGGAGGGCGCCCCTGATCTGATTCCCTACCACCAGCTTGTTATTAATGATGATGTTACAAATTTTGACGGTGCAACCTCTCACGAGATTCGCGACCACTTTAATGCCTGGGTTAAGGAGCAGCTATCGCTGGTGGCGAACTATCCTGAAAGACTACATATGTTCGGAGGATCATGTCCAGAATACTCATTTGGAGCGCGTTTCAATTATGCCCTCTTTGTGGACGATATCTGTTTAGAGTCTCTTGACCATATGACGTCGCCTGTGGTTAAAATTTTGTACAAACAGTGGGGTAATTTGACTCCCGAGGAGAGAAACTATAAGATCCACCCTGATTGGCATGATGGAACCACGGAGATGGATGAAGAAGATGTCGGATGGATGTATATGTGTGCCGATGAATATGTGGAGTTATATGATAAGTTCGAGTGGTCCTATTTTGATATGTGGTACGCCTTTTATATGAGGCCGCCTCTAATGGACGGTCAGGTACCGGAAAGACGGGGGGATAGGTCCGAGCTGCCAGGATTCTGGCGGATCAAGAAATAGACCTGACCATTGGCTCCTGTTTACTCTCGAGGCTAGCATTATAAAATGTTGCGTTGGGAAGTCTTCTAAGCTGTGATGCCCCTTATAGTATACTCGTTAGGAATATGTTGACTAATCTCGGCTATCGACCTAGAAAATAGTTCTATTGAAATATAACCCTTATACCGGAGCCTATATATGATCGTTCTCGCGATATCCTCTACTAGTAAATATTTATTACGGTCTTCTTTATATACGAATGTCCTTGCGTTTTGTTATGATATACTCAATGTGAGGTTATTCACGGATGTGGATGCCTGAGGCTCACAAACCTCTACCGGAGCGGCAATGTAAAGATATACTCTATAAGTCAGGATAGAGGCCTGTCAATCAGGTAGGAGAAAGGAACCAAGTCAATTGTTCAGAAAGGTCAAAGACTGTTTCTTGAGGAATGTAAAACCTCTCCAACATGGATCAATTTATATACAGTCATATCGCTCAAAACAGGAAGGAGATGTATCCTTGGTAGGGGAATGGGAGTGGGGGAAAACACGAGGCTTGTGTAACCTCTACAAGGGCGTTCCTTGCAGGAGTCCGTACACGTACTGGCAGTGAAGCCCCAGTGAACCTCCACCGAAAGCTTGGCGGCTTACCAGGGTCCTGGTAGCCTGAGGCACCGGCATTTGTGGATAACCTCATGTCAGGTATATCGTAACAGGCAAGCTTCCATCAAGGGATCGGCGGTTCTTCGCCATCCATCCGCGGGGGGATCCCCTACGGGGGGATGCATGGAAAGGTTACACGAAGCCTTGTATTCTTCCTGTCTCCCCTCTCCCTCCAAGGATGCATCTCCTTCCTGTTCTAGATGATGAGAATGTATATATACTACTTTCTGAAGAGGAGGTTCTACGCCCCTCAAGAAACAGTCTTTGACCTTTCTGAACAATTTGATTTGGTTCCTCTCTCCTACCTGATTGACAGACCTCTATCCTGACTTATAGAGTATATTCTTACACGTTTCGAGACTAGCTTATCCGAGCTGGTTGGCTGTTAACATAGAATAGATAGCCTAGGACTAACGGGTTTTCTATACGCTTAGTATTAATAACTTAGATATGGAAGACCTTAGCTATATTAACCTTCTTTACTATCAGCTCTATGGAAAGTTTTAGATCTGCGTCTCTGCGTTTAGCGTCTTGCCTATTATATCGGCTATATCTGCCTAAACAGGAGTCAGATGAGACCCTGACCTGGAGTTATAAATACTCGAGGACGCCAGCCCGGTCGATCTCGTTCGGAGTGGGACTTTCAAGTTCACTTTCTTTCCAATTTTATCTTTCAAAATGTCCAAAGTGCTTAAGCAATTCGAGGATGCTATCTTCAAAGGAGGGCTCTATAAGAAGCTTTTCCAAAAGCAGACACCAGGGAAGCGCATTGCGCCTGCGCAGGCGAAAGACAACGATTCGAAACTTCAAATGCGCCTCGACGCCGGCGAATCCAAAGATGGCATGAAGAACGTCTATTTGCAGGTCAACTCCCAAGCGAAGAACGACTCTCTGGTTGTTTTAGCGCTAAGTCTCTAGGTCTTTACCTTAAAGTTACTTAATAAGCTCCTTAAGGTCTATATCTACCTTAATAAGGTATACCTACTTAGAGGTATAAGTAGGCTTTACTTATATATTAAGGAGACAGCGCGTATACTTAAGCTCCCCCTAATCGATTACACTAATCGGTTTATCCTTATCTTTATTCTCTTCGAAGTATGGGATATTAAAGGTAAGCGTACCTATAGTTAACGATTAGACTATAATAGAATAGTAATTAGTTATCTGTAATTCGCTATCTATTTAATAGCTTAATAGCAAAATTAAGTTAACCTTATAATTACTTAGGAGCTAATATTAAGAGGGTTTATCTATACGATTGTTCTTCCTAGCGTAATATTTTATCACAAAATTAAACAGCGTATGAGATAAGCACTACTATACTTACTTATTATTTAGCCTTAACTATTCTATAAAAGCTTAAAGGTCTAAATAGTCTAAGAACACTTCAATTAATACGTACTCCCTTTAAGGTAATACTACTAATATTTAAATAAGTATATAATAGTAAATAGCTCCTAATTTGATATTCTATAGAGGGTCTGTCGGATTTAAAAGGTCGGCATAAATCCTTCTGCGTGCACAAGCAAGCAATTGTACACGGTAGGTCAAATCAGTATACGATCTGGCAAAGAATCGTATAAGTCAGGTCGAACGATCTAGTCGTAGATCGTTAAGGGTCAGGTCAGGTCGTACGATTCGGCTCAGAATCGGAAGTTAGCTTATGATAGAAGAATACCCCAACTTTATCACAATAATTAAACTTGATTCAACTAGCTTTGGGAAAACAGGCAGTATTTATAACTTTAGGTATATAGCAGAATGTTATAGGAAAAGACTGATAAAATTTTCAGAATAACATAGGGGTATACAAGAGTGTTAGGAAACTTGTTGTTCTTTGCGTCATGATGTGATAGTTGATATCTTTTCATCGTATTGTGTAGTCGTGTTCTGGGATATTGATCCGATTAGTCCGATATGTATTGCTTATCAACACGCTTAGTGCGGGGTATCGCACATCCACATGTTGACAGTAATCACAATAGTTATCGTAAACTACTAAGAAGTATATACCTTCTACGTTATATAGTTACAGATTATGCTTTATATCTTTTATAGATAGCTACAGATAGGCTTAAGCTCTCTACGCTCTGTACTTTAGATACTAGTAAGCTAATATTCTTATATAGAGCTATCTACAGCTGCCTTTAAGTATATCTATAACCTTAGCTTAGACTTTTATTTAAATAAAAAATCAGGAGAAGTGATATCGGTATTAAATAAAGGTAAATCAGTTACTAGGCTTCTAGAACAGGTTATCTTTAGATTATTTCCTACTCTATTCGACTTGTTTATCGCAATAGGCTACTTTCTGCTTGCTTTTGATACCTACTACGCTCTAGTAGTTAGAATATTATCTGTCAGCTATATTTATATTACTATCTGTATAAGCCTCTAGAGAGTACAAACTAGGAGAGAAATAGTTAATATATCGCGATATAAGGACGCTTAAGAGCTTAATATTAAATACACTAGCGGAGCTAGAAATAAATCGGTCGTTATATAGTTAGTGTAAAAATATATATTTGAAAATGGTAGGTAGGGTATATGAAAATTGTCAACATATGTGTGTGTATATCCCTGCAATAAGCGAGCGTATGTATGCGTATGCGCGCTAATGCAATCGGATGCATAATTCTGTATCCCCGATACACCGCTTTATGATATACGATACTGATTATCAATTATTGCATCGGATAGAAAGAACGAGTTTCCTAACACTCTCGTATACCCCTATATTATTTCGGATTCTTATTAGTCTTTTCCTGTGATATTCTGCTATATACCCAAAGTTATAAATACTGCCTGTTTCCCTAGTTAAATTGAATAAGTTTAACACTATTTTCACTCACGAATAGAGCTCAAGACAATTCTGATTAAACTATGTTGACCTTCTACTGTTTAACCTGTTCGCTGCCGACCTACCTCTATTACACTTTCGTCTCTCTTCTATAATCGTGGTATTCGATCGACCTGTGTACGCCTACAAGTACACTATACTAGGGTTTATATATACAGCGTAAATCCGACAGTTATAAGCCCGATCGCTGCAGCCCTTTGCTAAAAGCTTTCGGATATCTTACTTTACCTTCACTTTCACCTTATCTTTCTATCACTTTCGTCTTATAAGTAATAGACTTAACAGAAATATAAGCTACCTAGCTTAAATATCCACTAAAAAGCTACGTATACTAGACCTCCTAGATTACTGCTGTATAAGACTATATAGTAAAAAATAGTGTATAATAATACGCTAATCCTAATTAATAACCTGCTACGCTGTTATAGGAGCTAATAAAGCTATAGCTATTAGATATAGTTAATACAGACTAAAAGACCCCTATACGCCTAATTGATCGTATATTAAATCAAATATCGATCTATAGAATCCTTCTTAACGAATACAATTCGGCTAGATCTGATTTTAAGTAATATATACGATCAATTTAATTACTTAAGTATAGTATTTAAGTATCTCTTACACTAGAAGGAAGAAGAATTATTAACGGCCTATTACTACGTAATATAATTATATAGCTACGTACTATATTCGCTTAATTAGACTAATCAAAGAATCGCTAAATTTTACGTAATTAGGATATAATAAAACGTAAGAATCTACTAATTAATTTATTTAAACTAGTTATATAAAGCTAGAAATAGATTATCTGCTAATTAAAAGGAATTTAGGCTAATATCTCTTACTTCTAAGACCCTCTTGCTTTAGTCTACGACTTCCTTAAAGCTATTTAACTAAGTAACTAAGGCTTCTATACTTTCTAGTATAATACTATCCTTTAGGACTTATAGTAGCCTATACTTACTAAACTAGTTAATCTCTTTGTTAACTAATATTAACTAATTGTATTACCTAGCTATAGGCGAATAGTATACTAGACCTATTAGGGCCGAAACCCTAATAACGAATATAACGAAAAGCTATCGAAACTAGGCCGAAAGGGCACCTATTTATATAAGGGTCTACTAAGTAATAGCGATCACAATTTCGATTAATATAGCTATATTAATCTACTAGTCAGACTAAATAATTAGAAGCCTAACAAAAAGGCCTAGTAAGCTTTTAAAGAACAATACGAATTATTACTAAGATTCAAATAGCCTATAATTATATAATCAAAAAGTGTCAAAAATTAGACGAATCAGAAGAATTAGACAAATTATTAACTAAAGAACTAATAAACGAATTAACTAATTTAACTAAATCAGCTAGTAAAAATATATTCGTAGTATATATTGTCAATATATGTGTGTGTGCGTATCCCCGCAATAAGCGAGCGTATGTATATATGCGTGCGCTAATGCAATCAGATACATAAATCTGTATCCCTATACACCGCTTTATAATATACAATACTAATTATTAACTACTGTATTAAATAGAAAAAGCAACGAGTTTCCTAACACTCTTATATACCCCTATATTATTTCGGACTTTCATAACTCTTTTCCTGTGATATTCTGCTATATACCCAAAGTTATAAATACTGCCTGTTTCTCTAGTTAAATTGAATAAGTTTGACACTATTTTCACTCACGAATAGAGCTTAAGGCAATTCTGATTAAACTGTGTTGACCCTCTACTGTTCAACCTGTTCGCTGCCGACCTACCTCTATTGCACTTTCATCTCTCTTCTATAATCGTGGTATTCGATCGACCTGTATGCGCCTACAAGCACACCACACCAGGGTTTATGCACACGGGGTAAATCCGACAAAAATTACATAATCACGAGTGTCGGGAAATTTTTTGATAGGGGGTGTATTTTGCTAGGGAAACAGGCAGTATTTATAACTTTGGGTATATGGCAGAATGTCACAAGAAAAGACTGATGAGAATCCGAAATAACATAGGGGCATACGAGAGTGTTAGGAAACTCGTTGTTTTTCCCCTCTGAGGCGATAGTTAATATCGTATTGTGTAGCGTGCTATAAGATGTTGATCCGATTGGTCCGATATGCATCGCTTATGCACACGCTTAGTGCGGGGTAAGCATATCCACGTGTTGACATGAGCCCTAGTAGAGGGGGTTTATATAGTGGAAGGGGGTAGAGGAGGGAGGGGTAGTAGATAGAGAGCGTTACTAGGAGATAGCTAAATAGTATATAAAGGTTTAGGGAATATAGAGGTATAAGGGGTATTACTATAGGGCACTATTTATTATAGCAACAATGATTTTATTATAGCCGTAGGTTATATAGGCACGTGTCTGAGGCTAAGGTGATATTCCGGAGTAACCGCAGAAAGCACTTGTCTATATTATTATTATATATATATAAGGCCCGAGCAGTATTTGTGAGGTCGAATGTATATTTTAGTGGTGGGGCGGGCTAGCCCGAAAGTAGTCTAGTTTGTAGTGTCATAAACGTCCATGTAGTGCCATTAGCAATTCACTTGATATAGGTTTGAAACGAAAACCACGAAGCCACCACCCCCACCACCGCCGCCTCCGCAACAACCAACTAGTAATAGCTGGTGTCGACTAGAGTGGATCTTTCCGGTGAGATAGAAAATTTCTCTAATCATTAAGACGCGTGGCAGCACCTTTCGTCTGTTTGCGATCTGATTTCTTTTCTTTAGGGGCTATAAAAGCGACGATGCTTGGCTACTGTCGTGGCTGGCTGGCGGATCTCTCCTGAAGATGCAATCATAGAGCGGTTCGGATTTCCAGTTCCCGATACTAAAAAGATGTCAGCAACCTCGATAGAATCCAGACACCCCTAGACTTCTGTTCCCTGCCACGATAAGAATCTATGTTTTTCAATCCGCTTTCACCAGCGCTCAGCCAGTAGAGTAGTTCAGTCCCTGGCAGGACCCGGCCAACTTCGCGGATAAGCATACCTTCGAGTATATCTAGCTCCGGAAGGACACGGCCAAAGAGCAAATCGACGAAGCCATCGCAAAAGAGTATGACTTCTATTTCAACTTCATGTGGGGGCAGCACGAGGATGAGGTTGCTGGGATTGACGCCTGCAAGTACTTTGATAGCTTCGACCTGCCCTCCATCGGCCAGGGGAGCGTCGTGCTGGGGCGGTCGAAGAATAAGTTCTATCAGCGAGCGCGAGCGACTAACCGACCGCGCGTCCCCGGAATGACCAACTACCCGCTCTTTGTGAAGGCGGCCACCAGCTGTGCCAGTATGTTCATCTCACCGCAGTCGTTGGCGTGCAGGAATATATTCGGGACTGAGATCATTCGATGGTGGTGATTGAAGTCGGCGAGTTTCCTGTCCCACGGGCTCCCGAACGATACACCTACCCTCAGGGCTTTCGGCCCTATGATGACTTCCTGACCTTTGAGATCAAGTTCCACCCTGAAACGAGGGTCACACCTATGGAATTCGAGGAGGACCCGGTGCCATTCCAAAGTTTGCAGGCGGTGGCCGTCGAGGCCTTCTACGCCAACGAGATGTAAGGCCAGAGCTGGTGCAACGTCGACATTCGCGTGCCGCCACCGGGGGAGGGTGAGCGTGTCGCGATCGAAGTCAACCCCATGCCCGCCTGTCTTTCTCCCGCCGCCCCAGGATTGGGATGATGCCTCGGTCCGGAAGTGCTTCCCTGGCGGTCACCGCGCCCTGATGAATACCCTCATCGCCACACATCTGATGGGCCGCTGGACCTGCACGCAGGCCAGCAACGCGTGGCCGAGGTCTACGACTGCATAAGCAACAAGTACGACGACAGCATCGCTAAGATGACTCGACTGGGGGACATCTACGATGAGGTCCTGGCCACGGTCGATCTAAGCTATGCCACGATTCTCGATATCGGGGCGGATACCGGCTTGTTTGGCCGCGCCCTGCTCCAAAAGCTCCAATTGACTCCCCCGTCCGAGCTCTCCTCAACCATCACCACCAACGACCCCTCCTCCTCTCACAGAAACTTGCCCTCTCCGTCACCGCCATCGAGGTGTCATAAGACATGGTCGATGAATGCCGTAGCATAGACGCCTACGACACAGTTCACAGTTCACCATGGCCCCATACAGGAGCTACTATGCAGCCTTGACCTTCCCAGAATCGACTACATTATCAGCATCTCCGGCCTCTACTTCCTCCCGCCAGTGGACTTCTCCCTAGTGATGGTACGCGCGTTCTAACTCGCGCAGCAATCCGTCATTGTCTGCGTCAATAAGACCCCCAAGGATTACGAGGCGAAGCTGATCGAGATATGGCCCCCGCATTCCTACATAGTCGGGCATAACCACCTCGCGCAGATGGAGAAGACATTCTGTACCCCCACCCCACCAGGGTGGTCCTTGACGAAGAAGTTCCGGCGGTCAGTGTGGCATTCGCCAGTGACGGGGATTAAGGTATATGCGACGGTGTTTTGTTTCGAGCGGTTGTGAGGAGAGTGTTTTTTCGGACTTTAGAAGGGTGGGGCTTATATATAGATATCAGATGATGTTCTCCGTAGTCTCCTGCGCGGGGGGGGGGTTTACAGTAGAAGCAGACGGTGATATGAGATGACGGGTTAGGTAGGGATAAAGTAATTCGGGGTAACCTCTCCATCTCACGAGTATTTAGGGGAGCGTATTCTCTTCTATGTCAGCTAACTAATCCTTGTTAGGATTTCGTTCCGATTTCTCTGGAATCAGTATTGAATAAGGAAAAGCTTCATGTACAGTGATTTCCCTTTCATTCACAGGCCCATCGACTCCAGGAACGCATTGGCCAGCCCTAGAATCTCTACGTAGGTAGTTAGGGAAATTTCTTTCATCAAAAGTTAGACTACCCCTAACTCAGAAGGGGTAGGGGTAGTCAATGCTATAGTGTGACCTTAGTAAGCTATAACCTACGTACTTTCATCTACCTGCCTTAAGAAGTCTGTCTAGGTCAATACTCAATTATAATTCTTTACTAGGGCTTTCTAGGACAGAAACCTAAAAAATCCGCATCAAGATCTCCCTAAAGGCATAGCTGTTACAAAGACAACACTCTGTACTGAATGGCAATATGATGGCTTGGCTAGTATGAAGAATAATAGTAGGTAATCATAGCTCTGTATCCCTAAAGCTCCACATTCCTACGATACCTCACCCATGAGATCCTCATCTATCTCGAGTGCAGTGTCCTCGCCTATGCCTGGATTAACATCACCCGTATTTGACCAGACCTGGCCTTTCTGCATACCATCAACAAATTCGTCGCTGAGCTCCATATGATGGCTGATTTCGTCAAGATGGCCCATCAGAGTCCCGAGAGACTGTCTTTCCCATGCAAGACAAGTTTGTGTCTTACTCTCATCCGAGAGCTGGGTCAAAGAGTGGGCCTCCGAAAATCGCAGCATAGTTGAACTGTTCTGGCTTGAATGTTGCACTAGAGTGGCCTTCACAGCACCTGACATAATAAGCGAAGCTATGACCGATTCTGTGGCTTCATCACTCATCCGCACGGGTGATGCCTGATCCGCAAGCTCCTTGACCGTCAAGGCAGCAAAGGTCTGCTTGATACCCAGGACAGTATGTTTGGAGTAGGCACCAAGGACTTGAGAGACAAGGCCCATGTTGTTATCCTAAAAGAATAGACTTTAGTCAAGGCCGAGTAGAGTGGTCTCTAGAACCATGGTCGACTTACAGTGCACCAAATGTCCCGAGCTGCGTCAACCTCCGCCTCCAGATGCTTCAAGTCACCTCTTTGAAAGCTGTGGGCCAGGTTGACATAGGGCTTGGCCAATGAGTGATAAACTTTGACCACATTTGGTGAAATCAGATTCGAAGGCGAAGACAACTAGCACCGGATTATCTTAGCATCAAGAAACACTTGTTAGGGTGGGCATAGCCCGAGAGTATAGTAACCCACCTTGCCCTTCTCCAGCAAGCTCACCAAGATCCACTTCTTGTAAGCCTCCACCATGATCATGCTGATGGGGCCCACCGTTGGCATCGAGATAACAATCCCAAGAAAACGTGCTGCCTTACTCCACTGCTTCAGTGCCATATAGACCATTCCACCGCAAAGAAAATATTGTAGATAGTCCTTGTACGTCAACTTGGCCGAAATCCCAGAGGTCTCTGTGATAAAGGACAAGCTTGAGTCATGCGCCGCACACGGCAACACAGAGGATTTGGACGCAGGGTGGGAAGTCGAGGTAGGGAAGTGGCAGACGTATTTGTCCAGTACGGGCAACGCATAGGTGTATGCCCTTGCACGCAAGCAGAGACGGACAAAAAGTAGGTGCGTCGAAGTGAAGACAGCACATGAAGGATCTAGCCGCAACATGGCATCCCTGACCATTCGCACGGCTAGGATATGCTGAAAAGGGTTAGACTCTTGACGACGATGGAACAGAGTTAAGAAAGGAAATTATCATGCCTTGGAAACCACCTGTGCAGCCTGTGCAACAAGTTCAATCAGCTGGCGCCACTCTTGGCCCGCGTATCTCACCGGGACTGGATCGAACGTCCTCAGGTAGGATACGACCCTCGACCAGAGATTCCCGGGAGGAAGCAAGGCTGCTGGCACCTTTTCCCGTGATTGCTCTTGGAAGGCTTGTATTTGGGCGCGAAGAAGAAACAAGTAGACGAGAGAGTCTGCAACTGGGTCGAAATGCTGTCAAGGAGAGACTGGTTAGAACCTTCTCACCAAGATCAATTTTGAGGGGAGAGATCTCTGCTCACGTCAAGGAGAGAGTCGTTGCTAGCAAAAGCACCAAGAGACTTGGTGGACACGACATGTCTTAGAGATGCCACATTCTCACGGATCTGGCGATCGTAGCTCTGGTCGGACAGATACGCGGCTTCACGCAACTGGGCGGACTGGGTCATGAGCCCCTCGATGACCTCCATCTTGAAAAGCCGAAAAACTCAGTTACAAGGCTGGCCGTAGGTGCAAACACGAGTAGAGCGGCCGAGTTTGATGGTTGAGTGCGTGAGAGAGGCTTGGGGGCTGACAGAAATGGAAACGTTCGAAGGAGAGATGTGAATAGCGGGAGAAATAAGGCCTCTTGAAGGTCCGATCGGCCGTGTAGGCCCAGGATCTCGTACGAAGATGGCTTAGGAAGACAGGGAGGTTGTCGTCACAGTAGTCGTTGCTGGTTGAGTGACAGAGAACAATGAATAGTGAGGTAGTTTGGTGTAGAGAGTTGGAGAGTTGGAGAGTTGGAGATCTGGAGATTGGAGAGCTCCGGAGAAGCAAAGCGGTCGGGGAAGTCGATAAGTCGATAAGCAGATAAGCCGATAGCGGAGGTCTCCCCCCACTATAATTATTATTACTATGGTCCGCCTACCTTGACTCACCTTCGCTCATGAACCTTGTCCCAGCCCCACCATACTGTGATTTCTTTCTCTTTACTCGTCATCCCTCACTTCAATTGGCGTCTCTACTCCTAGGAAAGGACCGATTCTAGCCCAAACCATTGAAAACCAAATCCTTCTCTGGTCGGAGATCGAAAGGAAGCAATGTCGTTAACGGATTCAGCTGCTGTAGATGTCGCTCGCAGCGCATCGCTTGCCTCTCGTCACTTAGCTACGCTTTCCAACAGTGCCCGAAACGATGCGTTGACCGCGCTTCACCAAGCTCTGGATAGGAATCGAGATGCTATCCTAGCGGCCAATGCCCGAGACCTGGAAGCGGCTACGAAGGCTGCCAACAGCGGCAGCCTCAATCACAGTGTGCTGAAGCGACTTGACCTTGCACGACCCGGCAAATACGATGACATGCTACAAGGAATTCTGAACGTTCGGGACTTGGAGGATCCTGGTATGACCCGCCCATTGAATTTCTCCCATTGTACAATTGCAGTGAAGTGATACAAGTTAGGCTAACTCCAAGTTGGAAATAACAGTTGGCAAAGTGACCTTACGGACTTTGTTGGACGAAGGTCTGACCCTGGAGCGGGTGAGCTGCCCTATTGGTGTCCTCCTGATCATCTTCGAGGCTCGTCCGGAGGTAATCGCAAATATTGCCGCCCTGGCCATCAAGTCGGGCAACGCCGCTATCTTGAAAGGTAGGTCGACCAATTCTCGATTGTCTTGAAGTATTTGGCCTCCAAAACTAATGCTTATACATCGATAGGTGGAAAGGAATCCATGGAATCCTTCGTGGCCATCGCCAATGTCGTCTCGGAAGCCATTGCGGGCTCTCAAGTGCCTGTGGCGTCGGTTCAACTCGTCAAAACCCGTGATGCAGTTTCCTCCCTTCTCGCCCAGGATTCATTCATTGACCTTGTCATTCCTCGAGGATCCAACGAGTTGGTTCGCTATGTGAAGGAAAATACCAAGATCCCAGTCCTGGGTCACGCCGATGGCCTCTGTTCAGCCTACCTACACTCGGATGCGAAGGTCGACACGGCTGTGAAAGTCATCGTGGACTCCAAAACGGACTACCCGGCTGCTTGCAATGCGCTCGAGACTCTTCTTGTCAACGAGGGGGTCCTCGAGACTGTTTTCCCCGCCGTGGCAAAGGCCCTCCTGGCCAAGGGTGTTTCTCTTCGCTGTGATCCAGCCTCCCAGGCTGTACTTTCGAAGACGCTAACAGCCGATCAATTTGCCCAAGTTCAATCGGCTACCGAGGCCGACTACGACACTGAATTCCTCGATTTGGTGCTGGCTGTGAAGACCATCTCTGTTACCGGTTCTCCAGCGTCAGCAGTAGAGGCTGCTGTTGAGCACATCAACACGCACTCGTCCAAACACACTGATATCATCTTGACCGAGTCACGCGAGCTGGCCACCTTGTTCATGAACAGCATTGACAGCGCCGGAGTCTTTTGGAACGCATCCTCTAGGTTTGCGGATGGAATGAGATTTGGCTTTGGAACTGAGGTTGGCATCAGCACCAACAAAATCCACTCTCGGGGCCCCGTTGGTCTGGAGGGTCTGACCATCTATAAATACCTGATTCGAGGCAACGGTCATGGTGCGGGGGATTATCATGATGGGGTCGGAGGTCGGAAGTACCTGCATACAAATCTGCCCATCAGTGACTAAGGGCTGTCTGTGTACATAATAAACATATACTTGAAACCTTCCCTTATGGAACTTCGAGAAAAAGAAAAAAAGTTCGAACGTATTTTTTTTGTTGAAACATTTCGCAATCGTAAGAAAGGTTGAGGACTAAGCCGGATGCATTTTTCTTTTGCCCTCTTCCACCCACAAACTCTGATCCCTCTTTCCAACCAAAGACATTTCGCCACTTTAGGTACATCGAATAGAGGTCTCCAGTTAGACTCGGCGAGATAAACACCCGAGTATTCAGTGCGACCCGGAATATGCGTCCTTGCACCGATGGGTTCACGTCCGTCCCACAATCCACACAAAGTCTGTTTAGACCTTGAAACCCTTGGAGCGTCTGCGACCACGAGCACGCTCGAACTTGCGGCCCTTGCTGGCAACGTAGGGCTTCTGTAAATTCACAATTATGGTTAGTAGGCTGGAAGCAAGAGAGCAGCGTCCAAATGAACCCTGGGGGACAAGGAGAAGAGCGGACCTTGTGAGAGTGGGGACCGAAGCCGAAGTGCTTCACGGCCTCACGGGCGTTCTTGGGGCCACGGAGGAGCAGGGTGTTGGCACCGGTAGGGGCACGCAGAGCAAGCTGATCCAGGGTGAGGGTCTCACCACCGGCCTTCTCGATACGGGCACGGGCAGTGGCGGTGAAGCGCAGAGCAGCGACGGACAGCTTGGGGACGTTCAGGAGGCGGTTGTCATCGGTGATGGTGCCGATCACAACAACGGTCTTGCCCTTCTGCGACTCGTTGATGTTCGAGGCGATGCGGGAGAGCGAAACCGGGGGGCGGTTGATGCGCGACATGAAGAGGCGGCGGAGAACGGCCTTGTTGAAGTTGGACTCCGTGCGGCCTGTCAGAAGAGATCCCAGATCAGTTTTCGGTCCCGGCTCATATTCGAGAAAAAAATTCGTCATTTCGCCTCTTGTCTGCTGCGACGCACGAGAATCGGATTCTGGATGGGAAAGGGAAAGGAGGTCATACGAGCCAGGAAGCGGTACAGCTTCACCAGAACCTGCAAGTACACGTTCTCGCTCTTGGGCGCCTTGCGGTGGCTGCTGCGCACATGGTGACGGTCGAGGTCGATACCTGGATATTTCGGACATCGGTTAGTCTCAGATGAACATGGAGAGGGGGGGGAGAGAAGGCAGATATCTCTCCAAAGAATGGAATAATCAAGAGGGTGATGCTGGAGTAGTTGAACATACCCATGGCTGCTGATATGAATTGAACACCTGGGAGTTAGCTTGCTGTCGCACCCGTATGGAAAGTGCAGGAGGTTTTTGGTCTTCAACTTTCGGCTGCGCGGGTTTGTGTGGGTTGAGCCCTACGCTAGTCCGAATCGGGTGATAAAACGAGTCACCTGATGTGGGACTCGTGAGTGGATGGGCTGGCACTTATGTAATCCAGCGCGGCTTTTCAGCCAATCCACCGCCGAGTGGCGGTTTTCGGGCATTGGCACTAGACTTTTGGTCGACATGAACTAAAGTACGTCTCTAACTCCCAACACTGTAAAAACCCTACCTGGCTGTTCAGGATGATTTCATTTCAATAGAAGAAGGCTTGAGTTTCAATGAAGGGCACTATTCGCTACGTAGTTTGCCAATTGCCAATCTATGTCTTGTACTGTAGTAATCCATCCAGATAAGGTGGAGCCCACCTGAATTAGATTAGTGCTCCGACTATGGTTCTAGAGCTAAAGGACAAACCGAGGAGTAGTACACAGTGAAAGACTTAACTCATTTCAGCATTGCCTAATGAGGCTGCTACTTTTTACACCGCGGACATACTTTGTTAGTCCACTTGTCAGCATGGCCACTCATCAGTACTAGCGACGAGTACCAATCAGCATGGCGTGCTCTGCCAACACCATCCAGCTGATGAAAACTCAAAACTCGGTTCGATCGAAAAGCAACTAAGAGAGCATGCTATCTAATACTCTGATATGCACATATTCCTCACGAGATCTCTCATTCGCTATTCTCGCCAGCACAACCCAACCCACCTACGAGGAACAACCCGAATCACCCCAATTTTAGCCGTTTTTTCCAACCAAATAAGCAAGGTATGAAGTTTAATCACATTCGAGAAAGAACGGTCTAAGTATATTGCCACTAATCTCTATCATCCATGCCGACGAGGAAGTCTCTCGTCAACTCGAAACTGAGCCAGCTACTGGCCATGCTGGGTGCAACCTTGAGTAGATTGGGTCCGATACCCTTGAATAGTCCGCGGGCTCCCTCTTCGGCAACTATGACCCGCACTGCATCCCAGATTGATTTGTATTGATACCCCATGCCGGACATGGTGTTGATTTGGAAGCGCCGCCGTAGCACGTCACTAGAGTTTCTGTTAGTCCAACCAATCCACACGAATTCGGAAACTTCGACAGGAGACGAGAGCCTTACAAAGGATATGTGCAGGTTTGCGCCACGGCCCCAGAAATGGCACCGGCAAGCAGCTTTCGCCAGGGGTTGGGGTTCTTGTCTCCTTCTGGAGTAAGGTATTTGCGGACCGATTCATAGGTCATGAAATTGAGCCCGACCTAAAGTTGCATCAGTGACCAAACGTGAGGAATCAGCTCAGATAGCGCCAACTTACGTAGGGGGCAACTCCGGCGACCGTAGGAACGATTCCACGATAGAGGGCAATCGTGCCGCCTTCATTTTTGTATATTGTCACCATGGTTGTGAACATGCCAGGGAGTTTTTGGGATGGATCTCGGGATCCCAGACCCGCAAAGGACGCTGACTGGATGGACAGTCGGGTTCGGACGATATCTAGAGGGTACGTGACCGTGACCGACGTGATGCCTGCGATACCTCCACAGATAAGGCGACGTGTTGGGGTCATCTCACCCTCGGGAGTCTCCGCAAACTAAGGTCGACCATGTTAGCCCCGCAATCCCTCAATATCCTTAAGTTTCTCAAGGGGTCATCACATCGACGAGCCCCGCGGTGACTGTGTCCGCGGGGCTGAGTAGTTGAACTCACTTTCTTGTAGAAATTGTAACTTCCAAATTGCACCGCCGAGTATGGGATGATGCGAATACAATTGGTTCCGTTACCTCGCATGAAGCCTCGCCAGCCTTCCTCTCGCTTCATCTTCTTCAGGGCTTGCCATATCGACAGCCTGTATTCATCCCGGCCAACACTTTGGATTTGGAGTAGGATTTTCAGCCGCTCCAGAGGGGATACAATTGTTCTCGAAACGGCACCGGCAACACCTCCGGCCATAAATGCAGCCACTACAGGGTCGGCTAGTCTGTTTCGTGTCCGACGTAGCACGGAGGGCGATCCAGAGATCGAATCCTAGTGAGAGATGAGTGAGCAGACGGACGATGGGAAGTGGCTACTCGAGAGCCATTTGGCGTTTGAACTCACCTTGACTGGACCGGCGGGTGAAGGCAATGGCAAACCTTGCATTGTAGGCTTTGTTGTGGCATCCGACTCATTCTTCTGCGTTGCGTCCTGGCGATTGAGGCTCATCTTGGCCAAATATGTCTTATGTTTTTCGATCTGTCCAGGCGATGAAGAGGGAAGCTAGCGGGGCGAAGTGAAGAATCCCCCCATGCGCTTTGGTTCCTAATTGCTTGGACCAAATGCGACAGATGGCGACGGAGGGACAGGGGGGTCAAGACGGGTGGTATGGATGACCCGAGAAAAGGAAGAGAGAGATGACTAGGAGTTCGGGGCAAGAAATATCGTGCTGGCCATGGAAGGGAGTCCAATGTCGTCACTCGCTTTTGTTCTAAAGGTCCATCATTTAAAGTCCAGCCCCGGCGGTGCGATTGGTGCTGATCCCTCCGAAGTTAGGAGGAGGAGGAGGAGGGAAGATATGGACAATGGGGTTGCGGAATCGAAGGTCGTGTGGAGAGGAAGGAAGGAGCGGAGATTGGGGCAAACAGTCAGTGTCGGAGAAGTATAGGTTGCTTCCTGGGTCGCTGCGAGGGAAGACCAAGTCGGCAGCAGCAATGAGGTGAACTGGGTGGGTGGAGTGGAGGCGATGTGAATGGAGGAGGAGGAGCAGAAGGAGCCAGAGGAAAACATCATCCCGATTGCCGACAAGCTCACGGTACCTCCCGAGGCCAGCTAGTACGGTAACTATGGGGTACAGTACGTTTTATTATTACATACTATTATGGGGAACCAAGCCACGTACTAGAGATGTGTATTATTACTACTGTCTAAGTATCACTTATATGTAGCAGCCCTCGGGAAAGTTAAAGAGCCTCTCGCTACTAATAAGTTCAGTATCTAAGTATGAATAGCTATCCTAACCTAGATACATTATAAAATATCGTGTGCTCTACCTATATGATCTATGAACCGTCCAAAGTAGCGGCCAGGATCACACGAACACAGTAGACTAAGTACATAGAAATAGAATTTCCCCTTCTCACAATATGTCTGCTCAATCTACTAGCTATTCCTTTCTTATAAAATGTGCTCTACTAGGCATCAGTACTTTACCTATATACAGTATACAAGCTGTATCGTACACAGACAAACTAAGAACCAGGCAAGTTTTCGCTGTCTGCCATGGTCGGCGCAAGTGACCTAAACAGGTCCCCGTAATGCTTCACCGCCTTTCAAATCTCCAATTCCTCAGCCGGATGAACTACTGCTACCGGATGTCTTCTTCGCTTCTCCTTCCTTCGACCCCTCTCCTTTACTACCCTTCATCCACCCCCGTCTGTCATTGCCGAATACCTCCTTCAGCCATGTCGTCTCGGTCGGGAACAACCCTCTATGTCACTGGCTTCGGTCATGGCACTCGAGCTCGTGATCTTGCCTACGAATTCGAACGGTACGTGACGCCTATACCTTCAAGCTTCTAAGCTCTCGGACTTTCGACCTTCCTCCTCCTCCTCCTCCTCCTCCTCCTACTATCCCCCACGAGTCGACGGCACGATGACCACCGATCGATTCCTGAGCTGGGTTCCACTAGGACCATGAAGCTCTCCCTACCATGTCCGCCTCCGAAAGCCCCCTTCTCTTCCCGAATGCTGGTTATGGTCGTGATCATTGGTCGAGCGGTCATTTGTCATTATAACCTTTTCATCTCGATGTATCGGAATCAATTTACTAACCCCAGGCTAGCTATGGTCGCCTCGTTCGTTGCGACATTCCTGCACCACGCACTCCTTCCAGCCGACTGTAAGTGCCCCAGAATGCCGAACGATGGCTTGCTCTTGCCGCACATCCCTGACTCGTTCACCAGGTTTGCCTTTGTCGAGTACGAGAGCCGCCGTGATGCCGATGATGCCTACCACGAGATGCACAACAAGCGCATTGGGCGTGATGATCTCCTGAAGATCGAGGTAATTCTTCTTATCCTTCCCCCCTCATTTCGATCGGTATTTTAACCTGGCATTCAGTGGGCTCGTACTCCCCCTTCCGCCTCCTGGCGATTCGACTCGGGCCGTGATCGCCGTCGTGACCGCACTCCTCCTCGCCGTGGCCGCTCCCCCCCCCTCGCCGCAGCCGCGGTGACTACTCTCCCAGACGGGACGACCGCTACGAACGGGATCACGATCGTACAGACCGTGACCACGAGCGTCGTGACCGTGATCGCGACCATGATCGCCGTGACCGCGATGATCGTCGCGATCGTGACCGTGAGCGTTCTCGCGACCGATCGCGCAGCCCTGAAGACCGCGAGCGCGATGCTAAGGATGATCGCGAGAGACGCGAGGATGATCGCGAGCGCCCTGAAGAGGAGCGTGAGACCGTTACCAATGGTGAAGACAGGAAAGGTATGTATTGGTCCCTCCCGTCCTGCTCGTTGAGCGGCCCGCTGATAAAAAATTGAGAAGTGCCCCTGGACCCCGTTCCTTCTGCTCATGATGAGCTTGATACTGCTGAGTAGATCAGCTCAGTCCAACCGACCCTGCGGGCCACCGTCGAGGATTGTGAATCGGCGTCGATCTGCTTGCAGCATTGACATAGCCTGGTACTGATCGCGGTGACCGCAGGTGCTACGTCTCTCAAGGTGCAACTCGGCGCTTCTGACCATCACTCGGTTTTGACCTGGTCACATATCGTGGCACATCTCCCATGATCTCCTGGTCAACTTTCTGCTCTCTCCGCTGGACCATTGTTATTCCTTTTCTGTCTTCCGCTCCTGTCCCCTTTCCTAGTTCAGCCCACTGGCGAGCTTGGATTTGTCGCGGTTTTTCTTTGTTCTTTATCACCGGCGGGGGTTCCACGAATGGCTTTTCTCCCTTGGTTTGACTTTTCTTTCTGTGAGTTTCGGTATTTATTCTGGTCAGCAGCTCGGACTCCGCCGAAACGAACGTCGAGCGATCGTGTTGAAATTCTCGCCCACGTCTCTCTCACTCTCTCACGTCCCTGCATTTCTCCACGATGAAACCGCCCGCCGCCCGTCTTATTCGCAGATTTAATTCCAAAACGATTCTCCTTCTACCCATCCATTTCCGCCCTGTACGATCTGCCGATATCCTCGGAAGGCCCTGACCTTACCTCGACCGACCTCTCCTGCCGTAGCGTATGCATTTGGGCTCTTGTAAGCACAAAAAGGATAAGTTTTGAAGGACGTGATACGCGGCTCTACCAGGTCGTGCTAGACCATCACACGAGTCTTTGAAATTCGGTATGCGCGGGGTTGCCTGGAAAATCACAAGAGTGAGTGGTAGGTCGTCCAGAGTAGTACAGAAAGTGTCCACTTGTGATAGTAGCAATAGAGTGACAGGAGGGGCGGGAATTCCCAGCAGCTCTCTCCCTATCCAAATCAGTTTTATTCGATACACACAGTCTTTTCTCCTTTCCATCTTAAATATTATTGATCCTTCCACATTCGGTTTTGTTCGTCTGTATGTGCTGCAACAGTGGAGACGAACTTCCCCTCGAATGACGTAGAGAAGGCATCGTGCGGGGAAAGAGTTTCAGTCCATATTTGGAGTACCTAGTATCTCGACTTCTAACCGACTCCTCCGCTACTAAAAGCAGACCTTGCATTTGAATCTACTACCATGGATCAGCCCAGGCGAAAAGGAATCAGTATCGCGATCGATGTATGTATCTTTCTTCGCTCACGTTCACCTACAATGGAGACTGACTAAAGGCTAGAGAGGCGGTACATTCACAGACTGCGTGGGCAATCCCGGTACAGGACGCTTGGAAGATGACATTGTGATCAAATTGCTTTCGGAAGATCCCAACAACTATGAAGATGCCCCCTGGAAGGGATCCGCCGTATATTGTCTAGAGTCACCGGCCGCGAAATCCCACGAGGAGAAGCCATCGATACTTCGTTGATCCACAGCATCCGTATGGGGACAACCGTCGCAACTAACGCCCTGCTCGAGCGTAAAGGAGAAAAGATTGCTCTCGTGGTCAGCAAAGGCTTCCGTGATTGCCTGCAGATTGGAAATCAATCTCGCCCTCGCATATTTGACCTTGCCATCAAGCGACCCGACGTGCTGTATGAAGAAGTCGTGGAGGTAGATGAGCGAGTTACTCTGGAGGATTATGCAGAGGATCCACAACGCAATGTGACAACCACAGCTCCGCGGGATCAATCTCAGTCTAATGCGCAGGTTGTCCGGGGACTTTCGTCCGAGGCAATTCGCATCCTCAAACGCCCCGTCGAAGCGACGGTGAGGTCACAACTGCAGCAAGTGTACGATCGCGGCATTCGAAGTATAGCAGTATGTCTCATGCATGGATACACGTTCCCCGACCACGAGGCATTAGTCGGCCGACTGGCTACAGAGATTGGCTTCCATCATGTGAGCCTGAGCCACCAGCTCATGCCGATGATCAAACTCGTCCCAAGAGCCACTTCAGCCTGCGCGGACGCATATCTGACCCCGACAATCAAGAGGTACATTTCGGGGTTCCAAGCTGGCTTCAACAGTGGTCTTGGGAGCGAGAGTGTTAAAAACGAGAAAGGCTCTCGAGGCGCACGTTGCGAATTCATGCAATCGGATGGCGGCTTAGTTGACGTCGACCAATTCTCAGGTCTCCGGGCCATCCTGTCTGGACCAGCTGGTGGAGTGGTCGGATATGCGTTGACTTCATACGACCCTGTATCCAAAATCCCCGTGATAGGGTTCGATATGGGTGGAACGAGCACCGATGTGAGCCGATATGGGTCAGGCCGCTACGAACATGTCTTTGAAACTACGACGGCTGGGGTCACCATTCAATCCCCTCAGTTGGACATCAACACAGTAGCCGCCGGTGGTGGCTCCAGACTGTTCTTCCGCAACGGGCTCTTTGTTGTTGGCCCCGAGTCAGCGGGAGCTCACCCGGGACCTGCGTGTTATCGCAAGGATGGCCCGTTGACCGTCACCGATGCTAACCTTTTCCTTGGTAGACTGGTCCCTGACTTCTTTCCCAAGATTTTTGGTCCAGATGAGAACCAAGGCCTTGATGAAGAGGCCAGCCGGCGTCTTTTCGAGCAATTAACACAAGAAATCAATCAGGAGTTATCACAAGGGGATCAGAACAAAGAAATGACACCCGATGAGGTGGCATTCGGGTTTATCAAGGTTGCCAACGAGACGATGACTCGACCTATTCGGTCTTTGACCGAAGCCAAGGGGCATGATACTTCGAAGCATAGGCTGGCGACCTTTGGGGGTGCTGGTGGACAGCATGCAGTGGCCATTGCTGAAAGTCTGGGCATTCGACAAATCCTGATTCATCGGTATTCATCCGTGCTTTCTGCATACGGAATGGCGCTAGCCGACGTGGTCGATGAAACCCAAGAGCCAGAATCCAAAACCTGGCGCGATGAGCCAGGCTTACGCCAGGAGCTTGCACATAGACTTGAAGAGTTGAAAAAGAGATCTACAAAAAGGCTACAAGACCAAGGCTTCAATGATGAATCCATTGTTTTCGAAGAATACCTGAACATGCGATATCGGGGCACGGAATCAGCCCTTATGATTTTGAAGCCCAGCAAGGAAGACGCAGATGCGGCCTTTAATGGTGATGAGTGGGCCTTTGGCAAAGCATTTATCCAACAGCACGAGCAAGAATTCGGTTTCACCCTACCTGACCGTGACATCATCGTGGATGATGTGCGTGTGAGAGGTATTGGCAAGAGCTTCGAGGCTTCTGAGAAGACAGTTGATCAACAGCTCCAGGAGTCAAAGCCTAAGGATGTGGTTGGCCACGAATACCGAACCTCCCAGGTATACTTCGAAGGTGGGCGACGCGAAACACCCATCTACAAACTCGACGACTTGCAGATCAACGATCGTGTGAAAGGACCAGCTATTCTTGCCGATGAGACACAGACCATTGTGGTCACCCCTGGAGCCTCCGCCCTTCTAACTAAAACCCACGTCGTTATCAATATCGGAGACTCCGATGCGAGTGCCCCCCAAATCAGAACCGACACGGTAGATCCGATTCTACTAAGTGTCTTTTCGCACCGTTTCATGGCCATTGCAGAGCAGATGGGCCGCGCGCTGCAGAAAACGAGCGTGAGTACCAATGTCAAAGAACGCCTCGATTACTCGTGCGCATTATTCGATCCGGATGGCGGATTAGTTGCAAATGCGCCTCATCTACCGGTTCATCTGGGGAGCATGTCGACCTGTGTCCGGATACAAGCTCAGCTTTGGCGTGGCAAACTTCAACCGGGCGACGTGATTGTCTCGAACCACCCTGAATTTGGTGGCACACATCTGCCGGATATCACTGTCATCCAGCCTGCTTTTAGCAAGGGCAAGATCATTTTCTATGTTGCCTCGAGGGCACACCATGGTAAGAATGAACCCTCACTCGCAACCGCGGTTTTTCAATTAGTCTTAGTCTAACTTTCTCCCTTCTCCAGCTGATATCGGCGGTATCTTGCCTGGATCAATGCCACCGCACTCGAAAGAACTATACCAAGAAGGGGCCGCCATCAAAAGTGAGAAGCTGGTGTCGGAAGGCAAATTTAACGAAAAGCGGATCACCGAGTTATTGTACAACGAGCCGGCCCAGTACCCCAACTGCAGTGGGACTCGCTGTCTTGCAGACAACCTGAATGACCTCAAGGCTCAGATAGCCGCCAACAAAAAAGGAATCAACCTGATTAATGCCCTGATCGAGGAATACGGCGAGGAGGTCGTGCTTTTCTATATGCATCAAATCCAAGATAATGCAGAGCTCAGTGTGCGCAACCTTTTGAAAGAAGTCAGCCAAAAATTTGCAGGCCGAAATCTCAGCGCGGTTGACTACATGGACGACGGCACCCCGATCCAGTTGAAGATATCGATTGACGCAGACAAAGGAGAAGCGGTATTTGACTTTGATGGAACTGGTCCAGAGGTATATGGTAAGTGACCAGACACCACATGGGGACCGCTAGGTCGAGTTTCTGCTAACCCTAATAGGTAATATCAATGCTCCGGAAGCAGTCACCTACTCGGCGATCATTTATTGTCTACGATGTCTGATTTCAGCCGATATTCCTTTGAATCAAGGCTGCTTGAAGCCGATTCATGTCCGCATACCGCCGAAGAGTCTCTTGTCGCCATCTGAGTCTGCAGCGGTCGTAGGAGGAAACGTTCTGACGGTATGTTAAGCCTTGAATTACACTTTCCTGTCTGCTGTTGCCTAATGAGACTGTGTAACTGACTGTCTCCAAACTTTCCCAGAGTCAACGAGTCACCGATGTGATCCTAAAATGCTTCCAGGCCTGCGCTGCCTCGCAAGGAGACACCAATAACCTGACCTTCGGGTTTGGAGGCAATCTACAAGGCGAAACCGAAACCAAAGGCTTTGGTTACTATGAAACCATTGCAGGTGGCAGTGGAGCAGGCCCAGATTGGGAGGGTACATCAGGAGTACACACCCATATGACCAATACACGAATCACGGACGCAGAGGTCTTCGAACGACGATATCCCGTTCTACTTCGAGAGTTCAGTCTCCGGGCCAATTCCGGAGGCGCTGGTCAGCACCGTGGCGGAGATGGTGTAATTCGAGACATTGAATTCCGCACCCCCGTGCAGGTTTCCATCCTCTCTGAGCGTCGAGTTTATCATCCTTACGGCCTGGAGGGAGGCGAGGATGCCCAATGTGGCCAGAACCTTTGGGTACGGCGAGTCCAGAAAGCCGACGGAAGCTGTGAGGAGCGACGCATCAGTCTAGGGGGGAAGAACTCGGTCCAAATGCAAGCCGGAGAGCGAATTATCATTCGCACTCCTGGTGGAGGAGGATGGGGCCGAGTTGGAGATCAGCACCAGCTTGTCCATGAAATAGATGCTCGTCATGCCTGGCGAGGCGGCTCCCTGGCCACTCGTTTGGCAACGCAGGAAGCAAGCATGTGAGAATATTGGATTCATCAACTAAAGATATGGTAAAGAACAGTGGAAACGATATGAAAGAATTCATTATGAGGGTATTAATGCACCAAAGAAAATCATGAAAAAGGTAGCAAGCAGTTCGCCATTGTACGCCGCTCGAGATAACCGATTTTGTCAATTTTCGAGCTATGAGTCGCTGTCTTCATCGCTCGTAGCCTCGATATTCTGCTTGGAGGGACTGGCATTGCTGATCTCTTGGTCGTCCTCAGCATCCACCTGCTCCGCAGCTCCAGTGTACGCGGGTCGAGGCAACGACTCGCCCTGCTTCTTGACCGCTTGTTCGATGTCCGGGAGGAGCTTGATGAGGGCGGAGAATTGGTCGAGCGTCATGGAGATACCCTGTTTTATGTGGAATTTAGCACAAGTAGCTCCAAGATATTTAAACAGCGCAAGATATCTCAAAATGAAAGACAAAAAAAGTGTCATGAAAAGCTCACCTTCTTGCCAGGAAGTTCCTGGCCATCCTTCTCGTAGTACTCTCGCACGCTCACCATGGTCTTGCCCCGAAACTCGGAGACAGTCACACGGCGCATCTTGGAGATTTCCCAGTACTGATCTCCATTGGAATCGGTGTTGCTGACTGCATCACTGCCTGAGTTGACCTTTGCTTTCTTTGTGTCGCCAGCAGGGCCCTGATTATCGGCAGCACGCTTTCGAAGAGGCATGATGATGGTGAGGGATCGAATGGATCGATGTGGAAGACAAAGAGGAGCGAGCAGTTACGCAGTTGAGTTGAAGAAACGCGGAGAGACGCGTCGAGCCACGTGCTGATAAGGGATAGCTCCGCTTATCTCTCTCACGTCATAAGGATGGAAGGTTGCCCGCCTGATTGAGTAATCGGATGCCCCAGTCGGTATGTTTTGGGCAATTTGAGAATTTGTTCAGAGGCCTGGCCTGGTAAACCCTGTCTCTTCTCTCAGAAGGGTCTTGTTTTTTAGTATCTTGCTGTCTCTTGGAGGGTATCAATATCACTGGCGGGTTAGGACGAAGAAGCTTGGAAGGAAATTGTGAAGACAAGAGTCTAAGAGTTGAAGCTTAGAAGGAAGAAGAGTTGAAAAGAGAGCTAGACAAATCTCAAAAAATCATTGAAGGGTCAAGCTATAAGAGATGTGTCAGATGCTGGGTGCTACCTACCACAAACAACTATACAAGTGAGTGAAAGTATATCCATTATATCGGTCCTAAAAGCTAAAACGTTTACTCCAGTGTGATTTCTCTCCTGGAAGGGCTGTCTCCATATAGCATGCATGTCTCATTCAACCTATTGGAGAAAACGTCCGTATACGGTATATTCCATTTAAGGATCATAGTGTCAACACTCGTAACCCCTGTAACATCAAAGAGAAGACAAAACCTCGAGCCACAGTTTCCACTTGCAAGCTATCGAAAATCTTCTCAAGCGCTTCCCGACTAGCTGCTGCACCCATAACACTCGTGAGTGCCTGGGGAATACCCCTCTGAACGAATAGCCGGCGCGCCGTATCCCGCAATTGTGCCTTTTCTTCCTCGCTGGGTGGAGCAGGCCAGGCCTTCAGCTCACTCTCCGTGGGAAGGGCGTTCTCCCGGAGCTTCTTCAAATACTCCCCGAGAGCGTCGTCCGATGTATGGGCCTCGATCATAGATTCTTGTAGCAAGCCCCGGATGGTCTCCAATGTTGGGCTTCCAGGACGCAGAATATACGTCTTGGCTGCGTTCAAGAGAGTTCGACGAATATTCCACGCAGATGACAGCGTGTAGAGCTCATTGATCACGGCAAATATAAGCTCTACCGCGATCTGAGTTTCGTCTGCAGTGATGGGCATCTGTTGTCGTCGAGAGCCTTGAGAAGGAGCAACCTGGGCGCCACTCACGGGCTCGCTCTCGACTGGAGGCTCGGGCGAGGTCGCGACAGGATCCCGCTTTGTCTCTGGATCTTCCACAATGTCGACTGACTTTCGGTCTTCCGATGGCGGGAGGGTTCTTGACTCCGAGGCCCACGTATCTTGTTCATTAGCTGCTAAATTGTCACTGCTGCCCATATCGCTGCTTTGTGGAGACTGGGCATCATCTTCCTTCGACAATCCCAGACCCAGCGGGGCCGTTATTGGCGACGAGTCCTGTGCAGGAGAGTCTTGCTCTACACTCGGCCTGGGAGAAGCCGATGAGTCGCCCAATATCGAGCCTAGGACTGGAGTGTTGACACGGCTTGTAGCATTTGCTGAGCCCGAGTTACTCAAGCTATCGCGATCCGTTTTCGATGGGCTCTTCCGGTGCTGAGACTGCCGGTCTGACGTACTCGACAGCTTCCGGTTATGACCACCACCGAAGACCCCCGTGACGCCGTCGAAAACAGCTCTACCGCCTCCAGCCATGCCCTTAGGGGCATTGGTCAGTGCTCCGAGTAGGTCTTTACCCATATTCTCAAAGGAAGTCTGGCTCGGGAAGGAAAACCCTTGTTTGGGAGTGCCCGTATCGGTAGGAACCCCTTCCTTTTCAACGAATCGCCGCATTCGCTCAGTTTCGGCGAGCGACTCATGCTTCATCGCTTCGCGCAGATACCGTTCCAGATCTTGAGCAAGAGCTTGTCTTGTCTTGCCTTTCCAGGCTGGCAGGGTGGGAAACTGGTCAGAGAAACTCCGAATTTGGTTTAGTCGAGAAACAGTTGAGAGCATCTCATGGAGAGATTGAAAGTCTGCGTATTTGCGAAATACCATCCAGCCCGTCGCGCGGGTTGATGCGGGCTCGATCTGAAGCAGATAATCCCACGTGGGCCGTGATTTGATTAATCCTTTCTCACTGCGGGCAGCATCGTCATCTACCAAGACACTAGCACCGTGGAGCGTGACAGGTGCTGCAGCCTCCTCTCGAGGCGATGATGGAGCCAGGCCGGTTGTCTGTGCCGCTGGGGACACGGGGAGCGATGCTGGAGGTTCTATAGCTGTTGTAGGCTCGGCAGGGTCGCTTGTAAATCCATTCATTGAGCCATTAGTCTTCTCTGTAGATATAGATGATTCTTGGTGTTGCACAGGCTCAGTGGCCGGTTCGTGGGACAACTTCTGTACGTCTTGGGACGCAATCAGAGCGCTCAGGCGTTTTGCCTCTTGAAGCGCTTCTTCTGTTGCTTTGTCTTTGTTGCTTGACGGTAGCCCAGCAGTCTGCGAAGCGACCTCTTCTTTAGTTGAATATAACAGTGCGTTCTTCGAGTCTTCAGGCACTTTTGAAACACCAACACTCTGGTTGCGCGCACCCTCGACGCCGGCATCGATTGCATGCATGATTTCAGACTCGCCATCCTGGAGGAGGTAAATGAGCCAGTCGTTGATAAACTCGGGCCGAGAAAGGCTGGTGACCGTCGACTCCAGCACGAGTCTGGCAAAGACTTCTCGGAGGAAATCCCTAACGGGGGAGCAACTATACGATTTTGAATCCAAGAAATTCGAAAGAATGTCGTCTGCAACCATATTGAGCTTTTTACGTTGTTGCTCCTCGGATAAGACATTTGCCAGACTACTGTCCGGGGAATTCTTGAGGTATTGGTCGACAACCTGCGAAGCCTCCATGGAGGCAGGGTCAGCGGCGAATGCAGCCGCCAGTTCGTTCAAGAACACAATGATTATAGACGAAGAGTTCGTCAGGAACTGTAGGAATGTATCCTCCGTTCGTTTGCGCGAAAGATGGGACGAGATGGTCGTGACAAAGTATGTCAAGGTTCTCCGGCACGATCCCGGAAACACAGTTTCGTTCGGAAGAATTGGTTCATACCAATACCTTCACAGTTGAAGTTAGCAGGGAGCGGGCGTAAGGGAGAAGGGAAGGATATGGCGTCTTACTTGACATAGTCCTTGACCACCGCATCCGTGAACGATCGCAGAGCAGCGGCGGTCGCAGGTCGAAAAGTTGTGAATTCTAGATCCGCGATCGATAGATCTTCGGGTGCCGCGATAGTCCCGCTGTCATTGTGGGTGGTAATCTGATCTGACGCGGCGCGTGTAGGCCAATCCAAGAGTCTCTTGGATACTTCTAGCGCCAATTCCCTGCGCTTCTTGGGCGTGGATGATTCTTCGCCCGATCTTGTCTGTATTGATCCTTCCCAGGAGGCGTGCAAGATGACACCCAATCCGATTCCGATGAGCACCAGGCCCACTCTACCCAACACAATGTAAGTCACGAAAGCCAGAAGGGCGAAAACAACAAGGAGAGCTTCATTGCTGGCAGTGGCTAGGAAATCGAGGGCGCGGTCCATGAGTTCTTGAGGTCGTACTCCATCCGCGGCGTGTGGTTTGGTCGGGGATTCGCCGTGTGTTGTTGGCTTGTCAGGAGAAGCCGGTACCTCCGTGAAGGGAGTCGTGGCTCGAGCAGCCGCCGCATCATCGCTGGATGGGTCCATTTTGACTCTAACAAAATGATCAGCATGCAATGAAGGAATCCAATTTAGTTAGAGGCAAGACCAACCTCCATGCCTCTCAGGAAAACCGGTCAGGCTTGGGAGTTGTGGGGTAGAGAGAAGCGAGAGTGCTGGCTGGAGGTCAGATCAGCGCAGGCTCCGCAAGCAGGCCGAGGCGCGGCTTTAACGCTGGTCAATGCGGAGGCGCCTTTCCGCATGTGGAGAAATCAGTCTGAGTGTATGGAATATTGGAAGCACACGAGAATGGATGGTATTGAGCATACCACAATGTTGAACTCGGACAAAAGAGTTGAATAGACGGGAATCGGTTGTTTAGGTTCCCCTTAACAATGCGGTCGCTTCCATGGCCTGATGCATGGACACGTGATCTAGATATATATAATATCTCTGCGTCCCCCGCCAGGATATCAACCCGATAATGTTTAATGGAAGGTGAGACTCAGTCTGCCTCATAAATCAACACATTCCTCATAGCTACATAGGTAAACCTAACGGGTAATGTTATACCATTACCAACTAGCACTGCCTGTGCTCAAGCACGCCTTCACGAAGATGAAAATGAAGATGGTGCTTGGTACCATTAGGAGCCGTGTTCAACCTTACATTTGAAATACTACAAAAAGAAAGAGAAGCCAAGGGTAGACCCAAACGAAAGAATATATTCAAGTAATTACTGATGGTTGTATCCATTCATCATTTCCTTGAAGTCATGAGACAGCCAGGAATCTAAAGCTAAACAGAATGGAAGATTGCTCTCCGCTATCCGAGTGAACCCAGGCATTCAAAGAACATGTGTCATGCCGGATGATAAAAGATTGCGGGTGGGAAGGGGAAGAGATGGGTATATATCTATAAGTTGGTCCTGATCTACCTGGTAAACATATCAAAGTGGATGGGGGAGGAGTGAAAAGAGAAAATTATCTGGTGAGATATGAAGATTTAGGGGAAACCCACACCGATCAGACTTCATCGTGTCCGAACATACTTGGTGTGCGAGCCCTGGGCGACAATCGTCAATCCCGAATCGGTCTTCTTGGAGATAGAAAACGTGGTAAAGGCCAGCGACTTGCCGACCTTGTTGGCACGACTCTCAATCTCCAACCAGTCGCCCTCCTTGGCCGTGGAGAGGTAGTTGACGTGAATATCAGTGCTAACACCGGTCGCGTCCAATCCACAAGAGGCAATAGCCAGACCACCAGCCCAATCTGCCACGGTGGCAGAGAAGGACCCGTGAAGAGTGGCCTTGGAGTTGAGTTGACGGGGAGTCACTTGGAGTCGAGCCCGAACCACCCCTGGCTCAGCCTCGTAGATGTCGACCTCGCTCAAGAGGAATTCATAGATGGGGCTGTTGGCGCGGATGCGCTCCCACACCTTGTGAACCTGTTGGAGTTCTGCGCTCATTTTGAAAGGGGGAGGTCGAGATGAGCCAGGGAGGTTGAAGAGAGAAAAAGAGGAGATTCAAGAGGAGGAAAGGAAAAGTTCCCAGCGGCGAAGGAATTATTATTACGCGGGATCTTTTTTTTGTGGGGCTTTCGCTAAGCGGATGATACTAGTGAACTGGTGAATTGGCAAATCACGGATAATTAAGAATCAAAGAGAGAAAATGAAGGCCAAGTAGGATTTTGGTGGAAACTGGTGCCACGAAATGTATCGCTAGGTATCTATGGACTGATTGATCTATGTACTGATTGATCTATGTACTGATTGATCTATGTACTCCGTATGAATCTATGGTTTAGCGTTTATCTACCGCGCTGCTACCCTTGAGCCGATGTCGCGACTTGCGCGACAACATTTGGGAGAGCATAAAGTGATTCACATCCTCGTCCCCCCAGTAGGTCAGATGGCTGGCAATACTGGCAATCAGGGAAATATCAAATGCGCCCCTAACATAGAAGTAAGAGTTAGCCACAAAGGCATTGATTGCTGAGTGGGAAGTCGAAGCAATAGAGGGAAAAGAAGTAGGAAACGGTCCGTCCAACTCACTCTTGAATGCTGTAGTCCACACGGCCATTGGAGTTCAAGGCTCGCACTTTGGCATCTTCAAATTTCAATTTGCGCTCCTGGTCTTCCGACTCGAATCCAGACTCCGTCTCGCCAGAAGACCGTGTTGCATCCTTTTTGTGGGTGGTCCGACTCTTCTGGAAACCATCATACAGGGTTTCGAGATCATGATCAATGAGGGTCTCACAATGATCATCAGACTCATGTGAAGAGATATGCTGGCTAGTGCCCGATTGAGTTCGTCTATGTCCAGTCCCGTCATCTGTTGCCTTGCCGCTAGCAGTACTCCGAGCCGCAGAAGCTTCCTCAGTCAAGCCGAGACTGCGATTCAGCAAGCTGCTCGCCACGCCAGAAGTGAAATTACTCCAGAGAGAGCCAACACTTTGGCCCATACGGGTGCCTAGAATGGAGAGACTCTGCCCGGAAGTAGCCCACAGGCTTTTCTTGACCGAAGGCAAGGGCTGGGGCTTGAGACTGGCCATTGCCGGTGAAATGAGCGGCTCAATTCGATAACTCACGGGATCCGAGGGATGGAAGATGTTGTAGATGTCCCGGCATTTGGGTGCGGAGATTATAGTCGACTTTTCGATCGAGTCTCGACTACTGCTGCCATGCGAGTCTCGTTTGGAGGATCCGATGGAACCCAGTCCCTGAGATCCGATATCACCAAAATCCAGCCCACTTTTACGATCCTTGGCCCCCAGAGGAGAATATCCAGCAATGGTCTTTCCTTTCAGCATCTGGAAGAGGGCAATGGGAGATCCCAGGCAGAAGAATTCTTCGCAGTCAAAGTTCAGCGCTGTTTGCACCCCCCTCGTTGATCAGCCATATCATCGGTGCTCCGAGCAGTCGCTCTGCCGCTCTTAGTGGAATCCGTATCAGATAGTTGGTGGCATAGGATGTCGAACAGGATGGCGCTTCCAAGAGAGTGACCGCAGAGGCTCACAGTTCCATTGAAAGATGGATTGCGCTGTTTATACAATTGAAGTAGTCGATTGCACTCTTGCTTGACAATGTTGGCGATATGGTCACAATATCCGCTTTGGTAGAGCAGGACATCCATTGCCAGGTCCGAGATAAGATTTCGAACAGCGGGGACGCTCTCCAGAGTGATATCGGCTAGACTAGGGTACGTATCGTCCTCGAGGTTGTCCGCATCAGTCAAATCAAGTTCCTTTCGGTTCTGTCGAACTCCACGATATGGAAAATCGAGAAGGTGACGCCAGCAGCTATCGAATTGTTAGTATGCTTGGATATGGGCGAAGTCTTTCGAAGACATCAGACCTACACAGGGAGTACTTGAACACGACAATTACTATTGCTGTCCGGAAAAGCAGAGTTCAATGCCTGGAGGTCAGGTGAGGCTTTGTAGACCCCCTTGAAAGTCTTGCGAAGCACATTGACGTCGTGTATGAAATTGATGCTCTCCAGTCGCAAGCCGAGTCGCTGGCCGATGCCATGGGTGACCAGCACCAAATGATCGACTTCTCGCCCTTGATCTTCGCTTTCAACTTCCCTGGAATCTTCCATCTCTTGCTCCTCCTGCATACGGGCCTGCTCCTCGAGTTCCGCGGGATTCTGGGGCTCACCCGCAAGCGAGGACATCTGTCGCTGTAATGTTGAGATGGGGCGTCTTGCCATGGCCTCCGCTTCAGCTTCGCTTGCTGCTACATCTGCTGTACTGGGTCTCGGATTTGACGCAGTGCGGGAAGCGGGCATGGTCTCACGAGGAGGTATTCCTGCCACTTTCTCGTCCTGTTTCTGCTCGGTGCCCCGAGAGTCCAGTGGCTCCCTTGGTCGTCTGGCTTCTGCCAACCCACGTACCACTTTAATGCCTGGCGCGCCACCGAGTTTCTGATACACGGTGGTGCTGAGACGTGACATAAAATCATCAGTGGCGAGCCAGGCGGTCGATTCATCCTGATACGCGACTGTCGTGTTCATGTAGGCTCCAAACAGACGATACTGCTGGAATTCTGAGTTTCCCAGGGGTTGAGGCTTCTCGCGGGGCTTTGCAGATCGAGGTGTGCCCGGTGTACCGTCTTCACCTTCCTTTGCTCGACTGTGTTTCCCCCCCGAGGCGGTATCGGGCGACCTACCTGCTCCTTCTTCTCCCGTCTCGATCTTCCATGGCCGTAGCTTCACATAGCCTTCCTCGAGCTGTGTTGCCAAATTCTCCTCGCATGGCTTAAAAATAGACCCTTCCTGGAAGAACCACGTTCCTCGCCGGACTTCATACACGGGACCTATCCAATAAGCCGGGCTGAGCTCTCGTGCTTCCACATCCACATCAAACAAGTAATCTTCGTTCACGGGTACTTTAGTCGACACCTCTTGTAATGCAGCCTTTCGGGACTGTTCATCCCCATGCGAGTCCTCGATTTCTGACAGCTTCTGATAAGTGGTTTCAATTGACTGTGAGTCGCCCGGGGAGAAGGCAATGAATTTCTTAGGCGGAGGCGGTGGTTTCTGATCGGGTTTCTTCTGGTCCAGTAGAGCAGGCTTTCGCTTGGGCGAGTCCACGGCATAGAACCATCTCGCTTTCAACGGTGGACAGTCTGGAGGGTAGTGTCGCAAGCTCAACTTATGTCGGTGGGTCACCGTATGGTCCTCGCCATGCGACCGTTGCAAAACGTCTGGGTTTGCCGATGGGCGATCAGAGGGTTGGGGAGTGGAGCTTCTCGGGGTACTCCACGGAGAGAGTGTCCCCAGGAAGGACTTTTGGTCAGCGCCCGCCATGGAGGTCGGGCGCGTCCGTAATAAAACTGTGGGCCGAACCAGCGTGGAGGAGGAAGTGGTGTGCGCAGAGCGGATGATTCGAGGCCAGGGAATTGTGAGAATGGGAGATAGGATACGATGCCGACTTAGGGGCATCCACAGCCGATAGGAGCCATTTATTTGTACAGATTTGTCAAGAGAGTGAGGTGTGCAGAAGTGACCAGCTGGAGCTTCCGGTGTTTTTGGCTTCGGGTCCAGATGGGATCGGCCGAGCATATGATGTAATCGCCTGGGGATGCGCAGGCAGCTGATCATTCTTGGCATCCACCAGATACTGTACTACAACTGCCAAGGTTAGATATTATTTGGATCATGACAAAGCCTGCAGCACCTTTACAATGCCACTGAACATAATTTCTGGTCTCTATTTGTCTAGCTTGGTTATGGAGAGGATTGGAAAGGTGCTACCGATGCTGATATAGCATACAGTATATAGCGGGGTATCACAAGTTTGAAATTATGACCAAGGTTCAAAAGTATCCTATAAGGCACAAGTTGCATGAAAGACTAATATATGACATTTTAGCTACCAAGAAAGACGCTTGAAATGACCTTTAGAAAGAACTTTTGAAAAAGTTTCAAGCGGAAGCATATCTGTTGGGTGGTTTCTTTGGTCTCTAGATTCAGACTTTTGAGCAACCACTGTAAGCACCAAGAAAAAAAAATATTGAGTGAAAAATAAAGCCATACTATGGCTATGCTCACCTAGCACCCGTTGTTTGGTGCTGGGCGGCTCGCCGCTTTATCCAGTCAGTCATCAGGCCGTAATTCACCCACCTAAATTTTGTTCATCCAGAGGAGTAAACCCCCTGCCCAAAATGTGGCTTTGGACATTTTGATCAAGGGAGCGATTTCACGGCGCGGAAGTAGACACCATGTCCTGTCCTTTAATATAATGCGGCTTGCTCGCCCGATAGAAAAGATTTAGAACCCTTAGATCCTTTCTGGTTGCTGTTAAAGGCAAAATATCGCGGTTTTTCAGGCCACGAAGGGCCGTGGTAGATTCGTATGTTATCAAGGAGCACTGGCATAGTCTTAGATCCAGAGAGAAAAGACAGAGATGAAAAAAGCGAAACCAGGCAAATTGCTATCATGGGACTGCGCAAGTGGCAAGGTAAAAGGTAAAAAGGACTTTGAGTGGATTGAGATTGAGATTATTTACTCATAAGGAATATGGGGAGGCTCTGAGTGGGTCTCTTGTAGATTATAGCGTTCGTTATTTTTACTCTGTAAGTGGCTTTCTGATTTATCAGCAGATTCTTAAATATAGATGCATGAACAGGCACCCTCTTATTATCTGATCTCTGAATGCCTTTCATTCGTCAAATACGGCTACTTAGTCCACTCACGCTGATATTGTTGGCTGCCCCAAAACAGATATCTTCCTAGCTCCTCCACCTGTTCATACTGACTGGACTGTCTTAAGTGTCACCCTCGTTAATGGTAATTTATATACTCACTGGCTGATTGATTATAATTATTCTCTAAATACAAAAACGAATGAAAGAAACCTCCCCCAATGCGTGTCCCAAAGCCAGAGTATTACCTTTGACCTTGAAACAGCTAGGCCGAGAACCGACAGGAAGCCACAGAATCCTCTCACCATTTATTTTAATCCATTTTTCATCCTCAATAGAGACATTGAGATTCACAGAAGGTGAAAATGAGATATCAATATCAAGAAAGCCCAAGCCTGTCTGGAGATATAAACCATCGACGCAAAAATCCTCGATGAATTCCCAACTCCCAATTCGGTTGAGCACGCTCCCTGTCAAGGCCCAGAGGCACACCGTGCGATCAATGGAGCCGGTTGCCAATAGCGCACTATCAGGTGAGAAAACCAAAGGATAAACCCAATTCGAATGGCCATCAATCAAATGACGTAGAGCGCCTGTTGCCAGGTCCCAGATGCACACTATTCCACAATGTGAGCCTGACGCCAGTAGCCTGCCATCAGGTGAGAAGGCTGCCGAGGTAAATCCGTCCAATGAATTAAGCCTCAAATCCGCTGAATCCGAGCCTTCGAAAGTCTGTTGCAGTACGCCCGTGGCTACGTCCCAAAGGCGCACTTTGTGATCAGAGCAAGACGCTAATAGTCGGCCGCCAGGCGAGAAGGCCACCGAGTAGACTGTATGCGAGTGGCTAATAGTCTTCTGTACTGTGCCCATCACTAGGTCCCAGAGGCATATCGTGTGATCGCAAGAGCAGGATACCAGCATCCGGCTATCGGGCGAGAAAATCACTGAATTCACCGGACTGGAATGCCCTTCGAAAATATGGGCGAGTGTGCCTGAGTTTGCATCCCAAAGCCGCACCACTGAACTTTCGTAAGAACCGGAAGCTAGGAAATGGCCATCGGGCGAGAAGGCCATGACCTGGACAGGAGGCTCAGAGTCACCGCTTTTAAGGATTTGTGGGAGCTCGCCCACTGCCAGGTCCCAAAGGCGTACAGTATCGTTAGCTGAGCAAGACGCCAGTAGCTGGCCACCAGCTGAAAAGGCTACTGATTCGGAGGCCTCGCACCCCATGAATCCCAAGCTCCCTTGGCCATCAAGGGTCCGCTCTATCGCGCCTGTCTCCAGGTTCCAGAGGTGCACTATCCAATCAACAGAACCAGACGCTAGTAGCTGGCCATCGGGCGAGAAGACAACCGAGAGAAGAGATCTCGAACAACCATGGAGAGTTTTCCCCAAGATACCTGTATCTATGTCCCAGATGTGTACTGTTTCGTTATCACAGCAGCATGCTAGTGAGCGGTCTGTGGGTGAGAAGGCCACTGACTGAACCGAACCTGAATGGCCTTCGAGAATCTGCAATAGCGCACCAGACATCGGGTCCCAAAGCCGCACTGTCTTATCATTCGACCCGGACGCTAGGAGGTGGCCATGCGGCGAGAAGGCTACTGACTGGACTGAACCAGCATGGCCTTCGAGTGTTTGCCGTAGCACGCCTGTTGCCGGGTCCCACAGCCGCACTGTCTTATCATCCGACCCGGACGCTAGGAGGCGGCTATCGGGCGAAAATGTCACAGACGTAACCGAACCTAAATGGCCTTCGAGAATCTGCAATAGCGCACCAGACATCGGGTCCCAAAGCCGCACTGTCTTATCATTCGACCCGGACGCTAGGAGGTGGCCATGCGGCGAGAAGGCTACTGACTGGACTGAACCAGCATGGCCTTCGAGTGTTTGCCGTAGCACGCCCGTTGCCGGGTCCCAAAGCCGCACTGTCTTATCATCCGATCCGGACACTAGGAGGTGGCTATCGGGCGAGAAGGCTACTGACTGGACTGAAGCTGAATGGCCTTCAAGAGTTTGCAACTCTGCACCCCAATTTTCCTCAACTAGTGGTAACTGGCATATCCAATGAGGAAGCTCGTGCTCAAACAGGGTGCGGAATTTTGACTGCCTGGGTGCAAAAATAAGTCCTGCACAATAGACCTGAAGTGGTGCCTGATCGATTATTTGGCGGTTTTTTAAAATAAAGCGTTTAGCGTCGTGAAGAAATTCCGAAAGCAAGGAAGATTTGTATCCCTAAAGCTGTCAGGATGATTTAAAAATTCTTTCTTTAGAACTTACACAAATAGATGTTTGTAGGCAATTAATGATACTTAGAATTTCCGACGTGAGGCCTAGCAGGCTCAATGCTTCTACCCAATGCAGAAAATGCACCCGGAGAAATGAGAAAGCATTGTATGCTAAATGAGTCGGATTCGCGCATCGTAATAGATGATGTGCCCAGTATCGGCAAGCGTACTGCAACTCAGGAGAAAGGTAATTCTGGATAGTTTGGTGATCAACTTCTGCACGTTGGGTTCCATCGCTCGGCAGTTGACAAATATTCCTTCTTAGATTTTGGCACATAAGAAGGCATTTGCTAGTCAACATATCGTGTATATCTCTCTCCTTTATCCCTAACGGAGTCTTCTTTTGGATTTCTGGATCAAGAAGAAAGTCCCGAAATGATAAGTGAAAGAGCCGAATAGGTATTGTTTCGTCATTTGGTACTCTTAGCACTGAGTGCAGAGCGCTCAGTCGAAGGTTTATAACCCTCGTAGGAAGGCCTAGAAGATTCGATAGTGATTTCACCGAGAGTGGACTCTCAAGTATAACAATAGCACCGATCACTTGCTGGAACTCTGAGACCAATTTTTCTTTTTGTTTCTCGTGTTGCCTGCTAAGCAGCCGATCAAGAACTGGAAGATATGTCCCATTTAGGTTGGATTGATCGTTTTGGTATGTCAAGATCTCGGTAAGGCTGTCTTTAGGGTCCCAATGAGGCTCTTCAAATATCCGACAAATAGTAGCAGCGAATATAAATGATGGAACAGATAATTCTACTAGCCTTCGAAGATCTCTCTCACCCGGCCACGTTGAAGGTAGGCAGCGTTCTGTCCTTATCTCTGCTAGCCGATGATCAAAGAATAAGGATATATCGTGTTTGATCACTCCCAATGGAATATCGTGAAGAAAAAAGTCCACATAATCATCGTTCGCAATCTTTGAAAACCCGAGACGGATCGGTAATTCGGGCCTACTAGTCAAGAGCACTCGTAGACATAGAGTAGACAGATTTTGAAGCTGCGGGAGGAGTTGGAGTATCAGCCGAATATCACTATCTCCTTCGCACTCGTCTAATGCGTCAAGTACTATGATCATCGTGCGAGCTGAAATAGCGGATCGCTCGAGCTTTTGGAGTGGTTGAAGAAGGAGTTTTTGGAACTGCTCCCGCATTGCCTTTGCTACAATACCAGGATTATCACGGACCGCTTGGTGCAAGACTGGCACCAGTTGAGGGATAGTAATTGCTAGCTGCCTTGCAATTGTTGGGAAAAGCTTCCTTGCATTCCCTCGGTCCCCTTCGCCCCTCTCGAAGAAAAAGCTTGCTCCTAGCGATTGGGCTTTACTGAACAATTTCGCCATTGTTCGAGAAATGGTCGACTTCCCTGTTCCAGCTATTCCATTCAACCAGAATATGCCTTTCTTATGTGGTGATAAAGCCCATGTGCTAATTTGATCGAGGATATCAGTCCGTGTTCCGGGAAGACACGGATCTTTATGCTGGTTTTCGTATGAGTCAAACGCAGCACCAGGCACGTCAGGTAACTCAGCATCTGCCTAAAAGTTAGCAATGCCAACACTGAACATATGATGGTGAATTACCCCATGGAACACGAAACTCATTCGTGACCAAACCGTTGTTAATTGCTATCTCTGATCCATAGTTGACCCCGTTAAATGATATTGTTGAATCCATTGATTCGGGGCAAAACAGGATCCATTTGCACCAGGGGACATGTGGGGTCACGCGTCCTTATGTGACACCTCCACGGCGTCAGGTGATATCTGTTCCATCGCGTTCTACGGAGTAAAGCTGGCATAATTGACATTATATGTCTTTCTAGTGCCAAACAAGAACTTCCCTTAACGTTCCGACTAGTGAATACTTAAGACTTGCCATTTGGGTGCATAATACACTGTCCGAGGAATTCGTGCAAGCTCATCGAAAGTTATAAGCTTCCAGCTCCCCTCCGGAAAGAGAATGGATGCAACTTGCTGTCAAAATGATCCTACAAGGCAAATTGAGTATGCACTTATACGCATCGCAGAGCGATGTCGAAGAATTCGAAAAATGAAGTTTAGACCTGTAAACGTTATACAATTGGGGCCGTTATGCGATTGTGAAGGTGGGAGAAAAGGAAGGTTTAGCCGAGGGGCCACGTCAGCGCTTCAGGGGTCTTAGGGTAGTTTGGGTGAAGGGTCTGAAGGGGAACACGACAAAGGCACTTGTCAGTCCCAACGAAAAAAAAAAACATACAACAGCCAGGATTCGCATGTGGTCACCCACCATACTACTAACTGGCCGGCGTGTGGCTTAAGTACGGCTGAGCGGACGGGAAGCCCTGTTCTCCACACCCTATGGTCGTATGTGCTGATTTAATCATTTTGGAGGCTTATATCGGACGTGAATTCTGTTCACAACACTAGCATAGTAGTAGGCGTGATGAATAATTATGGTAGAGTATTCTTCTGTGTGCGAAATGTAGGGAAAAAGCTTAGTTTTGTTAGCTGGGTCTACGGTAGTTCTTTTCCTTCCTTCGATTCTGTCTTAATGGGATGGATATACACCAGAGATTCCGAGGATATTTTTCCTCGGTATGGTTAGAGCAGGTTCAATTACACGTGCCGACCTGGCACAAATATAATAGCTGAAAAAGTATACCACCTCCTAAGCACAATTTTCTTGTTCGGGACTTTCGATCTCTAGGACTATCCATCCCCCGCCCCCTCTCCCGGTTGATTCAACAGGAGCGATTCAAGCAACCCCCAGTCCAAACCTTCATTACTGTCTTCAATATAGAATGGATCCCACCACCCCAAAGAAATATTATCCACGGCATTGATATTTGAACCGTCCACAGGTAAGGCAGGCGCCACCACTTTTGTCACCGGTCCATTTAAAAGAGCCGCGATGGCACGTGAAACATACCGAGCATCCCGACTCACAGATGACTTTTCCACGCAAATCGCATGTGCCTGCTTCAGCAACGGCAGAATGCCCTCTTCAGCTTTTGAGCTAATGACTGAAGATTGTGGATCCCTTCGGTGAACATGAATCACCAGGCAGAGCACCATCACTCCTAGGAGGAAATCATTCATCGTGAAATTCGTCAACATCCAACGATGACCATCTAATCGACCACCAGGTAAAAACTCAGCGTGTGTCTCGATAAATAGGCGGACCAGCCGTTGGCCAGCTTCCATGCAAGAATCGGTACTGAACTGGTTGCCTCGTGTCATATACTTCCGATGAAAGACACACAGACTCTTCAGATAGATAAACTCGAGATAGATACGGGTCATGATCAAAAAAGGCGGATCAGCAATTGAATCAGCCAGGGGCTTTGTTCGAAGGATATTTGGAATGGTCGTAAATATTTGTCGAATTTCACTATCCAGTTGCAGAATCTCTGCATGGGACTTTTCATGGAAGCTCAGAGCGTCGCGACACACCTTATAAAAACTGACCATCTGTCGATCTTTAACAATGAACCAAAGTAGTCCAATCGGTTCATCTTCAGTTCTTGACGGCGGAAGAACCTCCGTGTCAACATCAAAGTCTGAGTCGGTTAAATTTCGAGGGGATTTGGTGTCACAATTCTCCAGGCAGATGTTGCTGGGAAGACCAAGCTGAAAAGAGACCATCAAGTCCACCTGCTTGCACAGCGACCAAAAGCGCCGCCGCATCTCGCCCTCGAAAGGCGTGAAGGATCCCAGAGAGTCCGGATCCCGATGATACCCCATCTCATAAGCCATGCGAACGACCATCCCGAAAATCGCACCCGCTTCGCGCGACGGATCGAGAGATTGCATATTTTTACATTGTGCATACATGATCAATGCCTCCAGGACTAATGGCTGCGGGCGATGGTATTCACCTCGAACCAGACATTTCTCAGACGCTGCAAGCAATTGACAGGCCTCGGTAATGACTTCCTCCCTCGCGGTGGGGTAGATGCCAATTGTGCCGCGAATCAAGGTGGACACGGCGCAAATCGAGAATAGCATGGAAAGCCACAGGGGGTTGACCTGGGTAGGTTCAGCCCAGAAGGCGCGATACTGGCGTTGGAACTGAAACGTATGGATAAACGGGATGATGAAGCTTTCTCCCTGAAAGTAGATTGAAACCAATCGATCAACTTCCACTCTAGAAGGAAGATGCTGGTCCATGACCTGCTCCAAGGGGTAATCACTAGGCGATCCAAATATTATGGATGCTTTGTTGGAATCCGGGGATGATGATAGATTCGGGCTGGGCTCTGGAGAATCTTCTCGGCGGGTCACCGCTATCTTCAGCTCCTGAATATCGTCCAGGACCGCAGACCAATGAGTAGAGCCGACATATCTACCTTCTTCCAGACTCTGATCAGTCACTCTTGGGTCTTCTGTTGACTGGTCTTCCACAGGAGCACTGTTGTGCTCAGGCTGTCTGAGATTCTGATTCTGCATCAAATCCTTAACTAGTGACTCCAGATGGGCGAGTCGGTCTTCCGCCGTGGCTGAACGATTGCTGCCCGGTGAGGCTCGCTGATAGGAGCATATTGCGGCTTCATCCTTTCGGGTACAAGAGCTGCATGGATGTCGTCGATCGCAGCGGGTTTTGGCTCTTTTGCATTGATTACAGGCCAGTGATTCTCGGGGCCGTTTAGTGACTTTGGCAGCTGGATCCTGTCCCGCTTCTTTGTTAATCCGAAACTTGCCCGTCAAGCTTGAAAAATCAGACATTTTCGGTGCTCTCTAGATTGACGAGTAGCATTTGATATCTTCTAGATGCATGCTGTGTGGATAGTGAGTTGCTAACAAAATACTGGGGTATGCGTGGACGGGTGTCGAAGAGCGGATAGGTTGCCTTGCACGGTCCTCTCCCGTGGGGGCGAAAACCCACCTACATCGATAGACCATCGATCATCTTTCTACGAAACAACTGTGTTGATCTTCCCGGCTCTCCTGAGGCAACTTTGAAGTCACATATTAGCGCGCAATACATCTCGATAGGTATAACTCGGCTATTAGTGATTGAATGCAGTCATGTTCAAGGTTCATTACCAGCGTTGTACAAAGGCTCAGTAGAACTGAATGTTTTTGCTAGGCATGTTACGAGAATCATGTTGTTGACCGATAGACAAAATGCCCGATCAAAATTGGGCCGTGGCTTCAAATGCGGCTCCGAGTTCTTGTTGCGAGTACCAAGTTTCCAGGTGAGTGAAGATGGTAGCATTGCGTGCCTTATTGAAAGCTCCTGGGAGGGCTTGTGCCCATACGACGACATTTGTTTCAACTTGCCCGGCACCGACAGTGCTGTCTTCAGAGATGGAGAATTTTCCTGGTCCTGAAGGCATATTTAGGTATTAGGTGCTTTCGGGAATAGTTCAAATCGGACATTATATAAGTGCTTGACTATGATCCTCGACGGAAGTGTGATGAATTGTCTGCTGAATTAGTAGGAGATAGTGTGGCCATGTATTGCTCATAATAAGGTGAGATCCTAGAAATTTCCAAGGCATTCATAAATAGATGTTTTGTGTGCTGAATCATTTAATGAAGGAATCACGGTGGATAAAAACGGTGGCCGGTAGTGTCCACCCTCATACCAGTAGCATTTTTATACCGCCTACCCTCTTTATCTCTCTCTACATCTGGCTTTACACTTTTCTATATGTCACTTTTCATATGGATATAACGCCTCGTTGTAGTATAATATTTCAGGCTGCTCTATGTGGCTGGGTTTCTGCCAAAACGCACACTATCGGCCACCGCGCACAAGCCCGTACCCGATAAGCAGCGATAAGGAAACTGTTCTGCATCAGGAAATAAATATTTACCGGCCGGCCAACTTGCCTGATCGGGTTAATGCTTTGCCTTCATCAGTAGTGATCAAGGTCACTTCGACATCTTAAGTCCGTGATGGATATCCATTCCGACATACCGTCCTTTTCGGAGGGCCTCTTTGTTCACGATGAGGGAAGATATAAAAGTCACCCGAATCCTCGGGCAGCATGCATTTGAACTGCTACACCCTTCAGATTGTCCAGCCACCATGGATAGACCAGTCGTTTTTATTACTGGAGCGAATACAGGACTGGGCTTGGAAACCGTCAAGGCCCTCTTCCAATCCCCCAAATCCTACACCATCCTCCTCGGAGCTCGCAACAAAGAGAAGGCCGATGCGGCGGTCCAACAGTTACGGGCTGAATTCCCCCAGAGTGCCACAGTGGTGGCCCCAGTGCAGGTGGACCTCGAGAATGACCTGTCAATCGAGAGGGCCTTTGGCTTTGTTGTGGAACGGTATGGCCGAGTGGATGTCTTGATCAACAACGCTGGTAGGAACCCGGACCCCGATAAGTTGAATTTGTCGATGTCTGTTGATTCTTCATTGAGAGATGATTCGCTCACAAGTGAATAACCCAGGAGGACAATTTGACCCTCAGGTGGATTCGGCAGACCTGACAATGCGCGAGATGTGGAACAAATCATGGGATACCAACACGACCGGAACACAGGTCCTCACGCATACCTTCGTCCCATTGCTGCTCAAGTCCTTGGATCCTCGACTGCTCTTCATCACCAGCGGCACATCCACACTGACCGAGTCGGGGAACCTGACGCTTCGAATGAACCAATCCCCAGCCAAGGGCTGGCCAAAGACTTCGCCCTCGATCTCGGCCTATCGAGCCAGCAAGACGGGCATGAACATGCTGATGCGCGAATGGACGCGAATTCTTCGCAATGACGAAGTAAAGACCTGGTGTGTTTCGCCGGGCTTTTTGGCCACTGGACTAGGCGGGAATGCGGAGCGCAACAAGCGGATGGGAGCCATTGACCCGGCTACTGGGGCGAATCTTGTACGCGATGTGGTTGAAGGAGCGCGAGACCGGGATGTTGGAAAAGTCGTTCGCCGAGATGGTGTTCAGCCATGGTAAACATAAACCTGTCTGCCTGGGAGCATTAAGGATGGACAGAGGATACGAGGATACGAAGTTAGCGAGAGTTCGCTGGGGAGGACAAGAATACTATGTTTCTTACCTGGACTAGTTCAATTGGTATTATTGGTGCAATTCAGCCTCCGCGACGTCATCAGGGCAAGGCGGTAAGGTCAATTGGAGGGCCTGGTATTGGATTAAGGGGAGAAATACCCAAAAAGTACTTGAGTGATATATGCAAATAGTATGTCCAAGCTAAGTATCTCTTGAGTATCTTTTGTAAAATACCGTGAATAATGCAGCCTATCCCCTATGTAATATGGCCATACCTTACCATACCATACCCCGCTAAACATACGCGGATACCCTTTACAGTCCTCTTCCACCCAAGTTCCCCCCACCTCCCAAAGCGGCAGAGTGTCCAGACTGACTGACTGTAGTTACTAGTCGTCTCCGCCTCTTACCCTCTTGCCTCTTTGCACTGCCCAGGTCTTACGCGCCCAATTCTTCTTCCTTTCTCCCCCCTTCCAGACCATTGATTCTGCCTGGCCATTCCGTTTCGTTACTTCTATTGGATCCGTTCCTGGGATCTGTCTTTTCTTCCTCTTCTCCCATTCTTGCCCCTCCCCGTCGAGTCCCGGCGTGATCCCGTTTGCGCCTGATCACCTCAACTTCTACCCCCACCTCGGCCGTTCACCCAAGATGAATGTCCTCAAGCTCCAGAAGTGCGTCCTTTTCAATCGTCGCTGGAATTACTTGATGCTAACTGCATCATTCTTGTCTTATTTAGGCGATTCCCGCAGCTGGACCAGGGCGAGATTTTCTCCCTTCAGGATGCATTCCGCAGACTGGATGTCGATGACCGCGGCTACCTAGACGAAGCCTCCGTAATCAAGGCTACCCAGCAGTCTGAGCGCCAGCCGTACGATGTGGTGCGCCAGGCCCTGAAGGGTGTGGAGCTCGATAGCTCCCGCCGTGTCGAGCTCGAAGACTATATTGATGTAGGTGGCCGTGTTTTGATTGCATCATATGGCGTCTTCATCTCCAGAATCTGGTCACAAGGTACTAACAAGTCAATAGCTGGTTTCGCGACTCCGCACAGGACCGGCTCCTGGTGCTGCGAGCGCAGCGAGCCCCGCGGCCGTGATTAAAGGAGCTGGAGCCGGCGCTGGCGCGGGCGCGGGTGGAGCCCGTCATATCTCCAAGGGCAGCGTTGGTGGTGGTCGCATCCATGTCCAGGGCTCCTCGGCAAACGTTACCCACACTATCAACGAGGATGAACGAACCGAGTTCACGAGACACATCAATGCTGTCCTCGCCGGCGATCCCGATATTGGCGACCTCTTGCCTTTCCCGACTGATACCTTCGAGATGTTCGACAAGTGCAAGGATGGTTTGGTCCTGGCCAAGTTGATCAACGACAGCGTACCGGATACCATTGATGAGCGTGTGTTGAACAAGGCTGGCAAGAAGATCAAGCAATTGAACGCTTTCCACATGACGGAGAACAACAACATTGTGATCAACTCTGCCAAGGGTATCGGCTGCTCTGTGGTGAACATTGGTAGTGGAGATATCATTGAGGTTCGCGAGCACTTGATTTTGGGTCTGATCTGGCAGGTCATTCGCCGCGGTCTGCTGGGCAAGATCGACATTAAGCTCCACCCCGAGCTTTACCGTCTGCTGGAGGAGGACGAGACTCTGGAGCAGTTCCTGCGCCTGCCCCCAGAGCAGATCCTGCTCCGTTGGTTCAACTATCACCTTAAGAACGCCAAGTGGGAGCGACGGTAAGGCATTCCCCAGAATTCACCCGTACCCCGTGGATGAGTGCACCTGTCGAATGGACTGCCATGACTAATAATATTTCTTTATAGAGTGACGAACTTCTCCACTGATGTGAAGGATGGCGAGAATTATACTATTCTCCTGAATCAACTGGCACCAGAGACTTGCTCTCGTAGCCCTCTTCAGACTCGGGATGTGCTCCAGCGTGCCGAGGAGGTCCTCACCAATGCGGAGAAGCTGGATTGCCGGAAGTTCTTGACCCCCACCTCCCTGGTCGCCGGTAACCCGAAGCTTAACCTTGCCTTCGTTGCGAACCTCTTCAACACTCACCCTGGACTGGATCCCATCACTGAGGAGGAGAAGCTGGAGGTGGAAGATTTCGATGCCGAGGGCGAGCGGGAGGCTCGTGTCTTTACTCTCTGGCTGAACTCGTTAGATGTGCAGCCTGCTGTCAACTCTCTCTTCGATGATCTGCGTGATGGTACAATTCTCCTGCAAGCCTACGAGAAGGTGATTCCGGGCAGCGTCAACTGGAGGCATGTGAACAAGCCCCCCGCGTCTGGAGGTGAATTGATGCGCTTCAAGGCCGTGGAAAACACAAATTACTCTATTGAACTTGGAAAGCACCACGGTTTCTCTTTGGTCGGCGTGCAGGGTGCGGATATTACCGACGGCCAACGCACGCTTACTTTGGGTCTGGTGTGGCAATTGATGCGCCGTGATATCACCCGTACTCTATCTGCGCTGGCCCAGCGCCTGGGCAAGCGTGAGATTACCGACCAAGAGATGATTCGCTGGGCGAACGACATGTCGAAGAGCGGTGGACAGACCAGCGCTATCCGCAGCTTCAAGGACCCGTCCATTGGCACTGGTTGCTTCCTCTTGGACGTGCTAAACGGCATGAAGAGCAGCTATGTCGACTACGACCTGGTTACCCCGGGCCGGTCCGACGAAGATGCTTATGCCAATGCCAAGCTGAGTATCAGTATTGCCAGAAAGATGGGTGCTACCATCTGGTTGGTGCCGGAGGATATTTGCCAAGTGCGCTCTCGCCTGGTGCTCACTTTCATCGGTATGTTATTACACTTAACCTGTTCGAGGGCGTCCGATTTCTGACTGGATTTATAGGTTCCCTCATGGCGACTCACGAGAAAATGTAAGAAGTGCTCGTGTCCTCGTAACCGTTTGCATACCATATCCATTGTTGTCCCACTCTGTGTGTATGGGGCCAGCTATGCCAGAGTAGACTTTGGCAGTGGCTTATGAATATCCTCGATTTTCTATCTTTCATCACCCCTCCGCTTATGCTTCAAGTTTTTACGATGTATGTACACCTTGTATTGTCAACATGGCGAATGCAAGGAGTGGCACGAAATCAAAATGTGAGAGACATTTGCATGTTATATTTTGTGCTAGACACTAGCAGATATGATCGTATCCGTAGGGGGCTCTAGAATAAGGTATATGCCAAGAGCCGAGATCTACAGGTGCTGGTTGAACCAAGCCACTGCCTGAGTAAATGCAGCCTCCTTCGCAAATCGAATAATAGGCTTCGAGATATCGGCACGAACCGCAAAGCCATGCTCGACACCACCGAACAGGTTAATCTGGTACGGCTGGCCTGTCTTGGCCAGAATCTCTTCGGATTCGTGACGCTTTGCAGCGGGGAAGATAGAATCGGTTTCTACATAGCTATGGTTAGCCATTGCTTGTATGAAAAATGCACGCTCAGATCAGTAAGATATCCCAACTCACCAGCCGCAGCAATAGACAGAGGCCGCTTAATCGCCGCCAACTCCTCAGCATCCACGAAACTAGGATGAGCCACATAAGCCGCATCAACACCATCATCCTGAAGCAGACGAACAGCGTATTTAGCCTGGCATAAAACCCATATAATCAGCACAAAACCCAACTGTATAAATGGTTATGTCCCCAAAGTTGATAAGGCCTACCCCAAAACAATACCCAATAGCCCCAACCCTCTCACACCCAAAGTCAGACTTCATTTCCCCAAACACAGCCTTAACAACCGGCTCCACACGCGGCAACAAATGACCAGGCGGACCGTTCAACCAGGCCATCAAATCCCAGCCGGCGGGACGATTCAATGGCACGGGGTCACCGTGGAAAAGATCAGGCATGACCACGAAGTACCCGTTGGCAGCTAGTTGATCGGCGATGAGCTGAGCATTGATGAATCGGTGACCGATTACATCTGTTAGGAGCAGGATGGCGCGTTTGGTGGAGCGGTCGGTTGGGTAGGAGATGTATGTTTCGACTTTGGACTGAGTTAGCTATTAATGTGGATGTGGATGTGGATGTGAGTGTGTGGGGTTGGGTTGGATTGGATTGGTAGGTATAGTGTAGTGTAGCGTACCTCCACCGACTTGCTGGAATGAACCCTTTGCTTCGCCTTCGTGCTTGATGCCAACGGTGCAGCATGCTCCTGGGGGATTGGAGGCCATGATGACTTCGAGTATCAAGTAGTATAATTGATGATTGATTGATTGGTGTATGGAAAGGTGTGAAAGAAGGAGAAAGTTGGAAGGGAAGAATGGGGTAAAATGAGATCAGCGGGGCAAGTGTCCCGCATTTTATTCGGCTTCGCGACGCCGCGTGGCGGTGGGTGCCTGCGAGGTGTGGTAGTATCGGAAGTCCGAGCTAAAGTTAGTTTATACTTGACTAGACGATTTGGAGCTTGATAGAAAGGGATAGTATCTCGTGGAATTATTTCATGTGTACAGAGTCCCCACATCGTCTGAATAGCCTTCGCTGATCTCGTATACAGTGAAATGCTTTCTAATTGACAGAGTGTGGAGATTTGCATATTTATTTCTAGTTTCTCCTATCTACTCTAGATAATCAAATACAAACTGCACAGCAGACTCGGCCCCGTGAAAATCCCCAACCAAAAGACGATATTCCCCACGAGTCTTTGCCCACGCATGAAACGCGTGCGACTCAACCAGACTAGTGGCAATTGGGTCATCTGGAGAAATAGCAAGTATCCCCGCAGACGTCGAAAGATACACAACATGATCAGTTCATGCACACAAGCCGACAATAGAAAGGTCATCAAGCTTGCCGAAACGCGAGAGAGATGAAATGAGCTGATAGAGCTGTGATAAACGTGTCGCAGCAGGAAGTTATGCACCGGTCGATTCCAATCGCGGGCAAATTGGTCCCAAGATACAGAGTTCCACCAGTCAGCATAGAATCCCCGATCAGCGAATCTAGTGATCTCGGCTAGAGCATTGAGCTGGAAAAATTGTTAGTCAGTGGGGCATCTTGAAAAGGCAGCAAAGAGGAGACGTAATACTCACCACACACTCCCATATCACGTAGAATGCCAGCAAATACTCCATCATAAACGGGAAAAGAAGGTCGCTGAGCACCCAGGGAAACTCTTGAAGCCGTTGCTGCACTGTCAAGCCCTGCTCCTTCATCTGTACCGTTTTCATGACCACGGGATAGATCCAGTACTGGGAGACTACGATCATGACGAAGATGGTGGCAAAAGTGGCTACTACCTTTTCCGCAACATAGGCCCAGTCAATCCGCTCGGTGCGTGGGTATTCGAGTTCATATACCAATGTAGGTAGAGTGATGAATTCACAAAAGTTGCCAACCGTCAAGTTCCGAGGGTACTGGTTGTGCGTGGAGAGCTGGCCCTGTAGCCCTTCAGATAGGAGGTGTATCTCTTTGGTTAGCAGACCTCTGAGTGACACCAGTTGAGCCGGTTCCAGGGCTGTGCCGTTTTCAAAAGTCTCAGACAGTGACAAGAGATGATCCGTATCGCGAGTGGCATGGATACTCTTAAACTCAGACGAGCTGCGCCGCTTGTTTTGCTTCCGCAAGTTTGTGATTTCCGAAACCAGAGCACTCGGCGTTGATGATGAGTAGCTGCTTGAAACGGAGTCCTGGCTGCTATGCTCCTCTAGCCGATCCAATCGGGCCTTGAGTAGGTCCCGCTTTTTGTACAGTTCAGACACTATCATCATCAGTGAGGTCGCCCAATACTAGGTTCCAAAGTCGAGTATTCACTTACAGTAGCCGTTGTAAAAGGCGTAGCTGTGTTGCTTCATCAACATTGTCAAACAATGCAAGACCATGAAGACAGTATGGGTCCATGGCCAGTCTCGATGGTAGGTCCACCAGATAAAGCCCGCAAGGTAGGCAGTTTGCCAAACCTAGTTACAAGTTGGCAACGTGAGTCTATAAATCAAAGACCAATTTTAGTAGCACCAGGGGATCTCACATTTTGGATTACCCATCCAAGGCCGCTCCAACGCAGATATCCTCGGAAAATCGCCAGTTGAAGGCCAAGACAGAACAGAGTCGACCAACACAAGATAAAATCAGTGATCCCTAGCACCAGCACATCGCGGCTGAGCATGAGCTCGATAATTTCAGTTGTACCAAATGGATCCCCATAAGCCCTGAAGTTATTGGCAGCAACCTTGACCAACATCAAAGCCACACCGAGCCAGAAGAGTGTGAAGAAGCCATAGAACTGCGAGGAAGAAAACGATGGATTCTGGCGATCAAAGGCGCTTCGTTGACTGGTAAACTGGAGGTCTCGAAAGAGAAAAGGACGCTTTTTAGGAGCATCGGATTTCTCCAGGAGTAAGTTATTCCGCAAGACTTCTTGCAGAAGCTCCGCATCCTCAGCCTTCAGAATGTACTGGCCGGCCTGGTCGGCTTCCCGAAGTTTTACCGGTATGCTGCAGTGTCTGGTTGAATCCTCGTGCTGAGATGTGGCATTACTGGAAACAGAAGTTGAACTGGAGCTTGGAGGTGTGCCCGTCAGTTGTCCGTTCAGCAGCTCCGCTTCGCCACTCTGGGGTTTGCTCATGGCGATCGGAGATCCACATGCGGTAGGGCTGTCTTTAGCTCCAGAGAGGCGTGAGCAGCTGAGTATTGACTCCTCTGTACCTTACCTGGCCCCTCTTATAGGGCTAGTTAACGGGTCGGGTAGTCCGGACCTTCAGTGGCAAGACCAAGGTGAATAAACAAATGACATCAAGGAGGAGTCTCGGGAGTGATTATTGATTGGGCGCAGTTATACATCTGACAGGAAGAAAGAAGACGTTGAAAGGCCGAAGTCCGAGGTCCGCCTGGGCAACAAAGTCAAAATTCAATTGGAATGTCCGAAATCTGACAAATCTCGTAGATCCCCGTTCGGGTGAATAGTCTGGTCAAATTAACTTTGGCAACTGTTTGAAATATTTAATTCCATATGTGAGGTGTTTAATCGAGGTGATTGAGAAGTTGATGGACTTGGGGAAAAAGAGAAGCAGCTCGACTCCGCCCGTGAGGAGAAACTTGGGGGAGACTGGAAACTGCGCGTCTTTCTCCAACTCCCCTTCTTCTCTCACCTCAACCCCCCCCATCCTTTCTCCCTCTCTCAAACTCACATCACAGCCCGCAATTGACGGCCTATCATCATGGACGACACTCCCACAGTTGAAGTTTCCGGCACCCCTAAGCCCGACCCCCAAAACACCGCAAACAACGCTTCCAACGAGGTCGAAATGGGCGGCACTCAGGAGACACCAAACCCTCAGTCCAAACCGACGGAGAAGTCTGAGCAAACTGCCACAGCTACGGAGGACATCATTCTGATTGATGCGCAAAATGAACCTGAACCTCCCACTCCAGCAAAGAAGAGCGGGGGCTTCAAGTTCCTCGAGTAAGACCCCCAACTCCATCTATCACTATCCACCCGAGGTCCCCTGGGCCCCAATCTGCATGGCGCAAAACAAAGTGCATCTTCCACCGAGGGAGATGGCTCTTGTCAACTCTCTGCTCAAATCGATCAGCTTCCTTACCGCCCCGATTGTCGAGATCTACGTTGGACAAGGCGAGAAGCAGACCAAAATGACTGCTCACCAGACTCTCCTCCTGGATTCTCCATTCCTGTCCGAATTTGTCGATAAGTTAGATTCATCAAGTGAAGTAAGTTCAACAGTTCGTTTCTGATTGTGGCGGAAAATTCAAAGACTGAAAAGTGTACTTTCACCAGCGCCGCATCGATCTCCCAGACGAAGACGTCGAGGCCTTTGGATGCTTCCTGCAATTCGGATACACGCGCGACTACACATTTTCAGAACCAGACACACCGGCCTCATCTGAGGAACCCGAGGGGGCGACCGATAAGTCTGGGGAAGAATTGCTCCGACACGCGCGCATCTACACATTGGCCGAGAAGCTCGGTCTACCAGCGCTGAAGAGCCTGGCCCACACCAAGATCCACCGTGTCGACAGTACTCCTCGCGGCGAGCTGTCATACGCCCGATATGTCTACACACACACCTCGCGCGAGGATACCACTATCCGCAGGCCTGTCGCCTCATACTGGGCCGCTCGGGGCCATTTGCTGCGTCATGACGTTCAGGAGGCCTGGGAAAGCATATGTCTAGAGGTCCCTGAGTTCACGACCGATGTGCTGAGAATCCTCATGGACTGGAAGGAGAAGGCTGGGCCCGAGCAGGCGGAGTCAACCCCAAGAGTACGGAAGCGCCTACGCGCGTGAGAAGTGAAGGGAAACTCTGTGGGCTGGGAAAAGGAAACCCCAACTGTACAATTCACACATGTCACGAGAAGATACCTTTAATACCCATCTACCAGCGATCTAGTAGGTCTCAATTCGAATACAAAGTTCACAAAGCGACCTGTATGTGTCTTCGTGACGACCAGGCGTCCGTATTACTTCCATTTCGTAAAAGCTCGCTATATGCTGCCATATTTCAATAACTGTATTGTCTAGTTCTTCTTCAGAGATCTTGCTTATTGCGCAAGGCTCTCAACCTCCGCGATCGCCTTGGGAGCCGTGGTCAAGTTATCGGGGCCGTCCTTGGTGACGTGCACATTGTCCTCAATGCGCACACCTCCAACGCTCCAATAGCGGTCCAGAACCTCGGTGTTGATGTACTTGCTCAGCTCGGGGGACTGCAAGACGGGGTCGATAATGAAGCGGCAGAAGTAAATCTGTAATTAAAGGTTAGATGCGGTTGATCACGAGAAGAGAGCGCAATTGAGGATCATAATCTTACACCAGGCTCGACGGTAATCACAGAGCCAGCAGGCAGGTTGCCGCGGACACGCAGGTAGCGGAACATCTTGTCAGTGTCGGCATAGTTAGGATAACCGCCAGTGTCGTGGGTGTCCATGCCGAGATAGTGACCCAGACCGTGAGGGAAGAAAGCCACGCTAACGCGCTTCTCAAAGATCTCATCCTCCGAGCCCTGGAGAATTCCCAGCTTCAACAGACCCTTGATAGCGATGCGGTGCGCCAGAGCGTGCACATCATCCCAGCACACTCCATCCTTCAACACAGCAATACACTCATTCTGCATCTCCAGGACAATCTCGTAGATCTGGCGAGTCTCCAGGGGGAACGTACCAGCCAGAGGAACGACACGAGTAATATCAGCACAATAAGTCTGATACTCGCCACCAGCATCGATCAACAAGTTACCCTTGCGCTGCTGAGATCCAGCATCAGTCAAGCTCTCATCATTCTTGACATAGTGCAGCGTAGCACCATTAGCACCACCCGCAAAGATAGGGTGATAAGACATCTCCCTCGCACCATTAGCAATGCAGGTATTGATAAACGCAGCCTCAACCTCACGCTCATTAGTTGCCGTCTTCGCCGCCTTGATAGAAGCAATATGACCCAGGGCGGAAATATCATTCGCCTTCCGCAAAAGGGCAACCTCATACGCATCCTTGACAACACGGGCATCACCGATAACGTTCTTCAAAACGGCGAGGTTTGTCTGCGCGAAGCCCTGGAACTGAACGCCCTCGGAGACCTGCTCCTCAATAGCGAAAGCAACTGTCTTTCCGTCCTGTCCGGACGCGATCGAGGCCAGAGTCGCGTTGACGTCCGTCGTGTACTGGACGTGGTCGACGTCGTAGAGCTTCTTGGCTTCCTCGGGTGACAGGGGCAGACCAGACCAGATGACTGAGTCTGGGTCGATGGGGGGAATGAAGAGGGTCAGCTCGTCCTTCTTGACGTCGTAGACAACTGAGGAGTCAGGTTCCAGACATCCGGTCAAGTAGAAGAACGGGCGACGCTGGCTGGAAGGGAGCTTCAATTAGCTTATCCACCTTTAGTAGGATCAAACAATAGGCAGTGAAATCCAGTGGACAACTACGCGACTCACCGGAAAGGCATGGCCTCGTCATTGTCCTCGATAAGACGAGTTTTTTGCGCCTCGAGGTAGATCACGCCGGCCTCGCCGTGCTTGTCCTTGAGGACTTGAGCGACACGGCGGGCATGAGCCTTGGCCGGGTACTTGGCGGCGAGAATCTCATCGACGGACGGCATTGTGAAGTTTACTGATTGATTGAGGAGAGAAACAAAGGATTAGAGATTAGAATTGATGATGGCGGCAGTGACAAGCCGCGGGGTGTGACATCGGCACCACAGACTGCGGGGCTCTCCATTTTTCATTTTCTTCGCCTTTTTTCTTTGGTTGAGGAAGAGGGGCGTCGGCTATTGGCGGTATTTTAGCAATGAGAAACAGATCCAAGTGGGAAGAAGAAGAATAATTATACTGTAAATAGTTTATTATTTGTCTCATTACACATTCAACCATTGATTTCTCTGCTTGGGGGGATATATGGAATCATTAACTGTAGCATCAAAACTGTAAATTGTCACCAAGACTCCACTAGAAAAAGCTTATACTTCCGACGCAGAGACGTCTTCAAACTCCATCTCCCACTTATCAACCTCGGCAAATTTCTTTGCCGCCGCTCGCAACTCTTCGCTCATGTAACGACGCGGTGGCACTTCTGCTTCGGACTCGGAGGCCTCTGTATCAGGTGGAGAGGATAAGGGCGAGGACGATCGTGGAGACTCGTGCTGCTCATTCTCCTTGTCGACATCTCCACTTTTGCGCGATCGCGATCGTCTTTTCGGCTGCTGTGCATCTGCCGGCTTCGCAGGTGGTGCAGACTTGGACCGCCGTGTCTTTTGCTTTTGATTGTTGAGTTTGGACTTATCGCGGGCATTGCCCAAAGGCTTGGGTTTGGCCGAGCTCCCACTCCGCCTTGATCGTCGTACAGGAAGGTAGTTTAGTTCATCCTCATCGCCAGACGCCTCATTGTGCATGCCATCGTCACTCTCGTCACTTGGTAGATCAAACTCGTCCATACGCCGACCTCTGCGCGGACGCTGTCGTCGTTTTGGGAGTAGTTTTTCTTGTAATACAGCGGTTGCCAAGTGAGCCGGAAGTTTGGACTTTTTGGCTGCTGGGCCAAGCTGGGAAATAACGGAGGGAGACCCAGGGCCTGTTGCGATGGAACTCATAGGACTGCTGTCGGGGGAAGCATCGTTTGGCTCAAAATCTCGGCGAAGCGCAAGGGTCGAGGTGTTTCATCGGGGACGTCAGGAGTCTGTTCGCGTACATCAGGTGTAGGATTCGGGGTGTCCTCGACGGTGTCTACGATGGTATTCGTAATAACCACGGAAGGCGACTGAGGGACTTGGATTTGTTCACCACGCTTGCGCTTGCGCGAACTGCCGGACGAAGGTAGAGATTCTTGGGGTGATTGCGACCGATCATCTTGTCTGATCAGAAGCGACTTTCCTCGAGAAAGATGCAGTGGTGTAGATTCATCCTCAGGGCTAAGTCCACCCAGGAAATCATCGTCGTCCAACTCCAATGAGTCATCCTCCGCCTGCATCATCTGCAGGATACTTTGCTGTCGTGGACGCCGCCGAAAGTTGCTGAGAACAGAGTTCTCGAACCCAGGAGTGCCAGGAACACGCGAGCCCGTATCGCCTTTGCGCCCCGCAAAGGATAGTGTTGATGAATAACCACGAGATCGCGTAGGGGGCCGACTGCCTGTTCCAGGGCGGCTGCCAGTAGGGGAGGACTCGATCGCATGCTCGTTGCGCTGGTTCAAGGGGGTTTGGCTTCGAAGGGTACGTTGGAGATTCTCAGACGCGCTTTCTGCGGGGGGTGATTTCGCGACATTGGAGTCGGTCTGGTCGGGCTGTTCTGGTTGCTCGGGTCGCTCAGCAGCTTTGGATTTGACAACCTTGGCGCCTTTTGTCAGCCGGTTTCGCTTAGTCGCAGGACGAGGCATCGTGGTGAAATTGGGAACGGCTGCTTCTTTTGGTTGAAGGACGAAAAAAGTGAGGCGCGTTTGTTTTGGGTTGAACGCGTCCACGTGTGATAGTCTTATCAGCTTATCGTGTTATCTTATCGTGGTTATCGAATTACCTGCCATCGGGACTTTTTAGACATTTTGACTCCAAACAACAGAAATACATCCAAAAGATGCACTCGACCAGGACTGCGGACAGTCAAAGAAGTTCAAATACGTCCTCAATCAGCTCTATACAGTCCGACTCACCGACGGCTTATCACCCCGTGTGAAACCGGACCGATGGCCTGATCCTGATCGGACTGCCAGACTGCCAAATCAACCACGGACAAATTGCCGACACCTCACAGTCAACGGTGATTTGCTACGATGAGAGCCCCCGGCCCACTAAACCAAGACTGGTTAGATCTCGAGGGGCCAAACAGCTCAACGCAATCAGGAACAATGTACTGCCCCGCCGTTCCCCGGACTTTTTTCTGTTGAGCGCACTATGTCGTCGCAAATCTGACTCCTTCAATGATACTGTGCACTGCAACCAATGCCCCGTCTGACTAGTATTTGATCTCTTAACACCATGTTCAAATAGTCGGCTGTCCCGTCCATCATTGTGGGACTATCTCTGGACCTCTATGTACAAGCTCTCAGTCAGTGATGGCATGAGAAGCTACATGACAATTTCGCCAGTGGAAAAGAGTCCAACAGCCTGCTAGTGGAACCTCCGTTTGGGAAAAGGAGCTTCTCACTCAAATTTCACTCGTTTCTGGCAATCATGACCCCGCCCCCAGAGAGGGACATTGATCCCATCACAGGAGCCGAGCTCGATCTATCCGGCACCAAGAAGCGCTCCAGTGAAGATGCATCAGAGTATCCGCGGAGGCGGGCGACCATTGCTGTAGGTTGTTCTCTAGTTTCAACTCGTATAGTGCTAGAAACCGGCAAGCTTAGACGTTCGACAGTGCCAGATATGCCGACTACGCAAGACACGATGCAATGGAGCCCGGCCGAAATGCCAGCTTTGCTCCGATCTCGATGCAGAATGCGTGTACCGTGAGCCAGGAATCAAGCTTGATGCTGGCGACAAGCTGATTCTAGAGCACCTGACCCGGATCGAGGGGTTGCTTCATTCCAGCTTAGCAGCACAGGGTCCTCACCATCTAGCCATGTCGACATCCCCTGCGACAAGCAACGACACCGGCATGGGAAGTGAAGATCCGAGCACCAAGATGAGTGGGTTGTCAACATCCGGGAGAATGGCAGCGGTAGGACTGGGTTCCTGGGCCAATCCGCCACCCAGCATTAGTATATCCACCATGCCCAAGGTACACAGCACCCCGGCTCTACATCTCCTCCAATGGCCCCTGATCCGGGATCTCGTATCGGGACCATACGACCCACAAAATCTTCTTCAATTAGAAATGGCCCGTGAGCCACTGCGCCTGAATCCGAACTCTGGCTTCGATTTGGCCAACGCGCCTGCGTACGTGCAGGCATTCTTCAACCATGCAAATATTTGGTATGCATGCGTGAATCCATATACATGGAACCGATACTACCGAACTGCGCTTGCGCAAGGATTCCAAGATGGACCCGTGAGTTGTCTCGTGCTACTAGTCTTAGCCCTTGGAGCTGCTAGTCGCAGCGGCAGCATCTCGTTTCTACCTGCGGATCAGGAACCACCAGGACTCCCATATTTCGCTGCCGCCTGGGCAATCCTACCCTCTGTGATGATGCGTAATTCTGCAATCGCCGCACAATGCATGATCCTCGCATCGGCCTACCTGTTTTACCTCGTGCGACCACTCGAAGCGTGGACACTACTATCCAACGTGAGCATGAAGCTGCAGCTCCTCCTGGGCAACCCCAACCGAGTACCCGCACAATGGAAAGAACTCAGCGTCCGAGTCTACTGGAACTCCCTCCTCTACGAAAGCGATCTCCTCGCGGAACTCGACCTCCCGCATTCCGGAATCGTAAACTTCGAAGAAATCGTCGATCTACCAGGCGGTTTCGAAGAAGAAGACGACGACGAAGACGAAGGAATGAACAACGACAACGAAGAAAAAGACCAGCAACACAACGCTAGACCTCCCGAAGAATACACAGGCCGCGACGAACTCTGGTACTTCCTCGCCGAAATCGCACTCCGAAGACTCCTCAACCGAGTCAGCCACCTCATCTACCAAAAAGACAGCACACACACCCTCTCCTCCCTCGGCCCTATAGTCTCAGAACTAGACTTCCAACTCTCCCAATGGTACGAAAGTCTCCCCCAACCCGTCCAATTCCCACTCACATCATCCCCACTCTCCAACTCCGTCCAAACCGTCCTACGCCTACGCTACAACGCCTGTCGAACAATCATATACCGCCCCTACATCCTAGCCGTCTTCGAAAACGAGCAAGCCGGTGCAGACCCAGGCGTGCGAGAGTGCTGTCGCAGATGTCTCGATGCGACACTGCGACAGCTAGATCACGTCACTAGTCATCGAGAGGGCCATTTGCCGTATCTCTGGCAGGGGGCTTTGTCGATGGTTTCTCAAACACTGCTTATTATGGGGGCGACTATGTCGCCGACTTTATCTACTTTGCTTCCGCCGCCGTTGAGGGTGGATGCGATTATTTCGAGTGTTGTTGCTGAGGTGGAGCGGTATGCGCATTTAGCGCCGAGTTTGAAGTTATCTTCGGAGATTATTCGTGATGCGGAGCGGCGGAGGCAGATTTGTCTTCGTTCGGCGGGGATTAGTATCTGAGTGAGAGGGAGGGGGATTTTTTTGGCAAAGCTAAAAAGGTTAATGGATGGATGGGATGTGGTGGTGTTTGGTTTTACACTAAGCATTTATGAATGGGCTTATGATCAACTTATATTTCTCTCATGATGTATATATTCTATCCAATGTTCATATGAAAGAAAAGAATTGAATGGGATCACAATCAAGGGCAGTCGTAGCTGAATGGTGAAAAGGGGATGTAATCCCATCCATGGGGTGTTAGGATCGAGATTTAGGATGAGAGATGAGGAGAGTAGCACTAGCAGAGTCGGAAAGCGAGGCATATAGAGAAAAAAAAGACAGAAACAACCATGGTTTAGGTAAGTACAATTCAGTCAGTCCCATCACAATGGCAATTATGTTCTTCAAATCATATCTCAACGAGGCGAATCAATCATGGTATCTTAAAGACATGGCGGGTAGTCAATGTAGTATATAGACGTCAAAAGTAATATGGGCAGGTAAAAATCGGGGCGAAGGATGGATAGATCAGGCATTCGGGGGTTGGACGAAAGCCTGATCCTTTGCGGACGGACATAGACAAGGGATGAGTATGAGTGTATGAAGAGGGTGGTGGATTGGGAGGGAGGCACGGATCATTCTCCGGTATAAGAGGCGCATAACACAACATAGCATGACGGACTAGATCAACACCCACTCACTGCCGCGCTTGATGAACTTGTCAAGCATGAGACCTACATCAGCTAGAGCGAAGCGACATATGTAGAAGCCGAAGAACTCGGCTGCGTGTCGCGTGCTTAGCTCCAGGCCTACGTGGGTCGGAGAGGAGTGCTTGAGCCCGGGGTCCTCGACTTGCTGGGCGATTTGATCTGAATTTTGTTAGTGAGGAAGCTGGGATTGAAAACCGATTGTGAATGGGCACATACCGAGTATTTGAGCGGCATCAAAAAGACGCGCCAATGCGCCCATATAATGGGAGTTCGGTCCTTGAAAGTCCAGCGACGTCACACTACGCCGGGCCTGGCTAACAGGTGCCGCCGTCATGGGAACCGAGTTCAAAGTCAAGTGCTCCTTGTTGCTATCGCGAGGAGTCGAGACCGTCGGGGTGGTAGTGCCAATACCCGAGGTCTTGGATCGCAGACGTTTCCACGTCGGCCGGTACGACTTATTGGAAGTACCGGAAGTTCTGGAGGAGGGCGGCTCGGAGTGAGCAGAATCATCGAAAGAGGCATTAGGCTTGAACAAAGGAATGGCGGTGTGAACGCCAACTTCGTTGCCTAGCTTTTTCGACAATGCAATTTGGACCTGATCCAGGACGCTCTCGAATGATTGCATTTCTTCTAGCACGGCATCCGCGTCGTACATATCTACCTGGGCCAGCTTGAGGAGAGCCGCTGTCAGGAGATCGCAGTTGGACACTTTGTCCTCTACAGCCTTGATCTTGACATTCTTCACACGCCAGACGTCACGGGGGATGAAGAGTTTGGCAGACAAGTAACCGCCCTGGGGATGAGAGATTGTTTGATATAGGCATCGCATGAGCCAGAACGGACGGAGGAGGAAGGACTCCGGACAAGGTTCTAGCGGGAGCGGGGCATTGCTCACGAGCGAGTTCGGGCGCCCCAGAGCAGTAGGAGAGTGAATATTGCAGTCGAAGAGGTTGAGACCACCAGTGGGAAGACCATTTTGCGTGAAGTGTGCAGCCGTTGGGGTAGGCAGAACGGGAACACTCGGTATCATTGAGGCCTTCTGGGTATCCAAAGATGGGAATGAACCACTCCATGGGGTGGTTGGAGAACCAGGAGCGGTGTCCGGAATAGGAACAGAGACGTTGCGACTGCGGAAGGATTTGGAATTGGTATGGACCCTGTCGAGGCCATCTGGAGCAGAGGGGACTTTGCCTATTGGGCGTGCAGAGGCAGGGAGAGGGGGAAGTCCAGGCTCATCATCTTCATGAGTGCGAGCCTTGGCTAGGTTGATGTCCACGACAGAGCCAACGGAAGGGTTGCGTTTTGATGGATGCAGATTGGCACGGAAGCTGGGCGTTGAAGACCTAGGAGGGTCTGGCGTAGGTTCATCCTTGGGGATAGGCGGTGGGGGTAGGCTCGTTGAGGGAATTGTGAGGGGATCGACGTTCGAGATGGTTGAATCTCCACGAGGACGTGTGTTTGTCTCGATCTTTAGTTCACTTGAAGTCTGCCCCGATAGTCTTCGAGCCCGTACCCCAGGAACAGGGGGAGGTCCCGTAGGAGGCAGCGGAGGAGGTCCCGACAACGATTCTCGGTGAGGTGGAAGACTGGGGAAATCAGACGAAACAGGGATAGGAGGCAGTGCCGCCGTAGGTGGAGAGGATGGCAATAGGTTTCTGTCCGTCAAGTTGGGAGGTAGGATATTATCATCATCCTCTGTAAGCGTGGACAACGTCGCACCGCCAGTGCCAGTGACGTTTGATGCCGCCGAGCTTTCCCAGGTCCGTCCAGACATATTGCTAGAGTCCGACTCTCGAGGCAAGGCAGACTTGGATTGAATGCCAAACTCAAAATCATCCATTACGTAGCCCTTGGTCATCTCCTCTAGCAGACGCTCTTCTTCCTCGGCCTCCTCATCCAGGTACTCTGAATTTCGGCCGACGGCATTGTCCATCATGGGTTGTTCCTGAATATGGCGGAACTCGCGACCACGGTTCATGGCGGCCTCGGCCTCCAATTCAGCTTCTCGTACTCGTTGCTTCGCCAGCTCAATATTTCTGCGCGCATTAGCTACGATGTCATCGCTCTCTTCTTCCTTATATTCCATCACAGGTTCGAGGCCCTCGTCATATGCAGCCTCCACCGCGGCGTCCAATGCTGCATCGAATTCGGCTTCGGTATCAGTGCTAAGACGACGACTGGTCCGCCGGCGCAGGTACACCGACGAAGCCTTGGAGTTTGCAGATGATGGAGAGGACGCGCCGGACTCGTCAATCGTGTCCAGCCAAGAGGTTGACTCGTTGGTCTCTTGCACCGCCGTGGGTTCGAGGAATTGTCCATTATATGCAGCCAGATTGTTCCCGAGGCCGGCAGGAGTCGTTCTGCCTGATTGCGCAGTTGGTCGCAGCGATTGACGGCGGGGAGGGATCGCCTCGGCAGGCAGAGACCTTGAATCTTCAAAGGCCGGTTGAAGACCTAGGCTGGAATGGGCGGAGCTGTGTTGGCTGTCGATGTGGAAGTCATCGAGAGGCGGGGCATGCAGAAGCTCGCCGTAGGACTCTTGACTCAACGGACGCTCGGGAAGCGCTTTGCCATCATCATCTGGCATGGGGAAATCCATGCGCTGTAGTTCGGTAATTCGGATCATATATGTATCGCGCTAGAAAGGGAGTTAGCCTGGACCGCGGTCTTTCACCAAACAAAGATATCACTGATGAAGGTTGGTAAACCTACGATTTCTTGGAGTTTGAGCTTCTCCTCATCGCCTCCATTACTCCGCAGCATCACCAATTGCAGCAGCTGGCAGGCGTCCGTATAAGCCTCCATGGCGCCTTCGAAATTTGCAGCATTGTCTAGAAGCACAGCCGTATTCGCCTTTTGTAGGGCTTTGGATAGCATTGCTTTCTGTGTTTGTCCATGTTGTCGATTCTCTCCGTCCCCTTCCCCATCTGCAGATGTCGCGCCATCACTCGTGCGCATTACGGTCGGTTCTTGATAGGATGGCAGATTGCCCAAATCTCGAGGGTCATTGCCGGAAGAGTTCTGGAAGATATGGCTGGACGCTGTGAAGGAGAGATCGAGATGGGCGGTGGTTGGGTCGGTCGCAAACATCTCGGATGCTCTTAGCTCTGGGAGGCTCAATTCGGGCAATTCACTCAGCCCCGGGGCATGGTGTGGACTGTGGTTCGAGATGGACATCTTGGAGCTACCGCGACGGTGGCCATTGTATTCTGAGGGACTCCTGCTGGATGCAGTGGACTGCGACCAGCGGTTCAGACTTCCCAATCCTTCTTTAATGGGACTTGTTGGCGCCAACATGGCCGGTCGATCCGGCCCGTTCTCCGACACCATGCCCAATCCCGCGGGTGTACCTGCATTGGACGGGTTCCCTAGTCTATTCCGCGAGGCTGGCCGTGAGGTGCGCGAGTCTGGACGATGGGGGAGGTGGCCAGACGGGGGCTCTGTGATAGGGCCGGAGGGACGTCTGGGGTGGAACGATCGCGGTTCATCTTCCAGGGTCGAGCGGTGTAGCATTTTCGAGGTGGGCGGAGCAGATGAGATTCAGGGAATTATAGTCGGTTTATAGGCCGAAGCCTGGCATTGGAGGAAACGTAGATGGTCACAACAGTAGCGGGGAGTGTGAAGCGGTGATCTTGGACAACTCGGAGGGAATCAGGCGGGCAAATGGATCGGTTGATTGCAGTATATGTGAAATGGACTCGATCATTCTTCGATGGGTTCGTTCTTGGATTCGGCCACGGCGGATTCACTTGTTACTTGGTCAGAGATAGGCTTCTCCTATACATCACTTGGTCGGAGGTGTCTATCGCAAGGTGGTCGCAGGCAGGCAACACATGTCGCACAATTGGAAAGTGATAGGAGGATCCGCACTCGACGGCGCAGGACGGAGAAAAGGAGATAAGGAGAGCCGCGGTCGGGGGCGAGACTGACTCCTTCTTTGTCGCAACTGTATAGGTGAGTGGTGTGTGTGTGTGTGTGTGATGTGTATAACGAGGAAGAGAGAAGAGTCAGGGGGGGCCGCGGTCCCGCGCTTGGATCCAAATTGGGTCCGTTTGGGTGGTTGGTTGTTGGTTGTTGGTTGTTGGTTGTTGGTTGTTGGTTCAGGGGTGGTCCGTGTGTGAGTGGCAGAGAGCAAAACTGGTCGATTGCGGGGGGAAAGAATAATAGGAGAAGAAGAAGATGATAATGATCCAAGAAGAGGGGTGAGAAGAAAGAATAAGTGGGAGAACGAGGAGAGGCAGATTAGTAAAAAAGCAAAAAAAGTACAAAAGGCGCAGCTGAAGAAGAAGATCAACTTTCTAGATGTTTTTTCTTCTGCTTTTTTACTATGGAAAACAGGGCGGGTCATTGAAAAGGGGGTGGTCGGCTGCTGGTTTTTTTCTTCTCTGGTTTCTGTTCTCCCTAGCGGGTCGTAGAAAATACAAGGGATTTGGGATTAGGGATTTATTCAATGGTCTTGGATGAGACTAGCAGAGGTTAGAATTCTTGTAGATCTTCTGCAAAGAAAGAGACGTTATGACTCTCATCAAATGATTAACGTTAGGCTGATGTTATACATCTAAAGCCCAGACCACGAAGGTTTTAGAGTTATCAAAGATCCGAAACCACCATAGGGAGCTACTAGCTAGACTCTTGTCTTATGTATAAAATAAGTAATATTATATCACATATCGCATACAGGCGATACATAAGAAAGCTTCCTTTTGATCTCTCTTGTTGTCTATGTAACCCTACTTCTACGAAGTTCAACTGTCCCTCCCGCTTAGCACCGGATCCCAAAGGAAGGGAAAAGAAAAAAAAAGAAAAAACCCCTTTGGAATAATTCCATCAACACGCAACCACCACCGCATGAATAACTCCACCTTCTTCCGCCCGCTCGGACGTCTCTACTCGTCTTCCAAGCTTCATCTCGGTTCCTTTCTGTTTCGTCCCCGCGTCTTATCCAGTATGGCCGTAGCTTCCACCACCCCGCGTGATCCTAACACGCTGAGCAACTACAACAACTGGCGCTCCACCCACGTCACCGCCAACTTTGACATCCTCTTTGATCAGAAGAAGCTGGTCGGCAATGTCGTCCACAAGTTCAAGTCTACCACCGAGGCTCAATCCAAGGAGATCATCCTCGACACCAGCTATCTGGACATTGGTGACATCAAGGTCGATGGCCAGCTCTCCCAATGGGAGTGGTTGCCGGCCGTCGCTCCTTACGGCACCCCGCTGAAGATCGTCCTGGAGAAGCCGGTCGAGCTCAATGGTACCGTCGAGGTCGATGTATGTATAAATTCGGGTCAACTGAGTTCAGCACATTGCTAATTGGGTAGATTGCCGTGAAAACCACCGACAAGTGCACGGCTCTGCAGTGGCTCACCCCGGCTCAGACCTCTAACAAGAAGCATCCGTATATGTGTAGGTGGTGTCCATATATACCCTTCTTGTATGATTAAACCACGGTATCTCGGGTCTGATTTGAAATTCTCCCTCAGTCTCGCAATGCCAGGCTATCCACGCCCGATCTATCTTCCCTTGCCAGGATACCCCCGATGTCAAGAGCACCTTTGACTTCAACATCACCTCGCCGCTCCCAGTCATGACCAGTGGTCTGCCCATCCGGCAGTCTTCCATGACCTCCCAGACTGGAAACAAGCTGTACCGCTTCCACCAGTCGGTCCCAATTCCCAGCTATCTGTTTGCCATCGCATCTGGGTAAGAAAGCCACCTCTTCCGTCTTCAATGATCCTGGAATGAATTTCAATTGACCTTGTACTTTCCAGCGATGTCGCTGAGGCACCTATTGGCCCTCGTAGTGTGGTTGCCACCAGCCCGGATAAGCTGGATGAGTGCAAGTGGGAGCTCGAGAACGACACTGAGAACTTTATCAACACGATCGAGGTATGTCCCACCTAGTAGTATTAGTCACCCCTTAGAGGCCGAATCTTTGAAGCTAAAATTGTGCAGAAAATCGTCTACCCTTACGTCTGGGGCGAATATAATGTTCTGATTCTGCCTCCTAGCTTCCCCTACGGTGGCATGGAGAACCCTATTTTCACTTTTGCCACTCCTAGTATTATCTCCAAGGACCGCGAGAATATCGATGTTATTGCCCACGAGCTGGCCCACAGCTGGAGCGGCAACCTGGTGACCAACTGCTCCTGGGAGCACTTCTGGCTGAACGAGGGTTGGACCGTTTACCTGGAGCGCCGAGTATGTAACCCCCTTGTACCCCGTGCCCACTTCTTGACTATACTGACCAATTCACGCATAGATTCTTGCTGCCGTGTATGTATCTCTGATCAACACCCTTTCTTGATTAATCCTAACTTTTCTAGTCACGGCGAGGCTTACCGCCACTTCTCCGCCATCATCGGATGGAAGGCGCTGAAGGACTCTGTGGAGCACTTTGGCGAGGACCACGAGTTCACAAAGCTCATCACCGACTTGAAGGGCAAGGACCCCGATGATGCTTTCTCCAGCATCCCCTACGAGAAGGGCTTCAACTTCCTGTTCCACATTGAGAACCTCGTGGGCAAGCCCAAGTTTGACAAGTTCATTCCTCACGTACGTACCCTGCATCTGCATCAGCCACTTACCTTATATCTGATTGCTAAATCTATCCCCTAGTACTTCACAACCTTCAAGTGCAAGTCTCTCGACTCGTACGAGTTCAAGGCCACCATCTTGGACTTCTTCCAATCCGACGCCGAGGCCTCCAAGCTCCTGAACGAGCTAGACTGGGACAAGTGGTTCTACGCCCCGGGTCTACCCCCCAAGCCGGTTTTCGACACCTCCATGGTCGACGTTGTCTACACACTCGCCAAGAAATGGGAGTTCCTGCCCGACTCCTCCTTCAAGCCCGCGCCCAGCGATCTCGAGGGTCTGGCCGCGAACCAAATCCTGGTCTTCCTGGAGCAGATCCTGCTGTGGGAGAAGCCTCTGACCCCCGAGCTGTCCAAGCTGATGGGTGAGGTCTACAGTTTGTCCAAGAGCACGAACATCGAGGTGGCCAATTTGTATCTGCAGGTTGGTATGAAGGCCGGTGATGAGAGTGTTATTGAGCCGACTACCGAGTTATTAGGTCGTATTGGTCGGATGAAGTTTGTGCGACCTTTGTTCCGCAACTTGCAGAAGATTAATCGTCCTGTTGCCCTGGAGACGTTTGAGAAGTATAAGGACTTTTATCACCCGATTTGCCGGGGTATGGTTGAGAAGGATTTGTTTGGTAAGAAGTAGACTCGAGATATAATGGAGAGCTAGCAAGGAAATCAAAATGAAAGAATTGTGTTCTGTTCTTTGATACATCAATTTTCAATGAATGCAGCCTCGTCTATTCAAATATTGTACATGACGGATTAATCTCGTAAACGAACGGGTCTCCCCATTCCTGTTATTAACACAATATGAAGAAAAAAGAATGGAGAAGTCCCAACGCCAACAACCCACTTTTCTATAACCCCCATTCCACCCCATCATCCCCTTCACCCTATTCACTTCGAGGCCTCAACAATCTTCCGATCCAACTCGGAAAACCCAAAAATCTTCGACTCCTGCCCACTCGCCCCACTCAACTCCATAACAATATCCGCCTCATCCATACGCGCCAACTGCGCCGTAACCCGCCTCATATAAGCCACCACCCAAGCAACCTTACTCCAATCCAACTCGCTTCCATCCGGGCCCGTAGCCTCCGCCTTCCAAAGATTCCTCCAAACAGCCGCACCAAGCACCGCATCACCCTTAATCAGACCCTCGTCGTAGGCGGCGATGATGCCGCGCCATTGAATAAACAGGTCCTTGAGGTATTTGTTGCGGATGGAGCGGGAGCCGATATCGTGGAGGTCGTCCATGCGGTGTTCGGCGTTGTGCGAGAAGTGGTCGATTAGGTGGCGGGAGTAGGTTTGGAAACTTTCGCGGTTGGGGAGGGCGCGGAGACGGACTGTTAGGAGGTACATGTGGAGGAAGGTGATTTGTGACCAGGTTGAGAATGTGGGGACTAGGCCGAGTTCTGGGGAACGTTGGAGGAGAGATTGTTAGTTATTTGGTTGTCGGGAATTGTATGAAACTCATTGTAGTGCAACGCTAGCTCACCTTTATACCACCAACTCTCCGAAGTACCGAGATGCTCGCCGGACTCGGTAGTCGGCACGGCGACGCCCTTCTGCGATGCCTGCGGCACTTGATAGTCTGCCTGGCTTGAGCATGCCTGGAACAGCTTCTGGGTCATGCCGTATGCGATATATGTTTCGGCCGATGCGCCAGGAGACAAGGCGCTCTTCGCGAGACGGGAGATAGCAGAGCCCTGAGAATAGGAGCGCGCGGGGGAAGATGTCGAGGAGGCAAGTCGCGACTTTCCGGTAACATTGCAGCTACCGCTACCACCACAGATAGGGGCTGAGGTCGTGGAGGAGAGATATGCGCGCTGATTCAGCTGTCGCTGTATACGGGTTAGGGATGCTTTTGCTAGGCAGGCGAAGGGGAGAAACGAGATTGGGACAGGTGGGTGACATACCTGGAGGCATTGGCTTTGGGAGCTGCGGAGTTCCCGCACCCATAACGTTGACAATCGTGCCGTGGACATGGTTGTTGTTGTTTTTGGAATTGATTTCAAGGATCCGGTTGAATTGTCGCTGATTCGGGATCTTTTTTTGGATATCCGGGTTGTGTTTGCACTGTTTGTTTGGGAAGGGTGGCCGATCACCGATGGGCTGATGGTCAGCAAATCAAGTCAATCTTCATTATCTACGGAGTAGTACGGGGTGAGAGAGTTGAAGTTTTTAAATGATGGAAAATACAAAGTATTCATTCAATTAGGATTAGACGTTGTTTAACAAAGGTTCCCTGAAAAAACTCCCCCAAGGGTGCTAACAATAGTCCAGCACATCATCAGAATTTGAGATCACAGGCATTTCTTTATACTGATTTCTCGAGGAACGTCCTCGGCTGACGGAGCAACATTCTCCAAATCGTTGAATTCCGCCTCAGATTGATACTTCTCATCGTCATAATCATCATCATCGCCATCAGATTCACTTTCCTCACTATCGCTGTCAGTATAATAATACTCCAGGTCACTACCCTCAATCGAGCTGTCCGAATTCACTTCCGGCCGATGGCACTTCACTTGTTTCGCAATGACTTCCAACAGCAAATTGCCTGGGGAAGTCTCCGATTGGGAAGCCTCTTGCACCATTCATCAGTGAGGTATACTCATCTCCAAGCTCGTGCACCACTGCAAGCAACATAGGCTGGGAGATATAGTGCCCAGGAGTCGTCCAGATCGGGATTCTGGTGCCTTTCTCAAGATTTCCTAGAGTTTCGCTCGCTTTTACCGTGCCATTTCGTTGCCATGCTGCTCTGATCAGTTGCACGCAATAGTAAAAATACATATAGCGTGTGGCAGGCCGAAACGAAGAACGTAATTGGAGCTCCGACCGTCCAATTGGCCCCAAGTCAGTGTCGAATGCACGGAGATTCTGCTTCCCAAAAGCTCCCATAACAAATCCAAGATCTTTATCTCGGCTATTTAGCCGCGATCGAGGTACTCCGCGACAGGTTTCGAAATCAGAAGTCCATTTCGTGCAGAAAAGAGGTCCCTGGAGCTGAATTTTCCGAAGATTCCATTCATAGTTGCTTGGCCGCGAATATAGGGGAAAAGATGAAAGACTGTCATCTCACATGGGTTACGCCAATCGTGCATAATCGGGCACCAATGGCGGCCCCCTAGAATGCCTTCAGTGGCTTACTTTTTAACAAACTTGGCCCGGAACTGAGATCGCTGCACTTTATACTGTTCTGCGCCGAGCTTCATAGTTGAGCCGATCTTAGAAGTGGTGAGTAATCTCGTACAGGATGTGTCGAGTCTTCTTTGAGCACACCCTTCGTAGATCTTGAGGGACTGCTCTCGCGCCCTGATCTGCTCCAAATAAGCCTTTGCTTTATCAGTCTGTCCCACGCCGTTTCGTCTTCTTCAAAGCTACATACGTCAATCTCGCGGTCTAGTTTGGATCTTTCGAGTCGAATCGCCTCCATGGTGAAGGCGTGTACCCAGAAGGTATACCCAAAAGACTGATGTGCCTTCCATGGCTTGCGAGTTTCATCGAGTAAGACCTTAGCTTTATGTTTTCTTTTCTTGAGTGCTTTGAGCTGATCAGCCTTGGCGAAAATATCGGGTGATTGAAACAGGGAGTCCATTTTGTGTGTGTTGTCAGTTAGAGTCAGGTTGGTGTTGATGGAAGAGTTTAGCTTCAATAACGATCGATAATTTATATTGAGACTCTTCCAAATATGCCTGTATACTATAAAGGGCTAGTTTTTGTCAACAAAGTGTTATTTTGAGTACAAACTAGAACATTTCCGGACATGTGACGACATTGTGTGGTTGCTATCTTGCGTCCGTGACCAAAAACGGTAGGTGAAGGAAGCCATTCACAACCAGACGATACCATTCCTTATTTGACCAAAGTCAGATTAGCTGGTCAAACTTTACTCTAAATACTTGCCCTCTTCAGTCATTCTATTTTTTGTCAATTGTCTTGTCAAATGAATCTCTGCGGGGTACACAACGTAAGAACCGGCGTTCTCTAATGCTAATCACTGGGTCGGGCCTATCGATGATCCCAAGCACCGTATCTGAGTGCTCCAAATGGTCCCCGATGTTCAACCGGCGATTCACGGGGACCAAAAGTTATTCATCCTACCTGCAGGAATTATCGAATAATTTTTCATATGACGATTTAGGAGATTTCTTTGAAAAGAAATATAGAAGTCAAACTCACCGTAGTCTTAGATGAGACACTGAGGTTGGAGGAAGAAGCTCGACAGGGAAAAAGAGAGTATGCATCGTATTCCTGGTCTATCAGGCTTGAAAGCAGAGTCCTCGAGGCATTGTATATAGTAGACAGAGCATCTTGCTTTCGTTAAATTGGAGAAACTAGACTTTACTTGAGAATTTCGTTCTTAGCCACAAAGGAAGTCAAGTTTATGATGATAAAGAGAAGGTTCTGAGAAGTATGTACAAATATATTAACAAATACAAAACTAAATTAAATTCATAGGTCTAGAGAAAGTGGTTAAGAAGCAAACGCGAGTATATCCGAACATGTCTGAGAGAGCCTACTTGCGGATGACCAACACAATGGAGGCAAGCAGCCGGTATCCAACAATAATGCCAATCATGCTACCAAAACATGTACCCTCGAGTCCAGTATCGATGCTGAACATCTTCAACACGTCTGTTCCTCGAATTTGCCCAACAGACTTGAGGTCGCTTGGGTAACTGCACTGATAAGTATCCTCTGCGCTCTTCACGCATTGATAAACGCGGTCCTGGAACTCGTTGATCATCATACCTTGGAACACATAGGCCTGATAATCAATGTAATGGAAGACATATTTCCAAAACACATTCAATGTATCCATGGGCGCCAAGAATCCGTCAACGCACATCCAGAGATCGTTGAGGAATGCGGTCATCGCCAAAGCGACGACGAAAACGTTGATGTATGGCGTTGATGTATTTTTGTTCCGTGTTGAATCGCAGGAAGGCCATGCCCATGAGGACAGCCAAGCCAAAGTACATAGCGAAGCGGATGCCATATGCCATGATGTCGCGGTAGGACTTGATCCAGGATCGATGTAGCAGCACGAAAGGGTCTTGTCCAGACACCTGGCTTTTCCGACTTGTATTGGAGCAGGTCCTTGGATGCGCCTTCCGAGACTTTCTGGATAGACTCGTGTAGCCGAACTCGTTCGGGTGACTTGTTCACATCTCACAGACGTGCTCAGTGCGCTGTTTGATTTCACCATTCTTATCCAAATCAGTCTTGATCAGATCCAGGAAAAATTCAGCTGAGTTTGTCTCGGCAGGGATGGGGTGACCGATGCGCCCAAAGTACGCAGCTGCCTCTGCGACGGAACCAAAGTAGCAAGTCTTGCCGCCGGATAGAAGGCAGAGCTTATCGAATTGCTGAAACGTTGTCGAAGAAGGTTGGTGGGTGGATGCAATCATCACGAGCTAGGTCAGGTTAGTGGGATTCTTATTGAACGAGTACTTGATGATTACTCACATTGTTGCGTCGTCCACTGCTTTTGATGCAGCTGCAGACCTCTAGACTCAGAGCAGAGTCCAGACCACTTGTTGGTTCATCCAAGAAAATAATTTTGGGGTTTGTGACCAAACGGCTCGAAACTCCCAGTCGCTTCTTTTGTCCTCCACTCAATCCCTTTTTAATGGGTGTTCCAACAATCGTATTCGCCTGGGACCCGAGGCCAAAGCTGTTGATCAAATCGTCGACCCGTCGGAAGGCCTCCTGCTTGGAAACGTTACTTGAAGATTATCAGTATAGACTCTGATCGTTTGATTTGGATAGGGATATTTACACTGGTAGAGAAAGTCTAGCAGCAAAAATCAGTCTCACGGACAGTGAGACTGCCGATCAGAGCGTCCCCCTGCTCCACGTAACCCGATAGATCACGGACCAGTTGAAGGGTCAATTTCTGGCCGTTGGCAGATATGTCGCCAGTGGTAATAGCTCCAGCTGCGGCAACTCTATGGGCGAGCGCATTGAGAAGCGTTGTCTTGCCTGATCCGCTAGGACCCATAATGGCGAGCATTTCACCGGCATTGACAATGCCAGCTGCCTCCGTGAGGATGGAGAGAGGGGCCATGGTTGCTCTATCTTTGACTTTGACCTAGAGATTGTGCCAACTGAAGTTTTAGACCGAGTCATTGGCAAGATAACCACTCTGGCTGTGGTTCAGTTCCAGGTCCACCACGGTGTTACCGGGGGATGATACTGTGTCCGACATTGTCATTTCGAGTTTGAGCGAATGTAAGACAATTGTCGAGACAGAAAGTATGAGCTGAAGATTGGAATAGTCATTTACCCCTGGCTTTATATAGAGACAATAGATTTGAAATAGACTTGAAAATAGCTTTGAGTCGGCGACTACCTCGGCGAAGGTCTTCCCGGTATCTGGCCCGGAGAATACTGCTTGAAGCCCGTTTTACAGGGACCGCTGGGGGTTCCTGCTCAAAGCCCCACAGTAAAGCCCAGCGGCCTTTGAAAACTTGTATATTCATAGATTTTTCAATATATTTTTGATTTCCACAGTTGAGCTACCCTGTACGAATCGAATTGCTACAGTATTGCATGTTTCCATAAGTAATATTGAAATTAGCAAGCTAGAAACTATAAGCTGGTGGCCTAGAGCGATAGAAAGGTAGTTGGCGCATCTTACTGTATGCTTTGAACTAAGCTTCAAGGAACAATCTTTAGAATTTGAACGCCTGGATATGTGGCAAGTTGGGGACCCTTTCGGCCGCTCCAGGAGACTCGGCTCGTTTCAGGTCCTCGAGTTTGACTTTAGTATGCATGAACTGGTGGACCAAGACGGGGAAGAACCCATAGATCGACCAATCATGGGTCTGGTTTTAAGTTTAGTCAGCTTATCCGAGAATAAAGTTAGCTATGGCAGGTGGCCGAAGATGCCCGACTTGTCGGTAGAGCTTATTATTACTGTACTCTGTGCTGAGGAATGGGTGTGTACAAAATAGCCTTACGTGGATTCTGTGGTGGTCGCTTCATGACAGTTAGATGCCATCGGATCATGAAAATTATGCTGGAGTTGGACAATTACTCTGGATGCCAAGTGGCCGATCCAGAGCTTCCCCAAGAGCCTTTGCATTCGTAATGCATAAAATTTCAGCAAACACTGTACCCTACTAATTATTTAACTCCGAGATATGCTGATTCTGATTTTGCGATCCATGAAAATCCCACAAGCGTCTCGATTCGGAATATATTATTCTCATGATGTGTTTCGAGAAGAGCTGTGACTTCAACCCATCGGAATCCATCTTATCGAATATCAAGCCTAGGGCCGAAAACTTTATGCTAGGATTCTTACAGCAAAAAAAGGCCCTTAATCGACTTTAATCTCAGATCATATGTAGCTTTCAGATAAGCCGCTTGTCGGGCCATAGAAGTTCATTGCCACAGTCGAAGAGGCTGTACCAACCTGCATGACTTCCAAGGCATACCTATCACCCATTTAACAGAATGCGACCGCCAATTTACTTGCCAATTCACAAATATCACAAGCGAAATGACTTTTGTTTCGCTTTGACGTCTTTCTATCGACAGCACTCATGCCTTTCATACCTCGGGAGCTTCTCCGATATTTTCGATGTTGGAGGGGTTTAAGTCACGATGATGTGGCCATCGTGCAAAACATAATATGTGAGATACAAACCCAGCGACGGATACGAACCTTGCACATTAGAACGAGGAAAGTAGGAGTCAAGACTTTGTCAGCCGCCGCCGTAGTTAGCCTCTTTCTAGAGGAATCCAGCAATAAGGGACGTCCACGATATATCAAATCTAGTAAAGGCCTACGAGTTGGGGATTTCCATAATCTGCAGCTTGGCAAGATTTCTTCAGGTGTGCTGATTTAAATCAGCCTGGTTTTCCGAGTAGGATGGTGTTTGTACTGTGAGATTTAGGTACTCGAACGGTAATGCCATGTTCGGTCTCCCGAGAAGTAGGCTTTCCGGGAATGCACTTTTAGGTATGGGGTCGGAGGGTCGATAGGTGGGGTTTAATTCAGGACAGCCGTAGCGAAGGTGTATACAGTATAAGAACAAATAGTGGACCGAGGGGACCTGGGGAACGCAGAGATCGATCAACTGCTCGCGTTTGACAGACGATAGTTAGGCTAAATTACCTCGAGACGAGGATGTTCTTTCCCTCCGCGTGGGGGCGGATCCCGACCAACGTTGAACTGGGCCATTTTTGCCGAGCGTTCGGGAGCTTTGATTAGCTCTTCACGACTAAGTTTGCGCCTCATTACCCGGCCGATACATAGTGCAGACTACAGTAGTACTGAGTCTCGAATGAATGCCTGATCTTACTGTATTCCACTTACCCCAACTTATCCATAGATGCATCTCCACTTCGTCTCGAACTCGCGGATTTACCGAATTCGGAAGATCCCATGATGAAGTTATCGTTGCCGCAAGCCGAAATCATGTCAGATGTGACTATTATATGAGACACAGTCCGGAACTCGATTGTAATCTGACTTATTTGAATAGACCTCCTCTTCTCCAAAGTCCCTCAAACAATCTTCAGCGGGCAAGTTCGGCGTGTCGTTAAATCATGTCTGATAAACACTATTTCCCTTCCACGAGTGCCAACTCTTTGGTTCCACGAGCCTTGCGGGCGCTCGTGTCTGCGAATGATCACTTGACTTTGGACTTTGCAGAGCGAGTTGTTGCAAATGCCTTCCACGATGATTCAAAAGTGAGCATTATCAGTGGAGGCGGCTCGGGACACGAACCTGCCTGGAGTGGCTATGTCGGTGATGGCCTACTCTCGGCAGTGGCATGTGGTGATATTTTTGCCTCGCCCAGCGCAAAACAAATTCTGGCTGCCATCCGAATGGCTCCATCCAAGAAAGGAATTATCTTGTTGATTACCAACTATACTGGCGATCGTCTTCACTTCGGTCTGGCTGCCGAAAGAGCCAAGGCTGAAGGGCTAGTCGAGAACATCGCCATTCTGCATGCCACCGATGATGTTTCGATCGGAAGGAGCAAGAACAGTCATATGGGCCGGAGAGGCCTCCCTGGTCATGTTTTCAGTAAGCCTTTCATTCCCTGTTCTAGGAAACACATAACTAATTTACCACAGCCATGAAGATCATTGGAGCTGCTGCCGCAGAAGGCTACTCATTTGAGCAGTGTCTTGCACTGGGACAAGCAGTCAACGCACACACAGTCACCATCGCTTCGGCACTTGACCATTGCCATGTGCCCGGCAGAGCTCAACAGTCATCTGTCTCAGACGATGTGGTCGTCATTGGTGCCGGCATCCACAATGAACCCGGTCAACTTCACATTTCTCCAGCTCCCCCAGTCGAAGAACTTATCGAGCGGTGTCTCAAACTCCTTTGTGATGAATCTGATGCTGAGCGAGCCTTTGTCAAATTTGAGGGAGATGATGAAATTGGCTTACTGGTCAACAACTACGGTGGCCTTTCCGTTCTCGAATTACACGCCTTGGCCGATGAGATCCAAATTCAGTTGGGCTCACGATGGAATATCAAGCCACGCAGAACGCTTTTTGGCGCATTTGAGACATCTCTCAACGCACCAGGCTTCTCTATCTCTCTATGCAACCTCACAGCCGCAGCTCGGCAATCGAAGGAGCCTGTCGCCACCTTGATTCGCCAATTTGATAGTACCACGACCGCTGTGTCATGGCCCAATACTATCCGTCCTTCTCCTACACAGCAAAGAATCACTTTGGACCATCTTGATGCCCAAGCGAATGGGCACACGGCTGACTCTCCTAGCATCAAATTTGACTCTAAGCTCCTTGAAAGTGCCATTCGGACATCGTGCGAGAGGGCCATTGCAGCCGAGCCAAGGTTGACTCAGTGGGATATGGTTATGGGCGACGGTGACTGTGGTGAGGCTGTCCTGGGCCTAGCCGAATCTATCTTGCAACGAGTCGACAAGGGTTGCACAGAATCTGGCGATGTCCTAGAGGTCATTCATTCCATATTGCAGGATGTCGACGACATGGGCGGCACGCTTGGAGCAATTTTCGGAGTTCTTCTATCTGCTTTCTCGACATCTTTGAGAAAAAATGCATCCGAGAGCAAGATTAGCCCGAGTTCGGCAGAGTTCTACGCTACTGCACTTGAATCTGCGGTTACATCTTTGAAGTCGCATACCGGAGCGAGGATAGGAGACAGGACAGTCATGGACGTGCTACTTCCATTTGAGGAGGAGTTTTCCCGAACAAATGACCTTCCTTCAGCAGTTAAGGTTGCGGCTAAAAGAGCTGAGGAAACCAGATATCTGAAAGCAAAGTTTGGTAGGGCAACATATGTCGGGGAGGCGTCGACCCAGGAGCTACCAGACCCAGGTGCTTGGGCCTTCTACGAAATAGTTGCCGGCTTGGCCCATGGACTTGGATTTGTCGCCAAGTAATGTATTTCAATTATATAGCTCCCTTAATTTATCCACATCAGCATTCAAAAACAAGGATCAAACAATAAATGCACCGCAACCCGACGGGATATCGCTAAAGCTGAATTAATCTTTACCAAAGAGTTCAGAGAAGTCAGCCGCACCGCTAGGAGCAGCGGTGAGAAATTCCTGACCATAAGGTCTCTAACGGTCTTTCAGCAATCTCGTATCTTCAAGTTCAGAGTTTATTCGCAAAGAAGAATCGCACGGTGAGGCGGTCTGTAGCATTTGATTATTCATTGGCCAAAGGGTCGTAAGGCATTAAGGCATAAATCGCCCTAATCGGCTTAGCCTCGTTTATACGAACCGCTTGAACCACTCGTAATTCACGTGAACACAGACTCAAAGGTCTCGACCGGGCTACGACCAACTCATTAGTCACGTGAAAGGCTGCTCATTGCGCTGAGGATGTAATTATTATTTTTCTATTGGTTCTATCAATTTAACTTGCGGGAAGAAATCTCATTTAAAGTAATTCCTCGCGACCTGAGGTTTATTCGTAAAGATGGGGAATGCGGATCTCTCTTCCGAAACTCTGGGCTCGGCAAAATGAGAATGATTTCACTACTTGTCAGTGCCACTTGCATCACGACTTGAAGAGCGGTAGGGGAAGATCAAGGGATTATATAAAGTACCAACCGTCTGGAGGTATCCATCAGTTGAACAATTTATCTCTTAAATCAATTTGTCCTTGTCCACAAGAACATCAGTTACATCAATTCTTCAGCTACAAACCACAAAGAGATAACCACCCGCAATGCCGAAAGGATCCTGTCTATGTCACAAACTCGAATACGAGTATCATGGGGACCCTATAACGAAGGCAAGAAACTAAAACACGTGGATCCAGTCTCAACATTGACTTATACGTACATCCAGGGACCATGCTACTGTTTGTCCTGCCGCAAGATTAGTGGCAGTACTAACACACTCAATCTTCTGCTCCCAGAGGACAAGTTCAAAGTCATTGCTGGCTCCGCTAAGAACTGGACTGGGACCCACGAGAGCGGCAAGAAGCTGACAGTCTACTTCTGTGGTGATTGCGGAACGACTATTTACAAGACACACGAGTTATTCCCTGGGATGGTTGTTATCCTCGCGGGAACCTTGGACGATCCACAGGGACTTGAACAGGCAAAGCCGATGGTGGAATTATTCTCTAAGCACCGCGTGTCATGGCTACCTGGGCTCAGTTGGACTGAACAAAAGGAGGAGTTCTAGGTCGCAGAGAATTTTTGTTTCTTTTTTCTCGGTTCAGTTTGCTGTTCTTGCTCGACAGCCATGCAGAGACAGGGAGACTGTGAAATTCATTTTTAGCTGTAACTTGGGTTCAACGTGATCATGAATTTGGTGGCAGAAATTGGTTAACGCAATGAATGATATGATTCCCTTGATTAATGAACTCGGTGGTAAGAGTAGGATTTTACTATCTTCTTTTTTGTAAAATGATAAGAAATGAAAAAAGAAATGAACGAATCTCTGGGTGCCCCGTCAATTCATCACAGGACCCCATTTTTCCCAGCTGAGCGTACGGGGCAAAAACAATCATCCACTAGATGGTCAGTACTACCTAATGCAGTTTGTTTTGGCTTTCTGCGAACGTAGTGCGTAACGAATCGAACGGTCCATGTGGCTAGTAATGGGAATCAGATTTGGAAAAGTGTGCGGAAGTCCCTATAGTCTTAGCACTCTATGCTCGAGATAGTATTGTATAGATCGGTCTTTAGCTGCGAGAAGTACTGCAAAATAATAGGATTCTAGATCAGCACCCAGAACCACTACGTATATCATATTTATAGTCCTCAAGTCTATTCTACTCAGAGAGCTACCCAGATACTCACTTCGTAGTCTCTCCTCCATATAAGTTCTATAGGTTGCTCGGGTGAGAGTAGTCCAGACCGACACCTAGGGCCTTGGACAAGATAAGCGTTTTAGCACCGACGACTTCTTGAAAAAATTGAAATATTTTGTTTTGATATTTCTCGAGCAATTTTTAATCTGGCGCTTAATCTGTTCGAGTTCGTTCTACCCCGATTTTTCGGATTTGGGCCCATGGAAGAATAGAGAGAGCCTGTAGTCCTTCAGTTTTAGTAAAGTTTATCCCCGTACCCTACTTTCCATGGTCTTGCTTCGGGTATTGTCAGCGATGCGCAGATGTGGTACATTGCCGATGGCACCAGTCACAGCAAGGTATAAAGATGACTCATTGAAAGAGACTCTCTCGCATATTCAACACGAAACTTCAAAATAACAAAGCTACGAAGAACAATCATGGCCGAAAGACAGGTTCCTGTCATTTCGCTCAGAGGTGAGATCTCGATCATGCCTCATGCCGCATACCCAACTCATATATGTCAGACTTTGAGCAACGCAGGGATGAAATCACAGCAAAGCTGATCGAAGCGGCCGAAAATGATGGCTTCTTCACTTTGGTTGATCATGGCATTTCGAAGTCAGAAATCGAGGCCCAATTCTCCATTTCTAAAACATTCTTCGATCTCCCAGCCGAGATAAAGAGCAAGACTGCCCATGATCCCATAACCAACAGCGGATGGGAATATAAGGTAAGCTCTTGAACCACTGAGACAGCAATCTGATATTTACTCCCTTATTTAGGCCCAGTTGCGTCCCAGTACCGGCACATACAACCAGAAGGAGTCGCTTTAGCTCCAACGAAATTCTGATTGGCCAAGTGATGATGATGTGCCGGGGTTTAAGGATACGACCTGTGAATTCATGAGCAAATGTGCTGGCATTTCGGACCAGGTTTGTATGTAAATCTGTGAAAATCCCTCCTAGTAGGAGATCTTTGTTGACATTATCTAGTAACATGCTTCGCCACTGCACTTGGGTTTGAGTGAGACTATTTTAAGATAGCGAACGATCCTTCTCAAACGGACTGCATGACTCAACTCCGACTAATACACTATCCAGCGTCCGAAAAAGCTGTCGGAACATGGAGAGCCGGAAGTCACACTGATGTTGGATGTCTTACTCTTTTGTTCCAGCGCGATGGAGAAGACGGACTTGAAATCTGCCCAGGCCGAGAAAGCCATTCTAGTTTTGCAAGCGGCGATGTCTTCACTCCTCTTCCAGCTGAAACAGGTCCCATTGTCGTCAATATTGGAGACATGCTCAGTAAGTGGAGAAAATGGACAAGTCCAACCTGGCCTGAGCTCAGCTAACACAAATACTTTTTCAAAGTGGCGTGGTCTGATGACCGTTTGAAATCCAACTTTCACCGAGTGCGGGCCAAAGACGAGGGTATATCGCCGTCTCGATACTCAATTGCTTATTTCAATCAAGCAAGGCGCGATTTTGTACTGCAGGGACCGCTGAAAAAATAGCATGTCGCAAACCAAACCTCATATATGAGTTCCTTTGACTGACCTTGACAGTTTTAGTGCCCCCGTAACCGTTGGCGAGTATGTTGCCCAGGCGGTCGCTAAGAACTTCGGTCAGACAATAAAAGCGGGTGCTTAAGGAACAAGTTCTCTTCAAGTAACTTGGCAGTATTTTTTTTTCTCTCAATGCTAGTAGGTTGAGAAACGAAGATTGGCCTGTTTCTTCCACGCCTACTGAGGCCTTTAAGAACAACTACTATTCAACGCATGTCGTAGATCAAAGGGCAGGTCTCTACGTAACTGGGAGAGATACAGCCAACCGCCAGCCCTAACAATACGTCACATTGCTAATCCTCCGCTCTATGGGCGGTAGTAGTTCATATACTAGGCTTTTCTACCACGAGGAAGATGTTCCGGCAGCTGGACAGTATTTGTAAAACAGAAGATTCAAGCTACCGCGATTATTATGCACTGAATTCGCCTCTGGCATATTGCAAACTTGTGACGGATCAAATCGGGTTTCACAGGAATAACGACGCTACACTAGCTCGATTGCCTGCCAGACAGCGAGTCTGTATAGAACAGAGCTTTGTAGGGGAATTGGCAATGGCCCTCTCGGAACCATCCTTATGATAAATATTGCATAATTCACAGTCAAATCCGTAAAAGCGCACGGGTGTACTTATCTTCGACTAAAGCCTGATCCTCAAAATCATCCTATAATTATTTTTCGAAAGATGACGTGAGAGTTAACTCTAAAACTATGTATTTAAAATATGTTTAGAAAGGTGTTTTAAAAGAGGGAAATTGAAGTATCCAGAGTAAGTCTAACTGAAACTTCTTATCAGTTCCATTAGTAAATCTTCTTCTCACATTTGTTTCAATCTTCCTTCAGTCTCTTGATGACCCTGGTTGGTAAGACTTGATAGAATATTGAATTTTTGTGAATCAACCTCGTGCACCCGTGCAGATACTAACTAATAAATCTACAAATGATCCTGGACGAGCTCGTTGCGGGCCCTCTTGGTCCTCTTTCCAGTCCACATTCGGACAGTCGATATTCTGTCGATCTTGCTCAGCCGACCGAAATTTCTCGAGCGCTTCAGAAACGTGAGCTTTGGTGTCTGAATCCGAGGATATTCTAACCTAGCATACATGAACGGCGGACCACAATGTTGAAGCTGACCTGTTCGACTCCTTTATCACAAGAATTACAAGACCAGGTATCCCGGCCGACGGCATCCTCGCCAGTGAGAAGGGCGTGGCTTAGTGGATGAATCAGGAGGCAAAGACTCAAGTGAATGTGGAGAAGGATGACCAGGGCATCCGAGCTTGGGTACACAGCTTCAAGAGAAGCCCGAATTAGGAGACCAGCCAGGGCGGCGGGGCGAAAAAGCCGGAGCAAAGTGTGGCTTCGTTGGAGAAGAGGAGGCTGGAGATAACCAGGGAAGAGCTGACGGGGTTGTTTTTGGAACGGCAATTTATTCGCAAGACATTGCCAAGGATAGGCGGGCTACAGGAAAGAGCCAAAAGGCGCAGTGCTGGATGAACAAGAAATCTACCGATAAGAGGGAATCTCTATCAACATCAAACCGCACCTGCCCTTTCGGACACACGAGAGGCGGCAAAATCTCTCGCGAGGATGTTCACCGAGTCTAAACCGGTCAGATCCGTCGTCAATGAAGGGTATCACACAGATCACAAGCCCGAACTCCTGGAATATCTCTTTGTAATAGGCTTAAGAATTCAACTTCTCGTCGTATGAGAAATGATGTAGCCGGCTCAATTTTTCCATGAATGTCTGAAAGAAGCGGTGATTGCATAAGGACAAGCAAGTGAGGTCAACAAGTGAAAGGAAGTCGGATATTGACAATAACAGCTCTGGAGGGAGTCTGGCGAGTGTAGTGATACACGGAATCTCAGAACCAGGGCTGATCTCCTTTTGTGGGCGCTTGAGGTATCTTTCAATACAATAACTTTGAAACCCCATAGTTATAGTTGGCAGTAGTGGTGGTGTTTCAGTCAAAGCAAGAGAGGATGAAGAAAGCCGGGTGGAGGAGACCGGGACATGAGATGAATACAGGGCAAATTTATCAGGTGATGTGGATTACGACAGATTTTCCAGTTTTGGATGATTTACCCATGGGACATCAAGGGTCAAACGTTACCCAGCAATATACTATTTACTGTGTATTCCTATTCCATTTTGAGCGAATCAACGACCCTTTAGGCCGCACCGGACCTAATTCCCTTATGTCCAGAGGAGTCTTCAAATGTTAGGATTGGCGCGAGTTGCCGCCTAATTGTTTGCAGGTCATAAATTCTCGATAAAATTCTGAATGGACAGAGCTGATTAATGAAAAATATGAAATGGAAGAGTTGAATGAGCCTTTCGATCGTGCGGAAGCTTCCACAACTCCACCATGAAGCCCCAACTATTTCAACTGCCTAATTCGGACAAGCTTGAACCTTCAGATCTACTACTGTGAGTCTTGAATCGATAATTTGTACTACGGAATATCCTGCTTCCCAGGCCATGTGGTGACCTACAAGTTACTTACCTGGATACTGTCCTTCTGAGCTGTAATCTCAGCGTCCGAACTAAACAATTTTGCCCCTCGCGACCGTTTGAAAGTACCAACACGCTGAAAATATTATTAGAAAGATTTTCATGAATCAAACCATTCTAGTCAACCTAGAAAAAGCAGGAAAGCTTTGAAATAATCTAGCGTACGAATTCACTGCAGGCTGTCTACTACAGCTGCTGCAGGAGCCCGATGAGGACGTAGATAAATCACCCAGCGGGTATAGGAAGATTGTCAAGCTTTTCGTTATCCAAATTCATTCATAACAGTCTAATATCCAAAGATTAAAACCCAAGAAATAAGTCTAGATTTGAGTGGACGCTCCCGGGAACTATGAGCGTAGGGCATTGTAGCCGTTGGCTCATAATCAGCCCTCATTCCCACTTCTTCATGAGGGTGTTGGCCTCGATCTCCTTGTCGAAGTTGACAATATGGGTAGAATGGCACCAGGGCTTGATTTCCTCCTCTTTACGAATGATGCTCGCAAAGAGTGAACACCACTCGTTACGCGGATAAGCCTCATTGATTGCGGCATGAGTGGTTTCGTGGATGATTTCACCGAAATCCTTGACGTGGGGATGGGAACCGACGTTGTCGTAAATGGTAGCCAGCTGAATGAGTTGGCCGATGAACGTGATGGTTCCATCAACTCCCAGATCCTGGTGTCGGATGATTGCCTCGGCAGCTGCTTCGGCCTGATCCGTGCTGGCACCAAAGTCCTTGAGAACATAGAGAGCTTTGATACCGCCGTAGATATCGAAGGACATTCGGGTTGCTGTCAGATTTTCCTCAGCCGTACCGAGATCGTGTAGTAGACATGTCAAAGCCCATGTCACTGGGCTTAAAGCAGCAGCTTGCTCAGGGAACTGCTGCTTGCTGATTGCCATTCCTAGACAAAGATTAGGTACAGACCTTAGCATGAAAAGAGCTACGGGCCATCTGCAAGCATACCATAGAAGTAGACTCTCATCGAATGATTGAAGGTTTTGGGGTGCAGGGTCTCCTTTGCATACTTCAGAGTTCTTGCGACCGTGGGGTCATCGAATGGAAACTTGATGTCACTGAGAGATAGAGACCCTGGTTGGTTGATGAAAGGCCGGTCGCCGAAGATGGCACCAGCGTTGACTGGCATGCTGGTCCAGCCATTAGCTGCAATCTCTTCGTGGCACATGGTGGTGGAAGCAATCGCGGGAATGAAAAGAATTCAAATGCTGAACGAATATAAGTCTCTGTCTGGAGTTGGAAAAGAAAAAGCATACACGGGGAGGGGTTGGAGTTATTAAATAATGCTCTCCGTTATGACTACACTCCATCATGGAGTTGGATATAGATGATTAAGTTTCCTTCTTCCCAGGAAAGAATGAGCCGTTACCCAGCTGTTACCCATTCTATCTGCCATGATTCGTAAGTAAACACTGCCCTCGCCACCCCGAAGATTGCTCGGGACCCCGGATGGTTTGCTAAGCCTGGTGGAGCCTTACCTGATTAGGAAGTTATGACATGTGGGGCCTCGATGATACCCTTCGCAACCCCCAAATCTACTCTCATGACATGCATCCATGACGCACCTATAGAGGCAAACTTCAGTATCTTAGAAAATCATTCGGGATCATTACGGAGACCGATTTCTAACCTATTGTCGAATTGGTAAGCTGTACTCGAGATAGGAAGTTGCAACATGTGGCGCTCCAAAATCCAACACTTCGATGTTAAACATCACTAGTCAAACGGATGAATCGAAATCGCTGATGCATCTGCCTCATGAAAGGGGGTTTACACTTATCTTTATTTAAATTCATTGAGGACAGTAGCTTGACAATTAAAGGCACGATAAACTGACATTTGTCAATTGTGAATTCAGATCAAAGTTCTTTTAAAACCGCTGAGATCAAAGCGTTGAATAAGCCCATTTTTACCGCCAAGCTTTTACATTAATACGCTATGAGCCGATAAGAGAACTAATCAGAAGGCGTCAAATTGCTTAAAGGCGGTCTAAAGACCTCTTTGTAATCTGAAGATCAAGCATAACTACCTAGTTTCATACAGAAAGAGGAGCGGGCTATTGTACTTCCGTTCCGATCAGAGTCATTGAGTCACAATCTTGTCGCATCCAGTGTAACTAAGGTATCTTTCAGTTTTTTCGTAGCCTGTTCTCACCTTGCAATCTAGTCACTCATACCCGCGCAAAGTATCTGCAAGAACTCTACTAGATGCTTAGGCCATGCTGGACATGCCGCAGCCGAACGATTCAATGCGATCAATCCCGGTCTCCTTGCTCAAAATGCGAGAAAGCGGGGCTTGAATGCCATGATAAAAGACCTCTGAGATGGGTCAAAGGTGTGGCGATTCGAGGTAAATTACGGGGTCATATCTTTGAGCAAACGTCTAAGGCATCTGGAAATCCACGGACTGCACGACCAGGCAGGAATCAAGTCTCGCTCACTTCAGCAAAGCGGCTACAAATCCTCCATACCCCCTCCTTTGCAATGGAAGATCCCCGTATACATAATTTGGATCAGTTATCAAAGTACTATATCGATTATTGTAAGTCTCGATACTGATAGGCACGAAAGGCAAATTTCTCAGTATGCTAAAAATTGGGCACAGATAACAAACGAATATGCAACTTATATATCTTGTTCGACAGTGACAAAAATCCGTTCCGGAACTTGCTGTCGTTAGGCATGGAGAACTTGGCTTTGCAAAAATCCATAGTCGCTCTTGCAGCTCGACACTTTGCCAATACAGGCCACTCATTTGATGCGACCGATGCGGTTGCCCCATCTCGATTTATGAAAGCTAACACGGATGCGCTTGTGTTCAAAACGCAAACCATCGAGGCGTTGTCCTCGTCACTGCTAGACGCGGGGTCCCGGAGATTGGAAACAACAATGGCGACTATTCTTCTTCTCATATTTCTAGACCTTCTCGAGTCCGGGATTGACGGCTGGAACTCTCACCTCCAAGGTGCGAGAAGCTTGCTTATGCTCAACCAGTGCTTCGTCGATCCCAATCCAGAACGTGGTTCGAACATCGATCCTGGAGACACGGTGCGAGATACGAGACAATTCATAATCGAACAGTTACTATTGTACGCTATCCGAAAAATTCATGGAGTTCGTCGTTGACACTTAACAGGGTTGAAACTCTTGGAAGTGCGCTCTCATATCCCAAGACAGTGTCTGAAGCGTTTACCGGGAATGATGGAACCAAGCATCAAGAGTCGGTTGTCAGGAGTTTCCTTGGGTGCCCAGGGTTTCTTCTGAGAGCAGTCCAATTTTTCTCCGACCAAAGATGTTTGATTGCGGACGTCAAGGAACGAGAGCACCCTCCAAGTTCTTCAATTTTACGAGACATCATGGAAATGCTTGAGCTGACCGAAGGATTTGATTCTCTCGAGTGGGCGTCAGACTTTAAGCGACGAGCAGCTTCTCCTACAACGGAAGTCAAAAGCCTATGCATGTTATCACAAGCATACAAAGTAGCGACTCTACTATATGGAAGACGGGTGCTCAGCGCCCTAAGCACACAACCAACATCCAATAACGCGAAGCTAGTTTCGCAATTGCTTAGCCTCATCGAAGCTTTACAGAATGATGCCATACTTTTCAAGTGTCTCCTTTGGCCGACCTTTATTGCAGGGCTAGAGAGCTGGGCAAAGAGCCAACAGGCTTTCGTCATGGAATCATTACGGGCACTCTGGGACTCAACGAGTTGTTTAAACGTGATCGGTGCTTCAAAGATCCTTCGAGATCATTGGAAACGAGAGGACTTCCCCGACGCTTTGATGTGTGAGATCTCCGATGTTGGTGGATTGGGTCGCGGCTGGCTACTGATATAATATTGAACGTGATTGAGATTTCTTCTTCGCCCTCGAGGGATTAGCCTCGACGGAATTATGTAAAACAGGTGCTAAAGCCTTTCCGCCGCCGTTCCTTTTGTGCGGGCCTTCTGAGAGCCTGTATCCGGAGAGCGCATCCGGTTTGCGTATCCGGGGTCCCACAGTCCCACTCTTTTCCCCATCGTAATCCTACAGTACAAGCGCAAGTGCGTTGCGGTCCGGATATTGTGGCCTGAAAATCCACCTCTCTTGTGATACTTGATGCGGATAGGGCTTTCTGTCCTTAGATTGCATTGTCATGCCACTGGCATGAAAACGGCTACAATCACCTTGATTGCTAAAACCCTTTGATCCTCATCCAACATATCGCTGGATTGGATGTGATGATGAGAAAGATCTGGGAAGATTGGAGTGCGTAATAAACGTCGACTTCAAATGAACGTGGACTTCAACAAAGTCACAAATATAGTGTGCAGATTCTGCAAGTCCTCAAAGGTGAATTCAGGCAGTGTCTCTCTTAAGTCATTGGGCTCAATATTTTGCCAATACAATATTTTCCGTAATAAGGGCAAGATACGGTCAGGACATTCCAATGGCTCCCGGAAACTTATCCAACAAAGTTTTTCCCCCTTTAAATACCTACTTCCCAAGACTTGATCATATGGCGACAAGCATTTCTGTCAGAAACAGAACATCCAGCCCTCGCCATGAATTGACCCTTCGTTCTCCATACACCGATCCGTGGCTCGAATTGGCTGTTTGTTGCAATGTTTGCCTCTGTTAGTTTTGATTCGCTAGGAATAATTGAGCTGACTATTATCTCCGAAATAAAGTCTACTCCCACGAGGTACGCCTTCGTTCAAGGTGAATACCCTACCCAACCACACCGTCAGTAAGGAAACATACATTCATCTTTTTGTCATATCGCCTTTTTCACTTACTGAATATATGTCACAGCAACTCACAGAGTTCTCCAAACCACGGTAAGGAGGCTGAAGCTATCATAAGAAGGGTGAGGCTAATCGCAAGCCAGTCTATTCGATTTTCGGATATGGTAGATAACAGGTATATCGAGTACCTAGATATACTCATGATACCTACTAAGCCTTTTACTTTAGCCATTTGAAAAGACAGTTCAAAAGACGTTAAAAAAGATCTTTTATAGAATTAGAAGTCGAAGCATATATATCTATAGTCATTTTGGATTGTTTGGATTTCTCATCCGAAATTAAGCCATCATCAGCGTGGGTCCAGGTCCCTTTAGCTACACTGAATTTCTGCGGCTCAAGCTGTTGGATGCTAGATAGGTAACGTAGAAAAAGAACCCAGAGAATTTGAACGTACATGGATTCGGTCGCACAACACAACTTAATTTCTTGTACTCAGGGATCTAATAAATTACAGATTATACTGTCTTAGCGGCAGTGTGATATTATCGTAGTATCAAATCCGTCAATGTTGCTAAATACATCAGACATTGTTCAAGATGACTTGCTATTCAGCTCAGCTCAAGGCTATGATGCCGACGACACCAAGGCATGCACTTAACAAAGCAATGTTTGCCCGAACTTTGCTCAAAGCAACCCATTTTGATATTAGAGCAGCTGTCTCTGATTCATCCATGTTCTTTGAGGCCAACGGATCTTTGACGATAGCGAATGAGCGCCGATGAAGCTCGTCATTGGTCGAGAGCATGAACAAAAGTGTGTAGGGGACAATGGCAAACGATGATATAGTAGCCGCTGCGAAGACTTGCTTGACAAAAACCTGATCAGAAAGGTACGAAGCGGTGCTAAACACAGTTCCTCCTATAATGGCCAATGCAGGGCCAATGCGGTGTCCTCTGAAATATATCTCCTGCCACTGCCGGTTCAGATGCGACACACTGCTCGCTGGGACATCCATAGCGTGTACAAAGAAGTTTCCAGAGGCTTTGGATCCTGGGCGGGGAGGTTGACCAAGAAGAATTGTTGGGAAGGTCAAGTAGTTGATGGTCGTGTTCATGCAGTAGAAGACAGAGCTCGAAACGATTCCGGCAGTGCCACACAGCAGAGTCGCTTTCGCGGGGCTAATGTTGTCTAAGAAGATCGCCATATTTGATAGAGGACGATTTGTGGGAGCGGCGAGAAGGGTGAGACAACCAGCGGAGACAAAGAGTAAATTCAAAGCTTCGAGTCAACCCCAAATAAATACGGTAGACTTTAGTCTAAGTCCTTTCAGAGATATCCGACGTTTCCCCGAGGGACAAAAAGCCTTGTGGGACGTGAGGTTCATAAATCTAGAAAGAATTTGCCACAGGTAATACGACAAGCAACAAAGCCATTGTATGGCTATTTGAACTTCTATCGTAGGCGGCAGGGTAATAACGGCATGGGCCGACCACGGCCAAAGCCCGCCAAAATCCGTCCAGCCAAACCCCGACCCAAAGCCCAACCCCTGCTAAAATCCCGCTAAAACCCACCGAATGTGGAGAAAATCGACTAAGCGAGGTTTTGTTAAACCTGTGCTGTGCCTCTCGTTTTTATTTAGTCTTCTATTTTGGGTGCCGCTGATTGAGATGGCTAGCTTATTGTTTAGTTAATTAACGTAATCTTAAATCCAATGACGCCGATATACTGCAAGCCATGAAAATCATCAAGGATGCTCATGATGGCCAGTTTTATTTCGATTACTTGGCATTTCCCCAAGACATTGCAAGGATGATTCACAGACATCTACAAAGTGCTGTTCAAGCAAGGATCGGAGGAATGATTTGGAAGTGAAGACGTAGCTCAATCAAACCATACGATGAAGTTGAACACCGGGTTGAAAGGATTTTATTAACCCTGGCGATGGTGTTATCTCTGAGTTGCAGGGGCTAAGAGGGCGAAGGTTAGAGGTCATACTGTTTCAAGGCAATTTCACGAAGCATTTTGCTTCACAACCTAAAAAGTTACCAGATGATGGCCTAAGACAAGACTGTAGAAAAGAGATTTTCTATTTGGGTGAGAAGGATGTAATTTGCTCACGGATAGCCTAAATGATCATTTTTCATACTGATGTACAGGCACATAGTTCTATTTATAGGGGTGTCGGAAAAAGGACGCTACTCACTACCAATAAGATGGTAGCAAATGCTCCGGTCGGCAGTCATTTCCGGTGCAATCTATTGCTCGTGACAAATTACTGAACTCGATAATTCTCACAACAAGTCGAGGGTAAGGTATGAGTTGCTACAAGTCTGATCCATATGGGAAGAGATAAAGGCTCTCCCGCAACCTTCCAACGCGCAGCTCGGATTTCCTGAGGCTCACTAGGTATCCATATGCAAGACAGCATACATTTATGTTTCAAATAACAAATACAATCTTTCAAACGCTTATCCAAGAAGATATTCATCAAACCAGTTAACAGCCTGTAAGAACGCCTGTTCCTTAGCAAATTTCTGCTCAGGAATACTCCGATCACAACGAATTGCAAATCCATGGGTAGTTCCTGAGTACAGACAAACCTGGTACGGGACCTTAGGTGTCTTATTAGATAGAATTTCCTCAGACTTGTGGCGCTTTTCGGTGGTGAATATATAGTCATTCTCGGCGGCAGCGATGGAGAGGGGCCCTGTAATATTTTCCAACTCCGCTTCCTCCATGAATGCTGGGTGAGCAATGAAGCCCACAGCTATCCCGGAGCTGAAGTGACGAGCAACATACTACGAAAGTAGGTCAGTCATCTATGAAGTCAATTATTAGGTTGGAGAGAGATACTGACCTTAGCTCCAAGGCAAATGCCAATAGCGCCAAGCTTGACAACGCCATGTTGACTGGTAAGATACAAAATGGCCCTCTTTACGATATCATCGATAATGTTTGATGTGTGAGGAGAGCTCCCATCCGAACCCTGCATGATCCACTTCTTGACATCAAAGTCATCAGGTCGATTTATAGGGACGGGATCGCCGAGGAAAATGTCGGGAACAAGACAGAGATATCCACGAGCGGCATACTGGTCAGCAAGGAGCTTGGCGTTTTGCCAGACGCCCATGATGTCTGGAATATACAGCAATGCTGTCCCGAGTTTCTTTTCCCGCCCAGCGGCGGGAACCGCAAGATAAGCATTGATTCCATCTGCAATCTTGATCATCGATCCGACCAGCTCTCCTCTAACGAAAACCGACATCGGTCAGCCCATGACTCAAGTAGTTGCGCAGCAAAATAGAGAAGAAGGAGCAAGGTTGACAAGGCCTAACTAGAGGGAGCTGGGAGACATTCAGGTAGGACTGTTGATAATGGAGTAGAGAGAAATTCGAGTTCAACTTACTCATGTTGGAATCCGGCGGTGCAGCAGTGACCAGGCGGGTTGGAAGCCATTTTCAAGCCACAGAGAAATATCAAGTGAGTACCTTACAGCGGCCGACTAACGCAGGGGTGTTTGCTGTAGTTCTGCTTTTGAAGTGAAGGTTATAACAGTCAATGACATTTAAATTTGAACTATACTTAGGTCGACGGGGGTACGTCGGCTAGAAATCCCCGTTTGCAAAACTTCTTGCAGAGTGGGTATGGCTGCATCCTGAGGCTAATTCCTCGGACGGGCCGATCTTAGACAGTCCAGACAGGCCCTTCGGGCCCGCGTAGTAACACCGAAGCTAGATACTGTACTCTTTTCTCATGCCAATTTAGTGAATGACCCTTAATAGCAGAGGGTTAGGTTACTTCCAGGGCCGTTTATCTGTATCGAGCTGCGCAAGTTGTCAAGGTCAAGCAAGCTTTATAGGTGATAGTTGCACGTAAAACATATCTTCACTTGCCTAAATAAATCTGAGTGACGCTCTAAAACTACTACTCAGTGACCTTTTGTTTTTGACCGTTTCCATATCCAACTCCAGTACAAAACACAGAATTTTGAAATTACCCTCCCCTCGTGCCATGGCAGGAAAGGATCAGGAAGTCGTCCTTGAAAATTTATATTTTAACTATATGGAGTTCGAGTACAATCCGCACGCCTCTACCTCCTTACGCCAGAGATCCCAGGGCCGTTGAACGGACCAAATCGTCGCTTCCGTGGCCGCAGCAGACTCCTCCGCGCTAAGATAATGGAGATCGATCCCCTCACCGGTAGTGGTGGCATTGACCTCAGCAGCGCCAATATCCCTTGCAACGCGTGTTGTCGTGCCACTCCCGAAATAAGCGGCTTGCATCAGCAGAGCCGTGGTTTGGATGGAGGCGTTTTTCTGTGTATAGATGGCCCGAAGCACTGCACTCTCAATGTTCGGGGCTACAATTGTCATGCCATGACCGCGCATCAAGGTGACGGCATTACCGCCGTCAAAGCATTTTGCCAAAGCCAGACCCAAATGAGGTGACTTGACGAGCATGTCTGGCACATCACTAGGACGCAGATAATCAGTCACATCGAAGACTGGTGGCGCCGCGCTATCCGGGCCATTGCTCCTAGTCCCGAGCCATGGTGCCATATGGTAACAGGCTTTCAATGGCACTTGGGATATACTGAAGGGAACAACGGCCTCTGAGTGACTGTGCACGACAGCTCCGACATGGGGGTGTCTCTTATAGATCTCAGAATGAATCATACGTTCAGCGTATCCCTTGGCCGCTCCCTGATCGAGCGGCTCGGCGTCCTCAATTCTGTAGCTGATGAGGTCACCCGCCGCGGAGATAGACCCAGGTGCAACGCTACGTGACATGACGAACACGCCGGTCTTGTAGGGGTGTCTGAAAGAGAGATGGCCGTATGCATCGAGGACGTTGTGGTAGTGGAGAATATGAGAGCCGTCCACAAGTTTCCGATAATAGGCTTGTTCAAGGGCTGATCTCTCAGCGGTCTGCTGCAAAGAGTTTTCTGGAGACATATTCTCTCGTCGTGGGTTGATAACAAGCATTCGTCAATTTATTTCGCGAATCCAGCAACCATGAGATTTATCCAGAAGAGGCCTTCTTGGACACGAGAGCCAAATCCTAGTGGAAGGAACGCGTGAGTGTATTCAGAACGTATTATAAACGGTGTTTGGGCGGGGATCTCCCGGGTTGAGATGCCAGTAATGGTCTATTACTGCTATCGGACCAAAAGTATCTGCCGAACTTGAAACTACAAAAGGACCTTCATATGGGTGATGTCTTTGTGTCGGCGCGTATTTTAATCTCCAAAAGCCGAAGCGCCGAGGATCCCGGCCTTGCCCCGAGAGGAAGCGATGATGGGAGCTGTACCCGCTGGTCGTGGGGTAGAGCCGGAAAGATCGACTGCTGCTACTAGACGTGGTCAGATACGGGCTCTATTAAATGTACTTCCTGTCTTCATTCGCTGAATACTTTGCCACAAAGCGAGGTTGGCATGTTGAGTATGCCAATCTATCCACTACATATATCTACCGTACCCCGCCCAGCTAGCTTGTATAGAGCCATCCTCACCCCCAGAAAAGTGCAACCCAGACCTATTTCTCGATTCCAATTTTGAACATGGCGATTATCACAGAGCTACTGGATGCCTGGCCCTTGGCCGATGACGTCCGCGTCATCCCTCGGCGAGAGGACCTCTTGCTGCAACCACCGCCCGAAAACCCCATGAAGATGTGGCGCGAGCATGATCTCCTCCAAGCGGTTCATTTTCCGAACGATTACATCCCGGCCAAGTTCTCACCCCCGAAAGATGTATTTTGCGGCGATACATTGCGTCTAGAGTGGCAACAGATGAATGCCCGTCAGCCCTTTTACCACCGCAACGCCGACGTTGACGAGATTTCCCTCCAGGTCTCCGGGGAACGCACGCTCATGACTGAGCTAGGTAGCGTCGAGCTGCGCCCTGGTGACTTCTCAAGGATCCCAGTCGGTGTGGCTCATGATAATTTCGGCCGCGAGGAGGTCCATTTGCTCTTCTATATTATTGCCCCCGTCACCGATGTCGGCCATGTCACGCTTCGATCGGAGGTCAAGAAAGAAGGACCTTTTCCTGGTTGGAAGAAGGCCTCTCCGGCTACCATCGAGATGATGACCGAATGTCTTGGAGCCCGGGGGTGCGACATGGCCGTGTCTCTGGCCGACGAGGAGTTTTTACTCGACCCATCTCTTGCCCAAAGCACATCATTCGCAAAGCCTGAAGAAGCTCTTCTAATCCAGCGCGCTGTCACTCCGGCCGTATCTGGTAGCCAGCCACAGAACCCCGAGTGGTTATACAAATCGGCTACCGTTTGGATCGGCAACGTCAGCCTCGACAAGACAGACGGAACAGTCTATCACCGTCATCGTCGCGCCGACGCTATACAGTACCAGCTGGAAGGTTCCCGCACTCTGGTAACCCAGCGTGGCACTATCGAATTGCACCCAGGAGACTACATATGCATTCCCAAAGGTTGCGCATACACGAACATAAGTAAGAGCCAGTGTCAGTACGTTGTGATCTTGACCAGCGAGGTAGCGCCGGTCAAGGCGCCCTACAGTAAAGCGGCCAGTGAGACCACATTAGAGAAGGTGGAAGCCATAAGGAAGGAAGTCTCGGTCTAAATCCAGAGTAAACATCATCCCGGAGCCTGGCAGCTCAAAATGAGAACAATTGAAGTTGTGTCGCACTCTGTTCCTCGTTCAGGATTTTATTTAGCCCCCTGAATCGTAGAATCAGCCGTAACTTCTCATCTCTTAGCCGCGGTTGGGAGAAATATTCATGGTTGCCATTCAGACGCGTACTTTTCTCGAGCAGTCAAAGACGACTAAATGGAAGAGATCGACACATCGGCTACTACATCCTACTACTGGCAGAAATGAGTAGAATATTAGCCACTGAAGGCTCTCGGGAAATAAAATACAAACCTTTGCCAAAAGAAATGTCGTTTAGGGAAGGAAGATATGTACAATGGGAGGGATTTATAATGCCAGAGAGTGTAATTGGAGAGATGTACAATATGGGAGTGTTAGATTAGAACATGGTGGGCCCCATCTACTACTATTTAGATCTCTTCATCCTCTAGATAGTTCAGCTTCTTTCATTCCTTGTCAATTTTTAGCGTGCCCCTGTACACTCTCCTTTCCACCAGGGAGAGATTTACAACGGGATAACAGAGAGAACTGCAATCGCAGAATATATTTCTTGTCTGATCTTCCTCTCCTTTCGCGACAGTTGAATTGGTGATGGAGGCCTCTCGCTTAGACTTTCTCCGGAATGACTTCAATGATGCTCATCCATACATGCTCATCCCGTGTCTCTATAGCATCGATAGCACGATGAGCGTCCTTTAACGGAAAACGGTGCGTGATGAGGTCAGAAATGACAAGCTGATCACTTTGTAGCCAATCCAGAATTTCCTGAGCGTCATCTCTCGTGTGGGCACGATTGCCCACAAGACGCCAGGCCTTGCTCATGATAAAAACCAGCGGGATCTGCAAAGGCGCTGGGCTCCCACCCATGTGGACAATAGTTCCACGGGTAGCTAGGGCTGGTAGAATCTGGCTGAGAGTTGGCCCAGCGGGGACGTAATCGATGATTGCAGAGATTCCTTCAGGTGCCAGCTCCCTGAGTTGCCGGACGATCGGAGAGGGCTGGGGAGGGCCAGGAATGGATTCACCTGGAGGCCCCGACGAAGGCTTTGAATCTTGGGATGGTGCCGAGATGGGAAAAACAACTGTTTCAACCTCAGTCAAATGTTGGATGGATTCGAGGCGTTCCTTTGACCGGCCCACAAGGATGATCTTCTTGATATTGGGGAAAAACTTGACCAGCTTCAGCGTCACCGTGCCCATGGTTCCAGTTGGTGCCGTAAGAATTATAGTCGAGTTGGGCTTGGTGACCTCAGCCAACTTAAGGACACGCAGGGCAGTGGCAGCATCGTGTAACTTGGCGCCAATGTCGAAGGAAACGTTGTCAGGGAGGCGGTCGACGAACCTGCGCGGCACGCGGACATACTCGGCAAGCGCCCCGTCGTGATATTGTGCGTAGAGACCTGTCCTTTCTCCAAATTTGGCGAAGCCCATTTGTGCCGCCTCATCGCACATGGAGTCGAACCCGAGCTGGCATTGGTGGCATTCACCGCAGGACAGAATGGGGTGGAGGCGCACACGATCACCGACATTCAAGCCGTCCTTGATGTTTTCACCAAGAGCTTCTACCACTCCGGCGGCCTCGTGGCCCACAGTGGTTGGCACGGCCGACTGGCCCATCTTCAGGAGCTTCATTACTCCTGGCGTGATTCCCGCCGAGTATACTTTGATCAGTACATCTTCAGGTCCTAGCGAGGGTACTGGCAGCTGCTTTAGCTTCAGCCCAGATGAGGCGTCTTGCGCATGTAAAGCCAACATTGTTGTCATCGTGAACAGAAAGAGTTTCCTGCAAGGCAGTAGGTGGAATAAAGAGAAACGAGGTCCGTCGATTGAAATGCTGTACCGGATTCCTGTCGTTCAACCGCTCATTTGGAACTATTTGAACCATTTCCCCAGGTAGTTAAATCAAGTCGACTCGATCCCGGGTCCGGGGAACCAGCGGAAAGTTGTTGATTCAAAGAATGTACCCCAGATCCGAGTTTGCTTGGTAATGCTCGCAATAGTAGAGGTATGTAGTACTTGGACGGTTCGGTTTGTCGGTGTTTACACAACTTTACCAAAAAAGTTAGCCACTGACCCACTAAAGTCTCCACATCTCCACACATGGCGGGGGCTCGGCCGTTCGGGATTCCGAAGCACTGTATGTCGGGGCCGACTTGAACCCTGAATTTTGCATATCAAAGATGTCAAAAGCTCTTTAGCTAGATCACAAGAAATAGTGGATTTCATGTTCTATCAAATGATACAAAAACGGCTGCTTTTTATGGTGATCTTGACAAATCCTTTTCGTCAAGCTGCTCAGAGCACTTTCATACTCGTCCCTCTTCCAAGGATCTTATTTGTATGACATTCACACAGGCCAAATCCAGTGGAGTTTGAAGCCATCCACGTGCCGGGGAACGAACGGAACCAGCGGGCAATGTACACTTGCCTTTGAATAGATTGCCAAGAGGTGTGCCTGTGGTTTTTGACTAGATTCCCTCCTTATTCACATCACTATTGTTGGTTACAATCTTCTTGATCTTCTTTCCTTTTTTTGGGTCCTTCTGAAACATAGAGGGTTGTTCGTCTCAATCCTATCATATCATCCAACTGCCCGTTCAAAGACAGAAATCATGGCCACGCCCAATGTGAAGGACATGATCGAACAGCAGAGCCGCGGCCCTCGACTGGAACGGTCCATTAAACTAAACTTCGTGGGCGACTGGGGCATGGCAAACTTCCATCGCATATGCTCGTGGTTGACACAGCAGTTTTGCGATCGAGCAGGGCCGGATAGTCGCGTGGGGATTTGGAATGTACGCTATGGCGGCATCGAAGCTGTGCTGGAGGTGTTTCGCGGGGAGGCACAGCTTGCCATTGCGACACCCGCACAGATGATGAGCACTGCTCTCACCGGACAGGGCATCTTCGCCCCTCACGGCCCTATGCCCTCGTTGCGTGCCCTCGGTGTGCTGCCCCAAAATGACCGTCTGATTCTCGCCATCCACCCCAAGTATGGGATCAAATCATTCGAGGACTTGCGCCAGAAGCGCCCTCCACTGCGCATTGCCACATCTACCAATGACGGCACCAACTTTATAGGCTTCACGGCCTACGCTTTCATGGAATGCCATGGCATTACACCTGAGGTGCTCGAGTCTTGGGGTGGCAAGTATGTCACAGCGCACCGTCCTGAGCAGGCCATCGGCCTCATTCAGGCCGGCGAGGCTGATGCGCTACTACAAGAGGCTATCATGACGCCCTGGTGGGCGGAAATCATGGAGAATCGCAAATACGATGCCCTGCCCGCGGAGCCGGCGGCTCTAGAGCGCTTCGCCAAGGGTTACCCTAACACGGCGAATATGATGGCCAATCCTGTCCCGGCGGGATTCTGGTCGACCCTCGCTGAGCCCCTCTCTACGCTCGACTTTTCGGACTTTGTCATTTTAGTTCGTGAGGACCTACCGGAGGATGTCGCCCATCTCTTAACCTGGTGCCTAGTGGAGACTAGGTTTGCGATTGAAGGTCAATATATGCACCTCAAACCCAACAGGTCCCCCTTGACCTATCCACTTGATCCTGTTAAGATGGCTCAAACACCGGTTCCGCTTCATGATGGTGCAAAGCGCTATTATCAAGATGCCGGACATCTGTGATACAAAATTAGTCAATACATCAAGCAACCTGAATAGATACAGGGTGAATCTAGTTAAGTTTGTTTGACTTTCTGCGGTCTAAACTTCCAGGAAATATTAGTGTTTAGTTACACCTAGATGTAGGAGTTGTGATCATTCTGAACACGGGGGAATTTTCACGATTTTTATAGACATAACCGTCGGAATTGTTGTAGTATAGCACAATATGTCTTTCTAAGGATTGCCACGAAAAAATCATGATGCTGAAAATTGTTGTGCTAAACATCGGAATCCCACCAAGTTATTGAGCTAAAGGCCATAATGCTAAAAATTGCGATGCGAAATATCGTGATACGTGATGCCACGAAAAGATTAGATACTACGAAAAGACCGGTGATGCCAAAAACCGTGACGCTACGAAAAGATCGGAGTGTTTCCTTGCTTTACGTATTATAGGCTAGGCGAAAAGAGAATAGAGATTATGGAGTTACGTTACTGCATTCCAGTTGGATGTAGAGGGAGGTAACTTTCGGCGAGATTAATAAAGTCATTGTGTAGCTATACTATGCTTTGAAATGAGGCCACATATGGGGGTGGAAGACACAGTACAGTGCAATTGAAGCGAGTTGACAGACCCTTTTACTTGTTTTACGTCTTGTAGTGGGTACTCGTGTTTCAGGCCGGGTTTCGGGGGACCGGGTTTTGCGCGGGCTTTGGCAGATTCCGTGGATTTTTTCAGTATTTCATGGCTGAGGCTAATCGCACGCCAACTTTGCTTTCGCACGACAGACTAATCTATTTTCAGATATGGTGGATAACAGGTGCACCGAGTACCTAGATATTCTCATAATACCTACTAGGCCCTTCCCCGAAGCTATTCAAAAGACTGTTCAAAAGACTATTAGAAAGATCTTTTATAAAGGGAAAGTTAAAGCATATATATTTACATTTTGAAATGGTTCCCCTAGTCTAGATATCAAGGATCCAGTCTACCTGTTCTCCACCATATCCGAAAATAGAATAGTCTGTGGTGCGAAAGCAGAAGTTGGCGTGCGATTAGCCTCAGCTTATCTCATCTCCTATCCACATTTATCCTCGGGGGTGGTACTCATGACGATTACATTGGATATTTTAATAAGTTCGTTTAGTCTTCAATCCCGGGGAGCTGTCGGTATTGTCGGATGTCCCACAACGGTAAGCTTGCTCTGTGGGCTGACCAGCGCCATGGCATTCTTTATAGCTCGCAGAGCGAGTTAAACGAGATAGGCGGGGGTGCGAAGCCGTCACACAATGACTCTGTGTCACTACCATTCCGTGTCTCCTGAAGCAGTAAATTTGTTAAGGTCTAGTAGTTCTAGGGTGGATATGATATTTGCTGGTTTAAAATCAATGAGTTGACTAGCTGTACAACGTCACGATATGCATTTTTGGACTGCGTGATACGTGCAGGTAGTATTCAATGACAATTTTACGGCGTTGGAAAGCTGTATACTGAGGAATTTTGCGATATAAGCTAAGAGGTAGAGAAAGCCTTCGAAAAGACACGAAGGATAGCTGCTATGCTCTATCAGTGTCCTCATTGCAAAGTTTGCTAGCAGCTTGGAAGAATAGGAAACAAAAATAAAGAATGGAATATATTTCACTGCTTTAAACCATACTAAGCACATACTGCATCCTTCTGGTAAATATGTCATTTTACCACTGTGCCTTTGGGGTAGACTTCTGCGACTTCCCGGAACTCAGGCCTTGCGAGAACATTTCTTAAATCTTCAATAGATTCCCACAATGGAATATCCGTAAGCATATTGTTCTGGCCCGTTCCTTGTATAGTTGAACTTTAATAATTTATTTCTGACCTTTCATCAACTCAGAAGGCTCTTTTTCCAGTAGGCCAGGACACGCTCGTGTCCACCAAGTGGAGCAACAAGAATATCTGATATGACAATACCATTTCAGTCGCATTGTAGTTAGAAGGGAAAGGGAGTATCAGGATCGAATTTCGCAACGTTTATCATGATTGAGAATGTAGATGAGGATATCAACTGCTGTCAGGTGCCTGACTGGCAACACAGCCACGTGGCGCAAGTATTTAGGAACTGTAGTAAGACGGGGAGTCATCGGGGCTAGAGCCTCCGAGTCTGATCCCAGCATAACTCGAAGAGCTCGCTCTGCGGGACTGTAATGAATTTTTTCCCCCGGGTTAAGCGAACATCGATACAGGGTGTAGGATGCACGTTTGGTTGGTACAAGGGTCGGATCAGCTACGTATGACCAATCAGAAGCGTGCCTCGCCATTTCCAGAACTTGGTCCCGCGTGTTCGTAGTTAGATGGCTTGAAGCATTGACAGCTCGTTCGTTGGTAATAGCCATTGTAAAGATCAATCTGGGGAATTAGGAAATTGTGGGGGATGTGGGGATGGATACAGAAAGGACGTGGGGGGGGCGGGTGTGTTGACATATGTAGAGACGAAAAGTTGAAGTATAAATCAACTGTTTTACCTTCGCAACAACTCAAAACTAGACCATATTTTCAAAGCTAGGCAATTTTGTCGACTGTCAATATGAATTCGCAGGTTTGTGACTCGCAACTCTCAACGACTGTGATCTCTAACAAACCCACGCAGGAATGGCCCCTATGGTGGCGGACTTCCGCCCTCTTGAACCTCAGCTTTTTTAGCATGATGACCAATGCATTTATTTCTGACATCTCTCCTCTTTTTGGCCTCATTATAGCGGACTTCCATATCACACCCAATGACGCAGCTCAACTTGCATCCTATGCCGTGCTTACCATAGGCGCAGCGGTAGGCTCAAGTGTGTTCAATATGGTCAACTTGATTACTGACCTTAAAGTCTTCAGAATCTAGCGATGTTCCCGGCCGTATATCTTTTGGGTACAAGATACACTGTTTTGGTGTCGTTGAGTCTGTTTTTGGCCTCCAATATCTGGGCAGCGTTCGCAGCGTCCTATAGCTCTCTCCGCGCCACGAGAATCATTGGGGGTTTTGCCGCTGGAATTGTACAGGGTATAGGACCAATGATGATACCCCAGATGTTCCCACATAATCAGCTTGGAAAGGCGATGGCAGTGTATGTTCTGTTTATGTCTATGGGATCGTCGTTGGGGCCTACATTTGCGGGCATCATTGCGGATCATCTGCATGATTGGCGATGGTTATTCAGGATAACATCAATCCTTCTAGGAGCCAACCTCCTTTCCTGTCTCGCTATGCTGCCAGAAACTCACCATAACCACCGCGACCCCAGCCAAGAAAGCCAATCCCTCGAACAGGGCAAATCTAATGAGGAGAGCGACCACTGCAACACTGTTGAACATGTCGATGAAGTTCCTCAAAGACAGCCTCTCATCCACTTGTGGTTTGAAAGATCATTTTATGTTCCGCAAACTGTTAAGAGTTACAAGCCGTATTTCCAGTACCTGCTTGACCTGTTGTTGCTGCTTATCACACCCGAAATAATTGTCACAGTCCTCATGTGGGCGTGTACAATTGGGTGGGTGCTGGTTGCCTCCATTATGTCGGCAATCTACTATGGTAGTCCTCCATTCTCTTGGAGTAGCCAGGAAATCGGTCTTCTCAACTTGGGCCCTTTTGTTGGCCTTGTCCTTGGATTCCCACTGGGAGGCCCGGTGGCTGACAAGGTAATTCTCTATATCGCCAAAAACAAGGAAGACCCTGATCCAAGGGGTCGTCTGGTTCTCCTCCTGATCGGGGGTATCATATCCCCCCTTGGATGTCTGCTGATGGGCCTGAGCCTCCAAAACCAATGGCATTGGATGGGCTTTGCTGCAGGATGGGGAATGCTGGCATTCGGGATCACGTCTTCCTGCAGCATTCTACTGACCTATTCTATCGACCGATTCAAGCAAAAAGCTGGACATGTTGGACTTGTTGTGCAAATGATCACGTACCTTCTTTCCTTTGCCATGACCTATTGTACGGTCGACTGGTATACTGCCCAGGGAGCACTGAAGCAGTTCGGAACCATGGCTGGAATTCTTTGGGTGTGTTACTTGCTTGGATTTTGTTTGTATTACATTCCTCTTGGTACTCGCGGTTGAAGCCGGTCGCCGAAGGACATCAGTAGCGGCTCATTTAGACACAACCGCCAGTATTTTGGATGTTCAGCATCAAATGGCTCATCAAAAGCAGACGGAATTGTGTCTTCCTGTTTGCTGTGTCTGGTGACGGCCCTGGGCCGAGACCCGGAATTAAGTCTGACGGCAGGAGCAGATTGGAGCTCAGCAATCATGAGCGGTCTTTTCGCGAAGAATATCCAGGCTAGTGCTTGTTTTGCAACTTCTCGTCTCTCTGGAATTTGATTCCCAATCCATTCCATTGTATCGTTGTAGAGGTTATTCAATCCAATAGCACCCTTTTTGAGCTTTCGCAGAGCATGTTTGACATGCCCTTTCGTTGGTAAAGGAGTCAATGAATTGATGTAAAGCTCCGCGAGTAGAAACCTGCAGTTGTCAGTATATTGCATCTCTCGGGATTTCCATGAACCGCAAACTAACATTCCATCAATAGTCCCAACAACCTTCCTCTTAACGTCTTGCATTAGGGCATTGTCCCAAATTTCTGGATCTTGGAGCATCATTTTTTGCTCGAGGTATGTTGTCACGTCGTCCTCAAGCGCATAAATTCGAAATAGCTTCTTGTTCCCAAAATATTTCTGTATCTCAGTACTCTCACACGATGTTTCCAAAACGTTAGCTCCGCACTTGGTTTGTAATTTGAATTCTGCTAAAAGCTTCTCGAGACCACCTTCAGAGCTCGGACCTTCATCAAGGGCGTCGATGAAGATGAATACCCTCGAGTAGCTCATCGCCACAGCGACGAGGGTAGCTGATACCTCCTCGATTAAATGTAGTGTTCCTTCGCTATGATGCTTAAACAGCATTTTCACTTCTGTCGGTAAAGATAAACGTGTCTCGGCTAGTTGTCTCAGCAGGCTCGAGAGTAGACTTCCGATGCGTTGCTCATTCATGGCGCCGAAAATTGCAATAGGCGATACCTATACCTTCGTCGTTAACGGCATTTTGAAGGAGATCGTTGATTGCAATCGAAGTGATGATGGTCTTCCCAGCCCCTGGAGTCCCAGTGCAAAACATGGTCTTTCGGCGTTCTTGGCGCCAGTTCTGGAATTCGATAGAGTTAAGGAACCATTCGCCGGTCCCAGGCTGTCGTCTGAAAATAGTCCCTTTGCTGAGATGCAAAATTGACGGTTGTGATCCAGTCAAGTATCTCGCAATCTTCCCTTTTATCAAGCTTAGATCTAATCTTTTCGATTGTCTCCCCATTTCTTTTTAACATATTCATCCCTGATCTTCTGTTAGATTTGCGAAATGTCATATCTTCAGCAGATGATCTGCCTTAATTTACATTTGCTAGGTTACATACGCTGCTTGGCCAAAGGCAGACTCTCAACCTCTTGCCCTGGTATCACTTGTAGAAGTTGTCTTGCGTAGAAGGCCGCCGTTGCCGCTGCATATGGCTGCCAGGCTTTGCTTTTATGAGAGTCGGCGTAGTTGCCCATGCCTCGAATGACAAGACAGGGAAACGAGTCCATCAATCTTACCAGAGATGTTAGAAATGCCACTAGCGTAGTGTGCCAAAATGACCTGCAGCCTCCATCTCAAAACAAATAATATTTCCCTCGCGGGCCCACTTATCCGGCAAGATGGCGTCCCTCATCACGTCGTCCGCAGAGCCAATGGTCCCGTTATGAATATGAGGATCGGCTCCATTGCGTAGATTTCGCTTGACAAGATTGACGTTGTCCGGTCCACAACATATTTTGCACGACTTCTTTTTGTCCACATGAACAACATTTGATTTGAACAACCGGTCCGGCTATGAGTCCAAATCTCACGGATGGAAAACTGCGGAGCATGTCGTTAGCAACGGTGGCCGCTGAAACCTTGCCTGTTGCTTGAGATGGCAGACATGCGATGACAATCTTGTGAGTACCGATCTCGCCAAGGATGTATGAATTTTTGTCCTTTGGGTCGACTGCCGGAAAAATCGGGTGCTCTTTATCGAGCATGACTGTCGCTGCCACCAGCTCGGTCTTGGGCAAGCACATATCCATCCAACCGTATAGTCCCTGTGGACGAACTGCCGAGTCTGAGACATGCTTGGCCCGAGTGGTGGATACCCTCAACGCGGAGAGATTTAAAAATCGTTGGTCGTGGAAAGTTCAATCTTGTGAACAACTTATACTTGAAATTTACCTTGGTCAGGTACTGAAGGTCGATTAATCCCTGAAGGGGCGATTTGAGACTTGTGAAAGAGGGCCTAGCAGGGCGCTTAGCATCCTCAAATACATAATACATTCACTTCACAGTTGATAGGATAATAATCAGCCGCACGCTTGCTGGACCAGGCTATGCGCTGAATGATGAGTTGGTCTTGATACTATTCGTCCAAACCGACTTATTTGACCCACTTGGGCTGAGAACATATGCACTTAGCCACCACCGGGTCGGGATAGGTAAGATCTTAGAAGAACTGGTAGTTAGAGTGCCTCTCAAGGCGGAATCAGGCCTTGTCGCTGTGATAGTTTGCTCGAATATTCATCTACATATGGATCAGCTAGAACCTGGCTATGATATACTGTAGGCACATGCCTGGGCACGTAATGCAGTTGAATTTCCGTTTCGCACTGGATCTGGACAAATTTGACTAAATTGACTCCTTGCCCGAAGCTGAACTGGTCACTCCATCCACCAATCTTAAGACCCTATTGCCTCTTCACTTTCACTTTTCGATAAGCTATGTAAGTACTCTATATGTATAGCCAATGTAGGCGGTCGGGTAGACCAAATATAACTGGGTAATTCGTCACAAGGCCGGATTGGGCCGACAGCCCCCCTGCCCCGCTTAATCTAGGTGATCATCAACTTAAAAGGCGATCTTGCCCCGCGAGTCTTCCATGAAGGACTTCTGAAATAATAATTCATCTATCTCATCGATTCGAGTCAATCTCATTGCCATATTGTATTATACCACCGCCATGGGTATCCTCGGTAACCACAATCTCGAGCCTTTCCTCGAACCTATTGCCATTTTCAACCAATTCGTGGCGAATGAGCCCCAGACGCTTATTATGAAGGAGAAAGTCCTCTCTGTCTCTGGTGATAGCTTTGAGGTCAAGTTAGCCAGTGGGCAGTCACTTCTGAAAGTTCACGGAGCCTGGGTCTCGATTTCCGGTCGGAAGAAGGTTGAAGACATTCATGGAAAGCATCTCTTTGATATTGTCAAGGAGCATCTGCACCTGCATACGACCTATGGGATTGAAGACTCGCATGGCAAGAAGATTGCTGAGGTCAAGAACAGCCTCGCATGTAAGTTCCATCTGTTATCAATCTCCGCCTATCCTAATATCTGGTTGGAATTTGAATGTCACCAGAAGGCTGATTATACTAGTGCTCGGCTCCAAAGCAACCGCCACTTTCACTGATTCGCAAGGGAAGGCCGTGACTCTGAAAATGAAAGGGGGCTGGTTCGACCGTACCGCCGACATCGTAGATGAAAGAAGCGGTAAAACTGTGGCCCGCATCGACCGAAAGCTGCTTAGTGGCCGTGATCTTATATTTGGCCAGCAGACTTACGCCGTCGTGGTGGCTCCAGGAGTTGATGCAGCATTGATCGCCGCATTGTGTATATGCTTTGATGAGAAGAACAATGAGTCGTCTAGCTAGTAGCCATGTCAGGATGCAGTGCTACAAGATGCAATCGCGAGACAGCGCTTGCATGATCGGCTTTTTTAGATTACCAAATTGTTAAAACCTCCAGGTTGACTTTTCACATTGCCAGTGCAAATCACAGATGAAAGGGCTATGTTGCTTAGTCTGATTGACCTTCTATTTTCAATTGAGAATATTTGTTTCGTCTCTTTCTCATTTTGCGTGATATTCATACTTCATAGGCTTGAGAACGGAGTCCTAAGGGACCCCGAATAGTTTAGGGTTTTAGCCACCAAGAACCACTTGTTCGGAGCGCTTCTCCACGATAGGCAAGATCTCTGACAGCCGGTTTGGATCTCTCATCAATGCTGGAATGTCATCGCGAGTACCTGCTAGGATCTGGGAAATGTCAGTATGTTCTACCGAGACACGACACTGGCAAAGGGGTCCTACTTGTCTAACTTTCTCATATTCACACTCCTTCGACTGGTATTCCCGAATCACCTCGCGAGTCTCGAAGTCAACGTAAACCCGAGTGTCGCGAAGACGTATCAAAACATTGTCCAAACGCATGAAGAACCTCGACAATAGCAGGAGTCTGCCAGGCATGACACGAATCTTGCAAGACAACATTGCAATTCCATTGTCGGCCAGCTCATCTTCGTATAGCACAACTTCGTCGAAAAAAAGGATAGGGTCAGGGCGCTTCAATAATTCGATGGGAATCGGCTTCTCGGTCTCTTCAAATGGGGGCGCATTGGGACTGAGTGTGCCCTTGTAATCGGTGCTGTAGGACCAGTCGAACGGCTTGACGACCTCTTTGATTCCTTCATGTGTTTTCTCTCTATTTGAGGTATCCTGTCAGACCAAAAGCGAGTACCTCACCGGGAATCACTTGCATTACCTGCTTTGTTGCCATTCCTTTGAATATGCGACCTGCAGCATGGACTGCCCAGTCTTGTCAACCCGGTCGAGCGCGTCAAACGCGTTGAAGTCGATTCCCCAACCAGTCTTCTCATGTTCAATGGTGACATGGTTGTCTCCGAAGATCATCTCAGGCGGTGCAATGCCCAGCTGCTTCGTCATCTCCTCAATGGGCTCCGCTTTGAGGATGGGGAGCTTCTGGGTGGCGATGCGGAACCCCCCAACAAAAATCACATGAGGCCTTTGCGTCTCAGGGGAGACTGCCCCATGGCCCGTAGGCGCGGCAGAGGGTCTGGAAGCCATGGACAGATCAAAACTCGACCATATCGTCACAGAGAAAGCGTTATCTAGCCTAGCGACCGATCTCGTGCTGATAGCGATAGCCCCGCGGCGCACGGAGAAAGAGGCGGGCCGATGCGTTGCTGGGACGACGGGCTGGGGCGGGCACCCAAACATCCGTTCCTCTCTTCTCCATCTCCGTCTCCATTCTCCATCCGTCCATCCGACCAATTCGACAAACACCCCAACCTGAACTATGCTGGTGAAGGCTTGAATTGATTTTTTTGTGTTCCTTTGCTTTTTGCCCACCAACACCAACCACACTTCTCCCTTTTCTCCCTTCCATCGCTTTCTTCCATTTTTCGCACCCTTTTCTAGCAATGGCGACCAAGACGCTGGAAGCTCGATTCGAGCATTTGTCCGTTAAGGACGAAAAGGAAACCGGAAACGATCGCACATATGGAAAGCACAAGGTATTACCGAGCTTCAATTATGGGACAAAACAATAACATGCTGACTCGATCTCGCTGAAGGGCTCCGTCTCGACCGCCGTCTCTCTGTCTGGTCTTGGTGGTTCCGCGTCCAATTCCAACCGGGCACACTTGCTGAAGCTGGCTCTCCAAAATACCAACGACAACAAGGTCAATTCGATGAATGTTCCCCCCTCTCCTGGCAAGGGTGCGATTGTGTCTCGGAATACCGATGAGAACGGTGATCAGCGCAGCGCCACTCCACTCTACGATCAGCCCAGGTCGCTGCACCTGGGCATGTTTGAAATCGGCAAGCCCCTCGGCAAGGGCAAGTTTGGCCGTGTCTACCTTGCCAAGGAACGATCCTCGGGCTTCGTCTGCGCTCTCAAGGTGCTTCACAAGTCGGAGCTGCAGCAGGGTGGTGTCCAAAAGCAGGTCCGTCGTGAGATTGAGATCCAGAGCAACCTCCGTCACCCCAACGTCCTCAGACTGTATGGTCACTTCCATGACAGCAAGCGCATCTTTTTGATCCTTGAGTTCGCTGGTCGTGGAGAGTTGTACAAGCATCTTCGCAAGGAGCACCGCTTCCCGGAATGGAAGGCTGCGCAGTACATCGCTCAGATGGCAGCAGCTTTGAAGTATCTCCACAAGAAGCATGTCATGCACCGTGACATCAAGCCTGAGAATATCCTGGTCGGCATCCACGGCGAGATCAAGATCAGTGACTTTGGCTGGAGTGTCCACGCTCCCAACAACCGGCGCCAGACGATGTGTGGAACTCTCGACTACCTGCCCCCAGAGATGTTGAAGCCCGGCTCGCAGGACAACTACTACAGCGAGAAGGTTGATCTGTGGAGTCTTGGTGTTTTGACCTATGAGTTCTTGGTTGGCGAGGCGCCCTTCGAGGATACCCCGGTGATGACCCAGCGACGAATTGCCCGCGCAGACATGTCTGTGCCGTCCTTCGTCAGCCCCGAGGCGAAGGATCTGATCAAGAGAGTGAGTTTCCCCCTCAATGTCATCTACGAACTCAATTTCTAACTTCAGTACAGCTCCTCGTTCTCGACCCTGAGAAGCGCATTCCCCTTGACGAGATTCAGCGTCACCCTTGGATTGTCAAGCACTGTGTGAAGGACCCAAAGCGAAGCTCAGGTTCTTCCAAGGATGGGAAAGCATGATGAACTATGCATGACAGATTGGTGTTCCGGTTTCTATTTTTTCTTCATCCAGCCTTGCCTACGACAAGGTTTTTAGGCGTCGGTTTTTGTGCATCATTGGAGTTGTTTTTCTTTCACGGCGTATAGTCGGGCAGGCATTTGCGATATGGGGAAATATGGGCTTTTTAATCTTTGTTTTTCAATCGATGCCAATGCAAAATATGGTACATTCAAATCAATTCTATGGTACAGAGTATTCGGTGTGCAGGGCGAGTGGAGTCGTAGACAGAAAAGAAACACAACGGCAGGGGGAACTTGGTATCATCGGTAAATTTCATCAAAGGGCCTCGTGTCTCGGAAACAGCTATCCCACACTTCGTTCACCACCTGCTCCGCGTGAGCCTCATCTCGGCAGGTCGGGCGTGCCCTCACAGAGAGAATTGCTCTCCTGCGTACACACTCCTGATGTTGCTGGGTGAACTTCCATTGGCCTCGGCGGAAGAACTCTCGCGCCCATCTGCATTCGCCGCTCAAGGAGCTAGCTCGGATCTAGAACGAGTCAAACAGTCAGCAGGAGGTCAGAATGATGGAGGCACGGATTCCCACTGAATGTACATACCTCTGTACAGGCAGCGTGTCGCAGGTTGTCCGTCCAGTTGACCTTGAATCGCAAGTGGTCGTATGCGTGGACCATCTCGTGAGCCATGGTGTCCTCCAAATGACCCTGATCCTTCATCTCATTGGCGCACAGCAGAATGCCGAATTCAGGATCAAATCCACCTGCCTTTCGACTCGTGCATCGGCGGCAGTAGATGTTGTGACTGTGAAGATCGCCTCCAAGCTGGCGGATGTTATCGCTGAGGAATCGAATGACGGGGCCTGTAAAAATAAAAATTCAGTCTCTCCATTCTGACTATACTCCACCAGGATCTTGTCACTCACTGTACTGAAGCAAATAATCACGCTGGTCCTCGCAGCGCTTGCAATCCGCAGATTCATTGCGCAAGTCTCGCGCAACGCGGAACTGCTCAATGCCCTCGGAGGTCATCTTCCCCGTCAAGATCCGGTAGATATTGCGGAACTGGGTGAACGTGTCATCTCCAGCAACATATCCAGTCTCCGGCTTGTCATTTGAAGGTGCAGCCGCACCTGGCGACTGAGAATCGGACATCTTGGGCTCGCGGACTCCAAAGAAGCACGTCGGCAGAGACGAAGAAACTCCGATGGGGCGGAAGATGCCGGCAGAAACGGCCGAAGATGCCCCGATGCAGGCGGGATGAACGAATCTTTCCCGTAAGACAAACTGCGGGGTACAGCGATCTTTTTCTATTTATTGCGATCAAGTGCCTCGGGGGAGGGTCTGTTTCTTACTGATTGATCTTCTTGCGCAAACATGGCAGCCACGGGGCTGACGATCGTGATTAAGCTGGGTGCGGAGATATATATTCTGCGATTGACTAGAGGTGTGACTCAACTAACACTTTCTATGTTTTGGCAGGGACCAGTTCAATTGTCGACGAAAAAACCCACGAGCCAATTCTCTCAATTCTCACATTGATTGTCGAGACGGTAGCCCGATTGCGCAAAGATGGTCACCGCGTGGTATTGGTCTCGTCTGGTGCTGTTGGTGTTGGCTTGCGGAGGATGGACTGGGATAAACGGCCTACACACCTGCCCCGAATACAGGTACGAGCTTGATGATTAAACAAGCAGTGATGTTGGAATGGAGGGCAACATGCTTCTGGGTGGTAATGCTGACAATGGAGCTCTACAGGCACTCGCTGCCGTTGGCCAATGTCGGCTAATGAGTCTCTGGGACAACTTGTTCTCACATCTCCGAGTCCCAGTGGCTCAAATTCTTTTGACGAGAAATGACATTGCAGATGTAAGATGCAAACCCCTATTATCTATGCATGGCCTGTCTCTAACACCAAAACAGAGAACTCAATACATCAATGCTCAAAATACCTTTGAGCAATTGTTCGAGATGGGTGTTGTTCCCATTGTCAATGAAAATGATACCCTTGCTGTTTCTGTATGGACGTCCCTTCGTCAGCTTGAAAAGAACCCGGTCTAATATCTTCTAGGAAATCAAATTTGGCGACAACGATACCCTTTCCGCGATTGCAGCGGCCACCGTCAAGGCCGACTATCTATTCTTGATGACCGATGTTGATTGTCTCTACACGGCCAACCCTCGGACAAACCCAGACGCCGAGCCCATCGAAGTTGTATCCGATATCTCGCTGTTGGAGGCTGATGTCTCTTCTGCCGGCTCAGCCCTTGGAACCGGTGGCATGAGCACTAAAATTGTGGCTGCCAAGCTCGGAACTAGCGCTGGTGTGACCACTATCATTACCAAGAGCTCCAAGCCCGGAAACGTTCACGACATTGTCAAGTACTTACAACGTCTTCAAGAAAACCCCGACGAGCAGGCCTCCGACATCCCACCTCCTCCTCTCCATACTCGGTTCCTCCCCTCGGATACCCCAATCCAATCCGTCACCTTCTGGTTACTCCATGGCCTGACACCCCACGGCACGCTATACATCGACCAAGGAGCCTACGACGCGATCCTGAACCACAAGGCCAGTCTACTTCCCGCTGGAGTAGTCGGTGTCGAAGGACACTTCGCACAGCAAGAAGCCGTGCGGCTGGTAGTCGCGGAGAAGCCCTCGCCTGATGCCCTTGATGGTGACTTTATCCACCACGCGCAGGAGCCTCGGGAAGTGGGTCGCGCACTGGTGAATTACGGCTCCATGGAGATCGCGCTCATCAAGGGCCACCGAAGCACACATATTGAGTCATTGCTTGGCTGGTCTGAAAGCGAATATGTTGCCTTGCGGGAGAATATCTCCTTCCACCCGCAAGAAAGCCGTTCGGTCACGCCGTGTCTTACTCCCGCACTGGAGGAGTGGAAATCACCCAGATCGCCCCGGTCACCACCCAACGGGCGTTCATAACGTTGCACGAATAATGTGAAAATGAAAGAATAGGGGAAAATTTCATAGATGTGGAGCTGTAAATACGAAGGCATGAGATTTAGGAGAACATTTTCCAGGCCACCATCACTGGTTGGAGGTTATAAAGGATGCTGGGAACAGCACAAAAGTTTCATCGCATTGCGATTATGGCGAGAAAAAAACATTAGACGATCAAGAATCAACACTTTGAAAAGTCGAGCGCAAGTTCAACACTTGCACTCAACCGTCAAGCCCGCAATTCAACTCCGCAGAAGTAAATAGATGGTACAAAAAGTCTGTGTTTAATCCTTCCAACGCTCCAACCATTGCTGCATTCTCTTATCCAGCGTAGGCGCAGCAGCAGGGGCAGCCTACACATATTAGCATATTTCTATAAGAACTGATATCACACTCTCTACATACCGTATTCTCAATGCTGTGCGTGGTCCAGGTCAAATACGCCGTATCAGTGTATTGAACCGTCGGCGCCCCCAGGTACGTAGTCGCAATAGAGAAAGGGAAAGGCGGGTATTGAGGTGTAGGTGATCTGGTTGCAATAGTGGTACCGGCTCGCTTTGGCATCGGGGCATACTTGGTTAGGCCCGTTTGCATTCCGTAGGGAACAGTGTGCTGATCCACGTAACGCTTTCGCAGCTCATGTCGGTCCATCTCGGTGGGAATGGTCGGCGTGGGGAATTGTAGCAGCGAGTTCTTCGTATCATCGTTGATGTCGCTGGTGAGGATTGAGCCGTTGAGGGTTGGGGGTAGGTTGGATGCGTCGAGAAGGTTTGCGTCTGCGCCTGGGATCATGGGGAGGGTAATGAATTCGATTGATTTGACTGCGTTGGACACTGTGGTGGAAAATGTGCCTTTCATGTTGATTAAGGTGAAATGCGAGGTAAATCCAGACCAGTGATCCTTGGAGTTTGAAGGGACGACCTTGAGGAAGCTGATTCGGGTATTGTTAGTATAGGTGGAATTGCCATTGTTGGTGTTTGGGCTCTTTGTGTCACCGTACTATGCATTAGGGTCATTGCCGCCGACGTCCTGGGCAACTCGGAAGGACACGAAGTCTCCAGGTGCAAAGGTACCGTCGGTGATTACACGAGTTAGAGACTCCTGTATAGATCTGTTTAGTTCCGGACCATGACCTTGTAGTTACAGTTCCACTCACATATGCCCCCGTTGACTCGTCACCAGCACAAAGATAGAAGTCATAACTTCCCGTTGTTTGGCCATCGAAAGCCCATAGCAGACTCACTTCATCGCGGCTATCAAAGGTCAGACCACTCAGAGTCTGGGCCGACGCCGCTGTAAACAAGGAGTATAGAGCTGGCAACAATCGGTCGAATCTCATACTGGGGTTTGTCGGGGAGATTGAACAGGAGAAGAACAGATTGGAAGACACGACTGGGCCAAGGGAGGTTCTGCTGTCCTCTTTGCACCCCCCTTGGCCCCTGGTATGTACGTCGTGAAGAAGGGAGACGAGTGTCTCATTCCAATGTAGTTCCAAGATGGGCAAATGATATGCAGCGCTAAGATAAGCGATAAGTTAATGGATCAGGCCATAACGCGATAAGACGATAAGCCCATGTGGCCCGTGCTATCGGGGGCCTTTCTGTTCCGTTGTCAGTCGACTCGCCGCTTTCTCCATCCGCATCAGCCCACACCATGTCGAGTCAAGCAGGTTGGAATTCAGTAACGGGCATTGCGACCCTATTGCTGGATGGCAATTTGACTGCCATTGCTATTGCGATCGTGATCGCCTTCGGCGTTCCCATTTTTCTGCATCTCGTCTTCTATCGCGCAGCAGCGTCGCCGCCGTCGAGTAACTTTCTCCTGTTGGGCCCCAGCGGAGCTGGCAAGACAGCTTTCACGACCCTGGTAAGACCGCCTTTCTCATGTTTTTAGTACGAAACTCCTCACTTACACTCTTCCACAGCTCGAATCCAAGTCTGCGCCAGCTACCAAAAAGTTGCACAGCACGCACACCTCCCAGACCTCAACTCTCATCACAGTCACTCTACCCCCGACGGTCCCCACTGCGTCCAACCGCTACCGATCCGTGAATGATCCCTCTTTGAAAGAAGCCTCGAAGAACCCGGTCCAGTACCGCCTGCGGGATACCCCCGGCCATGGCAAGCTGCGTGCCTCCCAGGGCATCGCCGAGCTCCAGGCAATGGCCACATCCACCGACACCAAGACCAAGCTTCGTGGCGTGATCTTCATGGTAGACACCGCCGCTCTGGTGGATGAGACCATTCTCCGGGACACCGCAACCTACCTGCACGATGTTCTTCTGGTTCTTCAGCAGCGCGCGCTGGGCAAGGGCAAGTCGTCCACGAAACGGGCCGCCGAGATCCCCGTTCTGGTCGCCGCGAACAAGCAGGACCTGTTCACGGCTCTTCCTCCAGGTTCAGTGCGGGAGAAACTGGAAGCGGAGATTGATCGTATCCGCAAGTCCAAGACTAAGGGTCTCATGGACGCCAGCATGGACAGTGCCGCCCTGGATGCTGAGGAGGAGGATGTTCTGGGCGACGATGATGCTCAGGGTGTCTTCGGCTTCAAGCTTCTGGAGCAAGTTGGCATCAAGGTTGACGTGACTGGTGGTGCCGTCAAGGGCGACCAACAGGAGGAGTTTGGCTCTGGCGTGCGTCGCTGGGAAGAGTGGGTGGGCATGTGCCTGTGAGAGATGAGAATCTCCAAGCTTTCGCTTGATCTGGAGTTATTCTGGCTATGATATTCTGAATAGTTCTTGCGCTATCGCTGGTGCACTTTTGGATCTAGCCTTGACCTTTGGATTGGACATGCACTTCTTGTACCTATACTGGGCTGCTGGTTGTGATCGCAGGTAGCATCACAAGCTCGGCCCTTGATGAAATCAAATTCCCCGCTTATCAATCTTATTCAAAAACGCTATTCCCAGAACCATCTTGTATTGAACCTTGTACCGTGACTAAATATCCTGATCTGCAGTCCTACTAATTCATAGTGACGTTCCAGTCAGGCCGACAACATAGTCTAGCCACTTCGGCTCCAGAGAGATCAAGGCTATCACAGGCCCGAGAGTTCGCCTGGAGGGACGAGGCAGATCTGAGCATACAGAAGATTATAAAATATAACAGTATTGCTTCTGGATTGAGCAAAACAGTAGGCATGTTCGCTGATTCTGTCAAGATCCAAGAAGGCAATCCCAATTAGGCAATAACGGGGGTTATTGCCATTCTTAAGGTCAAGCAAACAACTCCACCCCCTCCGATGGCCTAGTTGGTATCCACCATAAATTGGTGAACCAATGGTGTGCCCTGGAGGAAAGGGCAAACAAAAGAAGAAAAGAAATTACTGAGCCAGTGTTGACGCTTCGAGCTCCACGGACGGCCGGGCACACCGCTAGGCGGGGGGAGTTTCTGTTTTGGAGATTTTTTTAGTTATGTTATTTTCTGACATAGATTTTTCCTACTATGCCTTATTGTTATATTATTTCAATTCTCTAATAGCCATTTCAAAGGTGTTATGAGGGTGTAATGGTGTATATAAAAAGCGGGGTGGGACTGGCGATGTTCTTCGGTGTCCGTGGATGGCGATGAAGTAACAAGGTGAAGTATATAGGGGAGGAGAAGGTCAGCGGTTCGATTCATGAGAGTGGTGATTCGATTCCTTTCCAAATGTTTGATATTTGGCTGTGGCTATTTGGAAAGTACTGCCCATTTGGATAAGGCTCGAATATCAATCCCAGATGAGAGCAGTCGAGCATCAACCTGATCAAAAGGTTTTCTGATCTCGTCGCGAATGGCCTCGGTAGACTGATCTAGTCCTAGTATTTTCGAGGCTCGAGGGAATTTACTACAGGTTCGCAACGAATTCGATCCAAATCTCTGAGCGTATTGCATTAAAAGGTAGTAAATTAAGGAATATCTTACAAAAATTGAAAATTCCACGGTATTAACTACCCACACATCTTGACTCGTGTTTAGCCAGGTAACCTATATGCGTTATCCCACGTTTCAAGACTAGACAGCCCAATATTCAATCTTCTTGGGAATAGATAGTGACGGCTTTGAACAGTAATAAAAGAACCAAAGTCACTTCCCACTCTGCCAATTCTCCCCCAACATCTGAGCAACCCGATCATCAATCCAATCCTATATCAACCCATTAGCACAACAATCACCACAATCATCACCAAGAAAAGCAATTCAAACCTACCCAAACCTCCCTCGCAAGGTCCCCATCCCTCGCCAACCTCGTCGGCTCCTCCCCCTTCGCAATAGGCACAAAATACCCACCCCTAATCCCCCTCTCACTCACCTCGGGACTAGTCGCCAAATAAACCGCCGTCGCCGCCCCCTCCTCAACACTCTGACCCAACCACCTCCCCAAACCCCTAATAACGACGCCCACCACCCTCCCTAAATGCTCACTCCACCCCTGCCACTGCTGAGTCACCACATTCCCCGGGGAAAACGAGTTCACGTACACTTTTTTCGCGCCGGGATCGTCGTCTTCTTGTAGGCGGCGGGTTAGTTCCTTTGCGAAGAGGATGTTGGCTAGTTTTGAGCGGGCGTAGCGCCAGACGGAGTCGTGAATTGCGGGCCATTTTTTTGTTGGATGGGTTAGGGCGGGAAGGGAGAGGGTGAGGCAGAGTTGGTGCAGGCTGGAGGAGGAGATTACTATTCGGGTGCCGTGGGGAGTGGTTGAGGTGGTTTTTTTAAGGAGGGGGAGGAGGAGGGTTGTTAGGATTTGGTGGCCGATGCAGTTTGTTGTGAAGATTGGGTCGATTCCATGGTTGTTTAGGGGGGTTATGGGTTGGATGCCGAGGCCTGGATTGAAGAGTCGTGATTAGTGTATACTTGGAAGGTATGTATGAACCAGGATTGGGGGTATACACATACCGGCATTGCAAATCAAAATATGAATATACTCCGTCTGCTCTTTAATCTTCTTTGCCGCGGCATAAACATCCTCGATATCACCCAGATCACACTTCACAAAAGTAACTCGGCTATCATCTTGAGTAAGTTCAATTCCCTTCCTAACTCTCCATTCATCATAGGCGGTTTTGAACTTGTTCTCGTCCCTGGCGACAACAATGACCTTTTCGATGCCGTGGAGTAGGAGTTGTGCTGTGATTTCTATATTTGAAAAGGGGAAAATATGAGATCGATGGGTCTCTTTATACTGATCGGAAAGCGTAGAGATGATTTGGGCATACCTTTTCCGATGCCTGCTTGACCACCCTGAGAAATTAGTTAGCATGTGTGGTAGATAACTAGTGTGTGTCTTAGACATACTGTTACCACTGCGACCTGACCTTCCAGATATGGTGTATCCTGCAACGAGAAATTGTGATATGTAAAAATTCCTGACATTTTGAGTGATATTGAATGTGTTGAGTGAATTGTCGTGGGAAGTTGTCTAGATTAAAGTAAACTAAGCTTAAAGCTCGGAGGCGATAAGGTGACAGATAATCGGAGATACCTACGTCATGTCATACCCACGACCAGTGCGACAATTAAAAAAAAAGCAAGAAAACCTCAACCCTACAAAGTACAAAGTTCATGTTTCGAAACAGGTTTAATCTTGTCCATGTCAATTTGACGAGGATCTATAGAAGATGTGTATTATGTATAGATGCAACGCGTTTCATCCGCGAAGCATGATATATAGAAGAGTCCTTTCCACCACAAGTTGTGTTGAACCAGATCGGGGGGGGGGCATCTCAGCTCCCTCAAGAAGAAAACGCCTTTCCCAAACAAAAACAGAAGTAAAAGAAAAATCATTCAAAAATCCAGGGATGTTGAAACTCCATCTACGAGGTACATTCAATACCTCGCAGAATGCAGATGAACCCAATAGTAACCCATCCTACCACAGGCAAACAGTCGTCAAAATCATTTCATCTCATCTAAGCGCCGTTGGCCTTGCCGTTGTGCAGCATCCAAGTGAGCAGGTCGACCTTGGTCACAACGGCCAACGGCTTCAGCGCACCGCTCTCGTCCTTCTCAGTGACCACGGCGGCACTGTTCCACTCGAAGAAGCGGTTCAGCACGGTGAGGGGAGTATCCAAGGTGATCTCCATGAACTGGCGACGAGCGCCAGCGCCAGCGGAGCGGCCGAGAGCGCGGGGGTCGGTGACAACCTCCGGGATCTTGGAGAAGTCGAACATGACCTCGGAGACAGGGCTCTTGCCGGTGGCGCGGCCGTGAGTCAGGCGGCTGAGAACGTTACCCAGGGTGACCAGACCGACGAGGCGGCGACCAGAGGGGGCAAGGACCGGCAGCTGGTCGAAGCCCTTGTCACGCATGATCTCGATGGCGGCTTCGCAGGCGAAGGTGGAGGTCACGGCGGTGATGGGCTTCAGACGGAGAGCGCTGACCTTGGCGCCAGCCAGGGGGTCAGCAGTAACAGGGGGCTGCTGAGTCTTGGCGGGCTCGGTGGGGAGCGTAGGGAGGAGGTCGTTGGCGGCGAGCCAGTCGTCGTCGGCGAACTGTAGTAAAGAGTTAGCATTTGTGAAGAACCCATTGATACCGGTAATGAGGTCGTACCTTGGAGAGGTAGCTGCGGATGCTATCAGGGAGCACAACGACAACCACATCGTCCTTGGAGAACTTGCGCTCCTCGTTGGCATGCACCAACGCAGCAATGGCGCTACCACTGCTACCACCAACAAGCAGACCTTCCTCGGCGATCAAACGGCGCGAGTACTGGAAAGATTCCTTATCACCAGTCTTGTACCAGCGGTCGATGATCTTCTGGTCCAGCACATCGGGAATGAAGTCATAACCAATACCCTCAACCTTGTAAGGCTCATTGGCGTGGGGATCGTTGAGAGCCGCAGGCAGGGCCAGAATAGAGCCGTGGGGATCGGCCGCGATGACCTCCACGTTGGGGTTGTGCTTCTTCAGGCCACGAGCGATACCTGTGATAGTACCACCAGTACCCGCGCCGGCCACGACAGCGTTGATCTGACCGTTGGTCTGGGTCCAGATCTCCTGGGCGGTGCCAAACTCGTGAGCATTGGGGTTGTTCACATTGCCGTACTGGTCGAGGATGTGAGCATTAGGCAATTCCTTCTCCAGGCGCTTAGCGACACCAATGTGGGACTCGGGGGAGTCGTAAGCGGCCTCGTTGGGAGTACGGATGATGGTTGCATTGAGGGCGCGGAGAACGGCGACTTTCTCGGCGGACATTTTCTCGGGAAGGGTGATGATGGTCTTGTAGCCTGGAGAGAACAATAATTAGTATCACCGAAGATTGAATCTCAGAACAATGAATTCGAACTCACCCTTGACGGCACCAACCAGCGCCAGACCGATACCACTGTCATGTCAAGAAGAATTAGCATGTGCATTCCCAACATCAACTTCCGGCACCAGGAAAAACGAACGTGTTGCCACTTGTCGGCTCGATAAGAGTATCACCCGGCTTAATGCGACCCTCGCGCTCAGCCTCCTCAATCATGCGTAGGGCAATGCGATCCTTCACACTGCCACCAGCATTGAAGTACTCGCACTTGGCGTAGACGGTAGCATCGATTCCCAGGCTGCGGGGCAGACGGTTCAGGCGGACCAAAGGGGTGTTGCCGATGTTCTGGGTGATGGAGTCCAGCGTCACCGGAGGGATGACGGGCTTAGTAGTCGACGCCATGGATGCGAGTTTCTAGCACCCAATTGTTGAGATTTGGAGGAGGAAGGAGGTGGTGAAGAGAAGAGGTGGAAGAAGGACAGGTGGAAGATTTCGCCATCGTCTGATCGGATTGGGATTTTCCTGTAAGGTTTATCGCCCCGCCCGAGGGTAACCGCGGGTCTCGTTTTTTCACCTGGTGGATCTTGACAGGGCCCAGTCTTGGCCCTGTGACAAATGTAAATTGGGGGGAGAGAGAGTCTTCTAAAAACATTGGAGAAATGTCTAAGTTAATAAGAGGGGGTGACTAAGTACATCTTGCTGGTGCAAGTTTTATATAGGGATCGCATCGAGGCTATCATACATATTGAGGGGCCCTTCCGTGGCGATCATTTCTGAGCTTATTTATCTATCACTCCAGTAGGATCTTCGATCTGAACTCGGCGACACAAGTTTATGCAGTCTTGATTAGCATAGCATATTGATAGGATCTTCATCTTAAATTATTTAAGCTATTCCTTTCGACGGTCTCATCGAATCCTTATTTCGTCCTACATATTACGTCCTTTTTAAGGTAGTATCCGGCTCGTGCAGGTACAGATTCGCCAACTCCTCCTCCGCCTACCGGATAGAGATACCAATGAGCTCATATGTAAACAAACATCATATAAAATGAATAGAGAAATCTAATTAACAAAAGATCCACGAAGCTCTCTAGCAATCAGCTACCATTCAACCTGTACAACTTACTCATAACCATCACCCATTGTCACAATGCCCTCCACACCCACTCACAAGCACCTCTCTCGCGACGAACGCCTCAAAATCCTCACCTTACGCGAGACCGGCCAAACCTATGATCGAATCGCTATCAAAATGGGCTGCACATCCCACCAAGTCCACTATGTATGCAAATTGAATCAAGCCACCCCACGAAAAGGCCGTGGTCGCCGTTCAAAGCTCTCGGAAGATCGGATAGACGGTGTGATTGAATGGATGCACGCTTCGTCGGATAACCGCTCCAAGTCTGCGCACCAGATTGTGACGGACCTCGAGTTACCTGTGTGTGCAGAGACGCTGCGAAAGACACTCAAGGCGCGTGGGATAAGTACATATGGAGATGCGCGAACACAGTCTCGTGATTTCAAGTTTGGAGGCAGGCTTCTTACCATTTCTTGAATTGGTGTTCGGGTTGAATATGTCGAGTACTTTTCAAAGAGATCCAATATATTCAGCTGGTTAGCATATGGAAAGGTATAGACGGTTTCTGCAAACCTTTTGGAGTAAACATTATGGACGATCGCACCCTTTGAGACTAAGTAAGGAGCAGTCTCAAACCAGCCATGTACTGTATGAACCTCGGTCAGCAGTAATAGTATAAGATCAGTGTTCATAGTTTCTCCACTCTAAGATGCACCCGATTCCTGTTCATTATTATTGATGCGACCTGCAAGTTGTACTTCATCGGCTGCTTAACCAGAATTAAGCAGTTGCCTGTCCACCTCGTTGCAGCAAAAGCTCCACTTTCCAGGCCTGCGGTTCCTCTGCATACCGAGACTGTGGTATGCACTTCGTCATTGAGTTTCATCCTATTGATTTCTACTCCCCTCTGTCCTTCCATCTTCAACCTTAATAACACTCTTCAGGACCACTCTACTACCGCAGAACATCACACCCAACCGTGAATGAAACTTCCGCTAGTCTAGTCGCCAGACTCGCCACCACAGACGATCCTAACTTCAGGGGTCGGCGCCAGCGGAGATGGCCAGAAGCTAATCGTGTGGCTGTGCATAGCCCATGGCGCTCTGTGATTGTTCCCCACAATTCGGGTGTGTTTCATCCCTGAGGAAAGAGAATCTGGCACAATAATATGACATGTCTCTGTCTGGCTGGGAGTGTTTCAATGCATCCAGTGATGGATGACAGAGTTGCTTGCTGGCAAGGGCGTACAGTGCAGGAGGGGGGTTGGGCAGACAAAAACACTGTACACGCCTGCAGTACAGTCCTGCACTCAGCACAGAAAAAAAAAGGAGGAAAAGGGTCAAAGCGAGATCAGATCGGAGTGGACTGCCAAGACCTTCCAGGCTCATTGCAGCTTCCCGTCAGTCAATCTTGTTCCTCATGATTGGCTGCGCGACACGGCCAGCGAAGCAGTGTGGAGAGGAGCTTTTTGATTTGCCCTCCTGTCGCTTGTTTATGGTTGTAACTCTATACGAAATTCCACTACTGATAACTTGCTTTTTTCCCTGTGGTGGCTTCACCTGAACCTCCCACTTCATCTTTGACCGACCCTCGTGCTCTCTTTTCTTCTCTCCTGTCGACTCTACCCAGCTTGTATACCATATCATCTTCATCATCCTCTTCCAAGCTTCGACTCCGCGTGAGCAACCTCGCTTATCTCTCTTGACCTGATTCCCGGTCCTCCAGCTTCCAGGCAGAGAGGAATGGCCTCCATCAGGTCCGCCACGGGCGTGACCTCTGCAGGCGATGGACTCCAATCCATGTCCCAGGAGAAGGTGACAAGGGCGACTTCCAACTCCATCCTGCCAACAAACCACCAGCACAAGCACCATCCATCCCGGTATGTGCTGGGTCTCTTTCGCGTGGACAGTGCCGGCGAGAGCGGGCGGACGGGCATCCACCCAGTCCACTTTCTCAAGGTAACCTTCAAGAGTATCTGTACAGCATCAATGATCGTGAACGTCCTATGGCCGTTCGTACCGGCCGCAATCGCCATGCATTTCGCACGCCCGGACCTGCACGTGTGGGTCTTCGCCCTCAACTATATCGCAATGGTGCCGTCGGCGAATGTCCTCGGGTTCGCGGGTGGTGAATTGGCAAAGAAGCTTCCCAAGGTGCTTGGAATCTTGCTAGAGACGTTCCTGGGCGCGGTGGTTGAAATCGTGCTGTTCATGGTCTTGCTCCATAATGATCATGACGGCCACCTACTCCCTGTCATTCAGGCTGCGATTCTTGGCTCGATTTTGGCGAATTTGCTCCTCTGTTTGGGAACGTGTTTCTTTGTCGGTGGTCTTCGGCGGTCTGAGCAGGTCTTCCACGAGGCAGTTAGCGAGGTTGGAACGGGATTGCTGCTGGTAGCAGGCTTTGGTCTGCTGATTCCCAGCGCATTCTACTCTGCGCTAAAGAGCGCTGTCAACGAAGAATTCACAATCGAGATGTTGGGTGATTATTCGCTGAAGATCAGTCGTGCTACGGCTGTTATTCTCCTCATCGCTTTCGTGACGTAAGTCCTGACAGTTCCTAGCTACATTTTGAACATGACTAACAACACTATTTTATAACAATAGATATCTCGTCTTCAACCTCCACAGCCACAACTCGATCTTCGACGAGATCCTCGAAAAGGACGAGGCACAAGATGAAGACCGACACATGGAGCTCCGACGAGCCAAACTCACCTTTGCCGAGTGCATTCTCGCCATTGTCATCTCGCTAGCCTGCGTCTGCATGTCTGCCGTATTCCTAGTCCAAGAAATCGAACACATTGTCGAACTCGGCGTGTCCGATAACTTCATGGGTTTGATTCTCGTCCCCCTCGTCGAAAAGGCCGCCGAACATCTTACTGCTGTCGATGAGGCCTGGGACAACCAGATCAACTTTGCCCTTTTCCACTGTCTCGGACCCTCTATCCAGACTGCCCTGCTCAATGCCCCGCTGGCGGTGCTTGTGGGCTGGGGTCTGGGCAAGGATATGAGTCTCAATTTCGAGATTTTCATGGTCGTTCTACTTGTGTTGTCCATTTTGGTCGTTGGCAATTTCTTACGTGACGGCAAGTCGAATTACCTGGAGGGCACGTTGTGTGTTCTCGTTTACTTTATTATTGCCGTCACCTCGTGGTACTACCCTAAGGTGGACATTGCTGCGACGAACAGTGCCTGATCATCGTCATTCATCATTTGGTGATAGGAGGCGGGGGAAATTTCTTGTGATATTGGCCAAATATGCATGCTATTGCACCTACTACAGTACTATAATGTCTTGTCATCCTATTAGCAGGGGTTATTTCAGCATTCACTTTCACTCGTGTTTCTTCACTCAAAGCAGGAAACTGTATACCATCACGTGATTGTAGATACCACAACATTCGCGTCACAAATTATTAAAAGACTGATCACATCAAGTGGACATCTGACAATTAAGCTGGCCACATCTCTGCAGACCAGGAGACTCGTCCTGTTGACTCCGAAGCTGCTGCTGGACTTGCTTGAAGCAGTATTCCCCTTTGTTAACTCGCCCCACCCCTGCCGAGCTCCGCTTGCCGCATTCCAATTCCACGCCGCGGCCCCGCGACTCCGCGAGCCATAAACAACCCGCCCATCATGCAAACCGACACCCTAACCGACAAGATCCTCGCCACCCTGAAGGAACGAGACCTTCTAGCGAAGCGGGAGGTGATCGAATCGGCTCTAACGGATCCGGCGACCGAAGAATGGGGGTCAAAACACCTAAACCCAAGCACTCTGCTCTCGCGGGAGGAGCTCGTCTTGTATGTGTCTCGGCTTGATTGTCTCATTGCATCGTTCCAGCATTGTGGCGTTCCAGCTAACACTATTTACCTAGATATAACAAGCTCGAACATTCCGGTGCCCTCCAACCAATCCTCCGCGACCCCGAACTCGGTACGACACGACCCTTTCTGGAGGACGAAATTCGGTCCGCGATAGAATCCCTCGAGGCGTCGACAGCTACTATTCAGAAACAAACAGAGACTCTGTCTTTCCAGTGTGAGACGCTCAAAAAGCAATTGCGTCAACAGGTGAACTGGGAACAAGATCGAAGTCGGGATATTGCACGTCTGCGGAAGAAGCATGAAGCTAGAAGGCAAAGCACGATTATTGCAGTTAGTATTTACTACTCGAACTTAGCCTATTTGCTACTCAAAATATGGCTGTCATCGCTAACTAAAGCTTATAAAAACTGTTACAGGCCAACGACCTTTCGGACGAGCTCGAGGCTAGCTTTAGGAGTGCGACGGAGAAGACGAGTACGAAGAACAAGCAAATTCTCTCTTTACTTTCTAGCCAACTAAAGCAAGATGACAAAGTTCTCGCGGATATCGAGACGCTTATAACCGGGATTAAATCGAACGGCAACGATGCAGAGACGGTTGAACGAGCTAGTCAGCTCAGCGTCATGCTAGCAGACTACAACGCAGAAGAGATTCACTACCGTCTTGACCGATTATACCTCGAAACTATCCACCATGAATCCATCCAGTCTAGGCCGTCAAAATCAAGTCAAATCGGCACAGAAAGTGAAACTGTAGCGGCCTTAGAAGAAGAGCTCGAGTCTCTATACCCCGAGATCGAAATCCTGGCAGAAATGTCTACGAAACAACAATTCCACGAGCCTATCCTACGCGAGATCCATAACCAACACAACCAGCTCCACGCTACATCTAAGGAAAAGCTAGAACGGGTACGCTTCCCGCTACACAGAAAATATACATCTCTCATGCTAACACTCCATCAGGCCCTCGACGTCCTCATCGACATGACCGAATCCAAAAAGACCCTCACCCAAAACCTCAACAACCAAGAATCCTCCCACGAACTCCTCGAACAACTAGCAACCCTCTACCAAACCGAAGTAGGCACTACCCAACAAATTACCCAGCCACCCTCACGTCGCGAATCCCTCCGACGACGCTCCATACAAACAAACCTCCTCCTCACCACCCCACCCAATCCCACCACGCTACCCGAACAACCCGCGCTAGAAAGCCTCCTCCGACGCATCGGTGTATCCGCCGAATCAGTGATTCGCCCACGAGCCGAGGACGGCGGGGCCCAGGGTCTACACGAAAAGAGGATCCAATTATCTGAGACTCTACGCGCACTGGGGATGGCGGTTGATACGCCGCTGGTTAGGGAGTTAGCTCCGGCGGATAGGGCGCTGTATCTTCTTGAGTCGGCGTTAAATGTGAACTCGGATTATGAGGTTTCTTTACGGGATACTGAGTTGGAGAGGGGGTTGAATGGGTTGGAGGGGGAGCTTGAAGAGTTGCAGAGGGGTGTAAAGGGGCTTGATTTGGATGTTTTGCATCAGCGGGATAAGATGCGGGATCGGTTTGTTGAGCGATGGGGGTAGGAGGAATTGACTGTTCCTACCTGGGATGAGGGCTAAGGTTAGAGCACAGGGGGGAATAGAAGTCTGTAAGGGTATGCTGCCTAGAAAATGACACGGTAGATGATGCCAATCCATAGACATACATCATTCCTTTACTTGATTTCTGACCCAACAACGGTATATGTTGGATTTTCGCCACTGAGTATCTGTGCCCTCCATGATATTGCGGCCCACCCACCGCTTCCGCCTATGGGTGCGCCCTAAATCCCCGTCACCCCTAAATCCCCGTCACATTTTTACCATGCGTCTAAAAAAACCATCAAATTAGATAACTAGCCTAAATAAAAAAGATCTCCTCGCTCCAGGGCTACTCTAGCCGATTCGGTAGACCTATCAATATCCTCCTGGGGCCTCTTTGGCATATCCAAACCAGTAGCCTGCTTATACTGCTTCGCAAGCTTCCTCTCCTCCGCAGCAGCCTCTTTCTCCTTTCTAGTCTTGATTGACCGATTCGCATCGCGAACGCTTAGTATACCAGTTTGGCTAAGCGGTTTAACCTGGCGCTTGGTAATTGGGCGCCTCAAGGGCTCCTGAGCGGCCCTAATTCGCGAAACAGTCGCTTCCGCCATCATAAGCCGCTCGTAGATTATCCTGTGGTGATTGTGAAGCATTGCAATATCTCGCTGAACCTTCGGGTCAAAGGTAGCCACCTTCTTTGATATCTTCTTCTGATTCTTCTCTAGCGCTTCAATTGACTTCGGAGGGGTATTCTCCACGCTTGATGATAGTAAATTTGTAGGCTCCGGTGATGGAGTTCGGGGTTCTCCATGAGCGCGAAGATCAGGTGCGTGAAGAGGAGTAAATTCTAGCTGGCTAGCTAGTTTATCCACTATATTTTGGCCGTTGACTGGCCAAATACCACGATCTTTGAAGGATTGCCGAATAATTCGTTGGTTAAATGCCTTCGCTCGTACAGGCCCAATTACCCGTAGAAAATCCGGTTTACCACATGGCTGACCACCCCAGAAAGATAGCTCATTATTCATAAGCCGAAATTGCTGCTTATAGCTCAAAAATGGCTTACCATCAAGTGGCTGACAGAGATGTGTTGAATGAGGTATAAAGCCGAATGGTATAATATCAGCTAACTCGCATATCTCAAGGAATTCGAGGGTAAGATGTGCTCCGTGGCCATCAAAGAGTAGGAAGCGCTTTTCACCCTTTTTTAGACGGTCGGGTGTAGCAGTAGCTGAAATAAAATGATATAGCCATTCAGAAGCAATTTCATCAGAAATCCAGCCATTCGGTGAGGTAGCAGTAAGTGTGTTTAGAGGTAAATCCTCACTATTATGGAACCAGCTCTCCATAAAGACCCCGCCGCTTTTAAAGATAAATAGCGGATCCATTTGCCAGCCGTCAGCAGCAATACATTCGAGTGCAGTGATAGTTTCGCCTCGCTCAGCTTCAGCAAGGTCAGGGCAGTGCAATCTACCATTAATAACCTTACGAGACTGGCCCTGGCCAGGTTGGAAACCACACTCATCGAAGTTATAGACTAGCCTTGCAGGGATATCCTTTAGCAGGGTTGCAAGCTGATCATACCAGAAAGAGAGAGCCCCTGCATCTTCGGCTTGAATGCGCTTTGATTCCTTTAGATTCTGCTTCACTGGAGCGAGGGATAGGTGCTTTGGAAGGCGTGATATAAAGTAGTATGCCCAATTCTTGCCAACCGGCTGCCGACCCGCATCAGCGCGCGTAAGGGCCTGATTTGCCCACGCTTCTATAAGCTTTGCAGTAGGCGGTAGGTTCCAATCGCACATTTTGACTATCCAAGCAGTCAAAGCCTTCTCCTGATGTGATGTAAGCGCATTCTTGCGCGATTCAGTGGTAGAAAAGGGCGATCGGGCCTTCTTGACGCGATCGGCAAGGGTAGTTCGAGACACGCTAAATTCACGCGCAGTTTTAGCGATATTCGGCTTTTTTTGGTGTAGAACGGCTTTACAGGCCTTCTGCAGGCGATCCTCGTCAAAATTGGAGTATTTAGGCATATTGGGTGGTTGGGAAAGGGAGTTGAAATCGAATGGTAAAAATGTGACGGGGATTTAGGGGTGACGGGGATTTAGGGCGCACCCATAAGCGGAAGCGGTGGGTGGGCCGCAATATCATGGAGGGCACAGATATAGACAGAATCACGTCCAAGCCACGGGGCCATTTTCATAGCTTCTCATCCTGTGAATCCCCGCTATGAGAAGCACATCATGGTAAGAATCAGGCACCAGGCACCGCTGCCCGCATGTCTGATTCTACATCTGAGTCTCTGATTCGATTGGGAGTGTGGCTGGTGCAGCAAGACGTGCGCCACAGCTGTGCTCGTTTGCTTTGGTCTCTAGTCTAGACTAGACTGTCTCGCCCAGCTTTGATTCTCGACCGTTATTTCGCGCATTGTTCATGATGTCAATTCGCCCTATGCCAGGGACTCATTCTCTTTACTTTCTTACTTCTGTGCCTATCGGGCACCAAAGAGCCTCTTGCGGGCATTAGCGTCGGCTACGGGACGGTCGCTCCCGTGAGGCTGACTGACTCGCAGGACTGAGGATACTGGGGGATGGACGGTGATGGTGATGGGCTATGAACGGTGTCATGAATAATTATTTACAATGGACTGTGTATGAAGCAAAAGTTTCTGATCCAAATAATGGGAACGCTATTTGAATATCAATAATCATGATCCTATTGTGATGGTTAAAATATGATCCTGTTCATCATAACATAACATGGCCGAGTCACCTGTGTAAGTGGCCAGTGGCCCCTGCTGACTCGAACTGCGCCCCTGTGACCCAAAGGACAAAAAGACAAAAAAAAAAACAAAAAAGAAACAAAAAGATAATTCCCGAATATCAAAATCGTTCGATTCGAGTCTTTGCGGCTCTTCAAAAAATCGAAAAGATGGAAGAAAAACACACTAGATCCAGACTGTTGCCTTATGCCATACCCAGAGCAGAGCAAGACTCAATATCAACGCTACGCTAAAAGCCAAAGTGCAACATACAAAATGGGCGCTGCATCGCCAGACTCGACGGTCTTTGTGCCAGGCTCTTTTTTGTAAAGACCAGCCAGCCTCCACATCATCTTTCTATTCTGATCGGATCGGATCCTGATACATTCTTCAACAAAGCATCAAGGCTAAAATCTTTTTAACAAAAGAAAGAAATCTAAATCCAGAAACAAAACAAGAAAAACAATGGGCCGTCCCTGATCGCGCAGGACAAAGAGACGGGAGGACTACTGTATGTAAGTATCACCTGCAGCGGGCCTATGACTTGCTACCCACACACCTGCACAGGATATTCACCAGTCCTGACTCTTTGTTTCTAACATCTTTCTCCCGTTGTTATTCTTTTCTTCATGAAGGTTGTTTCTATTTTCTATTCTTCTTTACACTTTACGAATACTTTGACTACGAACGTAGTCAACTCGAAACACAACTGTGCCGCCTCCATCCATCCGTTCTCCCTCGATCATGCCTTTGTCTCTGCTTAACCCTCACTTGAGAATCTTCGTATCGTTCGGGGCATTATTTGAACAAGGGTTGTTGAAGTCTTATATAACGTCCTCGCCGTGTTCCTTGACTCCATGCTCGAGAAACTACGCCTACAGCTGCGTCGACTCAGGTTGCGAGATACATGCTCCAATCATAACTACTACGATACCTGTCTACCGAACGAACAAAAACGCTATCGTCTCCGTCGGCGTGTATATTCCAGTCAAAGTCTACGCCGGAGGTATACCTACACTCCGACTTCATTCTCAGATACCAGCTTCTCAGATCCCGAAGATCTGTACTGGATTCAATCCCCCAGGGCCAGAACCAGGGCTAGGACATTCACCGCGCACAATTCAAGATCGAACTTCATAACCGTGGATATGGACCGGGACCGGCCACGAGGCTCTTGGCGCTCAATCTTCCAATCGGAGTACTTTGATATCTTCCAGCGAAGGAAGAAGGAAACAAGACCACGGCCGAGACAACCTCGAGATACATACACATACACGTACACTCGACTCGTTGATCTTGATCCGCGGTACAGGGATGAGTATAGATGGGAAGGTCCAAGGATCAATCCACCTCGACGTGCACCCTCGCCTCCACGGGCACGACCTCCTCGTCGACGAGGTGTTTCTCTCCCACGACGAGTCGTCCGGTCTATATCGTCCGAACCACGTTTGCGTCCTCGTTCAGATGAATTTTCCCGACGAGATATACACAGACCACAGGAATCAGTGTATACCAGGCCGAGAGCTTCACCGGTACGACCTGCACGACCATCCAGCCCGGTAAATGAACGGATACCTATTCGACGCGGAAGACGTATTTCGCCTTTCCCCCCGCCAGAACCAATCTCACGACGAGAAGTTACCACCATAATCCAACGCAGTCCCAGAGGCATCTCCCCCCAAACCCGACCCTACCCATCCTCTCATCCAGGGCCTTCCCGTCCACACAACGTAGAGATTCAAACACACAACTCCATTCGCGAACGCATAAACCGCCGAAAACGCATTCACTCCCCGGAAACTACTTCTCCGCCCCGATCAAGGAAAGTCCGCTTTGTGGAGGGTCACGAAGAAATTGGTGGCCCGGTTTACTTCAATTCTGACTCTGACTCTAGCTCGGGCTCTGATTCGGATTGCCGTCCTGGTTCGCCGTCTCGTGCAAGCACCCAGCCTAGACCGAGGTCAAGGTCAAGACCGTCGGTAGTGGTGGTGCAGCCGCAGAGGACAAGTTCGGCGAGGATTATTGAGCGGAGTCCTAGGAGTAGTTGGCCTGGTGGTGAGCGGAGGGTATCAGGGTTGACTCCAATGGGTGAGATGCGTGGGCTGTCATATCGAGGACAAGGGCGAGAGCGACAGCATGTGAGTAGTGAGGGGGTGATGTATGAGTATCGGGAGCCGAGAGGGCAGGGGAGGAGGGTACGGGATTCAAGGCGTTATGTTTGATGTCTGATGTTTGACTCTCATTTTTTTTTTTTTTGTTTCCTTTGTTGTTGTTTGTCTTATTTATGGTTGTTTGTTGGTCTTTGGCAGCGTTTGGATGAATTTCATAGAAAAGGTTCGGCGCTTATTATCCCTCGATTGTTTTGGGTTCTTTCAGAGTTATGATGATAATTATGATGATGTCACTTATCAGTCTCTCGTTTGTTAAATTTTCTCGGTCGAGTATCAGAGTATTAGGTTAGTGCACACTTTAATTCAAGGTTCGGTGTCGATCCGATATATATCCACAGGTAATCATCGACCTACTACTGCACCACCACTACATGGGCTCGCTTAGAGATTATGTATTGTATAAAGCCCCTCGGTAAAACAAGCACGTTAATCTCGAGAGCATAACGCCACAATTCCTCCTGGTTAGAAATCAAACTGGCCCAAACTTGGAAGTCTTATCCATGTGGCAGCAGAACAGTGGAAACAGTGGGGAATCGCATGTCCCAATCCGGTAAGAAGCGTCACAGGCGGACCGAAGAACACCCTTATCTTTCGCTCTGTCGCCTCTTCCCCTAGCCATTCGATTCCTCCCCCCCATCAGTGGTTTATTATGCATTGACCCTCTATATATAATCTGCAGTAGCTCATCATTGAGCGCTCTTACTCTGACCATTCCCGACCGCCCTCGCCGTGAACGATTGGACCGCAGTGAGTGCCGCATTGTGGTATTTCTGCCGTGGCTTTTCGGGCAGGGGACATTGTTAACCATCAGGCAGCCAGCTCCGTACAGGTTTCACAAACCTCGATCGATCGCATCTCCCATATCTTGCGCTGAAACACTTTATTTCTACTGCGCCCGCCTCGACCTCCCAAGTCGTCGTACTCGTCCCAACGTTACCTTCCGCCCTCCCTTATCTTTCCTCCGCCGAACAGCTCTGACATCACACCACCACATCCGCCCGAAGAGCCTCCTTCTATTGTGGTCTGCGGTTATACAATGAGAGTTCCACCTGGGGAGCCGCTATCAACCTGCAGGTCCAGGTGTGCTCTTCCATACTCGACAGCCGCGCTTGCGGCTTACTCCCGCAGCAGACAATAATTCCACTCCGGCAAGATGGCCGCGGTCATGACACAAACCCAGTGCGTCTCTTCGGACGACACCTTATCCCCAGGCTCTGTACTAAAGTTGGGCTCGCCGCCTCACGATGCAGAGTCGATGGGACTAGAAGCGCTGCTGAAGGGCGCCACCAGTGTTTTTGACATTGCGCCCGAGACTGCGCTCCTACTGATCTGCAACAATATCGAAAAATTGGTTGCGCATTTTGAGACATTGCCTGCCTCTACCTCCTCTTATCCCAACTCCAATGGCTCGACCCCGATGGAACCCCAGACACCGACGGAAGAAGAACCACCGATGAGGAGTGTAGGATTACACTGTGGTGATACCGAGGACGGGAACGGCGACCGATCCGAAGAGGACACTTTTCAACTACGGATGCTCTCGCGAAAGTTCCTCTCCAAGAATATCCCCCCGATTGCGCTGAAGGATTACCTCCAGCGTCTACACCGATACTGTCCCATGTCGACCGCGGTCCTTCTCGCTGCGAGCGTCTATATCACGAGGATGGCCTTCGTGGAGAAAGTAGTTCGTCCATCACCGAAGAACATGCACCGACTCGTTCTTGCGGGACTTTTAGTTGCCACGAAGGCACTTGAAGATCTCAGTTTCCCGCATAGTCGCGTGGCCAAAGTCGGCGGAGTCTCTGAGCAGGAGCTCTCCAAACTGGAAGTGGCCTTTTGCTTCTTGGCTGACTTTGACCTGCGTGTGGATGCGCGGATGCTGATGGATGAGGCGAGGATACACTGCACTGGACATTTGCAGTTATCTGAAACTGATTTTCTGGAGGAGAAGAGTGGTTGATTTATTCCGCTTCCTCCCTCCCTCTCCCTCCTCATTCTCCCTTGTTTGACAACGTGTCTCTCATATGTACTAGTGAATGTAAATAGCGAATCCATATCCAAATTCGAAATTCAAATGCTTCTTGTCTTGACCAGCCAAGGAAATGCGGCTGCCTATGCGGCTGAGTAATCTCCACAGTGCAGGTCCACGGTTAAGAAGAATCAGGAACACGAGTACGGCTGTGCATACTGTAGGCATCGATAATAGTCAAGGTTAGAGGAAAAATCTCTGAGATATAGAAATAAAAGACGATACATCTATTCCATCGACCATCTTGTACACCTCAACATTAGGTGTTAGGGGCAACCTTAGCGTCAGCACTAGACAGTTGTTCCCCGACTTCCAAAAAAAAGGTTCCGCCTTTTCGCCGCTTTCTCCAGGTCGATCATCTCCGACAACAACTCCCCTTTTTATCGGTGGTCGACCAGATTCACGAACAGTACAACGGGAAACAAAAGGAAAAACTCGCAATGAAATACTAGAGAAAAGCAAACTACCTCGCCACTTCTCTAACCCTCCCGCATCGCCTCTCCCTCCACCCAAACCCCGTGCCCGTGTCGTGTCCGGCGGGCCTCCCGTTCGTTCTCCCCTTCTCCCCACGACGATACTCGCAACACAACACATCCGCTCCGCGCACATGGCTTCCACGTCGTCGCCCGATACAGAGGGCAGTAGCCCCGCGGGCACCACCTCGGGATCCACATCGATGAACAGCAAGACCGCGTCGCCCGCAAACGAGGTCGAGATGAAGCCTATCCAGCGCGATGCGCCCAAGGGCTCGATCCCGTTGGGTGAGGATATTATGCAGTTGGCTCGGATTGGCGAGATTGGCGCCATGCAGAATATGTTTGCGACGAAGAAATTGACTGCGAATCATCGGGATGAGGAGGGTATTACGCCGCTTCATGTATGTTTCCGTTTCTACCATCCCCGAGAAAGACGGCGCGGTTATCGGTATCTCCGAGCTGCGTGCGCTCAGAGAGGGAGTAATATAACAGTGTGGGTGGATGTTGGCTAACTAGCTTCTTCTTTTTTAGTGGGCGGCTATCAACAACCAATATGCCATGTGCAAGTTCCTCCTCGACTCGGGCGCCGACGTAAACGCCAAAGGCGGAGAATCAGTAGCTACACCGGCTATGTGGGCAGCGCAGCGATGCCACTACTACATTGTCAACCTCTTGCTTTCCTACGGTGCAGACCCGCTTTTGACCGACGTGCAAGGTTACAACATCCTTCACCTGGCGACCATCGACGGCAACGCATTCCTCGTGCTCCTCCTCCTACACCAAGAGATCCCCGTCGATGTAGTCGACCAGCAGGGACACACGGGTCTGATGTGGGCTGCGTACAAGGGCTATCCAGCATGCGTGGATTTATTCTTGCGATGGGGCGCGAATGCCAACGCCGTGGACGAGGGTGGTTTGGCACCGCTGCACTGGGCGCTGGTCAAGGGCTCTTTACCCAGCGTGTTGAAGCTGCTGGAGTACGGCGCGGATCGATTTGCGGAAACGCGCGATGGCAAGTCTCCTAGTACTGTTGCGCAGGAAATGAACACTTCGCGCGTTTGGTTGCGTGCTCTTGCTGAGCGGGGGTACGAGCCTGATGGTACGCAGAAGGCTGTACCGATGGGGTTGTCGGGGTATATGCGGAATAAGAGCGTTATGGGCAAGTTCTTCTTCTTGTGGCCGTTCTTGACTCTTTTGCTGGCTATTTGGATGCTCAGTCATATGCCTATTTGGTTTGGTGTTCCGTTTACGGCTGCGACGGTGTTTGGTATGCAATATGTTGCGCAGCAGGTGGCGAATCGGGGTCCTGCCGAGTATCGGATTTTGCAGAAGACGGTATGTTCTCATTTGTTAATGGGTATTTTGTTATCCTGACTTTAAACTGACTTGATTAGCCGTATCTGGCTGGTGTTTTTGCAGCGACGCTGTTCTGGGTTGGATTCCGTTATGCCTTCAAAGTGTTGCCAGGTGAGTTTTTCAAAATTAGCAACCATTTCAAACCCATTTCTGACCGATGATGACAGCTACCTACTCTTCTGCCCCAATCTTGAATATCCTGTTTGCCGCTTTCTTTAGTCTCACGGCCTACTTCTACACTTTGGCTATGATTGAAGATCCTGGCTATGTGCCCAAGCTCAGCAGCCGGAACCAGCAGAGGGAGATGGTGAAAGAGCTGTTTGAGCAGTGGAAGTTTGACGAAGAGAACTTTTGCGTTCCTTGCATGTCGAGAAAGCCCCTTCGTAGCAAGCACTGCCGCCGCTGTGGCCGCTGTGTTGCCAAGCATGACCAGTATGTACCAAACTGACTGTCATCATTTGGATCTTTTTGCTAACTAGCCCAAGTCACTGCCCCTGGATTGACAACTGCGTTGGAGCGAACAATTTGCGCCACTTTGTCATGTATATTGTCTCTCTCGAAGTCGGCATCATTCTCTTTGTGCAGCTCAGCATTGGCTGTAAGTGAAAAAACTCACCCGCTTGATAGGACTCACCTTGCTAACTTGGCTTCCATAGATATCCAAGGTCTACCACCCGTCACCGGCGCCAAGTGCAACATTATTAACGACACACTATGTGACATCGTGACTCGCGACACTTTCACTCTCGTCCTCGATATCTGGATCATCCTCCAGCTAGTCTGGGTCACGATGCTCTGCGCCGTCCAGCTCGTGCAAGTCTCCCGCAACCAAACCACATACGAGAACATGCGCGGCCACCACATCGACCGATCATACCCAAGCTCACAAGCCTTCGCCTCTGCCATGACAGCCGGCACAACCTCCCTCGAAGGCGCCGGTCTTACTGCCTCCGGCGCCGGCCCCAACCCAGCACTCGCCCGCCCCGGTCCACCCCGCCGACGACACGGCTTCTGCACACAGTGGTCCTCCCTGCTGGGCATCGACACGTTCTTCGCGACAGCAAGGGACGGTCTTCGCGATGGACCGCAGGCTGCTCGACCACGTAACCCCTTCTCCCACGGTATCGCTACCAATTGCCGCGACTTCTGGTGTGATCCGGCGCCTATCTTTGGTAAACGTACCACGGGCTCAGGGATGCTGGGTGGTGAGGTTGTAAATTACAACGATATGTATGAGACTCCGACGCGCATGCGTATGGGTGGGAGTCGCAGCGGTGATGGTGCTGCGTATCGCAGTGTGGCGGGTGATGATCCCGAGCAGATGGTTTGAAATGATTCCTCCTCTCCTCTTCGATCTCATGCCTTGAACCCTTTTCCATTGTGGACGTTCTACCTGACTATAGTATTTACCACTCCCCCACCCCTACCCCTGTGACATATGCAGACGAAGATTTCAACTGACCAGCGATGGTGTTGGTGTTGGAGACTTTGCATTGATGACGTATAATAATCTACGTTTTCTTATTGACTATTGACCCCCCCTACCCTTTCATGTATGAACTTAACTGAGCTGCAGCGTCTCGTCTCAGTGTTGCATTGTTTGCGTGGCATATTCTATTTTTGTATCCCTTTTCCTTTTCACCTGTTTTGGTTATTGTTTTCCTGCTTCTTTGACGGCATTTAGAGATTTTGTACAGTGGATGAATGCTAGAAATGACTTTTTTCTTCGGATTGACTTGTGCTTTATCGTATATACAGTCATTCTTTTTCTTGGTCTATTTACATTAGCGTACTAGACTAAGTATCAAATATTCTTCCCGCAGTACAGCTGTTATCAAGATAGAGTCCTGGGGTCCTGCAGCTAAGGTAGTTTCATACCAAATCTACCTAGGACTCTAGCACGAGGGACTTTGCCGACACAGGTCGATTCCTGCATTGAATTCTGCACGAGAGTTCTATACGACTTCCTCGAAGAATACCGATTCCAACTACAAGTCCGATTTGGATACCTGGGCTAGTGAGGCCAAGATACAGGGCTGTATTTACGAGTGACCAGCATAGCATCTCGAGTGGCAATAGAGTAGCTTGCAGCTATCACGCGGGCTTCTGAAGAAGCTTACATTGGAAACGAATACCTAGGTACTCTTTGTACTGCCTTTGAATTACCTCATGCTCTTGACAATACATAGCACCCACTTTTGAAGTGCGGCTAACGCGGACAAAGGATCGTCGCTGGCATCGGTATCTACAGGATCATCTGATGTCTGACTCGGCCGTAGTCATGTCCCGGTCTCGGAATTGGAGTAGTTTGACAGATGGACAGCAGTGAGCATAACACTATAACAACAACGTATGTACTGTACACCGCATCGCATCGCATTGCAACATGCCACTCATCTAGTGGAGTCCAGTCCAAAAGGATACTAGTCTAGTCCATGCCTGATGCCTGATGCCTCATGGTGAGGTACGTACATACGAAATCGGAATGGCAGCTTGCCCCTGCATGGCTGCATTGGCCAGACCGAAACTGAACTGAAGTGGATTTGACTGGACTGACTGAAGCAGGACAAGGCGCGAGCCACTTCGGGATTCCTCGCCTGAATGGGTATATAGCGGGTCCCTCGGTTCAGTACGTAGGCTGCGCTTTGTGCTACGTGTCCGTAGTATAGTGTAGTGTAGTGTAATCGCAATGGGAATGTTCATGACAGACGGATTGAGCTACTAATGGGGATGCATTGCCTAGTCATATGGCATATGCAAGTTCCTACATACAGTACAGCAATTACTACAAGAAGTAGATGTCTTATTCGGTTGAAAGCGCCTGGTAGGTGGGCAGGGCGGGGACAGAAACGGAAAGTCAGGACAGGACAGAGCAGGGTAGGGCAGGGCAGAGGACCTAGTAATTTATCACGTTTTCGAGGGCTCCATCCCACTAGGCGGAGAAGGGGAGTGATAGACGGGACAATCAGGTCCGTAATCCAGAAAACACAGTGGTTATACAGTGGATGCAGTGCCTTATGTTAGTATGCGTACCTAAGCTTATAATCACCCCAAGCCGCGCCATACGGAATCCCTCCGCCCGAGGAAACCGAGCAAAATTCAATCCGTCAGTCTCCAGTGCTAAAGAAACACACAAAAGAATGGAACCCAAAGTCAATTCCTCCGGGCCCTAGTTATACTACGGTGTATAAAGTACGAAGTAAAACAAACCAGAAACAGAAATAATCTAATCCACGGAACCGGGAATCGGAGGTGGCGTTCTGATCAGATAAAAATTTTCCCAGCCTTTTTAATATTAAAACTGTGTTATCTGATGGCGCCACGCAGGGGGGGATCCACTTTATGTCTCGGCCTGGAAAGAAACAAAGAGAACATCGGTACTACATACGTACGACCGTACTATTGTTACTGTACACAGGGAGTAAGAACTAAGGTACTGTAAGTCATTGCTAGCTTCGTACAACTGAGGAAAGGACGGGTACACTTGTATCTTTTGTGGGAACTAGTCTAACAATTGTTGGACACGAAAGATCTTCACCGTTAGTGATGGATGCTAGGGAAAGAGTAGGCATTTCCTCCTGGAAGCTCAAACCTCCTACAAGCTAATATGCTCGTAGGTAGTGTGGGAGTTACCTCGTCTCGTACAGAGAGAGCTCTGTAGCGTGTAGCGCAGAGATCCAAAAAATCCCTGCGATACCGGATCTGACCCATAAAAGACCGATGCGGGAGATTTCGTTATCAGATCATAACATTACAGCCAAGACCAGACTAACCGGGACTAAGAATCAAGACCTACGTATGCCATTCGTCTACAGTATCCCGAGCCAAGCCCATGTTCCAGCCCACTTTTCTCGTATCCAAAACTGGGTACGATGGAAATTTATACAAGCCCTCATACAAGATGTAATACGCCCTCCATCTCTGATTATTTCTAATCAATTAATATTATTTTTCTGCGTGGATATCTGCAAGAGGGTCCTTCAGGCTCGGCCTCGGCCGAGCTTGGATGTGGTCGTGGTCGTGGTCAGTAATTGCCGATCGCGATCAGCGTCAATTTTGGGCAGTCCAGGCTTGCTTTTGCTTACCCTGGAGCTTGAAGAGGAAAAAAAGATAGCTGTAGGCCATGGTGAGACTTATATTCACCATCCATCGTTGTCTTGTCCGCCAGTGTATTTTAGCCTGTTCATCACGACAAGAGTGACCCGCCAAAGAAAGAGACCTGCTGTAGTAGTAGTATTTATACATAGCCCTACACTGACCACCCAGTACCTGCAAGGATGACCACACATAGACCTTCTGTCACTCAGACAAGGCTGGCTTCTTCATACCCCAAAGCAGCGAAAAAGCAAGTCTCTGCAGGTCCATCTAGCTAGCCCAGATAGGAAAATCCATGTCCTTCCTAAAGTACTAACCCTCAAACCCTTTCTGCAGGGTTCACTTCCGTGTTTCGCGCGATATCCGAAGACCCCTTTCTCTGGAGGTCTTGGCGGGGATTCGGAGTTAAGTATTTTCTGAAGGAAAGAGGTGAATGCTTAAGGAATTGGCGGGCCAGTCTTACATGTGTCCTCAGGAAAAAGGCTCTAGCTTGGGAGTAGAGTAAACGTGCGAACGGGGTGTACTTTGTTGCTTTTGACCTCGGAAATTATACTGATAGATTCTATTCTGCATGTCCAGGTAGAGTCTATAGAGCATTGACTTTCCAATAGATCTCGATCCCCCTGATTCATATTCAATAAGCGACACGATATCATTAGAGAGCAGAAAAGTGACAAATAAATGAATAACACAATTCCAGAACCAAAACCCTAACCAAATAAGATAAAACAAACCAACGATCTAGAAAACATGATAGGTGTCTAATATAGCATAGCGTATAGCATACAGCGTAGCGGCAAGACAAGACGAGGTATGCGTGGTGTAAATCCTCAAGGCCTCAATTATGCCTCTTCCCACGGCCAGATAGAAAACAAAGATCTTTTAGTATCACCCCTCCTCTCCGTGAACTCATGGCACGATATCCAAAACATCCAAAATTCCCAGTTCACAGTTCAGCTCAGTCCATGACACTCACAGCATAGCCCGCAACCGGGTATCCTGCACCGTCTTCCCAGCCAACTCATCCCCAAACACCGAGTCCACAATCTCCCCACCCCTCACCGCAAGAATAGACAACAAACTATCACTCAACCCATGCGTCTTCTCATTACATCCCTGCAACCAAATCCCCGCACCAGCACTAACCTTCCCCCCATCCAACTCAACCCGATAATCCCTCCCAGGCGCCCACGCCGTCTGACCCACAGGCCTCAAACCACAAACCTGCTCAAGGAGCTGCTCATGCGCATCACGCTGGTAACCTGTCGCCACCATGAGTGCGTCCACCTCCAGCACCTCCTTGCCATCGGAGGCGTCGTCGTTGACGGACTTGACGTGGATGCGCATGCGGTGGGCCGGGTTGTGGTGCTCGATGCGGGCGACTTTGCGTTCGGGGAGGATGCGGTGTTGCCAGGTTGATTCGTCGGGGTTTTGGACGCGTTGGAGGTACATTGTGTTGTAGATTTCTTCGATGAGTTCGAGGCGGACGACGGAGTAGTTTGTGGCTTTTTCTTTGGCGATGCGCGCGTGGCGTTCTTCTTGGGGGAGTTGGTAGAATTTTTCGACGCGCTCTGGGTTGAAGATTTCGTTGACGCTGGGTGGGTGTTAGTGGGGGTTCATGAATGGTGGTTTGTAGTGCAAGCTGGAGCCTACAAAGTACGAAGAGGGAAGGGTTTGAACGTACAATGGCGAGTCATCGCTAGGTCGAAGAGCGGTATCGCGGAGGATCAGTGTCGTGCGCGAGTTGGGATAACGACGCTGAAGATCGTGGAAGATCTCAGCGGCGCTTTGGCCGGAGCCCACGACAGCAATATTGTAAGGAGCCGACTCATTCTTCAACACATTGGGCAGTCCGGTGCAGTACTTGGAAGAGTGCATGATGCGGGCATCCTGAGGGAAACCCGGGGGCATCTTAGCCTTACCACCCAGCGCAACAACGACCTTACGAGCTCTCCGCGAAGAAATCTCGCCCGTCTCCGCATTGCGCGAGCGCACAACAAAGTAGTCAACCACGCCATCGGTCTTGCTCCCGGGAACAACATCCACAACTTCCTCTCCATAGCTCACAACATTCTCAAACGGCTGCGCACACCAGCGCATATAATCCTCGAATTCCATCCGGGCCGGCAAAAAGGTCCCCAAATTGGTAAAGTGGATGAGGCGGTTCTTGTTGTGCAGGTAGTTCAGGAATGTGAAGCTACTGCGGGGATCGCGAAGAGTAGCCAAGTCCTTGATGAAGGAGATCTGCATGCGCGAACCCGGGACCAGCATACCCGAGTGCCAGGCAAACTGCTTCTGGCGCTCGAGGAAGCATACCTTGGGCTTGAAGGAGCCCGAGGCGGCGCGGGACAGAGCCGGGTCCATGGCGTCATGTAGGGCGATGGCGATGGCTAGCGAGGCCGGACCAAAGCCCACGCAGAGAAGGTCGTGCATCTCGTCGGCGGGGACGGAGCGGAGGAGAGTGCGGTTGGTGGGAGCTTGGGTGCGCGGCGCCATCTCGGAGTGGAATGGGAGCTCGGACTTTCGAGGAATCGGCTCCATTGTGTATTATGTTGTTGGGACCAAGGGGGAGAATTAAAAAGAGAAGGATAAAAACCAGACAGACAAGATTGAGTCCAGGGTCAATCGTACGGGTCTAGGGAAAGGCAAAGCAACCTGCGGAGAGAGAAAGAGAGAGAGAGAGACCGGAGAGGGCCTGAGCTTAAAAAGAAGAAGGAAGCTAGGCTAATGCAGAAAGTAAAAACAAGAAGACCTAGAAGAGGAGGAGTAGGTCTGGGTTATGTACACAGGGAGGACAAGACCACAGCTGATCCCATCCAGCAGGTCTCCGGAGAATTCGGTGGTCGGATCGATGCGAAAAGGTGGTGCGATATTCAAAAAAGCAGAAAGCCGGCGAGAGAAGATGGAGTGTGGGGTTAAATGATGATATTAGCATATTAAACCAAGTTCAAACTGACAGGAAATAAGAAATTGACAGTCCCGTACAATACGTTTCACTGCCCGCAGGCTCCACAAGAGAGAGTCCAAGCGGATCAGATAAAAAAAATCATCTTCAAAGTGGAGTTGATTCGGAAACGTGCGACTAATAATATGATGAGACCGAGATTGAGACTAGCACTAGTTCAAGAAGTAGTTAGGGGAAAAGGTCGCTAAGATGAAGAAAAGACCGACTGTTGACGAGGATTAAAGAGGTGTGTTATTCCCAAGGTTCTGGTTATCAATCAGTCTCCACCATTGTTCCCGATGAAATCGGTTGTTCTCCTAGAGATTCCGGGTTATTACCTCGGTGTAATGGGACTGGAATTGGGACTAAGATAAATGAATAATACGATATACTCTTTATGAGTTGATCTATTATACCACATTTCTTTTTTTTTCTTCCCAAGCTATGCTACTACCCCACTCTGCGAGTCACTCCCCATGTTCCTGCACCTAGACGCCATGCAGCCAGACCAGAAAAACAAGAGAGATGTGAAAAAGCAATGGCATGAATTACGAAAGAAAATAAGTAATAAGGGATTGACTAAGAAAAGGAAATCGAAAAAGAAATAGAAAAGTCTACCGATGGACAATAACGGGGCCACCGCAGGTGCCCGATGTCGGGAAAAAGAAAATTACTTACTACCAGTGGATGGAACCCAATGAAAGATCAAGTCTGCATGGCGTATAGTACGAAGTGTGTAGTATTTATCCTAAGTATGGAGTACTTCGTACAGTATGTATATAACCCCCGTTCTCTCTTGGCGACAGCCAGTGGGGACTCGGCCCATGTTCAGGTTGGGCCTGCCAATTAGGAAGGTAGGGCAAGAAGAAACAGATTATCGCCTAGAAGACTTGGCAAGAGGTATGTACTAGTATTACTGCCACACTACAACGACATTTTATGTATGGAGTACTGTAGTAGGTACAGTACTCACACAGTCCTAAACACAACCCAAAAAAAGACCCCCTTGCGCTTATTGAGTCACCGCTAGAATAATCATCGGCAGGGCTCTCCGAACTTCGCTGTAAAGGAAAAATTAAATTGGACATCTACATAGAGTATGTATCTGGAAATTTCTGATTGGATTTGAGTTAGGCCATGTGCATGCTGGGCTGCAGGTAGCATTTTGCTTTTTTCTTCCCTCGGTCGTTTAATTTTCCTAGAACGTGGGGTTGCAAAACCGATCACGCGCTTTGACGGGGCTCGGAGTCGGAGTTTACCACATTTACCAGTATGGTTGTGGCAGTGAGTAGCCGGTGGATAGGGCTCAGAGAAAAAAAAACAATATTTTTGTTCTTTTTGTTTCTTTTCTTCGCTAAGCTACAGGTATTACTGGGTAATCTGGTAGGGTTGGAAGTCTTGGCAAATGAAAACAAGAGATCTTGATTGTTTTACTGATTTTACTGATGATCTGATAATCTCGGGTGTATAATACAAAAATAACGTGTAACATAACCCCCGTACCATACACAAGATTACCATACTGACTAAGTATTCTAGTGGCTACGTCATCGAAACCCGTTAGGACGCGCCCGATGGAGGGGCAGAAACACACGCGCGCGAGTTTGGTTTACTACTATTCTGTTAGGGCTATAATATCGATGATCTTGCAAGAATAAAAATATCATAACTATCCTGGTAATGACTATGACCATCACTAATCAATAACTAACATAAGAGATAATTCTCCCCACAGTATGTAGTACTTCTGCCCTCATACTAGATCATCTTCCCATGCATGCCCCTCATCATACCAGAAGAAGCAACGTGGATTTTCTCGGAGCTTGATTCCTTCCTTGGCATCGACTTCGGGTTTACCCTATCCATTCGCAATAGCTACTCCAAACTTTATACTCCATATGTCTTGCCGACACCAGCTTCATTCATTTCTCGATGCCCAACGACGGTGGACTGAACAAGCTGAGTTCCACTTTTCCGCCCATCTTCCATGCCCCTCCACTAGTCACGTCTTCGCTCGGGTCTGACTACGACTCCAACACTTGAACTTTTTGGGCGCTTGTCTCGGTCATACCCCTGCAAGCCAAGCAGAAGATCATCTTCGATCATCCTAGATCATCCTAGATCATCCATAAAATTCCCTCGATAACTTTTTTTCCCGCAATTTTCCACGAGGGGGCCCGCTATGATCCTCGCCTGGCCATGATTGGAAATCTATCACCTGCAACTCCCTACACCTGTGCATTGCTTTTTACTCGTTCCTTTCTTCCCCCATCCTCCTGGTTCACGCGCCCCAGTCTGCCGCGAGTGCATTGCTTTTTTTTCCTCCCAAAGGCGGCTACTACCTGCATAGCACCGCACTCGCAGGGGACTGCAGCTACTACCTACCCCCCTCTTCCCTGACCAGTCAGAACATTTGCAATACTAAGCAGTCTTTAAGCATTGTCGCGGATTGGACCATGCACTCCTGAACACAGACCAACCGCCGCGCCGGGTGGAACCATCGTGATGGATCGATTCACCCCATTTCCCATCATCCACAGCCAAACCGGCTTTTCTGGCGACGATGGCGCTGTGCGCGCTATTCTCTCATCGCCGGTGGATACAACTCTCCTATCCTCGAAGCTGTTGGCCCTCTCATGGGCTGTGTTATTACGAGCTTACACAACCGAAGAATCACCGGTCTTCTTGCTCGATGGTCAGCCAATCAAAGTGGACTTATTTACTCGTATAATCAAGCCGGCGAGGTTGGATACCCACGCCGAACTCTTTACGAAGCACACCGCTGTGCGCCTGATAGATGAGCCTAAGGTAGTGGGGAGTTCCCCGTCTGAGTGCGAGTCTGGAGAGAGCCGAACATTGTCATCATCTTCTTCTACTACTACTGCTTTCTGTACGTTAACTTGGTGCTTCAATCGCAACACCCAAACGAGCACGTTGCATTCTTCCGTCGGTATGGATACCGCTTTTGTGCAGCAGCTGGGCCGCCAGTTGGAGCATATCGTGCAAGGCCAGGCTGCCCTGTCGGGCATGCAGGTGGAGCAGCCTGCCTCGACGGACAAGCTTTCTGAGATGGATATGGAATTGTCCATCTCGAATTCATCCCCTTGCACCCTGCCAGGACCGGAGCTGCTTCATGAGCTAGCGCTGAGCGGTGCCCATGACGGCAACCATGCGATCGAGTTCTTGACGGCGGATGGAAACGTTCGCTGCCTGTCGTACCGCGACTTGGACCGGGTGTCTTCGAAACTGGCGGCGGAAATCAATGCCGCCTCAGCATCGACTGCAGAGGAGCTACGGAAAATGGTGGTTCCTGTGCTTCTCCCTCAGTCGCTGGAACTGTACATTTCCCAATTGGCAATTCTGAAAGCCGGCGGCGCATTCTGCCCTTTAAACACCGACGCACCACTAGACCGGATAGAGTTTATTTTGCAGGACGTTGCAGCCTCGGTGGTGATCACGCAAAATGCACTTGCGGCAAGGATACCCCAGAATGAGCATCTGGCGGTGATAACCGTCGACGAATTGGATTTGCAGCCCGACACAAAAGACATGCAGATGCAGATCTTGGAGCACCAACAACAACATCCTCATCCCTTCAAAATCGCACCCACCGACCTCGCCTATGTGATGTATACATCCGGCTCAACAGGACGGCCCAAAGGCGTGGGAATCTCCCATCTAGCCGCAACACAATCATTACTCGCGCATAATGACTTGATACCCTCTTTTACGCGATTCCTGCAATTCGCCTCACCTACATTCGATGTCTCCGTTTTTGAAATCTTCTTCCCGCTATTCCGCGGTGCGACCCTTATCGGATGTGAAAGAGAGCAGATGCTCCTCGATATCTCCCATGTAATGACGGAGATGCGCGTGGACGCGGCCGAGTTGACGCCCACGGTAGCGGGGGAATTACTGCGCAGTCGAGCCGCGGCGCCGTCTTTGCGTGTTCTGCTGACGATCGGCGAGATGTTGACGAGGCATGTCGTTGATGAATTTGGTCAGTCGCAGTATGCGGATGGGATTCTGCATGGCATGTATGGACCGACTGAGGCGGCGATCCACTGCACGGCTGCCACGCATTTTCGGTCTGATGATCGCGTGAACCTTATTGGCCGGGCTTTCAAGACGGTATCTGCTTTTATCATGTCCTTGGAATCGGATGATAAGGACGATTCTTGTCCTAGGGACTTACAGCCCCTGCCACTCGGCCAGATTGGCGAGTTGGTCGTTGGTGGACCGCAGTTGGCAGATGGGTATATCAATCGACCTGAAGAAAATGCGAAAGCATTCATCGAGAGTCCCGTGTACGGTCGACTCTACCGAACGGGCGATAAGGCTCGCATGTTACCTTCGGGGGAGATTGAATGTTTTGGTCGAATCTCTAGCGGCCAGGTCAAGCTGCGAGGACAGCGGATCGAACTCGGTGAGATTGAGCATGCCATTTGCCGCGCGCCGGATGTGCGCAGCGCGGTGGCTATCGTCAGTAATGGCAGTCTCGCTGCGTTTGTCCTGGTCAACGACAAGGGGACGACTGAGCGTGCGCTGCGGGACGTTTGTCGCCAATGGTTACCCCGTTTTATGGTTCCGGGCGAGTTCATCCTGGTTAATCAATTCCCCCAATTACCATCTGGTAAAGTCGATCGCAAAGCGCTGGAAGCTGAATTCGTGCGTCATCGTGCTACAGCTCAATCTGTCGAGCAACATTCATTCCGCGACGAGATCGAGGAGACCATCGCGTCGTGCGTGGCCGATGTACTCGGTAGACAAATTCCGCCGACGGAAAGTCTGAGTGCGGCCGGTCTGGACTCTCTAGCTGCGATTCGGCTTGCGTCTCATCTTTTGGATGCGGGTGTACGACTCGATGTTGCTCATTTGTTGGAGGCGGATTCTGTGGATGGAATTTGGAGACTTGCAGAGGAAACGGAGACGGCGCAGTCAAGTGATGACACGCAAGAAAGTTTGCGGAGAATTCGTCAGTTGATTATTGATGCTGGTTCTGCGAGGATAGAGGCTGTTGGGTTGAGTTCACGGGTTTTAGCGATTGAACCTTGCAGCCATATCCAACAGGCGATGATTCTGGAGACTGTTCGACACACGAATGCGTACTGCAATTGGATTGAGCTTGAATTTCAGCAGGAAGTTAGGGCTGATGCTGTGCAGGATGCGCTTGTTAGGCTTGTGGAGCAGAATCCTATACTTCGGTCTGGATTTATTGAGATCGGTCTCAAGGATCAGTCGTATGCCCGTTTCATCTATCATGCACTGGATGAGAGTGTCGTGTTCCAAAAGCGTGATGCATTCGACTATGACCTCTGTTTGATCGCAGAACATGATCTGCTTCATCCTCTCCGATTCCAATTGAGAGAGACACATGAGGGCCTCCGAGTACTCGTGCATATTCACCATGCACTCTATGATGGATGGTCCTGGCAACTGCTGCTGAAAGATCTCCATCGCCTCCTACTCGGCGAGGAACTCCCACCCAAGCCTGCGTATAACGTCGTCGCAGACTTTTTCACCGAGTACAAGCTAAGCGAAGCCGCGAATGAATCCTCGCTCTTCTGGCGTGATCAACTTCAGGGTTCTTCACCACCCTCTTTCCCCAATCTTCATGGAAAGATCGGTGTACCCTCCGGAACACAAGAGGCCACCCGTGAGCTTCAAATCTCCACGTCCAAACTCACAGAAGTCTCACAAAACCTACGAGTCAGTCGCCAGACAATCTTCCAAGCCGCCTACTGCTACATCCTCTCAACCTACCTCGGTTCAAACGACGTAACCTTCGGCACCGTCTTTTCCGGCCGCACCGTCCCAGTAAAAGGCATCGAAAATATCCTCGGACCCTGTATCCGTACACTCCCCACACGAATGAACCTAGACAAAATGCAAAACGCCACAGATCTTCTCCTGGCAATCCAAAACATGAACCGCAAGTGCCTGGAGCACGGCAGTCTTCCGCTCCAGGATATCAAGAAAGCGTCCGGAATTGACTTGCAATCGAACCTCTTCGATACAGCACTTGTCTGGCAGGAGAGTATTTGGTCTGATCAGGAGTATCGCGATAGCTTTAGGGAAGTTGGTGCGGCGGAGTTTCTGGAGTTTGTCCTGTTGTTGGAGTTTGAGCCTGGGGAGGATGGGATTCGTGCGAAGGCGACGTATCAACAGTCTGTTTTGTCGGGGGAACAGGCGGATATTCTTTTGGAGCAGATTGATTTTGTTGCTTCTGTGTTGATTGATGATTCGACGTTGGCGATTGGGGATGTTGGGACTCATCTTCCTCGGCATACGTTGTCGGTTGTTAACGGTCAACCTCGACTGCAAAGAGAATTGCCTCGTCTGGTCTCTGCTGTTGAGAAACGCGCTTCTACCGATCCTGCTCGGATAGCTGTTGAATTCTTGAAAGAGCTGGACTCTTTGCCTCCCGTTGTTGACACTATCACATACAGACAATTAAACTCCCGTGCCAACACTCTTGCCAATTACTTGGTTCAAATGGGCATCACGGGAACTGATTCGATCGCCATGTTCCTGGAAAATTCGACCGACTCTTACGTCGCCGTGCTGGCCATTGCAAAGATAGGAGCCGGTCTTGTACCCTTGTCTGCCCATTCTTCTTCGGAAGATATCAGCACTACCCTGTCCACGTTGAACGTGAGCTTTTGCATCTTCCATTCACCATTCCTGAGCCCTGATGCGTTGTCTATCCCGGATTCTGTTCGGCAAATTCTTCTTCCTGATTCTTTCGACGATATTCATGAGGATAGCCCTCTCGTGGTTGATGATGAATTTCGACTTATCTACACCGATCCCACTTCAACGGAGCCTGTTACGTTTTCTTCTCAGAATTTGAAAAGCTGCGTCAATTCTCTCCTGGAGTCGTACACTGTTCAATCTGAGAGCAAAATGCTTTTTGCGTCTCCGGTTGCATCTGCTGGTAAGTTTTGGATTTGTGTTACGCATCGCATCGGATTCTTTCTAATACTTGTATAGAATCTATCATCGGGGCATTCTTGGCATGGAATTCCGGCGTGACGCTCTGCGTTGCACCTGATGCGCTCATGGCAAATAATCCCCAGACTGTTGTCAATTCTATGAATGTTACCCACCTTCATTTAACGCCCACGCTTGCATCACGCTTGAACCCGCAGACTATTCCTAGTATTAGGTACTTGGCTACTTCTGGTGAGCCCTTGAACGCAAAGGTGCATCGAGACTGGGCTGGGAAAAATCTTTATCATGGTATTTCAACCTGCATCATCGATCTCAACGGGACACATATATTGATACATTGATATTTAGGTTATACCACTCGCGGAATGGCTGGAATCTGTACCGCGTCAGTGAGGATTGAGACTTCTAGCGCAATCACCAGTCTTGGTCTGCCGCTCAAGAACACATCTGCTATGGTCATTGCAAATAAGGACGGCTTCGATCTGCTGCCTCGTGGTGCCGTTGGGTTACTTTGTTTTGGTGGTGATCAAGTGGTTAGTCGAACAAAATTAACTTGGGAAAATAATTTAAACTGATATTCCATCTTCAAAAGGCAACATCTTCTGCCGAGGGCTTCTTCGAGCACCCTCAGTTCGGTCGGCTTTTCCGAACTAGTGATTTTGGCAGAGTTCTTCCCGATGGTAGTATCCTGCAGCTTGGTCAAGTTTCTACCTTTTATGAAATTGGCCAAGCTCTGCTCTCATCGGAGCTTGTACAGGATTCAGTGGGCCTGGTCATGGATAATCCAGTTACTAACCAGCAGCAATTGATCACTGCTTGGGTTCCTTCAGAAAAGGCTCAATCATCCCTCTTCCGGTCAGCGTCAGACAGTGAACAACTTGATGGTCTAGCCAAGAAACTTCTGAGGGAATTGGCTTCGAAATTGCCTGGTTCTGCGGTCCCAGCACTTCTTGTCCCGATAGACGAAATTCCAATGACTGGGGCTTTCTTGACCGATCGAGCAAAGATACAGCGAGATATTGAGCAAATGGATGCTGAAAGTCTCAGAGCATTCTCCACCGGTCTGAACGACGAGATCCACGATGACACTTTCACCGATGTCGAGAAGACGATTGCCGCTGCTCTTTCTGCAATCGTTGGCATCGAGCAACACAATATTGGAAAGCACACATCTTTCTACAAGCTCGGCTTGGATTCACTGTCTGCCATTGCTTTCTCACGAAAGCTACAGGAATCAGGGTTTGGAAGCCTTCCTGTTTCTACAATCCTCCGCCATAGCTCAGTGGCTCAATTGGCGACTGTTGCTCATCTCATCACTAATGGCCATCAATCCCCGCAGCCACTTCCTCTCGAGCAACCCGCATTCATGTTCGATGAGAGCTTCCTCCATGAAGTAAAGAAGGACATCAATGAAAGAGGCGCATCAGTCCAAGGTGTCTACCCTTGCACGCCTCTACAGGAAGCCATGCTCGCTGCAGAGTCTAATGTTGATTCCGCTTATTTCAATCACCTACTTCTCCGGGTGAACGCTGATATTGAGGGATTGAAGGAGTCATGGATCCAGATGATAAAGAGACATGGTATTTTGAGGACGTGTTTCAGACAAACTAATGACCCGCGGTTTGCATATGCTCAAGTGGTGCTCGAGAGTGCAATCCTACCTTGGACTTCTGTTGAAACTTCGTCCGATGACTTCGATACGGATGTTGTGAGGAGAAAATCTGATTTCGAGCATCAGTCACCAGTCAACGGTGATCTTCCCTACTCCTTGACTGTCTTTGAAGACTCCACCACGCATAGCACTCATTTGCTACTGTCAATTCACCATGCACTGTATGATGGAGAAGGTATTGCCCAACTCCTTCACGAGCTCCAGGTTTCTCTTGCGGGCGAGAAACTTCCCGAAGCAACACCCTTCCACCGCTTCATCGAGTACATGGTCTCTGTCAATTCTGATGCCTCCGACCAATTCTGGGATCTATATCTATCAGACGTCTCGTCGACGCTACTTTCTACTTCCAAGAACCCTTCAACCAATGGATCCGTTACCCAGACAGCCTCACAGCAGATCCACGTGAATCTCAACCAATCCCTTACCTCATTCAAACGGCAGTGCATGGATCTCTCAGTCACCCCGCTCAACGTCTTCCACACCGCATGGGCGAGACTTCTCGCCCTTCACTCCGGCGCAACCGATGTCTGCTTCGGCAATGTATTCAGCTGCCGGACCATTCCACTTGAAGGCGCGGACCGAATCGTCGGGCCTTGCTTCAACACCCTTCCCATGCGAGTCAAGTTCTCTTCGTCATCGACGAATGGAGATGTGATGAAACTCTCTCAGAAACATAATAGCGATATCTTACCTCATCAGCTTAGTGCTTTGCGTCGCATACAGAGGCGTACTATTTCAGGGGGATCTCGACTTTTCGATACTTTGGTGATTTTCCAGACGAGGAGTACTGAACTTGATGCTCGGTATTGGGAGATGCTTGCCGATGAAGGGAATATGGGATTCCCTTTGATTTGTGAGATTGTGCCTGATGAGCCACGGGATAGTGTCCAAATCTGTCTCCATTTCCAAACGTCTCATCTTGGCCGTGATGTAGTGGAGAGTCTTGCGCGAGACTTTGTCGCGCTTATTCAACAAACGACTCAGTACCCTTCCGCCCAGGCTTGTGATAAGCGGGTGATTGATGGTGATCTCTCGACGATTTTTGAGAAGGAGTCTCCGCGAGCTAAGATCAATGGAATTTCAAACAAGACAGCGGAATCACGGGCTTGGTCGCCTCAGGAGGAAACTCTTCGAGAGATCATCTGTCAGTTTGCAGGAGTTAAGGCGGAGGCTGTTTCATTGCATACGACTATCTTCCAACTTGGGCTGGATAGTATCAACGCTGTACAGATTTCTGGGAAATTGCGAAGACTGGGGTACAAGGTATCCGCAGGCGATATTCTCGAGGTAAGGCCGAGTTCTCCGAGTAGTTTCATCCAACGCACTGACACTTTCTAGGCTGCTTCCATTGACAAGATTGCCGCTCTTCTGGGGTCAACAAAAGAAGAGACTAAGGAAGCTGAATATGACTTCTCCGCCTTTGAGAATCAACACCTCCAGCCCGTCTGCGAGCGGCTTGGTATCTCACCGTTGTCAGTCCAGTCTTTGAGGCCCTGTACTCCTGTTCAGTGCGGCATGTTGGCTCTCTTCAATCACTCACAGGGCAACATGTACTACAACCGGATGGCATTGAAGTCGTCTACGCCACTGGATAAGCAGATGCTCAAAGAAGCTTGGTCCAAGGTCATGGCCCAGCATGAGATGCTACGTACTGGATTCGTGCAGCTTCGCGATCAGCAAAATCCATTTGCTATGATCACCTATCGGGAAGGTATCAAGCTTCCCTTGCAAGAATCATCCGCGCCAGGTGGAGCTGTGCGAGAGCAACAAGTTCTTCAAGACCTTCACCAGCCCCCGTGGAGTATTCAGGTTGAGCCTACCGATAGCATCGCTACCGTGCATTTCTCGGCCCTTCATGCCATCTATGATGCACAGTCCTTGGAAATGATCTTTTCGGATGTCATGGCAGCCTACGAAGGAAAAGCTCTCGCTCAGCCTGCCTCTATTCCCCAAACTCTAGGCCCGATTTTGATCGAAAGCCAGAAACAGATTGAAAGCTCCCAGGAGTTCTGGCAAGGTCTCGCCGGAGAGATCCATCCCACCAAATTTCCGGATCTACATCCCACTCGTATTGACAAGAAAGAACTCCTCACCTGCTCAATTCTTTGCTCCCAGTCTCTCGGTAAACTCGAGGCTGGTTGCCGTGATGCAGGAGTAACTCTTCAAGCAGCGGGTCAAGCCGCATGGGGGCGCTTGCTAGCTGCATACACCGGTGAACAGAATGTCGTTTTCGGGACTGTTCTTTCCGGTCGCAATCTATCTACAGCTGCACAGGATGCTTTATTCCCTTGCTTGGTGACTGTTCCATCGCCATCGCGCATTGAGGGTACGAACCGTGAGCTTTTGGATCGCACTCTGAAGCGAAATGCTTCTCTGGTCAAGAATCAATTTACCCCCTTGGCGCAGGTTCAGAGATGGCTTGGTAGCGATGAGCCGCTTTTTGATACTTTGTTCGTTTATCAAAAGTTTACGACTAAATCTGGGGGCTCTGATAAATGGGAAGTTGTCGATGAAGAAACAAAGATCGACGTACGTATCACGTCCCTTGCATGAACTGCGAATTTGCTAACTTGTTTCTAGTACCCCGTTTCGATCGAACTGCTTCCGCATGCGATAGACCTTGAAGTTCGAATTAGTTGCAGAAGTGATCTTGTCCCGAAAGGGCAAGCCGTGATTCTCTTGAATCAGTACAGCAAGTTGTTGGAACACACGATATTTTCGCCAGATTCCAGTGCGGATGACTACCTCTCTCTTGGAAATCAGTTCTTGTCCGTCACGCCCGCCAAGGAGAATTCTATTCCGACTACCGTCTCTCTACTTCACCAATTTGTCGAAGACAGTGCTCGGGAGATTCCAGATAAGCTTGCCTTCGAGTTCGCATTCGGGCCTAATGCGGATAGCCTGCAAAAGAAAACTTGGTCTTACAGAGCGTTCAACGAGGATGGCAATCGAGTCGCTCATTTCCTCCAGGACAAGGGAGTCACTCCTGGTGGAATAATTGCCATCTGCTTCGACAAGTGCCCTGAAGCTTCACTTGCAATCTTGGGTATTCTGAAGGCTGGTTGTGCATATCTAGCCATCGATCCTTCTGCTCCGATATCGCGTAAGCAGTTCATTATGGAAGATTCATCGACCACGCTTCTGCTTTGCAATGAATCACGCAAGTCGGAGTTGGGCGGCCTCGCGGGCGTCGATGTCCAAGCACTGGACGAGCCTGGCAAATATCAACACTTCTCTCCTGCACAACCATCTTTGGCTAGGTACATCCAACCCGATGATACATGCTATTGCCTGTATACTTCCGGCACAACAGGCACGCCAAAGGGGTGTGAGATCACGCATGACAATGCGGTGCAAGCCATGCTCGCATTCCAAAGACTCTTTTCACCTCATTGGGATGAGGACTCTCGATGGCTTCAATTTGCGTCATTCCATTTTGACGTTAGTGTCCTCGAGCAATACTGGAGCTGGAGTGTTGGAATCTGTGTCACTTCATGTCCGCGTGATCTGCTTTTCGAGGATCTCCCGGGAACGATTCAGAAGCTGGAAATTACCCACATTGATCTCACGCCTAGTTTGGCAAGACTCGTGCACCCTGACGAAGTACCATCACTTTGTCGAGGTGTTTTCATCACCGGTGGTGAACAGCTAAAACAAGAGATCCTCGATGCGTGGGGAGAGCATGGGGTTATCTACAATGGATATGGACCTACTGAGGTGACCATCGGATGTACAATGCTCCCACGGATGCGTGCCAATGACAAGCCATCCAACATCGGGCCACAATTCGACAACGTAGGCTCGTACGTTTTCCGGCCGGGCACTTGCACTCCGGTTCTGCGTGGTGGCCTCGGTGAGCTTTGTGTATCGGGTCCGCTAGTTGGCAAGGGTTACTTGAACCGGGCGGAACTCACTAAGGAGCGATTCCAGACTCTGCCAGAGAATGGAGACCGCATTTATCGGACGGGTGATTTGGTGAGGATCTTGCACGACGGTAGTTTCCAGTTCCTGGGCCGGATCGATGATCAAGTTAAGCTCCGCGGCCAACGACTCGAGATTGGCGAAATCAACCAAGTCATCAAGCAGGCAACTCCTGAGCTGAATGAAGTCGCTACGCTGGTCATCAAGCATCCGAAACAATCCAAAGATCAACTGGTGTCTTTCGTCACCAGAGTTGATGTCGACAAGAAATCTCAGGATGTGAAAGTGCGGTCTTCTGACGAGGATCGAGCGTTGCTGTCGACAATCAAGGCTGCTTGCCACACACACCTTCCGGGGTATATGGTGCCGACACATATCATTCCAATGACACGTTTCCCTCTGTCTGCCAATAATAAGGCTGAGATGAAGGTCTTGAAGAGCGTCTATCAGGATCTTTCCTTGGAGGATTTGCAGATATTGGGTTCCATGGCTGTTGAACAAACTGTGAAAAGTACACAAGAGAGGGAAATCATTTCTCTTTTGTCCAAGTTTATCGGTGCTGCCGAATCGGCCATTTCTTCTTGGTCAAGTATCTTCGAATTGGGACTTGACTCAATCTCCGTCATATCATTTGCCAGAAGCCTGAGGGAGGCAGGTTTCCCTCAAGCCCAGGCATCACTCATTATGAAGCGTAAGTTCAGTCTTGGCGTGTCGTATAGTTAACAGATTTCTAATAATGTAAACAGATCCCACCGTTGCAAGCATGGCGTCAGCATTGCAGACGTCTACATCCTCTTCAATGCCCCAGAGCAACCTCCACAAAAATGCGAAGCAAAACATCGAGGCATTCGCCCACAAACACTTCCACTCTATCCTCGAGAGCATCGGAGCTGTTGACGGTAATTTTGAGCAGATCGCGCCATGTACACCGCTACAGGAGGGTATCATATATCATTTTTTGTCGACTCCTGAGCCACTCTACTGCTCGTCCTTCACCTTCGCGCTGGATGCCTCGACCGACATTGAGAGGTTGCGAAATGCGTGGAACAAGGCACAAGACCAGGTCCAAATGCTCCGAGCTCGATTCTCGCCTTCTCCAGATGGCTACGCTCAAGTCATTCTCAAGCATGATGCGCTTCCTTGGTTCGACATGAAGGCTGCGTCTGAGAAGAAGATTGAAACCTTGCGGAAGCAGCAGGTCCAAAACTGGACATCAGAACTTGAGGAACTCTCAACGCGGCTATGGGAGGTTGGTGTGATTCAATCTCCCGAGACATCCGTGATGTGTCTCAATATTTTCCATGCTCTCTATGATGGAAACAGCTTGGCCCTCCTCCTGGATTTGGTTGCCAGGAATTACCTCGACCAGCTCGGTGCCTCAGAAAATGCGCCGCAGTTCCTTGATGTGCTGCATCTGGGTCCTCTTTGCAGAGATCCATCAGAGGAATCTTTTTGGAAAGAGCATTTGGCAAACTGCCGACCCCGAGCCCTGTCAAGATCGGATCAAACTAATGGTGTTGTTGAGTCGCTGGTCCAGAAGGTCCAGATTGATACGACGCAGCCTTTAGACCATCTGAGGAAGTCTCTCAATGTCACGGAACAGGCGATCCTCCATGCCTGCTGGCTGTTGACCCTCCACCAGCATTACGCATTTGTTCCACCAATCGGTATGATCGCATCTGGACGTACGATCGACGTGCCAGGAATTTCCAACGTCATCGGGCCTTTGTTCAACACCATTCCCAGTAATGTGCAGCTTCGTGGTCTGAAGTCATGGTCTGAAGTCGCTCAGCGGTGCCATGAATACCAGGTTTCCACCATGCCCTTCCAATACACTGCTCTGCGGGACATCATGAAATGGCTCGGGAAGAGCCCGGATGAGCGCCTCTTCGACTCACTGTTCGTGTTCCAGAGGGAAACGGCTGATATCGATGCATCAACCAGCAGCCTATGGGAGCCGCTGGATTCAGAGGCGCAACATGAGTACCCGCTGGCTTTCGAGATTGTGCGCAATGGCAATGAATCCCTGACTTTGACCCTTGCGGCACAGGGTCACGTTCTGTCCTCAGAAGCGGTGGAGCAGCTGCTGGCCAATTTCCAGCGGATTCTTTCCGAGTTTGCTGAGAATCCTGACCACGAGCTTCCTTATATCAACGGTGTCGCAGAGGATAGCTATGCGCATGCAAATGGTGAAACCGGTGCGCCAAGCAACCTGGATCACAAGAGAGTTAATGGCTACTCTTCATTCCAATGGACCAGTCAAGCTTCCACCATTCGAGATGTCATTGCGACCCTCGCCGGTGTTGACGTTCATTCAATCGATGAAGAAACATCGATCTTCGAAGTTGGCCTTGACAGTATTGATGCTATCAAGCTGTCCTCACGCTTAGCCAAGTTGGGCATCAAGCTTCCCGTAAGCGCCATCATGCGCCATCGCAATGTGAAAGCAATGACTAGCCAGCTTGCAGAGCCAACCCATAATGAACAGAATGGGTCATACCCGCTGCTGAGTCAAATGGAGGCATCTTTGGCAAACTTCCTGGAGAAGGAGGGCCTCATGCCTAACGGCGCGTGTCGAGTCCTTCCTGCGACGCCGATACAAGAGGCAATGGTCGCCGAGATGTCTGCATCCGCGTATCAGCACTACTACAACCATGAGGTTCTCCAACTCGAGCCTCATGTGGATCTCACAGGTATTCAGGAAGCATGGAGAGCAGTCGTCAAAGCCCATCCCATCCTGCGCACGTCCTTTGTCGAGGTCTGGGATCCTGAGATCTCGGCGTCTTATGCTCAGATTGTTCACAGCGAGGATTCGTTTGACTTCAAGTCTATGCATCTGAATGGGAAGTCTGTAGAGTCAATCATTGAGTCGCAACGCAAACGAGCCGTCTCAGAACTTTCTGGTCGCCCTCTACTGAGCCTCGCGGTGGCAGTCGATGAAGATGCTCGTTACCTCGTTCTTTCAATTTCCCACGCTCTCTATGATGGCTGGTCCATCAGTCTACTCCATGAAGATGTTGCCAGATCTTATGCTGGGGAAGACTGTTCTCGCCCATCCTCAGATGCAATTCTGGAGCAAATCGTTGCGTCATCTGGTGATCGCGCTCTGAAATTCTGGAGGGCAACTCTGTCAAACTGTAAGCCAGTCTCTTTCCCATTAGGTGAACATGCAGAGACTGGCTCGCAGGTGGTTCATCGCGCAGAACGACCACTCTCTGTGTCCTTTGACAAGGCAGAGAGATTCTGCAAGCGAAATGGCATTACAATGCAAGCACTTCTGGTCAGCTGCTGGTCCATCGTTCTAGCAACCTATGTAAAGAACCTGGACGTCATGTTCGGTCTTGTTCTTTCCGGTCGCAACGTGGCTGATTCGGAGAATGTCATGTTCCCCACGATGAACACCGTCGCCATGCGAGTCATCCTTCACGGGACTCGTCTGGAACTCGTGAAGTATGTCCAGGAAACTCTACTCGAGATGTCTGAGCACCAACACTTTCCACTGCGACGAGCGAGGCCGGACACCAGATCGCGACAATTGTTTGACACTCTGTTCATCTATCAGAAGAGGCCCTCTGATGTCCAGTCCCCGAGACCTGCGCTGTACCAATCCACAGGTGGAGCATCGAGTGTGGAGTATCCGGTATGTGCCGAGATTGAAGGCGATGGAAAGGACCTAATCGCGCGGGTGGCTTGTCGTGGAAGCGTCCTGGGAGATAAGGACACTTCTGTGCTTCTGGGCCACATGTCTGAGGTGCTTCTGTCACTTGTCGTTGAACCAGCTCGGCAAACGGTCGAATTTTCTGGCGATGCCATGAAGATCTGTGGTAATATCATTGTCCCTGAAGAGTCGAATGATTCTGGCGAGTCCCAGCCGCGCGAAACACAAAAGTCTACTTCACAAGAATGGTCAATTGTCGAGTCCAAGATTCGCAACATTCTCTCCGTCGTATCTGGCGTTCCCGAGGACTCTATTGACAAGGAATCGAACATCTTCCAGCTCGGCTTGGACAGCATCAGTGCCATCAAGGTTGCTGCACTTTTGAAGAAGCGATCCGTCAAGCTCGTTGTCAGCGATATGCTCAGAGCTGGGACAATCGAGAAAATGGCTCTAGCAGTGAACAAGAACCAAGCGAATATCACCCAAGATGAAATCGACAACGCGCTCCAAGAGTCGCTCAAAGGACTCGACGTCAAGTCGTTGCTTCAGTCGTACGGGATTGATCCACGGAATATTGACACAGCAATGCCTGCCACTGCCGGACAGACGTACTTCCTGGCAATGCACAGCCTGAACCCAGATGTGTTTTATCCCAAGTTCTACTACTTGGCGTCGGCGCAATTCAACTCTGGGGTTCTGAACCGTGCCTGGTCACGTCTCATAGACGAAACACCCATGTTGCGAACTGCTTTCCTTGCAACAGGCCACCCAAGGGTACCCTATGTCCAAACTGTTCTTAAGTCAGTGCGCAACCCTCCTACCTGGCACGATGACCTCAACTATGCTATCAGCATCAGACGTGACTTTGGGTCTATCCCCATTGCCCTTCACGTCTCCCGAACACCTCGAGGTGTAGCATTCATGCTGCACCTTCACCACGCATTGTATGACGCCGTTAGCCTGCCACTCATGATGGACCGACTTTCCCAATTGTGCACCGAGCCCAAGTCCGAACCGAAACACCGGTCACACAACTTGTCCCACCTCGTGGCATTCCAGCACATCCACTCGCCCGTTGAGGTCCGGCGGCAATTCTGGGAAAAGTATCTGGGCTCAATCTCAACACCAGGCGCCAGTGACAATCAAGTGGGTGTTTTTGGCCCCATCCAGCATGACTATCGGCCCGGTCTGGTTTCAAATATGTCTCAACTTGAGTTAGCCGCCAAACGTCAGGGGCTCAGCATCCAATCGACCTTCCTGGCCGTCTATGCTCGCGTGCATACCGGGATATTTGCTGTGGCGGATATCGACAATGAAACGATCAAGCGACCGCTCGTGGTTGGGTTGTATCTTGCCAAACGGTCGTATGGCATGGAAGGCCTATCTGAACTGGTTGCCCCGACTGTCAATATTGTTCCACTTCGCTTGGACGACAAGCTCAGCCATGACGATGACTCACTATTCGTCGCTGCCCGGAAGATTCAGGAGGACATCAACGAAATCAGCTTGGTGGAACATGCCGGAGTCTCTCTCCTCGAGATCGCCGAATGGACCGGGGTACACATCAGCACCTGCATCAATTTTCTTCGACTGCCGGACCTAGAAGCCTCCAACGGCGATGCAAGTGATAAAGTGATCTTCCACTCCATCTCAAGCAACGAAGTGGCACCGCCTCGTATATCTACCTCGAGTTCCCGCCCACTCGTCTCAGCCCAGACCAACGGTAACACGGCCTTGTCCGATTCCGTCGGATCCGCTTCTTCGATGGTGGCGATGAAAGAAGTTTTCTGGGTAAGTTTTTGACCTATTCCGTATATCCACTATGGCAAGCAGCAGACACTAATGCAAATCTACGGTTTGAAACAGCCTACGATCGACGTTGAGGCAGCTATCCGAGAGGACCGACTGGATTTTGGTCTCTTTGCGCCTGAGACTCGTCTCGATCGCCCCACTGCCGAGAAGGTGATGGAGACGATGAGGCATGAAATGGCAGCGTTAGTTGCATCTTCAGGATCTCCATAGAGTTCCCAGGGAAGCGAGCTGAGCAAGAAAAAAATACGAAAAAAAATTGATTAGAGAAAAAAGAAATGGAGGAAAGTCACAAGTCGATTGGAGGTCTGCTCTGCTCTGCCAACCTGGGGTTTGTTTATTTTGGCGTTCAATTCTTTTTTTTTACGAATTCTCTTTACCATTGTGTTATACTGGTTGCCCGGAGCAAGAGAAAGAGGCTGTCTCCTTTCCTATGCATATATTGCTTTTTTTGGTGTGCTTTTGGCGTTTTGGATGTGTGCGTTTTCACCCGTCGTGTCATTTTCAATATATCGAATTGCATAGAATCCGAGACGCCGATGATCTGATGCTTGAAGGAACCACGGAAGCTGTGGGACGAGCGGATCTGCCTTTGTTGATAATGTCGCGTCTCCACCGGGTACATAAACACGAACGCCTGGGGAATCAGTTAGATGCCGAGTTCTGAGCTCTGGTCTTCAACCAGAACCAAAAATGACCAAAAATGACCAAAATGGAGACCGTGGACATGGACGGTCCGCACCGAGTCTGAGCTTGTTACGTCTGCCTGTTGCTTCAACCTGACATTAGTGGAAAGTTAGAATACTCCCGGAAGAAGTGAGCCGGACACCGGGTGGAAGGATTGGCGCTCATTCCACAGTCTGCCCTAAGCAAGAGCTCCAACGCGAATGATGGATCAGATCAGACGACTGCCAATGCCTCGATGGCGGAGCATTGGGCTCATGGGTGGCAGGCTTTGCTGCAAGGGGAGTTCGCGTGGCGGGCCTTTGATAGGCTCCAACAATGGACAATGACCGGACATGGCGCAAGTGGGCCAGAGTCGCGATGGTACTGGCTAGACCTGGTCTTCCGAGAAGCCGGTCAACAATTGGCTTTTTTTTTCCCTCTTTCGTCCACAAAGGCTGCATGGTTCTTTTGTTTTCACAGGTCACAGACCAGGAGGGTCATGGAAGAGGACACGGACGGTCTGGTTATCGTCCTGGGTGGCGTTTGGGTCTGGAGCAGGGGCGACCCCGGAATTGGTTCCCCTCTTCCCAGCAAGCGCCGGACCTGATAGACCGTGGAACACGGGCACACAGGATCACTGGTTTTCCCTCCCTTCCTGCAGGTAATAGTTTCGATATGAATGGAGTTATGTAGAGATAGTAGTACATAGAGGGGTAATATCCAATGAATAAATGGGTAGAGTACTACCCTAGTAGTATACATCAGATGCGGGCAGCACCTGATCTCTGGTTACATAAGCGCTATTTGTTTATGTCACGACGCGTCCCCGCCGCTAAACCCAATTGGGCATCGAGGGATCAACAACGCGACGTGCGCGTTGATCGGCCACTCTGGAGAGCCTTGGGTCATTTATTCTCTTTGCATCTTCGTGCCTTCGACTCCCACATTCCTATCATCAACCCTCTCCCTCTTCGATCATCCCTATTCCATCGCTTTATCGGTCGTTTCACCCAGGAATCGGCTCTCGACAACTCCTGGAATCCTTCTCCCTCTCGACCTTGATTTGATCGCATTGTCACATTCCCGCCCCTCTCTGCCCAAAACTCGCGTGGGCTGATCTCGCTCACGTCCGCAACTTGGAGGGGGATCTACCCCTTGCTCGCCGGTTCTTCCCTTGGATTCCTTGGACACACTTGGAGATATTATCCGATCCCAGACATTGGCCCTGCCTCGTTCGACGCCCTCGAAAGGAAGAAGCGCAATCAACATCGTCATCATCCCATCGTTCTGGGTCCGCGACTCCGAATGTCTGTGTGGCCATCCTGAAACATTCCGACGCGACCCTTCGAAACATAAGGCAGAGAGACACAGCACGCCTGACTGACTCGCTCAGACACACGCGCGCGCGCTTTGTTTGGCAGTCCCCCGTGACCGATCGGAGGACCAACACGACGGAATTCCTGTTGCCTCGCGATGAGTGGGTGAACCGCGACTGCCCTTTTGCTATTTTCTTGCCACTTTTTTGCGGCTGCGCCTTCCCAGCATTCCAGTGCACCTTCTTTCCAGCAGCATCAGTATCCTGTTGAGTCTTTGGGGGTTGGACCGCCTACCCACACTTTCGCTCTTGACTGCGTTCTTGCCCGCCTCTCTTGAAGTCGCGTTAGAGGCGCATTTTCTAGCTGTGGAGGATTTCGGGAGGAAACATCACCAGTTTAACCGTTTTTGTCGACACTCGCAGTATTTGGAAATTTTCTTGGGTCACCATCTTTGAACTTGTTGGAAGATCGTTGAATCCATCAGACGAAAGGTGGGAGATCAACCAGGTGTGATCGGATCGAAGTCTCATTCTGGGCTTGTTGCGCGGCACATCGAGCAAACATTCCCCAAAATGGTTGCGACCTTCTCACCTCACCGGGACTCCGGAGGCACCCTCCATCTCTCATCTCACTCGCCCCTCCATCACGTCGATGCCAGTTCCGCCATTAGACAGCTTCGGCGCTCTTTGTCGCGCTCGCCATCCAAGAGCTCCAACTTCTTCCTCAACTCCCGCACTCACTCACCGTCAAAGTCCACTACATTCATTTCCTCACCTCTGTCGCCCTCGCGGCGATCCTCCCACAACAACTTTGTCCTTTTCCCTTCCACTGGACAACAATCACCTCTCGCAGTCCCTTATCCTCCCAGCGCAAAGATCACTCGGCCGGTCATGCGTCGAAGAACGTCTCCCCGCAGTCCGGCAAAATGCGCTCTCACCGTGTCTGCTGATGGGGGTAACTCAGTCTCGTCTCAGCCTATTCCCATCATCGCGCCTGGTGAAGAGAACGCCTTGACGCTGGATGATTTGGCCGATCCAAGTGAGAGTAATTCTTGCGCCACTCCTTGTCTCAGCACTACACCAACTGCCCCCCTCGGTGAATCAACGTTTGGGCCTCGTCCTACCCTGTCGCGTATTGAAAAGCGTCGCAGCGGGACCTTTGGTTCCTTCGCGACTGTCAGTCCCTTAAAGCGCAGTGACGGCATCATGAATCTCGACCAAGCTTCCCGCGGTAGCCCCTCGGCCAAGCGACGCAGCGTTCACGCGTCAAACTTTGCGGCTGACTTTAGCATTTTCGACCATGAAAGTGAAACTGCGCCTGCAAGTCCCGCTGGAAATGGCGATGAGGCTACTTCCTACTTCCCCACTCCTCAACCTCACAACCCGTTCGCGACCATCCCTAAGCGATCTTCCTCACTCCGGCGATCGACTCTCCAACAGCGCCAAGTAGAGCGCCCTCTCTTCGGCCCCCGCAGGGGTCTGGGTGAGACAGAGGCCTCGCCCGGCACCCCGCTAGCAGTTCGACCTCGTATGTCCTTTGACAGCGGCCTTTTCCAGTCAAGCCAGGAGTCTTCAAGTCTCTTTTCCCCTCGCCCTCCTCCTGCCAGTCCTCTCTTCTCTCCCGCTCCTCCCGCCATCAACACCAACACATCCAACTTTGGAACCACTCAGCCTTCTCGCCCTTCTGCTCATCCTCTCTCCCGTACCATCACCCAATCCTCCTCTGGGTCGAGTCTGGAGGACTCGCCAACTCATGAGCACGTTCAAAAGCCCGAGCGTGCGCTGCGACCCTTCATGAACTTTTCCAAGTCACTTCCAGCTGGTGCCACGCGGCCTGCGCCGGTGCGCCGGGTGACACGTGAAGAGACAAGCTCAACAGAGTCATTCGCGACGCCAGAAAATTACAAGCTGGTCAAGCCTCTGCCTGCTGCGTTCATGTCGACTGGGTTAATTTCGAAGAAGAATCGTAACGCAGAGGAGGTGCACGGCGGGGGATTCAACAAGAACATGCCTGACACTCCATGTAAGCGTCCAGTCAACATGTTCACGGCTGGTGCGGACTCTCCCCTTCCTGAGAGTAGTTTCTTCAACAAGTCTCAGTTTGGTCGACAGCTCGAGGCAGTGTCCGCGTCTCCATTCAACCCACCTGCCTCGTCTGCTCGCCCAAAGGCTGGTCCGTTTGCTCGCGGCATGGGCATTTTTGGTAACAGTTTCACTCGCCCGGAACTGTCGCGTCGCGGAAGTGTCGTGAGCGTGGATGGGGAGGACATGCTGCAGGCCCAGTCCCCTTCGTCACGCGACGATAGCCAGCCCATGACCGATTCCGATCTCCCTCCCACCCCCACCAAACAAACATTCCTTCCATCTCGCACCTATCCTCCTGCCACCTCTCAAATCGCCTCTCTGGAGCGTCTGTCCGAATCTCGAGGCAGCACCCACTCCACCCCCCTGCGCGACCGATTCTTACAGGCCTCTACTACTCCTCGCACCCCTCGCGACCAGTTCTTCCCTCCCGACCCTAGTGGCTTGTCCATCTCCGCACCGAATGATCAACAGCCTCCTCAACTCGACTTCGGTAGCAGCCTCAATCTCCCTGCTACCCCGACTCAGCCTCGCGAGTCGTTCCTCTCAAGTAAAGGGGCCAGCCTCCTGCTCAGTGGTTATCAGGCCCCGGATGTCGACTCTAGTTTGACCTCGCGCTTTGCAAAGGTTGAGCTCATCGGTACTGGGGAGTTCTCCCAGGTCTTCCGTGTTGCTGAGCCACATGACACAGCATACTCCTCAGTGTTCTCCTTTCCAACTGGTGAGCGCCAGTCGCCTACGAAATTGGCTCACCAGGTCTGGGCTGTGAAGAAGAGCAAGCAACCCTACACGGGATTGAAGGATCGTGAGCGTCGTATTCGCGAGGTGGATATTCTGAAGGCGCTAGTTAGTTCGGACCATGTCGTTAACTTCCTGGACAGCTGGGAGGTTAAAGGCCATCTGTACATTCAGACTGAGTTTTGTGAGGAGGGTAGCCTGGACGTCTTCCTGGCCCGCGCTGGCCTAAAGGCGCGAGTGGATGACTTCCGCATCTGGAAAATTCTTCTCGAACTCGCTTTGGGATTGAAGCATATCCATGACAACGACTTCATTCACCTAGACCTAAAGCCTGCCAATGTCTTGGTCACCTTCGAAGGTGTTCTGAAGATTGCCGACTTTGGTATGGCCACCCGCTGGCCTGCTGAGCAGGGCTTCGAGGGTGAAGGTGATCGCGAATACATTGGACCTGAAATCTTGATGGGTCAGTTCGACAAGCCTGCCGATATCTTCTCCCTCGGCCTGATCATGTTTGAGATTGCTGGTAATGTGGAGCTTCCCGACAATGGTCTATCTTGGCAGAAGCTTCGCAACGGCGACATGAGCGATGTGCCCAGCTTGACGTGGAGCTCGGAAACAAGCATCTTCCGTGATGCCTCTGGTAACCCCATCTCCGAGGAGTCGTCCTTTGAAGAACTCTGCGCATCTGACCTCGGAGATCACGATTTTGACGGTTTCCTGTCCGTCCCCAAAGCCCACAAGCCATCCCGAGCCGCTCGCAGCGGTGAGCTTGTCCACCCTCCCGACTTTATGATCGATGCTCGCCATGATCAAGCTTTGGACAAGATTGTTGGCTGGATGATCTCTCCCAAACCGCAGGATCGACCCACTGCCGACCAGATTCTGGAAACCTACGGTGTGCAATTCGTGAACCGCCGTCGTCGCGCCGGTGCCACCGTCTTTGAGGGCAACTGGGGGCCTGCTGACGAGATGTTGGCCGAGGATGCCGAGATGATCGATGTGTAATCTATCTCCCCTTTTTTTTCGAAACTTTGTGTGCATATGGAGGGTGTTTCATGCTGTCAATTTGTTTTTTTCCCTTTGTCATCTGTCGTTCTGGTGTCGATACGACTCGGCGCTTTGCTTTTCATCTGGCTCTTGCCTACCATGTTAGGCCACGTTAACTGATTACGACCATTTCTTTTCCTCTCGACGCTCGGCTTCTCGGGTCGAAGCCATTTCATCTCAACTGCTCTCTCGTTTGTGATACCATTATGATCCTCAAATTTTGGGTCTTATCACACCTTCCACCCCAGTTGATCGGACCTATGTCCATTGTCCACCATTTGTCATGACCCGGAGGAGTTTTGCAACGGTTGCAATACCCGGAGTTCAGCGCGGAGTTTCTCCACTCGTTCTGGGGCTTCTTGTCTTTTTTTCCACTCTATCATTTCCTTTGTACCATTTCCAGCATTACCAGGTGTCACGAATGTACCAAGATCCCACATGTCGAAAGGTATTCATTGTTCACGTGATGCCAGCCCTGCTTTCATCTGATCTCCGGTGACCTCGAAATATTCACGTCCACGCCGGTTGATTGTAAATTGGCATTACTCTTTCTGGGCTTCTCGAAGTTTGGCTCCATCTTCAGTGACTACCTTCTAGCATTTGACGGTCCTGGACTTTTTCTTTTCTCTTTTTCCATTCTCATGTACCCTCTTACACCATCTGTTTAAGTAACGACGAATGATTGCGGCCATGCTGTGTTAGATTAGCGAGATGTGCTCTTTTTCTTGTGTGGCTAGATTGGTTCCATGGCTGGAACCCGAATGATATCCCAATGAAATGCTTGATTATTTCCAGTTAATTCTTGTGCTACTTGTAAAATATTTTGTCTATGTAGACCTAGATGTCGCCTATGGGTAGTGAGCCAGATTACGTGCTATGTCAAGTCTGCTGGTGCTACGTGATGCCTGGTCTTAACCCATTGAAGTAAATTGTTTGGGTGCATAGGCTGGGTGATTGCAGATATATATCTTGGGTCCTATCTAGCACTCTCGAGAAATGGAACCTTCACTGAGAGATTATTGTTGAAACAATGGGCAATACGAGCTTCAAATAACAAGATATAGCAGTTTTTCCGTCCTTAGTTACTTAGATATCTGTATTTTTAGTTCCAGCGTCTAAAAAGTGGTAAATTGTCTGATATACTTCGGAAGATGAGATGTTCCGACGTCGCGGCTTTGGGATCGCCACTAGTCTTGGCGCGACCTCAGAGCTCTGCTCTCCGCATCCGTTGCACCTTCAAATTTATTTCCCAACCAATTTGTCCATTACTGGCTTCTAGCGGGCCCCTCCCTCATCGATTACCCTTGTGCAACATGCGATTCATCGTCTAAGACCTTTTGGAAACTATCACACCTCTGTGGAGCCACTTAAAGACCACCTTGATCCTCCCCAACCTCCGCGCCCACCATGGACAACAAGACCTTCGTGTCCGACTCTCTCATCCGCCTAACCGGCGCGTCAGATCCAATCGCCGTTGACTTTGTTCTTGCCGAAGCCTCATCTGCCAAATCCGTGTCCTCCCTTCAAGACAAACTGGTCTCTTTCCTCGATGGCAGCCCCGACGAGATCGGCGCATTCTGCGGGCAACTTTTCTCCCGCGTAGGGAAGGGCAGTCAGCCCAGCGCATCTGCTTCGAAATCTACAGCCAGCAAGGAATCGTCAAAGAAGAAATACCGCCTTGTGGATATGGGCGAAGACATCCCCGATCCTGCATCATCATTAGGGCCCGTCAACATCGAGGCAGAACGCGATAGACGGCGGCGTCGTGACAAGGAGAGGGAAAGCGATCGGGACCGGGACCGGAGTCGTCGGGACAAGGATGATAGCCGCAAACGAGATCGCAGCAGGGACGCAGAGAGTCGGGACCGACCGCGCACGAAAAAGTTGCGACAGAGAGATGCGGACGATTTCGACGACCGATGGGGCGATGAGGAAGTCGCTGAGGATGAACGATACGCAGAAGAAGACGAATTTGCCGAATCGCCACCAAAGCGCACACGACTCGAAGATGGATCAGCCTCCCCACGCGCCGCATCGTCTGTTGAAGATATCGATCCCCAGACCAAACAGGAGATTGAGCGGCAAAAGGATCTACGCGAGCGAGATGAATTTGCGAAGCGCTTGGCCAATAAGGATAGTTCCAAGTCTAAGAAGATTGTGGAAGACCGGACACGGGATAGTGAAGCTGCGCGGAGACGTGCTCTGGCCGATGATGCCGACGCGCGGGCTTCTGTCATGCCCGATCTGCGTGAGCGCTCGCGACAAGAATATTTGAAGAAGCGTGAGGCAGAGCGGCTTGCTCTGCTACGTCGTCAAGTTGCAGAGGAGGCTGCCGAGCTGCGCGAGAACCCGAATCTTACGCGCCGCGAGAAGGAAGAATTTGCACGAAATCGCGAAGTTCTTCGGATTGCAGAGGAGCGACTACGGATCGATGACCATCGTGATGGTTATATGATGCCCGAGGATTATATTACGGAGAAGGGCAAGATTGATCGCAAGAAGAAAGAAGATGCGCTGTATAAGCGGTACGTGGATCGTGACGAGATTGGTCAGGAGAAGTTCGTCACCGAGCATGAGGAGTGGGAGCTGGAGCAGGCTGCCAAAGCTAAAGCCCAGATCAAGAAAGCCGAGTTTGTCGACGAGGGCGACTACGAGTATGTCTTTGATGATACGCAGCAGATCAACTTCGTGATGGAGTCCAAGATCGAAGGCACGCAGAAGCCGATGACGCAGGAGCAATTGCGGTTCAAGCAGCAGGTAGATGCCGCAGAGAAAAAGGCTGCCACTATGGAGGAGACTCGGAAGAGTCTGCCCATCTATCAATTCCGCGACCAGATCATTCAGGCTGTTCATGACCATCAGGTTTTGATCATTGTTGGTGAGACGGGTTCTGGTAAAACCACCCAGATTCCACAGTATCTCCACGAGGCTGGATTCACCAAGGACGGACTGAAGATTGGCTGTACTCAGCCGCGTCGAGTCGCCGCTATGAGTGTCGCTGCGCGTGTGGCCGACGAGATGGGCACCAAGATCGGAAATGAAGTTGGTTACGCTATTCGTTTTGAAGATAACACCAGCGACAAGACTATCTTGAAATATATGACTGATGGCATGCTTCTGCGAGAGTTGCTCACGGAGCCGGACCTAGGCCAGTATGCCGCGCTGATGATTGACGAGGCCCACGAACGGACAGTGCCAACAGATATTGCCTGCGGTCTTTTGAAGGATATCGCCAAGGCGCGACCCGACCTAAAGCTCCTTATTTCCTCAGCCACTATGGATGCGCAAAAGTTCCAAAAGTACTTCGATGATGCGCCCATTTTCAACATTCCCGGTCGTCGGTACCCAGTCGACGTGCACTATACCTCTCAGCCCGAAGCCAATTACCTCGCCGCCGCTATCACCACTGTCTTCCAGATTCACGTGACTCAGGGCCCTGGTGATATCCTGGTCTTCTTGACAGGTCAAGAAGAAATTGAGGCCGCGGAGCAAAGTCTACAAGAAACGGCCCGAAAACTCGGCAGTAAAATACCGGAGATGATTATCTGTCCCATCTACGCCAATTTGCCATCCGAATTACAGACCAAGATCTTCGAGCCCACGCCACCGAAGGCCCGTAAGGTCGTTCTCGCCACTAATATTGCCGAGACAAGTCTGACTATTGACGGTATCGTCTATGTGATTGATCCTGGTTTTGTGAAGGAGAATGTCTTCAATCCTCGGACTGGCATGGAGAGCCTCGTCGTGACGCCTTGCTCTCGCGCCTCTGCTAATCAGCGAGCTGGTCGTGCCGGACGTGTTGGTCCTGGTAAATGTTTCCGACTTTATACCAAGTGGGCGTACTACAACGAATTGGAAGAGAACACCACGCCAGAGATCCAGCGCACGAACCTCAACAGTGTGATTCTGATGCTGAAGTCGTTGGGTATTGACCAGCTGCTCGACTTTGATTTCATGGACCCACCACCAGCCGAGACCATCATTCGCGCCTTGGAACAACTCTACGCACTCGGTGCATTGAATGACCGAGGTGATCTCACCAAGGTGGGCCGACAAATGGCTGAGTTCCCTACCGACCCCATGCTCGCCAAAGCCATTCTCGCCGCAGGCCAATACGGCTGCGTCGAAGAAGTCCTCTCAATCGTATCCATGCTCGGCGAAGCCAGCGCCCTCTTCTTCCGCCCCAAAGACAAGAAAATCCACGCCGACAGCGCCCGCAACCGCTTCACCATCAAAGACGGCGGCGACCACCTCACCCTCCTCAACATCTGGAACCAATGGGTCGACTCCGACTTCAGCGTCGTCTGGTCCAAAGAAAACTTCCTCCAACAACGCAGTCTCACCCGTGCGCGCGACGTCCGCGATCAACTCGCCAAGCTATGCGATCGCGTCGAAGTAACCGTCAGCACCTGCGGCTCCAACAACATGGTCCCCATCCAAAAGGCCATTACGGCCGGCTTCTTTCCCAATGCGGCGCGTCTACAGCGTGGTGGCGATAGTTACCGCACGATTAAGAACGGGCAGTCTGTGTATCTGCACCCGTCTAGCACGTTGTTTGAGGTTAACCCGCGCTGGGTGATTTACTTTGAGCTTGTGTTGACGAGTAAGGAGTATATGCGGAGCAATATGCCGCTGCAGGCGGAGTGGTTGGTGGAGGTTGCGCCGCATTATTACAAGAAGAAGGACTTGGAGTCGTTGGGGTTGGATAGGAAGGTTCCCAAGGGGACTGGGGCGGCTGGGGAGAAGAGTCGGACTTGATTGGGAGATAATGTATGAGCTGAGTTTGAGTGTCTGTTGTGGTTTGTATATTAAAGATCTAAGTGGAAAATAGTCATGATTCACATCCAATACCTCGATAACCGAGCAACTATAAGGGTGCCAAGCCCAACTAAGAAATGAAGCAATCACCATGCAGCTCTTAGCGCGGTCAGTCACCTGATATGGGGCTGAATGTTGCCCCTCCTTGTTGATTAGACCTGAACTACTTCTAACAATTTCTTTCTCGAATCTTGAAGTATTTTCCATGGGCTGACATACTGGCTAATATCACTGCCTTGATCATGGCCCCAACGTCCTTTGGCGACGGAAATTCGGGGATTCAGATCGCAAATAATTACGGATCAATCAACGCTCCAACAGCTGGCTTTACCTCTCTGTGGACCCTATATAAAGGCAGAAGCGACCGCCTTACGCTTATCAAAGCCGCTTTCTTTCACCGTGACTTCGAACATCTGGATCTGCTAATCAGAGAGCTGCCATTAGTCTTCTTGTCGACGCCACTGGCTTGTAGCTAGCCAAGCAACACTCCGGTTATGAAAGCGATGAATTCCACAAATATTGGTTCAAGGGCTGTCTGTAGAGATTATCAAAGAGTATAATTTTACGCTCTTACTCCTATCTTCCGATCTTTACCATTTGAAAGAAAGCTCACAAGTATCTAGGGAATCTGTAAGTTCGGGAGTACCTGCACCGAGTAGCACGCTATACAAAGTCAACAAGTCTTTGCACTGTCCACCAAGCCAGTCGTTGAAGCTCTGAAACCGGCATTATGTATTGGACTCATCCCAGGTTCTCCAGGAGGATGGCACGACTGATATGCCCATTGATGATGCGGAGGATGAGGGCGGGATGGAGCCCGAGCGTTTTGCCGGCCACATTGCCGATTTACAAGCGGCGCATTCGTCCCATGTGGCCGGCATGATATACGGGTGGGAGGTCACGGAGCAGGCTGGCACCACGGCGCACCGGCGGGAGATGGTTCCGGTTGTCCAGTACTGATTGGCATCGATTTTTAGGGTTTCCAGATGTGGAAGATGGGCTTGCTCGGATTGCTGATAAGCGAAAGTGTCCATTCGACGAGGAAGCGCAGGCGCAAAATCACCGGCGACGATACCAGTTGTCGACCGTTGACATGTGCGAGTGATGCAAAGGATGACGGGGATGGACAACATCACATTCCGAGGCAACCAGGTGGCCGTCATCCAGGCGATCCAGCTCGGGGCCAGTCCTTTCCGATATGGACCAATTTACCATACAAATACTATGGCAATGTAGGCAGAGGCTGAAAAACACACTAATGCCGACCTATCTCAGGTTGACAATAAGAAAACTGTTCACTTTATTGCACATGTGTACACGGTAGCTAGCTGGTGATACGAAGACTTTTTGTATGTAAATGTCTATTTACCAGAAGATTCTATCAAAAAGAGAAGCGTGGTTAACAGATAGCCTAGTTTTGACAAGACTGTGGAATAGTCTTGCCCGCTAGAATCAGCCACGATACATCCATACTAAGCTGCGTAGCAAAGTGCGGGGTAAGATATGACGATTAGACGAGCATATATGCAAAAAATATATCTGTAATACTAAATTGTGTTGAACAGATGGAGACATAAACAAGGAAATAAACATGCACATTTACAATAACTAAGCATGTTTGGATATATCTGGATATCATAATGGAGATAAGGTAAAACACAAGTTAAAATCCGATTCCTGACAATTTGACAGTTCACTTGACGTAGTCTCACTCGTCCCTCTGGACAAACATGATACTCTTCTACGAATTCTCCAAGGCTACAACGGTCTCTGATATCTTTCGGCATCTGTCATGAGGAGGACCAAAAGAGGCTTTGTAACCCGCCAAAACCCGCTGGTACGTCTCCCCCGCTTCTTCCGACCGTCCTTGCTTACTGTAGAGGTCGCCCAAATTTTCAACTGCTTCAAGTAATGGTATCTCCTCGCCGGTGCACACTTTTTGGTATCCTTTCAATGCCTGGTTGAGTAACTTCTCGGCCTGGTCTTGCTTTCCTTGATGGATGCGTAGAAAGCCCAGATTATTCACCGCGCTCAGAGTTAAGATATTGTCCATACCGAACTGAACCTTGTATCCTCCCAGCACCCGTTGGAGTAGCTTCTCTGCCTCTTCAAATTTGCCTTGATCAATGAGGAGAAGGCCGAAGTTATTGACCGTGTTGAGCGTTTCTGCACTGGCTCTGCCGCACGTGACCTAATGCTTGGTGGAATTGAGAATTTTGACAGGGTGAGGCAGGTCGCACCACGGACCCAAGGGCGCGGGAGCACGCACCACTAGCCAACCAGATGTTTCCTACCAATTAACAAATAGGGAGCAGGCTAACCTCCTCGCTCTGGATGGATTTTCTTGGAAAACAAGTTGTACGCCACTAGAGTCGTGTGCTGACTTCCGTTCTAGAACACCAGTACCATATCTTTCATATCTTTCGACGCTGAGTTTCTGCGATTATCTTGACTCGTGGCAGATGGGAGAGGCTTCTTGGACCAGCCGAGACGTAATTAAACTTTTCGTCATAATGCCGGAAACGGTCACTATCGAGCTCTTTAGCGAAAGCCTAAAGGCAAGGCCGCTCTAGAACGCCGGTGCTGCTTCTTTCTACCTTGGGCCTGTGCTGTTAACATGGCCCGTGACAGACGAGATCTCTCGGAGATGTTTTCTTGTAACAGTCGGAGAAAGGCTTCTAGACTCATGAATCTGTATGAATCAGTCTGGCATCCAGGACAGTGAGGGGAAAGTGTCATTAAATTCTTCGCTGCAGTCGAAAATGTCACAATGGACGCTCCTTTAGCAAGAAACCTAAGGGCGAGAGTGTCATGCGCATACATTCCGAAATGATTCGAGCCACTGCAAGTGGAAATTTTGGGCTTATTGACGTCATAAATAAACTGCAGCTATCAAATGGCATATATATAAGTCTGTGTTATTGTTGTCAATATATCTCTTGACGTTTACCAGCGGCATCTTGGAACAAACATTCAAAATGGTTGAAGCATATATTGGCTATAAAAGGAGCCTACGCGGAACCACGCCGGGTCTGGCCGTGTATGAACCGGCTAACGACGACTTGAAGGCAGGCCATTGCGGATATTTTGACTACTTGGGCCAATGGACCAATATTCGGGATTTGAATACAATCACAGAAGATGATACACTCTACAAACCCCTATCAAGGGGTGTCCCAGTGACCGATAGCGGAGGCGCACGTACAGAATGGGGTCTTATGCTTGGTCATGGCGTCCAAGTTGCACAGGGTACACTACAGGGCAACGCTCAGTTGGTACATCTGGCCTAATATCATGTTCATAGCAAATAACCATTGCCCAGGGCGCCTGGAGTTAGCGTCAAAGGTACTATGACACTAAAGTGCACCCAGGAGAATGCCGCCATACTCATGGCAGATCCGGTCACATATTTCAGGTGTGAAGACGACCAGCCTTTGAGAGATTGGCTGAATGAAAACGAGGAGTTGCTGATGCATGATCCAAATCATCGGAATAATATTCTGCATCATGGTCTTTGCATTATAACCGGTGTTTATAGGACTCCTCGTTGTACAATTGGGCAATGGCGTGGCCGAGGCACAGAGATATCGATTGAGCTCGATGTAGGTGTTTTCAACCAGGCTGGGGCCATAACGGGTGGCGGCAGCTGGAAAAAAATTGCCGGCGGAGGGTACTGGAAGGCATATGGTTTTGATCCTGAGAACCCCGAGGTGAGTGCATGTCTTTTTCATCACATTTGACTGTCTTTAACTTGTAACAAGGAAATGGCGGTGGTAGTCCAAGGAATTAAATACAGTCCAAATTGGTTTATGAAATTGTTTCAAGTAAGACTTTCTGGACCCGAATGTCACTAATGATGAATACTAATGCTCTCCATGTAATAGCGAATGTACGATACACTGCAGGCTCTATATCGTGGGTCGTCGACTTACCTGATAAGCGAAAACAATATTGTGATTGAAAATTATGTACATGCATTGGAAGACGATTCAGATGAGAGGGGCACTGCTTCGGACGAAGAATCATCGGAAGACACACCTCAACTGCAATAAGAAAAAAGATGAAATGGAACTTGCCGCGAACCAAGTGTCCCTAGCTGGAGCATTGGATTATTCTTTGTTGACTAAAAGCCTTTGTATGTGGGACCATTACTGCAAAAGAACAACGTTTGAACGCGTTCTCGATTCCAAAGTTCTATGCCGATCCTGTCTAATAAATACGCTAATCAACTTTCCACTGTTGGACAGAAAGGTTATCTGAGATAGACGAAACTCGGAGCCTCTTTGAATTTTCCTAGAAGCTTACTACCACGGTTAGGACTTTAGACTTACGTATATTTCGATAGTAGAAATATTATTTAACAAACGCACTCGGACCAACCGCTACTTATATCACGCGTAAGTCTATATATTTATATTTGAGGCAAGAGCCTTGATATCTACTTGAAATTGTGTTTCATCTCTTTATCTTAAAACATAGCGTGCGCCTATCAGAATGAAGATAATTACCTTCTCTTCGCTTTCATAGTAGACTAGAAGACTATAGAAGTTCGTAGATTAGACATTAGCAAATTTATTAAACTCTTGATACAAGCTCGCAAATCTGACTAAAACATAGATATCAGAAGGGTTCTAATAGCTGGTTGTTGGATTTTACGCTAGGTGCAAAAAATCCTCATGTGCAAAGTGGAAGCGATCGCCGACGATCGGCATGAAATAATTGATATACGGGCCGATTCATACCCCACATCGTCTATACTATACGTGGATTATGCACACACATGTTGACACTAGGTTCTGTTGGAATTATATCGTACCTGCATAAAGATGACAGCTAGTGTGTCACAAAATTGCGAGAAGCAATTTGGAATGCGACTGTCGATATCAGAATTAAGCGATTTGACACAAAGCATCCAATATTCAATCTTATATCATAAAGAATCCAGTAGTGCTTTCTGTAACTAGCAAATACAGTGAACTTTTATATTGTGGCTCACTCGGTAGTGAATTACATTTGTAATTACGTTATAGTTGATCGTTGTCCTGAGACTCCTCCATCAGCTTGTTGAATCTTCTAACGCCCTCTTCACCGCCGTTATCACCGCTTTTGCCCACCGTCTCATCACCAAGATCCCTTCTCCTTCTGGCCACCTTACCAATCACTGGCAAGATGAACCCTACTGACAAGGTAATTACTGACCTCGAAATTTACTTTTTTGATTCTGATGACGGCGACTAGAGTGGCGGAAAGAATAGTAGAAAGAATGATATAAAGGGTGGCAGAAAATGGGGGGGGAGAGAGAGAGGCTGACAGAATGTGTGGCAGAAAACCTGTTACTGACAATCCATGCCGAAATCACGGGGGAGGATAGGCGCCCGGGAAGGGGGACCCGGGGGGTGACTTGAACAGATTCCTATGAATATAGCGCGATTTTGTATATTTTAATAGATAATCCTTGCATGTATTGTGACAAAGATATTGGTAAGTCGAAGTGTTGATGTTTTTGAGCTTCGGTATGATCGAAGTAGTTTGTCACAAACACTTGGCCAGTATGATTGTGATTTTCTTTTACGTGTGATATCACTTCCCAAAGTCGTGACACAAGAGGCTTTGAGTAGGGCCTCAAAAGAGTGAGAGTACTTTGTTCCTTCCGCATGCATCAATAATAAGGGTTTGCGTGGAAATTAGGCCCTCAATTAGCAGACTCGAGTGGCACACCTTAGCAGCGTAAAAGTTTGTGGTTCTTGGGCTAGCTAATGAGATATCGTTCCGCGCAGAGTTATTGGAAGCGGATCAGATCGCCTTGGTATCGACAATGGAAACATGGGACGGATAGCGGGTCACTGGCTGTGTGGAGATCCGGTAGCTTGGCGCCGTAGGGAAGCATATATCTCATTGCTCGCAGACTCATCATAATAGGGTGCACGTGCAGAAGCCAGGCCATGATGTATATACTACAGACTGCTTGAAACCGACTCAACTCAGCGGCTTGTCCTTGGTTACCAAAGACATCATACAAACTTACATATTCAGTAGCGAACCACACAGGTGTCGTATCAGCCATATGTTATTAGTTACAAAATGCCCGCAGCAGGCTTTGCGCGCACATGTCTGATATTGAAAAACGGAGCAAAGAGAGGACAATGCGCCATACTGTATCCTGCAGAATGCACAAAGAAACCGGGGTCTGCAGTAAGAAATGTGGGCCCTTGAGATCTGGACATGGTATACGGCTTCCACATAACAGTCCTCACGGTACTAGACCTGCTCTCCGAGAGTTTATTAGCTCGTAGTTCTTTGTACAAGGGTTGGGGGCTGTGGGCAGTGTAACGGTCTAGAATATCGGCTGTGCAATCTCTCCCAAGGCTCTAGGTAACGCATCAAATTGATGAAAGGGTGTCTGGACCGCCTCCTAGGCTTACCTCGAGCATAATTATGTGCCAATGAACAAGACTGCTTATACCTAACGAATTACACATTCTCGATGTAATTCTCACAATTTCACCACCCCAAGGACTCAGCACCTCAGCACTGAATATTTGATCACTATGAGCCAATCCCAAGAGGGCATATCGTCGACCAGAGCGACCGCCAAGCAAGAACGCTCGGTGATGGAGATAGACCAAGCTTTCGAGCGGGGAAATTTGATTGTTATCTTTGGGTCCATGATTTCAATCTGTGCTTTGAAGTGCAGTACGGCAAGAGACAAAACAGGAGATGAGAAAATGAAAATGGCCAAAAATCTTTCGTGGAAGTCGTTTATCATGAACGGATTTGAATACCTGGAAACCAACCACCCGGAAGCACTTGATGAGAGCGAAATTCGTGAACTGCAGCGGTACAGAGAGTGTCTCCCGTCCCGTCAGGTCAACATCGGCACAATGCTACAGGCGGCAGCATTTCTGAAATCAAAGCTGGGCGAAATTGACGACCTCCAGAGATGGCTGGACCTTCTATTCAAAAATCTATATGAAGACTTCATTGGAAATGGTCCTAATGAGGTCCTCGATAGCATAAAAATGCTATACGACTCTAACAAACGCGTCCAAATTATCACAACCAGTTATGATGATCTGATCAGCCGCCATTGCAAGGCATCTACCATATTGCCTAGCGAAGAAAAGAAATTATGGGATTTCTTTTCAGATTCAATCCCGTGGAAAAGCATCTTACATACCCACGGGATTTGGAGTGAGGGCAGTGGTGCGGTGCTCGATGGAATTAACTATTTCGAAACCAGGGCGCCTGTTCTCCAACAGGCTCTCAAATCATGCCTTCGTGGCCCTAAAACTCTGTTGTTTGTAGGAACAGGCCAAGGGCTAGAAGATCCGAACTTTACTAGTCTGTTGAACTGGGCAGAGCAGGAGACTAGAGATATCCATCAACGCCATTACGTTCTTGTTGCGGATGCCGATGGTGAACAGCCCGGGCGAGGCCAGGTTCTGGAACCTATCAAATATGGCCACTACTCTCAGCTTCCATTATGGCTTACTGAACTGGCCCAGAAGAGTGACAAAAGTCAGTTAATCCTTTCGCTTTTCTCTCATGCTATATAGTTAGCCCTTTCTCACCTTGAAATTTTTGAAAACCCTAGTTATCGGGTCAATTTGTTTCTGAAAGCACACTTGCTAATTTATTCAATAAGATTACACCCCACACCAGGAACCGTTTATCCCACCGGGTTTACCCGTGTCGGATGAGTTTGTCGATGTGCAATCTGAGACAGACACCAAAGACACTATCATCAACGATCGGACTCAATACAGGGATTACTATTTGCGGAAGAATTTAGGGTGGAAAATGAGCAATGAAAGGAGAAGTTTCCCCATTTCTTGTCGAAGCGAAGAAGCCAAAGCGTTTGAAAATACTGTGACAGCGCTGGAGAAAGATTTGTCTGATCACAATATCCGATGGACGTCAATTGACTGTATCGGACGGTCTGAATACGGAACGGCTGACCCCATAAAGTCAACAATTTTGATAACCGTGCCGCCTGGACACTCGCCAGATTACAAATCACAGTGGAAATGTGAGTGGAACAATAAGAAGTTCGACCTCAATATTGAAATTATGAACGGAGGAATAGAGCAAGAGTGTTTTGGGAACGCAAAACAGAAAATGGACCCTCTGGCATGTGGCTCATCTTGCGGGTCCTTAAGTCAGCCGCGAAGGACTGGAACAATTGGAGGTTTCATTAACCTCACAACCAGCCTCAACGACCAGGAGGACAAGCCGGTGTATGCTATGAGCTGCCATCATGTATTCGCACCTGACCAACCTCGTGTCAAGTGGGGAAATGCAAAAATTCGGCGACTCTTTGACATGGTTTACGAACTGGGTGGACGGTCCCGCTCAAGGCACGAGTCGCAAGACAAGATTACAATACTCAGTAACTGGATGAAAGTCGCCTTCGCCTTTCGGGAAGGCGAATGCCTTGAAGTTTTCAAGGTGCTTTCCAGGATAGCAGCCGAACGACCGCCGAACCCAGGTCAGATTTCATTCATGGCTCACCTTTTTCTCAAGAGATTCTGCCAGAGAATAAGGCAGCTGGGAAGCAAGTATGATCTGGAAGTTGACAGCGAGACCTTGAATCGATTGGAACCACAAATTGACGGCATTCTTTCGGGACTTCAGCTAAGATTTAGGCTTGGTCCTAAAATGCTTGAGCGGGATTTATTCGCCTCGAGTAGACTCCCGCAGAACTCAGCGATCCCTTTGGGTGAAACACATATCTATAACGCGCTGTGCAACGAAGGAGATATAGCATACGCCAGTAACCCATTGACGTCCAAAGGGACCTCTGCTGTGATACCCCGAAAGCTCCTGAATTTGTTCGATCTGGATACTGTAACCTCTTCCGGGGACCAGTTCTCAAGCTTGGAAGACATTCATTGTTTTTCCGAAGAACCATTGGCACTATGGATAAATACATGGAACAAAAGAGACGCGATTTGTGAGGCCTCAAGCTGTTATATTGACCATCCCTCTACGATGGACAGAGTGGCTACGCGCCAAAACCTTGAACACATACTAACGGAGTATGGAAAGTGGGCTGGGACATCTTCTTTGCCAGTCTCACCAGAATTGATGCCGGAACTTGGGGTCGCGAACGTATCAGATAAGTTCATCCGCGCGGCGAAAACGGAACTAGATAAAAGCGGTGATGTTGACGATAATCGGGAACTGGCAACTATTGGAGCAATATCTGTGTCAAGTGGCCTTGATGCGAAGCCGGATCCATTCGATCCACATACCAAGATGGAATGGGAAGACTGGGCATTGGCGAAACTGTTGCCATTTGTTGAATGTCGAAATTTCCTTGACCATAATGTCCTTGCCCCAAGCTCTCTCCAGAAAGACGGACAAGAGGTTTTCGCAGTGAGGTCATGGAAGGAAAAAAGTGAATGGGACAGATTGAAAGTCTATAAACGAGGACGAACGACTGATTACACCGTGGGGATTGTTCATGGTAGGAGAAGATCTCTCGAGGCACCCCACAGCGCTCAAGGAGTGGCAACCCACGTTATTGTTTCAGATGACCCAGAAAGCCCCTTCTCGAAGCGTGGAGATAGTGGCTCCTGGGTAATTGATAGTCATGGTTTACTTGTTGGTATGATATGGGGAAAGTCTGACTTCGATGACACGACGTACTTTACTCCTGCGGATTACATCTTCAGGTATATACCAAAAAGAATCGCTGACGATGGCGGCCCCGAGGGTCAGGTTTGTAAAATACTCCACAAGATTGCGTGATACTGTTACACAGCCAATCCGTGTTCACCTTCCCTAGTTTTCACCACGATAGGCTGTCCGAGCTGAAGTTGACAACAGGCAGTCGAAAGGACATTTTAAAGATTACTTGATCATGTCGGCCTCTCGCCACTCCCTAAATCCTCTGCAAATACCTTCTTGGTTTATTGATATTTCAAAAATTCTGTCCGATGAGCAACTATGTGTTTGGTCCACGTCACTTGATTTCTAGGCCTTGGTTCTATGTATTAAATAATCAACGTGTGATTGCTATATAGTTGAATGCACTTGACACTTATGTACATGATTTTATTGGGTAGAGCGACGCGTGTAGACTATTCTTGGAAGTATTGTAAGCGTCCTTGGCCTATTTCCGAAAGCGGGTGATTAAAATTTAAGAGAGAAGAAGGCTAATAGTTAGTAGATGACACTTTTTATACTTAGCTAATGTCAACATGTGTGGGTGATACCCTGCACATGGTGTGTGCAAAACTATGCGCATGCGCTAATCGTGCATGCCAATCGGATCAACATCCCATAGCCCGCTACACAATACGATGATAAGACATCGACTATCACATCAGATGGAAAAAGCGACGAGATTCCTAACACTCTCGTCTGCCCCCCGGGATCGGAATGACGTAAGCAGGAAATTCAGGAAGGCCTGGAAGACGAGGCTATATCGCTGGAGGGAGTGCTGGCTTTGGAGAGACCCAAGAGGGCGAAGGGAGGCCTGATAGAGAGGATCCTGGCTGAAAGTATTCAATGCGCTAAGCGATTGGGTAGTTGCGCGTAAGATCAGGGCATCTCCCTGATATAAAAGGCGGTAAACGATAGCAGAAAGCCAGGTCATATGACTCGGGTTCTCTAGGGTGAAGAGGGCCTCTAGTTCAGATGAATTGCGGCCTGAGAGGAAGGTTCGGTATTGACTCTCTGTAAAGAAGCCCCTCTCTTCATAGGTTTCGCCAAACGTTTGGATAACCCTAGATTCCTTCAGGGATTAGAGCCTCAATGGGAGTTTTCTCGAATGACTCGAAGCTCTTGGTATTGGGATATCAGAGTGGTGAGATTCATATCTGGAATGTCGCTTCATCATCCCTCGAAAGAATTATCGCAGGTCAAAAGTATCAGGTAGCCTCCTTGAAATTCTCTCATGTTTCATGGATATTGGTCTTGTCATCATGGGATGGGCTCATCGAGGTCTGGGATGCTATTAGTTGGTCTGTCATATCCACATTTGATGGTCGATCCTCGCCATGGTCCGACCCATACTTGACGGTGATGTCTGTTTCAAATCACTGCGAGCTACTGGCTTTCGCAACAAAAACACAGGGCGAGCCTAATCGAATCTGGGACATGGCAAGGTTTCCTCATGAGTCCAGACCAAATGAAGCGAGTAGAGCATACCACAGGTTTGAGTTTTCAGAGGATCTGAAGCGATTAATATCGGAATGGTCGACAGGCGACGGAAAACTTATCATCACTGTCAGGACTACCCCTGCTGGGTCAATCGAGAAGCGGCTTGAGCTGGACTGCCGCAAAAGGAGGCTTGTTGCCTTGTCTCGTGATCGGAAGTTGCTTGCTAGGACCTCGGATGATGATGATACCACCGAAATAGTGGAATCAGATTCTGGAGTGATAAAGCAAACCCTCATTTACCCAGGGATTGATGCCGAAAGTGGAAAATTCTCGAACGTTTCAAATTTTCTGGCACTATTCTCTCACGAGGGAGAACAGACTGTTATTAATATTTGGAGCACCGTGACTGGCCAATTGCTTCGTTCATTTGCCAATGACTATTCATTCACAGACTACGCAGAATTCTCGAGTGACTCTAGGTAATTTGCTGGCGTGTATAATGGTGAGATCAAGATTTTCGACAACGATGCGGCGCCCGGAACCTCAGCAGTCAAGGTGGCCCTGGTAGACTGGGAGTACATGCCTGGTCTTCTTGCCTTCTCACACGACTCGAAACTCCTGGCTATAGCACAGAAGCATGAAGATTATCCAAGTTATAGAAGTCAGATCTGGAACACATCGACCATGACGCCTAGGGAGACAATCTATATCAACAATGCAGTACGAAGCCTATCGTTCAGCTCTGATGCGTCATTTTTGGTGGCTGATCTGCGCTGTATTGCTATTCAACACAATGACTCTGATGCTAGCGATGCTGAAGAGATATTTTTATGGATCCAGAGTACGTGGGGTTCTATTTGAGCAGTGACTTCTCGTGGAGCTTCGGGGCAAGAAAATGGTTTACATTCCAAGCGAGTATCGACGAAACGATAAAAGTCTGCCGTATGTCGATCGACTTCCCAACAGCTGTCACTACTATTGCCACTTGGTACGATCCGGAGAAGTGTTGGTTGATGGAGCTGGCTGAGACTGAACCGATCTATGTTTGAGTTGTGAATAGACCGGAATAGAAAGTCCTTATTTCCTGTTTAGTAGCAAGCTGTGACCTACTATTCGGCCCATATACCCTAATTACAACACGCGTTACCTATAATGAGATGATCTCTATGCAAAGGAAGCAAACAAAACGAGAAACTTGTCAATCTGTTCTGAGAGGAAACATCTTATCAATCTCGAAGGGAGATTTGCTCTGGAGAACAAGAGATAGCCTATATAGCTATCGACAGAATCATCGGTCAGACAGAAAAGGAAGGAGTTTCTACACCAGACGGGAGAGGGCTGGTCCTGGATGGAATCCAAGGAAAACAGGCGAAGATGGAGGAATCTCCAACATATAATGATCGGTCCCAGCCTCCCAACAATGACAGAAATCATGTTCTGCCATAGTCTTTTGGTCTTTTGGCAGGAGTCATTAGTGCGCCTGGATACGAGCCATAGCACTCGCCTATCATCGCAGAGAACCGTGGATACAGGCTAGGGACATCTTACTTGGTATCTAGTTGAGCGCTCGATAGATCGTCCTTGCTTAGTGACTCGTAATGCTCTATACACATCTTAATCAGGTAACTCGGCTGAGTTGAAAGTATTGCAGAATCGATGAAGCTCATCATAATATCTGCTAGCTAATATCCTCCCTCTCATACGCATGGATAGGTCACGTTGCATTAAAAATAATCTGGCATAGTGCTTGAATATCACGTGTTTCGGTGGTGGTCAAGGAGAACTCTATAGCCGACAGGTGATATTCAATAGTCGATGTCTTTATACCTAGTATACACAATTTTGATTTAAAGACCAAGTTGAGATGTCTTTCAGATCTGAATAGCTCGTCATAATAAATTATTCCTTGTAAAACAATCCAATCTCGGAATAATACCTACCTACACAAACTAAATAAATTCCGGAACCACCTCCACACCAATCAACAGCGACTTATTCGCAATTGACCCGACCGCGGCACACCCCGATTTACCTCGGCCCCGCTGTCTTTCCATCCTCCCCCCAGACTTTGTCTCCGCGGCCTTTAAACGTCACGTTCTCCTCTTCCCAGTTAATTCTCCACACTACCACTTACCCACCACATAACAAACCACCACCTATCACCACAAACCACCACACACAACAACGCTTCGCCCACCATGTCCAAGTCCTTCACCCCCGCCGAGGTCGCCACCCACAACAACGCCGACAAGGGCCTGTACATTATCGTCGACTCGTCCGTCTACGACGTCACCAAGTTCGTGGACGAGCACCCCGGCGGCGCGAAGATCCTGAAGCGTGTTGCTGGTAAGGATGCTTCTAAGCAGTTTTGGAAGGTAAGCTAAACCGCCTACAAAAGAGGCAGTACCTCTTCTTCTTCTTCCATCTACTTGGCTGGTTATAGTCTTGGCATTGGTATCTGGTCTGGCATGCGCTAACTCACCGGGGAATGTTTAGTACCACAACGAGTCCGTTCTGAAGAAGTATGCGCCTAAGTTGAAGATTGGTGATGTTAAGGATGCTGCGAAGCTGTGAGGGATGTGCGATGATGGATTATACACATACATAAGAGCTAGCGAGCGAGCAATAAATGGGGAGGTTGATATTGATATTGTGAACGCCATGCCATACTACAGTTGGACACGTGCCTTGCTTTTGTCTTGGAAAATATGACCTTCAATCGCGGGTGATATCATCGAGTTAGCGAATACCTACCTATCGTGATTACCGATGAGGCTGGATAGATGGATGACTGTGGATGTGGATATGGATTATTAGAATTGGAGTATCGAGAAGATGTGTTTATACCCGCTTTATACGACATTTCTATTTCTATTTTGATCTACTACTTCCATACATACTATGTCTATCCAAGTCTAGATCTATAGAAGGATGTAGTTCAGTCAAGAGGAGAGAAATAATCATTATCTGTATGAAGCACCCAGTAGCACAGTATGGTATGAAATGTTTGATGTAATATAATGCCAAAGAGCAAAAGATTGATTGAATAATTCAACTCCAACGCCCCATAATCCATAAATCCATCGCTACTTCGAATTGGTATCCTGTCGCACAATGGTATCAAGATGATCAATGATCAAAGCAAAAAAAAGAGGGTGCAAGGAGCATGATCCAAAGATGCTCAAGTGGCTCGAAAGAGCTGAGAAAGTCAAATAGGAAAAAGGACAAGGGTAATGCAAGGTATGTAGGTCAGAAGAGGGATGTAAGTGTCGGTGTCGATGTTAGTATCTTCGTCAGTGGCAAGACACGAGGAATAAAAGCATATATACGGGGCTGCATGAGGACCAAAAGAACAAGATGGAAAAGAAGGAGAAGAAAAGATAAGAAAAGGAAGGCAAGGGGCAACAGAAGCGCCATCTAGAACCCACGGAACGGATCCGACCGGAACGAAAGCTCACTCTCATCCACAGACGGGGCATCATAAGCACTCCACTGACTAGATGTCTTCCTCGCATGCCGCATTTTCACCGACGGCACGGGAGGCCGTGGCCGATTAATCTGCTCAGCATGATGATCAATAAACGCCTCCATACGAACAGTCCCAACATCAAAGATATTAGTCGTCGCCGTATTCGTCGTGCGTCCACTGCCCTCCGAAGTACGACTAATACTGCTCCTCCCACTCCTAATACCGTGCGGCAAAGCCGGCGGCACCACGGGCGAGAAATACGGTTCATTCGAACCCGTTGTCCCGCTGTGAGTCGAGGGCATGGTGCCTTGGCTGGAGAAACTGCGTATAGCGTGTAGCGCTGGCGGACGTGGAGCCGTGTTGCTGCGTTTGCGAGTGTGGTGGTGACTGCTGTGGTTTGAGAAGCGGGGAACGTGGGGTGCGTCCGCGGCCATGTTGTCTAGGTCTCCTGCAGAGGGGAGTTCGGGCACGGGTGCACTGGGGAAGGATCGTTTGCCTTTTGGCATTGGGCGGGGTTTGCCCTTTGCGACGCGGATGGAGTCGCGGATGGGGTTGCGGCGGAGAGTGGCGAGGGGTGGTGGGGAGGCGGCTTCTTCTTGGGGTGCTGGGGGAATGGCGGCGAGGTCTTGGAGGCCCATTGAGGAGTGGCTGAGGAAGGAGAGGGCTGTGAGCCAGACGTAGTGGCGTTCGACGGTGAGTGCGGTGAATTTGAGGGCTCGTTGGGGGGTGAGGACGAGGATGGAGCGGTTGAAAGGGGCGGGAGTGTTGGCGCCTTTAGGCATGGGGTTGTCATCTTTCACGTCGAGGACGGATTGAATAGTGACTGGAAGATGGGTTAGTACATGCTGATTATCAAGGTGATGAGCATATGGTTAGAACTCACACTTTCGGCCACTCTTGCCCAGCAAGGCAGGCCCACTTGTCGGCTGCTTGCTACTCCACATAATCGCGCCCTCATACGGTGCAAGCCAAACCCATCTCTTATGTCGGACACCACTGTTGGTGATATTGGCCGAGACCTCGTCGGGATTCTTCCCCTCCCAATTATCCTTGGACTCGCCCATACCGAACGACTTGCGACGGCGGACATACTTGAACATCCACTCGCCAACCATCGTCTGGGCAATCGCATCGACCACACTAGTCGGCTGCACACCACCCACCGAGTCCTGTCGTTCACGATTCCAGCTTTCAGACGGCTGTGCACGATGCGAGGCCCGTTTCTGGACATTGCGCCGGTCACGCGGAGCTGTGATGTCATCGAACGGCATTGGCGGCGGGTTATATGATGGTGGACTATCCAGTGCGAAAGAAGACGCTGAGCGTGGGGATGATTGGGTTTCAGGACGTTCGGTGAGGTCTGTGTTTGACATGGCAGCTGCAGAACGGACGCGACGCAGGGTTGGCTTGCGCGCGATAGTTGTACGGGCGCCACGGTCCGAGAACTGTCTTGCTGAGCGGGTTGGGCTTGGAGGTCCATCGCTGCCATTCAGAATCTTTCGAGAACTGAGGCGGATTGGGACAGGGAAAGGAGGGGCGATGCTGGATCCGGCGCTGCCACTTTCGAGACTGGGCTCGCTAGGGCTGCGGGCGCGAGTCTTTTGGTGGGCTGCTGCACCGCTGGAAATCATGGCCATCTTTCGCATACCGGGTTGGCGGACGGAGGAAGTGGCGCTTGCACCGGATCGGTAGACAGGACGTGAGCCGCGAGCAACGTCGGATGGGCGTGATTCGGGATCGGAGAGATGCTCGTCGATTTCAGGAAGAGTCATCTCGTCGAGACTGGGTCTGGATTTGGCGTTGACCATCTTGCCGCGACGGAGAGTATATGATGCGAATGGACGGTTGAGAAGTTCGTCATCTGTGAAGATATCCCGCTCTTCTCCGGCGGGATCTTCGTCGTCACTCAGCTGTTCAAATCCAGCGAACAGACTGCTGGAGCGGAAAGGTCGTCGCAGACCAGACGACACCAGATCGTCTGAGAGCGGGCCATTGTCGTTGTTGCCAGGATAAGCTTGCACAAGTTCTGAAGGCTGCGCGCGTGGTGGTTTTACCGGTCGATCGGCATTGAACGGTCGCTGCTCTCTCTTGGCAGAGCGCGGAGGAGGCACAGGAGGACGGTAAGGTTGATAGACGGGTTCTTTGACTTCGGATCGGATAGGAAGGTCGGGGATGGCGGAGGGTAAGAGGCTGGCAGGGAGTTTGACAGGCCGTTGATCGATACGAATTTCCTCGGTCTGGATGGCCACAGAGCGGCCTTCCACGACGGATCTGAAATTGGCCTGCACCGAGACATTCTTCGTCTGCGGCGGGAGCACGACACTGTTTCGAGGCGAGGGCGGTTCAGATGCAGGCGGGTGAATGGCAATCATTGGGATGTCCATCTGCGCGGGCAGATCATTAGGCGACAGTGAAGCCTTCTTAGCTTCGACTGGTTCAGCCTCGGGCAGAGACTCCGTCTGTGTCGCGGTCGATGCCATTTGGATTGGCTCTGGGGTCACTTCGGCGGAACGAACAGGTGACTCTGGCACTTTGGGCGTCCATGGGGGACTGGGCAGCTCGCCAAGGGTCTGGCAAGAGCTAGACACCATTTCGACTTCAATGGTTAATGTTGAGGAATCCTTCATTTCACTCAATTCATCATGACCCTCGGTTGTGGCATCCAATGTCGCGAGATCAGCAGGCACAGGCTCAACATCCTCGACGGCAACCAATGATTCAGGTGACGGAGGCGGCGAGTATTGAATACCAGTGTCGCGATATTCGACCGACGCGCTTTCCGCTTTCACAGGGCTAAACGTATCCATCGTACGGAAGTCGGCAGCAATAGCAGCGGCGTTACTCTGCATCGACAGGCCCAGGATTTTCCGCGCCTTGGAAGAAATATCATGCGACGCCGCAGAATGCACCGACAAAGGCCTTTCCTCAGGAAGCGCCTCTGGCGACGCAGGAGTCTCATCCTCGGACGCAACAAACTCATCTTCCTCCTCCTCATCGAAAGCCAATTCCTGAGCCAGATTCAAACCCGAGTCACCCTTGCCGGGCGCCATGCTCATAACCGAGTACCGAACATTATGATAGTGAGCGTCGTTATCGCCCTCATCCGTCGTCACACTTGTCATACTCGTCCGCCGACGGCCCTGACTACTCGACGCCACACTAGCCGTGTCGCTACCCTTCGTTTTATCCTTCTCGGTATCATCATTCTCGCTATGGTGCGAGACAAGCGTACCCGCTTCCTGCGCGGCCGCAACCTCGCTAAGGACCGTTTTCAACCGGCCCTCCACCACGTGGACCTTGCGTTCTAGATTCCGCCGCTCATTCTCCCACGTTTCGCGATCGCGATCCCACAACATCTGCGTGCGCTCGGCTTCTTCCTCGCGGCTCCGAGCCCGTTTCTGCGTTTGTTCTAGCTTTTTGCGGACATCGTTGATATTCTCGACTGCTTCGTCCCGCTCGCGGGCTAGCTCCGTCATCGCCGACGACGTACCACCTTCCAGTAACTGAATTTGGTGTTTCAGGGACCGCGACTCGCGGGTCGCGCGAGATAAATTCTCGCTGAGTGTTTCGCTTTCCGTCCTTGATTCATCTAAACTTTGTTCTAGCACGTCGATGGCTTTGGTTTTACTCTCCACCTCGCGGCGGAGATTGAGAATTTCCGATACGAGCGAGGCATGGAGAGTTGGCGTGATTCTGCGAGCATCGAATGGCGAAAGTGTATCTTCCTCCTCGAGCTCGTCGTCCAAATCGCTGTGTCCATCGGGCGAGAATGCGGGTGTTGGCAGAGCTGGTGGGGAGGAAGGCGGCGCGGGAGACGAGTCTCGCCGGCGTCGTGCCGGCCGAGATCTCGATCTGGATTTGGAGTGAGCCCGAGAGGTCGATGATGGGGCGGGAGATGGTTGAGCCACGGAGGGCATGGGGGATTGTAAGTCTGTGGCCATCTCGAACTCGAACTCGGAATTGCGCAGTGGGTAAAATACGATCACTGCATCGCCTGGCGAGAATTGGGAGAGTCGGATCCGTGTGCTAACCAGAGCACGACACGGTCGAGTTCCATTCAATCGACCGTCTACCGTAATTCAATCATGCGTTGCAGAAGAAGAAGAGTTGTTGTCTCAGGGGGTTGGAAATGGGTAATTGTGCTGCTTCGTCTCGTTTTCGAATTGGACGGTTAAAGAGGTGGCTTGCACGACTTCCCTTTTTTCGTCTATCGTGTACGACGAGCGCAAGGAAGTGCAATTCAAGGTGGCTGCAGTGCAACAATCGGTCAGCCACTTCGTTGCAGCGCGGAAAGCGGGATGTACGCCCTCAGCGCGAGGGGAGAACCCCGATGCAGGCGATTGCCGTATGCACGGGAGGATTATCCTTTCGATCTACTTACGAAAAGTCAATGCAAGCAATGCAGGAGTGTCGTAATTGCAAGAGGTTGGATTTGAAAAGGAGCGTGATCGATGAATCAGATGTCGAGCCTCCTGAGGGAGAGACTGGGGGAGGAGATTAGGGAGGAGGAGGGGGGAGCAGAGAGCTTCGAAAGAAGGACCCACGATCGAGGTCCGAACAGCGCGAGCAACGGGCTGGAAGTAGTCCGCGGATGGTCTGGGGCTAGAAAAAAGAGGGACCGGGTGCCCGTTTTGGAGAGACACGATCTTGGACCTGGGAACTTTGACCTTTGAACTTGATGATGATGGTGGAATTATTACGAGGGAGTGATCCGAGAGGACCAGCAAATTTCCCATTGGAGGCTGCACGGCTGATTACGGTCGATCAGCCTCGGGATGCGAGGCGCGTTTTCCCAAGAAGAGAAAAGACCAAAAGACCCAAAGAGGCACACCAGTGGCCAGGGGGAGTTCGTTGGGGTATTAGTGCCACTAACTTAGTGGACGGAGAAAGCGTAGTTCGGTGCGTTAAAAGGGGGGAGGAGACATGGGGAAGCTAGAAAGCCAAACCCGATTAGCCAGGATGCAATTTGCTCCACTGAAAGCTGCCATCCAAGACACTAACCAGACTAGCTGGACTTAACCTTGAGTGCTAAAAAAGCATCCGCCCGGGCTCATTAGGGCCAGGAAGTTGGAACTCGAGCTACGGGCATAAACAACAAATTACGGGAGTATACTAAATGTGGCGCAGGGTTTCAAGCTTTGAAGTTATGACAGGTTGTGAACCTATCGAATGTCGACCATGGAAAGCATGCGAAACCCGGAGTTGTACCAGAGTTGAAGACCCCCTTCTAGAAGAGGAAAAACAGAGAAAGAATAAAGAGATGCATAGACCTTTCGGACAAAGGACCATTCAAAGAATGGAAGAAAGAAAATGTAAAAAAAAAGAAAAGAAAAGAATAAAGAAAGCTTTTTTGAAAAACGAGGGAGGCGTCATAGTAATTTCGGCGAATCCCAGGAGAGTGTCGAGTGTCGGGAAAGGAGTCGCACCCTAGAATATGATAGGATCGGCCGCAGACTCCAGCATGGGGAAGGAGTTCGTGACGAAAAACACTCTGTTGGATCACTCAAAGGGTTCCACTTAGACCCAGCAACAACTCAGCTTCGAGGAGCTTTGTCGGACGAGCAAGATCTGGAGCCCCTCCCCCTATTTGGTTGCCTCCCAGCTCTGAGCTCCTAGACGGAAGAACAGTTAGTAAGTAGTTAAGTGCTGGTGAATGTCATCCGTCGCTTGAACAGAGTTCCCCAAAGCGCAAATGTACTTCCCACGGCGGAGGTAATTAAAGACAAGCCCTGCCCCCAAAGACCCAATAAGAGACTCGGCGCCGCCAGCCCAGAGCACTAAAATCAACAGGGCCATCCTTAGTGAGTTGAATAAATTGGATACTGTACATAGTATCCTCGAAGCGGAAAAGGAGGGCTGGATTAGCGTGTTTGACAGACACCATAATAGATTATTCCCCTGTCCGGGCGCTGGCCAGTCCATCTTAGCGTGAGGTTCGGCGGTGGTGATCGGCGTTGGCAATTTCATTCTGTGGAAGATGCGCCCGCGGCCCTGGAGGCTGGTGGTCTGTGTCGGGTTGTTTCAGGTTGGCAATCACACTGCATCGGATCGCATCTGATGATGATCTCTGGGCCATTGGCGTGTTTTCGGAGTGATGGCCCGGACTGTCGTATTTTGCCTGGTCTTATCTGGTAGCTTTTAGTTTTCCGGTTGAACTTGGTGGTCGTTGAGGGTGTCCCTGTCCCAGGTGCGAGTCCCCATGTGTGACGCAAAAGGGGGAGATCAGAACGGAGTCACCGGTCCGCGAGATCCATCTGAGGTCTCCACCCATGAGAGCTCGAGAGTTCTCCACCCCGAACGAGAGCCGAGTTTTTCTCTGTTTGACACTGCAAAAGTCTGGGAGGCGATTGTACCTTGAAGTCATCGGGAAACCCCCCCGCGGTCGAACCATTGTGTTTCTGAGTCGGGCCATGCTACGCAGGAGTAGCACGTCGTAGTAGCCATTCAGAGCGGTTCCGGCCCGGGTCGCAACTGCATGGCTTGCTTGGGCACATTTCTCGACCAGGACACAACTGCCGGGCGCACAGTCGTCGACGTTGGACGTTGAACGCGGCTAATGAAAAAACAAGGATTCACTTGTAGCCAATCAGCCACGCCACTTGAGGATTTATTGGCAATAATCAACCATTTCCACCATTCTCTGGTCAGATGCTCGGTTCCAGACCTAGTAGATGCTGCATTAGCGCTCCTGTCAGAAAAAAGAAACTCGCGGGTTGACCCTGCATGGGATCGAAAAGAAAATTGACGAGTCGTCGTGAGCATTTGACCTGTCAACTTGTCAACGGCCCCTGTGTGTTTCGTGTTTCATGATATGATGACCCCGGGTCGCCACCGTGGGTCAGCCTTGGGAATGGTTGGCGGAGATGATTTCTCGTTGAAGGCTATGGTAGTCTCAGTTGCCTGCTCATTGTGAATGCAATGGTGATTGAAGAGCATGTGAAGCGTCGACGCGTGGGATGAAATATGAGGTGGGATGTTTGGTGGTGGGAGACAAGAAAGAGGAATGTCCGGTGCCTCACAGTGCCCTCACGACTACGGCAGCATTCTTGGACACCTTGAAATATCTCGACTACCAAAAGAAGCAATTGCCTTTGTTTGAGATAGAGTAGTCTAGGTACAAAAGTTATCTTAAATTAGAACCTACTTCGAAATTTAAAATTCATACACAGATAAACTTAGATCTGAAACCAGTACTAAAGTATAATGGATATCTTAACATACATCCATTTGTTCACAGCCGCATTCCTCCTTCGCATCCACGAACAACGAGAACTTTTACTCCAGTAAATTGTAGCCTCGGTATCGCCGAGGTGCTTCCAACTCCTTGCACAAAGAGTAGGTAGTGGATGAGTCCATTCTGCTCAATCAACTTACCAAGGCCAGTATACTTCCACAGGCAAAACGATCAGCCTAATAATTCCACAACCACAAGCACCTACAATCCAGTAACATTGTAGTGTCGGTATCGCCGAGATAATTTCAACTCCTTGCACATAGCGTAGAGAATGGATGTGTAAATTCTGCTCAATTAACTCACTAAGGTCCTATACTTCCCCAGGCAAAACGATCAGCCTGATAGACGCGGGGAAGTCGTCCAACCTCGGCCCATGACTCAGCGACATGTCGCATTTAAATAAGAGTCATGTTATGCATGATCAATACATCCGTTTGATCTACGAATTCGATCTACAGTACATATTTGACCTCACGCTGTGCATCCTCAAAAGTCCCGATCAAACCAAATCGCGGGGCCTTCCCCAGAGTCAGACCCATATCAGCCGCAGATCAAATAAAACCCCCCACCCACCAACATCATGACCTCCGCACCCAAAGCCCTCTTTTTCGACGTGTTCGGCACAGTCGTCGAATGGCGATCATCCGTAACCAACGCCCTAGTCAGCGCGGCTCAGCATGCCCTCACCGACCCAAACAGGGATATCCCGGCCGACGCGCAGGCCCGGGCATCCAAGCTGACGGAGTCGGACTGGCTCGGGGTCGCCGAAGATTGGCGACGGTCCTACGGGGAATTCACCAGCAACTTTGATGCATCAACGCCCTTTATCTCAGTCGATCAGCACCATCATTCCGCGCTGCTGGATCTACTCACGCAGCGTGGGGTCCGCGAGTTATTCAACGCCGACGAGTTGTGGGAGTTAACGCTTGCCTGGCACGGATTGAATCCGTGGGCTGATAGTGTGCGTGGACTGGAGTTGTTGAATAGTCAGTTTGTTACGTCCACGCTGTCGAATGGGAATGTTTCGCTGTTGGAGGATTTGAAGGAGTTTGGTTCTTTGCCTTTTAAGAGGTTGGTTAGTTCGGAGAACTTTGGTGCTTATAAGCCTTCGCCGAAGGTTTATCTTGGTGCGGCGAAGTTGTTGGGGTTAGAGCCGGAGCAGTGTGTTATGGTTGCGGCGCATTTGAAGGATTTGCAGGCTGCGAAGAGGTGTGGGTTTCAGACTGTTTATGTTGAGAGGGAGAAGGAGGAGGCTTGGTCGGCGGAGCAGGTGGTGCAGGCGAAGGAGGATGGGTTTGTAGATATTTGGGTGGTTTTGAATACAGGCGGGTTTGTTGAGGTCGCTCGGCGGTTCGGCATTGTGGAATAGCCGTATTGATGTCATCTATAGCTTCGAATTCAAATCAGACTCACGAATACTCGCACTTCCTGATGCTGTGTAAGCTATGGGCTGTTTGCGATTTGCTTATGCGATGACGCAGTGAATCCGCACCGCATTTGTCAGCCTTACAACGCGGGGCGTATCGAAGAACCATGAACATTCAATGCCATTGCAAATATATAGGACTTGCTGCTTTAGACCAATGCATTGTCTCTATAGTGGTATTGAATTTCAGGATATTCGACTTCCTTTCTCTCCTTAAACGCACCCATACTCCAAACCGTGACACTATCCAACGAATGATGTCAGACCAAGTGAGCGATTTCATCTCACGAAATAGTTCCACAATTAACTAATTAACATTGCAAGAACACAAAGGTCTACAAACACGCCGACCCAGACGGACACTTCCGACGCAAAGACTCCTCCTTCCGCTCCTGGATCTCACGAGATCCATCAGCCGAATTCCCCGCCGAAAAGGACCGCTACGTGTTATACATAAACTACGGCTGTCCCTGGGCCCATCGCGCCAATCTAGTCCGTGCCCTCAAAGGCCTACAAGATGTCATCCAAATGGCCGTTCTAGATCCAGAACTCGGACCGGACGGATGGTTCTTCTCTGGTCGCAACGGATCGGACGAGAAGGACCCGTTGTATGGGTTCAAGTTCCTGAAGGAATTATATCTCAAGGCGGACCCGCAGTATGAGGGCCGATATACGGTTCCTACACTTTGGGATAAGAAGAAAGAGACCATCGTCAATAACGAGAGTAGCGAGGTTATTCGCATGCTATACTCTGAATTTGATGAGTTTTTGCCGGGGGAACTTCGTGAAGTCAATCATCCTGGAGGTGGATTCTATCCCGAGCATTTGCGGGAACAAATTGAAGAGATGAATGCGTGGGTGTACCCCTTGATCAACAATGGCGTTTACAAGACAGGTTTTGCGACCACGCAGGCGGCCTACGAGGAGAACCTCTATCCACTGTTCGAAGCTTTGGATCGCGTTGAGGAGCATTTGGGTCAAACTGGACATCAGCCGTTTCTCTTTGGTGAAAATATTACCGAAGCTGATATTCGGTTGTATACGACTATTGCACGCTTTGATGTGGCCTATTACTTGATCTTCAAGTGCAATTTGAAAATGATCAGGCATGATTACCCTCGGATTGATCGCTGGTATCGTCGGCTCTATTATGATGAGTCGCATTTGACTGGAGGGGCATTTAGGAAGACGACGTACTTCGATGTTGTAAGTGTACTCGAGCCGTATAAAGTGGAAATATCTAAGAGCTGACCGTGTCTAGTACAAATTTGGATATGTCGCTGCGCTTGGTAGGAAGACTGGGAATGATCAACTGGTGGTTCCGGCTGGACCTGCTCCTGATATTCTGCCCCCAGGGAAGGAGTAGAAAAGTGTCTTGGGGCCTGAGAGTTTATCTTTAAGAATGACTTAGAAGTGAGGATTTTTTCAGAGGTTTTCTCCTCTCTATCGATGAAATTTCAATAGTAGATAACAATAGATAACTATAATCACTATTAAGCCTTTGACACTGCTGTTTCCTTGCTTCCTCTGCGTACACGTTCTTCGTACGCCATCACCAATTTCGATCCCACGAGGGAGGTACAATTTCGATAAAACAATGTGCTTTGAGATATTCGACGAATGGTATAACTTCACAGACCGCCTTGTGTAACTCCACAACCGCACCGGCTTCGCCCGCTCCCTTGGTTGCGGCCTGACGGCAGCTTATCTGATGAGGAAGACTCTTATCTGATCTGACGTCTAAGGAAAGCTCGGCATTTCAATCTTCCTTTCTCAATCAACTCCCCACAGAACCCACCAGCCGAGAGCGCAATGGAACTAAAAATCCTCACATCTCTGGCCCGAGGCCAAGCTGGAATCCTACACCATATTGTACACCGACCCCTTTACTCTGCCCTACGTGACTCACAAACGCTAACTCTCCACTCTCCTACCAGACTTCCACCCTCACCTCCTTCGAATACACCAATGGCAGTCCCCGCAAACCACACACTCTCATCTTTGTCGGCGGGCTAGGCGATGGCCTTGGCACAGTCGAATACCTCATTGACATCGTGCGAGCCCTCGAATCTACCGAATGGACTGTCTTCAACCTTGTCCTCTCCTGCTCATACGGTGGGTGGGGCATGGGTAGACTCGGCACCGACATCGACGAGATTGCGCAGACGGTGGAATACATCCGCGAGTACAAGGAGCCTCACTATGGAGCTGGAAAGGTGGTCATCATGGGCCATTCGACGGGCAGCCAGGACGTGATGCATTATATCAACTGCCCGAACCCTCGACCCGCACATCCGGTATTGGATAAATGCTGGGAGCCGATTCTACGAACACCAGTGGACGGCGCAATTATGCAAGCTCCCGTGTCAGACCGAGAGGGAATCCTGTGGGTTGTCAAGTGCGGCACACCCAGGGATAGTCCCGCCGCTATGCGGGAGATGTACGACAAAGCCGTGGCAGACGCAAAGCGCAACACATATGAGCAGAAAGAATCGGTGGACACCGTTGTCCCTCTTTCAGTGACCAGTCGCATCGGGTACCCCTCAACAGCGCCTGTCAGCAGCCGACGATTCTTGAGCTTGGTCAGCCCCGACAGTCCCGAGAAGCCGTCCGAAGATGATTTGTTCAGTTCGGATCTGAGCGATGCACGACTGGATGCGACATTTGGAAAGGTGGGGACACGGTCACTATTGAACCAAAAGCTTTTGGTGTTGTACTCTGGTCGTGATCAGTCTGTTCCTGATTGGGTGGATAAGGAAGGGCTGCTTCGGCGTTGGAAAAAGTCTATTGATGCTGGTGGGCGTCAATTTTGGGATGACAGGAGTATGGTTATTCCTAATGCTTCTCATGCACTGAGTGATCCTGATCAAGCGGAGCCGAGGCGGATACTGGTTGAGAGGGTGACATCTTATCTTAAGGATATTCAAAAAGCTTGAGCTTGGCTTAAAATAAATTGGGTTTCAATTGGACATCACAGATCGCTTCCAAAATTGCCGATGAGTTAACACTACTTCTAAATGTTCATATCATCTATGCTTCGTGGCGCAGGGTGTGGCGAAGCAGCCTCCTCGAAGCGCCCTACCCGTGGCATTGACCACCCTACCTACCCCTACCAGGTAGTCTTAGTTCACCATACTTACCCCGCGCACACCACTAACCTGCTGAGGGTGAGCTTTAACAGACCTCGCGTTACCTGAAAAGCCTGTATCTTGATTAGGCGACCTTCATTCAGGCTGGGCGGGTCAACCATCTTGCATTTTCAGGTTCGGCCTCCGGTTCAATCAGCATGGATGGTCTATCGACAACTTCAAGTATTATTGCAGTGCTAGATCTTACCGCCAAGATAGCTAGGCTCTTATTTAAATTCTCCAAAGAAGTGAAAGCCGCCAAGTCAGATATCGAGATTTTGCAAGGGGAACTGGACCGACTGAGTATAATTCTTGGAGGTGGTCGAGAGTTATTGGAAAGTCCAAGTGGCGCAAAGCTACAAACCTCGCAACACTTGCGCACCAATCTCTATGGCTGTTCTTCTCAGTTATCAGAGATCGAAGCAAGGTTGACTAAAAAGCTGAATGGTGGGGGTTCTCGTATGATGAGCCGATTTGGTCTTCGTTCCTTGACATGGCCGTTTGAGAGTGGAGAGGTGAATGGCATTGTCAGAACTCTGGAGAGATATCGCGACACACTGTCGGCAGCACGTACCATTGATCAAACGTACGTGTTGAGTTTCTCGCACAAGGGCTTGCACTAAGTGGGCCTGTAGAGGACAGGTTCTGGCCATGGCTCAGACCGCCATTCTTCGCAGCTTCCCACTGTGAATGGGGCAGCGTTTGATTCTCATGATGACGAACATGATTCCCGATGTCATCCCAAGACACGAGTGGCTCTTCGTCAGCAAATAATCGACTGGGCAGAGGCCCGCGAGAGTGAAAGTATCTTTTGGTTGAACGGGACGGCCGGCACTGGAAAGTCAACAGTATCACGAACTGTTGCGCGAATCTTCTCCGATAAAGGTATCCTTGGTGCTAGCTTTTTCTTTAAGAGAGGCGAGCGTGATCGGGGTAATGTAGTTCGATTATTCACGACTTTGGCTTCCCAGCTTGCGATAAAGGTACCGGGTATTGCATCACACATCAGCAACGCGGTTGATGGCGACCCGATGATTGTCAACAAAACTCTACGAGCGCAATTTGAGAAACTCATATTGAAACCTCTGGAGAGCCTGAAGCCAAGTATTACACGAACGGTTGTACTCGTGATTGATGCACTTGGTGAATGTGATCGAGATGACGATATCAGGGTCTTCATCCATCTAATATCTCTCGGCAGAAGCTTAGAATCGGTACAGTTGAGGGCTTTCTTGACCAGCAGACCCGAGTTGCCAGTTCGACTCGGGTTTAAATCAATCCATGGCAAATACCAGGACCTGATTCTCCATGAGATACCCAAGCCTATCATAAGCCACGACATTGCAGCATTTTTGAATTACGAGCTTACAAGAATCAAGGAAGACTACAATAATATCACACCAAGCGAACTCCAACTTTCGGAAGGCTGGCCTGGGAGCCAAAGTATGGATGCACTTGTCCATATGGCCGTGCCGCTTTTCATTTTTGCAGCTACTGTTTGCCGTTTCATTGGTGACCCAGCCTGGTCTGATCCTGCAGGACAACTTGCAAAGATCTTGGAATATCAGGACAGATTCCCAGAATCCGAGCTAGATAAGCTTGATGCAACGTATCGACTGATCCTTGATCAATTAAACGTGGGTCTGAGTCAGCTCAGAACTCTCTCATTGAAGAGTTTCGGATGGTCGTTGGTGCCATCGTGCTTCTAGCCGAACCCCTATCTATCTCTTCTTTGGCGGGCCTACTTGAACTTCCGAAGTCGGTTATCAGTCGTCGACTGGTGACTCTTCACTCTGTTCTCAGTGTTCCCGAATTGATTGATGGCCCTGTCAGATTGCTTCATCTATCTTTTCGAGACTTTCTAGTCGACCCTGCCAAGCGAGAAAACAATCCTTTCTGGATCAGCGAAGACGCTTCACACGAAATGATTGCCATGAGATGTCTGCGCCTTTTATCCTCGGGTGATCACTTGAAAGAGGATATCTGTGGCCTCAAGATCTCGGGAGCAGCTCGTGCACACGTCCCAGTGATAACCATTCATGCTGCACTGCAGGCCCACATTCGATATGCGTGCTCATATTGGGTCTACCACCTAGAAAAGAGCGGAAATAACATCACAGATAATCACGAGGCGATGAAGTTTCTTGAAAAGTATTTCCTTCAGTGGCTTGAAGCACTAAGTCTGCTGGGAAAGATTTCAGAGAGTATCTCCATGATACGAAGCCTACAAAAGCTTGTGCAAGTTAGTATTCAAGTCAAGCAAGCTTCTATACGCAGACTGACGATATTATTTACCATGTATAGGCAGGCAGTGTCAAAGCCAATGCCTTCTTGCAAGATGTAGTCTGGTTCATCCTGAACTGTAGGTCATGTGCGGATCAAGACCCGCTTCAACTTTATTCATCCGCACTGGTCTTTGCTCCCGAAAAAGCATTATTAAGAGGATGTTTAGCCAGTGTATTCCCAAGTGGATCACGCAGCTTCCTAGAGTCGAAACAGACTGGAGTGCTTGTCTCCAGACGCTAGAAGGACATAAAGGGCAGGTCTCGACAGTCATCTTCTCACCAGATGGAAGAACGCTGGCATCCGCTTCACACGACCTGACAATCCGTGTCTGGGACACAGCAACGGGAGAAGAAAAGCAGATACTTACGGGCCATGCGGGGCCAATTACCGGAATCACTTTCACCAACGACGGGAAACGGCTTGTTTCGGTCGCTCGAGACAAGGCTTTTCGAGTTTGGGATCCGATTACTGGCGAGGAATACCAGAAAATTACGCATAAACTTACAGCAAGAGATGCTGCGTTTTCTCCAAATACAGATATGGTGGCCTTGGAATCGCTTGAGAGCAGAACCGACTGCTGGACCTTTCCAGAATGTGAAAATATTTCAGCCAGGTACGGCGAAAACATCAAAAGAATTGTCTTTTCGCCAGATGGCGAGACGGTCGCGACTTTACGAGGCGGAGTCCCCGGAGCTGCAATTCATGACCGTCGAATGGGCGATATTGTACGACATATCAATGGCACCACGGGCTGGGTTAGGGCGATCACCTATTTCCCCAACAGCAAGCTTTGTGCAACTGCCAACTCAGTTAACGGAATCCAAGTCTGGGATATCGCCACTGGTGAGGTGAAACAGGAGCTGGGTGGACCTGCCTTATCAGTAAGGAGGTTGATGGTGTCGCCTGATAGCAAGGTGATTGCTCTGGTCACAAAGGACAAACTTGTTCGAATCTGGAACCTAGTGACAGGACAGGAGATGAAAATATTTAGTGGCAAGAAGCGATGGACTGGCTCTCTGGATAGCATCGTCACACTCATGACATTCTCAAACACCAGTGAAACAGTCATCGCATCGGACGGGAATTCAGTACTAATTTATGATCTTGCAGAGGATCAGATGCGGTATTTACACGATTTCATTTATCCGGATTTTATAATCAACAAAGACAAGGTTTACGTCTTCAGAAACTTCGTCATTGCTGCAATTTCCATGTCCCCAGACGAGAAACTCATTGCTCTTCTTTCAAGCGACTCGACAATATGGATATACCACGTCGTGACAGGGCGTGGACAGAAGTTGTCTCCCCGAACCGGCGCAGCGAGAACAAGTTTGCGTTTCACGTCTAACGGCAATTCTTAGAGACCAATCGTGGGATGATTAGTCTCCAGCCCGACACTGATGCATCGGATAATTTGCAATCCGATAGTGTATGGGGTCAGAGATCGGCATTCCTTGGTGAGGAATGGCTGGTACGTGACGGAAGAAAACTGCTGTGGTTCCCTCCAGACTACCGGTCTTCTTCTGTGGAGTATCATGATGGAACTTTTGTGCTTGCATATGCTTTTGGGCAGGTGAAGTTTATAAAAATCCAGTTTTCGTAGATATTGATAGTTAGAGGTGGCAAAGCGACGTCTTGCTTCAAATAACTCAGCTTGGCTAGAGGTCGTCCCTATGATCAGGCTTTCATCTTACGACATTGCCAAAATATTACCCCTAAAAGGTTATAGTGTGTAATCACAGAGATCCCTACAAACAAACGACATTGACAGGCCTGAATATTTTTTATTCAAGTTGCAAATCCCGAAAAACTTCTTCCAGGTCCTCAAGAACAGCGATGACATCTTTGTGAAACGCCTGCTGAAGCGCAGGACTTGTGAAATCACTGTCATGCCCAAAGTCACAGTGCAAACACTGTTTGATTATCTTTTTGAAACTCGTGCTGACCTTGCTGTGGCTTTGCTCTACAACCCTGTGTGCCGTAAAATACTCCACAAATCCCCATGTTTCCCCTTTTTCCAGATCGACTGGGTGTTGTAAAGCTCCAAGGGGAGCTTGGAATGCGAGTTCCAGAAACATCACACCTAGACCAAACAAAACAGGGTTACGAATTATGTGGTGGTAATCGGATAATCGGGATTGAGATTGCGTTGAAGAGCTTGATGCATGGATAGAGGCGGTCATATATGGGATGCGCTGGCGTTCTTGCTGAAGAGAGGCATCATGATTATCGAAGAAATAGACGTCGTTACTAGACCATGCTTTCCTTAACCAAGGTGTAGCATGGTAGTAGAGAACAGCGGTTGCGAGATATCTTGCCAGCCGTACACGCTCGTAGGTACCCATCTCTTTCATAGGGTTTGCTTTCGATAGAGAGACTAGTTGAGACAAGGATGTGGGTGTAGTCGAGCTCTCAGTCTGCCTTCCTAAGTAGGCCAAGTGCTTACAGGATTCATTGTCTCCAAGAAGGCCGATGCAGCCATTGCAAATCCGTTTGTGAAGGGACCGTTCCACCACGGTGCAGAAGTTCCGCTGCAAATAGAGATTCGGTATCGCGGCAGTGAGTTGTACTGGGTGCAGTGATAAGGCAGGCCCCGATTGAAGGTGGAACTGAACAGTTTTACGAACCATTGTCGAAGACGGCTTTTGCTCCTTTTGGCTTGATTGTCGTTTCAGAGGGGTCATGCTTGTCGTAGTCGACGTGCAACCCGGATCTGAACTCGTTTCGACAGATTTGATGGTCGATTCGACGTTGATCCACACTGCAGTGCCCAATGGCATAGAATGTTGGGAAAAGGCCACATCGAATCGCACCCTCGTCGAGGTTCGATCAAGGTCTGGCTGGAGAGAAAGATGGACATCATGAATGGTGTGCAAGTTGCATGCTGTTCCAAGTGCATCATAGAGACTGTTCGCCGCTTGCTGAACAATGTGGAAGTGTTGGAATTCACGCCGACTTCTGGTGGTCTCGGCCTTGTTAGGCTCCACCCATGGGAGGGGCTGGTTGGTTTGAGGGATTGAGGATGCGAAGACCTGTATGAGGGACTTGAGGTCTTCGACAGCATGCTAGTGCACAAATTAGCATAGGCTGGCCAGTTTTCTGGAAGCAAATGTACCTTCAACGTTTCTGTGGCACTCTTGCTTTGTTCTCTGGCCTTAGTAGGAGCAGGAAGGTGCTTAGTGAGTCCTTGAATATGCTCAAGTTTCCTCTCTATCTCTAGAGCTGCTTGTAGGCAAACTTTTTTCGACGACCCCAGGTAGTCGTTGACAGAATCAGGAGCATCCGACGACAGACTCTTCACATTGCCCGCGAAGATAACACGCTGTGTTTTAAATGTCCTTTTGAGATCAATATCTCGAGGTAAAAACTTTCGGTATTGCTTGAAGTAGGCAAGGGTGCTCTTAAAACAGGACTCAATCCGTGACAAAACTGCAATTGTTAATTGGGAAGTCAACATACTTGAGTAAGAGCCGCCGTGGCTTACCTTGCGTTATCTCACCATCGCTGCTATCGTAACTGTTTTGTGAATGATAACCTTCATCGCCTCGAGTTGACTGGATCTCTGAGGGTGTTTTGATGGATGGTTCTGGCTCTCCGTCCAACAAATCTTTGATATGAATACGCCTTTGTTCAGCGTGGTCGATGGCTGCCCACTGCTCCAGCAATGATCTCATACAAGCGGCGGCCGCCCCGGCTGTATGCTTCTGCCATATTTTGTCCTTATGGCTGTCGGCATAGTCGCATACTCCCTTTATAACGATAAATGGCATACTACCACATACCCCTGCTCCCTCCATCTCAAACGCGATCACATCTTCCTCTGCAGCAATCCTGTCCCTGTCCACGCCAGACTTCATCACCATATCACCCGATGCTATCCGCCCGAAATGAATGTTTATTCCACTGGGATTCTTGCGAGAACGATGTTTCAATTTCTTTGGATTGCATTGCAATTCCTCACACGTGGACTCTTGTGCCTTTTTGCAAGGCTCGCCCTTCTTGCACTTTTTGCATTTCGAGGTACCACGGTGTTTGTGATGATAGGTTGGTTCAAAAAGCTGATCTAGCCGTCTGCCGGGGCAGTGATAATCGTCACTCTGTGTTTGTAGAACAGTGAGATGGTGATTTGTTCTTCCGAGTAGACTTTGACGACCCTTTGGGCTTTTCAGCTTTCGTAGGAAAGCTAGTACTTCGCTGTCCACAGCGGAACGAGCCACTGTCTCCTTGCGCTGAAATCCTCCAGGATACATCTTCCCAAAGTCGTACATCAGGATTTCGTCGCTGATTACAATGTCACCAAGGAATATTCCATCTTCAGTACCTTGTGGTACGCCTCCGCAAATTCCGACAATCAACGCCAGTCGAATGCCCTGAAAGCTCGAATAGCAACTGATTGCGACACTTGCCGCATGAACCTTTCCCATGCCCGGCATGAATGCTAGTACGACGTTGTGATTCCCGATCACCCCAGTCCGATATGCATTTTTGTCTCCGGCTGCCTTGCCGTAACGGTCGCCATCTTCGTCCCAGAATCTGTCGAAGATTGACTCTACAGCATCGGCTTCCAGCTGTAGCGCGCAGATGATTGCGACATCAAATCCTTTCCGGTCTGTTGGCGGAAATGGGTATTTCATCATCGAATCTTCGGTCGATAAAGTCGTATAGTAGGCTGTTAGACATCGAAGAAGTTGTTCATGCAGAATTTCAGGACTCTCAGCTGGCGGGGTCAGCCTCACCACGTCACGCCCCCTGACTTGTCCAGCTAATAAGGTTGAGAAGCTAACCGCTCTCCGACTCCCATTTTCAGCCCCTCTCACATCGAACACCATCTCATATCCTTTCTATCTGGCAAAACCTATATTCTATCACCAGAAGCAGGATGAAAGCCGCAAAAGACAAACCTAACTTTCTTAGTGACTGGTTCGTGTCTAGAATCGATCACAGTACTCAGGACCCCAACGTTGGGTTCGTTGAAACTCTGTATCAAACATGCTCAGCGGCACTTATCTACCTGTGGAAATCACAATTTCGATCGAATCCGTCTACCTTGCACAAACGGACTCTGCAAAGAGATGTCGAGAGCCTTCGATTATGGGCAGAGAATTTCCCATCTGAACACCTTGACGAGATTCTGGGCGAATCAAGCGACTTGAAGATCAACGTGCTCGAGAACTTGACTGGCATCGGCAAAATTCTTGTTCCGTATTTCGTGGATTGCGAGGAGACCAGAAAGGGCCGACGTAAAGAGAAAAATCTCACAACCACCCTTACACAAGAGCTTGAGACGCAGTTGGAGAAAGCAATGCTAACGCTCAGCGCCGAAGAAAGATCCGACTCATCTTCCGATGACGAGATTTCCGATGATTCATCGTCACCCACTGAGCGTCAAGAGAATCGACTTGGGCGCCTTCACTGCTACATAAGCTGCTTGGTGGATCTTGCACCAGTGATTGAGAAAAATGTCTCCTGTTTGTATCGTAAGGTGGAAACGCAGCCTCTTCCCACTGAGAATATGTTCCGGCTATCTCACGAAGCTCAGCCGTACGCTATGCGTATTCGAGATAGGTCGGTGCCCTCACGAAGACTTCGTTCTATAATGAATGCTTACATGACGGACAGGTTTGTGAATGCATCAATTCACCTTATAGAGCGGCTGGCAGAGGCAAATTGGGAAAGGTCCATTCGCATTCGAGCGCAACAAGAAGAGGGGGAAGGACTACTGGCAGTACGGGACGCCCAGACATTTTTCAAGCCCTATTCCATCTTTCATGATTCTGGAATTGGAAGTTCCATTCCCACAGTCTCACAGTATGCTGCCACCGTTGCTTCTCATACTTCCTTCCTCTCGATTGCTGGGGAAGATGCCCATGGCCGACCCCGAGTGCCTCCCCTTTCACAGGAATACACGCGGCCGTTTGAATGCGACTACTGTGGGAGAACTGTATCCATGCGAAATCGAATTGAGTGGAAGTAAGTCTCTGCATGAGTGCTGTTCTACCGTGGGAATTTTCTAATTGAACAGAATGCATGTTTTCGCCGACTTGCAGTCATATTTATGCACACACGAAGATTGCAGAGACGCTCTGAAAACATTTCCAACCCGTAAGCTATGGGTAGATCACGAATTCAATGAACATTTTACTCGTCAGCAATGGCGCTGCTTTACCTGCGGGACGACCACCAGCACACAACAGTCGTTTGTGGTCCATCTGACCAATGACCACAATATTGTACTGACGGGGCATCGTTTAACGGCCGCTATCGCAGAAGCTCAAGAGACAGACTTGACACCAGAATTCATGAATCACAAGTGTGCATTGTGCTCACAGAGTGGTTGGCAGACTAAGAAGGCATATGCAACTCACGTTGGACAGCATCTGGAGGAAATTTCATTGGCATGTCTGCCGAGAGATGAAGGCGACAGTAGTGATGATGCCTCGGATACCGACACATCGAGTGCTACGACACAAATTTATGTGGTTCGTCCTGATCGAAGCGAGAATCATGACATCGACCCCAGTTCCGAGGTTCAAAACATTCAATCTTCGGACCCCTTGCCACGCACGTATCCAGCCCGAGGGAGACAAGTTTCACCCTATGTTGACCCACCCCCAGTCGATCTATCAGACAATTTGCGTCGTTACCGGCGAATTGTTCCGAAGAAAAATGTGTCTATTTCTCGACCATTAGCAGCGTCAGCCTCGCTTCCTATGTCCAGTGATGCAACGGCCATAAATGACCAGGTCAACGAGCCAGTATTGCCTGTGGCGCATGATATTCAAACTTCGACCATAGACAATACAGCGATCTTACATGAGCCCGCAGCCACAAGCTCAACATCAAAAAGACCTACGAGCTACTGGTCCGTGGATGAGCAGCAGATTTTTCCGCAGCTGCTGGCTCAGTTTGGTCTAGACTTTGAGGGTATCGCAAATTCAATGAAGAGGAAAACCCCTCAAATGGTGAGATCATTGCGATTGAGTCTTATATTCATACTGGATATACCGAAAGACGCATAGCTGATATAATGAATGTGATAGGTCCGGAACTACTATCAGAGACTTGAGAAACGAAAATTTGAGGACAGGATCGCAGACATGGAAATAGAAAAAGCACGCAGGTCTCCCGATTTTTTGCACGAATCCGAGGATGATTTCACTGGTCCGTTTCATCCGGCAGATGAGTCTATCTATACTCGGGCCTCAAATGTCTACCATCCGCACTACCGTGATCAGCAGACATCAAGTTCCAGTATGAGGGGGTATCAACAACGATCAGTACAGCCCCCAACCATTGGTTCCGAAGCTCAGCCCTCGTTGGCACCCATTGGACAGGATTATATAGATCCCAGCAAGCTTCGAGAAGGAGGGCTTTCAGTGAAAGAGTGGTATGCAATTCATGATCCATCGAAACCTGTACCAGTCGAGCCTCGGCTCGATCTCGGGAACCAGGAAGAAGCATTGCTCTACAGGAATTCTGGTCAGCAACAGCACCAGCACTCGGGATATCAACGACAACTCCCGGCAACTGGGGTCAGTGTGGGAGATAGTGTTCTCATATCATTTCTAGCACCAGAGGTTCCTGAAATCAACTACGATCCTACACCGCAGGCCCCAGCTTCCGGATCTCGGCTATCGTTCTCCAAGGATGACAAGGAACCAATGTCTTCGTTTGAACCAACAAGTAGGCTTCTCGCACCACATATAACTAAGTATTCTAACGCTGACCATATTCTAAAAGCTCCACCAGAGTACACGAATCCAAGCTCCAGCGTTCTTGACAGGTAGACCCGCCTACTACCTATTGGAAGTACCGCAAGTAGGGATGTGGATTTGAAATTTCACACTTTTCTTTTGATCTTTCTGAAATATAGATTTTTTGACTGAAATTTCAAGAATGGCACTCGTACAGTACCCATCCATAACCTTCCAAGGTTGGTACTGCCCAGGCCTCCGCTGGGAGTGATTATATAATCACATCATGGATCTGATCTTCAAAAGCTCACGAAGAACTCAGTGATAATCCTTTTAATGATAATCCTTTTAAAGCACAAAATTCTCGTTGGATATCAGAGTTCTCAAAAATACATGTAACCCCAATAGCATAAATGACCTAAATTGATATCTATGAACCACATGGTGAAGGTCACTTGAGCTTTCCCACAGCATTACGCCCAGCCGCTCTTGCCGCTTGCACCCCCACTTCTCAAGAAAATTTGCGAATCAGCGTTGCCCCTCGTTTTCAAACCTCCTCCCATCCACCATTGACCTCCAACTATCAACCCCAATTCCACCATTATCAAAGAATCATCAAATATGGGTGTCGAGCGAAAGATTATTACCCGTGGCAACGGCTCCGACTCGCCCGCCTCGGGCGATAAGGTCGCGATCCACTATACCGGCTGGCTTTATGATGCCAAGAAGGCCAACAAGGGATTCCAAGGCAAGCAGTGAGTTGAACGAGATAATGGGGGTTGCTGGGCTTCTAACCTGGAGTATAAGAACACTGATGCTTGTTTAATAGGTTTGATAGCTCTCGCTCGCCTGGCCGTGGTCCTTTGAATGTTCAGATTGGTGTTGGGCAGGTCATCAAGGGTAACCTTTCCATTTTATATTACCCCACCCTTTGACAGATTTGCGAAGTGGAAACAATCAATTCACTTGCTGATACACTTTAAATAGGCTGGGATGAGGGTGTCCAGCAGATGACTCTGGGTGAAAAGTCCATTCTCACCATTACTCCGTAAGTGGAGTACCAACCGAATGAAGGTTTAAGTGAACTGCTGCTGACATGAAGCTAGTGACTACGGCTACGGTGACAAGTAAGTGCACACATGGCTTGCGCGATAGGAATCATGAATCGCGGTATCAGTCGATTGTCAGTGTACCTTACTAACGTTATCCATCCACAGGTCGGCTGGCAAGATCCCCGCTGGCTCTACTCTGATCTTGTAAGTGCTTGCAGATGTGACAACTATTGGAGATATTCTTTTACAGACACTAATCATCTCACAGCGAGGTTGAGCTGCTCAAGATCAACGACAAGAGCGCTTAGATACATTGGTTGGAACCTGGTAGGCAGGAACCTTGTTCTATCACGGGCACTTCTGCTCTTCTCCGAATATCAGGACACGAGAAAACAACAAATGATCTCAGTCAAAGTTCGTTGTCTAGTATCAAGTAAGCGCGGTATTGCGTAGTCCCAGCGCTGGGTTACATTGCGCCCCAACCTTAAGCAGCCTCGTTTCATCGTCAATGTCATTGTATGCTAGATTGATTGGCGAGAATTTTGTTAGAGATTCTCAATAAATAGAAAACGAGCAGTGCAATTGGTTATAAACGCAATGCATTGAATGTGCATTGACATTTGACAAATTAGTGCATGATTGCATTTTGTGCAACCCGAGGGCAGCCAATCTCAGTCCCACTGAATGACACTAATACTTCATTTACTCGCATCTAAATACCGGATCCGTCTTAAATTTCTAGTGCTACGCTTACTTAGGAAGCTAGGAAAAGCCGATCTGATCGCAACTGATTGAGTTTCCTCAGTCGGAAGGTTTCCAAGATATCAGCTTGACATCCAAGCACCCCCACTTCTGGGCCAGGGTATGTCACTCGCGACTCAGGGACGCAGATCAGCCCTTCAATATGTTCTCGAAGGTCCATCGTGAGAAGACAAGACAAGCCTGAGTTCGTTCGGATTGGATTAGCGTTTCTATCAGCACTTTTTGATGGAGCCTTGATTTTGACGGGGCAAGCTAAGGATGGTAGCTCGACCCATCGGCCCCCCAATCGACTGTTCCATTCGAAACACGACCCCCGGTCGAGGACGAATCGCCAAGCCACTCATCTCAAAACCTTGGGTATATTCTCCCCCCCCCCCCCCTGAAGATGACCACAAGAAAACGATTAATTATCATTGTCTTACGAAGTCGACTTTGTACTAGCCCCGGAATCACGCCGAAGCTAAATTCTTGTCTCATCATCTCATGGGGGCACGATGAGCCGCAAGCCCCCTGAGAGTGAAACAGAGCTTCTTTCGGACTCCTCAATTGATATCCAGACTAACTTAGTGATTGCCCCGTTTATGAGATAGTCTACCCATGATCCAGGCGTCTGGGAATGTCCCTGCCGATCGCCTAGGCCACCATCAGTCACGCTGAACAAAATGGCTGCGCGAGATGTATGAACGCGTACTACGTGCCGCTGCAGCAGGGGCATATCTCCTGCAAGAGCATACCAGGATACCCGGATCCTGATGATAGATTCAGGAAAAAAAGAGCGAAGTAGCTAAGCAAGCGAGAGTAGCCGGAGATCGCGCCGTAGACCGGACCGGTCACACATCCAGATACAAGATCATTGGAGGACAAATCACAAACGCCCAGTCCTCATAAAAGCCAAGCCCCCCAAGCCCAGGGCAGTCCACCCGTTCGCATCATCCCGTCCGTCACAGACTAGACCAGGCCAGGGCGAGACCATAGCGGGCCGTTGACACGGAAAGCCAATGCCATATGGCGACTCCATCTAACGGTCGGACAGCAGGACGGGAGGATCCGCCATAGACGAGGTCCCCTGTCTTTTCTGGAAGAAATGGAGGATGACGATTGGAAATGAGGAGAATATTTTGTTTGACCCCTTCATTATCCCTGCGATATCCCGTTGAGAAATCCCCGCTTGTGTCGGGCCTTTCCGCGAAACCAGTTAGCTGATGCTGTTAAGTGCAGGGATATACGCCGCGTTTGGGGGAGAAGTGCAACGCTGCTTGGGATACGATGGGGGAAAGGGGGGCGAGGCAGAAGGATTGAGGGGCCAAGAAGCGAAGCCCTAACTACTTCGTAAGTGTTGTACATCACTACGGCTTGGGAAGCGATTTTCCGAATTGCTTGTGATTATCAGCAGTTTGGGCTATGTATGGAGCTGTCATTATTGTCACTAAGATCCATAGCATCCTTCGATGGATAGCTCCAGAAGACGATGGCGTGGCGAGGCTGGACCTGTAGTAAATTAGGGACAGCCACAATAGGAAAGTACCCAACATTAACAATCAAGAGAATCAGAAAGGGAGGATCAGGAAAAGGGGAATAGTAATGCAGGAACAATGTGATATCGTCATGTCATCTAGCGGACCCACGGCCAAGAACAAGCCTTCCCGTAATTCAAACAACCCATCATCGGACTCCGTTAGGCACCGGAAGAACTGACCCAGAATTTCCATTTCATTTTTGTTGCACTATCAATCACTCGATCGGTAATCAATCAGCGGCCCATTCGCACACGCCTTCTCCACGGACCCAAACAACCATCAAAGCACCTCGGAGGAGCACGGGGTAGCTCCTTAGCAGCACTAACATTTCAAGACTTCAACCTCGGTTTCACCCCCACAATCAACAGAACTGTCTCGTAAAAAAAATCTACCCGATCATTCTTCCGATGGAGAATTACCAGTCGCAAACTCGCAGTTACTATCCTAAAATACAGGCGCCAACCGGGTCCCCACCGCATACAATCTATGGCCCTCCTTCAGGCTTCCTTCTCCTCCCCTTCGAGTCTTCCCGGGCATGTCTGGGTATGTCTGGGGACGATCTATCGGCGGGAAATCCACATCCCGTTCCGCGGGTGGGTGCGCCCAGAATGGGCCAGTGGCCGGGCTTGTCAGGGGGTGGCTAAGGCTACAAAGTGTGCCTAGGAGGGCACGCATCCATGGCCCCGGGACGTACTCTCCATGTGAGCGGTTCCTTTGGCGACGAGGTAGCTTGGTGAGTTAACCAGGCTGGGTACACGGTTTGGAAGGCGCCGGAGATGTGTCTCCACATGGTTACAACCTATGGTTGTGTTGGTATTGGATACCTCCGTCGTTGACAAGATGAAGTAGCAGGGCAGGACTCGGGGGAGTACAGTGGTGTTTAGGTAGCGGTGGATCTCGGAGTACATATGCGTTGTAGTGATCATCTCTACATCTCTAGCCATAGTACTTCCTGCGTGTATAGCTCTATTTATCTATAGGGCAGGGTATGATGCCTCCACCCTTGAACCTGAGCCCTGAATAAGGCGTAGTCGATAGACAACCCCCTGAATCTTGATTTTTGTAGGGCAACAACGAATCCACTTATGATGAAGCCCAACCAGGCCGTGAAACAGTATTGTGGAGACCAAATTTTAAGGTCGACACTTGCTGGGCATTCCCACGTGCAGACCTAGGACGAGGTCTGGCTCTGTATTGATATTCATGTCTCGGTTTTTGGGAAATAGGTCTGTTATCCTATCAGAGAAGGCTCCTGGTGGGAAGTCTACTGATTCAATATGTCAATTAATCAAGTAGACTGACTACGTAGTTACCCTCTTCTAAGTCGAGCATTAGGCACACTCTACTTCATACCAACATGCTACATTCAAGATTGACCTATCTACCCGCAAGAGCTTCAGGACACTCATAGGTCCTTCACATCTCTATATAACTAGTTAACTTAAGACACTGCATTATTAATATCCATCAAACCAACATTATGACGCCCTATTCCAAGACCACCAAAACAAAAACCCACCCACAAGGCTTCAAGAATAATCAATCATCAACCAAGCGGACCGCTCCTCTTCGCTTGGACCCGAGGGGTGGAAGCTCCCGAGTGGCCGAACCCACAAAGTCCACAAATTCCACAATCATCCAGTCCCCACAACGGGCAAAAAAGCAGCTTCCTGTCGTGGTTTGGAGGCAAAATCTCTCTCGCACCGACCACCCCCGACTGGGATCAGCCAGACCAGCCCAGCCCAGCCGTTCGGAATTTTCTTATCCACTCACACTGTGAGTAGCTAATAGCTACTGGACACTGGACAGCCTCTGAGCCTATGTGAATGTTCTCAGCTTTTGCTAGGGAAGGCTTTCCGTGTGCTTGTTTGGACCGGGAACCGTCTGTCCGAAAACTCCGTTCTTTCAGTCTCCGGAGAGTTTGTTTGATTTTTGTCCGTGGCCTGACTTTGACTTTGTTTTGCTTTCCGAGTGTGGTTTTTGGTTAGGGTTGTCTAAGCTTTTGGCTGTTCGGGACGGAGGACTGAGGACGGAGTTGATACTTGATTTGAAAATTACACTCATAGCAGTCATCCAATAGATATTATTTAATGAGTGTATTGTTTCTATTGCAAATGCTTCATAGCTAGGCTTTACTACTTTACATCCACCCCCCCCACCCCGGACAAAGGTCAAGCAAAGCCCTTGAACAAACTCTTCAGACACCCATCAACTCAAGCCCAAAACCTACTGTACTAAGCCCCCTCGACCCGAGCGGGCCCGCTCCCGGGTCCGCGCGCGAACGTGCATACGGACGTCGTTGAAACGTGAAAGGCACTGGCGCTGACAGGTGTATCCAATATCCCATCCCATTCGGAACGTATCCGCCAGGGGTTTGCTTGTTTATCCCTTGATTTCTCTCTCTTTTGGCAATTACCTCACCGAGACACCAGGTATGCATGCAGCAATATTGTAATCAATTCTTCTTAATCTTTAAGTTATGCTCAGGTACCGCACCATCCGCGAAAGAGTAAATTCCTCCCGGTCGGATCGGGTGTCCCAAAAAGCCTAGGTAGTGATCGAATGGTCCAAAGGGCCGGCCGATCTACGCGAAGGAAGGTTCTGACGATAGACTAGGATATTTTCGGACTTACAGTAGGTTTAGAGATAGAGTCAATTGGTGCTGTACTTCTGTCAAGGCTTGAGGGAGTATTTTCATTTATTCAAATAAATACCTGTGCTATGTTTTTTGTTTGTAGTGAATAGTAATTGTCTCTTTTATCAATCGGAGCGGTCGTGCCCTCATTCTGATCCATCATCCCTCTCATTGTGTATTCCCGCGATGGCGCGCGGATAGCTTCCGGGTGGGCCCTAACAACTCAAAAGTGCCGCACAGTCGGCGGATGTCAATTTGTCAAATCGAAGACTGGACTCTTTTTTTCAAAGGTACAGTAGCACTGTAGTGGACTGGGTGGTGGGGTGGTTGTTCGTTTTCGTTTTTGATGTCCGTTTGATTTTTTTTTCCTCTTTAACTATTTGGTTGTGTATGTTAGTAGTATGGTAGATATAGGAATTGAGTCTTTTAAGGGTTAGGACTTGGTGTGTGAGTTTGCGTTTATCGGCCGTCCACATCTCCGCTCTTGGTACTTTGGGTGTGGTATCACTTTTTTTAACTGATTGGAGGTTAGTATGTCGAGTCTTCGAGGAAATACTTGCATAAATGGATGAGCTAGCTTAGCTGTTGCTCTGTACTGGATTGAGAGAACCAATTGGGAGACTGAGGTCTTATGTATTTCAGAGATTGTACCAATCACAGTATTACAATTAGTCTGGAAAAGAAAAGAGATGTATTTTAGCCAGAAACCTCTCTATGGTAGTTGGCTGGCTTGTACTTCGGTTGTGAGTTGTCGCGGCAGTGATTGCAAATGATCTCATGCCGCTCGGGCAGCAATCAGTACACCAGTACGGAGTAGTTAGCCATCTGTTTGCATGCTAATTCAATTGAAATTTATTTCGTTTTTTTTTTCTGTTTGTTTTTTTTTTCTTTTTATGACATCTAACGACCTGGCTCGAGCTTGGACCAGTTATTGGCCCTGAGGAGGTACTCCGCTTACATCAGGGAGGATCTATCATCATGATTAATGACAATTCTATGGATTGGTGAGTGGGTTCCTCGTTGGGCATGTACCGGAGACGGGCCTCGGAAGGGAGGTGGAAGCGCGATCTTAAATCTTTAGGACTGGCGTGGCTAAACTAGAACGGAGTTAACTAAGTTACCCTTCATAGCTAGGTACAATTATTTCGTAGTTATGTCGTCCTGGAGTAGCTCCTACAGGACTAGGGATATGAATCTGATTAGTTAGCATGGCAGGATTGAGAACTAACAGCGCTAAGAAGAGAAATGGCCGAGTACTTAGAGTCTAGGACCAGGGTGACCACAGGAATGGGATTATTATGATTATGGGAGAGCCCGGCTTGCTGGGAAAACGAGAAATAATTAATTCCCGTCCAGAGAGGCCCTCATAGGCTGGCAATCTTCTTTTTTTTTCTTTTTCACTTTTTCTCATCAGTGTCGGACCTAATGATTGCTGCTTTGTCCGATGGTGATTAGATATGAGGAAGTAGTTCCTGCCACGACTCTTCTCATTGATTCTACTTTTTTCCCTCTCCTCTCTCCCTTTATGTACTCTCTCGCCATCTATCTTTCTCATCTCGTTATTTAAACCCAATTCTTTTTTTTACGGACTATCATGGCCAACCCCTCCCACTCCACTTAGTTCCAGCCACTGTCCGGACCAGACTTTCGCGCAAAACGGGGCCCTCTCTTTTAGTCAGTCCCTCTCTCTCTCTCTCTTAACCTAAATGTCCCTCACTACTACTGGGTGAATTTACTTGTGAACCTGGGCCCTCCAACCAACAATCACCCAGTCCTCTGCTCCTCCTCTCCTCTCCTCTCCTCTCCTCCTCCTCCACTAACAATAATCCACACCCACTACCACTAACTAACCACCACCTCCTCTTCCATCTCTCCCATCCTCTCTCTCTCTCTCTTTTTTCCTCCCCTCATTTTCTCTTTCCTCTTTAATCGCTTCTCCCTCGTACGTCATTTGGGTTATATTTGTGGGAGCTTCTTCTTGTGCCTTTTGATTCTCTCTTTCCCCCTCTCCCGCCCCCATTCGACCTGCAGGCCCCTCCTTGAAAGTCGTCCCCTCCGGAACTCCCTTTGCGACCCTCCAATCCCTGAACCCCTCTCCTCCTACTTCCCCCCTCCGAATCACTCCTCCACCAACCACAACACTCTTTGCTCCCCCCCGACCGCTCCCGACTTCCATCTGCCCGTCATGTCGGGGAAAATGACATTGTACAAGTTGGTGGTACTAGGAGATGGTGGTGTTGGAAAGACGGCCCTCACAATCCAGGTATGTCAACCCACTCCCCCGACCGGACAATCTGCAGCTTTCAGGACATGGGCTGTATAGCTTGATGACAGCTATACACATTACCCGAGAAAGCACATGCAACAGAACTCTTCACTATTCCCCTCGTGAACACAATGACTAACCCCCTATTGTTTCGCCCCCGCACTAGCTCTGCCTCAATCACTTCGTCGAGACCTACGATCCAACCATCGAAGACTCCTATCGCAAACAAGTCGTCATCGATCAACAGTCATGCATGCTCGAGGTGCTGGACACGGCGGGCCAGGAAGAATACACGGCACTGCGCGACCAGTGGATTCGAGATGGTGAGGGCTTCGTCCTGGTCTACAGCATCACATCGCGCGCCTCCTTCTCGCGCATCACCAAGTTCTACAACCAGATCAAGATGGTCAAGGAGTCTGCCAGCTCCGGATCACCCTCCGGCCCGAGCTACCTGGGCTCCCCCATGAGCCACACAGCCGGTGGCCCACCCCTGCCCGTGCCCGTCATGCTGGTCGGTAACAAGAGCGACAAGGCTGTGGAGCGCGCCGTCTCCGCACAAGAAGGCCAGGCCTTGGCCAAGGAGTTGGGCTGCGACTTTGTAGAGGCCTCGGCTAAGAACTGCATCAATGTTGAGAAAGCCTTCTACGACGTCGTTCGCATGCTGCGCCAGCAGCGCCAAAACACACAGAATGCCAAGGGCCGCGGCGGTGGTGCCCAGGGCTTCTCGGGTCACCGAGACCGTGATGCAGGCCCCGAATACCCCAAGTCATTCCGTCCCGATCGGCGACATCGCAGTCGTATCACTTGTGTTCTTCTGTGATCGGCCGGGTCCGTCCGGGACATGAGACCCGTCTTGATGTTCGTTATCTTTTTGTTTTTTGGTTTCCAGCTTTGAGGTTGCCTTACTCCTATCATGGTGAGGGCAGGCTGCCCTCCCTCCCCCTTTTGCACTTTGATCTTGATCGCTCGATTTCTCTCTCTTCTCTTTTCTCCATGTTTCTTCTTTTCTTTTCCCTTTTTTATTGGTCTCGGGTGCATTTTGGACGGGGTGGCTCTGTCTTTTGGTTTACGACCTCGTTCGGCGTCGGCGGCCCCTCTTCCTCGCAAACACACAAACAACCTTTTACTTCCTCAACCACGCAACCCGCACGCGAATCCTCCATCTGCTTTTGACTCTTGCTGCCGTTTGAAAATCGCCCAGCCTAGTCCCGAGGTCCTCAGACGATCTCACTCAGCTCCTCCCTCGCAAACGAGAAACCCGAGACTGTTCGGGTTCGGTGCCCGCAATGTTTCTGCGCTTTGGGAAATACAGTTTAACCTTCTTATTGGCGCAGTGCGGGAATTTGGGCTCCTGAATTCCGGGCGCCGCATCCACCACGGCTCACACGAACGCCACCGATACCAATCTTGTGGGCCGTGCTGTGGAAAAGGGCTGAACGATGAACCGGCGAATTTACAATTGCTCAAGATGAATGGTGGATTTCGTATTGGGGGCCGAAGCATTGCATACTATTAGGCGCAACCCGACGCCCGCAGAGAAAAGAAGAAAAAAAAAAAGCACACACACACACACACACACACACATACACAGCTCTCCGGCGACGAAGCCACAAGATCGCAGTTGCGCATTAGCAGGCATTTCGATATGATACCCTACGACTAAGCTTGTTTCTGTTATTTCCTTTTTGTTTTTTTAAACTTTTTCATTGGACTACTTTTACTCTACTACTACTACTACTTCCTCTACTGTATCTCTCCCTCTTGATCCCATATCTCAGATCTCCATCTCCCCATCTTGACACATCCCTCTCCCCGCATTTTCTTGCGTATATAGACCAATAACCAATAACCAATCGGAAGAAACACCCCCCTCCCATCATGGCTTTGGACCCAGGGCCAGGGTCAACACCGAAAGTCACCGGGCCCTGTCCTCCAGGTGCGACTAGACTAGCGTGGCTTTTTCTGTTTAACCTTTGTCTTGACTGTACCAGTCTTTTCTCGGCGGGACCAATTGTCAAAGTTAGAAATTAGACTGCGTTGGCTTGACTGTGTCGACCTGCCCGACACATAAACGAGAAGCAGTGAATGGTGAACTCATGTTTCAGCCTCCTTCCCCCCTCTCGGTACCAGGGCGCAGGTGGAGGTGTGATTTCATGCGGATTATCCGACTAGTTCCGCTGAGCCCAATGTTCGGGGTTTGGATTTGGGTTTGAGTAAGTTAGTGCGTAGTAATCTACTGAAGTGGCGATCTAGCGATCTAGGTAAACGGTGGCCAAGGCCAAGGCCACGTCGATCGGATAGTGGACTGGCTGGTTACTTCTCCACTACTTGTGTTATCAGCTGATGGTATGCTGAAGGGTGTGTACCCACTATGTACCCAATCGCTACTATATAGTCATGCTAAAGTATTATTATTGTATCTTGTCAGCCGATCGGATACCACAATTGCGGGGAAAGCACGGACTCGCCTCGGGTCAGTTCTCCCCACGTTCGAGAGAATTAACACTTGAATGACTTGACATGTTGACACTGACAGCCTTTTGACAGGCTGCAATACTCTAGCTAGGTGAATAGACTAGACTAATCCCAGTCTAGCCCTGCACCGAGTCTAAAACGTGTTCTCCCCTCAAGCCTCAATAGCCCCATTGCCCCCCTAATCCCGAGCTATTAATGCAAATCCCTGCAGCGCTGTTGACACCCATCCAATGAACTAATGACTCGGTCCCCGAAACCCTGGACCTCGGGTAGCATCGCCTAGTGAGAATATAAGAATTGAGCAGTTGAAAAGGGAAATCGTTCCAGCCTCTCAGACAACTGACAACTTCAGCCTGCATTTACTCGATTCTAGTTCCCACCCACTCACAGCATAGTCTTACAGTCTTACAGAGTCTTATTCTTACTCTTACTCTTTTAAACTTCCCCTCCACATCGGCTCATATCCCCGTTATACCCCATTCTCCATTCTCCACATCTTCGAACCAGAAACCACAATCCCCCAACCTCTCTACTCTCTCTATCCATACTCATCCCAACTCAAACCAACCATTCCCAGTCCCTCAACCTTGTCTTCTCAATGCCCCCCCCACCCCCAAAAATCAACCCACGCCTCCTCCCTTCTCACCCCCGAAACATTCTGGTCCACACCCGCCCGCCGACTCCACTGGCACAAACCGCCCACGACTGTGCTAGCCCGCCACACCAAGACACTGGCCAGCGGCGTCAGTCACGAGCATTGGTCGTGGTTCCCCGATGGAGAGATCTCCACTTCGTTCAACTGCGTGGATCGACATGTTCTCGCGGGGAGGGGCAAGGATATCGCTATTATTTGGGAGTCGCCTGTGACGGGGACTGTGGAGAAATGGTCGTATGGGAGACTGTTGGATGAGGTCGAGGTTTTGGCGGGGGTGTTGAGGGAGGAGGGTGTTAAACGGGGGGATGTTGTTGTTATTTACAGTATGTATCCCCTCCTTCCTATCATTATTCACTCTCAGTGGGATTGTTGAGATGGTCCAATTGGTTATGGGCTGGGCTATCTGCAATTGCTACGCCTCAGCTTTCTACCCCATTTAGCTTGAGCTCAGCTCAGCTACAGCGGGACCACCTCTAGCTTCCCCCGGGTGGCACTCCCAGTGGCAAATCCAGATCACAAGATACAATCCAAAGCCCCCACTAACCACCCCACTCTTACCATTTGTAGTGCCAATGATCCCCGCCGCGCTCATCGCCGCGCTAGCAATAACCCGTCTAGGCGCCATCCACGCCGCCGTCTTCGGCGGCTTCGCAGCGCAATCATTGGCACAGCGGATCGAAGCCGCCCGACCCCGGGCCATCATGACAGCCTCGTGCGGGATCGAGGGGTCCAAGGGCCCAATTAATTACCGGCCGCTTGTCGAAGGCGCAATCCGGGCTAGCAGCTTCAAGCCCGAGAAAGTCATTGTTTGGCAGCGGGATCAGCTGCGGTGGAATAACCCGGATAAATTGGGTGGGCAGCGGAATTGGCAGCGGTTGGTGAAGAGTGCGAGGATGCGGGGGGTTAGGGCGGGGCCGGTGCCGGTGAAGAGTACGGATGGGTTGTATATTATTTATACCAGTGGTGAGTTGAGTGCCTGGGATACGAGTGGCCGAGTGGTATTAAGTGTGATCTAATGATGGTAATTAGGAACGACCGGTCTACCAAAAGGCGTCCTCCGCAAAGCAGGCGGCCACGCCGTGGGATTGGACCTCTCGATCCGGATGCTCTTCAACATCAACGGGCCGGGCGATGTCATGTTCTGCGCCTCAGATATAGGCTGGGTCGTCGGACACTCCTACATCCTCTACGCACCACTCCTCGTCGGCGCAACAACAGTCCTCTTCGAGGGTAAACCCGTCGGCACCCCCGACGCAGCCACATTCTGGCGCATCGTGGAAAAACACAAAGTAAACACCGTCTTCACAGCACCCACCGCCATGCGCGCAATCCGCAAGGATGATCCCGGCGATAAACTCTTCGAAGAAGTCGGTTCACGTGGCGGTCTAAGATCTCTCCGCGCACTCTTTCTCGCAGGCGAACGAAGCGAACCTAGTATTGTGCGCGCTTATCAAGAACTATTAACTAAACACGCCGCGCCGGACGCGAGAGTAATCGATAACTGGTGGTCCTCTGAGTCTGGATCGCCTATTACAGGTCTAGCACTTAACACCACGCCTAGTGCTGCACCACTGCCCATCCGTCCCGGCTCAGCGGGTCTACCCATGCCAGGCTTCGACGTTCGAATCGTCGACGATGACGGGAATGAAGTCTCCCCGGGGACAATGGGGAATATAGTCCTCGCCGTACCACTCGCACCAACTGCATTTACGAGTCTCTTCGAAGATGACGAGCGGTTTTACCGCGGGTATTTAAAACGGTTTGATGGGAAATGGATTGATACCGGTGACGCGGGATTAATCGATGAAGACGGGTACGTGCACATCATGTCTCGAAGCGACGATATAATCAACGTCGCCGCGCACCGGTTTAGCACGGGTTCTATCGAACAAGCTATCCTCTCGCATCCGGATATCAGCGAAGCTGTCGTTGTGGGCATCCCGGATTCATTGAAGGGCCATTTACCATTTGCGTTTGTGCATTTACGTACCGACCCTTCTTCGGAGGGTGGGGAAATGCCAGCTGTCGTCCCCGAAACGCTTTTCAAAGAAATCAACGCCTTAGTCCGTGAGCAAATCGGGGCTATCGCTTCTCTGGGTGGAATTATTCAGGGTAGGGGCATGATTCCTAAGACTAGGAGTGGGAAGACATTGAGACGGGTTTTGAGGGCGTTGGTGGAGAATGGTGTTCAGGGGAGGTTTGAGGCGGATGTCAGTGTTCCGCCTACTGTGGAGGATATTGGTGTTGTGGATGTTGCGAGGGGGAGGGTTAGGGAGTACTTTTTGGAGATGGAGAAGAAGGGGAAGGGGAAGGCGAAGCTTTGAGGGGGGTCTTGTGCTGTTGGAAAGAATGGCATATATGTTGTGTTGTGGTTATGTTGAGATGGGAATGTATATGGCTGTAAGATACTTGATTGGTACCTATTTGTGGTACTGGTTAGACAAAATTGTTAATGTAAAGTTGACATTCCTGGTCTATAGTTTCTACAATATTGCTATTCTTGCCGTTACTATCATGCATCAAATCCGCAGATGAGATTGTCATCTGGTAAAATGGAGTTGAATTGACACCATTTCCGTAAGCGACGATCATAATTGTCAGTGTCAGTTGGTCCAAGGACGTTTCAATAAAGCTTTGTTCCGAGATTAGTCGGATCCGCCTTTCACGGCTACCACTCAAGCTTGATTTCTTAGATCATTCTTATAGAGGCAAAAGGTCGGTTTAGGGAATTGTAGTACCCTTGAGCGTAGTCTAGATCTTTTTGTATACTCCAGAGATAGTTACAATCTTTCGATATCACTATCGTATATCTTGATTTATAAAGAAAATCAGTGCACTCTTCCTCATGACGAATTTTAAAATTGAAGCTTGGTCATATGCGTCTTCTCAAGTCCAGACGAACGAACTCGCGGGGTGTGCATCGGCTGTCACCAAAAACATTCAACCTCTCGGCAGCCCTCTTATCTACGACCACGAACCATGCCGAGAACGAGGGTGAACCCGTCTCGACGTTGTGCTGCTAGACTTGTAAGTTCAGTGTTAAGGCGCATGCCCACCGCATGTCCATGTGGTACATCCACGATAACATTTTTGCTTTTGCGGCTCAACACAACCCCTTCTTAATTTAGCAATTTCCAACGCTCGCCCAGCCAGCCAACCCTGATAAAGACATGTTGTGACAGCATCATTCAACCGATAAAGTCGCACAAAAATCCACCTCCAAAGGCAGCCACATCCATCTTGAAGATCCCTACCAATACCGGATCTGCACGAGCGGCCAAGGCTCGGAACGTGGTTTAGTCTGGTGTCTTCCTCGCTCCAATCCGGAGCTATGAAACGAACCACCAGATCTCGGTACTGTACATGTACATTAGATCTCGCTTCGCCAAAATTTGAGCAAGCAACGGTTATCATCGCTATCGCGATCGGGCCGCTTGAATTTCCAGCGCTCGACCCCTACAACTTGCATATTTGCAGGGTTACCCCCGCAGCGACTGTACGATGCTGACCGCCAGTGTACACCTCGTCCCCCCTTCTTGTTGGGAAGAGGTTGGTCGACTCTGTGCTACATGACCTGCAGCTTTGCGGGCGGACCGCAGACGCTCTGCAGGCGGACACGTCGCGTGCATTCCAACGGTTGTCCTAGCCCTTCCTAGGTCGTTTCATTCTTCAACGAAAGAGATTGGATGGTTTTCACTGGGCTGGTTAAATGCAGGTCGACTCGGTACACCGTAGACCATACTTAACCCTTTTCTCTCCCTGGGATTTCGGTCTATTTTTTTTTTCTGTTCCTTGTCCCGGTCGTTTTGTATATTAGGTGCCTGGCCTGCCTTCTATGGCCCCGAGGAGTGTTACTCGCGTTGCGCGCCCGCCTGATACCATGCATCAGGGTCGATTGGAGAATGAGGGGTGTCCGTTGCTCCCGGATGAGGACCAGGATCAGTGCAGCAATGACCATGGGCATGGCACGAGCCGGAAGGTTAAGAGCCTTCGCGATCCTTCGGTAAGGCTGACGCCTATTTCCCTATTTCTGTTGTACGACTTTGCTGTATCTCCATCGCGGGTTTTCCCTCCGCTGGGATTGCCAAGATTCAGTCACTCAGGAGAGGCGATTTTGCTTTCCAGATAACCTCACCCTGCAAAAACAAGCTTCTAAACTAACAACTATTCCTACTCCCAGCCAGCATGGATAATCTTACTCTGGGGCATGTTCGCCATGAGCGGCGGCACCTTTGTCGTCCCCGAATTCAACGCCAGCCTAGCCTTAGTCTGCCACCAGCGATACGCACCCAGCAGTTCCCAACCAAACCCACAAACCGGCCAGCTCACGCTCATGGAAGAACTCGAACTCTGTCTAGGCGATAAAAACGCCCAAGCAGACGTCTCCCGCCTAATAGTCTACTGCCAATTCACAGCCGGGATCCTCTCGGCCATCACAGCCCCGATTCTAGGCTCATTGTCCGATCGAATCGGTCGGAAACCTATACTCGCACTCAGCACGACAGGAATCCTGCTCTACAATGTGGTCATGCTTCTCATCCTGCGGTATCCCGATGCGATCGATGTACGCTGGATATTGGTTGGTTATGCGATTGAGGGACTGGGAGGAACGTATATCACGGCTATCGCGGCTTCGCAGGCGTACATCACGGATTTATCGAGTCCACGTGAACGTGCCACACTATTCAGCTATATCCAAGCATGTACATCCCTCGCACAAGCGGCAGGTCCGTTAATTGCCGGGATCCTAATCGCATCGATCAACTCTTTCGAAGGCGTATACTGGATTTCATTCGCCTGTTACCTCCTCCTAACCATCCTTTTCATCTTCGTCCTACCCGAGTCGCGCTGGGCACGATCTACCGAGAATCCAGGGATAAACCTGGATAACCCATCCATGACCGAAAATCCACTACGACAGGTATACACCTCCTGCAAATCCCTTTGGGAGAGTAGTGCGAATCGCCGCGGGAATCTGGCTATTCTGGCCGTTATCGAACAATTCGTCTTCGGCGTTATGACATGTCTCCCTCCGCTACAGATGGCCTATTCATCATATCTCTTCCATTGGCGACCCACGACGCAAAGCTTTTACATGGCTCTCGTCAATACGTGGAGTATTTTAGTGCTCGTGGTTCTTTTCCCGGTTATCATGTCCGTGGTACGGAGACAGATCCGTCGGAAACGAAATCGGACGCATTCAACTGTGTTTAACACCGGTGAATTAGGCGCTATTCGGACCAGTTTGTGCCTGCAGATTTTGGGGTATGCGGGTGTAGCGTTGACCCGCTCGCCGGAGTGGTTCATCTTCTGCTCGTTGATATTTGCATGTGGGAATCCTGTTACGCCGTTGTTGACGTCGAGTTTGACGGCGCATGTGCCGAGTGAGCACTCGGGTCATTTATTGGGGATGTTGAGCTTTATGCATGCGATTGGGAGGATAACGATTCCGACGGCGTTGAATGCGACGTATAGCGTTACTATTGGGGTGTTTCCGCAGGCGTTGTTTGTGGTTTTGGCTGTTTCGGTTGCGGGGCTTCTTTTGTCGAGTTTGTGTGTTAAGTCTTATGGGTTGGGTTCGTCAAGGTAGACAGACTTTCTTCCCTTGAGATATCCACTGGGTTGGTGTGATAGGTGGTATTTTCGTTTGTTGTTATTCGGGAGCGCAGTCATGTCACCTCGTGCTGGCCATGCGTGTGGACATGCTATGATGTCGATGACAAAGATTCCCAATCATAGAATTCATGTTTCTTCATTCGGTTACGTTCTCGGCACCTACCCGACCAGTTTTCCTCTCCGTGTTAAGTGGTGATGTCCCTTCTGCGCCATCTTCACCAGACGTGCGCATATTTGCAACCGTCTGCAAGTATAATCTCGGCGGCGTAGCAAACTTTCCCACCGCAGCCTCCACCGTCCTCAACATCCCCCTCGTCCTCCAATACGCATTATTCATAAACTGAAGCCCATCAGGTAACGGATCCGGCAGCCGTCGCACAGCCCGATCAAGACGAGCCTTGTACTCCCCAACAGACAACCCATCCAAAAGACGACACTCTCCTCCATCCTCACCACACTCAATCGCACTAATCAAATTCACCAAATTCACCTCACTAGGCGATCTCACAAAAACTTCTCCAAAATCCTCATACGGCGCAATCCAATCTTTATAATCATCATACAAATCCGTATCCTCAGGTAAAAACCACGGCGCAACAACAACAATACTCTTCAGATCCGTGGCAACCTCAGCCAGGAACTCGATAATCTCGTACATCAATGTCCGACTTTTCGGGTTTATAACGATATGCTGGATATAACTGAACAAGCTATAACGGGATTGTAATCGTCGTGGCAAGGCGGGACTGTATCGAAGATCTCGGATGAAGAAGATGTGTTTTGGGAAATTGAACAGACCGAGGTCTTCGATGTAGGTGTGTGTTTCTTTTAGGGCAACTCGGGCTTCGTGGCAGACTTGGGTTATGGGCTTGGTGGGGTTTGTGCCGGTTGATTTGTAGTTGTAGCGGCGGAGGGGTTTTATGGTGGTGCAGGACCAGGATGTTGTGAGGGCGATGTGCCAGATGTGGAGGCGGAGTTCGGGAGGGAGGGAGGGGAAGAGCTGGAAGTCTGTTGCCATGATGAAGATGAAGGTGAAGCAGGGAGTTTAATGTGATGTCAATTGTTGTTTATTGAATGTTGATGGTGAGGTTGGAGCTGATCTATGGCTTTGTTGCCTATTTCTCACGTGCCTAGTCAGCACCCCCCAAACTTTCCAACTTGATGTACCTCGCAGCCTCAAACAAAGAGGAGAGAACAACTACAATCTCAATTCTATGTTGGTACCCGACATCAACAAGTCCTATAATATCCTCATCATATATGACTTCATTATACATGATGTGCTTTCAGCACTTGGTCCCTTGCGACTGTCTCTCCAGGGACATGTCAGAGTCCCCACACCGCGATTCATCAAATCTCCTCGATTGCCGATGTATGAACTTGGTCCCTGACTTGGCCAATGACAGCGAGTTTCTAACGTGGAACCTGGAGAGAGAAAAGAGCGGAAAAGACAGCCCCGTTGGGCCCATTGGACCCATTTTGGCCTCGATCGAATGAATATGGCCCCGGCGGGTCGGTCAAAGACTCAAATAAGCTGGCGTACGACGCTTCCAGCACAGACAGACAGGGTCAGGAATAATCAGGCGAAGGGTTCAATTCAATTCCCCAAAGTACAGGAGAACAGAATGTTTGGATGTCTACTAATGGTTCTATACATAGACTTTGATCTACCATGTCTATCCGATGATCCATCTGGCGATGAAGGCGACAATCTTCGGGAGACTTCCCTTGCTGATGCTGGGCTAGACTCTGCCCGACCGAACCAGACAATTCACCCTCGCATCCACGTCTCTCAGGACGGCAAGGATCCTCAGGAGCGGGCCAAGCGCACAAACGGGTTCCTGCGGGGACGTGGATATAGCGGGAGATGAAGATAATAATGCCACGGAGTACCAAGACTAAGCGGGCGGTTCATCGAGTATCATTGGTCTCAACCATAATTAAAGATCCACTCACCATGCAAAACTCATCCAACTGCCCAGCCGATGCAATTTCCCAAATACTTCCACTGCGTATCTCCAATATCCACCATCCTATCGGCCCCTTTTCTCACCCTGCGCTAGTCGCACTTGAGTCAGTTTAACTCGCACGGGTACCTGAGTCGACCACGGCACCGGGCAGAACAGCCAGACTGGCTGCTCCCCCTATAAACAACTTCTCACCCGCCCCCGTCCTTCCTTCCCCCTCCCTTCTCCTTCCCCATCCACTCGCTCTCTATACCACTCACCCCGGTTCAGTCTTCACGACCGAGTACATTCTTTTCAGAAACACCACACTCTTTTCGACCGCGTGTCAAATCAACTCTCCCGTCTTCCCAGACTCCTCGCCCTTTTTTTCTTCAGGAACATTCCTCGAACAAATCCCACATTCCAAGCCAAAATGCGTTTCTCCTTCGCCGCTGTTGTCGCCGCCCTGGCTGCTGGTGTTGTCGCTACCGACGCTGTCACTGAGACCCTCACTGCTTACACCACTTACTGCCCTGAGGCTACCTCCATCGTCCACGGTGGCTCGACCTACAGCATCTCTACTGTGCGTGCACCTCCTTTTGTTGTTGTGTGGATGTGGATATCAGCATGGGACAAATGGACCGAGTCGCGATCAACGACACATCTCGACTCCCCACATTCCATCTGATATCCCACATTTGCGCCCCATCAAATCTATTCTTCGTTTCGCGATCGCATCACTAACTCTCTCCCAGCCCGGCCACCTCACCATGACTGGCTCCTTCACCGTCACCCGCCCTCTGATCACCCAGACCGTGACCCAGTGCAACAAGTGGTAAGCACCGACTCTCATCACCACACAATCCCAATCTGGAATCATCTCAATCTAACATCACTTCTAGCTCCTCCTCCACCCCTCTCCCCACCACCCCCGTCTCCTCCGTCTCCTCCACCCCTCTGGTCCCCTCCACCGCTGGTGCCACCGGCACCGCCGTCTCTACCCCCGCTGCCTCCCAGCCCGCTTTCAACGCCGGTGCCATCAACGCCGCCACTGGCGCTGGTGCCGGTCTGGCCGCCGTCTTCGGTGCCGTCGCCCTCCTCCTGTAAGCGTGAGCTATATTAGCTCGCCTGCAGTGATGATGTGGTAACGGGATTCGTATGCACGGTCGATGGGTGCAGGTGAAACCAACCAATCTCGACATGGTTTTAGTCTATCTGCCGCATAGAGCTGGGTCTATGGCCTGGTGGTTGTTCGGATCTTGCGCTCTAGCCAGGCGTTTTTTTTGTTCGGGAATACCTCGGGGTATGGGATTCTTTTCATTTGAAAGCTTTGTTGTTTACTTTCCAGCTGGGGTTACTCTTTTTCTTTTCTATCTATTGATTTTACATATTATCCTCTTGAATGTACATGTCTTTTGTCTATGTCTTATTAGATAATACATAATCGATCTGAAGGGATCATTTATGTCTTTTCCATTCTGACTGCGACACTGAGTTCGAGTTGCATTTGTGAGATTCCTACTGGACATATCGTTTCTTTGATTCCGAATGACTTTTACTACCAATTTTCTTTTATGTCTTAGAGTGCGTAGATTTGAGATGTACAAGCTGTGGCTGGCTTATCGAGTATCAATTCTGACCTGCGCAGGGGTCCAGACGATATACCTCCCTCTTAACTAGAATACAGTAATCGCATTACGCTCGCTAGATATTATGTTCATTTGCTAGTTAGTTATTGTAGGTCGAGCCATGTAGCAGTTCCTTCTAATTATTCATTGAATGACGTTTCTTTCTTACATCTTAGATCTTGGTCCATAAATCCAACCGAGTACAACGTACATGATCGAATGACAAAATAGTCAATCCCCTCAACGCGCTGCACACACCTAGTCTAATTCAAAAAACCCCCGCAATCATCCTCCTCCCCGACATAACATCCGTCAACGACCTCTGCACCTCCTGCACCTTCTCAAACCTAATAAACCCACAAGCTTCACTCTCCAAATGATTAAAAAACCCCGCCAACGAAACAAACTGCTTCCCACACTTCCGTGCCAAATTCGGACAATGATAAATACTCTGCTGATGCACCGGCGAATTGGCGTGTTGATTCAACGCCCTGCTTGACACGAATTGTCGATGACAGATGTAGCATTCCCAGGCTTGGCCGATGTATCACTTCAATACAGGTACACAACTAGCTTTATAGCTAGCGATGGAGATCTGTCTAATCAGTCTATGATTTCTAAAGAGTATTCGGAAAATTGTGAAAAGGAAAGGGTTTGATCACCGATAAAAAAAGAGAAGCTACTACTCTATATTAAGGATATAATTATCTTACAGGAGGCTGTTCTCCGTACAATAGAAAAGCGGTTCTATATTAGCGAATACAACAATACGTCTACAATCTTATCGCCTGCTTTACGGTGAATCGAATCAGTGTAATAAGAATACTTTACCCTGATTCGATTTATCTTTGAACTGGTGTCGGGTAGTAGGAGCCCTAGAAAGGTCAGAAGACTTGGAACGCAGGGGATATTTTGCCGTTCATACTAGCTGAGAGCGAAGGAACGACCAAATTCCAGACGGATCCGCGCTGAAAATAAAGACTTGCCCAGAATCTCGAATCCGTATACCTAAACATACATCTGCCCCGCAAATCTGGCTAAACTCGTGTGACTTGTTTTCTAGGCTTGGTTTGCGCCGATCTCTTTTCTGTCGAAGTGATTTCTTCCCCTTCGATCCATAAGAGGTTTTAGCTATTGCACCGGCAAGGTTAGATTTTCGATCGAGGTTGTAACAGGGAGCAGGTAACAGGGCCCGTTTTAACTTGTAAAGCGAGTATTAGTTACTTAACTAAGAGCGCGGAAGAGGGGGACATACGCCTTTTATTTCTTCAAAAAACCACACGAATTTACAACATGTCATCGCACCGTGGTAGATTCAATAGTCATAGCCACGACATTCTCCCAGTGGCTGAAGGGGTAACGTTTGCAAGGCTAGCTACTTAATCGCGATTACCAAAACGGATCCCTGCGAGTCTACAACCACCAAATCGGGTCCCTGGTCTAGATGAGGAGCAGTCATTCAATAGAGTAAACTTAGTCCAGGAATCACGGTGACAGCGAAGACGGTACCCAAGTTCTGGCGAGGCCGGTGAAAGTTGTAGTCTGGAGGCTGCGACACTGTTTGGTTCACTTAGTGCACTGACTCAACGCGCTTTACGACACCTTTTTGGTTCCTCTAATCACTTTCCGACCCACTCGCCGTTATATTTTAGGTTATTACGGAGTCAAGCTTGGAGCAGCCTGCATTCGGTCTGGGCCGGTTATAAGAGAGGGGTTCCTTTACATTATAAATACTGTTCCTCCTTCTGTTTATGCTCTACCATATCACCTTTACTGTTCTACCTACGCCCTCCTCTAAGGCCATTTTCCATTTCGCTTATTATGCAGCTAGTTACATTTTTTCTACTAGGCCTAGTGTTCCTTAATAAAGCTAGCGATAATGTAGTATATAATAGTGCTAGTAATGCTAAGCTTAAGGCCCGCCGTACCAATAGATATCGCTCCGTTGCCTACTTCGTCAACTGGGTCAGTTCGCGTGACAAAAACCCCTAAAATCAACTGAAATCGTTTATAAGATATATATCCCATCACTCTAGGCGATTCGTGGCCGTGGTTTCAGTCTTCAGGACCTCCCTGTCAATAGATTAATGCATATGCTATACGCGTTTGCTAACGTATACCCGGACACCGGAAAGGTGTATATCTCAGATCCTTGGGCCGACATAAGGGAACATTATGCTACAGATTCGTGGAGCGATACTGGAAATAATGTTTACGGATGTGTGAAGCAACTATTTCTTCTCAAAAAGAAGAATAGAAATCTGAAGATCCTGCTGCCGATTAGGGGTTGGACTTACTCGACTAACTTTGCTAACCCCCTCAGCACCGTGGCAGGTCGTGTAAGTTTCGCTTCCTCTGCTAATGATCTAGTGGTGGACTTGGTTTCGACGGTATTGATACAGTACTTCCGGAAATCGGTGTCACCACTTACACTCTTTAACTCTTTCTCAAACCCTAATACCAAGGAACGCTCATCCATATTAAGCGTAGCAGATAATATGTATATGACTAGAGCATGTACGAATACGTACCGATGTATTTGATAACCGTTCTTAGCGTAAATTATATGTTTGATTCCTGTTAAGCCTGTAATGTATTAATAAGGGCAGCAGGGGTATTTTGCAGGACTTGAAGCAAATCAAAACTGTAGAGGAAAAAAAAAACAGGAACAAGAACTTTAAATTAGTGAGCCAGGGCAGACTAATACACTAGTCGCCTTCTGCTTCAAGCCGCGCTTCTTGTGTCCCACCTGCAAACGGCCAGTCTAATACATTCTCTGGGACATTCTTTGGACCAGGACGCATCGTACATGAAAACAACATCAAAATCATCTCAATCCCACTCCGTCCTATCAAATATGGTTGGTTTCTGAAGGTGGCTACTGACTCGGCATTGAATGATACGCATGTGTGTATTCATAAAGATTCCTAGACCTAAACTTCAAACCGCACATGGCGCTAGCATATAATGCAGAGTACTTCGGTCGAATCCAAACCTCAATACTAGACCATATGTCAATCCAATAGCTACTTGATCATCTTTCGTATTGTAGCATGCTAGCTGCATATCTGATGATAGCCGAAGAAATGGCATCACTCCATAACATATCCACTGGTCCTTCACAATAAAACTCTGTAAAGAATATGGACTCCTATCGTGGTCTTCTGTCGCAGTACCTTCAAGCCTGATTTGTTCAGTACCTGTTATAAGGTATAGGTTATCTTCAGAGTATCTGAGGTCGTGCACTGGTTCCGATGTTTTGATCTCTTTCTGTGATCGGAGTGTGAAAGGACTAGGCATATTTTGGCCTAGAAATTTTAAAGCCTTAAAAGACTTTATATTATCCCAAAGCTTGACGGTGTTATCCCCAGAGCCTGATGCGATCTGTTTGCCATCTGGAGAAAACGCCACAGTGTCAACCATATCTGAGTGGCCTTCTAGTGTCTGTATGAGAGAAGCCCAGGTGCTCTCAGTCCTGGGAAAACTTTTGAAATATTGTGGAATTTTGCCCAGGTTTCCTGTCCTCACGATGCTTGTTTCAGGGCTGAAGATAAGAGCAGAGCTATAGATCTGTAACGGCCAACGAGCCATATTATAGTAATGTCGTAACAGAAAACGTGTAGCGTCTTGCATAAGTGCCAATGCCGAAGAATCTCCCTTTGACGGACTGTCAGCAAAGAACGTGGAAACCAAGGAACATCAAATACTTACCTTGGTCATATCTCGTAGGGCTTTGATCGAATCAACGGCCTTGGAGAACCTGCCTAATAGGCTGAAGCATTCCAGCCATTCCAAAAACATGCTGTGTAGGAATACTCCAACTATTCCTTCCTCAATAAGTCTGCTTTGTGCTATGACCTTCGGCGGGAACTTCTGGAGATGTTGTACCCAGAAGGTTGTCGCATAGTCAAGGGAAGATAGTAGAACGCTTTTCCTCTCACTTTTCAGTGATTTTGCAAACTTGTTAGTCGAATCAGGTTGCGGTAGCTCTATAAGATTAACTTTCAGCTGTTCACACAAGTAAGATAGACAGCCAAGAACAATATCATAATGTCCATAGTGACCATGCGAGTCAAGTATAGCCAATTCGTTCTCCCCCGCTAGATAATCTCGAGCGGATTGATGGACGAATTCAATGGTGTTTCCCTGCATTCTGACGAAAGATGCACAGTGATTAACTAACAACTTGATTGTATCATCTCCACTGGATAGACCAGTCACGCTGGGAACTTCTTCTATTTTCAGAGGTCGGTATGCCAGCAACATTCCCTTAAGGAGCCTCATGTGATTATGGACATCATTTGGCTGGCCTTCACGCAACTGATTCAGAATTCGATCGTAGAAAGGGTGTAGTCCTGGCGGCAAATCTTGAACAGTGGCCAAGGCTTCATCCGCGCAGATATCTTCAAGCCTCTTGCATACCAGGCTTACCCATAGAAAGATGCCTTCGGCTTTCGCAGAAAGCCCGGTTTTTAGTTTTCTCCTGAGTGCCTCTCCGTATCTTTTTTGAAGGTTGAGCTCATCAATTTTGTATGAGACGTAAGTCTACACAGATTGAGAGATATAATCGAAGTTAAGCTCTAGACTAACTTGCATCTGCTCATGCCCAGCTAGTAATGTGCGCTCTGCAGCTTCTAATGGTCGGCTTGTCAGGAGCCATTTGATTTTAGAGGGTTGATCAAGACCATTTCGGACGATAAGTTTCAAGAAGTCGGCCATGCCGCTATCTTGGCACTCATCAAGGGCATCCACAATGACATATATCCTTGAGCAGTCACACCGGTCCAACATCTCCCAAAGGATGTCCCACAAAGCTCGCCATGAGTTAACGTCCTCACGGAAACGGTCGTTCTTAGGGTCCCATCGAAGTCGTAAAGAATCTTTCAGTTCAATTCGTTGGCTTATCAATCTTAGAATCAGGCCTTTGATGACCGATTCGAGGGTACTCAGCTCATTGTAGGCGTTTTGGCAAAAGAAATATGTCACCACAGTAGATATATCTTGTTTCTGTGAGAGCCCTTCTATGAGACCGATCGACATCATTGTTTTCCCTTTCCCAGCACCGCCCTTAATCCAGAGCAGACATACGTCGTTCCCATTTTGCCAACTGCGATACTGCGGGTCCTGGAGAACCCATTCGAACGATTGACGAAGTAGTTTGTCCTTGACCTCCTTTAAGCGGGTTTTAATGGCTAGGGAGTCTGGGCAGCGTAGGTTTTGGATGCAAATTCGGTCGATGTCTTCAGTTATATATGCTTCATGAATGGAAAAGTGTTACTTTAAATCCAGACTCGTCGAGACGTGATTAAACCTACCCCGGTGGAACTCCGCTGTGAACGGCCCATGGTGGATCCCAATCTGAACTCCATCGTTTCTACCACCGAATATAGCCGATGTCATGATCCCGAGTTGCCTCCATTGGAGTTGCCAGTCACTCAGCTGAGTGAGGGGCATCTCTGCAGCTTCGCTGTCAGGTGACCAGAACGCGCCAAGACGCCGGTTTCTTGCTGACCATCATGGAAATCCAGTCTTAGAGGCATACCTTTCAAGCATTAAATGTAAAAAGGAGGATGATCGAAGGGATATCAAATAAACAGGCATTTAAATGTTTCTTTAGTGTAAGTGGTATACTAACGAAAACCTAGTATCCTACGGATAACACCTAGGCCGATAATATGGTTTCAACGCTTCAACAATTGCGCTTAGTATGCCATAGTATCAACAATGTGACAGCTACGGGGTACTTGGAAATGGGCCAATCAGGGCAACGGAATCAAAAAGGGGAGATTGATATTGAATTGAGTGATTGAATGATTGATTGATTGAGGAACATGAAATGAGGGTGTTCATGGGGGTTGAAATACCCATGAGCTTACACGGTAACGGGGATCCTCGGATGTTACAAATCCGGGATGCCCAATTGCAACATATTTGTGTTGGGCAGACATACTTTAGTGTTATCTTATGCATGCAGGTAGATGTCACTCTGCATGTTGCATGTTGTGATAAGAGCGCCGATCCATTCGGGTTGACACATAGCATCCCCGTATCCTTTGTTAGGCCTAAGCTGACAGACCATTAAGAGCCTAGATACGTATAGTGCTGCAGAAGCAAGTAATTATCACTTTTTGATAAGCGTTGCATGCCCAGCCGGTGATTTTCCTTTAAGCCCTCGACTTCGTTTCTTTGATTCTGATCGATGCATAGGACCAGCAAACTACCAAAATCTCCATATATCAGCTATAGATAAGTACTTTGATTTCTGGAATCTTATGGCTTATGATTACTCTCGCGGCTGGGACACCACTGCGGGCCATAACGCTAATATTGTAAGGATACTCTATAAGTCAGGATAGAGGCCTGTCAATCAGGTAGGAGAAAGGGACCAAGTCAATTGTTCAGAAAGGTCAAAGACTGTTTCTTGAGGAGTGTAAAACCTATCTAACCTGGATCAATTTATATACAGTCATATCGCTCAAAACAGGAAGGAGATGTATCCTTGGTGGGGGAATAGGAGTGGGGGAAATACGAGGCTTGTGTAACCTCTACAGGGCCTTCCTTACAGGGGTCCGTACACGTACTGGCAGCGAAGCCCCAGTGAACCTCCACCGAAAGCTTGGCGGCTTACCAGGGTCCTGGTATCCTGAGGCACCGGCATTTGTGGATAACCTCATGTCAGGTATATTGTAACAAGTTCTAATTGATTGTATCTTTTCGGGTGTACAAGATCTATTTCTAAGACCTTTGTGATAATGCATGAATAAGGTAGTGGTGTAGAAAATTCAATGGCGATGGGACTTAGCCAAGTTTTAATGGAACTTGGCTAAATCAGAATTCTGCCTGTGAAGTCAGAATTATAATTGTGCATTGGCGAATGGCGTCTATACACCGCCGTACCGTGTGGCTTGCAGTTTTCCACGTAGTGCCATGCATATATTGGAATTTAGTGGTAGGGCTTACAAGATCTGTCTCTACATTAGGACAAGTCAGAATCGAGAATTTGTCTTCATTGCAATGCTACAGTATCGACTTTTCCCATGGATTGCCTACATAATGAACCCAAAGGTGGGGCGTGCAGGTCTTGGCTTCTTCAAGCGCCGGAGCGACACTTGAATACTGGTCCATCAAGAGATCCACCATTTTGAACACCTTACTACCACCTTAAATAGAGACTAAGTCTTCTTAGCTTATAACAGCTTATACTTGACGACTGGTTCTCTAAGTACCCCAAATCTGGAGTTTGTAGCTTCCCGGGAAGGGTAGAAAGAATGAAGTGTAAAATATGAAATGGGAATAAACTAAAACAAGAAAAGTGGGGCCATAAAAAATAAATCGCGTCGACCCCATCCGACGAACCCCCATAGGATAGGCTCATTGTCGGCCGGTTGGGATTTGTGATTTAAAATACATGACTGTTGGTCAAGATGCAGAACACAATCATTGATAGCGTGACTTCCTGCTGCAGTCGCTTATTGCAATCTAGCAGTGGTAGAAGCGGTTAGTGACCTCGACCAATCTCAACTCTTTATCCACGCCGTATATCTGCATGGCCAACGTTGCTCGAGCCTCTACAGTTGGGCTCGTTAACCATTCCTTCGCCAGTGCATCTTCAGCAGGAATAATCTTTTCCAGCTCCTCCCGGGCGGCTCTCCATCCCATTATGCCCAACTTCAGCTTTAAAACCATGGAGGCCACATGCGTGTGAATGACTGTATGTATGTATTTGTATACCTTTGCTCGAGAATCCATGCTCGTGAGAAACTGCGCCGTGTCGATATCCAGGGAGCATGCTTTTGCAAACGACTCCCTATGCACTCTAAAGGAGGTAAAATCGCGAATATAGAACCCTCGGATCGCACGTGTTTTTGGGTGCAGCCGTATGAGGAGATTCTGTGCATGAGCCTGCAGCGCAAAGCCGTAAATAAAAACAGACGGTAAAACGGCTCGGAAGAGATGGCGACAGAATTCTCGAAGCAGGTCGAGCTTTTCCTCATGCGATGCCGGGGCCCAGACGAGATGCAGATGCTCCATCAGCGCAACACACACAATGAGCTTGTCTCCAGTCTCGGATTCAACCGATTCCAGGCTCTGGCGTAAGACACAGCCTAAGTGCGGGCTAGAGGATGCTGCGGCGCCATACTCACGCAGCGCCGTTAGGGAGCCGCCAAACGACGCGACAGCCTGCTCTACCAGGCGCAGAACAGGCTCAATCCGGTATCCTATGGTAACGGACCACGGCTTGATCGTGCGAACGTTGGACGTAATTTTCAAGGCAAGCGGTACCTTGACGCAGAAATCGGCACCAGCGACTGACATGGTCCTCACAGAGCTCTGAGAACGGGCCGTGACGGTCTTATTCAGGAGTTCGGCCTGTGGAAATATTTCCATAACGCGGGACAGTTGTAGCTGATGAACTGGGAAGACGATGCTCCCGTCGTCGATGATGTCTTTTTCGAGCCCGGTCGGGAAGAGAAGTTGTTGGATCCTTTCCTTGTAGTCTCCAACAATGGTAACGCCGTCGCTCGGCAGCCTGACGAAGTAGAGCTTTGCGTCTAGGAAATGTCCTACTTCGGGATACCTGCACTTGTGCCAAGGGTGCAAGCCATGCGCTTCAATCAGCGCTTGCTCCCAGTCGATGGCAGGAGAATCGAATGATAGAGAAAGTTGGCGACAGTATGCAAGCTCCATGTTGGCAACAGAGTTGTCAAATTCTCGGCTTACTTTGTCCAGGAGGCTTTCGTCGATGTTCCTCCATTTTCCAATGATGCGTATCAGTTCTGCACCGTCTGCAACAGCCATGCCCTTGTAAGTGACGACTTGGGGCACCTCGGATGCATCTAGGACGTCTTGAAATGGAAATGGCTGCTGAAGATGGATGAGAACTGGCTCGCCTGCGTTTGGGTACGAGAGAGTAATGTAGTTGGCCGCGAACGAGACAGTTACGAATCGTTCGTTGATAAGGCACGCAGCCACCCTCGCAAGGGACGCATGCTCGGCCTTTCTCCTCTCTGTTGTCTTCTGCATGAATGAGAAGAAATTGTCAAGATATGCAGCGAAAGTTGCTTGACTCACAGAAGCTGGGGCGGCAATGGGTGCCACTCTTCTTAAGAGAAGATAAATTGGCTAGTGTGGCAATGCACGCTAAGTCAAGGGAAGCTACTGATCAGCAAAGCCCCCGTCTGCTCTGCCCTGTCTCGGATCGTTGTTACATATAATCGGTCCAAATTCCAGCAACAAAACCCCAACCCAAAAAAAAAAAAAAAAAAAAAGGGCCAGCCTCAAATGCATCCTGAAAAAGCGACAACAATCAATCGCCCCCTGTCAAGTATATTGAAACTGAAGTAGAAGAGCTCCGGACATGTTGGGCGGCCCGAGGGTCTGCGAAGAGCCAAGTTGCAGGATGTACGATAATATATGCCAGAACGCGCCATCTGCACGAAAGTTGACATCGCGTGAGGCCAACGCTGCTGGTACAGTGAAATTTTTTTGGTTTCCAATGAACAGCGCAGAGCTGGCTGTTTTTGCCCGCTTCCAGCCAGAAGAGAGTTGCGCAAAAAGCAAGCAAAGTGGGAGGAGCTGCCGGCAGGCAGGCGCCAGACCTCGTCAGGGGTAACAGGGTTTACGTAGGTGATATGTAGGAAGGATGGCAGACAATTGGCTCCACAGGGACCACAGTTAGCATCGTGTTAATTGACGAGAATTATCTTAATGAGCTACGGTGCAACTCCCACATTTGTTGCACTACTGGGCGTGCATAACTCCACTCGCACCGGACGAAATGCATACAGGGGCGTTAGCGAGATGAGTGACTCAGCGGTCCACAAGATGTATCTCTGTGCCCACTTTTCAGTCGCTGGCAGCCGTTCTGCCCACTGATTGCGCTGACTGCAGCACAGTTGAATTTATTGTGCCGTTTCCTACAAAAATAAGCAATCTTTCCGGACCCGAAAATGAAATACGAACTGTGGGTCCCATCCCTTCTTACATATCAGGCGGGATACATACACGGTACTGTGATGGAAATAGTCTCCTTGAAATGTAACTGTACAGTAGGGGCAGTGTACGGACCGGATAATACTATAAATTAAGTGCGAGCGATCTCGGTCCGGCTCGGGGTGGACGTACCTGCAGCTGTGGAATCTCTCCTACCGGCCTCGACCTCTGATATCAGACAATTTACGCATCCTAAACTTTAAGTACGCAGCGTATTGAGTCAGATCGGCAAAGGTGAGTTAAATATCTAAGCGGAATGTCAAAACGGATCCACTCCGATCAAAACCGAGATCTATACGGATTACCACGCAAAAGATCTACGAAGAGGGCTTATAGGCGGTCTCTACTCATCCTATACCGGTAGGAGCAAGTATGTATTTCTCAGTGTACTAGCGTATTACAACTATTCAATAGCGTGTTTAATCTCGGTTGCCCACCGTCTGGGAATTGAGTTCCGTTGTTCAACCCTAACGAAGCAATATTCCGCCAAGCAAAAATAGCCTGCAAACACGACCTAACGGAGCTGACAACACGAAAATCCTTAATCACATAGGGAGATTGCGATCCTCCGAGCCGTCAGAATTAGGTCTTTGGTAGTTGCACTATTAGGTTATGTATTTATGACCAAAGTGCATGAGCGGTTCGTTGGCATGGCTGGGACCAATGTTACGCGGTGGAGATCTGGCGATAGAGGCATACGCGAAGCTAGCAGCAATACACCGTAGTTCCTTCCCACTTACGATTAATCGATGCTACTCTGGATTCTGGGTTACCAATGAATGTGGGTTCGTAGGGGCAGATCGATCTCGGACTCCTCGGGACCCACTTCAACATTTCATTGAATCATGTACGGAGTATGGCGTACTCCGTAGGACCCGCTACTAGAAATAAAGCCGAATAAAGTAATTATCTTTTCTTGGCAGGGTACTGTGAGGCACTACTTCACTGTAGTGCTTAAGGCTTTCAACCTCTCCGCAGTTGACGGGCGTTACTGGTGATCTGGATAGAGGCCTTCTCGTAGCGTACCAGTGCCCAGTGCTCGCTAGTACGTTTCTTCTGCCTCCGTCAACTTCTCCTCGCCAGAGTAGAAGGCTCCTAACCCGTGGAATGCACCCTATATCGCAACATTATAACCTTCCCAATTCCCACGACGTACAGTACATCACTCGCATGTGGAAAAAGCCGTTGCTGGAGCTGGGAATTATTTCTCACACTTGAACTAGGGACAGTGCACCCAACAGATACCGAGCAAGTTCATCGAGCTAGATCAAATCCACATTCTTGTCCGTGCTGGCAGGGTGAATGCACCAGTCTTGCACTACTGGGCGCATAGAATAGCTTCCCTCTTGTTCCATAGTCTCCACTTGAGAAAACCCGAGGGTTTTGACAACGATTTGGAACGTGAGCCCGTTCGATAGAGTCCTTTCGAGCCAAATTCGAGCCATGACAGCCGGATTTACAAACTCGTACCAGATATCTCGATTATCTAAATGAGCAAGTAACAGGAGCAGCTTCGCTGCGTTCGCGTCCTGCTTCTGTATCTCCTGAAATGAGATCATCCATGTTTGTAGCATGTTGTCTTTCTATTAGGAAAATGAATAGAATTTCAATATTTTGAAATAGGTCAGCCAATCTCGAAATAACTTCCCTAATACCCGGCGGGTACAGTAGACCCGAATTACCATACAAAATCATAGGGAAATGGCACGGACGCTAAATAATATCTTCTCCTCTACGTAGACAGTCCCGACAAAAAGCCACCCACGTGCGGTTCCCTATACTCCACGCGGTCAGACCAGAAGACTAACTAACAGCATCTTTAGTACTATAGTGCATAGGCCTAGACTAAGCAAATCCCTACAAGGTCACACACTGTACTAGGGTTTGTCTCTTCAACCAAAATAGGAATGAACTCATCAGCGTACTGTTCAATGAATGTATCGCATCTTGGTTTATCCTTCCGCGGAACTAATTTGCAAACGGATTCCAGAGCTCCTATGGTAGCCTCCTCGTCACGTTTGTCTTTTAGTTCGCTATTCACTATCCCAATCACCTGCTTACAGAGATCACACTCAAGATCCCGTCGCAGCAAAGGTTTTTTGGCACCGACAATAGCTGAAGATTACGCGAAAACTTTCGTTAGCATTCGAACGGGGAGGAACACATTTGGTTCATATACCAAAGGGTAAGAAACAAAACTCACAATAGGCAATTCTGATTAAACTGTGTTGACATTCCACTGTTCAACCTGTTCGCTGCCGACCCACCTCTATTATACTTTCGTCTCTCTTCCATAATCGTGGTATTCGATCGACCGTGTACGTGTTGGAAATAGATTGTGGGTCACGTGGCCGCCAAGCGGCGGAGCGGCCCCACTCGTAGCTATCTAGACCTCTTCGCCCTTAGCAATTTCATCCTCCTTACACTCTCGTCAACCTTCCAGTGTGCACTGTAGCCTATCTTCAACAGTACGAACGCTTCGTGCACCCCCAGGATTTATGCCGACCGTGTAAATCCGATAATTCCTATATACAAGCATATTTCATCCGTTTTAACAATATTTAGACCTAATTCATTATCCATGTTAGTGTATATACCAAAACAGTACGTTATAACAGTGAAAATGACTATCAATCATCATTTTATTCGGCCGAAGAAGGAAAGTCTTGGCAGAATTATAAAATTGTGGGAGACGGCCCGCGGGGGGAAGTCCTAGAGACTATCAGAAAAGCCCAAAGACCGGATGGTCCGGTCCCGGTCCTTGCCGAGGTCTAAACTGGAGCAGCACGGCTTTCATTCTTCTCGGTCTTTGGTCTTCGACCTGGCCTCGATCTTCTCTGGGATTTTTTCTATCCTCATGACCGCGTGCAAGGGTTGCCAGTTACATGTACTTCTTCCCATAATTCAATACAAAAGCAGGTGCGCGCTGAAATCCCGCAACATCAACGACAGTGCCACTAGGCCGGTCAAGAAAGAAACACGCAAGCCTTGCTATCTTTCCAGAAGGCTACGGACGTAGTCTAGATTGGTCGCTTGCAAGAACGGATCGTTTTCATATCTTGTCGGACGTGTTTAGGCTTACCACCTTTTCTCAAAAGCAACTCCTGAATGTCATGAAGGAGAAAATACTTATCGAAACGGACCGGTTGTCGCTCAGTGATAAGAACCCGACCTTAACCAACTTGCTATATCTTCGAGATATCTCCAAGATCAGCTAGGCACTGCTTCAAACATACTTCGGTTCACAGACAACCAGACGTGTATCCTCCAAAATAGTCGTGATCTAAATCGATTGATCAAAGAAGTATGACCTATTGCACCCTGGCTGAATGCACAGTATATTTTAAGATTTGCACTCGCAAGCGGAATAACTGCATAAGAAGTGTAATCAAGGGATAACAGTTATCGGTAACAAATGTATGCTAGCAGAGTCACAACGCGCTGTTCAACACGCAAAGTTGGTCACTAACCTTACAATCGTTGCAATTGTGTACCTGCCGTTTAAATTTACGGCTGGATTCCTCGGCATGAATTTCAAAGAGTTAGGAAATGGTTCCATTTCCTTATGGATATTCCTCCCCGCGTCTTTACCGCTGATGTTTATCACTATGACTGTTTTCATTTCAGATGAGCGGAAGATAAAGTCTTTCTTGCGGGTATTAGGTTTTGCAGAAGAGGAGGATACATAGGGATCTAATTAAGTACTTCACTTGAAAACCATTGTCAATTTTTGAGATAATTACAATAACTTTTAGATAATAAGAACACAAAATACTCAATATGAAGCCAAGCTTTTTTGTTGCACCCTTTTTGAGGTTAATTCGCTTTCCCCTTGTAGGATGCCTCACCTGATCGAATTGATATTTTCCCCTTCACTTTCTGACCTTGCGCTGAGCCCACTCCCTCTTAATCTTCTTCTCACGCTCTGGGAACAACGATTCCCGTGGTTTTGGAGGAGGTAATTTTGCGCGCTGTGCTACCGCTTCCGACGGCGTATTGACTATCACTAGAACACTAAGGGTTGTATGACCTGCAGTCGGTGTGACGGAGATTGAGTATCCAAACGAGCTTGGGTATTTGAACGGTTGTGAAGTCAGGTCAGGGCCCCATGTTCCATTCTGGGCTGGTTGATAATAGGGTGCAGGGCCTATCTCGAACAACTGGAAGGGTACCTGAAGGGTGATACCAATGTAATGCTGTCCGTCGGGAGTTGAGAAGAGAATATAGCCATCCATGGGCCCAACGTCAACGCTGTTCAGGATTTGGGTGAATGATAACGACTGGGTGCCGCCGCTAGTCAAGTCTCCACTTGGTTGAGTGACAAGGTACCCAAACCCTTCTTGCAGGTCGGCACCCCAGTAGATCAGCGGAAAAGTGTCCTCCGTGTAATTTTCGAAAATGATGCTATACGAGGCGCCGTCAGCGGGTGCAAGAATAGAATTCCGTGCCCCTGGAATGCTGCGTTCAAGCATGTTTGCCATCGTCACGTTATCTCTTTTCTGTTCAAGTAAGCACATGTTAACAGATCCTTCTCCACCTTCGCAAGTGTGTGTCATCTCTTAGACATTAGTAACATACACTTTGATCCCGTCTTATTGCAGCTGCAAAGAAGCCCAGCAGAATGTCTGCGAATTCTGGAAGAACTTCCTCAACGGTCTCTCCCCCAAAGGATTCTGCTGATATTGGGACAGTTTGTCCAGGGAGCAGCATGGAGTCAGGCCAGGTAAATGATATATTCATTATCTCTTGGGCGGGGTATTCCTGTATCTGATCAGGAAAGAACGTTGAGAAGTTGTCCATCATGCCCTGGATATCATTGTCCTTCATCAGTTGCCCAAGTTGTTGTACTGCCTGTGCTTGTTGTTCTTCGGTGGCCCCCGCAAAAGAGAATCTCGGAAACGGAGGTTGCACATTGGCCAGTGTTTGCATATACCATTGTTCATCTTGATAGAAGATAACGTTTGTTACTGGCATCTTGACGATTCAAGTAAGATAAGATAAGAGTTAAGCGAGTTGCTGAGGAATGAGTTGTAACAAACGTGCTTGAAGCTTTTATATTAAGTCCAAACCCTGATGAAGAATATAATCTTTTAGTGTCAACTTTTGTGAAAACCAATCGGATGATTTGGAACCGTTATTCTGATGGAGTTTCAACACCAAATGCTTGCCCGCTTAGTGTCAAATGATGACCTGGAGCCTGGTTACGTCGTACAGGCGGTCACGTAACCATGTCTCGATCAAAGCCTATTGACACAGCTTTGTACCATCTACTGCCTTAACAGTGTGACTTACACAGCTCATGCAGATGATGATACCTACTGGCCAGAACCGTCCGATATATCCCCTCACTGACGGTTACGGAGTACTTTTGTCGTGAATGCACGCAATGTTAACTGGCCTTTACCGGACCCGGAATGAATAGTTGATGAAAGTTATTTACTCGTATAAGCGCAGGAGCCTAGGCCTAGAAAAAAACAGGTTTGAACTCCTATTGTCACCAGTCTAGTGTGGCCGATATACTGCAACCGTATTGGAACGGATCGGGATTTCTGTGTGGTGACACTCATTAAGCCGCTCGCAGAGATAGAGAGACATCATTGCTATAGCCCGGATCACCGACAATGTGGACGACTGCATCTAGACTACTCAACCCGAGCAGCTCACGTCTGGCCAAGGATAGAATCTAATTAGGTTTATCTGTTAGCTTAACCTAGCGTGAACCCGCCGTAAATAGTAGACTGCTGAATGGTGCGGGTCCGTTCTAGGTCTCGTAAAACCAGAAGCCTCAGGTCTTGGTAACAGCTCTCGAACCCGGTGACAGTATTCGACGACAAGCCGTTTTTCCCACTATGGTCAGCATTTTATGGACCAGCGCAGTATTTCCCTCATCCAACGCAGTTGGGACCAACAAGTACTATCTTGAACTCGGGATCGAGGGTTTCTGTTTAATTTGGTCAGGAGGGGATCGCGATTGACAAAGCCTGGGTCGTGCGGGATTAACACAGGTGAAAGAGCCTTGTGACTGAGTTCCGGTTGCTATGGGAAGGGAAGTCGCTGGTGGTCATTCGATTTGTACCTATTTTTGATGGACACAGGGAACGATAGATTGGGCCCAGGTTGGTCCCTACCTAGGACCCCGAATGTGTGCTGCGAAACAACGTAGAAGGCGTAGTCGAACAAGCACCGTACACGATGTTTGGGTTCATGAGCAGAGGAGAGTGCCGGTCCCCCAAGTCATCCTCAGACCCAGTATAGGATGACACCTTGCGAGAAAGGGCGTGGACACTCATAAGACGGGCATTGAAGGTCTAGGCGTATTTGTCATGTCAGCTATTTTACGTTTCTATTCTTATGCATAGGGGTGATATGGTGCAAGCACGACCTGGCCTAGATAAGTTTCAACGTAACCTTGGCGTTAAGGGTTTAGACAGATTTTCTGAATTAAAAAAGGATGCTAATTTCGACAATATCCGTAGCAGGATATCATAAAGTGATCTACTGGTCGTAATAGGACTGGGTTTGGTTCGGGGTCGGCCTTGACGGAGAGAAGTGTATTCCCTGGAACTAAAGTGGACCTTCCCTTCGTTTCACGCAAAGGCTCTTTCTGTTTTACAGAAGCGTACGTACGTCAACGTTAATTGGAACCCATCCTCTCACTAAATTCGTTCCAAGGTATTCCATGAGCAACTACCATAACCATCTTTTGTCATTCTGTAGCTTATGCGGAAAGTAATAGTTCTGGGCCTAGAGTCCAGACCGCAAAAAGCAATTGAATTGGCCTCGGACTTACCCCATGACCTTGCCATGGGTACCCTAAGCCGCCACCAACGGCCCGCCCAAAGCCACCCATGGGCGGTGGGGAGGTCTAAATACTGTGCGTTCTTCGACACTTGGAAAGAAAAACAAGTCTCCGCATATTGCAATAGGAGTGTTTTCGGCATTTTGGGGTTCTGGGCCAAGTCATTATGGGCATCTGTTCTCAGTACATACGACTTACTATAGGCTGATCAGAGTTTGCCAACTAGCACCAAAGTCTTCGTAGTTGGACGTGTAATGCAGCTTGTAAGCAAAGTGTCAGTGGAAAATGGATTGAGCTGCTGTTGCTGTTGCTGTTTCTGACCGCTCGTTCTTTGAGTGTGGTCACGGGCTGAGTCGAATGATTAGAATACCGGTTGGAGGTCTTCCGAGAAGCAACGGGCGAATTTCGGGACTGCTTAATTAATTTGCCAGCTTTTCTTTGCCAGCCAAGTCCGAAATTAGTGAGCTTTGTATCAAAGTGAACCATGTTCACGAGAAAGAACTAGAAGAGGAAAATGTGACGGCATATTCTTCTCGAAGCACAAAGCAAACAACTAGGAGATCATAACCATGGGATATACGTGCCCTCCGGCCTACTTCCGACCTCTCACACCGCTTCGCGCTGTTTTCGGGCGGGTACCAGACGGCACGGATACTGGAATTTGGAGAGTCCTAAAAGTATTGGAACCATCGGGGGTCTAGGCTCGTACAGCTTTGGAAGGAAGGCAATTACTTTTATGCCAATTTAGGAATAAAGTTTACCCCAGCACTGTCTGACGTTACGAAAATCTCATACGTAACTCCCTGCCAAACTAGGATCATTGTGTTTTGGCTTCCATTTCCGGCGCTCGACGAACTTGCTTATGACAGCTGGATCGCTCCAGTGCATATTTAAATCTAGGATATAGGGATACGTATCTGCCGAGTTGGAATACCAGATACATGAATCTAGCAAGAGTATTTTTTTTTCGCGTTACCTGTAATCGCATCACTGAACAGAACCCAAAATGCGGTGCCGTCAGATACTGCTTCTCTGCGGTCTGTTGACCGGTCCCAGCCTGGCAGTCTACACAAGGAATCTATGACCTAGTCCAACGTCGGATGCCGCAACGTGCAGATAGTTTCCAATTCTCGCTGGTAAATTCCACCGACCAACTACTTGATCATTATGTCGTATCCACATTGCATAATGGCACGGTGTCTGTGCATGGAATTCACTCATTGCTTTGTTGAAGCTCAGCGACATTGAAGACCTTGTACCTATCCCGAAGTTGCTGCTCTTCATCCCCACCGTCCACTGGTGTATCGGAACAAGTCCTCATGATCAGATGTTCTCCTTCTCGCTTTTAAGGAAGATGTGATGATTGCACGGACGCCAAGATTGCCACGATGGGTAGGGTGGGTTGCGATTATTTATACTGGTAGTCCTCGAGCAGGGTAACGCGGTGACAAAATATCTTAAGAGGCGTTCCTGCGCCGCCATCGAAAGATTGTGAGGGTAAGGTATCCTTTGTCGATTCTCATCGCTGGTACTTGGCTGTGATAATAGATCCACGAAATCAAGGGTAAGGGGCTCGGCGCAGTCGCCCCTCGATTCCTTGTCGTGATCGGAATTCACAGCAGATCAAACGAAATCTCCTGAGTTATGAAATCTGACGACGGTGAAGATTCACTGAAATTTGGCTATGAGGAGTTATAGAAGGAGAAAATGCTATGGTGTGGGGGCAGAAATATTCATGAGGCTAAGGTTCCAAGTTTAGATGCAAGCACGATCCGCCCCTGCGGGTAGGAGCCAGCCACCCGCAAGAACACGCACAAGATAGAGGGTATACAATCCCAGTACCGATGAATTCAAGACTTTAAGAACTAGTCTTATCAGGCGAGTTCATATTTTCTATCCATTCTATATTATTATGTCCGACAATTTGTCACCTGCATGAATGCGACCCGAAATCGTGCGAGACCAGTCTATATATGTACAGCTCTAAACTCGAATGACAAGGCGCTTATGAATCATTGCCCCATGCAATCCTGTCGTAATCAACAATTTGTTCATCGGACTAGGGTATATTAGCAAGAACATATCAGATAGCGATATTCTTCTGTCTCAACACCAATAGCAGCGCTAGTGTTATGGTAACAATGACAAACACTGGAAGTACTGTTAGCGCATTCTGAAATTTGATCTGAGATTCTGGTCTGGGGACGTACAAAGAAGCACCATGTAACTTTCTCGGAAAAGCGTGTTGACAGTTCCACGCATCGGCTCTGGAAGAGACCTCGAATAGTCCACACTGTCCAGGATATGTTGAATTTTCTATCGCCCTGTCAGCGACACGGGATATCACCCCAAACCAGAGTTTTTCTCACCTTCAGATCCTCAGGACTCTCTCCAATCTTCGCCTCAAGCTTCTCCTTGAAGACAAGGTGTTGCAGAACCGTAGTCACTGTGATTCCAATCATAGTACCCGCTTGTTGGAAAAGATAATAAGATGTAATAGAAGTGGCTGCAAATGCTTCTGGTGTGCTGGCACTCAAGCCGACGAATTGAGCAGACAGGACCATTCCAAGGCCCCATGAAAAGAAGAATGAGTAGAATAATTCCCACATTTTCTGTTCGAAGAGTGACCAGCGAGGAAGGATTAAGGCGAAACTTAAGAGGGCTGTTATGAGGCCGATTATTGCCCATACTCTGTGCTTTCCGCTTCTGTTGGTATATTGTCAGTATGAAGATAGAAAAGAAAATGGCGGAGTCGCTATCACGATACATACCTTTTCACAAGCATGCCAGTTAAGACACTGCCGATGGCGGCACCAACTGCAGTGGGCCCTAGACATAGCCCAGTCTCTATCGTCGTCAAGCCGTGCACTCGGGCGAAATAGGGCGCAATACTTGCAACAAACTGCAAAAGATTAGCTCCACAGAACACCCCTTCAAAGTGGGACTTGACAAAAGACGAATGCATACACTGTAATTTCCCATCTGCATGAAAAAGGTAGTACCCCAAAGAAGTCCAACTTGGGTGGTTTTGAGGAGATGGAGTGGAATCACAGGGTTCTTAGCCCAGAAAACCTCAATAGAAATAAATGTCGCAGTAAAGACGGCAAATCCAACTCCAAGCCCAGTCAAAAGGCCAACGTGTTTCTTCGCCGAGTCAATATCCTCGAGCATCTGAACGAGTATAACAAAGCAGAGAATAGCGCAGCTAAGCGTGATGATTCCTGGAATGTCAAGCGGTGGACGTGGAGCCTTGGAAGTCTCCTCTGGTTTTTCGATGTTGCTTTCCTCATCGCTTGATGTTTCGTGTGTTGGGTTGGTGTTCTTTGGTCGTAATTTGAAGAAAACGACAATTGCACAAATGACCACGAAAGGGATGTGTACTAGGAATGACCTAGACCGGCAGTAGATGGTTAATATTAATTTATCTTAATCTTCGGTAGGTCTTGCCACTCACCATCTCCATCCGATAGTTCCGGCGAGAATTGCGCCTAGCGGCCCTCCACTGACGGCTCCTACCAACATAACCACCATAAGGTGGCTTCTATACACGGCAACTTCACGTATGGATGCAATATCTAACTCCCGGAAAGAAAGGTTAGATCTGAATATCTTAAAAACAGGGAGCAGACATACCATTGAGTGCCACCGAAGCCAGGTCCAGCATACCCGAAGCGCCAGCGCCCACAAAGAATCGCCCGGCGACGACTGCAAAAAATTCATGTGGTGTACCTCTAGTCAAGTTAGATCTCGACAGCTCATATATTAGAAAGGCTCAATTCCATACGATACAATGCATCCCACGGTGTATAATGCATAAGCAATTAGGAAAGTTTTTCGTTGACCGAGAACTTCATAGACTCGGCCATATATCGGTAAGGCCATGGAATAGCCCAGATTATACCCGACAAAAAGCCATGACGAAGATGAGCCTTTATTAAAAGACTCGGCTATCTGGCGGGACGTAGTGAGAACGAAGAATTCGTCAGATATGCCGAGAAATGTGCCTATCCACATGAGAGTCGTCTCGTTAATATGGTTTTAAGAGATGACCGAAATCAGAGCTGAAGCTCTTTTCACGAAGAACGTACCAAAATACAAAACAGCCAAGAGTAGTTTACTCTTCTTTACAAGCTTCACTTCCTCATGGTTAACGACAGTCCCCGATTCCGACGAGGCATCAAACGAAGCCTCAGCCTCATTCTCATGGGCGCCCATGATATCAACCAACCGAATAGACGTCGCCGAAAGATTAACGAACAATCGGATTCGGAACACCAAAAAATGCGATAGAGAAAATTATTTCAACCGCATTGGGTCAAGCAGAAAAGCTCTCTTGATAAATGAAGTGAAGCGAAAATTGCGTGCACCTGACGAAACCGGCTGCTTTCGGAAATGGCCCATCCCTACGGTTAGCATGGTAGATACCGCATGTCTTTGAATCCACGCCATCAAACCACGTACGCACCACGCTGGCCAGTAACACACAAAATACCTGACGATGTAACCTGTAAATCAACATTCCCATAAGATCGCAGGAGATTCTTGGTTATGGGGAACGGATTCGCGTCATCAGATCTATGATCGACCGAGCCGCTTTAATTTTATGATGACGATCACATCCTCCTTGCTTCTAGAGCGTGCGTAAAACATAACTCCTGTATCAGTCCGGTTATTTTTGTAGCTATACCTTCTACACAGCTTCATAGTCTTGCTAGAAGACAAACAATATTTTTTAGTGATGGGATGGGGGTCTTGAATCATGAATGGTCGGATTCGGGGGTTGGACTGGAGCGGGGCATGTCTATCGCTGGTAGTCGTAGTTTGTACCCCCGATTCCTTTTTGATTTAGATCTCCTGGTCTGGAATCTGTGGTGTGGATGTGAGTTGTGATCAGCCTTGCGATGGAGATCTTTTTGTTTCCGATGATCTTTCTGCGAGGGTGGAAGAGAAAGAAGGGCGTTGAGGTGGATTTTATGAGTGCGATAGGTACATAATGCATCGCTGATCAAATTCTACAGCATAAGGTATTTGGATTCTTCAAGTCAATTATTGAGCACGGTGATTGGAAAAATAAGTTCTCCGGCAAAGAAGATTGAATAGAAATGCAGGTACAAGAGTTCTATACTGTTTGTGTGACGATGTTTCAGTATCACAATTAAGCTTGGATTTAAAGGCGCGGTCCGAGGGTGAGAATTCTCGCTGCAGGGCCAAAGATAGGGGAACGGGCCGCTCTTTACCGACGGGATATTCCGTTGATAGGCTCGAAATTTGTATCTTTCGGGGATTCATGGACATGTATGCAATCCCCGACCGGTGCACATCGGATTTACCAATGAACAGCACCAATATGACGAAGATCATAAGATATACAGGAATACTTGAGGCTTGTTCGGGATGAGATCAAAATCATCATTGGATTGGAAATCTATATAGAGAATCTATTGTGAACAGCTTCTCTGGACGGTGATTGATGATACACATAAAGCCGACTCAAAGGACTGCGACCGGGAGACTCGAAACTCGAAACTAGGAGATATGAGATGCCACCAGAGAGCAAGCTGAGATCAGACACTACTCGATCGACGGATCGATCGGAGCAATGCCCTTCCCATAATCATCATAGCTGGTATGCCATGCCTCCTTGTTTTCCCCCATCAGCTGGAGACTTGACCTCACAACCGTACACAACGCGTCCAATCCGATGGTAAACTGATCCCTATATGGATGGTGATTGGGCGCGGGACCTTCTCAGCAGCGCCCGTCCAGCGACAGCCCAACACAAGGTCAGGCCATCACCGACGAGTGCTGATACAGACAGAACGCCATCTCTTCATCTTGGATTTAGTTGTGTGAAGAAGAAAAGAAGACGGGAAATGCGCGGCGAAAAGAAAACACCCGCCGCGGACGCACAGACCAGGCGGTGAGCCAAGCTAGTCCTGATTGGGAATAGTGTCTTTTTCCCGCTTTCCGCGGGCAACGGAGAAGCAGAGAAGCAGACAGCTGCCCACCGCCGGAGTCCTCCCATTGCCGATTGCCAGTCTCGTCTTTTTATAAGGAACGCCGATTTCCTATCCGAGCGACTGGTCTGGATATTGTGATTTCTTCGGTCTCTAGCTCGTTCACCATGTCTCTCTCTCGTTGTGGACGTCTTGCTCGCGTCTCCCTGGGGGCCCTCCGCGCGCCCGCGTCCGTGTCCACCCGTGCTTTCGTGCCTCGCACCATCTCCGTGCGGGGAGTGTCCTCGGCCAGCCGGGATGCGCAGCAGAAGGTGAGAAAAAGATCCCTACGGACTCAATGGGTCTGAATTGCCTTGAATTCGTCAAGCTGACATGATCTCCAGATCCTGTCTTCCTCCCTGCAGGAATCCGACCCTACTGTCTTCAACATCCTCGAGAAGGTACGTCATGTGAGATGCGAACCATGCTGAAGGACAATCCGCTAAGACCAATTGTAGGAGAAAAACCGCCAAAAGCACTTCATCAACCTGATTCCCTCCGAGAATTTCACCTCACAAGCCGTCCTTGATGCCCTAGGCAGTGTGATGCAAAGTATGTGCCCTTGCTCATCCTTCCCCGCTCGACCCTCTCGGTATATAGCCTCGGGATTCTAATCGCATATTCAGACAAGTACTCCGAGGGATACCCCGGTGCCCGTTACTATGGTGGAAACGAACACATTGATGCCTCTGAGCGCTTGTGCCAGCAGCGCGCTCTCGAGACCTTCCGTCTCAACCCCGAGGAGTGGGGTGTGAACGTCCAGCGTATGGTGCCACTATACCCCAGACCACGCAACATAGCATCACTAACATCACCACAGCCCTGTCCGGCTCCCCCGCTAACCTCATGGCTTACTCCGCCGTCCTCAACACACACGACCGCCTGATGGGTCTGGATCTGCCCCACGGCGGCCACCTGTCGCACGGCTACCAGACCCCCACCAAGAAGATCTCCGCCATCTCCAAGTACTTCGAGACCCTCCCCTACCGCCTCGACGAGTCCACCGGCTTGATTGACTACGACGCCCTCGAGAAGCAGGCTCTCCTGTACCGGCCCAAGCTGATTGTGGCCGGTACATCAGCCTACAGCCGTCTCATCGACTACCCCCGCATGCGCGAGATCGCCGATTCCGTCGGCGCCTACCTGCTTTCTGATATGGCCCACATCTCCGGTCTCGTGGCCGCAGACGTCCTGCCTTCTCCCTTCCCCTACTCGGACATTGTCACCACCACCACCCACAAGTCTCTGCGCGGACCCCGCGGTGCCATGATCTTCTACCGCAAGGGCGTGCGTCGCACCGATAAGAAGGGCAACAAGGAGATGTACGATCTGGAGAACCCCATCAACATGTCCGTCTTCCCCGGCCACCAGGGTGGCCCCCACAACCACACCATCACTGCTCTGGCTGTCGCCCTGAAGCAGGCCCAGTCCGCCGAGTTCCACGAGTACCAGAAGACTGTGCTGGCCAACTCCCAGGCCCTGGCTGAGCGTCTCGGCGAGTCCACCAGCAACGGTGGTCTCGGTTACAACATCGTCTCCGGCGGCACCGACAACCACTTGGTGCTGGTGGACCTGAAGAACCGCGGTGTGGACGGTGCCCGCGTTGAGCGCGTGCTCGAACTGTGCGGCGTCGCCAGCAACAAGAACACCGTTCCCGGTGACAAGTCTGCTCTCAAGCCCGGCGGTCTGCGTCTGGGTACCCCCGCCATGACCTCCCGTGGCTTCCAGCCCGAGGACTTCCGTCGCGTCGCCGAGATCGTCGACCGTGTCGTGATCCTGACCCAGAAGTTGGACAAGCTTGCCCGTGAACAGGCGCAAGCCCGCGGCGTCAAGAACCCCGGTACTCTGAAGGCCTTCTTCGATTACCTCGGTGAGGGCGAGGAGGTTTCAGAGATTGTCTTGTTGCGACAAGAAGTTGAGGACTGGGTGGGCACGTTTAGCCTGCCTTGGGCTAAGGACCAGTAGACGTTTTCTTTTCCTTTTTATAGCTCTTTTTCTTTTTTTCTCTTATACTTGTGTACATTCCCCCCAGCCATGGTTCAACACGAAATACGATTCAAAGACTTTAACATTTCAAAAAGAAATTCTCGCATTTTATGACTAGATTCGTACATTACTTGAGTTGAGACTTTATATGTATGTAGGCCTATGCTAGGTAAACTCAAATTGGTGATAGTGTCAGTCTGGACCCCTCGGATCCCATACCCGATAACCGATAAGCGCCGCGATAAGACCCTCTCCAACGTGCGGAGAAAACATCGTTGCATCACTCCCCTTTAACAACAGCTCACAATCTTACATTTTCCTTTTTACATCTCCGTCCCAAAGTATCCTCCTGCTCTTTATCTCCATCAAAAATGAAAATCAGCCAGGTACGACTCCCCTCCATCAACCCTCCCAACAAACCAACAACCAACAACCAGCCAGTAACTAACCAGACTGACGACAAAGCTTTATGTATACCCCATCAAATCCCTCCGCCCAACAGAAATCACCTCGGGCGAACTCACAAAGCTAGGCTTCCGCTATGACCGGCGCTTCATGCTTTTGAAAGTGGTTCCCGGCGAAAATGAAAATGGCAGTGGCCCGACATTGGAAAATATGCATATTCCCAAGTATCCCGAGATGGGACTTTTTCGGACGGAGATTGAGGAGGCGAAAAGTGAGGGTGAGACGGGGAAATTGGTTGTCACATATACTCCGCCGTCGTCGAGCGATGCGAATGATGTTTCCGGATCAAGCGACAGCGAGGATATTCAGATCAAGGCTAAATCCAAGCGTCTCAAAATCCCACTAGAACCAGAAACAAAAACCCTCAAACCATTCGCGGTTACGATGCACTCGAGCCCAACGACAGGCTACGATATGGGATCGAGATATAACGACTGGTTCAGCGCGTGTTTCGGATACCCCGTCGTCCTTGTGTATCTGGGCACAAACACACGCAGTGTCCTCGGTACACTCGCACCCGCAAAACGCAATAATGAGTCGTGGTGGAGTATCTGGAAACAAGAACTCGTCCTCCCCGGCACAAGCAACGTTCACGGAAGCAAAATGCTTGAGCAGTGGCTCGTTCCTTTTTCACTGGGGTATATCACTCTTAACGCGGTGAGTTGGTGCCATACCCGCATTGAAACTGGTACATCGGCTGCGGCTGCTATCGGCGTTACGGCCGTGGCGTTGATCTTACTATGGACTGTGGTGAACACCTTCGTGAATAGACGACACGAAGCACGAATCGGATTCGCGGATTGTGCGCCTTTTTTGGTTATTTCTCAGACTTCTGTTGATAATGTTTCGGGGCGGTTGGATGGGGATGAGGAGGTTGATTTGACCAAGTTTAGGCCGAATGTTGTTGTTGAGGGTGCTGGGGTGGCGTTTGAGGAGGATTTTTGGGCGGAGTTGGCTGTTGGAAGTAACGGCAACGCCGGTGCTGGAAAGAATTCCAAGGTAAAACTCCTTCTGACGGGGAATTGTGTGCGCTGTCAGAGTTTGAATGTGGATTTCGCAACTGGAAAGATGGGGACTGGTGAGGGGGGCAAAGTGTTGAAGAAACTTATGAAGGATCGGAGGGTGGATCGGGGGGCGAGGTTTAGTCCTGTTTTTGGTCGGTATTCGTTTCTTGGGGGGGAGGGGGTTGGGGAGAGGATTAGGGTTGGTGATGAGGTGGTGGTTTTGAGGAGGGCGGAGGAGTATACTGTTACTGGTGAGTCTTCATTAAATGATTTGAATGATTTATGCTAACTGTGGTGGTTTTAGATTGGCCGGGTTTGACCAACTAGATCAATGGGGTTTTCGAGTAGTTTGGCTCTTTTTGACTAGTGACTGGTAACTCTTTATTGTGTAATGATAGCCTTTGCATATTTCGACTTCGACATTGGCCTGAGTTGGTTCAGCCTGCTATCAAGTCACAACGGTATGCCCAGTATTGCGATCATTCCATCAAGTCCCGGGAAGTGACTATGGCTCAGCCTAAAGATTTCACCTGGCGATGCTAAGAAGTAAAAACAAAGCACCCCGATGCGCTCAGCCTCTTCTTGTTGGTGAGCAATATTTGTGTCTGTGTCCCCAATCCAATCTCCATGTCTTGAAAGATTCCCGTTGATCCAGGTCACCATATTTCTCAGACCTCGCTCCGCATGGTCCTTTTGCATCACGCGTGAAATAACGTGCCATCACCGTTGTTTCAATTGCGGTCAGCATGGGTCAACACCACAGCGCCATAATATGTACTGGTAGTGGATGTCATGTAGGCTTCTCGAATGGGAAGTGGTTGGAAAGGCTCTGTCCAAACTGTGTTAGCGATACCTGACTCTCCCAAAATTAAGGTCTCGCCGTTATGGTCTACTTACCACATTGAGGAAGTCCACATTAGGTGAGTCTAGTCAAGCCTTCATAAGTTTTTGAAGAAGCAAGAGACAGGTTTGTCGTAAGGTTCGCTGTGACAATATTCTCAATAGTGTGAGTGAGGAGGGGGCGAAGGGATTCTTGCTGCTCTTCCAGCATCCCGCTAAGCAGGTTTAATGCTGCTGATTTCATTGGCTCCGCAGACTCTGATGTACCCCGAGGATTCTTTTTTCAAGTTTCGCAGGCTTCGCAGATATCATGTTCAATAAGGACAAACCCATAAGAAGTTCCAGGCCTCCATCATGTAGAAATTGACTTGGGAGAGGCCTTGTTCCAATGAATCCCATGGGTCGTCAGGCTTGACCCGAGGAATCATCATATTTTGTCGCCATATCTATCTCTGTACCCATCATGACGGTTTGTGATAACAACGAACGCCCCTTGTAAATCTACGCGCAAGGATGTGCACCGCGTTGTAGAAGATAAGTATCAGGCTGGACAGATGGTATGGTGAGGATGAGAAACTATCCAGTCTTTGAATAACTCCCGGGTCATAATTTGCTGCTCAATGCTCACTGCAGCATGGAGGTCCGATGCGGGGTCTGATGACTTCGAAAAAGTGGCGAGGAAGGATGGTACATCCACCATGACATCTCAAGAGTCAAGCCATGACATAGATTGTGGTACAAACAGCTCATTGTTGAAACTGAGTATCTTGAGGGAACTCCCCGCGTTTAAACTGACAATTGCATTGTCATCCACTTTTCCGCTAATCTCTTGGGCTCCTCTCTATCTCTCACCAGCATAGAATGGTCTCCTTGCATCATAGCTACCCAGCTCTTGAACTTATCCGGGTGTCGTAGGCACCAGAGCACGACCTTACGTGTGGCTCGTGCATCCTCTAGGGCGCTGTGTACACACTTTCCGCCTTGGATGTCATCTCCGAGATAGCTGTTGATGCCTGCCATTCATCTTCAGACATCGAAGGACGTGTGTGATAAATTGGTCGTACCGGATCCATAGGGAGACGAGCCACAATCGGAGAAGAACACGGATTCATGTGATATAAGTGGAAGAGAGATATCAAGAGGAAGATTAAGAAGGTAGGAGCAGAGGTACCATAATGCTCAAACCCTCAGTGGTTAACGCAAAGGTAATGATAAATCCCGTAATGCGATTCCGCAAACGGGCGTCATTTGATAGTGGTTCACGTACGTACGAGGCGTGGTATTCAGAAGAGGAGGATCGTAGAGAACCGCATAAGTGGCCCGCTTTGTAGGGGAGTGAGGAATTTCGTTTTTGGGTTCCCCGCCACAGACACAGTGACTTATATCCGCAGTATAGTTTATGGAGATTTCCCTCGTTTCCCTCCTTTCACTCGGAAATCTCCATGGTTTTCCTGTAGCCGTTGTTTGTAGGCCCAGCATTTGCACTGGTCTCGAGGATTTTCCCAAGGAATTCTCCACAAGTGAATGGTTGTAATTAGCAGGCTGACTGGTGTGGACAAGGATGATACGTGATATTAGTGATCAGGAATGCTGATTATTGAAGCCAGTGAGAACTGAGCGATGCAGGTAGAACATATCAGGTGTAGAAGAGGTGTGCGAAATGGAGATGATATGAAGGGTAAGGGGATACCAAATAGCTGTCAGTGATATATAGGAATGCATGTGGGGTATGTCATAGCCCAGTCGGGATGTCCCGGATGATGACAGGGTGATGAGTAGTGGTCAAGGAGAACGAAGAAGAGAAGAAGCAAATGAAATGAAGAGAGAACTAAATATCCATTAGATGCTTGGTAGGCTAGCCCTAGAGGTATTTGCCTTTATTCATGGACTTCATGGACAAACTACAATTACGATACTGTTGTTACCGCTTGGCGTCAATGATTGTTCCCCCGTTTCCACGGGCGACCAAAAAAACACAAACGGCACCCCTAAACATTTGAAAGTGAGAAAAGAAAGCTTATGGCGGAGATGCGATCTCTGGCCGGCTCTGTGAAGAATGTCAAAAAGTCCTACCCACGTCTTTATCAAAAGTACGAAGCTGTCAACAGAGAAATGATTAAACTTCGCAAAGCTTTGATATTCAAGATACAGAGAGAGAATAATTATTGTAACTCACTCATACTTAAAGTCGACTGACACATCAAGCATCTTCTTGGCGAGCCTGATGTGGAAATATGCGGTGCGGATCGTTCTGATGATAAGGACTGGGAGTTGCCCACCCTGGAAAAATACTATTTTCCTGAATGGGCACGGCTGGTCTAGAAGTCCAATGGCTTACAAGCAGAGAGTTATAAGGAAAGCAAGCAGCTTGCGCTCCTCGAACTCATCGAGCCGAGCAGGCGAGGTAATCGTGTTGATTGGCTCCCACGCTGTGGGATCAACGAGACGCAACTTATCCCATGTATTCAGAAATAATCTACCTGCAGGGTAAGGCGTGTCGATCAGGTAAGGTAGAAATTGACCAAGCCAAAATATTACAAGACTGTTTCTTAGAGTTCTCAAACAGCTCTCAACTCCACATCTTTTATGTACATGAATCCTGTATCAATCGTGGACGGTATACGAGGTCACTAGGGGAAAGACCAACAGAGGGCACGCTCAAAAACCGGAAGTACATGCAAAGGGGCTTGTGTAACAGTAAAGGGGCCCCCATAGGCAAGGCTGCCCTACAGCTGAGCAGCTGAAAGGCTGGCGTCTCACCACCGAATCCCTGCTTTCCCGGTAACCTGTTGTAAGCCCGAATAACTCCGAATAGCTTCATCTCAAAAGTTATCGTAACAGCATGCCGAAGACGTGTCTTGTGAACTAAGACGATCGAAGCCCTTGGCCAGAAGAGCTCGAAATTGACAGCGATTGATCCACTTCTTCTTGTATTCGTTCTTTGCAGTTCAGTGATAGGAAATACAATAACTGAGGCGTTATTTTAGGAATCTAGCATTAGTCAACAATGAGCAAGTCGCTGAAAGCTAGCACAGTATTCGAGTGCATAGCATAGCGAAGACGTGAAGCAGCATACACAGCCCAATAAGTAAGTACACTGTCTGGCCCAAATAATTCCGATATCTCCACTGTGGCGCCTAATAGTGCCATATGTATCCTAGTGACCAGATCAATCTTACCTCTACACGATGCATAAGTCAAGTACCGTAAAGTTCCAATAAATTCAATGATGCAACGCTATGTAATGCACGGTGGGTTATCACAATGCCTTTGCCCCGACAGCGTACAGTATTTGGTTGAAAAACTTTAAAATTGTTAGCATGATCATCGATGTGCATCAATCCTGATGATTCCTGCGCTGATGACTGATGACCCGACTTACGTTCTTTGTTATCTATTAAACCATTCTCCCTCTCCATGAAGTACTGCTAACTGATTTCCTGCAAAAATCTCTCACAAACATACTATATCCGTAAGTCTCGCCCGAGTTGAACGATGATCGCGAACTAATCAAGTTATCTCTGACCTAGTCATCATGCAGATTATATACCTTCTTTTTCTTATGGGCCTGGTGCTTACCGTCGCAGCTGCCCCTACGCCTCAAGTCTTCCGTGGGTACCTGGCATCTACTCACAAACAGTTATAAATACTGACTGTGCCTTTTACAGCGGGAGAGACAGGCGATAAATGCACAAACGATAAGAATTGTATTTCTGCATGCAAATCTGGCAATTTCAATGTTAAAAATGGAGGTTCCTATGACGGCATACGATTTGTGTGTGTGAAGGCAATATCCTGAAGTTCCTCCTGATTGTGAGCTCAGAAAATGCTACTAGCATTAGAGAAAAATGTCGTGAGATGCAAAGACAGTTTACCATTTCACATTTTGTTTCCGCCTGTACCCGATAATCTATGTTAGGTTCTCCAAAAGCAACCCCGTTTTGTTATGTCATGGTATGGAACATTGTTAACTAATTGATATTGCTTATCCAATAAGCTGTTGTAAATCACCGTTCGGCCCCAAAATACCCTAGTATGCAATAGGTCTTGAATAAATGGCAAGGGATATCTATGTATCGACCTGACTTGGTCAAGTAAATCGCAGGTTGCAAGATTACACGGGAGACAAGATAAACCCTTTCATCTGTAAGCTCCACGTGAAAGTTATACTGTTCTGAATGCAAGTATACTTTGAGACTTCCTCTACATTTTTATGGCATGAATCTGCTTGTGGCTTTTTTCGAGTAATCTACCGCAGATATTGAGTTTTTGAAGGATTAGGTAAGGCAACCATAGCTACACGACTTCAAACCCTTGAAAATGCAAATGTAGGGCAGGGGCTGTTGATCGAGCCAGAAAAATTGCGGAGATGAATCTTGATTCATATGTGAGATCGTTTGTTGACCTCGAGTGAGACCGTTGTTCAAAGCATATGGGAGAGAGAAGCCTCCTAAACATGTGCCACCTTCGTTGTCTGCAATAGAATATAGGGAGTCCTTGACAGACAAATAACATTATTAGCCTTGCCATTCTTTTCAGCTTCTCTGACCAGAAACTTCGTGTTACAGGCCGCGAGGGCATATTTCCTGTACACCATAGAGATTGGAGCGAACATCTGTATTGTCTCAATAGTCTCAGACCGGGGTCACACATCGGACTCGGAAAATTTCGAGAATATCGACCTAAGGCCCTATCTGATTATGTTAGTTCCTCGGACATGCCGGTCGGGACTGATCTCTGGATTAATGTCCCAACAGAATTTCAGCTTGTCAGTGATTATTATGCTTTTATTATGCTTTTCCAGACTCCTGCCATCAAGTCCCATGTGGCACCGCCACAAATTACGTCAAGGGGTCATTGCACAGCCACATATCACATGACTCGGCCATGTTCCATGGAAGGAAGCAAGTGGAAGTGGATTCGATTTCCAAGAATAACTCAGCTGACCATCATAGTTGTTGGTTGATCTTTGCATATTATTTCTCTGTCTCGGAACTTTCCTCCTACAACTACCAAGTCACTAAACAGTTGCAAGGCGACATCGTGAGTTTCGAAACCGAGGCCCTGCATCCTGTGGCTTAACCTTCAGCCCAACCCGCCCCGCCCGCCAATTGAACTTGCGCCGCTGCCTATTCAAAGTTTCCCCCGTCCATTTGACGCACTCCACGATATCGGCGCTTCTCATATCCAGCTCATCACAAACCTTTGGCCCACGCCGCATTCGAATTACCCGTGGTTTCTGCAGCGTCACGCCTATCATTCCTACGCTCTGATCCGACCGGTCAGGCGCCAGTGCTTCCGCCACCTAGGTCCATAAGGCGCTGCTCAGCCCCGCTGTGGGTAAGCTGTCGCTGCGAAAAAAAGGGCAAGGCGATCACTGTCGCTCTCACAATCAACGACCGCATTCACCATGGATGAGGTCAGTTTACGTCGCAAGGACACCACCAAGGGTCCTCCGCTACGGATTCTGTCTCTAGGTAAGCGCTATCGCATACTATCATTGCCCCGACCCATCCGAAGTCAAGCGTTAACAATCAGACAGATGGAGGCGGTGTTCGCGGCTACTCCATGCTCATCATTCTTCAGGAACTCATGTATCGAACATATGTCGAATGCGAAGGCAGGCCGCCTCGTCGCGACCAAATACCCAAGCCCTGCGACCACTTCGACTTGATTGCCGGCACCGGCACTGGCGGCTTGATCGCGATCATGCTGGGCCGTCTCCGCCTCGACCTCGAGACCTGTAAAGAAGTCTACGTGCGCATGACAAGGAGAGTTTTTGAGACGGACAAGACCATCGCCGGTATCCCTTATCGCTCGACGTTGTTCAAGGCTTCGAAACTCGAGGAAGCTATCCGGGAATGCGTGCGCGAACACACCGTCTTCGAGGCCGAGGGTAATGACCAACCGAATGCTGGCAACAACCCTCGAGCATCGATGGCTAGTCTCCCCTATGCCGCTCCGAACTCTGTACCTCAAAGATCCGTCAGTCGAGGCAGTTTCAGCACGTCGCCGATGTCCCATCCCCAAAGTCCGGCAAGCCAAAGAGGGTCCACTTTCTTGAATGGACTGCGCTGGGGAAATCCGGAAGCTCTACTCTACGATAATCGAGAGTTCCGGACGAAAACGTAAGCCTTTCCATCTGAATTCGTTATAAACATCTAAAATACTAACAATCGATCAGCGCTGTCACCGCGTTATACAAGGGTACGCAGCGCAACGGGTCAGCCGTACTTTTGCGATCCTACGACTCTCGCCGAGAACCCCCACCCGAATTTGACTGCACCATCTGGCAGGCTGGCCGTGCCACATCAGCCACGGGACTCGCCTTCAAGCCAATTCAAATTGGCCAGCATGTGTTTATCGATGAAGGACCCGGAACGTACAACCCTGCGCCTCAGATTCTCGAGGAGGCAGTTGCCAACGAGTGGCCTGGCCGGGAAGTTGGCGTGTTCATTAGTGTTGGAACTGGCCGACGGCCTTCTGGCACTAACAACCGACAGCATGAATGGTGGGAGGATTTCTTTGGTTCCGCGACAGGCACATTCGCCGAGGCCCGACGACGACTGATCTCGAAGATCGAGGGCTGCGAGACTATCCATCAGGAAATGCTGCGTGATACGCTTGCCAAGCGTGGCGTCCCCAAAGACAACTACTACCGGTTTAATGTGGAGGTTGGCGTGGGCGAGTTTGGTATGAACGAGTGGAATCGCTTGGCGGATATCAGCACCAATACCCGGCAATATCTAGCCAAAGCGGAGGTGAAGAAAATGATCCTCGACTCCAGTGTGAAATTTGCCAAGATCGACCGCATGAACAAGCGCCTTGCCCAGCATGCGGCCGCTGGGGGTGACCGCGATGACCTGTCATTTGACCTGGAGCGCGAGGAGATTGCAGTCCACTCACGAAACCCCTCGACCTATTCGGTCCCCCCTCCATCAAATCAATTCGCCATCGAGCTGCCTGCTTCGCCGGTCGAGTACTTCCCACATCCCCCTTCACAAGCTTCCCTCTCCCTCCCCACCAGTGTGACTGTGACCGCACCACCAGGAGATGATTCCTTGCCCACACATCCAACCCCCCAGGACAGCAGCCTCCCAGTATCACCGACACGGCACTCCAGCAGCGATATCGCTAGCTTCCGTCCCAGTCATGAATATTCCCGGCCTTCCTCGCAACAGCAGAGCTCTCCTGGGCGCAGTGCCGAGCACGTTCCGTCTTACAACGTCTCGCCTCTGAACGGCATGGCTCCGCCCGTTCCACCCAAGACACCCATTCCATACCCGTCCGCCGAGGACGGTGGTGTCTCGATGCCCGCGCCGCTGTTCTCCCAACCGCACGTTCCCATGCCGAGCGGCAAGGTGCGTCCGCCGTACCCCGTGGACGAGCCCCCGCCCGTGGTCAACCGGCAGCGCAAGCCGAGTTATCACGTGAGGTGATCATCTATCCATACGGCTATAAGCGCAGCAGTGCTGTATTGAGGTTGAATCACGATCGCAATGACTTTTTCTATTTCATTTCATGCTCTATGATTTGATGTTTCTTCTACTGGATACCCTTCAGTCGGCACGGTGAATAAGGATTGAGGTGGACCGAGGAATGGGCGGTGTCTAGGCGTCTACATGTTTGCCTTTTTTTTGCTTTGGTTATGTTTCTATTCCCGGCGAAAGATGCTGCCTTGGAGACTTGTGGTTATGCACACGAAGTCATACAAAGACAAAAAACAGTACATCCTGCTATCTGGCAGTTCGATCTATTTGGACTGGGTTGCCAGCGGGCCGCAGGGTTGATGAATGATGATGACATTTACGAGCATTGAGTTGGTCCCGGTTTCGTGTATATAGTATACCATGCCTCGGAATAGAGGCACGATGAAGAGCAGATCAAAATATCCAAGTGAACTATGACGATGAACAGCCGCAATGTAGGTACAGTGTACGGAGTACGTTAGGTAGCAATGGTAATTGATGGCTATCTACAGCGTACATTTCAGTCTCCAGCTATTATCCCGTGTGGCGAAATGCTACTGAGACTGTCCAGTCTCAGCCCAGCTTCACTAGCTAAAATTAGGAAATCAGCTGTGTCAGTCCAGCCACATCTGACTGGCCCAACGGTCTCAGGTACCTCCGCACTGTGTCCATGGACGACATAGCTACTCTTACGTTACAGTATGGCTATAATCTCCTTGACAATGTATTCTCCGGAAGGTAACCATAATCCAGAACCAATCATTTCTCAGTGACCATCTTCTCTACCTGTCAGGTACCAGGTCGATTGCAGTGTAATTAGTGGAGCCCAGCTGTACCCACTCGGTACCTTGAATGGTCTCGTCAACACTTTTGGTCAACTTTTTCCCCACAGGCCCAGCCTCTTTGTTTCTGCGTTCAAAGTTCCCCTTTTCCATTTGCGCTTCTTTCTCCGTCATCCAGTGCATTTGTTCTGCCTCTTCCTTCTTCTCTTCCTGCATATTCTATTTCCTTGTACATCTTGCAATCAATCTTTCCAATTTATTTGAATTTCCCCTCGGTCGCATCACTGACAAGCGCAAAACACTGCCACTGACGTCCATCCAGCGCTGATCGTTTTGCCCCCCGCCTTGATTCTATTCAACCTTCCAGAAACATTCCGCGATCAGCAGTGCCGTAATAAAGCCACAGGCCTTATCGTCGTCATTGAGAAACCTCGACCGTGTGACCCCCTATTAAGTTACTTAACTCGGTCGCGCGCGGTTCTTTGCCAGGCTCCTGCATCATACATCTCAGCCTAAGCGCTTCGCCAGTGACAAAAGTGGCCTGAATCAAGTGTTTCTTTCACCTTAGTCGCCGAGTCTCGTCTTCGGACGACTCCGTCCTTGCGACAACCTCCTCTTCCTCCTCGTTCTATCTCTCCCACTACTGCTGGCCAGTGTGGTTCAACCGACCAACTCTCCTCTCCTCTTGACCGCGCCCATCATGGATCCCCACGATACCTTATACCATGCCTCCACGCTTATGGCCCGCGCCGACTCCAGCGGTCGCCCACCCGTTTACAAGGCCGTCGGTATTTCACTAGCGGTCGCCTCTGGCGTCTTCATCGGTATTTCCTTCGTGATCAAGAAAATAGGCCTACTCAAGGCAAACGTCAAATACAATGAAGAAGCTGGTGAGGGATATGGATACCTCAAGAATGCGTGGTGGTGGTTAGGCATGACGCTCATGATCGTGGGCGAGATCTGCAACTTTGTCGCATACGCTTTCGTCGACGCTATCCTGGTCACTCCGCTCGGTGCACTCTCCGTCGTTATCACCACGATTCTCTCGGCAATTTTCCTGAAAGAACGACTCAGTTTTGTCGGCAAGGTCGGCTGTTTCTGTTGTATTATCGGGTCTATTGTGATCGCGATGAATGCTCCTGAGCAGTCCTCTGTCAGCGATATCCAGGGTATGCAGAAGTTTGTGATTGCGCCGGGGTTTTTGTCGTATGCGGGTGTGATTCTGATCGGGGCGGCTATTACGGCGTTCTGGGTTGGTCCCCGGTACGGCAAGAAGAGCATGTTCGTCTATATCAGCATTTGCAGTATGGTTGGTGGATTGAGTGTCGTGGCGACGCAGGGTTTGGGTTCCGCGATTCTCGCTCAGATTAATGGCGAGTCGCAGTTCAAGCATTGGTTTCTTTATGTGCTGTTCGTCTTTGTGGTTTGCACGCTGCTGACGGAGATTATCTACCTTAACGTATGTGCTTGCCTTCCACTCTCTGATATACTGAGATCATGCTAACACTCGCTATAGAAAGCGCTGAATCTCTTCAATGCCGCACTCGTCACCCCGACTTACTACGTCATGTTCACTAGCGCGACGATTATCACCTCCGCCATCTTGTTCCAAGGCTTCAAGGGAACTGGTATCCAGATTGCTACTGTGATCATGGGTTTCATGCAGATCTGTGCCGGCGTGGTCCTGCTACAGCTGTCCAAGTCTGCCAAGGACGTTCCCGATGCTGCCGTGTTCAAGGGTGACTTGGATCAAATTCGCGAGGTGGCTACTCAGGAGGAGCCTGAATATGAGCCCAAGGCTGATTCGATCCGCGGTGCTGCATCAATTCTCCGCCGTATCTCAACTACTCGCCGCGAACACGAACATGATGAAGCCCGGCGCTTCTACAATGAAAAACAAGAGGATTTCCTGAAACCCCCTGGTGAGAATGAAATCATCGAGTGGGATGGTATTCGTCGGCGTAAGACCGTCATCGGAGAGGGACCGACCATGTCTCGTCCGCGCACGCCTCGCTCGCCTTCGGTCAAACAACAACTGCCTCCATTGGGCATGTCTCGCTTCCCCGATCCTGAACCCGAGGAAGACCACCGGCCCAGCACCAAGCAGAGTGGAAACTCGTTCCTGGGCGAGATTGGCTCTCGCACATCGAGTGTTCTCCGTCACGGCCAATGGCTACCCGTCCACAAGGAAGACGAAAAAACTCTCGGCGCCAACATCGCTACTGAAATGACGAATCGCAAGAGCGCTGTCGACACTGAATACCACGGTGCCGGCGGCTTGGAACCACCCTTCCGCCCAGGCCGTGAGCGCAGCGACACACCCCGTTCCATCTCCTGGGCTGACGAAAAGGGTGACGATACCCGTCCCCAATCCCATCATGCCCTCGAGCCGCCCTACGTCGCACGCCGCCAATTCTCCTTCAACAGCATGTTCAACCGTCGCAAGACACAAAGCAACCCACCATCCCCCAAACGCACCGCCAGCCCACCACGCGGCATCCTCCGCCGCAACCACGCCATCGACGGCGACAAGTCCGCCACCGAGGAAGAACGCCTCGGCCTCGTCCGCGGCGACTCGCGCGCCGCGGAAGAAACCCTCGGCGATAAACTCGACCGCTGGTCCAGCGCTGAATCAGACGTAGCCGAGATTCAACCCATGCATTTCCACCCAATGCCACCAGGCCGTCCCCACGGCGATTCAGTCTCCAGCATGTCCACATCCGCATTCCCGCCATACGAAGACCACCACGCTTTCTACGCTCAATCCGGCAACGTGTCGAACCCGTATTACCTCCCACACACTCGACAAGCAACCTCCTCGCCAGAACACATGGATGAACATGAAGCACCGGGACGAAGCGCCCCACGCTCTCGCACGAGAACGAATTCCTCGTCACACGTTCGTGCTCCACCGCCCGCGCAGTCCTCGTTCTCGACGCACCGCCATCCAAATCCACTCCCTCCCTTGCCAGATAATACACCCCTTACACTAGAAAATGAGAATGGTGTTCGATCTGTCTCGGGGGAGTCCTCTGATATGGGCGTTGCGTCGATCTCGTCGACTGAGGCCCGCGACGATGATAATACCCCTGCTACCGGGGTGCCGACAAGACAGCATAGTGGTTGGCGCAGACATATGTCTGAGACTAGTAGTGCGGATGATGGCGAGTCTTATGAAATCAGGAATACGACTCGCGGTAGAGGTGGAGGTGCAAAGGGGGCTTTTCTTTAAGCCTTGAGTCTTGAATCTGGATGGTGACTACTTCCTATCTTTCTTGCACATAAGTGGCCTGCGATTTACATGGATCCGGTCTTGATCTTTATTTGGATGGTACTGGGACTGGTTATTTGACCAGTTCATGACATTTATGCCGTTTGTTTTATTTGATTGCATTTACAGCGGTGTTGATGGATTTCTTACTTGGGGCCTTGGATATTGGGTTTTGCCCATGCTGATATTCATGCTGATGTTGATATCGATGTTCGATGTACATATATGGACGCGTGATTGCGCCGATGATGAATGATCTAATGCATTATGATTTGGATATGAAACAAATATTTTATCTTGAAAATAGATCTGTAGACCTTGTTTTGTTTCTATTCGTGGGTATCATAAGGATATCAATCCAAACTTGATAAGAGAAGTGAGAAACGCCGCACCAATGCAATGTAAATGCCAGCGAAATGACCAGAGAAGTCCAATGCAATGCTAAAGCCAACGCCATGCCAAATGCGTGATAATAATATGCCGCCAACATGAAGCAAGTCAATGTAATGCTCACCAAGCGACAAAGTCCAACCTGTCCCAAGACTCGTATCATTCAAACAAGGGTATCATTCCAGACCTCATCCCATCATTATTCATCACCTCCCACCAAACATACTAGCAACACCCTTCTGCCCCTTCGGCGCAACACTCAAAACAGCAAATCTCGATTCCGCAAGTCTTTTGCCCGCCTTGATACTCTCAAGAACCCTGCCAAATCCCAAAATTAGCCAAGCCCTACTACATTTTCCAAAAATACACACAAAGAGAAAAGGAGAGAGAGTATAGAAGGGACTCACCAATCAACACCAACAACCCTAAACCCCTTCCACCCACCCCTCTCAATCTCTCTTTGCAATTTCCCCGCCGCAAGACCCCCGCCGGCACCCTGGCCTGTGGTTCCGGGTTGTCCAATAATAATATGGGAGACGGTCTTGCGGGCCATGCCGATGGCGATAGTTGCGCCGTGTGCGGCCAGGAGGGCTTTAAGTTTATGGTCAGAGATTTGGGGGAGGGTGGAGCCGTTTATGTAGATTGTTGTGCCGGTGAAGAGTTTTGAGGATGATGGGTTAGTGGTGGGGTGGGTGGGTGAGGGTGTTTTGGTAGTGGTTTGTCGCGGTTGATTGAGTAGAGGCTGGGAGTCGGATTTAGGGGTTGGGTTCGGGGGTGTTTCAGTCGTGCTGGTAGATGTAAAAGGGGTCGTAGAGGATGTTGAGGGCTTTGGCGCAGGCATGGGTGCGGTGACCATCGTGGTGTTTGAGATCGCATGCAATTTTCGCGGTTCGGCTCTGCTTTCTGGAGCTGTTTCCGCCTTCTTCATAGCGTCTAGTTGCGTTTGAAACGCATCACCAGCCTTCCTCTTCCCAACATTCATAAAGCTTCGAATATCCCGCACACCCAACTGTTCCCTCGTTGCCTCCTCCCGCGACACCCATCGCCATTCCCCCGCCCTCGTCCTGCCCTCGCTTGCGCTTGAGTTTCCTCTCCCACCGTGACTCCCATATCCGTGGTTCTCAGCGACCGGCGACACAGACCCGCACGTCCCATCAAACGCTTTCACCGAGAAATCCTCATCGCCGAGAACACCAGTGCTATCGCGGGACCAGTCCTCGCCGCGGAACTGCTGCTTCAATTTTGCGGTCCGGGTATCGCGCCAGGAGGTGGTTCCTGAGAATGGATTTTCGGCGCGTTGGTGGCCTGATGAGGAGGAGTTCCAAGGGTCGAAGACGCAGTGGTTTTGGGGGGTGGGCTTGTTGGGTGCGGGGGGTTTCTTTGGTGGTAGGGAGGGGGGCATCTTGTCATTGATGTAGGTGGTGGTAGGGTGGGGGTTGTGGTTGTCGGGTTAAAGATGTGTTGGTTTGTTGAGAATGTGTGGTGTGAGGTTGATATTGTTTGTGAAGAAGGAAGAAGGGAGGCTTTCAATTTTGCGGCGAGGTGACGTTGGACCGCGGGACGAGGTGCGGAACCAAAGAAAAGAGAATATCGAGTGTTTTGGTTTTGCTGTTTTGGGATAGAGTCATGGCTGTCACGTGGCGGATTGGAGGGGTCGGAGATATGCTCGAGTAACTGAAGTTAGTTGGGAACAGATTGAGTAACTCTGATGTCAAGCATAATCTCTCCAGCTTTAAGCAATCCTGAGAGGTCCATTTTAGGTAGTAATTGATCAAGTGGTGGCTGATTTTAACGTTGTTATCTTGTTATCTTCATGCATGGATCTACCAATTTAACCGTTGAGATCCACCTTCACATTAGATCTGTGTCACGCCACAATATGGACAATTACATGACATGTTCGAGACATGTACGGCCAGTATCTCTGTAATACTCTAAATCAACGTCCTTGTGGTTGAATCGATCGAGCTCTAGGACCCTTGGATTATTACTCAACACTGATATCATTACCCCACATGGAAAAAGAAGGGTATCTGCAGAAGGGGGTTCATTACCCCAAAGGGAACCGCAAACGCGCTGGGTTCAATCAACGTGCCACCAACAAAGAGCTATGGTTTGTTGCTTTCAAGGGTGTTTGTCCCTGTGTTTTCCATTTTGACCAGCTGCATCTGCAAAAGGGGGTTCTCTGTCCAAAAATGGAATTTTGAATGCGCCGATTCTGCTGCTCGATCAGCATGCAAGAAACCGGCTTCCTACCGGGTACTTGCCGGTCTTAAGATTGAAATAAGAAGGCCTGAATTTCCTTGGTAAGGATAATTTTCTATTCTAATTACTTATAGACGGGCTCTCTTAGGAAATTTGTATGGGATTTTTGTCTGCATTTAAAACCATACAAATGGAATCCAGGTCATTATCATTATCATAACTTCGGCCGCAGTCAGACAGGTGTTGAACCTTGAATGCCCCTGCCAAATGGAAACGTGTTGAAGCGTAGCCTTTCTCGTCGAGTCGCAGTCACAATTGCAATCGCTTGGGATGTCTGTCGCATTGGGGTTGCTGCTATCGGCTTGTCATTCTGTGTTCACAATCATCGTTGTTGCTATGGCTGTCCCTCCTTCAAGACCTGTTGACCTTCTCTAGAATAAGTAATACTGCCTTGTCACCATGACCCTTTACATAATCTATCAAATCCTCAGACACGACCCGCACCAGGCCCTCTGCCTGTAACTTCTCGACCTCGGCCTTGAACCCGTGTGGAATCCAGATCTCGTCGAGAATCGTCGCGACAACAATGCCATTTGTACGAGTTACCCGGATAAGCTCTCGCAGGGCAGGGTCTGGGCCAACATGACCCAGAGTGAAGGTTCCAACACATACAACAGTGTCATATGTCTCGTCCTCTTGCTCGAGGGGCCGGGTCATGTCTGCTTGGGCAAGGTTGCGGTATACGCCAGTATCCCGGGCAACACCAAGCATTGGAGCGGACAAGTCAATGCCGTCGATGGCCTTTGCACCGCCCATGGCAAGGGCTTGGCCAACGAGACCGGTTCCACAACCGGCATCTAGGATTACACTGTCGGCAGCGCTCTTGGATGACTTGTACTTGATGGCAGCCTGGGCGACAAGCACGGGAGCGACATAGCTTTGAGCCTCGTCGCCGACTTCATCGTTATAGGTTGCAGCCCACTTGTCATAGATTGTCATGCAGTCCTCGACACTCTTGGTGTCACGGGCCTGGCGGAGGTATAATTGGGTTGCGGAGGCAGTCATTGTGAAAGGAGGAGACAATTGTTTGAAGTAACTCTTGTTTGTGGATAGGTGTTATAAGGTAAGAAGTATACGCAAACAGTTTCGCGACCAGTGAAATAACTATGTCGTTCAGCACAGGATATTGTTCTTCGAAAACTTACATCCATCCCTGCGTACAAACCCTACGTTCTTATAACAAGTCAACCATGCCGAGAATTCGACCCGTCCGTTTCAATTCACCAATTGATCCGTGTTTCACGACGTCGTTGCCCTGGCCCTGCTACGTAGTCTACATCGTCGCGAGCCGTCTAAGCACCCTCTTCTCCCCCTCCCTGCTCGATGTGGGGCGCCTCGCAAGGCGCGGGCGACATGGCGACAGGGCCACAGGGCCACAGGGCCACAGCTGCATGTAATAGCTTTCTGGCTCACATTGGTTCCGCTATATGGCGTGATGCGGGGTCGACGGCGCATACGCCAGGAAACGTCTCAAAAGGATGATATTCCGGGCGATCAATGATGTCGGTGGACCCCTGGGCCCAGTGGATGATTGTTCCCGAGACTATCCGACTCTGCGGGGGCGGGGGATAGTGTACATCGTGAGGATACTAAACTTGGCAAACTATAGTTCTCTGGTCACAAAAATAGACATCCTACTTTTGTTTTCACCATCATCAGATGCCATTCTGGTTTGCCGGTTCAATAGCCCTTCGATGCGAATCGATAGACTCCAATTATGACAGGAGTTTTGCTTACTTTTGACTCGACCACGACAAATAAAGATTCAGATCGAGTAAGCGGACAGTGCTTGGCTTTGTTGGCCACTAAAGTTCATAGATTGGTCACGTTTTTTCAGGGTCAACTTTTACTCATTCATTTGTGTAACTGTAGCCTGGTCTTTCCAATGCAGAACGAACATGATTGGATTCAAGTAACTTGGACTGTTTCCACTGTGTACGAATGTACAGTCGCCAAAGCAATGAGAATCATTGGATCATCACAAGAATCCCGCATACCCAGTACAGATGTGATTGAGTTCATCCATTGGCTCAAGATCTCCCTCCGTGTCTGTACAAGTAAGGTCAGTCTCGTACTGTATTGTACTCATACATAATCTCATCTCGTAAATTCCGGATCAGATTACCCTTCGCTCGACCTTCCCGATAAAACAGTCTGGTAGCTTATTTGAATGTGATATGATATCTTGACCATCGTTTCGTGATACTACCAGCCTATCTCTGCTGAGCATGATCATTTACTTTAAAAAGCATGTGATCAGAAATGGCATTCAGTATTGACCAAGATTGTGCCTAGTAACCACTATTGTGAATCTTGTCAAGGTTCGGCTACAGCTAACACTAAGTACGAAAGTATACATGATGTTCCGCAAGAGAGTGGACAGTGAGGGCGGGACAGAGAGCTCCGTGCAATCTCCGGACAAACCTAGATCAAGCGGGGTAGGATCAGATATTGAAGCATTGACGTCAACTAACAGCAGCATACTCTGACACATGTCATCTGTGCGAGGGGAGGATTGGCGGGCTGCAATGTATGAGAATTTCGAAGAGCCTCTGGTTTTGCACGTCATCTCTGACCAATGAATTCTTGCAAGGACTCTTTTGAGATAATGTAGAGTAATAATCTCATTCAAATTCCTCTATATTTACTACTGAAAAAGATTGATGTGATGTGACAGGATAATGTGGGCTGATACATATTGCTGGTGGACGTGAAGATCCATAAATTAGTGGAGCCTCAACGGGAGATCGAGACGGGAGGCGCCACTGACAGAGGCGTACACAACGCAGTGTAACGGCCTTGACTTTGCCTATGCAAAAAAGAGAAGAGAGACGGACGAAAAAAGGGAAGGACTGACGCTGAAGATCCGAATTCAATTACCTTTCTCTCTTTTCTCCCAAGCGCCCTAAGCCGAGGACATATTCGAAAGTACAGTACCCTTCAGCTCTCTGATGTGAGTCTGGGCTTGATCCAGCCCCTCCAGGGAAAACCTGAGCCCCACTGGGGGCATAAAATCCTGTATTCTTGTTGGGATGCGTTCAGAGTCCAAGCCCTTCTACACTGCGGCCCACTGGCAAGTATACTTTTCTGCCTTACTGCTGAGGCCAAAGAGTGCTTTTGATGAGAATGTGGCTGTCTCTATTTTCAGGGTCCTGGCACTGCGCCAGTTCAAAAGACCAATTCTGACTAGCCTAGCCATTTCTAAACGGTTAAGGTAGATGCCTCATGGTAGCGCACATAATGTCAGGGCAGGTGCCCTTACCGGTTTCATTATTTTCATGGCACTGAGTGAGGAATCGTAGTATCGACAAAGAAGAGTGACAATTATATCAAAGGCATGTTTTGGATCATGAGCTCGAGCATACTAGGAAATTGTTCGAGTCCTGGGCGCGGGCTTTATTTTATCGGGAAATATGCCAGAAGCCCACACCCATAAGCATTGATTCCTTGGCCAAATCTTTAGATTTTGACAGTGGTAGCAATAGAAATTTAGCTTTGAAAAACGTGAGAGGCTCGCGGAGCATAGGCCGAGCTAGTGACCTGGGCAGCCACTTACTGAGCAATTTAAGCGTTTGTTTCTTTGCATATTCTCGACTAGCTACTCTTATGTCTGACTTGACTTCATGGTTTTTGGCCTGTCTCAATGGTGACTGCGCTATTTTCTACCAGTGCTCTAAGGAGCTTAGGTCTCGAGTTGAGGTATTTCGAATTTGCATGAGTTATACGCTGACACATGGTCAATATCAACAAGTAACATCCCACATGCATTCACGTTAGTTCCAAACAGACGGCTCCAATACTAGAAAAATATCATTCAAATTTCTACTACTACCTATAGCTGTAGAACATTGATCGAACCATTAGAAAGTGAAAGCTTGATATTATCAATTGACAACTAGAGCATGCTGACCTTTCAGTATTAAGACATGTCGATGCAATTCACCAGCGCCTAATTATTTGGACCGTTTAAAATCCACGACAGATTGAACCTCCGCCAGAGGATACATCGGTATGAACCGCTTCCAGTTCCATCATTGAAAAAATCACTCTCAACCAAAGCTCCAATCTTATAGTCTGCCGTCTTCGTCATGCTGGAGTATCCACCTTCATATCCGGCGGATGAGACAGGAGCATCTGAAAGTTTACGTCCATAGTCAAACTTGGCAGCATCATTGTCATAGCTGATGCGGACTCTCATAGCGCGTCTGCTAGTAGTGGAAGCCGAGTTGAGGAAAACTGTTCTCGCTGGGGCATCCGAATTATACCTCAACACGGAACCTTCGCATGCCGGGTCGGGCAATCCTCCGTCTGAGGCAAATGTATCAAAACCTCCGTCAAGGCTACCTCTTGCCACGATACGATAGCCTGCAGAGCTTGGTCGATCGTTGCGGTATAGCTTGCCATCTGGTGTCTGGCAAATGGTGCCTTCGGCTCCCGCACCGGTAAGAATCTGTTTTGACCAAGTCCGATTGCCTGCTGTGCCACGGCCAACAATGTTACGGCCCATGGCAGGAATGACCAGTTCTCCCGAATCTAGCTTGATTCCATTTCCAGGCCCGACTGCATCCCAAGACCAGTTATCGGGGGTCAACGTAGTCGTCAGATCCTCGGGTTTCGACCACGTGTTGCCGTCGTCGACGCTGGTTGTGAGGAATAGATGCCGACGACCGTACCATGTCTTGTCAATCTTTTTTGTGATTGTTCCATCTGGTAGCTCGTCATTCCCCTTTTGGCTATAGCTGCCATTGTTCCAGGACAGAAATAAGTAGATCGTGGTACCATCCACGACAGGCGTCGGATTGCCCCAAGTTCCGTCGCCACTACCAACGACCTCGCGCAAACTTTCCCAGTCAGAGGTGCTTGCACCGTTATCCGTTGTGGTCTTGGTGCGCTTGTATACAAGGTTGACGTCGCCGAAATCTCGATTATCATGTCGACGTCCTTCTGCAAAAGCGAGAATCCTGCCGGTACTGGTTCGAACAACCGCTGGGATGCGGAAGGAATGGAAGCCAACACCACTGGATAGTTTGTCGGGAGAATTCATATTGGCGCTGCGGAAAAGAGGGAATTCATCATGGTATGGCGCTGCATCCTTGGCCGGATCGTCTACTGCGACTGTCGCGGGTACCAAGGCAGAGCTTAGTAGGAAGAGTGTTCGAAACACGCGCATTGTGTCAGTTGATCACGCGACGCGTATGTCAAAATGATTGAACGAATATCATGTTGTCCTTCACTGAGCATCTCTCGATATTTAAGCTGAACTTACTCTTGTTCTGAAGCCATACAGAATGACCGTTTTACCCACGTGGGAGGTCGAGCAGGGGTTGAATTTTTATTCCGCTCTGAACGAGGATTTGATCTAAAATTGTCGTGAGTACGGGTCTTGGCCAAGTTAGTGCTCGTATTGTGGCCATTATGGCACGCGAACTCGTATTCGGGAACAGGAAAGATCATCAACTCTCATCAGCAATATATGGCTTTCTAGCCTTTTTGGGTAATACCTTAGTCTTCATCGTGGCTCGAGATTAGGATCTTGCCTATATTGAACAGGGGCTTGAAATGAAGCGAAAGGCAGGGTTACATATGAAACTCGACAAGTCCGAATGCTAGGCCTAAAGCGCGTAAATCCTCAGTTTAGCCTTGACACCGTGTCATCAGCGCCGAGCATCTCAACGATGAGGAGTCTTCGGCTTAGAGATCCATCGTTTGGTGAAGGAAAAGTGTCGCAAAGTAATCTCCTAGAAAGCTGGGGTTGTTCTCGGTTGCAGCAGTTTCGGCTCGATGGTTTCTAGCCCATCGCGTAAAGGTTCCTGCAGACTTCTAATCTGACCATCATATGGAAGTATCTCCCATTAATTAGAAAAGATTATCAGTCTGATAAGGATGATAGATCAAAAGCGCTACACTGAACGGTGGCTGAGTGAAATCCTAGCTAGTCACCAAGCAAGGAACCCTGCAACTACGTGAAATCCCCAACGATATTCGAAGCTTGCGGGTGGTCAATGCCATATAGACTCCTCAGCTGGCAATATGGACTGCACGAATTCTCCTTCTAGCTCATCAAATCCTGACACGATCCTCGAATCCTTTACGTTATCGCTTCGGTACAATATAAGGATCTACCAAAACATTGTTAGTAACCCAAACCACCCACCCCTCGCCCTTCCAATGAGAACTTACAAGTTTGCCTCAAAGCACCTCATTCCAAAGATCCTTCTCAACCATCTTCTGGCTAGCCTGGTCGGTGTAGAAGAAAGTGCCCAAAACCGCCCTCGCCTCTTCCCACTCGCACAACCCCAACTGCTCCGTCATCTCAATCAGCCTGTTAAGGTACCACCCATGGCACTTGAACCCCTGCGACGCAAGACTAGCAAGAACAAGAATCCAGAATAGCAGCTCGGGTGTTTCAGACTGGAGATGTGAGTATGGAACATCAAGGCTCTGTCGGAGATTTTCGACGACATGTTCCATGAACGGGAAATACTGGACGCGCCACATTCGCAGGTTTAGGTAAATGAGTAAGGTGAGGCGGAGTGGTTCATTTATATCCGTTGGATCTGTTGTTGTGTAGCGCACGCAGAGAATTTGCTGCTCAGCAACAATGAAAAGATCGTTATCTGTGGGCATTACAGAAGACGTATTGCGCTGTGCATTTTCGTAGTAAATCACCAGGCGCCGCATAACCTGGAACAAGGCTTTCATATTACGATCAAACTTCGTGTACCAGCAGGAAGTGAAGATGACAATGCCGAGGGAAGGAAGATCTTTAGGTGTGTCAAGCTCGTCCGGCATTAGGTGGAGTCGGAAGCCTTGGATGATTTCGCTGCGCCAGCGAGCGGAAATTGGGAAGGATGGGCGGGTATTGTTAATAGCAGCGCTTTTGATGTCGCTCCTGTGAATTATTAGCGACCAGATGCGTCGTGAATAGAGAGACGTGGAAAAAGTGTACTGGTAAACTTTGGATAGAGTCATATGCTCTATAGTATCTAATCCGCCCATCAACTGGATAAGCCTCTTGAGTCCCTTCATATGCACGTCACTAGCCTCGATGTTTCCATCGACGGCCTACAATAGATAAGGGTCAGCAAGTTATAAATCTTACAGTGCCTCTCGACACATCAAGAGCTCGGACATTAACTTGGCGTAGAGCCTACCTCGATCGCGACAAGCGAAGCAACGACCAGCGTCGTAGACCCAGCGGCTGCTCTAAGGGGATCTTGCATGATATTATTCAACGTCTTAAGGGCATCACCGCGGAGACGAAGCGAATCCCGCAGTGACCTCTTAATGACCAGAGATGAGAGACCGCTGCTGGTCTCTAGTTTCGCCTGGTGGCCTGCTGTTGAGAACAGGGGCGCCTGGAGAACAACTGGCTGTTGGATTGCCTTCTGCCATCACCACATACTCATCCTCGTCGCGTCGCCTGGGTAGCATGCTGGTTGTGTGGATTCTGGCTACTTTTAGTTAGCTTTTGTCTATTTTTGATACCCGGGATTTCCACAATGTGCAAACAATGATGAAAGTACATATTCATAACGGATCGACATAGCCCTGGCCGAGATAGGCGTTAAGGGACCAAATGTCAGACCGAAATGCAGCCTGTCCGGAGCTTTTTCTCGAAAACTCGTTTTCTTCAAGCCATTCATCCTGCTCTCTACCGGGGTCTGTATTTTCTGAGGCTGACTTCTCGCTCGTTGGGTAATTGATAAGAAGACGGTTGGCGGAGGCCGTTAGGGGGTTTTTCAAGCGCTGGATGGACGCTTGCTTTTTTCTCCTGTGGTAATTTTGGAGTAGAAACCCTTGTTTCTCTTTCCGCAGCTTCTTGTTCTGAGCCTTGTCTGCTTGGAAGTCTATGAAGAGGAATGTTGACTGTGGTTTCACGGGCTCGGTAATTCCGTACGGCCGATTCCCAGCCTGGCGTGCTTCCTCAAAAGGAATCGAACACGATGAATCATCACTTGAAGGCGGTGAGACGGAAGACGACGAAGACGATATCGACTCAGAGGTCGACGATTTCAATAACCTCGACATTCTCGACGCAAATCCTCCCAATGGCCGTTGAAAGCGCCACTCTTGCTATGTTATTTATATGCAAAAGTCGCCGTTTGCCTCAGGACCAAAGCCAAGATTACCGGCTGCACATCAGCCCTTAATCATCACGCGGAAAAAGCCTCCGGTCCACCTATCAGACGCTAGGCAGTGAGTAGCCAATAGCAGCACCGCAACCTTTTATCGAAAGCAGTAAGGCGCCTTTGGAGCCGGCTCATCGTGGGTCGAATATAGCGGGACTAACTCTGGTAGTCCAAGTTGGCCAGTTGTGAATTGCCCCAATGAAGGTTTGGCCCCAAGGGGTGGGCGGCCAACGGTATAGACGTGCAGCTTGAACCGCCGAATTGTGTCGTCTTTTGAAGATAATGGAGTGGAGACATGATCGCGGAATGTGGGAGGTGCTCTGTGATAATTTGTGAACCACTTCAAGATGGTTTTGGTCACTCGAATTGATCGAATTGGTTGAGCAGAGGTTTCTTCCAGCCTGCTGTCAGTCGAGATCAAGCGTGCTTGAGAGTTTGGGCTTCCTTATTACCTAGCGAAAAAAGCGAAAAAAGCGAGATACCGGATTGGCCAAATCGTGGTTCCGATTTTTTGGCACCGTGGCAGAGTTCCACTCTGCGATGGCCGGCGCATCGGAAGTTATCCGGACCAGAGCCAAATAGAGGAAGCGGTCTAGTCTATCCTAAACCCTGAAAACCCTGAAAATCAAGGCAGTCAAACATAGCTCTGCGATTTGAGAATTTCCGGCCGGTTGCCAGGCGTTGGGCATGCAAATTCACATGTAATTTCTTGATCAGCAGAAGAGCTTTGGTAGGGGAGACCGAATCGGAAAAATGATCAGACCTTAGCTTCCTGTAGCGACGGCATTCAAGACTAAGTGGGAATGGATTTTTTCATGTACTTGACTCTCAGGGGGACAACGCTGAACTTATAAAATAGGCTAATGTCTCAAGATCATAGTACTTGCTGGAACAATCTTAACAGCGAACACGATACGAGAAGAAAATGCTCATAGAATAGCTCTGTTGGCATATAAAGTTTTGATCCTGGCCAATCACGGCAGGCTATAAGGTACCCAGATTTGGTTTAGATCGAAGGTTCGGGATTACCGACCAGGCTCGGCCTGACGGGCAACTCAATCTAAGCCATATCAGGAAACCTCAACCCGTCCTTTCTTTAGCCCGGACAGCTGACTACCTCAATTATTTTTATCAATGTGCCGTGGCTGGATGCCCGGACTCAAAGAACCCTAGAATCTCCCTAAGCAGAGCCCCCACAGTAGAAAAAGTGTGCACTATTCCTCTTGCGGTGTCAACGATTGTAGTTCTGATTGGCTAGAATGTAGACTATGCCGAATCTAATCGTTCCTGCAAGTAACAAGTGAGATCGATGGAAAAGTTCAGCCAGTAGGTATATTAAGGGCATGATGGCTCCCTTCGTTGGTGGTCAAATTAATTTCGTCGCAAGAACTCATATCGCACGGCTCAGCATACAGTCAGGTAGCTACGCACACAGATACACATGCACACAATGGAGGACTATTCATACTGGAACTCTCAAACTCCCAGTCTTTTTGACATGCACTACAATCGCGGAGAGATGCCAATTCTACAATCTACAATGGTGAGTTTATTTTCGTCAAATCTTGCATCAAAAATGCGTTGCTGACTTGCAAAGAATTATATTCCTGGATACCAAGAATACGAGCTCCCTACAGCGCTCGACACTTTTATTCCTCGCTTAGTGATGCCACCTGAAGCGGATCCCAGCCTACAGCCACCTGGGGCTTACCAAATAGTCAACCTCGACCCCACACTCTCTCCCAACGCCACTATCTCGACGCCATCCAGCCCACATTCACAGCATGGCCAGCGCGTAGTAACATGTTCATTAGACACGAAAATCCAGAAACATAAATCACAGACTGTAAGCTTTGCATCACCTCGTGTTATCTCCTCAAAAGGATCCGAAACTAATCACTCGATTACAGGCTAAAGGACGCATGCAAAACCGCGAAGCGCAGCGCCGTTTTCGGGGACGCAAAGAAGAGCTCCAGCAAAAGCTCCAACGACAGGCTACTGAGCTCGAAGCACAGTGCCAAGAGCTCTCAAAGGGGTTCTGCCAGAAATCGGAAGAGGTTTCTGAGATCATCAAGGAGAAGGAGGCCCTTACTAGCGAAATACAAGATTTACGCAAGAGGTGGCGCGTTATGTTAATGCTACTACAACTGCCAGACAGGCTACAGTCACTGTCAAGCTTACTGGGGAATGATTTGTCTTCACCCTCGGGTTCATCTCCTTCCTCTTCATCCTCGCCATCTACGACAAAGTCTGAGCCGTTGGATGTGCCACTGGACGAATTGTTGGGGTGTCTGCAAGAGTTGTTGTTACCAACCTTATGAGACACTCAACAGCTCCTCCGCTCTTTATTCTTCCTCTTAATCGCTTAATGTCTTCTTTGTTTTGGTTTGAGTAAGGTTTACGAGAGTTGCGTGTCTTTTCGGGAGTTTTTTCTTATGGATCTTTGTGACTGCCTTAGCAGTTTTGTGGATAATGTTTTTTGATAATTATGATTGTTTTGATGTATATGCTTTACGAGCGTACAAGGCACAAAAGGCAGTGGCTACTGGAATCTTGTCCAGATGGTAGCCGGGATGCTCTTGAAGTTAATGATATTAATGCTATACTAGTTAAAAAAGATTTGGGTAAGAGTTTGATTCTCCCGCTACAGTCTGGCCTTCTATTTCCATGGTCTGAGTAGATAAAAATCCTCCTATCAGCATCAGCATTCAAAGAACACTCTCCCGGCAAGATTAACGAAGGAGCACGCACGACAGAAAGTAAAAGAACGGAACTCCTAACAAAGAGTTTTTGACTAGCGCAGCAACACTTAGTTGCCATCTGTGAGTGAGCCCAATATAAAGTAAAGATCAGTCAACAGAGTGAAGCAGCCAAGATGAAGAAGAGCAATATTCTAGCTCATGAGTCATTCTCTTCGCGTGGACAGACCTTAAGCGTAAGAAATGAGTCAGAACTTTCATAGAATGGCTCCCGATGATCTAGTGAGCCGTCACCCTAGTTTCCTTCCACATGGCCGTCGGCAAATCTACCAGTCAGTGTCCTCTTGTTTCAGGGACCCGAGTTTGACAAATTGACCAGGTCGACCCCCGTGGGACACTAGGCCAGTAAAGTGGATCCGCGCGGAATATCTCCGTGCCAAAGGGTCTACATCTTATCTTGCCGAACGGTTAATTTTGGGTTCCGCGGTTCATTCCGTTCCATGGATTCTACAGGCACAGACTTGTGAAACAGCAATTTGGAACTTTGGTCCCGAGAATTCGGCCCTTATCGCAGGGAAGTGGTGTGGGATAGATGACATTGTTCCCTAAAGAGAAAGTCGAGTCAGAGGATCGGGAAAACGTAGTCAATCTAGGTAGCCTTCTCCACAGAGCAACCGCTAATTCGAGGAATCCTATTTTTTTTGAATGGTCATGAGCCCAGTAAGTAGAGGACTGGTGGATAGGTCTGGCCATCTTACTCGTGAAGAAAGTCGGTCGAACCCCTTGGATCGGACCTCCATAGCTAGACACTGAATCCAAGACCTTGAGAAATCCCAATTAAATTGAAGACGTTATCAGCGCCATAATATGCACTACCTCAATAGAATAAGGCATCAAATGGTGCAATCTGGCAAGCTACAAATGTACAGTGGCATTTCGACGGCCTGTCGAGTTTGGAAAATACTATGGACAAGGCCACCACTTACATGCAGATGTTAGAGAAAAATACTATGAAAGATTAGTGATTTCATCTGGATAATTGACCAAGCTTCCATCGTCTCGAAAGTATTAGAGGAGCGGCAGGTTTGGAATAAACATGAGTTAAGGGCGACGGGAAAAGCTACTTCAAGAATCATTGAATGTAGTGGTGAAGGATAATAATGGGCAGTCAAGACTTCTTTAGTTACAAGTTACGGCCGGAGCAATTCTTACTGATCTACATCAATCTATCAATCCAATCAAGGGAGAACTCAGATCACTATATGATTCGGGGATAATGTGAGCCGACAGGACAGAAATCGTTATGAACGGCATCTTCATATTTATGCCCCTCCATCTAGACTAATGGAACCAAAGACTTGAAAAGGAAGAAATGAACCGAGTCAATTAAGGAAAAAACGAGAAGAAACCCCTAAGATAAAAAAGCCGCGCAGTGCAAGATTCATATTCATGATCATTCATTACCGTCATGTCATCTCTCTAAGAACAGAAAGAAGCCAGAAAAAGAAGAGAAGAAAAGAAACAACATGAGAAGCCCGCCGCCCGCGGCCAAAATCCGCACGCAGACCTGTCTGAACCCAAAAGCCTAGCTTTTGATGAAAAACCTAAGCGACAGAAATGGATACAGACACAAGGCCAGACTAGGCTAAACCCAAGATCAAGATCAAAGTCACCGGGAATCCAAGTCCCAGGTGAAAGATCATGAGAGAAAATGAAAAGAAAAAACAAAACGAAAAAAATCCTTTTGCCCCCAAAAAAGAAGTAAACAGTATCGCAAGAATTTCCAATGGCCAACAATTCAATTCGCTCTCGAGAGGTTCTTCTCTCCAAGAACCAGTAACTCGAGACAAGTCCAAAAATGAGAAAAACACTGGTCGTTCCTGGTCATGAATGAATGAGCAAGAAGTGCGGACATAGAAAATTCGTTATATGAGATTCGTGTCATCATGGTCGTTAAAAAAAAAAAAAAGAATAGGAAGACGAAGAAGGAGGAAGTCAAGAACAAAGGAGAGAGAGACTGAACGTGAGGAAATGCACTGCTCCGCCCTGTACACTCAACTCAACTTCGGTCATGCCATCCATCCCAACTGCTTCCTGTTGTTATCAATTTGCGTGTGGAAGACATGGTGGTGGGTGTAGAATAAAGCATAATGGGTGGGGTATTCCCGGAATCCAACCTGGTCAGAGACCTGAAACATCAAGAAGCACTCGGGTTGATCGGAATCGGGGCAGCGCTCAAGATCGATCCTTAAGATCCATACCCTGACTCGATCGCGAGAAAAAGACCAAGTGCAGTCTGTGTCATCGAGACGGGGCGTAAGATAAGATGTAAATTTAAACGCAGTGCTCAAACCGAATCAAAAAAAGCAGGTCATGTCAAGCGTTCCCAAAGTCCACGGTACGGAGGATCAAACCAACACCGCGGTGCCGCGTCTATCATCAAAAAAAGTAAATCAAAACTCCATCCAGAGGTGAGAGAGGTTGTGTTAGTTGGCGTTATTCAAGGTCGTAAAATGGTCTTCCACAAATGATGCAAGCGATGAAAAGTGGGTTGCCAGTGATCATCGACGGCGAGCCATCACCCCGCCGGTCTTCACAGGTTGCAGCAGAGGGGCACCCACGGGACCGCCAAGTGTGGTCTCGGTGATAGTCTTGCGGCGCTTACTCTCGTACTCACCGCCGCTATCGGTCCGTAGGACATCGTCCTCCTCACGCATGCGCTTGTTGCCCGAGCCCATGTTGCCATTCATGGTGGTTGCATAGACGGGCGTTGATGTAGACGCCATGGAATACGGGTCCGAGGCACCATGTGCAGGCGTGCCGCGAGTGTCACTCACAGCGTTGTACAATGTCGTCGCAGCAGTGGGGCGCGGGGGAGTGTTATATCCTGAAGCCCAGTGCGGGCCCGGCGCGCTGACGCTGGTCCGCGGTGTCATGCGGCCTGAGCCATTTTGCTGAGGAGATCCAGTCATCTCGGGAGTCAGCTGAGAGTGCTCGCCATTGATCGATCCCACAGACGGATTGGTCGTGTATGTGTAGGAGCCCCGGTTGTTGTATGCGGATCCTTGGTCCTGCAGGTACTCTGGCTCATGTTCCTGTCCCGCCTCACCAGAACCATTGTTCTGCGAGTAGCGCTCAGACCCATTGCTCTGGGAATACCGGTCAGACTTCAGGTCAGAAGTTTCGGTCTCAGGAGCCCGACCTGTCGGGGGAGCCATCTCGTTCTTCAAATAGTTCATCGTGGGAAGAGATTGGCCGTAATTGGAGATGCCAGATTGCGTCATGGGCGTCTGCGGGGCATACTGTGAGTGAGACTGCGGCGCAGCCGAGTAGTATGGCTTGCTGTCATATCCGGTTTGTCCCTGATACGGCGGCATACTGTGGAGGTTGTTGCCGGGAGGTGTCGTGGCGGGCGTAGTCGGCATCGAGCGTTGGTTGCTCAGGGCGGTGTCGATGGACAATGGTTGCGTGTGCGGCACCTGGCCACCCCATTCATATGAGCTCCCCTGGTTGGTCACTCCCATCAGGCTGGATGCACTGGCTGGGGGAGTGGGAAACGTATTGGCGCGATCAAGACTGGGACGAGGACCACCTCCCATGGAAGGTGGCTGGGACATGTGCGAAGACATGGGAGTCTGCATAGCTTGGTGGTGGTGCAAGCTCGAGTGCTGGGGAGCGGTCGGGGTAGTGCGCTGAGCTCCTGAGAGAGGGCCCTCCAGACGCCGGTGGTTAGATTCCTGCACGACTGCGTTTGTCCGGGTTTGGTTGGCTGGATGATACAATAGGCCGCCAATATTGTGCACGAAAAGCGGATACAAGAGATCGGTGATCTTCTCCTTGTTGGCAAACTCCAATGCACGCTCGAATGGGATCCTAGGGGGCGAATTAGATCTCGCTTTAATTCTCAGACTGTGGAGAAGAACTTACCAAACACCCTTCAGGTGCATTGGACCAATCTTCACCACATGGCGCAGCTTCTCGCTCTTCAAAATACCATCACGGCGGCCACGAGTCATCCCAGCCACGTTGAGGAGCTTGGTACCATTGATCATATGGTTATCTGCGAGGCAATTTGTTAGACCAGAATGATTTGACGAATGATGGGATTAATGGATAAACATACCCTCTCTCCGAGCAACACATACACCCTTGGCTTCCACCTGATAGCAAAGGCTGCCCTCATCCTCCCACAAGGTTGCAGTAACCCTCGGCTTGGCTCCGGGAGGCGCAATCTGGCCTGTGGGATCATAGACGAAGCCTTGCAAAGGAGATCCGGTGCTGTTCCCATACCCAGAAGGAGCTGCAACGGGGTGGTTGCTGACTGGGCTCACTAATGTTTCAATTAGTTCAGCTATTACATGGAAACAGAACTTCCTCTTCAGAATGGACGAAACTGACCTTGGGGAAGCGGCAACAACTGTGCGGGCATTTGTCCACCCATGGAGCTTGCTGGCGGCGCGTGGCCCGTTGGCGGGGAGGTCACGCCATTCGAGTAGCCATATTGCTGATACGACGCCGGGGCATAGCTGGAGGCCGGTTGCAAGACGGGCGGCTGGTGCTGGTACGGATAGTGGGACATGGTGCCGGCAGTGGCAGCCTGCGAAGCGTATGGTTGGGCAGAGGACAGATGGGAATGAACGTCCATGTACGGCTGAGAGTGATTCATACTGCCGAGCGAGGTCGGGCTGGGATAAAAGCCGTCGGTGTGAGCAATGGCGTACTCCGAATCGAACGAAAGCCGGCCCTGTCCTAAATCTGCAGGGGGCGGTGGGCTCCTTGGCTCCTGGACCGCAGAAGCACCAGACAGACTTGTTCTAGCGCTGGAGCTGGTGGTCGAGCCAGGCACGTCGGGATAAAATGAGGAATTGAGGGTGCGGGTCGGGGCCTGAGTGGCGGTCGGGAGGCTGAGCGCGGGGAGCTTATCGCCCGACAACAACGGTCGTTCGGCCGCGTGGTGGTTGTACCAGGGGGTATCAGCAGGGCCGCGGGTGTGGACCTGCGAGATCGATGGCAGCTCCAGCTTTTCGGTTTCACGGGGAGGACTGTAGAAAGAGATGTGGAAGCGCTTTGGCTTGGGAGGGTCGGGAAGATGGGGGAGGAGGTATGGCTGTCGGGAGGTGTTAGACTGTGGGGATGGGGTCCTGCGAGCCGTTTCAAGAGAGCTGGTTGATCAAAGAGCAGAAGCCGGGCGCAAAGGTTGCACTGCGTCCGACAGAAAGAAATTGGTTTGTAGAAGGTAAGTCTGAAGGGTAAATTCCAGTTTTACCAACAAATGTGTGGAGTGGAGGAGAGAGGCAATGCAAATGCAATCAGTTTTCCGTTGGGTAGTCGCAGATGCGGGCAAGGCACCAAAAGAGTCGGGACTCGGGAGACCAATATAGAATCGCTTTTTGGATGGGAAGAGGAATAGAGCAGAGCAGACAGTAGATAGCAGAGAAGATCGAACAAATTCCCAGCAATCAACAATCAAAGAGCAGACAGGGCATCAATCTCATGAACGGTCGTGACAAACATGAAAAGGCGGATGTGAGTTCATGCAAGTTGCGAACAGCCGAAGTCAAATAAGGCCGCAGTGTGGGAGTGAAGGGGTGGCGAGAGAATGAAACGAAAGGGTTTTTACAGAAAGAGGCTGGCGTGCAGCAAACGCATCCCCGTCTGCAGGATGGGGGGGAGGTTTGAGATGACCCAAGGGGGAGGGGGTGGGTGTAAAGAAGGAGGAGGGGGAAGGTGGAAGTGAGTTGAGAAGAAGAGAGAGAGAGAGAGAGAGAGATCAGTTGGGAGAGGCACACATCAGAGCCGCAGGACGGGAAAGGCGATCAGTGGAGGTAAAGCAGGTGACTGGGATGACTAAGGGCAGAGGAATGTGGGGGTGTGCAGAGAGATAGCGAGAGGGTGGGAAAATGCTGGGAAAAAAGACGAGGAGTTGGTGGTTTCAAGGTGGCTGGGAGGGCTGCTAAATGCTGGCAGAGAATCGCTGGAGGAGGTACAGTTTAGTACGGGGTATCGGGAGGATCCTGGGAAGTCCTGAGGTTTCCACTCGAAAATAGTATCGGTGGAGCCGAGGAAGTTAACGAAAAGTAGTCTGGGAGCTGGTACGATCGAGTCAACCGCCACCAAGCAAGGATGGGCAAGGGTCGAGAATATCTGGAAGAAAGTGGACTAGCGAAATAGAGAAATAGAGGGGGGAGGATTTTCAAAAAATCAGGAATAAAATAGAGCCATATTTAATATGAAGGAATTTTTAATGAGAAATGGATTTATAGCTAAATAATGGAAATCAGAACTAGGAAATCATCACCTGGGGCACTAATAACACATAAGACTGTTTAGTGAGAGGAGAAAGAGAGAGGGACACAATTCAACATGGAAAAGAAAAAGAAAAGTAAAAGATAATTAAATCAGGTAAAAATCAGAAGAAATAAAATACTAAATAAAATCATAAACAATATTAAAAAAAAAAAAAAAAATGCAGGGACATTGACAAGAGAAGAGACCAGGGCTGGGCAGACGGAAGGAACGACAACACCAGCCAACAAAAGACAGCAAGAAAGAGGAGACCAGACTGACAGAGAGAGAGGAAGAGAGGAAGAGAAGAAAGAGAGGAAAGAGGGGATCCACCAAGCTGAGGAGATCCTGGTCTGTGTGACAAGCAAAACGCTGATCGCCCGGGATAGGCCCGCTGGGATCAGGTGGAGTCCGATCCCTACCGCCACGCACTTGACGAAATGGAATAATACAATTATATAGATACAGAGAGGCTAGGGAAGATCGGCAGAGGATTGTGATCTGTAGTTTGAAGGGTAGAGAAAAGGGCAGGAGGAATACAGAATACAGAGTAAACAAAGTATATAGTATAGAAAGAGCGCAAGGTCTTGAAGATAGAGTACAAGCAGTAACTTCTCACATAAGGCCGAGACAGACCAGGGACTGGGATGCCATACAGATTCACCTTACTCCTAATTACACCAGTAGTAAGAGTACTGTCCTTTTCAAGTACTATACTAATACATAGTAATTCTTGGTTATATACTCCGTTCTCCGTGGTAAATCATCGGGGATGCTTCCTCCGGAAGGGATGAGCCATGGTTGACGGTCTCTCCACGAGCGCGGGTCCCACCGTGAACCAGGGATGGTAAGAACGGGGAGAACTGGGGCAGAATAACACCACAACACTAAGTACAGTATGTACTAACTATCCTATACTCAATTCGGAGCACTAAATAACAACACAAAACAATGAGGATGGAATCGAGAGTCGAGACTCCCGATCGACGGCCCCGTGCAAGACATAGCGCCTGCAGAGCCCGGCGGCTGCACCGTCGATTACGGCCGGGGGGTTTCATCTGCGCTTAGTGCGAGAGTTGGAAGATCCATTAGCAGGGTAATTTGAAGATTATTGTCCACTTGGATAGTACTGTAGGTTGATATAGGTAGAAGATTCAATTTGCTAGAAGGATAAATTAATGATATCCTCGGACTCAATTCCATTAAAGTTTGATCAAACAAGTCCATGAATTACTCTTCTCAAACTCCACCAGGAACAGGTCAAAACAACTCCCCCGACAGAGCGAGGGCCCTAGGCTGGCCAGCACCGAGCCCACCCGCCCTGCCCACTAACAACACTAATGCCCGCGATCTCTCTCTCTCTCGAACCAGGCACACGGACTCCCGTCATGGATTTCTGTTGAAATTATTACTCCGTGGTGACAGTCCCAGTTCCAGTCCTAACCTAACCCCAGAGGGAAAGACCCATGAATTCCAAATTGCAAACTTCAGCACAGTATCGAATCAGCCACCTATTATTTCTTTCCATCATACAGTAAAAAAGCAGGTGATCATCTCTAAGTCTAAAGAGTGTACTCTCTATCTCGTACTTTGTACACAACACTATCAAACAATTCCTTTTTCCACGACCGATCGATCACGCTCCGTGATATCTTGGGTCAGCCTCGGATACGCAGCGCGCGGCCCGTCGATCGTTAAGCCCTGGGGGTGGAAATTGCATTTAGCACGGCTATAGCCGACGAGCAGAGGAGAGTGATCGTGATACAGTAGATTGATTAGTTCGTATTAGTAGGGGGGTAATTAGTATTACTTACTGTACTGTACAGTATGGGTGGCTTATGGGCACTGGGGCACTGGGCACAGAAAGAAAGCCTAGGCTAGGCACTGGCGGGCTCCTTGTGGCCTAAGCTTTAGGTCCTCGCAAATACTACCAATCAACCATCTTCTTCCCTTAGCTACTGTGACTGACGGAGTAATTCGTTATTTCCTTCCTTGCTATGATACTGATAGCGTACTTACTCCGTACTCCATAGTAACTTGGAACGACTCAATTCCCCGCTTACTCAATCATCCAAACCCAAATTGCCACCCAATCCACCGAAAAGAAGATACAATACATACTCCGAAAGAGAATTAAAAAAGAAACCAGCTTGTCCACGATAAGGCGGTCCGAGAGTCACGGGCGCGTCACACCCAAGGGATGGCAAAAGAGGAGAAGGGGGGGGAATCAGTGGCTCAGAAGGCACCACGCACCGGGTGGCTTGAGTCGATCAAGGGTCTGTTCTCTTGGGATCCCTGCTAGTTCCACAACTGGGCGTTTACCGAAAAGGTCGGTTGAAGACCTGCCCCGTCCAGATTGAAATCGATGGGCAAGATAGTGCCTTTTTGGGGGTGGGAGTGGGAGTGGGAAAGGATCTGTTGATGGTCCCTTTTTCCTTTTGCTTTGACTCTAGTGATAAGGCCACATTATCGCTGGTTCAACGTCAACTTTCCCATACATGATGTTTACTGTAGGTCAAAACGTAGAGGAGATGAGACTAGGCCAGGCTACGAATACCAAGGCGATTGGCTTGCGCGATCGTGGCCGACTGTGAAGTAATAATGGGCCAAAAATTTGAGCTCCGGAACGCACTCCGTAATTACGATAATTCCCATGACGTTGAAGATCTACTCAACCTCTGGATTAAGGCCACCACGCTAAACAGCTATCTACAGTAGTAGGTAGATAACTCTTGTATGTACATAAATAACTCCTTCTCTTTACGGATTACATATTTTCCAGTACTTACCTAACCAGCCCATCAATGCCAGTGGTTGATCAACGATCGTGACGAGTCGTTTTTCGACAACAGAGGTTTATTCCACAACCTTGTCTAGCGCGGATAATCCCCCCAGCAAGGGGATCTCGGTTGACGCAGGCCGCGAAACGTCGCTGGCAAATTGGCAATTGGGGAGAAGAGACTGGGGAAGAGAGGAACTCTGTCTTCCGTAGCTTACTACTACTTCACTTTCCATACACCGCCTGTTTCTTCTCGATCCCATTGATCCAGATAGATACCCCCTTGCATCACACGTAGGAGCACTGGTGAGGCGGGATGGGCGGTGGGAGATGGAGTTAATTTTTTTCAAATTGAATCGAGTTAAACGCACCAATCGAGGTGGAGATTGAGGGATATTGAAAGTCTTGAGGCGGAAGAAAGGGATAAGCGGGAGAGGAATCTCGATAGTCGGGCTGTCGTGAACGAGGTTGACAGATGTCAAATTTGACAGGGGCGTGGTATTGAAGTTGCTTTGACGTATGTAGAGTACTGTAGGTATAGAGGTCTATTGTACATGGAGGGCAGGAAAGTGTTCCAATTCTTTCTACGGTACTTCGTATAGCGGTCCTATCTTGGCTTTGATTTGCTTTTGTTCTCTACTGGACGTGTATAGTTACATAGTTGTAACAAGCTTACTACCTTTGTCTGCCGAATATTCTGTTTTTCGGTTATTTTTTCTGTATGATTCTCGTCACCGTCCGTCCGACCGGAAGAAAGGGAGAATAGATGATCAATTGCCAATCTGGCGATTATTGACATCGACAAACACCCTAGCAAGTGTGCGGGACTATCTACGGAATAAGGGAGACATACTCTACAACTTGTAGACCGTCCTCCGTCTAGAGTAACGTACTCCCCTCTCCAAGCAAGAAGGCCACCGATTGATTGATGGATTTCCCGATTCTTCCCTGCTCCGTTCACAGATTTGCCTTCGGTGGGTTACGCTCCTAGTCGTGGCGTTAGGCCGACCACACAGACCCTGTCGGAGGGGAGGGGATGATTAGGGCCAGAAGCGAGACATGGGGGAGAGTGCGTGGGTAGACCGAACAGAGTACGGAGTAGATTGTCCAGGATGGCAGTTTTTATCACAGGGTCGAGCGACCAGACTAACCACTGTGGACATGCTTGAGAAGAAGACGCCATCGATTCTCACCGAGCGATCGGGAAGAAACGGGGTCGCTGCAACTCCCGCGTGGGAGATTCTTCGCCGAGCCCTAGCTCTCTAGCTCTAGCTACCAGCTCTACGGAGTACTTCCGCAAGAAGTGCGAAAGAATGGGTCCGTCCTTCGCCAGGGCTACTGTAGCTCAGAAGCTACCGGATGAAGAGCTCCTGGTTGGAACAGTGCACGAAGAGGGAACGATAGTCTAATCCTATCATATGCATAGACTTACAGAGGCACTGGAGACAAAGCATCTGCAATCTAGCAAGTCTTCAAAGCAGGTACGCTAGTTAGTGAACTAACTTCCTCACGAAAAGCCCGGGGTCTGCTTCCAGATCCCTGCCCGCAGCTCGCTATCGACGGCCCGATACCCGCTGCGCATACAGCGTACAGTAGGGGGAGGCAAAGAAAAGAAAAAGAAAGAGCGGGAAAAAGTCAAAATTAAAAATAAAACAAAGAGGGAGGGGAATGAGTGGATAGTTTGGCAAGGGTGAATGGGGCCCAAAAAGCAAAGACCAAGTCAACTAACCCCACTATGTACAGTACCGTCACACCGAAGGATCCGCTGGAATTGACCAGTCCCATGCTAGGATGTTGTTCGTGGAAGTAAAAGCCTTGAGGAGTTTTTGCTAGTCGCGGTTGGTGGAAATATTTACCTTTTTTGTTGTACAGCGTAGTACTGCACTCACATACTTTCTTAGCAAGGAAAAAATAAAAGAAAAGAAAAGGAATGGAAAAGGAAAAGAGATTAGGAAAAAAACCCAAAATCAGTCATCCAATCAAAATACAATCGAATCATGGCGGAGTCAGCGGGCCAACCGGGGAGGCTGGGCGTGGAGACAGCGCTTGGAACGGTTGGCTTGCGTTTTGGGTTGGTTCTTTGGTTCTCAGACCCAACCTCCTCTCTTCTCCAGTCTCTTTTTCTCCAGTCAAGGTCTGCATCGACTTGATGACTGATGACTGATTCATGTACCTAGCTCGGACACTAAAGCGCCCCAACACACTCGCAGTAGACGCTAGCGGACAAGCTAGTCGGGGGGCCCGGAATTCATCAGAATCTCCTCCAGGATCTGTACGAGTACGGAGTGTACTCAGTTTCTGTAGGTTGATTCAAGGCTTCAGAAAGTCTATGTCGGTTTAGCAACTGCCCTTCATGGGTTAGTAGGAGAGTAACTAAGTATAGAATACTGAATCCGTGGTTGAGAGTCAATAGCCATGGCCTCGGAAAATACAACACGCGCGACCGTCTACAACATCCATTGTTCGCAGTCTCCTCCGTATGCACTCCGTACTCCGACCTCCGTAAATCCTTCATCGATCGCCCTAAGCTTGGGCCAAGTGTACTTGTCTGCAAAATCTCCTTCATCTTCCACTTCCCAATCCGTATTCGCGAATCGTCCATCACTCTGCAAATCATCGATTTTTTTTCTTCTTTTTCCCCTGGTCTTTCTCTCCTTCCCCACTCCAATCAGTAACCAACCCCGGAGTAAACTTACAGGAATCAATTAGCAAATCTACAAAAATCTAATTACTCCCCACCAGCCCTAAATCGGGGACTATCCACGAACCTCCGGACCTGATGTATCAACCGGCCGGCCGAACAGCCCGTTAAACCGTGAAGAAGAAGCAGCAAGGGCTACAATAGACTAGAGCCGGGATCGGGGGGCCGCCAAGGACTTAGTACAAAACCGACTGTGTTTAGTCCATGGTAGCATGGTCGTGGGATGGTCCAGGCTTTGTGCGGATTTACTGGCTCGATGGGTCCCGAGCTTTGGCATTGATCGTCGCGGTCCGGCGCGGGTTGACGGGGGTGAATGACGCTATCTACGGATGTACGTATTTATCGCGCATGTCGGGGCTGATCGGCCGTTCGGGTGGGTGTCGGAGATGGGGATGGTGGGTTTCATTATTATTATTATTCATAGAAAGAGATTGGTTAGAAAGGGATGTTTGATTATCATTGACGATATTCTTGATACCCTGTATCATCATCAACTATTAACCTATTATTGACAATTAACAGGTTGATCATGATCAGCTATTGTAGAGACAGGGAGGGATATAGGATCATTGACTTGACTGGTCTGTATTTCATACATTTTCCTTATTATTGTAGGATTTGATTTCTTCCTCGGCTTGTCGGAAGAATAGTCGAGCAGGGGGCATGGCAGAGCTCGCTTTGAGATGCTCCACTAGCTAGGAGAGGGGTTTTAGCTAGTCAATCATACTGTATCATCGCCGATGATATCTAAAAATTCAGTCTGCGCTGCCTCAACAAAGTAACTAAGCGATTTACACACACAGCTGTCCTAAACTCTTGAGATACTATTCTTGTCCTGACAATGATCGACGGGTTCGTCCGTACCTTGCAGCGACCAAGTTGCCCTGCAGCTCGGGGGTGGACGTCAGTCCGTGCAGACCTGGCAAGCTTGCGATGATGGGCCATGGCACGGAGATTCGGAGACGTAGACGGGGGTCCTGCAAGGCCGTAGCTCCGGTGCACGTACCAACTGAGCTTACTCAAGTCCGGAGACATGGTTTAACTAACGAGACTGGCCTGTGCGATACGCTATGCGGGACGAAACTCACGCGCAGCATGCAAGATTAACATCAATGAGCCGTTGACAGGTTGTACGGTACCATGGGATTAGAGGGAGTGTCTGGATTTAGCATTTTGACAGCGAGGAGACTATGTTTTTTACTTCTTGCGCATTGCGGATGGCTCTTCGGGGCCGGATGGCCGTGCGCTACTAGATGCGGAGGCTTTGTGCATAACTTTGCATCGAGTCTCTCTTTCTGGCTCTATGTGTATGTATACGCCGTACTCTATACGCAGGAACAAGTAAACAAACATCGAGGTACCTTCTCATTTTCCTTCTCTTCGTTTAATGACCCTTGGGGCTTTTATCATTCTCATCTACTAGCCGACCCCTTTTCGTATCGCTACCTAGTCAACCAGTCTCTCCCTAGTCTGGATGAGAGGCGATTGAGGAGGGGTAGGTGGGACAACAGGACTTTGGCGTGGTACAAGACCAGAATGCGAATCAGTGTTGAGGATTGGTGGCAGGGATCCCCGGGGGATGGAATTGAGGAGATGTGTTGTACAGACGGGTGATTCGCGCTAGGGCGAGCCGAAGAGGGAGGAAATTACAGTGGATAGGGGTGGATGGTCATGATGCGCTTGTCTTTGCGGTTAGGCTGATTTCTGGCGTTGAGGGCTTGGGCTAGTACTTCGTAATGTGGAGGAATTTTGGGTGAGATTTCACCCATAACGAGGCTTCGGTCAGGGCTGTGAATTGTTAATGTGCTCGTGAGTAGGTACGGGGATTTGTTGTTAACCACAATGGTTCCAGAGGTGGGAGGGAGTAGTGTCCTAGCCCCGAGTATCTTCCCGATGGCCCGTGGAATATATACACAAGTACCCAAATATACATCAAACGACATGGATACCCCGTGAGATCATGTTATTCTGCAAAGTAGTTGCGAGTCATTTTCTCTCATTTGATCCACATCAGCGACTAGCAGCAGGTACACAATACATACATACTCTTAACTCTATGGCAGCCGAGTCCCCAAATCATAATTTCATGTCCGCCACGTACAACCTATGTATACTACTGGCTAGATACCCTCACGCCACTCATTATCCAAACCGCCCTATAGAAAAACCATTAGTTTTTTGAAACAAAATTGTAAACCCAAAGGAAAGAAAATCTTCAGAAAAAACAACCGACCAAAGAGATCCACGCCACACCAACACACCAGCACACCATCACGAATGACAACGCACCACGCAGCCGAAGATCTGGGCGCGATGAAGCAGCCCAGCCCGGGGCCGTGCGACCCCGATTTAACCTCGCATTGCATTGTCCCGTGAGAAGATCGACTGCACGTTCATCTTGCCTTTGCACCCTCTAGCGCCGTGGCTCACGGGCGCCAAAATCGCAGACCATACCTACTGCGGAGTGTACTCCGGTGCGAATGAGGGGGAACGGAGGTACAAGACGATAGTTGTAGAGTCGTATTTTAAGACGAGGATGAAGGACAAGTGCGAATTCTATCTACTACCTGGAACGGCTCCGTGGATCTCCGTCGCTAGGGCGCGGCCTCGACACGATGTTTGATTCTGGATCACTACGAGTCTACGACAGTACAGTACTGTATACTGTGGTATGTAGTAGTACTAAGCCCTGTAGTGGCATAGTAGTATAGAAATTGTCTGATAGGCTTCAGACTTTACCTGAATCATTCATTCTTCCGGAACGAACGAGGCGAACGAGGCGAAGAGGTACTAATCCGACGAATGGCCGTGAAAAGAAGCAGGGTCAGCGCCCCTTCCCCCCCCTCCCCATGGAAATCCCCCCTCTTGTGAGAGTCTGAGAGGAAGAAGAGAGATTTCCGTCTGGAATCCTCCAGTCAGGATGGCGCGTAGGTGTAACCACGCTAAGTGCGTAAAACGGAGATGTCCAGCACAGGCTTGGCCAGTGCGGAGGCCGAGTCGCTGCAGGTTGCTGCGGGCGCCCGCCGATCGACGATCCGACCGGAGGATGACTGGCGGCGGCCTGCACCACGTAGCGCTCCGCCAAGCTAGCAGACTAGCGGGATTACCTAGGGTAACTTAGCGGGTTTCGTTCAGTGGGATTTAGGCGGGTTGAGTGGGTTGAGTGGGTTAGCCGGTTTAGCGGCCTAGATCGTGGTGGATTTCACCGCCAGTTGGCCCCCCCCTCATCCTCTTGTTCTTCCTCCAGTCCCTTCCACAGAAAAAAATCACAACCCCTTGCGTGCAGACGTGGCACAGGGCAAATTATGGCTCTGGGTGTGGAGCTGACACCGTTAATGGTCGTTGAGGTCTGGTCTGGGTCTGATCTGGCTTACCTTTTTGTGCCCTAAACTGGGAAGTTGTTCAGGCTCGTTCGGGATTTCCAGAACAGAGTGGTTGGAGAGATAGGGAGCTAATTGGGTGGAGAAAGGAAGCCATTTTAGTGTGTAATCATTCGCAATTATTCATGACGGAATGCTGGGCATTGATTTGTTTGGTCGGCCTCGCCAAGTCGTTTTTGTTCCTGCTCCAGAACTGGCATCAGATTTGAATTCACAATCTGTGGAAATAGCCTGTCAATAATGGCTCTTATCTCCTTATTTTTTGAGGCAGCAATTGTTTCGGTCGTCGTCGATATAACCATTTCATTTGTAGTGACCATTAAAGCCGTAGTTCATTAACAGTACTGGATTATGATACAGTAGATCTTGCCCATTGTTCTTCATCTACAAGCTACCATAGACAGCACCACCTAAAACGGTTCTACTCCATGACAGCGCGAAACTAAATTCCAGTAGTCACATAATTCCTCCTCTCCGTATTCGTGAATCATACACCAGGATCATCCCAGACGAGATTGAAATCAACCATTCCCCTCTTGCGAGCCATGGTCGGTTCGGCCACGATAACCCTACTCCATACTCCATATCGAGCATGCTAACTATACTCTGTTAGCGCTGCAACCAGCTGAAACCACAGCCCAAGACCAACAAGTGGGTGATCAGCGACGTCAGCGTAGCCACGACGATAAGACTCGAACGAACAGCACAGCTTGGACCAGATGTACGACATTTCTGCCCTGTGCCCCGACCCGAAACTACTACTCCGGGCGGAGTATACAGCTCTTACTAGATTAGCTATTTTATTTAGATTTATATTCTATGACATTATGAACTTTGATAATGATTGAAAGTATGATGATGAGTATGATCATCCTGGCGATGAAACATCATTGACTACTTAGAAGAAAAAGAAAATACAGTAATTGCCATGAGCGTGGAGGTAAGAATTGGGCAGAGTTGTACATGCTCAGTATACTTTGAAGAGCCCGAGGCCAATCCCTGAATCCAGATTCCAGATACCCGTACGGAGTAGTAGTAGCTACATTGTAGAAATACATGCTTGACATACAATTCATCTAGCAAGTAGTCCATAGCTCAAGTACCTGCTATCCTATCTCTAGCACGATCTCTCCGCCCCCGTGCAGAACTCGCACATCCCTACGAGCTGCTTCTTCGCATTGAGCGCACGATCCTGCTTCACCGTCTCTTGTCAGACTCATCCACGCCCACACATTGGCCGTGTCTGCTTTTTTCAGCATCCATTTGCTTTTCTTCCCCGGCCGATCGAAGAATGTTCAGACTCTATCCTGCAGCCAACAAGCAGGGTGCAGGGTACAAGGTATAGGCATATGCTACGCTCTGCGCTCTAGCTCTAGACAGGCTGCACGGGCACGCCCATCATCCTACATCCGCGTGGGCCTCGCCTCGCCACATTCTCGAAGTCGAAGCTTACCTACCGTAAGAGTCACTTCTGGTTCGGCGGTGCTCTTCCTTTGAAACAGTGTTTTTAGGCCCTTTCCGTATGCACGGGGTGCTTTGGGCGTGCGATCAGAGCGTTGGAGCTAGGACGTGTCGCACGTGCCTTGGGGGGTCGTAGGTTGGGCCTGGGGATGAATTGCTCGGGCGGTGGACTCACCGCTGGTTTCAGGTGTTGCTGGCTTCGGGGAATGTCTCATAGTAGAGCATATTTGTGTTTGGGTCTGGATCTGAATCTGGAGCTAGGGATGGCGTGGCGGGCTGTTGTTGGAGATCGGAGATCGGAGATCAAAAGGTTCTAGCTTTTTGGTTTCTTGTTGAAGGGTTGGAAGCTGTTGTGGGGTTGATGTTTGCGATGATTTGAAGATGCAGGGTTTGGTCTTGTCTCCCCCACCAACCCTCTTAGATCTGGTCATGGAGGTGGCTAGGTATATCATCCTGGCCCCTTGATGCACATCAGGATGCTGCTGGGAGTTCTGGGCCGCCTACATTGGGGTTTGTTATGCATTGCAAGCAACGTAAGCCGTGTCGAAGTTCCCCGAGGAAAGAGATGATTGGGAGGCCGGGAAACAATCACTTGCACCCATTCAGGTTTTCGGTAGCAGGTTTGCTTTGAAACAGTGCTCTCTTTATCCCTGGCAAAGTCTTGTCATGGAGAAATAGATGTCTCGTACCTCCCCTCGGTGGTCACTTGCGGGAGATAATGCACCGGCCAACGCGCAGCGGGTAGGTGCCAGCGGCATTCGGTGCCAGGGACGAAGCACAGATTACAGCACAGAGCCGTGCAGAAAGATGCGGTTCGCAGCATTTTTCTAGAATACTGCGCCGTAGTGCTGACGATTCGGCTGTGCCTGGCAGCCCTGATACACCTCGTGCGATGTAGTTGTCACCCAAGTTGGCGCGATGTCGAATCGTAGGAAGGGAAATAGATCAGATTAAGCATGTGTATTGATAGACCCCGGAATAGTATGTGCTTGCCTATGTTATGCAATAAGCAATGAACCTGTTGCGACAGACAAGAATCATTATGCTTGGGCTGGTCGTTGCGGCGACAGGTCAGGGTAGTGCCTGTTTCGTCAACCTCGCTCGGCAGTTGGGAGAATGCACGATGCCTAGCCAAGCTGAAGGTTATGTTGTCGTTCTATAAGTTTGGGGATAAAATGTATGGCGGGTTTGGTTGAACTCCATGTGCTTGCAGAGTATATCCCACCGGGTGTCCAATATATATCCCCAGTGCCGATCAATCTACCAACATGAAGAACTAGGTGGGCAATAGATTCCATACAGATACTAGAAATAGCAGAGTACGGTAAAAAACGCTCAAGACACAACCTAGCCTAGGCCAGATAATAATAGTCTATCAAATGCAATTTTCTCTATGCTTCAATAGCTGTACTATGCCAAACTCACTGTACCCGGATCCTATCCATTCCTGTCCAGGGTATACCCATCCCAAGCCGCCTATCTATGTCCATCTATAACGACCCAAAATCATGTCACATCTATGAGTTCCTGACCCAATATACCGAAGTACTTAGTCCTCTCTTACCAACCCGTTACCATGCTTCCAAGAATACAAGAAAACGCAAGGTTCAATATGAAAGACAGGAGAAAGCCTAGCAGAAGTGAAGTAACGCAAAGAGCGCTGTACTTGCTGTATGCTTCTTCTGCTTCACTTCTTGCCCGCGAGCGTAAAAATTTGCTGCCAAACATCCAGCCACTGCTGTTGCTTGTAGGTCAACGGCTTGTGCGGGTTGCGGAAGGTGGACGCGAGCAGGTCGCGTAGACGCGAGTTCAAGATTTTCAGTGCAAGCATGGACTTCCAGGAATGTGTTGCGAACCGGACGCGATTGGCGTCGATGGAGATCACGCCAGAGTACATCTAATTAAGGACAAAGGGTCAGAGTTGTGTTTCCATAGAGTAGATGAAGTGAAAGTGAACAAAATAAGAAAGGAAATATAGGTCATGTGACAGAGAATGATCACGGGGGTATCTCTCACCTTAAATTCAGCATCTCCACACAGCAAGGCAATCACAAAATCATCCACTGCGCTCGTTTCGTGCGCGTTGAGGTTCCTGTTCCGCGCTTGCATGATATGGTAGTACGAGAGCCACTTGATTGCCGGGTCGGCCTGTTTATTGATAGACGTCGGATGCAGCGTGACAGCTTGGTTATTCGCGACGTTGCGCCAGCCCTTACCCTCACGGATAAGCAGCTTCGGGTAGAAGCTCCAGGCAACGACCGAGTTGATCACCGTATCATTAGCGCTGTTGAGGTCATGTTGCTCGGGAATGTTGAATAATTGGCGGTTGCGATTCGTGGACCGCGCCCTGCAGACAAACATAAGTATGGTTGGAAGATGGTACACTGGGAATTGGAGAGGCTTACTTGTTGAGAGCGGTCTTCTGGACACCATCGAGGGTGATGAGGCCTGCATCCGCGATCGAGACCACCAGTTGCATCTTGATGTCTTCAATACCAAGGAGAGTCTGTGGGCTGAGGAAGTTCTTGCGGCAGAAGGAGAATTCGCTCATTCCTGGCGTGGTCCTGGCACGCTTCCAGCAGCAATATGCATTATATACAGTCAAAAGATCCGAGTCCCCTAAGAATTTGTTAGTATTACCAACTAGATGAGGATGGAAGGTTCATACCTCTTTGGAAAGAGTTTCGGGCGGCATCACGCTGAGAGTTGGAGCCCATAGTGTTGACGAATGGCGACTTTGATGACAGAATGGCAGCAATGCTGACGGCTGCATCTAGACATTTGAAGAATGCACCATGAATGATCAGCTTCCCGAGGAAGACGTCCAGGGGGAGTTTGGCCAGCTGCGACCCCAGTGGTGTCAGACTCTCATTACTTGTGAGCGCCTTGACTTCCTTGAGAGAATCGATGGCACGACGAATGTTCTTTGACGACGGCGGATCCAATGCCTCTGTAAGTGTTTTCTCCACCTCTCCCAATTTACAGATCTTGACTCGCAACACGAGATCCTGCAGAGACAAGCGAAGCATCTCTGGCGTCTGCTGCTCAGCCAACAACTTTTCGTGGCGGTGCTTTGTAAACAAGTGGAAGCAGATACCATTTTGGACACGACCGGCTCGGCCACGACGCTGGTTAGCATTGGCGCGTGAAATGAACGACTCGACAAGGCGGGAGAGTTGTCGTCGCTCATCGAATCGCATCATCTTCTCTTTTCCTGTGTCGATGACTGCTGTGATATCAGGGATTGTGATACCAGTTTCCGCAATGTTGGTCGCAATGACAATCTTTCTGAAGCCTTCTGGGGGCACAACAAATGCCTTCTCTTGGTCCTCGCTAGCAATCGAAGAGTGCAGAGCATGCACAATCCAACCCCTCTGGAAAGTGGGCTCGGAGAGGATCTCGTCATTCAAACGACGAATTTCTGCTAGACCGGGCATGAAGACCAGAATTGCCTTGCTATAATGATCCATCTCAGGAGCGGTGGCAATATTTAGGAGCAGTTTCTTGATCAGCTGGTAGTCCATGCGGTACTCGTCAAACTTGAGAATAGTCTCTTTTGTCTGCTTCGAGTAGCCATCAAGACTAGCCTGCAAGCCTCCAGTATTGTCACCCATGGTGTCGGAGACATCGTCTAGGTCATCCTCAATCACAGTGTTCGAGTCATCCTCCGATAGACTATAATTGGTCATCTCCACCGCATCCTCTAGGTACTTCATCTCAACGGGGAAAGTCCGTCCAGGGATATTCAAGACCGGAACACCCCCGAGATAATTAGAGAATCGTTGTGCGTCAACTGTTGCAGACATCAGGATGAGCTTGAGATCTGTGCGCTTCTGCATCAGTCTGCGGAGGACAACCAGGAGGAAGTCGCTGTCAATTGTTCTCTCGTGAACCTCATCGAGGACGACGTGGGTAATGTCCTGGAAGTCATCTGGTCGTTCGAGCATTCGGACAACCACACCAGTGGTCCTGTGTCGGGTCAGTGAGGCTTCTTCAAATAGTGGAAACCATAGGAGAAGAACTGGGCACATACGCATATACTAGGCGAGTAGCCGAGCTGATCTTACTCTCCAACCTCACAGCGAAACCAATGAGTGACCGGTTAGTTCCGACGTCATTCTTGCTCTCTCCAAGTTCCTCGCTGACACGCCGGGCCAGGGAAATTGCAGAAATTCGTCGAGGCTCCGTCACGTAGACCTTGCAAGGTCGCCCTTGAAGCATCTCATGCTCTAGAATGTAGGACGGAATTTGCGTACTCTTTCCGCTACCAGTCTCACTGCAGATAATGAGGGCCTGGTGCGTATCCAGAGTACTCAAAATGTCATCCTTGAAGTTCCAGATTGGGAGGTTCATTCGACCTTGCATCATGCGATGGAAAGCTGGAGTGGATGCCTTGGCCTCCCAAATTTCGCGCAGCTGCTCCACCTGGCCAAAGTAATCCCCTCGAGCAGGCCCTTTCAAAGGAGTTCCCGGCTTACTTGCCGTGCCATTTCTCTTCCGGAAGTTGTCCAGCAACACAACATCGTCCTCAATCGTACCCTGATTCTCTTCGACCAGGCGCTTCAAATCTTTGATTGTAGCTTTGTCGATTTCATCTTCCTGGGTCTTCTTCAAGTTGGAGAATTCGGTCCAAAGGTCTCGCCAAACTGCAGGAATGCGTAGATAGGCTTTGCCTTCTTTGGAGTTTTGAGGGAACAGGATAAATAGCGCAAGGGTCGACACATATCCTTCAGCCTGCTGTGGGGTCGGTGTCACAAGAGCATCCATTGAAAGGAAAGTTGCGAGGGCGTTTGACTTGTGGGTGACGGAATCAATTGCCAGTGGAAATGGGGGTTCTTGCGGTTTGGACCACCGCACTTCAATAGCCTTTCGACATTGATGGGTTGAAGACGAGATGTCTTGGTAGACCACCTTGCAAGCCGAGTCTCTTGCTTTACAGGTCTCTTCCAGGACTCTCCGTGGGCTCAACCCGGTAGATTTTCCAAAGTCCCGAATGGTAAATTTGGCTTCGATCACTGGAGGAGGCAGACCTAAAATAGACCCATCGTCAGGTTCGGTCTGGAACATGTCACCAAGAAGATCTGCGGCATCATCGTCCATGTCGTCCACTGGCAGGCTATCCATGTCAGAGCCACTATTGGCCGCGCCCTTCCCTGATGCTTCCGTAGCCTGAGGCTGCTTTTTTCGCTCCACGGGGCGACGCATGAATGCATCCTTCCTGAGCTCATCAAGCTTCCCTCTCCAGATAAAATCAGCCTCCTGGGCCTCAAAAAGCACATCCCGTTCAATCTTAGCAATTTTGCGCTGCAGCTTTGCTACCTCAGGGTCATCAGACTGCCCAGCGGCAGCTCCACGGCCCTTCTTCCCCTTTCCTTGGCGATCAAATAGATCTGGCTGGAGACTGTACAGCTTTTTTTGTAGCTCCAACCACTCGGGAACCATGGTGTCTGGATCGATAGAGCTGTCCGAGTCATATGAAACCGGAGTCACAACCTTTGCGGCCTTCCAGTCTGCCTTGGGCTTGCCCTGTCTGCTCTCATTTTGGGATTTGGGGGTGGATGACCTTGATGGCTCCGAGTCTGATAGGGGTCAGCGCTTTTCATTCATGCAAAGTTCATCAATGCCATGGGTTTACCGATCATCCACGAAGTGACACTATCCGCATCTTTTTGGGGACGTGCAGTTGTCTGTGTGTATGGGGGAAGGTCCTTCTTATCGCTGTGCATTGCCAGCCATTCCAGCGCCTCGTCCAAATTCCAGGCAACCTCACGGCTCGCGCTGGTGGGATTACCCGCAAAGTACGAAAGGACATGTTTCAGTGCCTCTTCTGTACGCTCCGCCGAGAATCCAAGCTTAAGCAGTGTCTCTTTCAAGGTCCAGAGCTTCCCATACAGCTCCTCCTCAGTGCCTGCTTGCTTCGCACCGATGCTTCGAGCACTCGATACAAGGTAGTCATGCTCTTCAGTACCTGCCAATTCCAAAATTCGATCTTGTATCTCGGTCGGAAGCCATTCGAGGAGACTCAATGAGACCGATTGCTGTCGAAGGACCCGCCTTTCGGTTTCTAGCTTGGTCGCCTGGCGCACTGCATCACTCTTGCACTTTGTCGCATATTTATCGACCAAAATCTGTAGCTCTGCTTCCTCTAAATGCCTTTCGAGTTCCTCCGGGGAATAGTTCTGTAATGAGGGACCAGCCCTAGGCTCGTCCGAGCGTGTTTCACCCGCGGGGTAGTCTTCCACACGAGGGGCTTGTGGTTCGTTTTGAGGGGTGGCTTTGGAATCGCCAGCAGTGGTTGGTGGAGTCTCTGCTGTGCTTTCTGGTTTGGGCTTCGAGGGTACGGAGACTGTTGCGAAGCCTCGAGCCGGGTTGGATGCGGGCTTCTTCTTTTTCTTATTGTTCGGTGGCATAGTGGGGGAAGGGGTTCTGTGAAAGCAAGGCACCACAGTGTTAGTTCAGATTGAAGTGATACAGTAATAATCAGGTCAGACAAGACATACAGGAGTTGGTGTGGAAGTTGAAGAAACAAGAAGCGGACATGGCTGGTTGAGCGGCGGAGAATGCAACTGCTCTCTCTCCCCCCACACAAAACTCTTATGACAGCATTCGATCGTCCCAGCCCACCTTCACTACCCAATTCACTCCTTCTCTCCCTCCACCCACCCTCTTCTCTCCTTTCCCCTGTATTGACCTCCGATCATGGATCCAATTCCATGGGACCAGGTCAAGGCTGGGGATCTGGATGCCTTGCGGGTCGCACTCTTCTCGAGTTCGACCTCGCGCAGGCTCCGGGCCCTGCAAGAACTTCGCGATAGGAGCGGTAAAACTTGACCCTCGGCTTTCCTGCCTCGTTGCATAGCGATAGACACTGATACTTATGACTCTTAGGGACCGAATTGTCTCCGGAATCCCAGCATGATATCCTAGTGCTACTCTTCCAGACCTATCCTCTCTACGTCGACCGACCATCACGACAGGCCGTTCAACAATGTCTCCGCTCCCTCCTCCGCACCCCGAATGCCGCGGATCACCTCAAATACCTAACTGAGAGGCTCAAGGCAGAGGCTGCTAAGCAAGGTCTGGCTTCAACATCGGGCTTTGTCTTGCTGGAATGGTGCTGCATTCTCTTGCAGCACGTCAGCGAGGATTCGGCCACACCCTTGCCAATCGTGTTGGATTTGATTGCAGTGGACGCCAAGGCTTTGGAGAACTGTTTTGCCCATACCCCCAAGATCCCAGTCAGGCAATCAGCCCTCCGGGTTACTAGACGGGCTTTGCGTACAGCCTTCTCTTGCTCGACATGGGGCGAGGATGCTGTGCGCCAGTCAGTTACCCGATTGACCTCCGATGCGGCAGCCGGCAATAAGAATGCGCTACTGCTTGGTGTCATCTCCGGAGTGTGTGCTCGACTGCCTGCCCGCAAACCCATCCTCGAACAATCCAAGAAGGCCATTTTGGCCTACTATGTCAAGGAGATTGTGAGCTCCAAGTCGATAGTGCCTGCTCACGTGGCCGATGGGTTGTCGGATTTCTTCTGTTCATTCGTCACTGCAGATGATGTGACTACCGACTTGGTGCCTCCAATGGAGAAATCCATGCTTAGGGCGCCCGAGGTGATCATGAATGGTGTGATCCCACCACTTTGTGCCTCGCTACCAGAGGACATTGACCTCTCAGAGGTGGTTCTCTCTCGCCTGTCGAAACATCTGCTCTCCAGCATGAAGTCAAACAATGCGACAATCCGACAGGGAGCCGCGGACTCATTCAGATCCTTGGTCACACGGTGTAAAACAGACGCTTTGGTCCTGAAGATCACAAGCGAGATTGTCAGCCCTCTGAAGACAGGAAAGATTACTGCCCCCGAACACCGTGTCGCCTACGCCCAAGCGATCGCCGCTATTCCGTCGTCTGTGGATGTCTCGAAAGAGATCGTCCAGGGATTCGGCCCTGTTTTCACGCGGGAGTCTAATGAAGCTGCTCTAGAGGAGGAGCTGAAATCATTTGGCAAGCACCTTGCTTTCCTCATTCAATCGTCCGTCAAGGTCGGCGATGATGTTGTTAATGCAGTTGTTAAGGGCATTTCCGACAAACGAGTACCATTCCGAAAGATCTGGCAACTTAGTGTGGGAGAGGTGCTCTGGAAGTCCGAAGTCGACTCTCTGAAGACTGCCGAGATCGAGCCATTTGTCACCAAGTTCCTGGCTAAAATGAAAGATATGTTTGGAGAGGTCGCCTCGAACCCTCTTCCTTCAGCACAAAGCGGTGCTTTGTCGTCTGCATATATTTTCCTTGCCCTGTTCCAGCGTGTTTCGGATATTCAGGGATCTGAAAAAGCTACATGGGACGAGAAGGTCTCCCAAGCCATGACCATGGGCACGAAACCCTCTTTCCTCCTCAACCCTAAGGCTTACTCGAAAATCACGTCTTCTCTTGAGATGCAGTGGCTAGTTCGGGCTCTGGCTGCCGTTACCTCGGGATCCAAGTTTGCTGGCGCCGAGGACTCTGCCAAGGCGGCTTGGGCTCAGTCCTTCATCTATACTATCACTGGTCCCTCTTTGGCAACAAGCTATCGGGAGAGCGCTGTGGAGACTTTGTCTATTGTTTACGTTCAAGATGTAGTATCTATCGGGGGTGTTATCATCAGCGCTCTCTGGTCTTGGCTTTATTCATTCCGGACTGCAGAGAAAGAGTCAGCTGCTGTGTCGGCTGGGCCTGGGAGCGAGCGTCTGCTTCATTTGATCTTGAAAGCTTTGTGCCTCTCAGTCAAGGCCAGAGAAGAGTTTGGCATTGCTGTTTCGGACATTGAGAACCAACTGATCAATGTACTTGTTCTCAGCCGCTCAGAGATGATCCCGAACTGTTCGTGGATTGACTTGTGTCTGCGGACCGGTGTTGATCCAGGAAACCTGGTTCGTACTCACCCAGCCGAATGTATCGAGCAATTAGTCCGCGTCAATGCAGACCCTGTGCAATCGATTGTCCCCAACGTCAATGCGGCGGTCTGGAGCGCAGCGGGTGACCTCGCGTTTGTTGCACCCGACGTCATGGTCCCGCGTATCGTCGACCAAATTAAGCAGGACCTGGATGGTGCCCGTCTATCCAAGTTCACCGCCACTGATGCCGCCATTGCTCGCACCCCCGAGGGAACCGCGTTTATCGACGTCTTGAGCAGCAAGTCGAAGCAGCCGGCCTTTGACAAGAATACTAAGGATTACGATACACTGAAGTGGGAAGAAGAGCTGCGAGCTCAGCTGGCCGAGAAGAAGGGCCAGAAGCAAAAGAAGCTCTCCGCTGAGGAGCAATCGAAGGTGAATGCTCAACTTGCGAAGGAAGCTAAGATCCGTGAAGAAGTTCTCCAGGAGGTCAAGCGCATTGAACGGGGAGCTGGCCTTGTTCGGGGTCTGGCAACTGGCCCTGCCAACGATGCTGAAGGATGGATCAACGAGGCTGTTAGCTGCCTGCTCTCCCTTTCTCGTGCCGGTGCTGGACTCTTCGTCGGCGATGTCGTTTCCCAGGCTTATATCACCTGCTCCAACGAGTTGTCTTCACGTCTGGGTAACACTCGACCATTTGTGGGTGTTGCAACCCTGCGTGCTATCGGTAGGACCAATTTGCCAGCCGAGATGGAATCTGAGCACCTTGGTCAACTCGTGACAAGAATCTTGTACCGCCTGCGATTTGCTTCCGAGCAGCGTCCCTTGGATACCCCCTCTCTCGCTTACACTCTGCCATTGATATTCCTTATCTTGAGCCAGAATGGAATCGAGGAGGTTAAGGGAGATCAGGAAGGTGAGCAGGTCCTACTTGCGGTCGAATTCTTGTCATTCCACACCAGCTCTTTCACCGATGTCCGCCTCCCTCGCGTTGAAGTGCTCCGGCAGCTTCTTTCCGGCATGCAAAGATACACTCAACATTATAAGCTGATCAAGGACACCTTGTTTGACTTCTGCCGTTGCATTGCTCCTACCATCACCAGTGAGGAGCTCCAGACTCTTTTGCAAGGCACGATTGTTCCCGACTCCTCCGTTCGGACTTCTGTGCTCCAAGTCATTGATGCTGAAATCGATCTGACGGATCTTGACTTCTCGGAACACATTTGGCTGGGCTGCCACGACCAGGTTGAGGAGAATGTCGAGCTTGCTGAGGGCATCTGGGACGAGAATGCCTTGGAAGTCGACGACACCACCTTCTCCAAGATCATGAAATACCTCGACTCTGAGGACAGCCAGCTCCGCGGAGCTGCTGCTCGTGCTCTGGCTCATGCCATCGAATTTGACAAGAGCAAGTTTGCTGGTATTCTGTCCGAGCTTGAGGCTAAATACTCGGAGGAAGTCAAGCCCAAGGCCCCTGAAAAGGATGCTTATGGCATGCCAAAGAAGATGGAAAATACCGACAACTGGGTGAGCCGCAGCGGTATCGCGCTGGCTTTCAACGCCATGACAAATCTCTTCGAAGGCGAACAAATCATCAACTTCTTGCAATTCTTGATTGAACGCGGTCCTCTCGTCGACAAGAACGCTTCTGTTCGTAGCCAAATGGCAGAGAGTGGTAAGTCTGTCATTGCCGAGAGGGGCCAGCAAAAGGTCGAGGAACTCATGAAGCTACTCGAGACCGTTCTGGAGACTTCGGATAAGGCTACTCAAAGCTCAGACCTTCTGAACGAGGCGGTTGTTGTGCTTTACGGAGCTTTGGCCCGACACTTGAAGGCCGAGGATCCTCGTCTGCAAACAGTCGTCAAGAAGCTTCTCGCGACCCTGCCTACTCCCTCGGAGACCGTGCAATCTGCCGTATCCGAGTGTTTGCCTCCCTTGATCCGGCTGTCTGGCCCCAAGACTGCCGATTATGTGCAGGAGATGCTCGACTCGCTACTGAATGTCAAGGAATACGCCACTCAGCGTGGTGCTGCCTATGGTCTCGCTGGTATTGTCAGTGGTAAAGGTATCTCAACTTTGCGCGAGTTCCGTATCATGAGCCTTCTTAAGGAGGCTACCGAAAACAAGAAAGAGCCGCATCAGCGACAGGGCGCCTTGCTTGCGTATGAGCTGTTTGCTTTCGTTCTCGGACGCACCTTCGAGCCCTATGTTATCCAGCTCGTTCCTCAGCTGCTCGCTGGCTTCGGTGACCCCAGCATCGACGTTCGTGATGCCTGCTTAGACGCATCCAAGGCCTGCTTCCAAAACCTCAGCTCATACGGTGTCAAGAAGATTCTCCCCACCTTGCTTGACGGCTTGGATGACACCCAATGGCGTAGTCAGAAGGGAGCCTGTAATCTCTTGGGTGCCATGGCCTACCTGGACCCGCAACAGCTTGCTGCCAGTCTGCCCGATATCATTCCTCCTCTCACCATTGTACTCAACGATTCTCACAAGGAAGTCCGCAATGCTGCCAACCGCAGTCTTCAGCGCTTCGGAGAGGTCATCAGCAACCCTGAAGTCAAGAGCCTGGTTAACGTGCTCCTCAAGGCTCTCAGTGACCCTACGAAGTTCACTGATGAGGCTCTTGATTCGCTCATCAAGGTGTCTTTCGTACATTACTTGGATGCCCCCTCCTTGGCTCTGGTTGTCCGTATTCTTGAGCGTGGTCTCGCTGATCGCTCTGCCACCAAGCGCAAGTCTGCTCAAATTATCGGCAGCTTGGCTCATCTCACTGAGCGCAAGGATCTTATTGCACACCTTCCAATTATCGTTGCCGGTCTCAACCTGGCCATCGTCGATCCCGTCCCGACTACCCGAGCCACTGCTTCCAAGGCTCTGGGTTCGCTCATCGAGAAGCTTGGAGAAGATGCTCTGCCGGACCTTATCCCCAACTTGATGAACACTCTCAAGTCGGACACCGGCGCTGGCGACCGACTGGGATCTGCCCAGGCTCTTTCCGAGGTGCTTGCGGGTCTGGGTACTACCAGACTCGAGGAGACTTTGCCTACTATTCTCCAGAATGTGTCCAGCTCCAAGCCTGCTGTTCGTGAAGGCTTCATGACTCTGTTCATCTTCTTGCCTGCCTGCTTCGGTAACAGCTTCGCCAATTACCTTAGCAAGATCATCCCACCTATTCTTGCTGGTCTTGCTGATGATATCGAGTCGATCCGTGAGACTTCCCTCCGCGCCGGTCGTCTGCTTGTCAAGAACTTCGCAACCAAGGCCATCGACTTGCTGCTTCCCGAGCTCGAGCGTGGCTTGGCCGACGACAGCTATCGCATCCGTCTCAGCTCCGTCGAGCTGGTTGGAGACCTGCTGTTCAGTCTTACTGGTATCAGCGGCAAGTCGGAAGCCGAGGAAGAAGAGGAAGAGGCCACCCAGGCTGGTCAGTCCCTGCTCGAGGTTCTGGGAGAAGAGCGCAGAGACAAGGTTCTTTCGGCCCTGTTCATCTGTCGCTGTGATACCTCAGGTTTGGTCAAGAGTGCTGCTATGGGTGTCTGGAAGGCCCTTGTTGCCTCTCCCAAGACCCTCAAGGAGATGGTGCCCACCCTGTCCCAGCTCATCATTCGCCGTCTTGGCTCGTCCAACATGGAGCAGAAGGTCATTGCTTCCAACGCCCTTGGCGATCTTATCAAGAAGGCTGGAGAGTCGGTGCTGTCCACCTTATTGCCCTTGCTTGAGGAGGGTCTGCAGAGCTCGCCTGATGTCGATGTCAAGCAGGGTATCTGTATTGCTCTGCGCGAGCTTATTACTGCTGCTACTCCTGAGGCTCTCGAGGACTATGAGAAGATTCTCATCTCTACTGTTCGCGTGGCTCTTGTTGATAGCGATGAGGACGTACGTGAGGCTGCCGCCGAGGCTTTCGATGCTTTGCAGCAGATTCTGGGAAAGAAGGCCGTCGACCAGGTCCTTCCTTACCTGCTCCACCTGCTGAGGAACGACGAAGAGGCCGAGCAGGCTCTGTCTGCCCTGTTGACTCTGCTCACCGAGCAGACCCGAGCCAACATCATTCTGCCCAACCTTATCCCCACGCTGCTCACACCTCCTATCTCTGCTTTCAATGCCAGGGCCCTGGCTTCCCTCGCCGAGGTTGCTGGTGGAGCTATGACGAGAAAACTGCCCAACATTATCAACGGTCTCATGGACGGTATCATCGAAACCGACGACGAGGAGCTCCAGTCGGAACTCGAGAATGCCCTCGATACCGTGTTGGTGTCCGTGGATGAATATGATGGCCTGAACACCGCCATGAATGTGATGATGACCCTTGTCAAGCATGACGATCACCGCCGTCGGGGCAAGGCCGCTATGCACCTCAACAAGTTCTTCTCGGATGCCGATCTCGACTACTCGCGTTACCACCAGGACCTTATCCGCGTCTTGTTGATCTCGTTCGACGATTCCGACAAGGATGTGGTCAAGGCTGCCTGGACTGCTCTCAGCGGTCTCACCTCTCACCTGCGCAAGGAGGAGATGGAGGTTCTGGCGATTCCCACTCGCCAGATCCTGCGCCAAGTTGGTGTTGCCGGCGCAGATCTGCCTGGATTCAGTCTTCCCAAGGGTATCATGGCTATCCTGCCAATCTTCTTGCAGGGTCTTCTCAACGGAACTGCCGAGCAGCGTACTCAGTCGGCACTCGCTATCGCCGATGTTATCGACCGTACCGGGTCTAACGCACTCAAGCCTTTCGTCACTCAGATCACTGGGCCTTTGATCCGTGTGGTGTCCGAGCGTTCTGTTGACATCAAGTGTAAGTTTCTCGCTAATTGTGCTCTTTCTTTACACCTCTAAACGACTGTACTCATACAATATTTACAGGTGCCATTTTCTTCACGCTCAACAAGCTGCTGGAGAAGATTCCGCTGGCTGTGAAGCCCTTCCTGCCTCAGCTTCAGCGCACTTTTGCACGTGGTCTTGCCGATTCTACAAGCGAGACCCTGCGTAACCGTGCTGCCAAGGGTCTTGGTATCCTGATCACCCTCACCCCTAGAGTTGATCCGCTTATCGCCGAGCTCATTACTGGATCGAAGACTACCGATATGGGTGTCAAGAATGCCATGATGAAGGCCCTCCAGGAGGTGGTTGGTAAGGCTGGTGCCAACATGAGCGAGGCATCGCGCACTGCCATCCTTGCCCTGATCGACGATGATGCCAGCGATGAGACCGACTCTGTCGCCATTACCAATGCTCGACTACTCGGTGTTCTCGTGAAGGTGATCCCGGCCGCATCTGCGGTTCCTCTGATCAAGCACCGCGTTCTTACAGGACACTTCTCGCACGCATCTATCCTTGGCCTCAATGCTCTCCTCGCCGAGGCTCCTGCCACTCTGATGGAGAACTTCGTCACTGAGACCCCGGCTGCCATCTGCCAGGGCATCGCTCACAAGGACCCATTCATTTCCGACAACAGTGTGCTCGCCGCTGGCAAGTACCTGCTGTCCAATGATGGTGACCACAGCTTCGAGACTCACAAGGCCATCTTCGAGGCCCTGACTGCTGCTCTCCAGCCCGGAGGCCCCGTCGACACCCGCCGACTGACACTTGTTGTCATTCGCACCGTCAGCCGCCTGCACCCAGAGCTGACCCGTCCCCATCTTGCTCTCCTGGCGCCGCCTATCTTTGCTGGTGTTCGTGACCTGGTGATTCCCGTGAAGCTGGCCTCCGAAGCCGCTTTCCTGTCCCTATTCTCCGTCGTGGACTCGGACAGCGAGGTCTTTGATAAGTACATGGCCGGCCCCGGCGCTTCGCTGCCTCCCGGGCCCAAGCGTAGCATGTCGGACTACTTCAAGCGCGTTGCTATGCGCCTCGCCACTCAGGCCCGCGAGCGCCGGGTTGCCGAGGGTGGTGAAGGTGGTCTGGGCTTGTCGAATGATGAGGTGGAGGATGAGAAGGAGGTGTGGAGTATTGGCAAGGTGGATCTGGGGGATGATTCATTTGGCGATGACTGATGATCTTTTTCCTATTGTTGGAGCATTCCAAGGTTGCATCTACATGTCTATAGATATACCCTTGGGCTTCTTGTTTTCATTTCTTATTCTTGTGCTTAAGCTTCGTACAAAAGTCTTTTCACGTTGTTGATGAATGTTCATATTATTTCTAGGTTAGAATAGATCTAGGATTCCATTTAGAAGACGCCATTTTCCAAGTATCTTTTTAAAGGTCGAGACGCATATCAGGTAGACCATGACAATTGGTTGCTCCATAGTTGTCAAGTATAGATCTGACGCTATTCCCGAAATGGATGTAAATGTCATGTGACGCCAAATGGAAAATCTTCCAATCACGTGCCATGGCGTTGCAACAGTAGTACTTACTCTATTCAGCAGCATCAACGTCTTGAAATTTAAGGACAAAAAGTCTTGATGGGAGATTATTGATATGCAAAACAGAACCTCCTTTAAGATGATCCGTACCGGTCATAAATCTCATGGGGTATCCCCAGTGAACTCAAGAGTTGAGATGAGACGGACTCCCGATCGGGACTAGTGTAGAGGGTACAGCCCTAACCCTCAAATGCGCAGTGGAGGGGACTCGCTTATAGCACATTAGCTAATCGGCCCGCCCCAAACTCCTCACCGTCCGGTTTTCCCGTCAAGTGCAACGAACATCATCCGCCAACGACCGTCGATACGCCGACATCAAGATGTGAGTTTCATCTCCTACGCTATCCCGAACGAGACCGGCACTTCATGTTATTCTATTCCCCGAACTCGTGGAGCCGATACCACCGATGGCAGAGACGGAAGGACTTGGATGAAGAGTGTTGTGTGCAGAGGCTGACCCCGTCTTTTTTCTTCTATCCAGGGTCAACCTTCGCACCCAGAAGCGCCTCGCGGCCTCCGTGGTCGGCTGCGGCAAGCGCAAGATTTGGCTCGACCCCAATGAGATGACCGAGATCTCCAACGCCAACTCTCGTCAGACCATCCGCAAGCTCGTCAGCGATGGTCTCATCATCAAGAAGCCCGTTACCATGCACTCCCGCGCCCGCGCCCGTGAGTTGAACGAGGCCCGCCGCATCGGTCGTCACCGCGGTCTGGGTAAGCGCAAGGGTACCAAGGACGCCCGTATGCCCAGGTACGCAGGAATTCTATCATCCGACCTTTCTACTGGTTACCGAAACTCTCGACTTCGGAGATTCCAGTGGAACATGCAAAGGGGGAGCAGTCCATGCTGATGTGATGTTTTTCTCTCTCTACAGCCAGGTCCTCTGGATGCGCCGCATGCGTGTTCTCCGTCGTCTCCTCGTCCGCTACCGTGCCGCCGGCAAGATCGACAAGCACCTCTACCACGAGCTCTACCACCTGAGCAAGGGTAACACCTTCAAGCACAAGCGTGCTCTGGTTGAGCACGTAAGTTATCCCCCGATGAAAATTGCCCACCCTTGACTATGTCGAATACAACCCTGTCCCGACATTAAGAGAGGAAAAAGAACCAACCCACTGACTCGTTCTTTTCCACATCCACAGATCCAGAAGGCCAAGGCCGAGCGCCAACGTGAGCGTGTCCTCAAGGAGGAGATGGATGCTAAGCGTGCCAAGAACAAGGCCCTCCGTGAGCGCCGCGCTGAGCGTGTCGAGGCCAAGCGCAACGCTCTGGCCGGCGAGGCCCAGGAGTAAATCCGTTCCCAAAACTTGCATTCCGTTGTGTGACGTGACACTCTTCTCGTTCATCGGTGCGGAGGTTATGAAGGCGGGTGAAAACTTACTGGGTTTGTTCCGGGGATCTCTTTTTCGAAAAAGCGGCTGCACTACTCTTATCCCCCTTTTGTCTCCTCGAAATACATTAGTGTCGGCCTTTTTCTCGAGAAACCCCCTCTTCCTATAGTCGGGTTATTTCTGTGAAGACGACGACAACGCTTACCAGTCTTTCTCTTCGGATCGCGTGGGGGTTCGGGCTTCTGGGATCTCAGGGAAATATTGGGGCAATAGGAAGATGCAATGATGATGTGATACTCAAGCTTTTCTTGTTGATAACGAGAAGGCAAAAGGAAATTCTTTTTCAAAACAAAAAAACTACAAAATCTTTCCCTCCCCTGGTACGGCGCTTGTGTGTTACGAAAATGTGATCGGTTTCTTTTCTAGTATCTACGACCAGCTGCTATATTAGTTGGTCTACGATGTCCATGTAGTTGCATTGATTCTCATTGAAATAAGCTGTATTGTTTCGGACTCGCCTACCTCGACCCATATATACTAATTTTGAGATCTGCATGAATGCACTTGATGTCCCAGACGCCATGTAGATCATGAGTGAGCAAGCTCGAATCACCTCATTTTTCAAACACAAAGCAGTCTAACTATGTCATGACTTATTCTGTTTATTGAGGTGAGACTCATAGGCCCGACCAGCCCTGTGGCTAACTAACGTTCTTATTCGATATTCACTCTAAATGGGGGAATACTCCAAGATATATATATGTTCAATTCCACCTGAACCTGCATAGGTTCAATGATGCCCTCTTATCTACAATTACCTAAACATAATTTGCAGCCATCTCAATCACATCAACGATTTGATGACGAAAAGCCTGCTGTAACTTCAAATCCTCCTTCGTATCATCCTCTACACCAAAGTCCCCCGTGAGACACTTCATGACGACCTCTTTGTACCTTCTCCCAACACGTGACTCAAGCCTCTTTTGGGCATGTTTGATCAACTGCGCTTGGACGGCACGAGGATTATTCGCATGAGTGAACATGTTCTTCTCCAGTTTGACGGCTGGCTCCCACAGCCCAATCTCCAACAACACGACTCCAAGCGCGTAGATATCGTGGATCTTCTTGAACATCTCCATCGGCTGGCCTTGGCGGTCCGGATGGCGGTAGATGTCGCGCGTCGGCTCAAAGTCAGAATGCCCCACAGAGAAAAAAGGCTCCGGACGACTGAACTCGAACCCAAGCACCCATGGCTCTGGATAATTTACTGCGACACGAGCACCTGTCTTTTCATCGTCGACATGATGAGGGAGGAGCAGGATATTGTCGCTTCGGAAACTCTCGTGTAGCTGGGGTGGGTATTATTAGCGCCATTGTGGTGGGCCTTTCAAAATCAGAGTGGAACCGAACATACCCATTGAACCATGTGCATCTGAGCGATGCATTTTGAGAGGCCCAGAGCAAGGCGAAACTTGTCTCCGAGTTCTGGACGAAGGTCGTTGTTGAGGAGGAGCCTTTGGAGACTGACAGGGGCCCCTATAGGCCTGGGCTGAACCTCAAAGACAAAGGCGATCGAGCTTTGACGAGGCAGATATTTCCATCCCACACAAGGAAGGACACGGAATACTTGCTCCTTTGGTTGATGCAAAAGCTTGGCGAGTGATTCGATCCGCCCTCTTGTCCGTGCATCGACGTCTTGCCCAGCCGTGGTTGGTGAGGCCATGGCATCGTAATGATGATTCTCCTGGATATAGGCAACATTATCCTTTGTGAACATGGCGAACATACCCTGGTTATCGATGGGGTGGATTTCTTTCAGATACGAGTCCCACGAAGGATCCAGGAGCTCTAGGGAGTTGGCCATTTTGCCTGCGTCCCACTGAGCTAGACGCAGCGAAGCATCCTGATCAAAACCGAGTTTCCTCGATGACTCGTCCGTTTGAAGATGCATCAAATGCTCCGGTGAGACACCCAGTTGCGATGCAAGACACCAGAGTTCTACCTTCTTTTTCAATCGGGAATTGCGATCCTTGAACGATTGCAGAATAGCCTCCACTCGCTTCTTGTCGCGTAGAGACCATCTGAGAAGCCCTGGGAGAGAAGGGCTGGTCCGACCCCACGATAGGCTGGCTAATGAACCAGACGAGGTTGACCGATTTCGCGAAAGCGTCAAGGTAGATACGTTCAGCAAAGAAGTAGTTGGCGACTCTTTACAAGTATCATGATGCTCTTTGGTTATTCCATATCGACGCTCAAGAAGGTCGATGCCTTCCTGCAGAATGGATTTGATTTCGACGCAGAGAAGCTCGATCTGCCGCTGGATGTCGGGGTCAAATTGCTCAAACAGAGTTTTACCACCGTACACCTGCATGGTGTTGTTTTTAAATCAATCAAGAGTACTCAGAAGGCGCTTCTCTAGAGGAACTCACCATGCACTCAGAAAAGAGCAGATTGCGGATGAGTTTAGTTTGGAGATTCTCGTCATTCACCAGGTTTGGCAGTTCATTCGAGTCCTAACGGCGGGTAAGCAAGAATTTTCTCTCATAAATGAATAATACTGACGCTCTCAAAGGCATTTGCATCCGAAATAAGCTCTCCGGTCCTTTCTCCAAGCTTGATCAGCGCATCGACGACTGCGATGGTCAGGCCCGCCACGGATAGTGGATCAATCATGGTTTAGGGGCCGGTCCGAGGATTTGCGGTCCAAAACAACAAGGCGCGGGATTAGATAGAGATATTCAACGGGTCTAACCCACCACCAGATAATGTCTTTGAAGTTGGATGTTCGTTAGCGCTGCGGGGTTCATATTGGGCAAGAGGTGTGAGGCTGACGACGTCCAATCACACCAGGGCTGTGCGCAACTGTGCTTTTGGCCCCCACAGGGACTCGTCTTCAGCAACAATCCATCCAACGATGCTCTGAGTAATGTTTCCGGCGCCTTGGTACTAGACTAGCAGTCAAGATGTCTGTCTCCTCTCTGAATGATGACTGGGTCAAGTGTATGTCTTGTTGGCTCGCTGTTGGGTAGTCACTCGTGTTGTGGCTAATCGATCTACCAGGCCGGTCGCCGAGGGAGTTGCAGAGCGACATGCTGACATGGACCACATCAATTTCACGATCTCGCGTGTCTACCGTCGATGGCCTTGGCTTCAGCGAAAACATTGACGTTGAGTCCATGAACAGCCTAGAAAATCTACTCCACACAGTGCAGAAACTGAAGCTGAAACATTTCCGAGCCGAAGACTTGGAGGAAATCCGCGCTGTGGGAAATGGAGAGACGTTCGCCGTGTCAGAATGCAAGTACGAAGGTACTGTAGTCGCTATCAAGCGTATCCGGCTCAGCGAAGAAGGGAAAGGTCTCGAGCGTTCCCACTTTCGAAGACGATTACAATCTGTCCTGCGCGAGATTTTGATTATGTGCCATCCACCGCTCATACACCATCCCAATATTATTGATATCCTAGGCTATGGCTGGGGCGTCGAGAGACAACGCCCATCGCCGTTTATATCGGTCGCATTTGCGTCGAAGGGTACACTGAGGGAATACATGAAGGAGAAAGTACACCCGATTCGAACGAAGTTGATTCTCATGGGCGACGTGGGTGCGGGCTTGATGGCGCTCCACAAATGTGGGATTGTCCACGGAGATTTGAAACTGGATAACATTGTGGTATTCTCATCATTGGATCGCCCGTGCATGTCCATTGCGAAGGTGTCCGACTTTGGACATTCCATTATCGTAGGATCTGCTTCTGGGAAAAAGATGCAGTATTTTGGGACGACATTGTGAGCATACAGGCATACAGGCATTCTTGCAATCTTGAGATCTTGATTGAAGCTAACAACACCAAATAGATATAATGCACCGGAAGTTGCCGAGCAGAAGGACCAGCCCATTCCAATCGAGCAACTTCACAAATGCGACATCTGGGCATTTGGCCTATGTGCATGGGAGATATTGGCAGATGGACAGCTTTATTTCCAGCGCAGCTGGCGCAGGAACCCCCTCTACGAACGTTCCACTTCCCTGTCCACATCATTGACATCGCCGACCGGCTCAGAAGCTCATGATGAGTTTTCCATTGACGAGGACGATCAGCATGTCTTTGGTTACTTTGACCTGTCTCATCTCAAGGCTCTAGCGATAGAGTTTGTGTACAACATGAAAATACCGGGCATTGGCTTTGAGAAAGGATTCTTACGTCCCTTGATGGATCGTACTCTCCAAAGGGATCCAGCGCAAAGGATCTCCGACCTAAGTCGTCTCCCGATTATTGTTTCATGGCATAAGACGCCCGGTGGACACTCGCTTCAGTCAAAGCTTGCAACATATGCCATGTCGGGAGATGTTAGATATTCAATCTTCAGTAGGGAAAGCGGACCATATATCATTTGGGAGCAGCAGCAGCAACTCTTGCAGGACTTCGAAATTGTGGCTCAAGGGTCGAACTCAGTTAAGGACGACGGTTCCATCGCATTTCAAACCATGCTTTGCTATATCAACGCTTTTGGAACATCCCAGGATCTGGATAAGGCCACTGTGTTTCTTCGAATAGCCGAGGATACCGGTCATTTAGTCGCTCGCATACTGGGGCCTCGCATACTTAACGGCTTCAATAGGGACTCTACCGAGGTACAGCCATATAGTGAATGCCTTGCCTGGGGGCTTCACATTACCCAGAAACCTGAATTGATCACCTCTTTGGTTGTGCATGACGGAGAGTCGGTTACCAAATTCACCAATTATTCTGGATTTCGCGAAGCCTTCTCGGAGGAAAGACTCGAATCATCGAAGAATGACAAAGATGGGGCTCTTGGTGCTTTTGTCACTTTAAATGAGTCCACTCTACAGCACAGCTTGCTGGATATTGCCCTCCAGCAAGGTGATGTTGAGTTTGTGGAGAGATTGTTGCCGCTTGTAGACCTGTCGATTGAAGCCTCCAAACTGGACCCTTATCTTGTGTCGGCAGCTTCCCGAGGCCACGACAGCATAGTTATCTCCATTTTGAAAGCTGGTGCTAAAATTTCTTTGATGAATACAGCTTCATCGCTTCTTCATTGGCTTTTCTGTCTGAGTGAGACCACTCTCCGTGCAATTCAGTCGTTCTTGAAAAACCAGTCTCGCAACGTGAATTTCAAATCGGCTTTGAATCATGCGACTACTGAAAGCATCAGTCTCCATCCTCAATGGCCATTTCAGGTTCATGGAACACCTCTTGCTGTCGCAATTGCGTCTGGGAGCATGCCTGTGGTTATGTTTCTCCTTGATCTGGGTGCAGATCCCCTAGCTCCTGCCTTTGAAATCGACGACGACAATATAGGCCGCAGTCTTACGGCAATTCATCTTGCGGTCAAGTATCATCGCCCCGATATTATTCAGCTGCTTTGGAAAGCAGCATTCGGGGAGACAAAACCTGCGACGGGCACTCATGGACTTCTCGCCACTGCCTTAGGATCATTTCCAATTGCCTGCTCTCTGAGCCTGTTGACAAATGCTGAGCGACTTGCTATTCATGGTTGCATGTACAAGCAGAGGCTGCGCGAGACAATCAAACTTCTATCGTTGGACTTTCTCCTCCAGAACTCTCCTGAAGGCAGGAATTCGATCACGCAGGCCATTGATCTCGAAGATGTTGACACCGTTGAGCTACTACTCGAGCAAAGTCCTTCCCTGGCAAGCAGAAGGCTATTCCAGCCTGATAACAACACCATGTTTACGTATCCGTTTCATTTCGCCGTGCAGATTGCCTCCTGCCGCGATACCAGAGAGTCTGAGCAGATTGTGGAGTCTATTCTCAAGCTCGATCCAGCAGCTATCAATCGACCTGATAGTGCGGCAATCAAGCCACTGCACATTGCGGCGATGGGAACCTCAAACCGAATGACCAAGTTTCTTCTGGACCGTCATGCCTCTTGCCATGAATTAGATGGAAGAGGGCGCACTCCTCTTCACTTTTGCCGGGCTTTGGTTAACGCCAAGACCTTGATGCTTGGAGGCGTGAACATCAACCACAGGGATGACTTTTTGTTTTCTCCCGTACACGCCGCAGCATCTCAGGGGGCAGATGAAGTTTTGAAGGCGTTGATCGACGCCGGAGCTGACTTGAGTCTGGCGAACAACGAAATCGGAACGCCGCTCCATTGTGCTGTTCAACGGAAGTCGCGCGCAACCATAGAACTTCTCTTGGGGGCTGGAGTTGATGTAAAGGCGAGAAACCGTCGTGGTCGGACTCCACTTCATCTAGCAATGGACATTGGGCGCTCTGATTTGGTCTCGTTGTTGTTCCAGGCAGGTGCGGACCCTTTCGTCGAGGACAAACAAGGCTATTCTCCATTCAGCATGTCCCTTGTTTGGGAGAATCCCAGTATCTTCAACATGTTCAAGCTCCCGAACCACTTTGTCGTCGAAAGACTGCATATCAATGCATTGATATTTGCTGCTGCCAAGGGGGAAACCGCGGTCTTTCGGCAATACTTGGACAGATTACCCGACCCAAGCCGCAATCTTGATTGCGTAACATTGCCGAAGCTTTATATCACTGCCATCAATGTGGCCGCAGGAGCCTGCAGAGTGGACCTGGTGGAAATGTTGCTCGGACATGGCTTCAGCGTTGACACTCTCGATGAGAAAAAGAACACTCCTCTTCTACGAGCTTGTCAGGCAGGACGTACTGAAGTCGAATTCTTTTCATACAACCGGACACACATGTGTGAGACACTTATCCAGCACGGAGCGGATACTTTGGCCCGGAACGATCGGGGACTGACACCGTTCCTCGTTGCTCAAACTCATGCCGACTATCCTCTGATGACTCTGCTCTTATCGCAACACCAAGGTGATCTATCAACCAGAATTTCACGCGTACTGAAATCAATCAAGGAACCTGAGATAGATGATGAGTATCGAAGGTCATCAAGAGCGCTCATTGGTGGCGAAATCATCGAACCCCAGTTACTCAGGGATGCAGCCCAGAAAGACGAATGGGAATTCGTCATGACCTGTGTCGCCGGTCATTTTGTCAATAAAGAAGATTTGAAAAGTATTTTTCCGACAAAGAAATTCGTAAAGCCTAGTGTTGATACTCTGGATATGCTGCGCTATCACTCGGTCAAAATGGACCGGGAGATGGTTCAGTATCTCGCATCAGGTGCCGAGGAGAGCTCCCCTGAATCCCGACGCAGTGCTCGCAATGTTGGTCGTCGCAATGTGGAAATTGAATTTGGCGAATCAAGTCTGAACGAGCTCCTTTGGCCGGAAGAGACGAAAAAGGTGATAGACGAATCATTGGAGAAATCACAGAGTGATTACCTTCATGCTCTTCATGCGTTGGAGGATCTTCAACAGCAAGAGGAACGCTTCTGTACCAAGCTACAGGAATATTTCAGCCAAATCATCCACAAGGCACAGGAGCCCACCAAACAAGGCGAAGACATGACATGGTTCAGAGTATTTGAACAGGATCTTACCTTTGAAGCCCAAGATACATTCGTACATCGGCTACGAACAATTATAAAGCATACGAAGGCAATGGAAGAACTTGCACCAACACCTGACCGAGCAAAACCTTGGACGGAGCTCCATGATCGGGCACAGAGACTTGAAATGTGGAAGGGAATGGTTGATGCGACACTACACCAGGCCAAGGACATCACAAAGTGTTTCTATAAACTCTCCGACCCTGAAGCTGATGGAATAGGCGATGATGAGAGCGATGCGGCCCATCTTGACACATATGATTCTAATCGGATAGCTTTGCGGCTTGACCCCGAGTCCTACATTGAAAGCTCTACCAATGCGTTGATGGAGATGAACCAGAACATGCTTCTATTTGAGACATACCGGCCCGCGCTTTCATAAGCCTACAATCTGAATTCCAATGTTGCTGAGAGGATACATGGAACAGGAAGAAATGGCATCCCCATGACCTCGGTCCTGGAGCATGTATCTAGATGAAGCTGGTTGCACCTTATGGATTATAAAAAGAACTTCGAGGCGGGCACCGCACGATTTGATGAAGCGAAAAAATATCCAACGATCGATGAGGTCATGCTAGTTACCAGAGAAGCGAAGGGAGAAGCTGGTATGAACAACTTCAATCTAGCTTCAATTGCTTCTTATCACCTGAGTGCCCCAGAAAGCCATCCACTAGAGCCCGTCATGAGCTGGCACAGCCATCATCAATACTCTTCGACGAAACAAGCTGCATGACCTTGTTCTGATCGGCAAATAATAGCATATTAGAGGAGCCTTGCTGGAACTGAGGCCACGCGAAAAAGCTGGTATTCGTGGGATTTTCAGCAACGCCATCGCCAATTGCAACTCGCACAGGCCCTCGAGAGGGATCTTCGGCGAAGCTGAGCCACAAAGCCTCCATCGCGTAGCTCACATTCCACTCGAAGCTGGTCGAAGGGCCTCCATATTCAGAGTGGGTACCGAACAGCAGCGGGAGCTCGGCACTGTGATAGGCGCCAAACCAAGGCAGAGGCGAAACATTAGAGAAGTTACCAGCGTACTGATATTGGTAGGTTGAGAGACCCCCAGCATTGCGGTTCTTCACTTCTGCAACAACAGGACAGCTAATGATTTTTGTCGCCTTGTCTAGCGCTGCTTGTCCAGGTCCGTTGGGAGTAAATGAGACGAAGCCAGCTCCTTCGTTAGTATTGCTACCTATTATCAGTGGCTTCAGGATTTGTTAATTTGGGTTTCTTTCTCTTTCTAGTCGCCTTGAGGGACAACAAACTCACAATTTTAGCAATTTTCCCCTCGAGCACTCTCTGAGTCCAATTGGTGAACGCGGTCTTATCGTCAACGACGGGTTTGAATGAGATGGAGGGACTCGTATTATTGCCAGAATACCAGGATAATGCATTCTCCAGATCCTGAGCTGGCACTTTCCTGACACATGCGATCACATCAGCAGGTCCCAGATTTTTACACCCGACCAGTCCCGCTAGAGATGTGAAGTTTGTCTGCGCTGAATCACTTCCCCCAACAATACCAGGGCCGCCCGAGTCTGCGATGAGACCTGCCACGATCGGATTCTCGGGGTACCCGTATGGGTAAACAGTGACGCTTCCTGCACCAGCAGACTGGCCCCACAAAATGATTCTGTCCGGGTCGCCGCCAAAGTTTGCTATATTATCATGTACCCACTCAACACTGATAACCGTCAGTGTTGTGATGATGGAAATTGATTCGGGGTGCCATACGCCAGTCTTTGATCCAAGAACCCCAGATTCTGGTCAGCGAGACCATTTGCATTTGGGAAGCCGAAGACATTCACTCGGTAGCTAGTCACGATCTGTCAGAAATTTCCCTCATTTTATTTTTTCACAACTCACTTCATGATGACAACTATATGAGATTGTGTTCGCTGAACCCATTGATCGGGAATCTTGTACAGTGAAGCTTGACCACCGCTCGTAAAGCCTCCGCCTGGAATGTAGAGCAGGACAGGCAACGGTCGCTGCTGTGACTGGATATGCTCAAGTCTGGGTGCCCATATGGAGAGATAAAGACAGTCCTCAGAATTACCGCCACTGATCAAGAAGCCCTTCTCATATGTGGTGTAGATAGTGGAGCTATTAGTATTGAATTGTTGCATGCAAGAGTTAGGAAGCTTGAACGCTTTGACAGCGCCATTTGGCTTCTTTTTCTCTGGTTTAGCAAATCGAAGATTGTTGATCGGTGGCTCAGCGAATGGGACACCTAGGAATTGGCGAACATTAGGCGCGGTGCGATTGACGAAGCCATGAATAGGGCCAGACGATGTTTCGACGAGGAGCCCAGAGCTTTGTGTGCCTGGTCCGTGGGAGGAAGGGGCTGCGAATACTTCAAGTGTGCAAAATGCTGCTAAAACTGAAATTGCAAAGATTCTCATCTTGACTTCGAGTCAAACCCCCGTTGGAGAGATGGGAGGCTTTCTGATAACATTGTTTGTTTCTGCGGCCAAATCCTTGCTTTTAAGTCGTTTGAAGCTTGTTTCTTCACCCTTAGGTAGCGGCAGAACGCTTTTGCATGTTCTTCAGAACGTAGAAGAAAAATAAACTAGTGTCTTTCCCCTTCGAGTCATGCTATTAGTCTGCTGGATGCGGGGGACATATTTGTTCAATTGGGGAAAGCGATATGCCGCGCCACTTCCTGACCCTTATAATTAAGTGCGAATTCATCAATGAGAATTGGTAAGCAACTTGAGAGATATTGCGGGGTAATGCAGGGATCCGCGAAAGCACCAAGCCCAATACTGGACTAATAACTCACCTTCTATGATTGGTGGAACCCAATCTATGCTATTCCCGAAATATATTGCTTAAGAGAAAAACAGGGGGTGGAATAGCACTTGGCCGGATTGCCTCGGTTGTTACAGTGTGCTACGGAGTTGAAAGACGGAACTGCCGATGAATTTCTGATACTATAAACTTGTTCGAATCTCATCATTGCGGGGAAGGCTCTGTGGGGCACATCACCATCTGCTATCGAAGTGATATTTGTGTGCGGTAAGACTGTATCTTTTCTGAAAATTCTCTAAGGTAGCAGTAGTTTCCCCGACTCTGGATTCTGTTGCAGCTTATAGACTGGTGGCGTGTCCTGGCGGATGATATCTAGTCTACGGACCATTTCTTCTCATAGTCCTGCGGCTAACGAAGTCCGTTTAATAGCGGCCATACTCGTTTGGAAGGCGAATTAAAAGGACGATTCCTCGACCTTCTAGTGCATTCATTCTGTAGATGATCGGCAGGTGTCAAGATGAATTAAATCACACTGGCAGGCTACTGAGCAGGAACGGACTAAGCCGACAATAAAGGCTAAGAAGTAAAGACCAATTTCTTGATTCTCGCTACTAAAACCGTATCCGGGAGGAAAACTTCTGGAGGCAGAGTGAGACAACTTGGGATTGTTCTTCGCTATGTTTGCTATAGGCGATATTCTTTCTTATCCGACTCCTTCCGCACTCGAATCCGCTCTATGCTTCAAAAAGCTGCTCACTGGTGCCTGATCTCGTATCACAGGATCATCATATGACTGTCAGAGTATGTCGCGTTGACCTCAGCATCATCACATCGTACCAGCTCAGTAGGTGAGACACTACCAACCACATCTTGCCCCGAGTTCTGGCGGTGACCTGAATGACCTTCCCGACCGTAAGAAACGTCTCGAGCTATGCATGTTGTACCTTGGATGTAACTGTGTCTCAGGGACTCCCCATTTCCCCCGCTAAAGCGGATGTGGCACTACGGCGTGGCACAGCCCTGCAGAGTTCCCGGAGTCCGAGCTCAGAGACATGTTGCTGTTTCCGGCCTCAGTTCGACCAATGCTAGCATCGCGAACACTCGGTCTTAGTTATCTACCTATTTTGGCAATGAGGGGTTTGCGAGACTCATCGTAATGCGGTGATTGTCCTATGGTGGCCTTACCAGCGGTCTGACTCGCTGCTTCATCGCCTTTGTCTCAGAAAGGTCGGAAGTCGGGTGGAATGATGATGGATTTGCTTGAAATTTATGACAGGATGATAGGCAGAGCTCGTATAAAATCCTTGGCAATTACTTGCCAGAAAGCTATAAAAACTCCGTCTTTTCATCCAGTCCAAGCAAATATCATCCAACATCATCTACTCAATCAAAGATCTCTCTATATTTCTCTTAAAACCATCATTCACTATGCGATTCACCACAGCTGCCATCACTGCCGTTGCGGCTCTGGCTCCTCTTGCCAGCGCTGTCGGTAATGCGAAGGTTGTCAACAAGTGCGGTTTCCCCGTCTATGTCTGGTCCGTTGGTGGCTCCGTTAGCCAACAGAACACTGTCGCTTCTGGCGGTACCTATTCTGAGGTCTTGCACCATGACCCTGCCTCTGGTGGCATTGCCATCAAGCTCACTACTGTCGAGAATGGCTTGTACAATGGAAGCCCCCAGACCAACTTTGCCTACACCCTCGACGGCCAGCAAGTCTGGTACGACTTGTCGGACGTGTTCGGTGACCCCTTCTCCAACCACGCAATCGGCGTCAAGGCATCGGCGAGCTGCCCCAGCATCTGCTGGCCATCAGGTGTTGCTACCAGTGGCGGCAGCCAAGTCAAAGTTTGCGATGCCAACTCTGATGTCACACTGACTCTATGCTCGGGAACTTGCTAGAGTAATAATTTGGGGTCCAGATGTGTCGTAGGGATCGGTGTTGAGTGTTGATAGGACGGGGAGAGCTATGAATTTGTAGATAATGTGTGATGCAAATATGATTGACGATCTCTTGATACTCTTCATAACAAAAAAACGTAAAAAATGCCCACGGAGTTACAGTATTACAGTACTGATATTGAGTAAAAGCTAGAGACAAACCTGATACTATCGATTTTTCCCACGTAAAATTCGATGATTGGTTTCTAGCCCATTCAGGAGAGAAGGCAGATCGGGCATTTAGCACTAGTCATGCCTATACTTCACTATCTGAACAGAAGATTGGGTGAATAGACATATCTAAAATTTGGATTCTCCTTGTCCGTCGTGTCGCTGAATGCTGACAAGTCTGCATCCACGCCAGGCTCCTCTCCATGAACACCGCCAGTACTGGTTTGAAGATCATCCCGTCTTTGATTTTCTCGCTTCAGCAGAATCCACAAAAACGCGACAACAACAACTTCCAGAAGATGCGAAACGATCATGCTCCAGGTACCAAGGGAGTACTCTGGAGCCTGTCTAGACTTTAGAAGAAGTGCCCAGCAAGATTTCCGACACAATATCCGACAAAGAGGCAAGCATTGCTTGTGACTTTCTTCGTGTGTCCGGCGATGTTGGCGGTCGTCAAGGAGAGGAGCATTACGAACGAGGCATTGTAAGATACAGTTAACTGAGATCAATGTTAGCATTTAATCCGCCCATTCCCGGGGTTTGAAGTGGCCATTACATAGTAGCAAATAAGTCGTCCCACTTTGGCGCTCCTGGGTACAAATCGCAGACCAAATGCTGCAGCGATATTGGGAATATCAGTATCATCAGACATCTGCTGTTAGGCAGCATCTTGTCATTAATCCAAACGCAAAACAGAATAACGAGAGCAATGAAAACTCCGTAAGGAATTTGCAAGAGCGTCGTTCCCACTATGAATTTCAGTACCTGACCTCAATTTGAAGGCATCAAGAGGAGGAGAATTTTACAGGCCGTGTACCCGAAGCCTTTCACAATCAATTTGCCGAAATTAGGGATACCTCCATTCACGATCGCCTGAAGGGGTGCAATCAAGAAGAATCACAACACCTTGAGGTCTGCGAAAGCCTCAATCGATTGATAGCGCTTGAAATTCCTGTTCTCGATTCCAATCTGATTTTCGCGCAGTCGTTCAACTGCCGATTTCCTCTGCTCTATGCTCAAAAATGGAGCCGAGACTGGAGAATCGGGCAAAATGATGAACATGATAATGCCCCAAGAAACGCAAAAAGCCCCGATGATGGATTCGTACTGCCAACTTGGTAATGACCGTTTAATTTGGCCGATTGCATAACCCAGTAGACTTCCACCCACAATTCCAAAGCCCAGGGAAGAGTACCACAAGCCGATCTTGATGGGCTGTTCGCGTCTTGTGTACCACATTCCAGTGATCAACATGAAGGCTGGATCACCGCAAGCTTCTGCAGCACCACTCAGTCCTCGAAGAACAGCCAATGTCGTGAAATTCTTCGCTAATGCATGAAGCGCAAGAAGAATTCCCCAAAGAATAATGTTCATACTAAGATATTTTGCAGTTGGAAATCGCTGCATTAAAAGATTGGTTGGAAGTTGTCAAGCGAGAAACCCGTAATAGAAGATTGATGATAGCCAGCTGTGCTGGGTTCCGACGAGATTTAGGTCCTTGTTGACTCCAAAGATGGCGGCATAGGAGAGTGTTGTTTTGTCAATCTTCGCTTCGGGTTAGGTATGGTAGTACTGGCTTCTCAGGTTTCATTTGGACAATGATCTTACATAGAAAAAGATATAGTAGACGGATGGGCTTGGAAGTATCATCAAGTCAATCTTCCGAACGAGGCGCTTTTCCTCAGCAGGGTCCACAAAGGAATGGAGCTCCTTTGGGTCATTGAAGAGCGCCAGTGCGGCATCTCCAGTTTTGTTGTCCGTGATTCCGGGGTTTTCTGTATCCTCAATGTGATCGACTGGAGGTTTAGAGTCATTTTTCCGTGCCATTTTGATAGTCCAGAGTAGCACGGCTAGAATAGATAAGTAACACAGAGTTTATCGGCTGGATTTGAGATTATAGGTTTCGTAAAGTGGAAGCGGACAGACAAGGGTTCAGCCTTATATTCTTGCTCTCCGCCAAAAGTATACTCTGGGGTAGGCTCACTTAGCCTTGTATCTTCCTCCAGGAAAAGTATCCGAGTCTTGCATACCCGAGATGCAGCTGGGAAGCACCAGTGGTATTTGCGACCGCGACGGAATACTTTACAGAATCGTACGATCAGCATAAATTTCAGGAAGGGTACATAGTCCATCCATTATCTACCTGATCTACTCATTTTTCTGACATATTCAGAGTCCGATCTTTTCAAGCTGCAGATAGACAACTCCAGGACGAAAAAGGTCCCATCAGATTGGAAAGCGTTCAGGCTCGACTTGGACAGTGTCTTTTCTTGCTGACTTGTTCGCGAATCAATCATTGTTGGTGCCTATTTGGAATCACCTCACATCTTATCATCGCGCTAGGGCTTCATCGAAAGGGCTTGAAACAATCCAAGGCGGTCGAATGTATAGCAGGTCGACTCGAGGAGGAGAGCAGAAAGGGGCTATTTTGGTGTGCGTACAACTTGGACAAATATCTCAGTGCTATGTTGGTCCGACCATCAGTATTTCATGATGATGAAATAGACCAGGTACTTATTCTCGGCATGACACAAACCAAGTGTATTGAGGGATCTGACAATAAATGAAGGAATTCCCGTCATTGATCGACGACGCAGACTTACCCAGCAGTCTAGATACTCAAAGCGCAGACGCAGACCCGAAATGCCAGGTCATGATCGCTCCAGTATTGCACTTCAAGTACGAGTAAAGCCAAATATTTCCTTGGACATGCTCTGACTGTTTATAGGCTGGTACGGATTGTCAGCGGAGTGCTTCATAGCCTATATGGGACACATAATCCAACAGAAGCACCAAGAGTTTTACTTGAGAAACAATTCAATAATGATCTCCAAGAATGGCGATGCCAGATAGCCCCTTTCCTCGATGCGTCTCAGGTTGAACTCAAATTCCTTCTTCCTATGTTCGAGCGTCAAAGTAATATGCTGAGTCTTGCATATGCCCATGCCGTCATCCTTATCAATCGAGGTTGGGTTTTATCCGAATTGAAATATTCGTATCTGGGACCAGGTGAGGATATGCGGTCGGATGTTAGCGCCTGTCTTTCTGCTGCGCTTTCCATCCTTCACACGATTAATCGAATGTTCCAAGCAAACGGGATATTCCCGGCTTATTGGGTACGTCTTCATTTTAATACTTCCTCTTATCTCTATCAAACACTTACTTGAATATGCATTGAAAGTTCACTCAATACCAAGGCTTCTGTGCTATCGTCATAATCTACACCTACACCATCCGTGCATGGTCAGAGGATAACGAGTTCTGTCTCAAACATTTCCGAGCGGCCGAGCGCTGTCAGTCTCAGATTGCATCGATTGCACAATAGGGCTCCCTAGCTCATCGATACTTCGTCATCATGGAGGAGTTCCGCTCAGAAGTACGGGCTCACATAAAAATTGATACTGATCAATGGACTGAAACAATCCTTACTCCGCAGCCTCCATGCAAACTGCCCCAATTTCAGGCATTGACGGATGATGAACTGTCTATGGCGATGAATGGGTTCTTAGCCGGGGGTATCTCTCGTTGATTTGACCTAGATAGTTGCATAGGGTCCGGATATCTACAAAGTTAGATTTTGGTTCATTCAGTAGAACAGCAGATTTCCGCCGGCCATTTTCGTTAATGCTATAAATTCAATTTCCATCATCAAGCATTGAGCTCAGCCCGAAAACATGTATCATCGCCTATCCTGGTTGTCTTATCCACGCTTCGCAAGTGGCTTTCCGTTATCACAGATCTATACTCTCGCGACGCCCCCGAGACACTAAAGCAGCGATATCACAAGCCCTAGACTTTATAGCAAAGACAAATGTAAACTCACCAACACCCAAAGATCTTGAAGCTTTTCACCTGTAAAAATTAGGTTTGTTACGGTAAAGTTGGTCTGAATTTTGCCCAGTAAATTCCCCAAAGGGTCGATGACATCAACCCCTTTTGCCGATGCCGTCCACAAATTACCTGAAGTATCAACCTTGAGTCCGTCCGGGTCACGCTGGTCATTAATAAAGAACGTGCGATTATTTGTGAGCGTGCCCGTCTTCAGGTCAGGGGTATATGCGTACAAAGTCCGAAGCCCGGTAGGGTGGCAAGTCAGCGGTTTTCCCGAGTTCACACCCGTATCACTAACATAGATTGTAGATCAGTTGGGACTCGAGACAATTCCATTTGGCTCTGAGATGGTTTCGTCAAGCAATTTACTGGACCCGGACGTAGTGTTGAAGAACCACACTCCGGCTGTCAACTGTGGTGGGGAGGGATTGAATCCGCCGAGATACCCAAACCAGGGATCTGTCCACCAGATATTTCCATTGGGATCAAAAATTATATCGTCTGGGCTATTGAGTGAAACTCCACGATAGTTGTTGAGAATTGTTTTAGCTTCGTTGGTATTTGGGTTGTAGGTGACGATGGACGCTTTCTATCCTCCGCCGCCTGGGCAGGTGAAGTATACCAGACCTTTGTGATACGATCCTCCAGCGGGTGACCAAATGGGAGGAGAAGCGTTGAATTTTGATAGAATTGGTGTTTTTACACTCAGATCTAGACGGTACTGCCAGAATTTGTTGATCTCTGTAAAGACAACCCACTTCTTGTCGGGAATCCAGACAGGGCCCTTTATTTTGTCAGTTGTAGGTCATGCATTATATAAAGGGTCGGGTTAATGGCACTACATGAACGTTACTCGCACTACATACTAAACCTTTTTGGGTCAGTACCCGCCTTGGCAACTTTTCACCACCAAAAAGGTACATCCGACACCTAAAAACAATAACTCCGGTCTACCAAGGCTTCTGTCTAGATATTTCTATGAATAATAAGCCCTTTTTGCGGTCGCTCTTAGGGTCAGTATTTACTTCGAGCACGTTACTATATGTTTACCTATTATTCGATAATTATTATGGCTATTTATCATAAGAACCAGAGGAATATGACTACACATAAAGATAGGGATATTTCTGTAGGTCTTAAATGTACCTTTTGGTGGTGGGGGCGGACGTTAACCGAAAAGGGCCTAGTTTGTAGTGCGAGTAACGTTCATGTAGTGCCATTAACCTGACCCTATATAAATATGGTCTGAACTCACCTCATGGGTGATATCCTCCACTGAAAAGAAGAACTCGTAGCTGGCATTATCCCCAACAAGTGAAAGGAAGCTTTCGTCAAAGGAAAGGAAGTGATAATCATTCAACCTATCGAAACCGGGCACGCTGGTAGCATTTGTGTCACCATAGGTCGAAGCAGCACCGCCATCTGTCCGGTTAAAGGGCAGACGCAGCACTGCTTCGTAGTGATGGATGCATGCCACTCCGGGGGCGCAATCCAAATTTGCGATGGTATCTTTCACTCTGGCCTGAGTGCCAGACGCGTGGAGCCACGTTGCAATGAGGTAGAAGTGAGGGAAAACATAGTTGGATGACCACATCATAGCTAGGATTTCTTGCCTTGGAAACAATCGCGAGAAAATATCTTTGGTTTCCTCAAGCTCAAATGCTGATATGGAGTGGTTTATAGTCCTGCGCCCTTGTCGCCTTCCTCTTTAGTAGCACCGGATGGAAACGTATCCACGGAAAAGTAGCCTAGTCACAACAAAGTGTGACCTGATCCGAACACTCGAAAAAGAAAATCAAATTCAATATATCCAAGAATAAACACCCTGGCGGACAATCTTATTTGAACTCCTAGGAGTGCTTGTAGCCTTTTCTTCCATCTATGAGTAGATCAGGTTGGAAGAACCATCAGAAAGAGAACACAGACGTACTCAAGTCGAGGGGAAACGATTAAGGATGCAAATGCTAATTCGAAATTCACCTTATTTGCGCTTTCAAGAATCGAAAACAAAGTGAAACAGAAGTTAATAACGGACGCTGCGAAAACGGCTCCGCCTTACTCCATTTTGACACCTTGGTGCCTTCTGGGGTTTCCGGCTTTCCCTCGAAGTACTGTATCCAGTCCGCTAGAATAGACGATAAGTTTGGATGCAGTCGCGATATCTCTGTTTCAGGATGCTAGATCAGATTTTTGTCTAATCTGATTGAGTCTGGTCGGGATTGAATCTTTCTTCTGTATAACCAGTCTTATTGGATTTTTTCACGGATACGCGAAAATAAGATCTAGGTATGTGTGACGCGCTACAATACCTGACCCTTTGTGGTATGTTCTTATTTGTTGTACAACGCATCCATACCTAACTACCTACTATGCCCTCTACAGTCATCTCTCGACGTATACACATACACAGTATTCCGTACAGTACATCCCAAAACAAACCCTGTAATCACAAAACACCTCCAAGACCAGTCCAGAACACAATCATCTCTCTTCAAAAAGTACAATGTACCTAGTACCTTCCCTGTCTCCTCACGACACGTTCCAAGCCCAAGTCTAGTCCCTTCCCCATTCCAGAATCTCAAAATGCAGCACATCATCACCAGCCCCAGCATTCCCGATCTTCCAATAACAGCGTCCGTCTCATCTATGCCTATCCCCCTCCCAGCCCCGCCCCGATCTTGGAATAAGCCCTGTCCAGTGTAATACAGAGTTAGGACTTTAACCAACCAAATCCTCAACTCGAATTTCTATACAACCCCTCCAAAGCTAAAACAAATGGATACAGAACTTAATATCCTGGTCTTAAGTTCTACGAATGGAATGAATCTAGCGGAGGTCCTCGGTCCACGGCGATCGCGGATGATCACGCACCGCTTACGCCGTGATTAGCGCAGCATGATGAGGGTGGCGGGTAAGGGAGATGTTCTAGTGTGGTGTAATCCCCGAAATCGAAGCCTCAAATGTGATGCATCGCACACTAAAGGAAGAATTTTCCCCATGAATGATGGGAGTAAACTAGAAAAGTAGTAACACTCGACAGTAGCGAGTAGAAGAGCGAGTAGTGACTGTGGTGAAGGTGGGGTGGGGCCGCTAGATGGATCATGGCGCTGAGGCCCGCTGTGATTGTGGTTATTTTCCGAGTTGCGCGAGGCCTGTGGATGATAAAGCAGTAGGTACTAAGTACCTAACAGTAATTGGATGGCTGGTTGTCTGCTATGCTATCCAGCTTAGGAGAATGAGCTTCGCTACCAGCATGGACTCGAGACTGAAAGAAAGAAGAGTATTTCCTTGATATTTTTCTATTAAATCCATCACCAACGCACTGGCACTGGCTCGAAGCCAAGACCAAAGTCTCCGTGAGTGACACTGTCCTCCGGCCATGTGGGGCCCGTTCCAGTTCTGCTGGGAATTCTGGGAATTCTGGGAACGGATGCGACTTCTCCCCCCGTAACTTTCCAGCTTACGGGGTTCGCTTATCGAGACCGGCGGTCTGGTCTGGGTTGGTGATAATTTGAGATATGTCCTATATTAATTTTATTATGACACTATAATACTACTTTGTACCCGAGGGTCTTGTCGGAACAGGTGTATGCTGCAGTGGGCTGCAGTAGAGGGACGGGTTTGTGTAACTGGAACTATAGTAGTCAAAACTGAAGATTATTATACAGAAAGGTGCTGCTTTCCATGTAAATTATGAGCGCATGTATGATCAGTTGAAAGGAGTCCTCTTCGAGAGAGAAAGTATTGAAGAGTTGGTCTCGAGACCTGAGGATTTTGTACTTTCCGTGAAACTCTCGAGATTCGAGTCTTCATTCACGAATTACCCACAGATTAATGCGAACCGGTAGAAATAGCAATCTGTTACTTCATTCTTCAACAATAATCATGATAACTAGAATATAAAACCTCATCATGAGGCAGCGACTCTTCCCTGTAGTCCGCAATATCAAACCAAGCCATCGGACACAATAGAAAATAATAAATGCATACTCTATTAGATCCCCGATTACGAATTCCCTCTTCAATTATTTTTTCTGTACTATACCCACCCAAAATAGTCACATGTTTGTTAAATAGTCGAGTGCAATCAACCGAGCCTCAGCCATATCATGGCTCTGCTAATACCCGGGCGCTGCGTGGCTATCACACCACACGAATAGTTCGGGTGAAATGCTGTCTCCATTGACCGAGGACGCAGCAAACACGCTTAAATCAGAACCAAAAAGACTTATGTGAAGAGCCGAGAAGTGAGTACTGTAACCGATTCCGAGTTGCTGGATTTCAGATTAACGTCTTACCCTGATGATCGGGACTATGTGCATTTCAATATTAGTGCGGGTGTTCTTGCCCTCGTTCATAGGTATTTCTGCAATAGCTTATAGGTTTATGTACTGTACTGTAGTATAATTTTTTTTTCTTACGTGCATTTACAACATCGTGCCTCTGAGGATGCACGATTCACTTTGTCAAGACGACCGGGCCCGCCATGTGGCGTTACATCTCACACATACGCAAGCCAACTAGATTTATACTAGAAGTTGCATTTTCGGAGCACACCGTATAGAGTATAGTTATAGTACTATACTACTCTGCCCTGTTCCTTTCTGTCGGGAACCTCGGGGACCAAAGCCGTCAAAGGAGGAATAGTTCGTACTTTTTTCCTGTGGATCGTCTATCCACCTAAATACACTTGTATGTATAGCTATCACCATCTTTCTCCGTCCGTCGTCCTCCGTGGTTATTCCCAAAACCTTCTGTCAGAATTAGGGTTCAAAAAGGTGAAGGTCTGAGCTGGAGGCTTGTGCAATTCCGAAATTCAAATACATACGTAGGCGATCTCCCCCTCCTTCTCTTTTCCCGAAATGGCCGGACGCAGTATTGCCGAGGTGTGTTTTGACTGGGATTTTCTGCAGCGCGCTCTTTGCATGTAGGAACCGTTCGGCCATGAAATGTTGCCTGCATGTGTGTGAATTGTCTGCATGAAAGCAGGTTATTTTCGAGAGGCAGCGTAAGTACAGTATTTCCGAGGGCGCGGTTTGAGTTTCGCTGTGTGGTCCACTTCGGCAAAGCGCTGGTGATCGGTGTAGGGGTGTGTGTTCGAACAACCCGGACAAAGAACAAAGGTGCGGGCCACGCCGGGTGGAAAGTGTCTCTCGCAGGTAATTTGACTCGGCAGCTGGCTAAGTAGATACTCTGTACATACCGGAATAGATATGTCCATGACGAAAACGAAACCACATCTCCCTCTACGATGATAGGCAGGTCATCAATACTGTCTTAACCTGTGCTAATCAAGCGCTTACCAAAACAACCAACCCACACCACCTTGCTTTTGCGAACTACTTTTACGGTTCCGATCTCCCCTGCACGCATCTTACTTGGGAAATCTAACGCCGGATACACTGAGAGTTGGTATCTGCAAGATCCCCGATCCAGTTCCTCATCCAACCCTGACCCAGCCGGATTTTCCTTGCATGACTTAGAAGGAGCGGGTGATGGTGGTGGACAGACCAGGAGTTCCTGCAAGTTGGCCGATTCAGAGGCGCTATATAAGGTACATGAACAATCTTGTATATTCTCTGCGTATACTGATCTACACGCTCTTGCCGCGGGATTCTGCATTGAATTCTACCTTCCTCTTTTGGTTATGTCTTGACAACCGGTTGTTCATATCATGTCGTGTTATTATTCATTTTTGAGTCAGGTTCATGGTCACTGAGTAACCTAGTGATTTATTGTGTGCGGAATTATGAGTTTCTGTCACTATCGTAGCTAATTGTGAATGCTGCTCGTTCGAATTGATTTTGAAGCCAAGTAATGCTGTGTTCTGTAAATAGCATGTCCTTGAAAGCACTACTTAATTTATTTGTAGCTGAACTCTAGCACATACGACCATAGGGTGTGGAGAACAGGGCTTCCCGTCCGCTCAGCCGTACTTAAGCCACACGCCGGCCAGTTAGTAGTATGGTGGGTGACCACATGCGAATCCTGGCTGTTGTATGTTTTTTTTTTTTGCTCAATGTTCTTCTTGGTCGATATTTTCTTTCTCCAGCTTCTATTTAAGTACTTTTTGTCTATATCAGAGGAGGTTTCTACTTCCATGTTTGTAGGAATGGTATTTCACAGGATCTGCTCGGCTGTGGGTTCAAGATATATATTTGAAGCATCACGGGACCCAACATGACAAAGTTCTACATTTCTATACCGTAAATATAGAGTTACCTTGAACGCAAATGCCACCTGGCTTGGTTAATCGCACTCAATGATAGAATTATTCCCATAAAGCATGCTCCATAATTGACCTCTTTCACCAGATGGTCTCGTGCTATCAGAAGAAACACCGTCAAAATTGCCCGATAGACCAAGGATGAGCTATGCAACCTAAAACCCACCCAAATGAGATCACCAAGAACCCTTCAAAAGCCCTCTTTTGATTCGCAGAGAACGACACAGAAAAGTGAGGCAACTTCGCACAGTCCCCTACAAAAGTACAATTTTTACCAATGGCGCCGAACCAACCCCGAAGCCGAGGCAATGATGAGCATGAAAAAGTACTACAAGCAAATCTCCCCTGAGTCGATCATCACATCTTTCCAAAATAGTGGAGACAAGGCATTGCAACCCTTGCTCTCGCTAAGGCTGAGATGATAGAAGGTATACTTCAATTAGACTCCTTCCACAACCGCGTGGGAAGGTCAAATCCACGTGGATCCATGGGAACAGGATCCGCCTTACCCGGGGTAGAAAGCGAAAGGAATCAACCGGTTCCCATGTTTAATTAAACATTCTAATCCACGACGGTTGTGATAATGTGATGGACGAACGGCTTTGTAAGGTCAGAAATGGAGGTTGGGGGAGGGGGACCGTGTGCAGGTATCGTCGGCCAGGCGACATGACATGTCAGTTTCAGCGCGTCACGACCATTGTCAAAAGTACCCCAGCGCGGGGCGACCGTAGCCAAACAGCGCGCGAGAGGACCTGCGCTGTACGACGTTTATACATCACAATTTTACCGGAGGGCGGGGGGTTGAAAGTGGATTTCCACACTGGTCTGTATTAACATAGGACAGTTAGCGATGGTGGTTAGGGGGTATGAAGTGTCGAGACGGTGATGAGAAACAAGCAAAATCAAAGGGCCTGATCGTGCTATAGCTTGCGCTGAGCCTCATGGTGTCCAGTGCTTTGCAGACCCCGAGCCAGAGACTCGGGACCATAGTCCATAGTATATATGCACTTATGTAGTAATGTACTAGCTTCTTGTTGTACAAGCTCCAAAGCTCAGGGCAGCTCAGCACATTCCACCGCTTCCATTGTCTTGGGCCTGGGCCGCCTCCGCTGGCAGCATGGACGGGGTCCGAGTGTAGCTAGTAGTGTTCTGAAGTATGGAGACATAATGAATTTGCGTGCAGGTTGCTTGTTGTACTCTGTATGATCTATACTACTTATAGTATATGGAGTATTTGAGGCTATTGAGGCTGCATGGCGTCGGCGTTGACATGATCGCAATAATGCCCGCCTTTGGAGGTTGGGGAGTCTTCTTCGATGTTAAGACGAGGATCAGCCGTGCACCGCTATTTTCAGCATCCCGCCGTGCAGCCGATCGATTCAGCATGCACGAACCAGGGGTAGCCATCGCTGATACGAAGGCGAGAATTCAAACAGCTGAATCGGACTATTTAGTTGTCTGATCTGTGAGGTAGGAAGAGATCGATCTGCATAGAAGTATACGCGGTGGCTTGAATTAACGATTGTCAAGCTCAGCCAGGACAATGGTATGCTTAAACGGTACTCCGTACTGTATCTACGAAGCTGGAGCTTTGGTCGCGCTTGAATCGCGCCTCTCTCGTTTCTCAACTGATTTGTCACGTTTCTTATAATTCCTTTTGCTGTCCCTCGTAACGAAGAGCATACAGTTCCATAGATCAAACGTTAATGGAGTCAGAGCTCAGCCTGTCCTTTGAATTACCCCAGAGAGGTTACTATTAATTGCTTCTCCAACCGCAGTCTTTACTACTTATGGATTGCCGATCTGTAAGCTATCCGAGCTTACATTCCAGTCACGCGAGAAAGCATGACAAAAATACATGGGGATTGGCCTGTCTCGGGAATTTCCCCAGACACAAGTCCCTGGACAAGGATCTTCGCGACCGATACAACCACTGGACACTGGTATGATTCGACCTCGTGATGTTCCCTAACTAGAGCTGAAACATGGAGGCGGAGAAGGTTCTTGACCTAGGCAGATCATGTACAGTATGTAACTACGAAAGTATAGCTACGAGCGAGTATAACCGTACATATCCAGAGGCTAACACACCTAACAAAGACCAGCTCGAGCATTCCAGTCCTCCCGCCAGTCGACAGGACACAGCTCGGAGTACCGAGTACATTCAGAGCAATGTGAAATGAAAGAATTGATTTGTCAGAGACAAGCGAGCAGCCCTGACTCAAGCGCCACTGCCGCAGTATTCTCTCCAGAGCATTACTGGCATTTGTCTTGGTTGGACGCGAGGAATATGAAACTTTGTATCGGCCGCGTGTACAAATCTCCCTACAGAGAAGCCGTCCTACAGTGGCTTACTGTACGGCGCACTCTTTTGCGATATGATATGATTTCTTATGGAGAGTGCATAACTCCGTGGACCGGGTAGAAGGGCGACGTGTATGTATGTACTGAAGATCATCTGCATATTCTCTCCACATCTGCTCTTTTCTCCACTTCTACATGACTGTACCAGTACCTCAAGCCGTCGGAGCTGAGTATATTTGCAGTATGTACTCCGTACACATTCAGCTCACCGGCTAGCACTCGCTATGGACTATTATCGAGTCTCCCCACCAGCGAGTCGCGTGGACACTATACATACCTGCATCTCACTTGAACACCAACCCCCACATCGCCATGAGTGAGGCGACGACAGGACAAATATGCTATTCCATATGCACAAAACAACCGTGGCTGAAGCTATATCTCCAATATGCACAACAAAGAGCCCCCACGTCAACAAACTCGACGCGCCAAGCGGCATGTCCGACTGCCCACAAGATTTACGAGGACTTATTCTCCGCGTATCTGCCTAGATATCTCGATCCGATATGACAGATGATGGGCTCTTGGAAGTTTGACCTAACCATCGAATCATATCATAATAGGACCTACCTTGTCCCTACCTTGCAGAACAGACACTACCAGCACACCCCCAGCGTTACAGCCTCATCATACCAGCTGAATTAGACTGGAGATACCCCAGAACCTCTGGAATTTCCGGGGATACTCTAGGTGGGGTGTCTGCTGGGGCATCCCTTGCGTGAAGCCTTTAGACAACACCGAGAAACTCTATCGCTGCTACCTGTAGACAAGGCCCTTGTCGTGCATGGACGTGCAGGCTACAGTACGGAGTACTGTAATGTGTGGATGGGGCGAGTAGATAGACCTTTGAACGCGTAGCCCTGCACTACATACAATGTCATTGTGTTGTGAGTTTTGGGCGTTGTTGTGGCTATGCAAGATTGACTTTGGATGTGCACTGTGAAGATGATCGGCTAGGCGAGGATTGCGCTGGCTACTATGCGCCCTGCACTGTATGTATATCATCGTCTAGATTGTGTGGTGGATGAACTATGGAATAATCTGTGTGGACTAGTTGATTTACTGATAGGACAGATCATTCTTTTGAGGCTGTCTGCTGCTCATTAGAGTGGGGGGGTATTTTATCGGAAAGAGAATTGGTGGGACTTGAAGTACTAGGGATTTGATGGTGAAGGTGGACCTCACTATTGTAGACACAGGCTTTCTAGTTCTATCAAGTATAGAGAACAGTGAAAATAAAACCATGAAGGAAAACAGTTCCTAAATACCAATCATCCCGTGGCTATAGCTTAAGTTGTGAATATGATTCTTTAAATTACAGTATTTTACGTTTCATCATGTACCATTATATTGTACTCTGTACGGATTACATATGTATGTATTGACCTACCTTCCCACACCACCTTTAAACGATGGAAGGGGACTTCTCCAACCGGTTCCTGGCCACATTTCCAACCCGCCCAATCTCCCAAAACCCACTCGTGCAAAGCAAGAAAGCCCCAAGCTCCTGGGAAATATTTTCTCTTCCATGCCCAACGCTGATAGATTGCATCGGGCAAGATGCGCCCAACCGGACCCAGGAGACAGGATCGTGGAAACGGCGGATCGGCGGCGGGAAAGTTAGACTGGACTGGGTTTCGGGACTGGAGGAGGGGGAATATGGAGGGGCGGATTGGTGTCTCATACTAGCTGATGAGATGTCCTATTTTCAGGTGCTGCTTCAAGAGACATGGATTCTTCGCAAGAAGGAGGCTCAGTACAGTAGTTTTGTAAAGTGGCGAAAGCGCCCAGCCCTGTCTGGGCAAGAAGATGCCGGCCGCACCGCAGCGCGGCGCGCAGAAGACAGGAATAAGAGGAATAGGAACAGGAATAGACATAGCCCGGTCGGTTCGGGTGGAAAGTCTATTACCATCTGTTTTGTCTAATCATGTCTACTTCTTGTATTTTCCTAGTTGTCATGTTGTCGGGGAGTTTTCCTTAAGGAAATATGCAATACTAATCGGAGAAATGGCAGGATTCAAGCCAACGTCTTGCCCAGACGGAGTCGGGTCTCAAATTCCCAAACTATTGAATTTCGCACAACGGGAACACTTTGGATCTATTGGACGTCGATAGGCCGGATACTGTAACCAGCCGCGTGTTGTCGATGGGCCTCAATCTCATCGACTCCACCTGCGCGCCACTTCGTTTCGATCCTTTCTCCCTTCCTCCCTACCGCTTCAGCTGGTGTCTGGCAGGTGACGGGAGCTATGCTGCAATGACTGGATGTGGCGAAGTGTATGTGCATATTGCAGTTTCTATACATCATATAGGTTTCGATGGACCGTTTGGAAAAGGGATTGGATAATAGGGGTTGAATGGGATAGATTGTTGCCTACGACGGGACCAACAGGAATTGACATGACATCCTAGATAATGATATTCCGTCGACGGGCGGCCCGCATCGACGACTCAACGGTCAGAAGAAGCAAAAACTCAAACCAGCGATATCGGGATTTCTTTCGTTTTGTGGCCGTGCAACTCGCTAAACGTAACTGTGCCGAGGGGCGGAGAGCGGGAAGATTAATTTTAAGTACACAAAACTGTAGTTATATTCTTTTCAACGGGGTGTACTAAAACCGGGTTCGTATACAAACTACATACCTTTCTATTGAAGATATTGTGTACTGTACGGATAACTCTATACTCCGTACATAGAGACGGGTGATTATGCGCCGAGGCATCCATACCGTGCTGCACATTTCGTGCACGTACCGGAGCATCCTTCTCCGCCGGACAGATAATAAAAACACCCACTGAACTGAGTTCAGTGTTTACTGTCTTCTGGCGGTGTGCGGGAGATATCCTTGTGAAAGGGGGCGTTCACGAATATGGGATCACCGGGTCCCCAGTTCTGATATCATGCCGGGTTTCACATACGCCAATGGCGGTGGTGATCCTGGTGGGAACCCTGCCAGGATGATGAAGTCATTTTTTCTTCCAGAATGGTTGGCTGGACGGGAACTAAATTATTGTAACGACCAATTACGATTGCTGAAAATGGGGACTGGATGAAGGCTAACTTACAGTCTCTATATTATTATTTAACGATGAGCTTCATACTCCAGTACATACCGTATTTAGGCTGTTTCCTTTAGATAGTAGTCTCGAATTCTTGATTGGGGTTCTAGTTTGACATATGGTAATATCTTAGGGATTCTGTTCAATACAGTATGTATGTACTGACCAGTTAACCAGCTAATCGCTCGACCGTTTTCCAACTATGTATTCATATTGCAAAGTCGAGATATACAACCGCACCAGCCCAGATCACAATGCTAATTTTTGGTCGTGAACAAGTCTAAAAAGACCCCCTGGCCCGATTTGAGCTTGGTTGGTTTCTTCATCTCTTTTGATGTTGTTCTGTTTGTTGTTGTTTATCGAATTTGGTACAGTTCTGGGGATTCCCGCCGTGTCTCCCATGGATGAAATAGCGGCTGTCGCTGGCTCTTCCCGTGGATGGGTTGTATGTAATTTTGTGAAATACCCACTAATACATACCGGGCTGGGATTGATTCAAGTCTACGGAGTATGCTTCGCTCCTTCGCGGAATATCGTCTCTAAATACTCCGTCCTCCGTACTCCGTACTCCGTACTCACGTCTGTAACTGACACTCCGAAGGCTCCGAAAGACCAACCAACTAGTGTGCTCTGTCGCTCTGTCAGTCAGTTACCTAAATATCCAATTTCTATCCCTTTTCCCCCCCCTTCCGTCCAAGCCACCAGCTCATGCTGTCCAAAACACTGGGTCAACCGGAGTTGATCTACCAGCAACGCTACCATTCTCCTGGGGCAGTCAACTTAACTTGCCACCGTCACTCTCTAACCCCCGTTATCCCCTCTTGACTTCCCTCCTGATAGAATTCGGTGTGTTTTTCTTTTCTTTTTCGAGAAGCCCGCCGATCTGGAGGTTGTATCCACCCAGCAACTTCCCAGGCGAACCAGCACCCAGCCAATCGTGTTTTGTAACTTTGCTTTGCAGTCGCGACATTGTTTCATTGCGCGCGCCCCTTGCAAGCGATGCGCGCAATGAAACAGAACTTCCTCCTAACCTGGAGTAACTACGGAGTACATAAAGACAGAGGAGTTGATTTGATTGACTAACACTAACTTGACTCGTCTATGCCGAGGGCGTCAGCCAGCCAGCCAGCCCGAACACTGAACAGGACTGTAAACTTTGTGCGTTGATCGAGATCGGGATTGTCTCCGGCGCCATTGGACAATCATATTACGTTTGTTCACTATTGAGGAGTTAAGATTTCCCGAGAAATGGGTCCTTGGGATTGGGATCCCTGTTTATTGTGTGAGTCGTCATCGGTGGATTGCGCCTTAGGGGGTCTTTTTTTGGATACTGGGGATATTGAAGGCGTCTTGATTATCATATCTTATACAGATATGTATACGCTTAAATGAGTATGTGTATGAGAGTGCAATTGGATAGTGATAGTTATTGGCATTCTCTTGAGTCTTGAGCTTGAGCGGTGTTCCCCCCTCTACACCGTCACTGTCACCCAGCCCCCCTCCCCCCGTTTTCCCCACTTGGGTGAGATCCTCCAGGACAACTTCCCAACTTTACCTGAGCGGTGTTCCAGCATGGTGGTTACGCTTCGATGATCATGGTTGTGATCCACGCGTGGACGTATTTTCATGATTGATCTACGGAAACTAGAGATGAATGGAATGGAATATGGGACTACATAGGTACTGTATTAAATAGTATTTGTATTCATGGCATGGGTACCATGTACTGTAAATAGGAATTTGTTGTAGGCGGGAATCTAAGGGTACTTGCCGTCCTGGCAAATAACGTTTATCGGGTGTATTTATTTGGTACCAGATATATGTTAGGAGTTAAGTAATCGTCATAGAAATCAATTAGAAAACTATACACTGACACCTACCTTCTGCTCTCTCTATGAGTCCATCCTTGTTGAACCTGCCTATCTGAATTTCTGTAGCCGCGGACCCACCGGTTTTCTCTGTCCTGACTCGAAGGCAAAAAAGAAACGGGAGTAAAGCAGACCTGTCAACTCTAGAAAGTACGACTTTCTCGGCCGGGGCGGTTCAAGGCGTCTGGTTGAGTTTTGGAGAATGAATGGTCTGCGTTTGACTTCCCTGGTCGCGTTGCTTGTTGACTGCGATCGAACTTCGATCTGGGTTGGAATTGGAAGTGGTGTACTTATACTTGTACTTGGACATGGACATGGATACTTGGGGTGTCGGTCTATAGGTGGGTAGGTCGGAAATAGTAGCCATGTTGAATTGTATTTGGGAAGTGTTGTTGTTATTCCGGTTAAAAGCTCCTCTGTACGTTGTATTGTTCGCTCTTTACTATTTGTCTTCTTGTTCTCATCTTTGACATTGTTTTAGAAATTAAGTACATAAAGACTCGGTGACTCCCGCGATCGAGATCCCATGCAATCTAGGGAGGGGCAAACAGCTCACACGCTTGTCATGGGCTTGAGAGGGGGAGGGAACTGTCGATCCCTGACCGGTTGGATATTTGGCGATTTAAATTTCTGTGAATTCTGACTGGATCCAATGCGATTATTAACTATCTCCCCTCCCTTTCTTGACTAAGTTCCCTTCACTGGTGTTAAGCCCTGTCTGATTTTATTTTGCTTTATTTTAATAATTATTTGGATTAAAATATTATTATTTCCTATCCCCCACCCCCCTCTGAATGATGATGTTGGGCTTGAGTTGACCCTTCTTCTTTCCCTTCGCGTTTTGATCCTCTCGTTCCCAGTTATATTCCCATCCCCCCATCACCCTCCTCGCTTCCTTTCCTCTTCTCTCCCTTCTTCCCCGACCCAACCTGCTGGAACCTACAAAAAAACCACCACCACCACACTACTGTGAACATTAACAGCGTAACTCTCCGTCTCCCACCCCCTTCGATTATCCGGACCCGACACTCTGGCTTAGGTTCCTCCCACCCCCCCCAAGCCTGAGTGTTTCCCCATTCCCCCCGTCCGCCCGAACTCCACCGCGTCACGGGGTGCCAAAGTACTCCGTACTACGACTACTACTACGGTTACTACTACGGTATTGGACTTGATCACCTGTTTCTAGCTCGTACCTTATACTTTTCTACTCAAGGCTGTGATCATTCTTGTGCTGGGCTGTTTATACGGTGAGTGGATCTTTAATAATTGATTATGATCCGAGTCCTGTTCATTGTCCACTCTTCTCCAGCCTATTACCATACCGTACTTTTCGTATTCGGTATAATACCCAATACCCAATACCCAACCATACCTTGCTTATACCCAGCTATACCCAGTCATACCCACTGTACCTGTACCTGGTACTACCACTTCCCTCTCTCTTTCCACCTCTTCCCCCTCCTTCCCTGCCCAACCGACTCCTCCAAAAAAACTGCCCGCAGCCCGCAATTACTGCGATCTATCTGATACGGTGGAGTCCCCCTTCCCTCACCATCGTCTTGGATTCCCCATCCTCTTCCTTCTGCCTTCTCTGATCACTCCCCCCTCCGGCCTTGTGTATGATCCGATTCCGATATTATCCCTCCCCCCGTCCGATCCTGGCCTGGTAATCTGATGCTTTCTTTGTTCTAGTAGCTCCACTCGGCTTGAAAGAAAACCCGCGAGCTTGCCAACACCCATTTTTGCGACGCAGCACCCACTTGGGCTTGAATTCGCCGAGCTTCGCTGCCTGCAGTACACAAATTCCTTCATTATAAACCCCCGCTGGCTTGCACCGCGCGACGTTGCACGCGGCCTTTTGCATTCCTTTTCCCCAGAGCTTCCCCCCCAGCGCGCGCCAAAACGTCATCGAGGAAGCTCCCTCGGACCAGGTCGATCCCTTCCAACCAACGCGCAACACCTCTGCTTTCTCTCCCATTCTCTCCGTGTTGCGCCTCGCCATGATCTTCTAAGCAGCTATTCTAGCATTTAGCCATCTTGCTTTCATCCGGTACATCCCCCTCTCGAACTCGCCAAAACAAATGGAGCTGCCGGAAAAATAAAAACAAAAGGAATGCGCCTGACTCGTGTCCCCACAGATCTCCCTTGATACTCATCCCCCCTCTTCCCTGCGGATCCAGGTCTTGACTGCCACCCATGAATCGTGGACCTCCAGATGGGCCTCATGCGCCGCCCGCGCATGCAGTCTATGAAAATCCCTGGCCTCGGCCGCCATACCCACCATCCTTCGACAGCCATCCGGGCCACCCTAGCCATGCGCCAGACCGACGGCCCTCGAGTACCCAGGCGCCGATGCACGGACAAGGATACCACCCCGTTCCTTTGAACCGAGAGCTTCCTCAGCTCCCACCTGATGGACCATATGGCCGCCCCAACAGCTTGCCCGGCCCCGCGCATCCTCCTTCACACCCTCCCCCTCACCCACAAGATCCGACCCCTCCTCCGCACGCTGGTTATCGACCACCCATGAATGGCGGCCCCCACGACTCATCGCCGAATTCTGCACCCCCGGAGTACCGATCGCGCATGAGCTTTCAATCCGAGACATCTGCGCCGGGCGAGGTAACCCCGACATCTGGCCCGCTTCCCCCATCCTCGTTTATGGCTCCCGGACCGCCAGTACCCCCAGGGACGCCGGGCCCGTATGATCCGAGCTATTACTCAAATCCGGCGTATGGAGCTCGTCAGCGGAAGGCAGCTCGTGCGCAGCAAGTAAGTGTTGAATACATGATGTTTATTGGGGACGGCGTTAATTACTACTATGTAGGCTTGCGATCAATGTCGAGCGAGAAAGGCAAAGTGTGACGAGGGACGACCGGCGTGTAGTCATTGCAAGGAGAACAACTTGATGTGTGTTTATAAAGAGGTCCCACCTCATAAGTGCGTATAGCCCTCTGCCTCTAAAACCCGAAAGGGACATACAGGAAACTGGGATATTAATGTTCCAAACAGACAGGAGAAGAGTGCGCAGTTGGTTCTGGATAAAATGATGGAGTTTGAGGACAAGACGATCGAGAGATTCGATGGTCTCACCAAGCTCTGGAAAACACAGGAACCCATTTACAAAGAGCAGGTTGCTATTCGCCAAGAGCTGGCTCTTCAGCGCCAAATGATGACGGAATTTATTGCATCAGTCGGGGGCCCCAATCCAGCACGACTGGCTCCTTCTCAACCTCTTGCAGCTCTCCCACCCCCTCTGATCCCTACGGCTCCGATCGTCGGCCCACCACAAGAACCGTTGATGAAGATAGAGCCTGCAACAACGGAAGCGCTCGAAGATCCGCAGGCTTCGACTTCGTTTTATTCACAAACCAGCCTCGACGCATCGGGACAACCGCCTCCCAGTTTCGAGGACAGTGCAAAGAATGATAATGAAGGCGAACTGTCTATTCCAGTGGAGCATACGACAGCAGCACACAAACTTCTCATGTGGCCTTCCATCAAGAGGTTGCTTAACGCGGAATATGACGAGGATTATGTGATGCGCCTGGAGGAGCAGCGGGGTCTCATCAGTGTTTATGGACAGGGCGAGATCTCTTACACTGCCGATGATACGTTACTACCCACGCCGCCCTTGCCAAACGATGACGGTGGCTACAGTGAAAAGCTTTCGAATCCGGATGGAACGTCGAAAATCCTCAGCGCTACCTCGTCCACAGATGCAGACGCAGAAATCGACCGATTTGGACTGCTCAAGCTAGATGGAAAGACGGCTCATCGGTACTTCCAGAGCTATCTGAACCGTATGCACAAGTTACACCCTTTCCTTTGGCAGCAGGAGCTTGAGATGAAGGTCGATGCTTTTATCCGGTGCTACTGCCCACGAACTTCGTCACCATCGTCAGAGCCAAGCACCCTCTGTCGGGACAAAAAGCGTAAACGTACCGACGAGGATCTTGAAGGAGTTCGAGGCACGTCTGCGGATCCAGTCTCGACACCCAGGCCTCGGGTGGGACGAAATATCGACAACGCTATCGTCCTTCTAATCTTTGCCCTGGGTGCCATTTGCGAGCACAAGTCTCCCCTCCCTGGCCCGATCATGGACCAGAAGGTTGAGGACTACCGGGATCAGTATATTCCTTCCCCTCTTGGACCTATACCCCTTCAACCACCATTGCAACCTGTAAACGGTGCCGCCCATGCTGCAAATGGTGTCCTCTCGCCTCCCAACTCTGAATCCATCTTGCCTCACAATTCTGACTATGCGCCACACTTCCAACACACCCAGAATTACTCTTCCGAACCAGACCCTAAACAAAACCTTTCTAGGCGAACAATCTCCGCCACTACTGATGAGTACGGTCATGTCAAGAATCTCCAAGTTATTCCTGGTCTCGCACTGTACGGCTATGCGACGACAATCCTCGGCCTGCTCCAAGGAGGCGTGGAACTGCAGCATGTTCAAGCTGGACTGCTTGCCGGTCTGTATGCTGGTCAACTAGCGCATCCCTTCCAAAGTCACGGCTGGATTTGCCAGGCCGCCCGAGCATGCCAGGTTCTCGTCCGGCAGAAACGATACGAACGACTCCCGGAAGGCCGCACTCAAGATCTGTTCAACTTCGCATACTGGACATGTCTGCAGCTGGAAAGTGATCTCCTCGCCGAGCTCGACATTCCCGCAAGTGGTATTTCCCGCTCCGAAGGCCGGATCAACCTACCCAAGGGCCGCTTTACCATTGACATTCCAGACGACCTTGAAGCGCACAGCACACGGATGATGCTTTTCTACTCAGCTCAGATCCATCTCCGCAAGGTCCTCAACCGCGTCCATACCGACCTGTACAAAGTCGACAAGCAAGGTGAAACAGGCCGCTGGTCTTCTAGCGTGCAAGAAACGCTAAGTATGAACTTGGAGCTCTGGCGCTCTAGCCTCCCGGCCACCATGAACTGGAAAGATAACGACCAGCCCGCTTCTGACATCAACGCCGCTCGTATGCGTGCCAAGTACTATGGTGCCCGCTATATCATTCACCGACCCCTGCTCTACCACGCTCTTCATTACGGCCAGACTGGTGCCCGGATTGGCGCCCTGTCAAAGTCCTCCGCTGTCGACTCGCCAACCGGATCAGCCTCTAATTCGCAAACCCAACAGATGTCACCTTCCATGACGCATGCATCTGGTCGTACTAGCAGCGCACATATGCAACGGATGTTAAGCGATGCTGGCTCGGCGCCTGCTAGCTCATTCCCGAACAGCTGGATCCCACCGACGATTAACTTGCGTGAACTGCAGCCCAAACTGCGACGTGCGTGCAAAGTCTGCGTTGAGTCTGCTATCTTGAGTACCGAGGCGTTTGACCGTGTTGAGGACCGGCTCATCGTGACGAATATCTTCGGCACGGCCCATGCGTGAGTTTTCTCTGGTCCCCATATCTGCGAATATCCTGACTGACCTTTTTTTGTTCTTTTATAGTCAATTCGGTAACATGCTCGTCCTCGCTGCGACATACAACTCCTGTCTCTCCGAGCTCGTCGAGCGCCCCGTCCTCCAGCGCCTTCTCAAGCGCACCATTCGCTTCCTCCTTCGCAGCCAGAATATCTCGCCTACACTGCGTGCTGACGCTCGTATCCTCACTGAGATTTACACTAAGATCTTCCACCGCGCACCTGACCTCAGCGAGCATTGAATGGCGTAGCGTATCTGTTCCTGGTGTTATCCTTCTTTTTCACTGCATGACCCCGTTCCCCCACCCGGGGTCTCTAGGAGTCTTTCATTTTTTTTTCTTTTGGTTTTAATTTTCATCAGCCTTGGGTCGGCTTGGGTTGAATCTGGATTTGACTTTTGACTGCGATGAGTTTTTGGATTGGAGCTGGGATGTTGAAAAAGTTCCAATCCCTTTCCCTTTGGTTGGTGTTTGTATGGCGTGGCGTGGTTAGCACTTCGTCCTTTGTTCATTTGCCTCATCATGGCCGACGCCCGGGCCCCGTTTCGTCATTCCATGCCTTTTATTTTTGTCTCGTGGCATGGCATATACGGACATTTTTTATTTTTTTTCTTCTTTCTTTTCGATTTCCTTTTTTGGCTTTTTGGTTCTTTGGTCATTCTGATTCTTGCATGGGTGGTTTGAACGGCCTATCATATATCCCCCTTATACCTTATACCTCATCTCATACCTCATACCTCATCTTATACCTTTGTCATATCATATCATGAATATATGTCATGTGTCTTGTCTTACCTGTCTGGTCGTTTACTGTTCGACCGAATGGGGAGGAGATTCATTGTGCGGGTTGAATTGCATTGTTTCTGCTGGTTGTTTGATTCGTTAGCAGAGTCGGTGGATTGATAACCATCGAGTTGGGCTTGGGGGTGATTCCTGTCGTTGTGAATTGAGTGGGCGCATTTCGACATTTCATTGAATGGCGATCGTGATTTTGATTGCACACTCTCGAGTTATATTCCAATGACAAGACAAGCATCTCTGCATCGCAGATCGCCGACAGTATGATCAGCTCATCCATCGACTTCCTGCTTCCCACTTTTGCCCTTTAAAAAGACTGCTAGTCATTACCTCCTGCATACGGACTACTACTCGAACCCGTTAAAACCATATGACATCATGATCCCATAATACACCTTTTTCATCCTCTTACATCGTTGAAAAGGCTATCAGAGAATTAGAATCTATCAAATATAAAGCTCGTAGAAGAACCTTTCTAGTAAGGAAAAAAATCTTACCGAAAAAATCCCCAAAAGATATCCTTTCCCCGCCTAGCGATCGATGTGCCCGGCGGTCCGTGTCGCTCGAGGCGTCAACCCTGGCCCAATACTCTTTTTCTTCTTCTTTTGTTTGCCCAATTCCTCCAGGGCACACCAATGGTTCACAAATTTATGGTGGATACCAACTAGGCCATCGGAGGGGGGAGGTGATTGTTTGTCCTGGAAACCGGTGATAAGGCCTGTTATTGCCTATTTGGGATTCTGATGTCAACACGTTTTCTTATACACTAGTTGTTCTTTACTAATGTATGACTTGGGGTTTTATACATCGTAGGTAATGGAGCTGGGGATAAGAAACACTTGTACAGTACGTAGTCTGTATGGAGTACATACCTACGCTATGTCCTCGGTCCCTACTTGTTAGAAGGACTGTACAGTAGCATTAAGAATGAGTAGTATGTAGTGTGGTAAAGGATTTCCCTAAACTGTAGCTACTTAGATTTTTTTTTGGGGATCCCTGATACCCTCTGGCTGTGAGATGAGATGGTGGGAAAAAGAGGACTTCTCACTAGCTTGCTCAAGGATGCACTACACTGCCTGTACACGAAAACCCGCAGGATGGCATCAAAACCCCTAGCACCGACATTGGCGCTGACCTCAATAAGACCGACGTCCTGTGTACAACCTCGACAAAACTGCAGACCCATGCCATTCCGCATTGCGAAGGCAAACCAAAGCATGCTCACTAATCCAGGGGAACCGGGAATAAGCTATATCAAGTTGACTTTGATTCAAGTGCCTCCACACAGCAACTCATCCATCTGCAGAGAGAACCCTACCTAGCAAGGTCCATCCAGGCCCACTATGTACGGAGACGCAACGCATCTCTAACCAAAAAAAAAAAAAAACCACGCTCAGACAACTAGCCAGTCTAGATCGAAAGCCGTAACGCACGGCTTCCTCGCTTAAATAAGAATGGGAATGAGAATGAAAAGAAATCACAATGCCAGATCTATACAGTGCTTCAAATCAAATCAATTCAGTTCATATCATGATAGCGTCGTCGAAGCTGACGTCGGCCGCACTTGGTAGTGGAATAACGCCCAAACACCCTTCAGCGCTTCCACGCGGTCCGCACCATCAAGGATATCGTACCACCTGGTACGCTGTAGCTTGAGAACGTGCCAGGGCTGGTCTGAGTCGGACTCGGGGATGATGGCGCTGGAGCCGTTTGTGAGGACGTCGAGGTAGCGTTTGTGGACGCGGAGGTGTAGGAGGGAGATGTGGTGGTTGATGGAGGAGATCATGTAAATCTGAGATAGAACGGGTTAGTCGATGATTTGAGAAGGTTGTATGGTGATGGGTATCATTCTTACATCGTCATATGAACTCTCCTTCGCTTTGCCAATCTGCATATACCGCATTCGCTTATCCCACAGACTTGGACCGGGTTGTAGGATTTTCCATTTCTCCGCACTGGATAGCTTCCGCATAGCACTTGGCCGGCGAGCCAACGAGGCAATGAATGGATGCTCGAACTTGTGTCGCTTGCGCGCACTTTCGACCTCCTCCGCCGGCGACGACGGTTTTCCACCACCCTCCTCGAGCATCGAGTCTGGCAGCGGCATCCCACCTGCGTTCCTGACTAAATCATCCAGGATCCCGTCATTCGGCGCTCCACCAAACCGTGGCGCTGTCGTCCACCACCTGCCCTCACCGGGTCGCAACTCAACCGCGCCCTCGCGTGCGCGTTCCTGCGCGGCGAGTAACATTCCACCCACTTCGCGGAACAGATCGCACACCTCCGCAATACCAGCGCCCGGCGCATCGGTCGTACTGCGGAACCCAGTCTCTGGCCGACATTGTGCGATAAGGACTGGTCCTTCGAGGATACCGCTGCGGGCGATGGTGCGGTCCCGCGGGGAACGGGCGGCGAGGAAGGATTGCCGCACGGGGAAGTGGAGACTTTGTACGGTGAGACGGGGTGGGAGAGTTGGCACGGTGACCTGGCAGCCAAAGGGCCAGGCGATCATCTCGACGAATCCACGGATGGTCTCGTCGCGGATCTCGTCGGGCATTTCACTGCCTGCCCCGACACGCCGGCCCGTGTATCTCTTCACCATTGGCTGGGAGGCCTGCTCGCTGCCCTCGTTGTCAGTGCCATTGGATGGCGGGGAGGTATCCATCGCGGATTCATCCTCGTCCACGTCCATTGCGGGCTCTGCTGGACCAGGCTCGCCGAGATCTGCGGATGCATCGTCCGTGTCCATCAGCTCGTCGCCTTCCCCATCCACCGATGTGGTCGCCGTTGGCGACGCCGGCCGCTCAAAGTAGTTATCTAGACTTGTATCCCAATACTGCGCCATATGTTCCAGACCTGTCCAGAACTTTCTAGTCTGGGTCACCCGCACGCGAGCGCGGCCCTCGCGGGGCGGCAACCGGGCGACCTCGCGGAACGTATCCTCGTTATCCAGCGATAGCTCATTCTTCAGGATCTCGAAGCGGTCTTTGGGCGGGTAGGGCACGCCATTGCTCATGAGCGGGAGCGCCTTATCCTTATCCTGGTCTTGGTTCTGGTTGGCAGCGACGGATGGGACTTCCGACTCGTCTTCCCAGGGCAGCGGGGGCAGCGATTGGGCCTGATCGGCCGGGAACATGCGGCGGACGTCGACATCGGATTCGAGATGGACATTCAACGGCTTGAATCGATCGATGGTAATATCCTGTGGGCGCTTGATCGCAGCCAGCAGGCCAAAGAGGTCGGGGAGGGTTGAGTCGGCATCGTGGGGGACCACGTCGGGGAGGTTGTAGACGGGGAAGTCTAGCGGGGTTGGATTGGAAGGAGGATTGCGTTCCTTCTCAGGCTCTGAACTGGCCGAGGGTATACCTGTGAGGTGAACAGAGACATACAAGAGTTAGCTGGGCAAGTCAATGGAAAGATGAAGTTGTCATGAGGGAAGGAGAGAAGAATCTAGGGCGTCATAATTCCCAAGCGCAGACATTCCGGGCGCCACTGACGGGGGGCACGCTTTTGCACCGCGGGGAGACCGGAGGGGAAAGAGGAAGAGCTTACCCAGCCCGGGACCCCAGCCAAACATGGTTTTCTTGCGGTGAAACTGATGGGAAAATGAATGGGTTACATGCTCTGGGGGATGGCCAGAGGAAGGAAATTGGGTATCGCGTGGTCGCTGGAGGAGAGGGAAGATGTTTACGATTGGAAGTGGCAGTTGACGTTGCGGACTGAAGACTCGAGTACTTTTGGGCCAAAAGTGGAGAAAATCGGAGGACCAACAGTCAATCCGCAGTCATCAGAGTTTGGGTTGATGCAATTTGAGTAGTAGAAGAGAAAAAAAAGAGAATTGATCGAGACACATGTAATATGAATGTGAATATTGATTACATTGTTTCGAATCAACAGCAGACAATAAACTTTGAGCCTGACAATCACCAAAGAAGAGACTTTGTGCCTGTCCCGACTGCCGGTCCGGGTGCCTGACTGAGCCCCGACCAGCAGAAGAGTAGAACATCACCAGTACTGTACTTTGTCGGTCACTAGGACATTGTTTATGTATTGTTTACCTGTCGTAACTCATCTACTTCTAGGTCATCGACTCAATTTTAATAGTAGAATCACCCTCACTCAGCATGCGTAACCCCGTCGTATCCAGACTCCCCCGATGCTCGAACAAGTTAGACTTTGGGCTGGTGAAACGGCGTGTGGTTGGACCAGTCCAATTTGCAACTTTGGAGTGTCTCGAATAGCCAGCCTTCAAACCGCCCACTTGTTTCGGTGGACAAGTTAGGAGTATACCTCAAGAGCGAGGATTGAGAATAATGGGCAGAGCTGCGAGGGGAGAGCAATGTTCTCGATTATTGAATCTTGGTCTCGACCTTGTTGGTGGATGGGGATGGGGGTATAGACCAGCTAGGGGTTCTGATCTTGCTGCCTCATGCACCGGCCTCCCAAAATCGAAGTTGTCGTGTGTGGCATACGTTTGGACCTGTGAAGAAAGACCGGAAATAGAGTAAAGGAGCCGGCACACAATGGACCAGTAGGAAAGTTGTGGTCGAGTATAGTATCGCGTGGGTGATGTTGTCCCGTTCCAAGTCGCTTTGAACCGTGTGTCGACCCTGAATAAATAATGTTCCTAGACATTAAAGTTAATCAGTTGAACCAATGCCAGCCTTAATAACCATCAGGACTCAACAATCAAGTATCGATCGCATAGTGCAACACTCCCGTGACGAAGTGGTTTCTGCAGAATCCCCCAGCCATCACAATGATCGGCCTGACTGTAATCCAACTGATTGGCTTGTAAGGGGGTCGGGAGGGTCATTCCGGCTCCACTCTAACTTGGACCAATTCGCTCCGTTAAGCGCTGGGAGTCCCTCGACTCCTTCTCACACTGGAAGAAGCGCCAGCTTCAGAACGTGAAACAATGGCCCCCCTGGAAACAACCCCCAGAGGCTGGCCGAACGATGGAGAGAGGAGGGTGGTATAAAGAGACGGGGGCCGGGATCTGACGTGATGTGTTGCTATTTTTTCCTCTCTGGCCCCGATGCTACCAAATGCAACAAGCATCTCGAAATAAGTGGTGTGGTATGTCCTCAAGAGAAAAAGAGTCTGGCTTCAAGTTTTCGACTTTTTGGAAATCCGAGTATCGTCCTGTAGATCACGTGTCAGGCCATCGGGGGATAACAAAGAAGGTCGAGATGAGAACTGCGCTTTGTTGACCACTGCTCTCTCTTCTCATCCTTCATCCTTTCGAGAGCTTCTTTTTGTCCCGCCGTTGTCTTCCCTTCTTCAGTCATCCTTTCATCCTTCCTTTGTTTTTTCATCTTCGATCCATCCAAGTCAAAACCGCCAAGATCCTGGTTTCGCCTTTGATCCCCAGCCTGCGGGCTCGGTCGAGATGGTGATGGCCTTGTCGAAGGGTCTTGCTGTCTCTGGTGCGCCATCTCGGGCAGACCTCGGCTCAGCGTCGTTAACCTTGTCGACAGCGGTGACGATCATGTCAGTTGTGACTGAAACGGTCCATCCGACGTTGATCGTCACTGAGGTGACCACAGCTGGGAGTTCGCAGTTGGAGACGTCTCGGACAAGCGCGGGGCAACCGCAGAGTGAAACGAGCTCTAGCCTAACAGTGCAATCAGGTGCCGTCCAAACAGACGCAAGTGAAACGGATCAAACGCAGACTGTACAAATGGCCCTGTCAACAAGCTCAACCATCCCGCAGCTGACCGTGCTGGTGCCTGAAAGTACCACTACTGCAATGACCACAGCAACATGGTCAACCGATGACCCAGCGTCCTTCTCTGCGGCTGCGGCGCAAAGTTCAGTATATCTGCCTCCCGTGGTAGGACACTCGAACGCAGATGCACAGACCAGTTCTTCAGAGCTGCTGCCAGTGTCCTCCTCCTTCACGACATCTGTACAGTCCAGCACTGCGTCCTCCCCACTGGCAAGTGCTACGGCCAGTACGGCCAGTACAGTGCTTGATGTGACAACCACCATTCCCACAACCACCAGCACCCAACTGAGCTCCAGCACATTAATCACCTCAAGCTTTGTCCCGATCGTCTCTTCTTCCGCCAAAAGCCAATCTTTAATCTCCTCACCCTCACCTTCACCTTCCTCCTCACCAGTCGGAGCTATCATCTCAAGCTCAGATTCAACCACTGCCCAAACCAGCGAAAGCCAATACACCTCCCATGTGGGCGCTATCGTTGGTGGTTCCGTTGGTGGTGCTGTGTTTGTCGCCCTGGCCCTACTAGCCTGCATGCTGTGCCTCCGCCGCAGACGACAAAAGGCCCCCATCAAACCCCTGGGCAGCCCGAGAAGAGGCCTGCTACGCAACAGCAGTGACTCCCTAACCACATTCCGTGGTCCCCAAGGCTGGCACGGCCAGCAGGATAGCCAGTCCTCCTACCCGATGGGCCCCATGTTTTCGCCCCGGGGTAACACCATCTCTTTGGCCCCCGCCCCCAACCCGGCGCTGGCGGCCTCTTACCAAGGACCGCCCCCCGTCACCATGTTTGTGCACCGGGATTCTGGACAAAATCCCTTCTCCGACCCAGAGCATAGTCCCGTGTCGCCAATAATCAACGTGCACCCTCCTTCCCGCACGGCGTCCACCTACTCCCAATCATCATGTGAGGGTGGCCTGGGGTACCTCGAAAAATACGACTATGAATCGCCCACCCGCAGCTCTCGCTATGAGAGTATCTACTACCCCGATGACAACGTCGCCACACCAATTCTCCCTGAGGACGATAAGCTCGCCCCGCTGGAGACTTGCAAGACGCGCCTCAGTACACGCAGCGATCCGTTTGATCTCGAAATTCCACGAAAAGTCCTGCATGAATGGCCTCTGCCACCACGACCAACTCCGTGGGGCGATAACTTCTGAACCGTGTCCCCCCTTTCTTCCTTTCCAGCCCCCGAGGGCCTTTCGTGCAAATATTGCAGCCATTATGCATTGTCGGAGTTTTTACGGAATACCCCCCACTCGTTCTTCCCAGTCTTGTTAGAGTTCAGCGCTCTGCATTGTTTTTTTTCTTTTCGCACTGCCTCCATGATTTATTATTACATGTGGAAAAAACGGGTTTCATGACTGCATACATGCTACATACATGCTTTTCGACGATACATATGAAGATGGTTTAGGGTGTTTGTTTTCCCTACAAAGGCGTTCCAACTGAGTGATGCGTGGGCTTGGTTTCTGGGATGCTTTTTTTGTCAACACATTTTTAAGCGTGCATTTTTATCTGATCTTTCCGGTCCCTTCAAACTTTATTCTTATTTTTGCACTCTTAGCATGGTGTTTACATGGAGGGCATATGAATACGATACTTTTTCCATCTCAACCCTGTTCTTGTCCCGTAGTAGCTAATGAGTCTGCTGTATGTAGGGATCTCGTTGTAGCTGAAGGAATCAACTATATCGCCACCTGAAGAATTATAGCCGAACTGGTTGCTTGGTACAGTATCCTGTGGAGTCTGCCCCATACTTGCAGGGGTTCATTTCCATGTGGTCATGTCGATCACCCCAGCCTCATACATACGGTACCTTAATGGTGAGGTACTGTACTGTGTACTAACCTCTCAGACGAGATATTGCTAAGAACGGAGCCACCCCCGTTCTCAACCAAGCCTAGTTCTACTTAGCCTACACGAGTCAGTTCCCCAACCCAATAATTAGACTATGGTCGGTTCTATGGTTCACGATCAAATGTCAAATTCCAGTGCCATTTTTACGCGCGGACCTCGGCTTTCCCCGCATATTCCATTGGTCTACCATCCCCGCTCTCTTTGATTTCCCGGCCGTGCAGATTACACGGTTCCCACTTTTTAGAGCTGATGCTGATGGGGTTCCCTTTTGATTTAAACTCTCCTGGCTACAGTTCAAGTGGATATTCTTTCATCACTGATATCAAGAGCACTTGAGAAATTATCGCAAAATGGCTTCGCCGGCGAAGAGATGGCCCTCGAGAGAAGGTATGTCTGCCACCTGTGCTACTAACTGCCTCCATTCCCGGGTAAATACCTAGTCCCCAGACAGAAGCTAATTCTCAACCCAGGATTCACGGCGGACGTCGTATCCAACATCCTCCACCACACCGTCCTCAGTCCCTGGAAAATCCTCCCCATCCTAGCCCTAGCCCAATACACCACCAAAGGCCGCGAACTCCTCGAATCCCGCCCGCACCTCCTCAAAGCCCTCAAAGCCCTCGCCTCCATCGCTCTCATAAACCGCCTAACAAGCTGGCTCGACAACCGGTCCATTAACAACAGCGTCAACGACCACTACGACTGGAACCGCGAAATCGTCGTCCTGACCGGTGGCAGCGGCGGCATCGGCCAACGCATCGCGTCCCTCCTCGGTTCAAAGGGAATAAAAGTCGCAATCCTAGATATCACACCCCCAACAAACCCACTCCCAAATAGCGTCCGTTTCTACGAATGCAATATCACCTCACCCCCTGCCATCGCCGAAGCGGCGGCTAAAATCCGAGCGTCCTTCGGTCGTCCAACGATCCTGATTAACAACGCCGGCATCCTCACCGGAAAAACCATCCTAGGAACAACCGAGGAAATAACCCGCCGCATGTTCGACGTAAACACCCTAGCACACTACTGGCTCGCGCAAGAATTCCTGCCAGACATGATCTCCTCCAACCACGGCATGATCGTGACAGTGGCCTCGCAGGCCGGATACACCGTCACGCCCAATATGGTGGATTACTCCGCGAGCAAGGCGGCGGCAATCGCGTTCCACGAGGGTCTTGCTGCGGAGTTGGTGACGAGGTATTCGGCGCCAAGGGTACGGACTGTGCTTGTTACGCAGGGATTTACGAGGACGGCGCTGATTGCCAATTTGACGCCTGAGAATACGTTTTTGAATCCGCTTTTGTATCCGGAGACGGTGGCGGAGAGGATTGTTGAGCAGGTTTTGAGTGGGCGGAGTGGGCATGTGCTTGTTCCTGGGGCGGCGGGGAGTATTGCGCAGAGGTTGAGGGGGTATCCGCTTTGGTTTCAGCATTCATTGAGGTGTCGGTTGGAGAGGTTGATGAGGGCGGAGTAGGAGAGTAAAGTTGTATAGGTGATTGGGGAGGGTGGAAGTGGATGGTTGGTTAATGGAATCAATGGGGAAATCGGGATCGGATATTCTCTTTTCTTTGGTGGGTTTTGGTCGGAGTATATGAATTGAGTGACCTCTTTTGCAAGCTTCTCAACGCTAGGTATGATTGCCGTTCTACTATAGCTCTTAGTGTAGTGTAAAGAAACCGAATTGGTCATCGTAGTCAGACCATGCAGGATGCCTCATAATCTGCGTAATCTAGATTACCGCTTTCGTACATTATCATATGGAATGACGCTATTGATCTCCGCTAGGGAGACTCTTGAAAAGGAAGAAGACAGGGATTCAAATCCTTCATAATAGTCTCCGCCTATGCATTCCCGAAAGAGGAAGCATCCCGCCTCAATTCACGTGCTTAGAAATGCCCCGCTAGGGTCCTTGATGTTTGAAACGGGAGTTTGATAACGCCTCACACAACTTAACACTGCAATTCGTTACTACCAAAGCGGGTCACAGGTTTACAGTTCAAAGATTGCGGGAAGTAAAAGTATGTTCTACATACAATGCGTTTGTGGGGTACATATGCATTGCACTACTGTATCCTTGCCATCCTCGTAGTATGACTTCATCACCATGCAGCTACAGTAACAAAAGCCAGAAAGAATCTAAGGAAAACAACTATTTTCCCCTTCTAGAAGCAGGCTAATCAGTGAAATAAAGTTTATTTGTTTCTCCACATCCAACACGGAATTCCACTGCCCCTGTTTCAAGTCATAAAAACTCCGAGGCTTCTCCATAGGGCTATACTGTAACTGCGGATACTTCGGAAGTGTTATTGATCTCAATATACATTTGTTACGCGATGTCTTAGAAAGACGGAATCAATCTATGTGTTGCCAAGACATGCCATAACACGATTCGAAACGATTGGATGATCCCTTCCAGTCTATACACGGAAGTAAGAGTAAAGGCAACAGTGATCACAGCAACATGTATAAAAGGAGATGTGATTCCATCACTCGTCTCTATTGAATTATAGTCATTCAACCTTCAATATCAATTCACAAGGACCTCGAGATTTCGCCTCTTACTCCTGTTCAAAAATGCAACTCCTCACTCTTCTGAGCGCCCTGGCATTTGTGCCATCTGTGCTCTCGGCTTCAATTCCAGGACCCTCTGGAGGGCTGAACCTGGTGGCTCGCGATGGTGATCGAGGCCACTACACTGTTTCTGGTCTTGGAGCTCGCAAGCAGGCTATTCTGAATGCTGGTGGTAACACCCAGGATTTGGCGATTGCGATGCTAGAGACGTAAGTCGACTTAGTTGAGGTTTTTGATATCCCAAACTTATCGTTTTAGTAATACTATGACCACCGACTACACATACGGTATTTCTAGCCCAATCTCTCAAATTTTAGGTGCCCATTATTTCTAATCGGGTTATCTACAGGTGACGGCAAGGCTGGTGATGCTACCAACTTCGGCATCTTCAAGCAGAACTGGCTTATTTTGCGAACCTCTGCATCCAAGTTCAAGGGCCAAACCGAGGCTCAGGTATCCAATGGTGCCATTCTTAAGTAAGTATTCTGGGCCTCGGTATTTTAGGTCTTCCACCACCGATAAAACACACCGAACTAACATGACGAATAAAAGCTCTGATCTGAAAAAAGACATCAAAGCACGGCACGACGGCCAGAAGCATTACGGATACGACGTCTGGTTTGCCGGACACCGTAATGGAGCGTCTGGACTTCAGAACCCTTACACCGACGATATCAAAGGTATGTCAGAGCTATCAAGGTACATCGATATGTGGATATATGGCTTACAAAGGAAATAGCCTACAAGGATGCAGTTGCATGGATCAAGCAGCAGATCGAGAGCAATGCCAGTTATAAAACTGATGATACTCGCTTCTGGGTGCAAGTCCACGCAATCTAAGGGTCGGTAGGATGTGGCTTGGTTTTATCATCAGTGTCGGATACTTTCACCTTCTAGGTACTTTGTCACCGCAGACTCATCGGCTGGACCGAGGAAAGTGCCACGGGTAGCCACTTTCTGTGCCAAATGCGCCCTTGGGTTTGAAGGTTATATGAACGGTGCTAGGCCTGGTGATTTCTGTTGATTTTTCTGTTAGATCAGTCTGGGTATTAGAAGCAACAATGATATTAATCATTCCACCTCCTATTTACAAATTCCCTCCTTGAAGAAGATTCGAGGTGTCTAGTAGGTAACCCATTCATGATGACTAGAGTATCAGGGTGATCAGGTCCAAGAACTCGCTCACAAATTTCCAGTATTTCCAGCCTCATCTGTTCCGCTTCTTCTAGCCGCCCCTGACCATGGTATATTGATGCCAGAGTACCCAGACAAGTCAGGGTGAATGGATGCTCCATCCCTAGTTTCCGTTTCACGGCCTTCACGGTCTGTAATTGTAGATCCTCAGCTTCTTTCAAGCGTCCCTGCTTGAAATATGTCCTTGACAGATTCCGCATACGGACCAAAGTAGAGGTATGATCTGGCCCAAGAATGCGCTTGGAGATTTCTATCTCTTCGATCCCCAGCATTTCAGCCTCAATTAATCGTCCCTGATGTCGGTATATTGCTCCTAAAATATCAGTAGCAAATATATATCCCGGGTTATCTATCCCGAGACCCCGTTCAAAGTGGTTCTTTGCCTGCATGGCTAGTCTCTCCGAATCCAGTAGGCGACACTGGAGATAATAGGTCAATGCTAAGTCTGACTTCACGGCGAACACATGTAGATCTGCTGGCCCTAGCTCTTTCTCTAGGGCATGGATCACGTGCGTTTGCCACTTTTCCGCTTCGTCAAATTGCCCGGCATTGAAATATACCGAAGCGAGAGATGCAATACAGTGGATTGTCCTCATATCGTCTGGGCCAAATAGTCTCTTCAGTGATTCGATAGCGGTCTGCGTCATTTGTATGCCACTACGGACGTCTCCAATCTCCGAGGCGTACTGTCCTGCATTTTCAAGGAGTATGGCCCATTCTGGTATCACGTCTTCTGGCATCTGGACAAAAGCGTGTTTCACATGAGAAAATAGCAACTGACACCGTGCCTCGGTTTCAGACATCTCAGATGGAAAATGAGCGGATAGTCTCCGGACAAACGACGCTTTCCAGACGTCCAGCTGTTGCTGAGCTTTGAGCCAGTCTTGGATGGCTAGCTGGACAAGCCGGTGCATTTCGAAGGTCATTCCTTCAGTGCTGATGCTTATTAGGGAATAATTTCTCAATGCAACGACATCCTCCTCGAATGTGTCGATTAAGGCGAATTTGCCGTGTCTATTGTGACTGGAACCGGGTGCATTGAGGGGATCCGCGTCATTCGATCCGGGTTGATCACGGAGGACTATGTCAGGGATTCCTTGTCTATCGAAAAAGCTCATCAGAGCTAGCAAGTCCGCTGCCGTACGCCTCACTTGACGAAGATGATCAAAGGTGATCTGCCAAGTGAGAAAAATGGCATTCCTCGCTTCCCGGTCTCGGCGCAGATGGCCCCCTTTGTGACTGAGAAGAATGATCTTATTGTCATCGCTTTCCTGGAGGTATTCCAGATACCGTGGGACCGAGACACGGGGTGCTCTTTGCTTGATATATGTTGCGGCTTGGATGATTGCCAGCGGCATGAAATCCAGTGCTGTAACTAACTGGGAAGCTTCTCGAGCATGGAACTGCAATTTCCCCGCTAGCTTCTTGCTGAACAGGGCTGCTGCATGAGTTTCGCCCATCGGCTCGACGATAACAATATCTTCGTCTTCGACGATGCTGGAAATTGCATCTGTGCTTCTGCTCGTCACGAGAATCGAACCAGGCAGGCTCTGAGGGAAATATTCCCAGATAGTTCGCTCTGAGATGCCCCTTGAAGCGTCTTCTGGCCTGCTCTGCCTTGCAGGTGGTGGTTGTTGAAGAAAAGTATCGTCATCGAGATTGTCGAGGATGAGAAGCCATTCCCCCTTTTTCTTATCATGCAACCAATCCTTAAGGAGTTCAAAAATGTTCGCATTGCGATCTCGCCGACCGGGGATTTTCACACGGTCAGCAATCTCTCGACAACTCTGCTCGAACCGGGTCGAGTTACTGGCATGGATCCAAAATACCCATGTCGTCGGCGATTGATCGCGCACACGGTAGGAGTATTCGATGGCAAGTTGTGATTTTCTTCCGAGATGTTAACTGCGGCTGCCCCTCGCTGTCTTCATCCGGAACCAACATACCCAACACCACCCAGGCCGACCAGTGCCACCCTAGATGCTGGCACCGAGACCTTCTGCCTAATATCATTGTCGAGTATCCCACAATCAAGGAAATCTGGATCCCGACGAAAAGGAACCGTTGAGAGTGGACTCGGCGGGGTTTCTGGTCGTTCTTACGCCGGCAGAGGCCGTTAGTCCCATCGGGCACCTACATTTCAAGACCGTCATGATGACTTACCCGTGCCAGAATAAAAATTTGCGTTGATCGGGCCACTGTTCGCTCCGATCTGAACTCCGGAATTTGTATCGCCGAATGTTGCACGGTGCATGACTGTCTCGACAGATGGCGCTTGAGGTTTGGGTAGGATGGTTCTTTTTCCTCGGCCGGCTTGATTTCAGCCCTGAGAGCGCTAAGCGCCGCATATGAAGACATAGGGATTGGCTAGGGGTGCATCTCACATGGCATGGGCGCGTAAGCCTGGAACTCGGGGTGATGTATGGCCTCAGCCAAGCGATTTACTCCTAGGAAACATTTTTAATACATTGAAATCTAAAAAAAGGGATGTATGTCTCTATTGACCCAAACAATCGTTGCACCTAAACCATCTACCCTAAAGCCCAGTTGCCGCTTACGCTCTCCTCCGTGAAACGAAAGGTCATTTCATTCTTCAAACGCAGCTTCTTACTACTGCCACTATCATGGCTACCCTTTGGTTGTTTCTCCTGGCTGTCGGCGTCACTTTCGGCGTCCCTGCCAGCCCCCACGGCCGTCTTGGGTTGGACCAGGTTCGTCAGATGCGGGAGTCGAAGGTGCGCCTGACCTTGACCGGCTGGATGTTTGCTCCTGATAGGGTTCAATTTCGTGTTTGTGATCTTCTCGGTAGTCTGTCTTGTTGGCGGCGTTGTGAATGCTACCTTCTGCTTCCATGGAGACTGGCTCTATGCTCGAGAATTTTGGATCTCCCGGGCAGTCGTGATTGCATCTCGGGGACTTATTAGCCATGTCAGAGATTTTCTAGGCCCCAGGCACCGGCCACAGTGAGGAAGTGGTTTACGTTGTTTATTCTTCTTCCGACACTGGTAGGCTCAGTAACATTTCGAAGGATGCCGACGAGCGAGCCAGCTCTGAAAGTACGCTTGCGGAACTGCCTGAGAGTTTATTGGCCTCTGCTGCTCCTAGCCAACTGGAAAAATACGTTACGATCCAGCGAGAGATTCTACATATCGCCCTATTTGCTTTATCTCAGATTTCACGAGCGATGGCTGTATTGACAGCGTCACTAATCATGGGGTTAAATATGCTCCATTCAATCTTTGCCCAAGCGGGGGAATGGCAGAAAGTGAGTGTACAATACAAAACAAAATAAGTAGAACGAAAGGGTGGTAATTTTCTGCATTTTTATTCTCGGTTGCCGGGCTTGAGTATTATTACTGTTGTCTTGCTCAAGGTCCTTAGTAGGGATACGGTTCACCACTACCCAGACCATGTTGCTTTCCTAATTCATTTAAACGCTACCTACCTAGTGGATAGGGTGACAGATATAGAACTGTACAGGGTACTCTCCGTTAATTCTTGTTGACCCCCGCTGAAGTACATCCAGCCATGTGTCTCGGTAGGTCCCTGTGGTAAGCTTAACGAGCGGGCTTGCTTGTAGATGAAATGACGCAGGGGTCGGACTCGGCTATATATATCGTGCCTCGAAGCCTCCATTGTTAGCTACTAACCGTGTAAGGAGTCATTTGGCCACCTACATTGTTAGTGTAGGACCTCCGATCCTAGGGATGTACGGTAATTCTATCCAATTTTTTATTTCTCTAAAACTACAATATATTCCACTGAATCAACTTATTTTATACAGTCATCCATCACCATATGTAATGATCTTTCCGAGTGACGAATCTCCGAGTCCCAACCTCCCCCGGTCCTTTTGGCGGCACGTGCACTTTGGCCTCACCGCGATTTTGATTCGCTCCACTTGGCTGCTGAACAGTTGTTCATCGATGCCCACCAGGGAAAATTTCTCTCACCTCTCTTGTCTTCTGTTCTGCAGAGAGTCCAAGAGCTTGGATCCTGCATGCTTTGCATCCTGTCACTGAACAATCCCATCACATCCTTTCTTTACTCCGAACTGACTACTAACTACACAGTATAAACTCCTCTCTCTCAACCTTGGACCGAGGTGGGACTAGTGCGATCGCCTGGGTAGCAACCAGCCCAGCCAGTCATCGAAGTGGATTTCACCCACTGTAACCAGTCCAGCCAGTCTCCGCTTGGGGCTTTCCGACAAGAAGATCCACGGTTCAGCTCCCGTTGTTTACTACAGGACTGGGCCCCCCAAACAAACCATAACAATCAGATTCCAGCCACCCTTCCCCGACTTGCTCCATCATCCCATCCATAATCATCACCTCGACATTACTCGACATTCCCGGTTACACCTCACCCTCCCTCTCCCCCCTAACATTCCTCACCACCCCTCTCCACATGGTGGCCTGTGCCGTCTGGGCATTCCTCTGAATCATTGCCCACCATGTTCAAGGCCCTAATGGGCGGGGGCCGGTCGGCGTCCTCGGACGCCCGCAGCACAACCAGCTCCAGCTCCAAAACAAGCCGTCGCAAGACCGATTCCAAGTCTGCCTCAAGCCGCAAATCCTCACGGGGTGACGACCGTGATCGTGGCTTGGGCGACTTGTCGGCCTACCCTCCATCCACCTCTGGCAGCAAGCGCGGTCCACCCAGCATCGCCGGCGAGTCTGTCGCATCGACCTACGTAACCGCCGAGCCCGATATCATTGACTATCCCGATCGCACAGTCGTCGAGCGCACCCCCAAGCGCAAAGACAGTGGCCGCGACAGCAAGAGCTCAAGCCGCCGCGAGCGCGACCGTTCCGAAAGCCGTGAGCGTGAGAGGAGGAGATCGAGCCGTCGCAGTGGAGACGATACCTATGACGATGATCTGGATAGAGAGCGTGAGCGTGACCGTCGCGACCGGAGTCGCACATACTCGGGCGACCATTATGTGCCTCCCATCTCCACGGCCATGCCGTCCAGCGTCCCGGGCGCTCAATTCGCCGCCGACATTGCGGCACCGGGATTCTCGCAGTTCCCCATGCAACAAGACAATGCGATGCACCCGCCTGTGACGACCGCACCGGGACATTCGCCGACCCATGATACTTCGCCTGGGGCCTTCGACCCCCATGTACAACACCAATTCCCTGGTCAATTCCCGTCTGGAACTGCGCAGCCTTATTTCCCACCTAATAACCCTGCGGGCGCTGCTGCAGACTACTACGGCGATCAAGGCCAGTCTGTCAATGACCAACCGGGTGTTCGACCACAGCAGCCTGCCATCATTCCTAACAGCCAAGCACATTTGATGGCAGCTTCGCCCTCGGCTAACCCCCCACCCGAACCTAGCAGCTTAGGTCAAGTTGGTGCGGCTGCTGCGTATTTCACAGATGACATCCCGCATACCGAATCACAGGCCAAGCCACCGACAGATTCATCATCCAAGCCTCCAAAGCCTGGTAAACCGTCGAAACCTAGCAAGCCGTCCTCGTCAAGTGCTATTCCAGCAGCCGCTGCGGCCGCGGCAATGACCTATGGTGTGGGCAACTACGAAGAGTCTCAAGCTGCAGCAGCTTATCAGCACGAGTCTTATTCATCGACAACGGCTCAGCAAACTCACTCGTTCTCGCAGCCGGCTGTGACAAGTACTAGCAAGCCTCCCCATTCACATGGCGTTGGAACTGGCATTGGACTGGCAGCTGCAGGCGCAGCAGCGGGCTACATGGTGGGCCATCAGCATCACGAATCTAGTCCCACCCATTCGTCGCAGTACACCTTCCAGAACTACGAGCAATCCTCCCATGGCAGTGTTCCTCCCTACGGTGCTGATCCCAGCAACGCCATGATCGCGGCCGGTGCTGCTGGTGCCGCAGGGTATGCCGTGCACGCTGCCCACAACCCTGGTTTCTATCCCCACGGCGGCCTAGCAGTTCAACACAGGCACCGTGGACCCCTCACAAAGTTTGTGGATTTCTGGCGAGATCCCGAGGGCGTTGGTCGTTTCGAAGACTACACGGAAACCATCGGTGTGTGCAAGTACTGCTTCGAGCCGGGTACCACCTCTATGAATGCGCCTCGCAAGCATCATTATCACGCGCGCCGCCATTCCGCTGATCGCTATAGTAGTGGAAGCTCATCGCGAGTCAACAAACTCAGCCGGTACCATTCCTCCGAGGATGAGCGACGTAGTCGGAAGCGCTCATCCAAGAAGTCTTCCTCCTGGCTTCCGGGTATGCTGGCTGGCTATGCGGCCAAGTCAATTTTCACCGGCAAGGACTTTGATGAATCTTACAGCGTCCGATCTGGCCATGTCTCGGGTGATCGAGCCTCAACTTACGACCGAGAAGATGACCGGAGGAGCTACACTTCTCGAGGTGTTGTTCGCCGGTCTGGTCGCAGCTCTCCGCGAGAGTATCATTCCGACAGCAAGCATACCCAGCATACTCAACGAACGCGCTCTCGCTCGCGATCATCTTCTCGTTCTGGTCACCACTCTTTTGTGAAAGAGGCTGCTCTCGGTGCAGCTGTTGGTGGTGCAGCCCTTGCAGTAGCGAAATCGCATCGCCGTTCCCGCAGCCGTTCGCCTTCTCGGGCTCAGCGTCGCAAGGATTCCTCATCTAGCACGTCGTTTGTGGACGTCTCCCGACCTTCAGCCAAGTCTGTCAGTGGTTTTACGTCGTTCTTCACCTCCTCATCCGAGAACCGCAAGAAGGAGAAAAAGAAGCAGCGTGCTAAGAAGTCGAGGGGCTTCTTCTCCTTCAATAGCTCGTCTTCCTCTTCGCTCGATGCGGATCTGGCATTTGGCAGCGGCTTGGTTAAGAAGTCATCCAAGCTCCAGAAGAAGCAGAAGAAGAGTAAGAAGAACGAGGACGTTGACGCCGCTCTTATCGGGCTGGGTGCGACAGCGACAGCCCTCGCCGCTTCGTCTCACTTCCGCAACAACCGCAGTACCGGTCAGATGATGACTGCTAGAGATACCCGCCACACTAATTACACTTCCTCTGCCACAAATGAAGATGACGAATGGGTCGATGCCGAGTCGGAGAACCAGTCCTCGTCAAGTGTCAGCTCTGCTTTGGCATTCGGTGCTAGCAGCGCTGAGTCTGGATCCGATTCGAACAGCAGCGGGGGTTGGAATTGGGGATGGGGCAACAAGAAGAAAAAGAAGGACAAGAAATCTTCCAAGGTGGACGCTGCCATGGCGGCTGGCGCTGGTGCACTCGGTGGTGCCGCCATTGCTTCGATGGCTCGCCGCCGCGACAGCCGTCCCCCAAGCGAGGCTGGAAGTCTTCAGCAGGTCTATCCTGTGCCCACCTCCGATCCATCTCGTTTTGATGTTGCCAAGATGTCCCCTTCTGTGGTGTCTGGTAGTCAGCCACCTCTTGTTCGTCCTGGTCCTATTCCTCTGCAACAGCCACAGCCCTACACACCGGTTTCTCAGTCTGTGTACACCACCCAGGGAAGCTTGCCTGGAGCAATTCCTGCCTACAGTCCTGGTGCTGTTCCTCCCATCTTCGCCAATGAATACGACCACTACAACACGGAGGTCCAGGGCTCTCGGGATGCTACCTATTCTCGTGATGACGCAAGCTTTATTGAGCGTCGCAAGCATCATCGAAGCGACTCAACGCCTGTCTTCTCTACGCAAGAGAGTCTCGTGTCAGCCCCTAAGCGCCGATCCACCACCCGTGACCAAGCCTCTGTGTCTTTCGACCTGACCGAAGAGCAAGCTGAGCGCGAGCGCCGCCTTGACCGACGTGACAGAACATCGCGGGATGATGTCCGAGATGTGCCTGTCCAGCTGATTGATCACGAAGAGGAGCTGGCCCGCGAAGAAGCTGCAGGTCGTGAGCGCCGAGAGCGCCGCAAGCTCCGCGAGGAGGAAAAGCGCCGCAGCGATAGCGACAAGGAGAAGGATTCCTCTTCATGGGTCGAAGCAGCTGCCATTGGAGCCATCGGCGTTGCTGCTGCTAGCTCTCTCGTTTCATCTCGCAAGAAGCATGACGAAGATGTCTCCGAAGCTAGCTCACGACACCGGGACCGCCGCGCTGAGCGTCGTGCTGAACGACGAGGTGACTCCTCAGTCATCTCCAAGTCTGAAGTCCCCGAGCTCATCGAGGAGAAGGTCTCGTCAGTATCGAAGCAAAGCCGTGACAAACCATCTTCTCGCAAGTCTCGTTCTCCTCGTCCAGCTCCCGTGCACGAAGATTACGCTGAATTCTTCGCTCCGGAGGAAGTTCGCCACAGTCCTGATCAGAGTTCGCGCGACAAGGACCGCAATCGCGACTCTGGTGAGCCTCAAATCGTCGAAGTAGTGCCTGCCAGCGAGCGAGAGAAGAACAATGATGAGCCCCGTGACGACTTGCCGCAGTTTGCGCAAGAGCCCTATGAAGGCCGTGATCATCTCCCTTGGCCGGTCCCACGGTTGAACTTCATTGATCCTACCCCTCCACAGAGCGTCAATGGTTCTGTTCGTTCGCCTTCGTCGCCCGTCCCTACCATTGAGCCTGTTCGTGAAGAAGAAAAGCCCCAGGAACCCGAACCCGAACCCCAGCACGAGCCTGAGGAGGAATGGAAACGACCCTCGACTGGTTCGCGGGTCTCCTGGGGAACGCACCAGACCCATGAATATGAGATTCCATCTTCATCCGAGCAGGACCCGCATTCCCCTATGGAAGAAATCACCGGAAACTTGTCTATGAGCGAGCTGGACAAGGATCAGCCCAAGGATGTCTCTGGCCAGATTGACTTTGGTAACGACATCGAATTCGCTGCTATTGCTGCTGCTGGCGCCCAAGCAGCTGGCTTCGATCCCTCAGTTGTCATCAATGACCCGTCTTATCACACTCGCACCTCGCCTCCCGGGTCGGAGGATGAAGGCACGTTCTCCCCTCAAACCAAGTGGGCTGTGCCCCCTCAAACAGAGCACCCCCACGGGTTTGTCGAAGGCGAGATTGGCAGCTACGTGCCGAGCAAGTCACAGGATGTTGAACCACCAGTCGAGCATGTTATGGATGAGAAGCCATTCTATGCGGAACCTGAATCGTTCACTCAAGACAAGGACATCTCGTCCTCTCAGCGGCGGGACCGCGGCTCAATTGCGCAAGAGGTCATTGAACAGTTGAATGGGAAGAGTCCGCGCTCTGGCTCTCCTGACGACGATGTCTTCTCCATGCCTGGCGGCTTTGATAGCGGTGTTATTCCTCGTGACCTCCCTCGGGATGATACCCGCTCGGTGTTTTCTGCTCCGCCTGAGCGCGAGTCCGAGAAGAGCAAGTCCAAGAAGTCGCGTCGCAGTGGTGACGATTTTGAATTCCCTCGTGAGATCTCCTCGCGTGAGCGTGAGGTTGTTTCGCAACCTGATGAAGTCGAGGAGAATGCCGGGGAAAAGTCGTCACACCGCAAGCACCGGTCCAAGCACAGCGACAATGACTCATTCTCTGTGGATGATGATGCTAGGTCTGCGATTACTTCTGTCGAGGATGTTGAAAAGTCTGAGCGACGGAAGCATCGCCATCGTTCGTCGCGCGATAAGGACTTTGATGATGCTGCCTCAATTGCATCCTCGCCTGCTACTGCTTCGTATGAAGATGGCGAGAAGTCTGAGCGACGCAAGCATCGCCACCGCTCGTCGCGTGACAAGGACTTTGACGATACTGCCTCGATCGCATCCTCTCGCTACGAGGATGAGGAGAAGACCGAACGACGTAAGCGTCGCTCCAAGCGCGATAGTGATGCCTTCTCTGTGGATGACGACGCGAGATCTGCTATCACTTCCATTGACGATGGCGACAAGTCTGAGCGCCGCAAGCATCGCTCTCGTTCCTCGCGTGATCGGGACTTCGATGACAATGTCTCTGTCACCTCCTCTCCGGCCCGAATCGATGAAACCCGTGAGAAGCGCAAGAGCAAGGACGGCAAGGATGAGAAAGAGAAGGACAAGAGTGGGAGCATCCTGCGCAGCATCTTCGGCTCGCGCGTGTCTGCCCCTGAAGGTCGTACCCGTTCCAACCAATCTTCACGGTCTTCATCTCTAGAGAAACGTCCTTCTCGTGATGCCGTGTCAGAAGCCGGTGTTGACGACGAGAGACGCCGGCGCAAGAAGCGCTCTTCCAGACACAGCAGCTCCAGCGGAGGTGACAAGCTTGATGATGATGCCTCGGATAAGGAAGGTAGTGTACGGGATGACGCGAATCTGGAGGAGTACAGGTCTCAAAGGCAGCAGAAGGAGGAGCGTCGTCGTCACAAATACGAGGAAATAGTTGAATCGGGAAAACGTCGGGAATCTGAGAAGGTATAGCATCTGAATTTTCCTTTCTTATCGTCCATGTTGTGATCTGCTATTCTGTATACACCGTTATGTGCCAAATAGTTGTTCTTTTTTGTTTTGCGTCTTCTTGTGGATGACAGTGTCTCGTCTCGTCTCGTCTCGTTGCACCCTGCGTTGTCTTGCACACTGTTCCATCCACAAGAACCGCTTTTCCATCATACCCCCTTTTGAACATTTTGCACCAAATCCAAAAACAAGAAAATCAAAGCTAAGCATTTTTTTCTGGTATTACTCCATGTGCAGGACGAAAAACATTCGGATTATAAGGACGACGGCGACAAATACTCTTTTTTAGCAGAGCGCCCCGAAATGCCGCCCGCGGCTGAACGCGATGAACATGGTGCTTCGGGGCTTGAATCTACAGTCGAGGGTGCGCTCACTACTGCCGCAGGTATAGGTCTGAGTGAAGCAATCCTGTATCAACGTCCCCGGAGTCATTCGACGTCTCCCACCAGTGCAGACCGTGCCCTTGATCTAGCCCCCAAGTCCCGGAGTAGACCAACATCGCCGGAGATGACCCGTGATCTGGATCAAACACCCCATCGTCGTCGTGCTTCTACAGCCCGCTCGATCACTGAGTCGCCCACGGCTGTACCAATTCATTTCCGTCGACCTCCTACATCACCTGGTTTGTCTCGCGTTGTACCTGTTGCTGCTCCATCTCCCCCCGCTGGCGGTGATTCCCCAACATCACCGAGCCAGACACGCCACCGCCGTCCGAACTCTCTCGAGTTTAGGAATTCTCGCGAGATTCGGCCACTGTGGCTTGTTGAGCGCCATGGTGCGTCGAAGGGTGATCTAGTCGAACCCGATGAGGTCTTGCCCTCGCTTCCGTCTAGCAAGACTTCTTCCCGCGCTCCATCTGTCGAGGACCTGCGTGCTTTGAACGATGAAGATGCCGTGCGAAGCTGGGAGCCGTTTGACCTCAGCCCATCCATGACGGATCGTCGCAGACCGACTGGTTTGACTATCTCGACTTCTCGTGCTAATGACCAGGATGAGGGGGATTTGCTTGGTTCTCAACAGGCTACGCCGACTGCGGAGGACTTTGGCGCGTCGACGGGGTCGAGGAGATCTAAGCCTACGTATGAGTTCCATTCTCCCTCGGAGCTGTTGCAGGATCCGGCTATGTATCCTGAAATTCCTGGGTCGCCTGTTATGGAGGCTCTTCCTTCCGCTGAGGGTTCGGTTGTTGGTGTCAAGGATGTTGATGTTGGTACTGATGTTGATGTTTTTGAGACGCCGACTCAGGAGAAGGAGGAGGAACCGCTTGATGTGTCTGCGTTTGCTCAGGGTGTCGGGTTCGCGGGTGTTGTCGATGCTGCTGTTATTGCTGCTTCCAAGGAACTTGATAAGCCCGTTGCTGCTGAGAATGTTGAGGGTACTCCTGATCCTCTTGATAGAGAGGTGCCCGTTGAGACTGGCATCGAGGAGTCTGCTTCACCGGCTCCAAAGATTGGTGGTTTCGCGGACATCGTCAACGCAGCTGTCATGGCCGAGGTTGCTCATGATAAGACTCCTGTTGAAGAAGACCTTGGTGAGCCTGGTACTGCTATCGAAGAGTATGCCCCCAAGGACCTTGCCATTGAGACCACAGCCGAGCCTGAAGCAGTCAAGGAGGTGGTCACCGAGTCTGTTGAGACGCCCGCTCAGCCTGCTGAGCCTCTCATTGAGTTTGAAGCAGTCAAGGAATTGGTCTCTGACTCTGCAGAAACTCCTTCTCAGCTTGTTGAGCCCTCAGCCACTGAAGAACCTGTTACTAAGGAGGTTGCGACTACATCTTCTTCGAAGAAGAAAAAGAAGAAGAAGGGGAAGAAGGGTCAAGCCAGTGTTGAGCTGCCTTCTGAACCTGTGGTTGCTTCTGAAGAACAGACCCCTGTCGAGGTTGCCATCGAGGAACAAACCCGTGCTGCTGAAGTTGCTGAGACCGAGACTCGTTCAATCGAACCTGAAGCTGTTCCTACTCATACAGACGAAGTTGTTGCTGTTGAGCCTCGGCCTGAAGCTGAAGCCGAACCTGTTGAGACACCTCGAGAAGTGGAACTTGAGTCACTCCCGGCTGTCGCTACTGAAGCTGTTGAGGCCGAGAAAGATCTCCAGCTTGAGTCAGAGTCTCAGCCTGCCGTTGGGGAAGTATCTGTCCCTGCTGAGTCCGATGCTGCCACCGTTTCCGAGCCACAGCCCGATTCCCAGCCTGAGACCCCCGGCGAGACTGAGTCTGAAGCTGCTATGACACCCGCCCAGAAACGCAAGGCCAAGAAAGCGGCAAAGAAGAAGGCGAAGAGCCTTTCTGTGACAGAGTCTGTGGAGGTTTCGAACGAGGACGTGGCACCCGTCCAGCCCTCCGATGAGACTCCCGCCCTACAGGAAGAGAAGACCCCCGAAGTCGAGGCCAGAGATGTGGCTCCTGCAGTTGCTCCTGAAGAGCAGGATGTATTCCAGGATGCCAGTGCTCCAGACGTCTCTGCTCCTGTTGAGCAGACAACTCCTGATGTCCAAGAGTCCCGTGAGATTGCGGAGCCTGCTGAACATACTCCTGCGCAACAAACCTTCCAGCCTGCTGAAGACGTGACAAAGTCAGTCGACGAATCACCGGCTGATCTAGCTACCGAATCAGAGGCCCGCGAAATTCAACCCTCCGAGCCGGTCCAGCCGGAGAGCACGACTGAAGCAGAGCGAGCTCTGGAGACTACTCAGCCTGAAGAGATCGTCGAGCCTGCATCTGCCGTTGAAGATGCTGCAGTGCCTGAAAAGCCCGCCGAGAGCGACGATGATCTCTTCCACGAAGCTGTCGCAGAGCAGCCCGATATCTCTGAGCAACAGCAGGAGATCCAGCCAGAGACCCCCACTGCGACGGTCGCTGAGCCCTCTCTCGAGCCCGCCACCGAGACTGCAGCAGTTGAGCCTGAGCCCGAGGCTCCCATGACCGCGGCACAGAAGAAGAAGGCCAAGAAGGACAAGAAGAAGCGCAAGTCCGTTGCATTCGAAGAGCCCGCTACTCCTTCCGAGCCCGTCGTTGAGACTCAGCCTGAAGAGGTAACCAAGGACCTCGAGCCTGAACAATCAGCTCCCATTGAATCTGCCGATGTCCAAGAGCCTTTGACAAGCGGCGAGACGCAGCCTTCTGAGACTGAACAACTTACTGGGGGGCAGCCTGAGCCGGCCATTGAGGAGGCGAAGGATCTTCATGAACCTGCAGTCGAAGATGTCAAGGATTTGTCTCAACCACCTACCGAGGAATTCGTTCCCACTCTCGAGGCCGAGATCGCTCCATCTGGCAACGTGGAGTCTGTAGCCGCTCCTGACATCGCCGAGGTTGTTGAATCCGCTCAAGATCAGCCAGAACAGCCTGCTGCTCAACCTGAAGCCGAAGCCGAAGCCGAGCCCGAGGTGCCTTTGACCGCAGCACAGAAGAAGAAGGCCAAGAAAGACAAGAAAAAGAAGGCTAAGCAGCAGAGTGTCTCGTCTATTCCTGAAGAGGAGAAACCTGTCGAGCCCGAGGCTGCTGAGCCTCAACTTGCCGAGGATATTGAAGCTGCAGCTGAAGTTTCTCAGACTGTTGAGCCTGTTGCTGAAGTCATTGCTCCCGTTGAGACTTCTGAGCCCGCTGTAGTGGTCGAGCCCACTGAAGCCTCAGAACCTACTCCTGATGCACCCACGGATGTTCCTGATGCTGTCAAAGAGACCATTTCCAATCCTGAAGATCAATCAGTGGATATCATCGCCCCAGAGGAAAAGCAGGATGAACCATTTGAGATCATTCCTGAGGCCTCTATCGAAACGCCTATTGCTCCCGAATTGGAGGCTGTTACCGAGACCCCTTTGGAAGCCCCTGATGCTGCCAAGCCCCAAGAAGGGCCTCCAATCGCCGAAGAAAAGGCAGAGCAAGAAGCTACTCCTGCTGAGCCTGAAGTCCCCATGACGGCAGCTGAGAAGAAAAAGGCAAAGAAGGCGAAAAAGAAGAAGCAGCAGCAGGAAAGCATCAGCTCTGTTTCTGAAGAGACACCCGCCCCTGAGACGGTCTCTACGCCTGAGGCCGAGACTGCTGAGGCCAGCAAGGAAACTCAAGATGTCGCAGAAGCGGAAGTTCCATCCGTGGATGATACACCAGTCTTGGTTACTGAGCCTGAGGCTATCGAGACTAGCAAGGAGGTTGATGCTACCGAGCTTCCTGCAGTGGAACCCGAAGCGGCTCCCCAGATAGAGACTCCTGCAGAACATGAGGTTGTTGAGCCCACTCCCGAGGCTCCCTCTGTTCCAGCCGACGTCGTTCCTCCGGTCGAAAGCCCTCAGGAAAATGTGCTTCCCGAGCAGCCCAAGGAAGAGGAACCAGCCCAGCCTCCCGTCGCTCAATCTCTTCCCACCGAAGCTGCAGAGCCTCAACCAACAGAGCCGGAAACCCCCCCAGCCGAAGCAGAAGTCCCGATGACTGCTGCACAAAAGAAGAAGGCCAAGAAAAAGCAGCAAAAGCGACAGTCTATTCTGTTGGATGATCAAGACACCCCCACGACAGATGATGCTCCCACCGAACCAAAGGAGGTTGAGCAGCCTTTGGATGTGACTCAAGGGGCCTCTGTTTCTAAAGAGACCAAGGCCCCTGAAGAAGCTGCACCGGCAGAGGCAGATCAGGAAATTCAAGCTGAGGCTACGCCAGCTGTTGAGGATAGCCCAGCTGCTGCCGATGTTGAAAAGGAAGCTCCTCTGGATACATCAACAAATGAGACTGCTGCTACAGAGTCTATCGTGGAATCCGCCGCCGATATTCCAACTGTGTCTGATGTAAGTGTTACCGAGTCTATAGCCCTTAAACCTATAAGTGATGAGCCCGCTGACCAGGACTAGGAATCCAAGGATGCTATCGCGACTCCGGAGGAGCCGGCCGCAGAACCACCTGTCGCTGACCAAGCTGCTCCTAACCAGTCCATCGAAGAGCCGACTGCCCCTGCCGAGACTACGACTGGCGCTGTGGAAGAGGTTGCTGCTCCAACACCTGAGAACACACCGGCAGAGCAGACTGAAGAGGCCGAACCGACTACTCCATTGTCAAAGAAGGACAAGAAAAAGAAAAAGAAGAAGAACAAGTCTCTTGTTCTTGAGGACGAGTCGCAGCCCGAGCCAGTTCAGGGGGAAATGGCTAAGCATGCTGAGGCTGTTGAGGCTGTAGAGACCACAGAGTCCACTGAGCCTGTCGAACCTACACAGTCTATTGAAGCCACTCAGCTTATTGACACCTCCGAGCCTGTCGAGACTATCGGACCCATCGAGACCACTGAGCCTGTCGAGTCTACCGAGCCCACTCCTGTTGAAAGTGACGAGTCTGCCAAGCCAGCCGATGAGCCCGAGTCTGTCATTGTGACAGAAGAGCCCCAAAGCGTCGAGCAGCCAACTCCTGGAGAGGCTGTTCCAGCTGAAGTCATTCCCTCGCAGCCCGCTACAGAAACTCCCGAAGAACCTTCACAGCCAGTTGAGCCTGAGGTGCCATTGACCGCTGCGCAAAAGCGAAAAGCTAAGAAAGACAAGAAGAAGCGCAAGTCTGTCGCCTTTGAGGATGAAGCATCTGCTACTCCGACGGAAACTCAGTCCGAGCAAGAACAGGATGCTCAAGTCCAATCCGCTGAGCCCAAAGATGTCCCTTCCGAGGAAGCTGCTCCCAGTCAAGAATTGAGCGAGTCTTCTAAGGATGCCCCGGAACCAGCTCTTGATATTGTCCACAAGCACGCTGTTGAATCCGAGTCTGCTAAGGATCAATTTGATGCCCCAACCGAGGAAGCCCCCACTGCCGTGGTTGAGCAAACAGATGCGATCAGCATTGGGAAGGGCGACATTCCATCGGTCTCGCAAGCAAACGAACCGGAGGCCGAATCTACAATTTCTCCTCAAGCCGAACAGGAGCCTGTCGCTACCCTCGAGTCTGAGAAGCCCGAGACACAGCGTGATGAGAAGACCGACGCCATCGAGGAGCCTTCAGCTCAGAACACCGAGACCGAGGCAACTGAGACAGCGGCCGAGGCTGGCCTATCAGCCAAGGAGCGCCGCAAGCTCAAGAAAAAGGAGAAGAAAAAGTCCAAATCAGTGGACTTGACTGAAGAGCCCTCTTCTCCTGTAGAGGCGCTTGAAGCAGCTGAAATCCCGGCCGAGACTCAGCCCGAAACCTCCAAAGAGGTGGACACCGAAACGCCTCTGGTTGAGCAGCTCGAGGAGTTGACACCGGCTGATGTCGATCCTCCAAAGGTCGAGGAGGGCGAAATTACTGAAGCACCCACCCACAGCGAGAAGAACGATACTCTGGAGACCGCCCAATCTGCTGATCCCAAGACAATCGAGTACCCTGACCAGCTCGCTGAGCAAGAAACCGCCGAGCCCAAAGAATCGGACGACAAATTACATGTGGCCGAGGCCGCGACTGAAGCAGAGTCCTCTCCCCAGGAGACCGAAGTAAAGCCCGAGCAGCCCGTGGAGCAAGACGCCGAAGCCGGCCTGTCAGCCAAGGAGCGCCGCAAGCTCAAGAAGAAGGAAAAGAAGCGTCAATCCAAGAACCTCGATGTCGACGAGAATGCGACCACCGACGCCCCCACCGAATCTGACACACGGGAACTCTCTGTACCCGTAACGGCAAGCTCGCCTGCGGAGAATGACGGTAAAGAACTTCAGTCCCACGACATGGAAACGCCCGCCACGCCGGAAAAGATTTAGCTTCGACTGATGAGTTCTTGTCTTCGCAGGTAGAGCAGCCGCAGTTAGAGAGTCGTTCTTCAGATTATCCTCCCCGTCCGTGCTTGAGCATGATTTTGATCCTGGCGAAGCGAAGGATGATGAGCAGAAGGAAGAGGATGCTGTGCCAACTTTGGAACAGCCGGAGGTGCCGAGTATGGAAGGAGAAAAAAGTATTGGTGCCGAGGAAGCTGCAGAGAAAGAGGAGGAGTCTGCTGTTGATGTTGAGCTTGTACAGGAGGAGGAAGTCAAATCCCCTGAAGCTGATGTGTCTGTAGTCGTGGAGGAGGAGACGTCAGAGCAGAAGGAAATGGAGTTGGCCGAGACGGAGCCGATCACCGAGCCCGCTGCAGAGGAAGTTGAGCAGCCGGCCTTGTCCAAGAAGCAGAAGAAGGAGGACAAAAAGAAGAAGCAAAAGCAGGAAGAGAAGGTGGAGGAGGAAATCGTCGCCCCTGCACCAGAACCCGTGGTGGAAGAGGAGAAGGACCAGGTTGAAGGCATCGCCGACACCAGCCAAGAAACGCAAGACCAGCCAATTGTCGAACCTGAACAGACTACCGAGCAGCAGTCAGTCCCTGATGCCGAGTTCCCTTTAACGGAACAAACCCAGAAAATCGATCTTGATGTTCCCTTGACGCAAGCCTCAGAAGAAGTGGAACCTGCCAAAGACATTGAACCTACTGAGGCAGAGAATATCGCTCTCGAGCCCGAGCAATTGGAAGAATCACCCCTATCCAGGAAGCTGAGCAAGAAAGAAAAGAAAAAGCAGCGCCTAGCCCTTCTCGCACAACAAGCTGAGACGGAAGCATTTGAGCCCGAAGCGCAGCAAATTCCGGAGACAGCCGAGCCTGAAACCATTACTCCTGTCTCTGATGCTCCTCTGGACGTCCTCGTATCTACTGAACAACAAGAAGATACGCAGCCAGTTGAAACAAGCGATGTATTTGTCCAGCCTTCCGACTCTTTCCAGGATGAGTCAAAGGAGATTGAACAGTCGCCAGTCGAAGCTGAACAGCCTATTGCGACTGAACCTGAGCAAACGGAGCCCGTCGAGGAGCCGGTGTCTGAGGAGGCCAAGCCAAAAGAGGTCAATTTAGTCTCAGCTCCTGCAGATACTTCATCCATTGTTCCTCGTACGGAGTCTACTGAGTTTTCAAAGGAAGAGAACGAGGTGGAGCCAGAAGCTGAGCAGCCAGCCATCACGAGTAAGATGAGCAAGAAAGAAAAGAAGAAGGCTGCTGCCGCTGCCGCTGCTGCTGCCGCAGCCGCCGCCCCTACTCTTGCAGCCGAAAAAGAGACGTCTGCCGAACCAGAGATAGTGCCTTTCCAAGCACCCCCTGCTCCCGAGAAAACCGTTGAGAACCCAAAGGAGGAGCTCGCCCTCGATGATACTCAGAAGACTCCCGAGACTGTGTCTGAATTGCAGCAAGAGGCTGCCGAACAAACCCGCGACGAGATCGATCTAGTGACCCCTGAAGTCATCACGGATATCGCCGAGAAGCCCACTGCTGAGACTGAGCGGCAAATCGAGCCTTCTGTGGAAGAGCCCCAACTCGAGGAAGTGGTAGAAGAGCCTGTTGTTGATGAGCCACTTACTCGGAAGATGTCTAAGAAGGAGAAGCGCAAGGCTAAGAAGCAAGCCGAGCAAGAGGCAGTCGATGCGTCTTCAAATCAGGCCGACACTCCAGCAGAGACCACCACGGAGCCTGAGTCCGAAACCCTGGCTGCCACGAAGTCCATCCCCCTCGAAGAGTCTAGAGAGACTTTCCACGAATCTGAGCCTGTTGTTCAGGAGGATTCCACAGCCCGAGAGGTTCCTGAACCCGAGGTCCTGCCCATGCCAGTCAATGAGGCCCAGGTAGAAGAAGTCAAGGACGTTGAAGCAATTGAAAAGTCTACCCCCTGGGGCTCATTAGATGCTCCGTCGTTAACAGAGGTCATTGAAAACCAGCCTTCGACCGCGCTTGAAGACCAAACTGCAGCTGAATCACCTGGTAAGAAACCATCTACAGAGCGGCAGGAAGAGATTGAAAAAGACACTGATACTAACCCTCGTGATACAGATCTCTCGAGAGAAGTTGATCTTGACACCGCTGTCCCGGAAGAGCCCGAAGTGGTTCCGCCGCTTTCCAAGAAGCTCTCCAAAAAGGAAAAGCGCAAGGCCAAGAAGAAGGGTGCTGTGGAAGAAGAGCCCTCTAGCTTGGAGGATGAGAAGCCTGCCGCTCCTGAAGCTACTGCTGCCCCAGCTGGCCCTCAAGAAGCTATTGTCTCAGCGCCCGAGCCAGAGGAGACAGAGCTTGAGGCAGAAACCCCAGTCCAGCCCGAATCAGCAAGAGAATTGGAGATGGAAAATGAAACATCAAAAGACGTTGAGCCTGCTATTGAAGCTCAGCCCACTTTAGAGCCAGAAGCTGTGATGGATTCCACTCCAATTGTGCCGGCTCCTACAACCGAAGAGCCCGAGCCCGAGCCTGAACCACAGACGGCGCTTTCGCGCAAGGCTTCCAAGAAAAAGGCCAAGAAAGCGAAAAAAGCTAGTCAAGCCTTGGAGCTAGACTCACCTGTCGACAATTCAATTGAACAACAAGAGCCTGAGTTGAATCCCGAGCCAGAAGCCTTGACCAAGGATATTGCTGGTCCGACTACGCGAGAGAAAAAACATGACGACGAGGACTGGCCTGCAATTGATTGGGAGCATGGCCATTCTCACAGACATGAGCCACCACATGACAAGATCCCCGAGCCTGAGCCAGTGACTCCAGTTCCCGAGTCTGAAGCCATTGGAGAGTTTGACGAGTCTGCCATTCCCGCTGCCTTGCAAGAGGCCAAGAAGGACTTGGAGCAGCCCGTTGAGGAAGAGGAAGAATCTTGGTCTGCGCCACTGAGCAAGAAAGATAAGAAAAAGGCCAAAATGAACAAGCGCAAGTCAGAGCAAGCTGCTCTGGCAGAAGTTGGTGAGCCTGATGAGGAGCCGTCTCACAAGAAGGTCGAATTGGTGCATGAATCTATTCCTGAACCGCCCGTGGAGATTACAGTCCCGGTTCCCAAAGAGATCGAGACTGAACCACCTGCTCGCACTACGACTCCTGGTGGCTCCAAGATTGCAAACCTCTTTCCTGGCTTGGAACGTGGAGGATTTCGGCGATCGGCTATCGACAAGAAATCACCGTCGCTAAAAGATAGTGCTGAGGAAGAGACCGCAGCGGACTTGGACGCAAATCGCGATATCGCGATCCCCGTCTCGGAAGCACCCCTAGCGACCACCGAATTCAACCAAAAACCCCAGTTCAGCGCCGAGTTACCTACGCAGGGCAAGAGAGAGGTTGTGCATGCTACGACTATCGAACATGATGCTCCAGCAGTGATTATCCACCGCCGGCAAGAGTCGCCCATTGACCCCGACCTCCCAATCAGTCGTGAGCTCTCTATTGCAGACCAATTCCCATCACCAGATCATGCTTCCTCTAAAGAGCGATCTTCCATGCTATTCGGCTCGTCTCCATCCACTCGCACCGAGGAAGCTACTTTACCCCGGCGTCTGTTGCCCTCCCAGATGGATGCTCCCCAGGATGCCTCATGTGGATTGCGCCGAACTCCATCCGTGATCCACGGGCAACACCAGCAAACTCCTCGCACCTGGAATTTGGAGGATTCCTCCGTTCCAGCTCCATCTTCCTCGCCGCCTCGCTCTCTCTTTGGGGGCCCTTACGATGAGTCCCAATCTCGACCCCGGACTCCACTGCATCCCATTGCGGAGCAGGAACCAGGGGATGGGGACCACGCAACCACGGCTCACGGCGGGACTCCCCGTTTGGAGATCAAGCCAGAGCATGTCTTGCCCCGACCTCATACTCCTGTGAGGAAATTTACCGACAATGCAATGGCCAGAGAGACGTGGCCCACTCCAGAGAATGACAACAATGAAAAAACACGGAGTCATGATGATCTCTCCAAAGCCAGCAAATTCGGTGGCGAGTCGGGCTCTCCCATCACCCAAACACCTGAACAGGGTATGCCGGTGTTGAAGCCCAGCGGCAGCAAAGGGAAGCTGCGTCGCACGAATCGCAGCACGAGCAGCGATCTGCGGGGCGCTAGTAAGGCGCTAGACTCCTCCCAGCCTCCCCCAAATCTCGATCTTGATCAGCTTCCCTCTTCATCCTCCTACGACCCCGTCACCGACAAGGGCAAGCGTCCCCTGCGAAACATGTCGGATGTCTATGTAAGTGAATATTGATTCTTTTCGTGTTACTGGTTACCTCACTTCCCCTCTCACCGTAAATTCCGACCGGACGTTTTTGTTTGTTTACTAACTTTGCCCAGGAGGGATGGGGTGAGACGCCCAGCTCCCCGCGGTCGCCCAGCCGACCGCCGAGTGTCCGCCGCCGTCGAAGTATGCAACACCTTCAAGACATGGAAGCTCGCCTCGATCAACTCATCTCGGAAAACCGTCTCCTGATATCCGCTCGCGATGAGGCCGAAGACAAATTGCGCAATGCCAGCGTCGCTCGCCGGAAGAGTGATCGCGCTCTCAACTCCAGCGGCGCCGACTTGCGGGACAGGGAAGCCGAGGTGGAACAACTAAAGAACTCGGTGGAGTGGTTGCAGCGGGAGATGAGCCGCCTGACCCAGGAGAATGAGGGTTTGACGGCGTCAAATGCTGCTCTCGCTGCTGCGCACGCCGAGGAAGTCCACACTGTGCGCGAGTCATCCACACGAGAGCTGGATGACTTGCGGTCGCAACACACCGCATTGTCCACTCAGATGGATACTCGTGTGCGACAAGAAATTGAGTCAGCTCTTGCTCAGAAAGACGCTGAATTGCGACGTCTCCGTGAAGAGCTGGAGGAAGCTCGTGACAAGGTCAAGGAGCTACAGCAACAAATTGCAACATCGCTTCAAGACAACACACTCGTCTTCCGAGATGAGGATTACTTCGATGCTGCCTGCCAGAAGCTCTGTGGCCATGTCCAACAATGGGTGCTGCGCTTCTCCAAGCACTCTGACCACCGTCGTTGCCGTACTCTAAGCGAGCTGCACGATGAGAAGATCGCCGATCGCTTCGACAATGCCCTCCTGGATGGCTCCGATGCCGACTCTTACCTCTCTGACCGTGTTCGCCGACGTGATGTGTTCATGTCGGTGGTCATGACTATGGTGTGGGAGTACATTTTTACCCGCTACCTCTTCGGTATGGACCGTGAGCAACGCCAGAAGCTCAAGTCGCTTGAAAAACAACTGGGTGAGGTTGGTCCTCGTCGCGCCGTTCACCGCTGGCGAGCAACGACCTTGACTCTACTATCGAAGCGTCCGGCCTTCGCCTCCCAGCGTCAAAGCGACACCGAAGCTGTCGCTCTCGAAATCTTTGGTACCTTGTCTCGCGTCCTTCCACCCCCGTCACAGGTGGAAGCCCAGCTCCTCGAGTCTCTGCGCAAGGTCCTGCGTGTCGCTGTCAACCTCGCCCTCGAGATGCGCACCCAGCTGGCCGAATTCATCATGCTGCCCCCTCTCCAGCCTGAATACGATACCAACGGCGACCTGGCTCGCCAGGTGTACTTCAACGCGTCGCTGATGAACGAGCGCAGCGGAGAAACTACTTCCAACGACGAGCTTGAGTCCCAGCAAGCCGTCGTTCGCATCGTGCTCTTCCCCCTTGTCGTCAAGAAGGGCAATGATGTCGGTGAAGGCGATGATGAAGTCGTCGTCTGCCCCGCTCAAGTCCTTGTCGCCCGTCCGGGCAAAGACAAGCGTGTTTCCAAGATGATCAGTGGTGACCGTATGTCCGTGGACGCCCGCTCGGTCTATAGTGCTGCACCGAGCATGGCACCTCCCTCGGTGATGGACATGAGCAATGTGATTTGAGGCGTCACACTCAGATCCAGATTGCTCCCTCACTTTTAATGATGATATTTACTGGTCACTGCCTTCTATCTTTGCATTATTCCCCCTTCTGCTTGTACTTCTTCCATTGCCATTCCATTCGGATGGTGAAAAATGGCTTCTTTCTATTCTGGCGTCTTCCTTGTGACCTCGGGCTTCTCCTTCTAATGGGGACTTTGATGATATGGAGTTGATTGTTTTTTTATGTGTTTATTATCCTTTCGTGTTTCCTATTTTGTGCTTTTTTCAAGAAGATACGGCCGCTGCATGTGTATTTAACTATCTTTGATGTCTGATGAGTGACGACTTGTACTTCTCGCACGGCAATGTAATAGAACTTTTGTCTCTATTTTGACATTTTGGACATTTCCCAACTTTACTCTTTCCCTTATCAGTAGCAACGAGTAGGCCAATTCCTTCATCAACTATTGATGGCTAGGACACTCCTAAATTCAGTCCTGACGAAGATCTTCTCCTGTTGCCGCTGGCCAGACTTTCTCCCGCTGACCTCATCGGTCCGTTTTGGGCAATCGACGTGCACTTCCGCCGGGGCCCCTCAGCGTCTTTAGGGACCTCGGGTCATGAGTTATCTTCCACTCTTCTAACTATCTCGGTCTAGATCCTATTTAGACCGATCCTATTTATTGAGCCGCAAGCTATTGCTGCTCTCTGCATTTGCTGCGCCAGTTCTCTTTCGCTCTACTTGGCTACCCTGTTTGCCTGATGTTCCACATTAACTCGCCACACGCGTCATCCGCAGCGAGCCTGTTCCAGCTGCAACTCCAGCTCCACCCCAAGCTCGAGCTTGAGTTGTTCAAGACCCTCGTCCTGTGGCGCTAATTCGCTCTTGAACATGCTGAACACGCTTTCGCCCTGATCAACAGCCCTCATTGCGCCTGCAAAAAAGGCAGAAAGGCCTAGACTGCGTTTCTTCTCTTTCATCTGAGATTCTGAGCTCGGTCCAGCTCAATCCGTTGATGAGCGCCGTCATAACCACATCTGCCGGCACCGTACGACCTCTGCTATTGTCGGGAAAGAATTGTCAAACGAACCACGATACAACCTATCGAGTATAATTATTCTTACAGTGCGGAAGCCATTTACGGACCCCCCTCTTACCCCGGCGCCAAACCTCATCGCAGCAGCTCCTCAATCGCAACGCTTTCCCTCCTCCTCACCGTCTAGCCCAAGTAAAGGCGACCAGCGCACCGATTACCCACTTCCCACCGATAAAAAAGCCGGGAACGGTCCAATGGGCGGGCCGCAACAAGATCACCCTCCGGCGACACCCTCAGGGACCCGCTTAGGGACCCCCGCGCCCGATAATGGCCCTGCTGGCAAACCCTCCAAGTCCTCCAAACGCAAGAAGAACCGCAATCGCAAGCGTCGCAATCGACAAGAGTCGTTCCTAACACCTGCCCCAGAGGAAGCCCATGACAGAGCGGGAACGGTTACGGGGACTGGTGGTGCTAGAGAGTCGATGAAGGAAGATCGGCCAACATCCAAGGATAACCAGTCGTACTTTACATTGCGCCGGAAGCTGAGCAGTACTAGCATCGAGAGCGATGCGCTGTTGGATCACCGGTAAGTTATAGATGCTCATGTACCCTGGGGAACAGGTAAGGGGAGGTTCATGTCGAGTCTAACCTTTTGGTGCGCAATTCCAGGGACCAACCCCTGATGCGTCCTCGCCGGGACAGTCGGGCTGCGACGTCGTTCCGTCCGAGTTCCCTACTGTCCGGAGCCTTTCGATCCCACGACAGTCAATCTCGCAGCACACCGAGGGGCGGTCGGGTCCAGCAATACCAGGAGGGAGATAGCGATGACGCAGATGCTACCGACCGCACGCCGTTGATGCGCCCTCCCACAGGTGGCCTGTCTCGGTACGGCACAGACTCTCGCCCCAGCCCGTTCACGCGCCAACGCCGGCCATCTGTCCAGTCGACATCATCCCGATGCTCACCGCGAGGTCACTACAGCCCGCCATACTCCCCGGACGTCGAGCGTGACTACGATGTCAACAACCCGCCATCAATACCTGGGACGCCCAAATTGCGGCCCGACATGAACTATGATGATGCGGTGGTGACGGGAGCCGAGTTTGACTTTGCACTGGGACGATCGATTGATACGCGCAGGGAGTCGGTGAATCGTCCCAACGATGCTTTGATCGACATCGAGGGTGTAGGCCGTCAATACTCCGAACCCTCTTCACTCCATTCGGCTCAATTTTCTCCACAAGAGCTGCGACGTCGTCGCACAGTTGCGCTACCCGTGGAAGAGGATGTCTGCTTTCCCACCGAGGATGTCTCTGAGCTGGGTGATGAAGAGCGAAGGGTCCCGAGAGACGAACAGGGTGAACGCCGTCGGCGCAGACGCCGACAGTGGCCGGACTTGTCTGTCTTGGAAGAATGGAGTCGCGAAGAGAAGGAGGATCGCAGTGGAGATTTGCGAGTAAAGAAGATCAGTGAGCCAATGTTTGTTGAAGGCCGACTGCGTCCTCAGTACAACCTGTGGCGACGCGAGGAGGACGATGCGCCTTATCGTTTCACCTATTTCAACGAAGAGTTCCAAAGCACTATTCACGCTCAGACAATCTCCGAATTGGTGCAACCCGGCGGTAGTTTCCGTGAACTGTTCATCCCCGATCCGCCCGAATTGGAGGATTCGGATTCTGATGAAGAACCGGAGGTCGATCCTTCTGTGAATGGGAACGCCGCTTCTGGATTCCCCGGTGGCAATCGAGGATCGGGATCTCACTACGACAGCCATTCTACAAATACCCACGGTGGCAATAACTACAATGGCACGGCGCCCTTGAATTTGGATTCACGGAATGGTCATGATTCCAACGCTGGCCTGGCCAACAGTCATCGGGGCATTCCGAACCCACGTTTGTCTGTTATCAGCGAGACACGTCCAGGATCCACCCGGGAGGCATCGCCCGCGCAGTCCAATATCCCCGAAAAGCCCAAGCGATATGGCCCGCGGCCAACTTTCTGGCTGGATGTGCTCTCTCCAACAGATGCGGAGATGCGTGTCATTGCCAAGTCGTTTGGTATCCACGCCTTGACAGCGGAAGATATCATGATGCAAGAAGCTCGAGAGAAAGTAGAGCTCTTCCGCAGCTACTACTTTGTCAACTACCGTACCTTCGAACAAGATCACAACAGCGAAAACTACCTCGAGCCTGTGAATATGTATGTGGTGGTCTTCAGGGAGGGCGTGCTATCATTCCACTTCTCGCAAACGCCCCATCCTGCCAACGTGCGTCGACGTATCCGCCAGCTCATGGACTACCTCATCCTAAGTTCGGATTGGATCTCTTATGCCCTCATCGACGACATCACTGATGTTTTCGGCCCATTGATTCAAGCAATTGAAGATGAAGTCGACGAGATTGATGAGTTGATCATGCAGATGCATTCTTCAAACAAGGAAGATTCTTCCGAGAACGTCGCACGCCCATTTGCACCGGGTGAAATGCTGCGGCGGACGGGTGAATGCCGCAAGAAGGTCATGGGCTTGTACAGGCTGCTCAGTAATAAGGCGGATGTCGTCAAGGGCTTTGCCAAGCGCTGCAATGAACAATGGGAGGTGGCGCCAAAGTCGGAGATCGGATTGTACTTGGGTGATATTCAGGATCATATTATGACGATGACTGGAAACTTGACGCACTACGAGACGTGAGTTTTACCCTTTGCCCGGGGATAGTCTGTACCAGTTTAGTTCTCACTGACATCTTTTTTCTTTCTTATACAGGATTTTATCCCGTGCGCATTCCAATTACCTAGCGCAAATCAATATCTTGATGAACGAGCGCCAGGAACAGACAGCTGATGTCCTTGGTAAATTGACGGTGCTTGGTACCATCGTCCTACCGATGAACATCATCTGCGGTATGTGGGGTATGAACGTGAAGGTACCTGGACAGGATATCGATAACCTTTGGTGGTTCTGGTCGAGTACGTTCTCCTCTTGCTTCCTCACCCATTGAATTTTTGGCTCATGCTAATGATCCATAGTTACTGCCGGTTTACTTTTCTTTGGTCTTGCCTCGTTTTTGATTGCCAAGCGGGTCTATAAGATTGTATAATGAGATACCGGCTCTAATTGATAACAGCTCGATGTGCTGTTACTTCATCTCTTCCCCAACTGATACCCCTGGTCTTGTCTCTCTCGCGTTGTTTTCGGGCACGTTTCTTTTGTGAATGTCAATTGCTCAGATCTGGCAATTTTAGGCCTAGATGAGCATACGAAGGCGTTTTTTGGCCTCGGTTTTGGTTGCGATTATACACGGATTGTCCTTGATATTTCCCTTTTTCTGATTCTTTTGAACTGTACCTACCATTAATCCTAGAATTGTACACCATCCTTCTCTTCTAGACGAACGCCCCTTACATAGTAGATCAAGATGCGACAACCACAGGCAGTGCTATCGAAGGGTTGCAACAGTTTTAGTGACTCGGCAGATAGTCACTATGAAGCCCTCTCTCAATGCCGACAACCGCTTATGTGGCTTATGGGTAAGATTGAGTTTAAGCCGAAGGCCGGCAAACTATCGCGCTAGCAAGCTAGTTTGCGTCCTGTTGCTTGCAGGATGATAACCCGGCAAACTCCGGCGTTTCCCCTCACTATCACCGGAGGCTAGCTACTAAATCGCGGGTCCATCTTCGAGACTCAATGGCTATCTAGTCCTCGGTTATCTATTCCAAGACAAGGTGGATGTGCAGTCATTTTGCCTTTTTACCATTGTAAGGTTGGGACTCACAGCGAGTCATGTCAGCGCCTGCCTCTTGCTAGGAATGGTTTAATCTGACCCTGATAGCGCAGGGATAGGGTGGAAGGCTAAATAGGAAAGGGAATTGGCTATCGTGTGATCCTTGTACATGCGCAAGGGCCTAAGTGACACCTTTTAAACACCCTTATCCATCGCTAGTCCCCCACTTTCTGATCTTCACGTTCTTCTTCATCTCCTCCTATTTTTGATACAATGGGTGGCCCCACGCTAAACCCGGAATCGCCGTTGACTGTCGGTGCTATGGGAAGTAGAGGCACTGGCCTGGCATGGCTCTCAAATTCCGGTATCGTCAAGCTTAACTTGATGCTTGTCTTGTTTCAAGTCTCGAGTTACGCGACGGGGTATGATGGGTCTATGATGAATGGACTGCAGTCTCTCACTACTTGGAAGAACTTTTTTGATAACCCTGGGGCTTCTGAGCTTGGTCTGTAAGTCTCGCTTGGTGATGGCGTATTTTGGATCTCCTTACAGCGTCAGGGAGATAATCTAGAGATGCGTTAACTAACATTCGTGTGCCCAGTTTGAACGCCATACAAAATGTCGGCCAACTTATCACAATGCCGGTCTGTGCCATAAGCTGCGACAAATTTGGCCGTCGCCCGGTGCTTTTCGTTGGCGCTTTTATTCTCCTCATTGGTGTTGCTCTTCAAGCTGCAGCGCAAAATGTCGGCATGTTCATCGCCGCAAGAGGAATCATCGGCATGGGACTCGTCCTCAACATCACAGCCGCGCCTCTCCTTCTCTTAGAGCTGGCTTTCCCCGGACAACAGGGCCCACAGGTGGCTATTTACAACAGTTTGTGGAATCTAGGCGCCCTGGTTGCTGCATGGATCACGTACGGCACGTTCCGCATTGAAAGTACCTGGGCATGGCGCGTCCCGTCACTTCTTCAAGGCGTTTCTAGCGTGATTCAACTCGGCCTCTGCTTTTTGGTCGAGGAGTCCCCGCGCTGGCTACTCAGTAAAGAGCGCGACGAAGAAGCAAGAAAGTTGATCTGCAAGTATCACGCCAATGGCGATGATTTTGACCCGCTGGTCACACTGGAGATGGAAGAGATTCGCACTGCTCTCCAACTCGAGATGGAAGCGAGACGGAATACCTCGTACCTGACCTTTTTTGAGAATAAGGGTAATCTCAGGCGCTTTTTTATCATTTTGTCTGTGGGGTTCTTCTCTCAATGGAGTGGTAACGGTCTTATTTCGTACTATCTTACCCTCATTCTCGACTCTATCGGCTACACGGCGGAGAGTACTCAGACTCTGATCAACGCTCTACTTACGCTGTGGGGTATGATTTGGAGTCTACTTTTCGCTTTCGTCATGAACCATTTCGGTCGACGCACTCTCTTTCTCATTTCAACCGCTGGTTGTCTGGTCGTTTATGTCATTTGGACAGCTCTTGAGGCTACCTACGAGATGAGAACAGCGCTAGATGGAACAGGAGGTGACGGCTATGCAAAGGGAGTCTTGGCTATGATCTTCCTGTACAGCTTTTTCTTCTCCATCGGCTGGACACCTCTTCAAGTAACATATTGTATCGAGATCTTACCATTCGACCTGCGTGCTCGCGGTCTGGTATTATATAACCTCTGCGTTGCCATTGCTGGCATCTTCAACCAGTACGTCAACCCGATTGGTGTCACCAACAGCAAGTGGAAATACTATATCACCTACGATGTTTGGCTGGCCTTTGAGCTTGTGGTGGTTTACTTCCTTTTTGTGGAAACTGGCAATATGAGTCTTGAGGAGACTGCTGTTATTCTGGACGGTGAGGAGTATGAGAATAGACTCGTCGGGACGACTGCGGCTATTGCTGAGAAGAAACTGGGTGCTGAAGCAAATGCCCGGGTTACGGTTGAGTCTAAGGAGGCTTCGGGAAAGTAGGAAGGTCGAGACGAAAATCTAGTCCGTACTAGGAAATTTCTTATACCGGAATGGCGGGACAAGCTTAGCTAGTTTCTTGAGCGTGCGCCGCTTTAATGAGTTACTTTGTGTATTCCCCCCATAGTTCCAGGGTTCGTATGATATCTGTGCCCTCCATGATATTGCGGCCCACCCACCGCTTCCGCTTATGGGTGCGCCCTAAATCCCCGTCACCCCTAAATCCCCGTCACATTTTTACCATGCGTCTAAAAAAACCATCAAATTAGATAACTAGCCTAAATAAAAAAGATCTCCTCGCTCCAGGGCTACTCTAGCCGATTCGGTAGACCTATCAATATCCTCCTGGGGCCTCTTTGGCATATCCAAACCAGTAGCCTGCTTATACTGCTTCGCAAGCTTCCTCTCCTCCGCAGCAGCCTCTTTCTCCTTTCTAGTCTTGATTGACCGATTCGCATCGCGAACGCTTAGTATACCAGTTTGGCTAAGCGGTTTAACCTAGCGCTTGGTAATTGGGCGCCTCAAGGGCTCCTGAGCGGCCCTAATTCGCGAAACAGTCGCTTCCGCCATCATAAGCCGCTCGTAGATTATCCTGTGGTGATTGTGAAGCATTGCAATATCTCGCTGAACCTTCGGGTCAAAGGTAGCCACCTTCTTTGATATCTTCTTCTGATTCTTCTCTAGCGCTTCAATTGACTTCGGAGGGGTATTCTCCACGCTTGATGATAGTAAATTTGTAGGCTCCGGTGATGGAGTTCGGGGTTCTCCATGAGCGCGAAGATCAGGTGCGTGAAGAGGAGTAAATTCTAGCTGGCTAGCTAGTTTATCCACTATATTTTGGCCGTTGACTGGCCAAATACCACGATCTTTGAAGGATTGCCGAATAATTCGTTGGTTAAATGCCTTCGCTCGTACAGGCCCAATTACCCGTAGAAAATCCGGTTTACCACATGGCTGACCACCCCAGAAAGATAGCTCATTATTCATAAGCCGAAATTGCTGCTTATAGCTCAAAAATGGCTTACCATCAAGTGGCTGACAGAGATGTGTTGAATGAGGTATAAAGCCGAATGGTATAATATCAGCTAACTCGCATATCTCAAGGAATTCGAGGGTAAGATGTGCTCCGTGGCCATCAAAGAGTAGGAAGCGCTTTTCACCCTTTTTTAGACGGTCGGGTGTAGCAGTAGCTGAAATAAAATGATATAGCCATTCAGAAGCAATTTCATCAGAAATCCAGCCATTCGGTAAGGTAGCAGTAAGTGTGTTTAGAGGTAAATCCTCACTATTATGGAACCAGCTCTCCATAAAGACCCCGCCGCTTTTAAAGATAAATAGCGGATCCATTTGCCAGCCGTCAGCAGCAATACATTCGAGTGCAGTGATAGTTTCGCCTCGCTCAGCTTCAGCAAGGTCAGGGCAGTGCAATCTACCATTAATAACCTTACGAGACTGGCCCTGGCCAGGTTGGAAACCACACTCATCGAAGTTATAGACTAGCCTTGCAGGGATATCCTTTAGCAGGGTTGCAAGCTGATCATACCAGAAAGAGAGAGCCCCTGCATCTTCGGCTTGAATGCGCTTTGATTCCTTTAGATTCTGCTTCACTGGAGCGAGGGATAGGTGCTTTGGAAGGCGTGATATAAAGTAGTATGCCCAATTCTTGCCAACCGGCTGCCGACCCGCATCAGCGCGCGTAAGGGCCTGATTTGCCCACGCTTCTATAAGCTTTGCAGTAGGCGGTAGGTTCCAATCGCACATTTTGACTATCCAAGCAGTCAAAGCCTTCTCCTGATGTGATGTAAGCGCATTCTTGCGCGATTCAGTGGTAGAAAAGGGCGATCGGGCCTTCTTGACGCGATCGGCAAGGGTAGTTCGAGACACGCTAAATTCACGCGCAGTTTTAGCGATATTCGGCTTTTTTTGGTGTAGAACGGCTTTACAGGCCTTCTGCAGGCGATCCTCGTCAAAATTGGAGTATTTAGGCATATTGGGTGGTTGGGAAAGGGAGTTGAAATCGAATGGTAAAAATGTGACGGGGATTTAGGGGTGACGGGGATTTAGGGCGCACCCATAAGCGGAAGCGGTGGGTGGGCCGCAATATCATGGAGGGCACAGATAATATCTGCGGTTTGAAACTTTGCTTGGGCCCATTTTGATTTCCGAGTGCGGGGAAGTGGGCCTCCAATACACCGCACTTGAGTGTTGAGGGCTTGTTATTGATGGAAAATGTAAAGATAAATAGGATCGCCGGGGTTGACCGGTCATGCCCGGCTTATTAGCCGATATTTTGCCGAAGGAGGCATTTGCATTAGATATGGGGTGAAGGCAGGGATGGGAAAGTACATATGCAGCCGACTGATGATCAACAGTGACAAGTTAGGACCGAGTTTCGAAAAGTTGTCAAAACGTGAAGTTTTTGGATCAAGATTTGCGATTCACCAAAGATGAGATTGAATAATATCGCCCGCTTTGCAGTTGCCAGCGGCATTCTGGCACCGTGCGTCTCGGCTGCTCAGATCACAAAGAGCTTGTCTAAGAGTAAGGAATTAATTGATTGAATTATATGAATATTTGTTGATCAAAATGGATAGATGCGCAGTCCCTCTTTGACTGGTCGATGCAAGTGAATGACTTGCGTTGGGATGATTCATACAAGTACATTTGGTATTCCGACAATGGTCCTTGGTCAACTCGCTTCACAGCATGGTATGTTGCTGGTCTACTGTTCCGCAACAAAGGACAAGATGTGTCCAACGCGAAGGCCGCCATTGAAAACATGTAAGGGGACTCTAAAAGCTAAACCCAATTGACATCAAGTCCTATAGACCGTTCTGATTATTCATCTCATACAGCTTGACATGCCAGATGACCGAGAGCTACGAGTCAGCCTGGTATGGCACATTCAAGCGTTCTCCTGATGAGCCATATCCAACCCCAGACTCAGAGCTTTATCCACCAGAAATCTACGTACGCTATCCACTGAGTAGTACTAGTCAAGGGCAGCATTTGAATAGTTTTATCTGACCGAAATCGGCTTTAGGACACATATGACCCCAATTGGAGAGAATTCATCGGAACGCAGCTTGTACAGATCGTGGAAGAATTCTCCGATCTGCTTGGCGAAAGCCTCGTAGCACGCATTGAGGACAGTTTGGAGATTGCAGCCGTGGGCTCTATGCGCCGTAATGGCTCATACCCCGAGGGCGATAATCTGACACCGGCATATTCTAATCCAGCCCTCATGCGTGCTTGGTGCGTATCTTGGATTGGGAAGCGTCGCAACAATGAGGTATGTGATGTGATTATTTCGAATCCTGAGCGAAACATTAGGGATGAACTGGTATTAACATGAGATATCTCAGACCTTCATTAAGTACTCCAATGACCAGGCAGACACGATATTGGAACTCTTCCAATCCACTGGCTCTAATGTGCTTTCTGAATACAATGCACCGACGTACTATGGAATGGACACATGGGCTCTGGCTGGCGCCATCAAATACGCTCCCCAGGATTCCGCAATTGCGAGGAACGCGAAAGTCATGTTGAAAGACCTCTGGGCAGACATTGCAGCTCACTACAATCCTTATCTTTCGGTGATGTCTGGGCCGGTATGGTACCCCCATTTGTTACAGAGAAAGCAATAATAGATCCCTAACACAAGTCTGCTCAATAGTACGATCGAGCCTACACGCGCGACATGGTCACAAATTCTGCAGTTGTCGATTACTTCTGGTGGGGTCTATTTGGCTACGGCACTGGACCAGTGCCGAACAAACTCGAGGCAGACTTACTATACGATGTCACACAAGGCTCGGCCTTAGCTCTTGTTGTCGATGTAGTTGCAGCACATATCTCCAAGAACGACTCGGCTTGGCTCCAGTCTCAGGGGAACTGGAGCGGAGAACGCATGATTACCAAGAAAGTCCCCGATACACTTGGTGCCGACTCTGAAGTCCGAGTGGTCACTTCGTGGATCAGCTCATCGCTCATGATCGGTGCCGAACAAGTGAACGAGACCATCAACCGTGGCCAACAATATGTCCCGGCAATTGTCCAGTGGGCCGGTGATAAGGACCATAAACCTCACCCTTATATGTCGTTCTTCTCCTTGTATCCGACCGCATCGACTATTGATGCGATTGCAGGGCCTAACAGTCTCGAGATCTCATATCCCAATACCACGCAGGATGGTACGAATATCTTCACCTTTGCACTGGCCCAGATACCACCCAGTTGGACTTTGATCAAGAAGAAGGTCGTGAATGGTCTTGAAGATTTGCCATGTCTCGATGTCACGGTTAGTGCTGAGGGCTTGGAGAAGCAGCCAGTCATATATGGTGCTACGTTGGAGGATAATCGGATCTACAATATCTCCTACGTTGTACCATCTGGCTTTGTGGGCACGCCAAAGGTTTCGTTCAAGTTCAAGTATACTTGCTAAGGTGTTCCACGAAGGGGAACTCTGCGGGGGTGTTATTTTGTTGGCTCCGGGGTTGTTGGTGGCTGAGAGCAGATTAAGAGCCGGTTAGCCACTTATTCAATCCTGTAGACCCCTGTAAAGATACATTCAGCCAAAGGGCAAGGTCGAGGAAGATGTGGTAGCTATGCCGAGAGGCAAAAGCCTAGTTACTCTATTATGGACTACTATCTTATATGTTGCTTTGCACCGGGCCGGGACTCGATAATCATTGAGATCTGAGATTTGTATTTTCTGGAATGAGGCCTTGATTCATGCTACACGAATATAGCGGACAAACTCCACGTAGATGAAAGTCTGGTAGATTGATTCCTTGTGGAAAACATGACTTACGGAAGAATTTTACCATCACTAACAGATTGGATGAGATTGTGTTAGCGGCGAAGGGGCTGCGATCCATATACGGGAGGTGGAGATACTACTTTTTCCATTCATGTCTTCTCTGTGAAGATTGTGTAAAGATACTTTCGTGTAGTAAGCTTAGTGTCATTAACATGGCTTCCCATGCGGGTTCAGTTTATCTTGAAAGGTGATCGGGCCTCGATGCCCCGGGCTTGTGTTCACTAACTAAACACCGTCTTAACCGTATACAAGTCTAAGAAAAGGAGAACCATTTTGCGTTATTTTATCTCCACTCTCACGAATCTCGACAAGGGCAACTTAGCCCCTCCACGATAATAGTGCAAAAGATTCTGGGGGAAAGTTAACCGGAGATATTTACCGAAGTTCCCCGGGCGCTTGTCTCGATGCGGCACTACCAGCGAAGGTGTAACTGGACTAACTTCAACAATCGGTGGATTGGTGATGGCACGTGGCGCCACAAGGTCTATTTTAGCCAAGTAATTGCTCTTTGATGTCACCGAGAATAAGGCCGAAATTCCCCCATTAGAGATCTCGCCGCTGGCTAACTGTACCATGGCTGCTTGGCCTTCCACTTTCCCCCTGTATTGTATGTTGGTCCGGCTAAAATGAGTGTTACTGTCAGACTTATGTAGTAAACCTTTTTTCTAGATCCTCATATGTGTGAATAGGTTGCTAGATGAGAATGAAGGGCACAACGGCAAGACTATCGGCCGATGATTATACCGATTGACCGGACGATTTCAATCCAGACTAAAGACACATGCAGTGTTCGAGCTTCCCCACTACTCCCCAGATAGCTTACTCGACTGACTCGACAACCTTGGGACACTGGACCCGCACTCCATTAGTGGGGGTCTAAGTTCAATCGAGGCGGGGGTTCCTGTGTCTATTTGGCAAGTCCCTTATATCTACAAACACTAACGGCTTCTATTTCCAGGTTCACCTGCTTGTCAACATTTCTCTCTTTTGCCACTCTTTGTAGAATCCTCATATAAAGAGGCTCCCACGATTGTCAGGCGCTGAATCTCATACTCTCAAGACTTAGCCGTCTTTGAAAGACCCTCCGTCCTGAACCCTTCTGATCATGTCGTTTCCCAAGGCTCAAGCCGATTGGAGCAATCTCAAAGTCCTTCACAAAAATACACTTCCTCCACGAGCGCATTTTTACTCCTATGACTCCGACGAAAAGGCCCTGACCCTTGACCGTGAAAAGAGCGAATATGTATCACTCAATGGTACTTGGAAGTTCCGCCATGACGCCTCGCCTTACGAGGCACCTGAATGGTCCTCTGCCAATCCTTTGACTTGGGACGATGTTAAAGTCCCAGGAATGTGGCAGCTACAAGGGTATTCGCACCCTACGTACACGAATGTCAACTACCCATTCCATGTCAACCCACCAGAAGTGCCGATTCTTAACGAGACTGGGTCTTATTGGAGGCAATTCGTGACACCAGCATCATGGGATGGACAGCAGATTCGCATCAGATTCGAAGGAGTTGATAGTGCGTTCCACCTCTGGGTCAATGGAACAGAGGTGGGCTACTCTCAGGGATCTCGAAACCCCAGCGAATTTGACATCACGTCCTTGCTTCGATCTGCCGGCTCGGTGAACACCCTTGCAGTGCGAGTGTACGAGTTTTGTGATGGTTCCTATATCGAGCGACAAGATCAGTGGCTTCTTAGCGGTATTTTCCGTGATGTCGGTCTGCTGGCTTTCCCCCAAGACTCTATTGTGGATTTCGATGCTGTTGCAACTCTCAGCGAGGACCTGTCTTCCGGTGAGCTCCTCACTAGTGTCAAGACACAGGGTGAAAAAGGTCCTGTGGATATCAAACTCTATCGACCTGATGGCACGCTCCTTGAAGAGACCAGCTTCCCGTCGACTGAATCGAAAACTGTGAAAGTTACTGCTGAAGACTTGAAGCTGTGGTCGGCTGAGAATCCAGTTCTGTACACCTTACTTGTCTCGTTCAACGGCCGAACTATCCCTCAGCGCATTGGATTCCGACGCGTTGAGCGAAAGGGCGGCAACTTCCTGGTCAACGGAAGGCCCATCATATTATATGGCATGAACCGACATGAACACCATCATCTGTACGGTCGCGCTGTGCCGTATGAGAACATGCGCGCAGATCTTGTCCTGATGAAAAAGTACAACATCAATGCTCTCCGTTGTAGTCACCAACCTAATGACCCAAGGCTTTACGAAGTGTGCGATGAGCTGGGCCTCTATGTCATCGCAGAGGCTGATCTAGAAACGCATGGCTTTGATCCCGTGGAGCGGTCCAACATTCCGAATCAGCATCTCATGAGCGAGTACGAGATCCAGGAGACGTCGTACAAGATGGCCACAAAATGGACTTCTGACAACCCAGAGTGGAAAGACGCCTACCTCGACCGAGCTGAACAGCTCGTCCAGCGGTTCAAGAACTTTTCTTGTATTATTTTCTGGTCACTTGGCAATGAGGCGTTCTATGGTCAAAATCATGCGAGCATGTACAAGTGGATCAAGGAGGCTGATCCAACCCGCCTGGTTCACTATGAAGGTGACAGAGATGCCATCTCCGCTGATATGTACTCCACGATGTACTGGAGTCCGGAGGCTCTCAGACAACACGTTATCGACAAGCCTGACAAGCCCATGATCCAGTGCGAATATGCTCATGCCAGTAAGTATAAGCCCCACTTTTCACATTATTTGAAACTTTTGTCTAATCTCTTTTTCTTTAGTGGGTAACGGTCCGGGCGGGCTGAAAGAATATATCGAGCTCTACCGTAGCGAGCCACTTCTCCAGGGTGGTTTCATCTGGGAGTGGTGTAATCATGGTATCCTCAAGCGAGAGGGCGACCTTTCGTACTATGCGTACGGTGGTGACTTTGGCGATCAGCCTAACGATGCCGACTTTATTCTTGACGGAATGGTCTATTCTGATCACACACCTACCCCGGGGTTGATCGAGTATAAGAAGGCTATTGAGCCGGTCACAATTTCCTTCAAGGATGGCAAGCTTGAGGTGGTGAATCACTACGATTTCAGCACTCTTGATCATCTATTTGTTTCGTGGCACATTGTCAAGGACTCGGGGAACACAGAGCCCGTGTCATGGCAGCTACCTGAGATCAAGCCCGGCGAGTCAAAGCTGGTTGATCTCCCAGAAGGCGTAAATCTCGGATCTGAGGCTTCTTGGCTCACCATCAACTTCTCTCTCAAGGAGGACACGGCATGGGCATCTCAGGGACACGAGATTGCATGGACTCAGATCCCATTGTTCGAAGAGCAGAAGCTTGCACTACCTGCCGCCCCCAGTTCTTCGCCACTTCCACTTTCTGTCCGTGAAGGGCTGGGAAAGCTGTACATCAACTCGGACAACTTTGCATCTCACTTCACCTACGACCTCATCAGAGGCAATCTGTCCTGGTCCACCGAGTCCGGCAAGGTCTTCAACAGCGGACCCAAGCTTGGCATCTACCGTGCCCTGACACAGAACGACATTGGCGCAGGCGGCCCCTATGCCGAATGGAAGCGTTTCCGCGTCGAGAGCTGCCGCATGCTTGTCCAATCCTCGACCTGGAACCTCAACGACGACGGAAGTGTCTCCATCACAACCAAAGTCCGAGTCGCACCATTCGTCCTAGAATGGGCCATGGAAGCCGATCTCAGTTACACGATCACCGAATCTTCCGTAAATATCCACGTCAAGGGTGATTTCTCCGGTACTCACCCAACTATCATCCCCAGACTAGGCCTCACCATCCGCCTACCCCGTCGCTACGAAGCGGCAACCTGGTTCGGCCGCGGTCCCGGCGAGTCATACCGCGACAAGAAAGCTGCAGCTCGATTTGGAACACATACAGCCTCCCTCGACGCCGGTCTCGAGACACCGTACGAGTGGCCCCAGGAGAATGGTAACCACATCGACACGCGATGGGTTCGTGTCCATGCGTCTACCGCGGAGAAGGCATATTCTGCGTCTGCAGGTGCAGATGCGGCTTTGCCGGAAATCGAGGCGAGAATGGATACACCGTTCAATTTCTCGTTGAGTAGGTATGCGACTGAGGAGTTGGATCGTGCTAAACATCCGCATGAGCTTGTGGAGTTGGATGGTGAGACGGAGTTTAGGGTTGATTTTGCGCATCATGGGATTGGCACTGGGAGTTGTGGTCCGGGGGCGTTTGAAGGGAATAGATTGGAGGCGGGGCCGTTTGAGTTTACTAGTATGTTCCGGTTGCTTGATGGGAAAGATGAGTGATGGGTTGAATCGCTGGATTATGAGGAAGGGATTAAACAAGGATTTTTTCTTCGCAGATAGTTTATCTAGAATTGTTTGGATATATGGGTAGAATGATACCTAGAATTCAAGAATACGAAATTGTTAATGTTTACAATAGACTGAGTCTGCTTCCATTTCGTTTTTGGGTCTGAGTTGGCCTATAGTCAAGAAACACCTCGCTGATAGTCGTCCTGCATCACATGCCGCATATGATACAGGTTGATCATACGGATTGCTGCATTTTGAGTTGATTAAGCTTATCTTGGGGCTTCGATCATGATTGACTCTTGCCACGGGTGCTTGTGCTGACCTACATAGCCACAAATAACTTGAGACATAGATGAAATGATGGATGCTGTTAGGTAAGTTAGTCCATGAATCTGGTGACTCATTGAGGAGGCCCTTTGTTTAGCGGTCATTCAAACTAGATATCAATTGCAGGTCACCGCACATGGAAAATATGCTAGGGGCGGATGCCTGGAGTCAGGACCAGTTCTCCTGAGTAGAAAACAGACTGCGCTGTTCATCTGCATTAACGTCCTGAAGATGGATACGGATATATCACGAGACCAAATGTGTAGGCTCACGTGTCCATACTAAGTATCCACAACCTTTGATATGGCTTATTAAATATGACCGTAGGAGGTCTAATAATTAGTTAGCTAAATTATGGACTGTCCACCGGAAGCTAGGTAGATGGTGACAAATATAATATACCCCTTTCTACAGTTCCGCTTTTCTTTCCCAATCTGAGGTGTTTTGTATCATGTTTTCAGATAGATTCACCATTTTTTTTTAATGTGTAAATTATTTACGCCACGGTATTAATATAAATATTGACAGGGCTATCGTGAGAATCATACTGTCCTCGGCGGTAAGACTACGGAATACACTGTACTAACTTAGGGCAGAAGCAGTTGATGAGGTCATCATGACCCAGTCAGCAAGACGGTATTGCCGTAACACGTGTATTAAGCCATGACCAGGGCCAGAACCCCTGTTTAGAGGGTATTTTGATCCGGTTTTATTACCACCATGTGTCATCTTCCGTCTTGTGAATTTCCCCCCAGCTTCTTCGGCTGTTCTTCTCAACGTCTTTTTGGTCTTTCATCCCGAATGAACCTCGCCTTTTCCTTTACCCCCCTTCTCCTCTTCTCTCTACCTCCTTCCTGTCTTCCATACTTCTTATACGGCGTCAGCTGTTCCCATATTCCCACAACGGGGACACCCCTTCTAGACCGTCATCCGCGTGCTCCTCCCCTGCAGTGCAAAGGCCCGCCCCTTCCATCTTTTGACGTGGGTCACGATCATTGGCTTTCTGCTGGGCCCGGCCCTGACTCTCCACCCTGTCAGCCACTTAGTACTGTTCACCCGAGGTCTTGGACACCGACATCTCTGCAGGCGCTCTTCGGGAACCAGGCATACGCCACATCTCCTCACTGTATGGGCACAAAACAAGTCCAAGCCCAAACGTTGAGCCGGATCTACGGTGCCCCCATCGTCTCTGAATCCCGCCAACCATAATTCGTGATCCTGCATCCTCGGGTTCTAGACGCTCTTGTTTTGTCTGACGCCCCCCTCCCCGGAAAGTTGGAAACAAAGCATCAGCCCAGAGATGGTTCCCGTGGTTCTGTGATCGTCCGACCTTTTTCCAAACAAACCAACTCCGTCTCTCTTCTCTTCCCATTTTACCCACAACAGCACATTCGTTCACCTATACCACCATCCCTGCAGCGCCTGCCTACCCTCATCGTTCCTAACCCACCCCTGTGCCCCCATTTCCCGACTACCAGCATGTGGATTTCGGCTATTCGCTTGACTGCACCACTCGTGTAACGACCCGTACTTTCCTGCGCAACATATCCGTTCGACATCCTGCGACTCTTCCTCATTCGTCCTACGTTGCCAACAAACACATTCCTTCCTACACCGATAACCTATCCTGTGTGCGGTTGGCACCTTGCTTTTTCGGTTCCCTCTTTGGGACGTGTCTGGTCATATTTTCGGACATCGTTCCTGCCCAACTTTGTGAGGCTTCCTCTCGGGTCTGCTGACTTGTCTGCATCGTGTCAGCATCTTCTGGCTCGATCGAGACCATGGCTGCGGAGTCCGAGAGGCCGCCTTACCTTAATGGTGCCTCTGGGTCCAAAGGAGCCAAGGAGTCAGAGGCGGCATCAGAGACGGGGCACCGGTTGGCTAGAGGCAGCAATGACATGATAGAGGTGCCGCGACCAACCATTCAAACCCAGGGACAGGCCATGTCTCAAGTACCCAAACTGCTTCCTAATTTACCCACCTATTCCGCCCCGACGTCGACTGGCAACTCTGCTGTCTCCTCCCGCGAATCCTCCCCGGTGCGAATCTCCTCACGTACCGCCAATTCTCCCTCCACCAGCCGAGTTTCCTCTCAGACTCGAAAAGGCACTCCGGATCGCGTGAGTCCAACTCGAGCGTCGAGCAACGGTCAATCCTCTACTCGAACCCTACAATCCTCGTCTGGTCAGCGCGCTTCACCGGGACCTCCCACCAACCCTCCACCAACCCTCTCTCCTCCTCCTGCTCCCGAAGCACCGGCCAATGTCCCCAGTCCAGAAAAGCACAATATGCCATCATGGGCGGGGAATCGTCGTACTGATCAAGAATCGACCCCCTCGAATACCTCACTCAAAAGAACTTCGCCCTCGCCGTCGGAGGAACATGGCAAGACTGACCGAAGCACCCCGCGGGCAGCCACGAGGGTCATTGTCGGACAAGGTCCCTCCCTGGAGACGGTCCAAGAGATGGCCAGCAATCCATCCACCCCGTCTAGTGACAATGCTCTCCAACCGACAACCCCCGACGACGTCCGCTTACACACTATTGACGAAGACCCTACTCCGCGAGCCTCCAGGCAGAACACCGAGAGTGACAATGACAGCGGTGGTAACCCAAGTTCAAAGGAGGAAAATCGCGCTCACACCACAGGCACAGTCAAAATGCCGGGGACTATCATGCCGCAACGGTCGTCTACTTCACTCAGTGCTGGTGCGCGAGCGAAGCCTACGGACGGCTCGGTCCGCAACATGATTGTCGAGACGGAAACCGTGAGCTCAATCCCGCAAGTATCGTTGGGCGTTGCCACTGGAGAGCGAGGCAGCAGCAGTCGAGCGGAGCAGGGCACTCTACGGATGAAACCGTCCACGGAGACGATCCGACCTCGCAAGGAGAAGAAAAAGAGCCGGCGTGCCAATCACCTCACCACTGGCCCTGGGACCAGCAAGGCGGACATCTTTGAGGCCAAGGTGGCCAGTGCCGTGGATGAAGCAGACGTGTCTGACTCTGACGAGACCTTTGTCTACGAATCGAACCCGCCGGACCCATATCCTCCTCGCCAATCACGGTACCACTCGCGAACTCCTAGCGCAACATCCATGGCGAGCCAAGTAGACCAGCTGGCTGGTCGTGCCCGCGGCGCCATGCGGGATGGTTCTCACAGCGTTACCGGTAAACGCAGCATGAAGTTCACAAACAACACGTACAACAGCAGCATGGACGGTGACGCCCAGGAAGCCGACGGAAGTCGAAATGCCGGCCGAGTTGAGGGGAGCGGCACGATCACCCCCGTCATCACCATGTTGGGCGTCATGGACGCAACGGGGCTTATCCATCTCTGTTCGACAATGACGGGCCGTTCCCTCAGCCACAAAATCAACTGAAGTCGCCGCGACACTTCATCGGCAGTGGATACCGCCATTCGCGAAACAGTAATACTCGCTCCTCGCCAAATTATAAAACCATCGCCAACAAAAAAGCGGGCGATGTATACGACTTTGATGCTGAAGGGGCTGATGATGAGCGCACGCCGTTGGTGGGTACAACGCGGGCTACTCGTAGCCGCCATGGACGACGACCCAACAGTGCTAGCCTACGGCAGATGGAATACATGGCGGAACGGCAACGGGATTGCTTCTCACGATATGGCTCTTGTGCCATCATTCTCTTCCTCTTGCTCATCGTTGCTGGTGGTGCCGCTTCATTTATTGCCGCCGCGACCAAGACCCTCTTGGATGTGCAGGTTGTTGCCATTCAAAATGTTCTGGCCTCTGAACAAGAGATTATGCTGGATCTGCAGGTCGAGGCAGTGAACCCGAACATCTTCCCGGTCACGATCGATGATACCGATGTGAACATCTTTGCCAAGAGCCGATACGTCGGGACAGAAAGCTCTTGGCAAGAGAATTCCTCGGACGCAGAACTTTATCGAACCCCACGGGTGGAGCAGAGTCGTCGCCGGTGGTACTTGTCTCAGCTCGTCCGGTGCCTTGGGGATACAGAATGCGTTGAGGAAGCGATGAAAGGCCACTCAAAGGGACACAGTGATGGCGGTATCGACAAAGGCACCGACCCCATTAGTGATCCCGAGGGTGATCCACAAACCATGCTCTTGGGTCGCGTCTTCCGCTTCGACTCGCCTCTCTCTTTCGAGGCGTCCCCCTGGGGCCATCTGGTGTCTACATCAAAGGGCCAGATTCGGCTCGCTCGACCTGGAAACAAGACCGAATCAGGCGGCACGGAGCGCTGGGAGCGTGTCCTCCAGCATCCGTTTGACCTGATTGTTCGGGGTGTGGTTAAGTACCAACTCCCACTTAGCTCGCGTTTCCATTCTGCCTCCATCAGTTCTACTGTTCGAGTTATTCCCGACGACGACGACGACGCACACAAGCCCGATAGTCCAGACTCCACGCCTCCTTCCAACGAGACAGTACCGCACCTCTCCCTCGTTAGGAGAACCACTACCCCCTCATCCTCCATCCGCCTCATCGCGGACCCCGATGCCCAACCCGAGCATCAACCGGGAGTATCTCAACGACAGTTTACGGCATAAAAACAAAACCAAGGAGTACCTCTTTTTTATTTTCAACATTTTAGCGATAGATTGATGTCCATCACGACAGCCCTACCCATTTTTCATTACAATTTTTCTTATACTTTATTTCTTTTGTTCAGCGTAACGAGACCAAACGAAGCCCCCAAAAGCCCCTATTCTAGGTTTTACCCTTGTCTCCTTACTTTTGCGACGCTGTATACCCATTTGCGATGTCGCTACTATTGTTGGCTCTGTCGAAGGGCTCGTGGTTACACAAGAGTCTGAGATATCTCGCAGCTTATTTCGACCCATCCATTCCTCCTGTGTTCTTCGACTATCTGTACAGATTTCCTCCTGTCAGCGCAGGCTGGATGGAGTTTCATTCTTTTTCATGACTTGAGCAGAGTGATTCTTTTTTTCTTCTTTTCTATTCACTCTGCTCGTCCTGGCTATCAGCCGTCTCCCCTTTTCATTTTTTCCCCTGTGGAAATGTACTTATACTTGTTTTTATTTGCTGCATCTTGTATCTAGATGTAATGATAACGAACTGTGGGAATGATTGATTGATTCTGTTTACCTTTGACTTGCGAGTCTTCGAATTCTTCTAGAGTAGAGTCTAGGTACGGGGGGATCGTAACAACTAAGATATAGGTATTTGTTGGACACCACCGGGGACATATTGGCAATTTTTTGGCCCATTATGCTCCAGGTTAGCATCATTCCAGTCGTCTCCCCAGTTCTATCAGCCCCTTCTCTATCTCTTTCAGTGCGACAATAACAACCACGGGGAAAATTCCTTGCAGTTGCTTACTGGCAAGACCATTCTCACCTAGTCCGAAATCAGAGCCGAGACATGTGCGAACAATAGTGCTGAATCGCAGCCCCATTCGACTACGTAGTCCCGCTGCCTGGGCAAGTTTCTCAGCCGCATAATAGTCTGTCTGCCGCTCTATTGGCAAACTTTTGAAGGCCCATTCCTGGAGCCGGATCCACGGTTTACCGTATCCGAGTTCGAGAAGTATGACGCCGAAAGAGAACACCACCGCGTTTCGAGCAAAGACTCTAGATTTAGATGCCGTGTCTTTGTTGCTTTGTGGCGCATCAGCGGCCTCAAGTCGGTCCGTTCCTTTATCTTGTCTTGTAACCTCAATCCTAAGGTGTGGCGTAAGAAGGGAAAGGGCCTTTGTGCTCTGTGCTAGTTTTTCGCGACTGAAAAATCCGACTTGGCTGCTTTTCCAGGAATCGGGAAGCCATGGTGTGGAGTGGTATCGCGAGGCGGCAGTTGCAAGGATCTAGGCGAGATTGATTATCGATGTTCTTGGTAAGTCTCGATTGAACTCATCTTCTGAGACCCAGATTATGTGTTCTTCCAAGGATCTGTGTTGTCCGGGCAATGGCATCCCTAGAGGTGGCGCATGGAATCGGTGCAAATTCGGCTCCTTGATGAACTGGACGGAATCAGGGAATTTCCCAGAAAGCCCGTTAAAGTGTCCAGAGTGATCTTGGATCATTTCGAGATCAACAATTGAGGAATGTGTGATAATAGAGGTATTTTGCTTATCTGCGGTCACTTGTGCTGAAGGCGCTGGGGTAGGATGCGTAGATTGATGGCGTGACTCTTTCTCCACGAGCTTCTTATCGGGTATCTTAGAGCGTCCGACAACTATTGGCCGGGAGTATGGTGCTAGGTTTTCCATCAGTGTTACCAAGGCATCTCTTGATCCAACTTCAGGAGTCTGATTTCCACGCGGCTCTTCCTGGCTGGCCATTCTGAGGATCCGTACTGGTAGTCTTAACGGCTTCAACTTCTACCCAGACGGGCATCTCTCGACATAAATCATCTGCAGTGGGCCTTGAGACTGGAATTCTTTTAACTCGTGGCATATTGCCATAGTTGCATCGCGAACGGGTTTCAGTGTAGCTTGCCAACTGAAAAACATGCCCCTCACCAAATCAGGTGGGGAATTAGCTAGATCATCCGGTAGATTCGGTGGTCCTCGCATAGCCCTACACGACCCATTCGGCGGCAGTTAATGATGGTGGATAAGACCCCGATCTACTTGCTTCTTGACTGGTTTTTCTGCGTTCAACTTCATTGGTCCACCTATAGTGGATGTAGCATCCGCCAAGAGCAGCGCCCCGAGGCGCTGGGGGCCTTGAGAATACACAATCGACCATTAGCCAATTCGAGTGAAAGGCCAAGGGGGCTGGGCTGGTCTTTAGGACCACAGGATTCTCGAGTCCGTGGGTTTCTCAAGACAGCGAATAGACGCATTAGTCTGTGGTTCTGCTCGAATGGTAGCTTTCGGGTGTGTCGCTCACCCGCAATTCGAAGGTTTTACTCTAGATGGCGATGACGTCGGGGATAGGTGAACCTCGCCTGCTCGTGTAGATGGAAAAGTTTGCTCTGTGGCCGCTCGATCGCCCTTCACGAATCAGATCTATGCAATGACCCCCTCCTGCTTTGATCGTACACGACCGTGACTATTATTTAGTGATTTCTATGAATGCTAGAGGAGGAAAGCACCTGATGTCCGCTGGACTACCTATCGCACGAGCTACCTAGGCGGGGGTTGGATCGCGCAGTGCAGCGTAATGCACACCGCAACTCCACCTGGAGACTATAAGCCAGTGTGTTAAGCACTACACGTCTTGGGCCGATTTCCAGCCTCGTTTGGGCGTGCATCTAGAGGCTCTGATCGGGTCGCAATTATGAATGTTGAGGGGGCGGAGCACATCGTCACCCTGTTAGACGTGTCGAGAGTGCTACGTGAGTGATACTTGGCCATCGTCTAGGATGGCGAAGTAAACCTGGAGCAGTTCAGATGTGCTTCCACCCCTTACACGATCTCGTTCAGAGATGATATTCGGAAGGCCAAATAATGATTGTAATGTATCCAATTTAGTAAAGGAAACTATCCCAAGTGGTTTATTGTTCATACGTAACCTTAACCCTTGTCTCTGCCTTCGCATAGTTAGCGGTTGCCTCTCAATCCCATTATTATTACAATAAAATAGTTGTATACTTTGTAGTCCCCCGCTCCGATTGTTTTATTCGTGTCTCTTGATTCCCCACATTCTTCTAAGCTTGATTTTCCACCGTCGTAGCTGTTAGCTTAACAAGCTACTTTTTTTTGGCGTTTTTGACTGCTCCCTCCTTCACTCTTTCCAATACTGTTTATATTTTGTTCTGTACTTTAGGTCTTCCTAGAGGTACTTTTTGTACTCCTCCTCTTCGTGACTTCCCCCCCCCCCCCCTCCCCACTTCCATTCTGTTCTCCATTAAACCCCAACCCATAACCTCAACCCAGGGTTGCGATTATGTCCTTGGTTTTGGGGCTTTGCACCCCGACCATACTATCCTTTCCATAAAGTACGATACCCCCCTCTCAGGCTCACCTTATCGTTTCCTTCCTCGCCCCCATTCCTCCTCTGGTTTTCTTCACCCAAAGGCCTTCCCATTTGGTCGGCCATAAGCTACTTCCCTTATTGCCATGGAGCCAGACAGGGATTGGTCATCGTATCACTTCCATCAAAACTCGATGACGACAGGGGATTACAATCCGGATGATCATCAATCCATGGACAATTTGTCGATTGGGCTCGACGATCCGCCGCCTCCCAGGATTGACCACAATGTCCCAACCAATGCACGCAGGCGGATCAATGCACCCATGGTGCAAGAACAAGCGTTTGTCAATGAACTAGCTAGTGCATCTAGCGGCTACCCCATCGTGAGCCACTCAGAATGATCCATCTTGACCTGAGAGGTCTTCCATGAATTATTCATCAAAGCTAATAGGCAATACTCTCGTGATAGACTCCAGGTTCTTCCCAAATTCAAACCTGGTACACGGATCCCACCGTATACACTTCATCCAGTGTGGGGGAATCAAGCAGCCAATATCAGCACAACACGCACCAGGATGAGGCACCAATAGACCCCTCGCTGTCTCGAACCAACCCATATGCATTCCTCGGTTCTGGACTCCCCAATCCATCTCGTCCGCCTTATTTGAACATCCCCACTAGCAATGATGTGAGCACCGTCGAGCCAACCCTCTCGGGCCTAAATGCCGATGAAACAATCTCTCCACCTTCGGCTTCTGTTCGCCCTGGGCCAGACCCAAGGAGAGTCGCCACATCCCATACCTTGGGTGTCCCGAGTCAGGGAGCCCAATTTATTGTGAACGATGATCCTCTTCGAGATGTTCGAAATGTAGTCATGCGGAGGCTGGGACAAACCCCTACCTGGCAGAGAGTATTTCAAGAACGACCGGACCTCTATGCGGACCTGTATGCGGACCTCGATGAGATCCTTGCTGCCCCGACAGCTGCCCCGACAAGAGTGAACGGCATGCAGATACCGCCCTTACCACGCCCGCCGCCGGACAGCGTGCCGATACGCAAGCAGCGCAGAAAACCCGGAGTAGCCTACCGCTGTCGGCATTGGGAGTGTGATCGGGATGAGGAGTGTGGGGTGACAGCGGTGAGCAAGCAGTCTTTCCGAAGACATGTCGAAACACAACACTACCCGCAGTACGATTACCACTGTGGTGTTCAAAATTGTACCTCGTTTTGGGAACCACGTTTACATCGCCCTGACAAGCTTCTGGATCATTATCCTGACGCACACGGGCTGGGCCGCCCTTCTCCAAGTATCATCGAAGCATATAGGCACGAGAATCTTTGCCCACCTTTTTGCCCACTCTGTCGAGAAAATGTTGGAGATTGGGAGGAATTCTATGCTTGTTTTCTCAAGCACTGCAAAGAGGCACCCAAAGCTTCAGCATCTCGAGACAGTCATCGTCGTGGGAAGAGGCGTCGCGATCGAGATAACTCGGACAAAGGCAACTTCAATGGCGGCACAAGCAACGGGGGTTTTGTATCTCAACAAGGATACGGGCACTTTGGCAATGCTGGCGAGGCGTCCAACACATGGCCATCTGGCTCTGATGGCTATCAACAAGGCCGATCTCATCAACAGGGTGGCTGCAACCAACATAGCAGCCGGCCTCAATTTGATCCGAGCAACTTACAAGACCAACCAACATCACAAGGGTCGAGGAGTCATTGCAAGTCTTGCCAGCATTTCCAAATTTGCTCTTCTTGTTGCAAGAGCCCGCCGTCTACGCTATTTTGTCATGCCTGTCCGGATACGCAGCGCGCTTTAGCAATACAGGCTGGTGTCCTCCACGCCGGCCCATCGCGGGAACTTTTGCCTCAGACTGGCCAGACCTTAGGGGTTGCTGACCATGCTGGGACCAACCCGCAGGCCTTCTATGATATGAGCTCGAGTATCCCAACGATGGCTGCTGCCAACCCTTCGCTCTACGGAGCCCTACCGCAAGGACCTCCGCCATTGAACATGCGCCCGGAGCAGCAAGCTCAGGCTCATGGTCTCCATTCTGGAACAGACACACAGCAAAGCCCTATTTCAAGTGAACAGTCCTTGATGGTCGGTGCAGCGCGTGATGTTCAAGCCGTTGGCATATCTGAGCTAGAGATTGAGCCCTTCATCTCTGACCCCAAGAGCAAGAATGCCCAGACCTCTGATAATTGGTCTGGTGTTCTCACTCTCAGAGGGTCGTCGCCGCCAGCTCACAAGCCCTCTAAGGGTGTGAATATAGCCGCTCCGCTTCTCATCGGCCCCCTCTCCCAAAGCAAAGTCAATCCCTCCTCCATGTGCCAGTGTCCATGTCGCTCCAGCTCTCAAGGCACATACTTTGTGCGAAGTCGCATGGATATTGCACCGGGAAGAGCGATCGAAATGGATTTCAAGGTGACTCCCGAAGCCCGTCCAGGCTTGGGTCATCCCTTGCGTAGTCGCATTCACGTCGTTATCAAGATGCTAAGGCTCCGTTCTTCCGTGGCGAAATCGGCGAACGGCAAGCACAAGCAGGAGTCCCGCGCCGTTCTCACAGAGACTCGTGAAGTCCCACTGGAATTAATCGAAGCCGTGGAGCCCTTCGAGGAAGAAGAGAAAAAGATCGAGCTCATATTCGATCTTGATTTGCAGTCATCTCTCAAAAACCTCTCTCGCTGGACAAGATTGCCCACCGGTAATCCTTTCTCTGATCTATCGATCCAGGATCAGTATCGAGTCTTCGTGTTCTTTATGAGGTGCATGCTTTTTGTCCTCTTTGTCATTGCCTCACTAGCACGCGCGCAAGACTACGACTACAACTCGAATCCCTGCTTGGTCAAAAGAAGACCTGGCCAACCACAAGACCACCTCTACCAGGTCGGCTATTATGATTATGATACCCGGAACCCCCACATGATTTATTGATTTTTGTTTAATTTTTGTTATTAGCATTTTATTTACTGCGTTTTCTTCTTTTCCGTTTTGCTACTTATGGCGCGACTGCGATCTCATTCCACATCTTTTGCAGGGAAGTGTTTCTTACTGGTGTTTCGATTGACTTTTTGATTCCTCTCACTTCTTGGAACTCCTTTCGCCTCATGCACATTTTTTCCTGTTTGGTAAAGACCCGGGCCAGAAGAGATTCTGGTTAAATATGTATCTTTCCTAGGGGCGACCCTCTCATCGCATACTACACGTCCTTGATCATATCGAGGGCGCTGTACATTCTATACATGTATGTTTCAGTATGTATATCACAAAAGAATTAGGGCTAGTGGGCTCTGGAGATTTTCTTTTTCCTTTTTTCTTTCCTTTTCTTCTTTTTCTTTTCCATTCTAAGCTTCTTTCTTTTGACTTTGTTTTCTGTCTTGTTTGTCTGCTTTACAGGAAGGTTATACGACTTAGGAACTCAGGATATTATTGATATTGATCACGTGTTATGCTACTATGGGCCCTATGAATCGCCCGGCATCGGAATATGGATAGCATTAACTAGACGGCGTTGCCAATTTGCAGTTTTCACTATGACATTTCATCTCTGTCACGAAGAGTGGTATTACGTTGTTTTGTATCTTGATTTGAATCAGTCTCTGCGAAAAACTACAAAGATGGAGATGATCAGCCGATCATTCTGAGAAACTGCCCGCAAATTGGATGATTTCAAAAATAATACGACCCTAATAAGGCAGGATACTAGAGACCCACCTCTGACCAGATAGTCCCCCGCTCCCCAGACCCACCCCTTGACTACTGACTATGTGTATCACTCGGGCCCACTCGCCTTCTTGTCCCTCTACTACCCCATCTTATATACCAGAAGATGTGTAGTTTTGGCGATTGGAAAAGTGCAATTTCAGTATGTAGATCAAATTGTAAGACTAAATAAATTAAGACGGCAGAAAGATTAACAGAATTCAAGAAAGGGTCTGAGTAGTGACTCAGCGAGTTCAAGGAGCCGCCGGGGGGTCTATCTACCGGGAGGGGGTCGTCCCCAGGGGTCGTGGTGGTGTAGTGAACACATCGTAATCGTCACCCTTCGCTTGCGAGGGCCCTACTTCAAGGTCGCGAAGACCCAGGTACGGCGGTGCGTAGCGGCCATTCTCCAGTGCATAAAACCTATCATAAAATTGACCTCTTTTCCCTCCGCCTTAGCCAGATTAGGTCACATGACCCCTTTGATCTATATTAGACCTCGCCAAGCGTGGGTTTGGGTTGGGTTTTCAATTTCTTTACCCGCCCACGGGTAACCTATCGCGGGTTTTGGCTTTATAAACCCGCCCGTGGGTTCTTGGCGGGTACCCGTGGGTTACCCAAGATACCCAAAAATGTGGATAAATCGTGTATAAAACTGATTAGTTACTAGTTGTAATTCTGGTATTTTATTATTGTCACGCTTTTAGGTGTGTGTTACGTTTAGATACTGCTCCCCCGTTCTCCGAAAATATATTTCCTATGTACTGCTCTGTGTTTCTTCCTAACGTCTTTCTTTACCTTAAGGAATCAACAGCCTTATCGATTAACTTACGAGGAGTGATGATTTCTAAGCTTATTGCGTTGTATCTAGTCAATAATTGTAACCTCGATACACTAAAAATTATCCACTGTGATATCTATTATGAAGTTCTTAGCTTCCTAAAGTCGCGCAGGTTTTAAGTAGGGTTAGGTTTTGGGTACCTGCGGGTTTACGCGACTTAGGAATAGATAGATTTAAACGCACGACGCGACTCGAACAAAACCTATATTCGAGTATACAAGATAAAGAAAACTTATTTTCAACTCTGATAGCGTTTAAATCTGATAGCGCAAACTATAAATATAGCCTCTTCTTCTCCCTCGTTATCACGATTAATTTATTAGGCTTTCTGCCCCCTACTCTCTATTAAGCTATCGTCTAACGTTTTCTTAGACTTAGATATTTAATCTTCTATATAAAAATAAATCCTTTCTTTGTGTGCCTAACTATCGCAAGACTCCCTGCGACTCCCTACAGGGGTACTAAGATAGCTTATAGCCTTTTATTAAACCCTACGAGAACTATAATATAACTACTCGAAGACCCCTAGTAACGCTAAGACGTATTAGACCTTAACGTAGAAAGAACTAGATTTTGTATAAGTTAAACTTAGAGAGAGAATTTCTAGGATAGTAGAAGGATACTAAATATAGTTGTCGGATTTACGGGGTCAGCATAAATCCTTCGGCGTGCACAAGCAAGCGAGTGTGCACGGTTGGTCAAATCAGTATACGATTGGCGAAGAATCGTATAGGTCAGGTCGTCGTACGATTCGGCTTAGAATCGGAAGTTAACTTATGATAGAAGAATGCTCCAACTTCATCACAATCATTAAACTTGATTCAACTAGCTATGGAAAACAGGCAGTATTTATAACTTCATGAAATCGAGGCAATACGTCAGACTAGAATCTCATAGAAATCAAGAGAAATATAGAGTGTTGAAGCTCTTTCGTCATGTGTGCAAGTTGTTGATGTCAATCGTTGAAGATCGTCGTCACGTGGACGTTCCGTCGCATTCTGTCAAGTTCGATAGCATGGGCTTATGCACCCACTCATGTCGACAATAGTTATAAGTTAAAGGGGGACAGATAGTCCTAAATTAAGTAGTCTACTAAGTTGCGTTACGCCGATATCTAGAAGCACTTTAATTAAGTAGCGGATATCGATTCCGGGCGCCTATAAGTCCTCTATAAAGCCTATCTTACTTTGCTTAATTATCTATAGCACAAAAACTATAGGATAAGTACTATAAGTAGATACTAAAAGTCTAATACTTATTGTAAGGGAAAGAAGAGAGGTTCTTATTAAACTCTAATCTCCGATTCGTTGTAAATTAATACTATAAGGGAGTCGCTTAATATACGTAAGGTAACAATATTCTAACTTAAGGAGTAGCTATTAAAGACTATTACCTATCTTCGGTTACTATTTTAAATAGTAGAGAACCCTGTGTTTTAGAGATTACTTAACGTTATATACCCTAGACCCGGGGTACTAGAACTTCTGTTAGCGAAAACCTTACGAAGACAGCTCCGAGATACAGTTACGGTTTAATAGGAGTTATAGTTATAAGATCTGCCTAAAGATACTAAGGTATTACTCGCCTTAGATTGTTAGACTAGTCTATTCTAGTAAGTATTTATAGTAATTATACTCTATTTTATTAACAAAGATTAGAATTACCGGGAAATACTCCTTAGCTTTAAACTATTATATAGTCCCTATATAGGGAGTAACCTTAGGACAATTCGTATTTACCAGGAGGCGGCCGTTTCTGGCAACCCGCCGTGTTGGGTTTAGCGCCCGTCCGTCCAGGGCCCGTACTGGTTTAGCGTCACTCCGATCAGGCATGGCTTCTCGCGCTATCCTGCAACGGGAACTGCCGTACGTCTCCGCCTTCACGGCCCTCCGTCAACTATATAATCCAGCTGGTGCGTCGCTCGACGACGTCTCCTTCCCACGTCCTACGCTCCTCGTCAATTCGGTCCCCTGAGGTCCGGCGCCACCGCTCCGGCCCCTTGCCCTCTCGGAGATGACCGTTCCCAAAAATGAGTGCTTCGCCCCCTTCGATCCCCACTCATGCCGCTGCGAAGGGACGCTGGCGTCCACCGACATGGTTGACATCGCGAGCGTGAATCGCTGATTTTTCCTGGAGGGTGCGAGATGACCGGTGGCATAGCCTCCCCTGCCTGGATGGCCCGCCCCCGAAATTGTCTGCTGGGGCGTTGGCGGTTGCCTACGTCCGCCCCATTCCAACCCTCCAAGGCGTTCCTTCATTCAAAGGTCCGCACAGGGGCCTATGGCTCATTTCCAAGTCGAGAACGATGACGTGTCGACGGGCCTGCGCCCACTCAGCGGCGTGAATACCAATGGCAGAATTCCCTCACGTTCTATTCCTGTCCGAAAGCCCACGCAGGTGCCATGTCTCATTTTTGAGACGAAGCGATGACTTGTCAACGTGCGTGCGGTGTCTGCACCTGATCATCTGCACCTGATCCGCGCAGCTTGAACTCCAATGGCAGAAATGCCGCATGTGTCCCAGGGTGTCCTCCGTCCGCTGTAGGCGTTCAAGCGTCCCGCTGAGTTAACTGCAAATGATCACATGCGAGAAGGCTGAGGAGCAGGCTGCATGATGACTCTATCGAACTCGCTGCGAAAAGATCCTGTTGGTGGGATGATGATTGGGTTACGCTTGAGACTGTAGCCAGGGTGATGATGCTCCAGCACGGGATTGCGATGGATTGGACCGGAGATTATGCGGACTCTGTGTGGCTGTAAATTGCTGGCCCTGATCACGGGAAGACCCATGGGGTTGGCACACAAAACCGGCCAATGAAGGCATCTATATGTCCTCGAAGTCCGACAAGTGCGATCGAATCCTAAACATCCGTTCCGCGAATCTGGGATCATTTTGCATTGCCACTCTTGCGGATGAGACTAGTGCCGGGCATAGAAAGGGGCCATGACGCTAAAAAATGCGAACCACGACCTAACTATTCCTTGCCTATGGGTCTAGACCACTACGGATCTCCCGTTCTCGCCCCGTTTAATGATGTTGGTGCATGCAACCTCCGTGTGGCGATGCCGAGAAGCAGCGGCCGTACCTGGCGTTCGTTCTGAGAAGTGACTTTAGATACCTTATAAGCACTTCTCACTCCCTCTCCTTTTTCTCTGTCGCAAAACAGTATACTTCATTTTCGTCCTGAAAATCTCGACACCATGAATATCAGCCTTGATAACATTACCTTCTACTCTCAACCTCCTCCTGCGAAGCCTCCTTCATGTACCTTCCCTGTTTCCTGCTGGAAGCCATATGAGACTCCTCTTGCCTCACGAGCCCTTTCGCGTGTACTTCCACCCAGGGCGCCTTCCCCTAGGACGACGATTACCCTAGCTTCTGATGCTAGGCCAGATGTGTCCCCGCGATTTAGGGCTCCTGCGAGAGAAGGCCATGATTTGCGTGCCGTTTGCAATGAATTTGATATCGAATTAGACAGGATCGTTACGGCCCAGAACGGCCAGGTCACGCGAGAGGCGGATCTGACCTTGCATCGCGACTCAGGGCTCCCAAACGGAAATGATACCGATGGGCCTCAAGACCAGCGCACGTCTTCGGTTCCAGGTATGCCGGACTGCTTAAGAAGTGCTGATCAGAGAACTTCACTGATGTTAATCTACCGGAGCATCCAGACCACTGCCCTTTCGTAGAGGCTGTTAGTGACTCAGACCTGGTTTCCATACCAGCAAAACCAGATTTGTATCATTTTGGTAGGCTCGACTGTCATCTTTTTGTTTAGCTTATTCCCCTAACACATAATAGGTCCGGTCTTTGACCCAACCGAAAATCTTGAATTGCATCGAGATAGTACTCCATTATTAGGAACCTGCTACGAGACCAACGAGGATTCTACTTCACCCGAAGTCAGCTTTCCTTATACGCGTGCATCGCCTTCACCCTCGCCGGATATTCTGGAAAGTGTACGGCATCTTCAAGCTGGGCCTGTCGCTGGAGTCATCATGGGGCACGAATCAGCCGTGGATGACACCAAGGCTGGGCCAGACAGTTCCGGAGACCGGGCGGAAGGCCGGGGGGATGGGATGACCACAGTGCAAAGTGTGCAGTCTAGTAGCCCCTCAGTCAAAGAGGCTGATCTGTGGAATGATGAAAGAGGCAGACTCACCGAGGAGAACCAAGCGACTGCACTCTCCCGGTTCGGACCGCGAATTCGTCCGCTCGAGCAATCGAAATGCCCTTTAACTCACACCCGTTCCCTTCGTGCGCAACCAAGTAGAGACGCGGCCTGGTCAGAGCGATTGCCTGCCGTTTCAGTGCTCATCCCAGCCCGTCGAACCGATGACTTGGTGTCAAGTACCAAGACCAATCCTCCAACTGGGGCACGATGTTACAGTCGTCGGGGCGGCGGCGACAGCAGCAATCTTAACCATGATCGGGCAACACCCGCGCTGACAGAGGAAGATTCATCATTTTCAGGTGGATCCAGTTCTAAGACAAGAGGACGCCCACGGAGGAGACCGAAGAGGGCAATGGAAAACACCTCAGCCTCAACCAATGAACAATCCCCAAATCCTTCAGTGGGTGGTTTAGACGTCACCCCGGGAAAAACACAAGAGATCTTCGGACGCGGGATTCTTCGTATTCAAGCTCACGGTCCTCGGCATGTCTACTTCATGTCGTTCCTTCCAGAGGAGCCCCACCAACCGTCTATGCCATCTACCTTTGAAGACCAGGAAGAGCATTCCCACTCTCGGGATTCAGGCGTGTCTGGACATTGTGAAAACCAAATTGGCAACCAGCATTCAGAGCAGCCCTTCCGGAAAGGGTCCCGCGCTGGGAAATCAACCGGGCGAGCCCAAGCCCTGTCTAAGGACGACCGGCTTTTGATTGAATTGAAGGAAGAGCGGAGCTTGCCGTGGAAGCGAATCGCAGAGTATTTCCCTGGAAGATCTGTAGGTTCCCTACAGGTGCGCTATTGTACACGCCTCAAGGTCAGCAAAGCTGGAAATTCTGGGCGGTCTGGGCGCAATTCCAACGTGACAAGCGGATCCTCGTACAGAGGCACATCCTGCGAGGCAGTTCAAGCGGCGGATGGTAGGCGTAAAAACACCGAAGGTGTGGCAAGACAGCGATATGGTCCACCTCGGCGCAGGCAAATCGTGGACCGCTATTCCCCAGTTTGATTGAGCATAGTTGGTTATTGTTATGTGTTAATATCGTCTAAAACAGAGGCTAGTCCACGAGTGTCCAGCACTTTTAGCATGTTGGGTCGAGTTGAACGTTATACCATGTTTCAAATCAGCATCCATCAAACGGGCGCTGCTTCATCCTTTGTGAACGTTCTCATCCCGATCGGGGCGATTGGCCAAAAGAGCTAGAACTTGACGGCGATGATTTCTTTCATCGTGTATCATTCTTTGCCTGTCATTGAGTATATTCCCGCTGGTTTCGTCGTCCATGCAAACTGGACACTATCTTAAGCTAAAATCCAGACTTCTATTAAGTTGGTTCCCGTTTGTAGTCAAAAATAGGATGACTTCATAATATTCAATATTTCACAAAAGCAGTCACAGGGCGATTGTAACCTCCATGTACTCCTACCCCAGGTACTAGCTCAAGATCCCGAAGAATATCTACAATTATGATGAATCAGGCTTCCAACCTGGCCAGAAAAAATCCCAACGGGTGGTTACCAAGTATAAGCGCCGTACGACGTCTATTCCAACCGGTGGAACTGGAGAAACAGTGACAGGAGTAGAATGCATCGCTGCAGATGGCTGGGTAATGCGGGGCGACCCGTTAGAGGTGGTGAAACGGATCATATGACAGATGCTCGTCCAAGCGATTTTCACTGGCTTGCTGCATCTTTGCCACAGTAGATAGCGAAGGCTCGGCCTTCTGGAAGGGACACACAATTGGTTAGGACTGTTTAGGAAAATTGTTTGTCCGGCGGGAGGCATCTAGGTGGTGATGTTCTGTCACCTGACAACCTATTGGGCCCTTTGTAATAGGGGTATATAATACGTATACCATTCCCCCTTGCCTCACCTCAGCTACAACCTCTTGCTTCATAATTCATCATATTGAATAAAGCAACCCATGGCTACCAGTGACCTCGCATACTCTGTTGACCAAGAAATTGCAGATTTCTTCGAGAAGACGACAGTCACTCGCTCAGCCTGTGACAACTTTGCGAGGGAGCATGTTGGTGGAAACATCGTTCCGGTGGCCGTGCAGGGTGTGTGCAGCTATACCGTCTATGCGGGGAACAATGACGAATTCGTCGTGCAATTCCGTCTTGCGTCCCTCCAACTAAGTATGGAGACTGCGAAACTTGCTCGAAGCATCTACAGCCACTTTGCACCTCAAGTGACTTTTATGGGACAGATTGGAGAAGCTACAGAGAGCAAAGAAGCCCTTTCCATCTACGTCATGAGTCGACTCCGAGGCATTAGTTACTTGGATTTTATCCTGGCACATAATAGCCAAGTGCCCGAAAACTCGCCCGAGTTTTCTTCATGGCGCAAGAATCTTGTAATTGACATTGCGAGGTATGCTTAGTGTTCTCGTTCCAAATACACCGAATTACTAATTGAATGCCCTGTTAGATTCTTTGCCCTTTCTTGGAAACATCCTCAAGATGTTGGTCAAACGTACCGCGACGACTTGTACAGTCGATATAAAAGTGAGCTGAATTCGTTGCTTGCTTCTCTCCCAGATCGCTTCCACCCATCAATCCAGGAGTGTCTCAACTCACTACCCACCATTTTTTCTCTTCCAATGGTGCTAGTCCACAAAGACTTTGGTGTTTGCAATATTATTGTGAACGAAATGTCTTGCAATCTTGTTGGGGTTGTGGATTGGGCAGAAGCAGAGATTGCACCATTTGGCTTGAATCTCTTTTCTCACCAGCGACTGATAAGTAAGGTCCATCTCAAGAAAGGCTGGGTCCGGTATGACGATTACGTCGTTTTGGAGGATATATTCTGGAGCACGTTCAGAGTTGAAGCTGGAGGGTTGGGCAATGACACAATTAAAGCCATCAAATCCGCAAGAATTGTGGGACTACTGCTATCTCGTGGCTTCACAAGTCGTCTCGCGAATATGCCGGAGCCAGTACCTATTCGGGATGATGAAAGTGGAGCATATAACATGCGTGATCTAGATGGGCTGTTAATCAATCCGGCTACAAGGTTTACGGATTTAGCATAGACGATGGGCACTGAAATACGATGGGAAAAAACTGGGATAAAAGATAAAAGGAGCAATAATAGAACAAATCAAATAACCCCAACCACAGCAAGAGCGGCCTTCAGATCGTCGACATTATCCAGTTTAGGAAGAGGCTTCCCTGCATTAAAGACCTTGTGATTGCCTGAGGTCATAACCGCATGAGTTTCATTTGCAGAGCAAACACGCGGCTTACTACCACTCGCCTCGAATTTCCAGCCAGTGATACGGGTCGGTACAGTGTTCTTGACAAAGGTGGATTCCACCATGACAGTTGCTTGGTCGAGAATGAGTTCCGACATGGAGCCATCACTGCATCCAAGAATTTGGAGACCAATGAGACTTGTAAGATTCTTCTTGATAATGTAGTTAATGAACTCGTCGAGAAATCCCGGGCCAATGCCAGACAAATCAGGAAGAGGCCCGTCCTGTAGCTCATAAGCACACAGCCCGCCCTGATATAGGGCGAAGATATGTCCATGGACACGGGAGGGATCAATCTCTTCAATATCGGTGACTTTAGTCCAGCGAAGGGAAGGGTTTTCGAAGTTGGACCCAAGCATGACGGTGTTCTTGGGAATCTTGAAGTGGCCGTGGATCAAGTGAATCCCAAGAACCTTGTCGGCATTGTGACGGACAAACATTTCCGCAAGGTCTGTAATATGCTCTTCAGAAACGGGTGGCTGGTCGGAGTCATCAAGAAGCGTGTTGTACCTAAAGGCGTCAGCTGCTGGGTCCTTAACAAATAGGAAGATGCCAATGGACGATAAGATAGATTTCATACAGTTCACCACTTGCGCGGAAATCCTGGATCTCCAGAGCCATATCAAGTCGAGGAAGAACGGAATATTTCGCAACTTGAGCCGCCATTCTGCGTAGAAGTCTTGCTGCAGAGGTTTAATGAAATTTGTATTCTGCCAACAAAGACAAGGTTTGAAGGGCACCGAGATTATGAAATGACAGAGGAATTCACTCTGTACTTATGCTCTCGAGGAAGAAAAATGGGCCCTTTGCCACGAGCTAGGCTCAAAATGCGGCTCTGTCCATTTACACATATGCTGACGTGGTTCTCGGCTTGTATTGAGAGTCTCTTGAGGGATGTGACTTGACATTTCCTTAGCGCTGTGATAACTCGTGCACTAGCGCGTGTCCATCCGTCTCCATTTTGGGTGTTGATGAAGTCGTATTTTTTCTCTTTCGGCCTACCGTGCAGTATCTTTCATCGATGGCTGCGCGCATGTGAGTGAGTGGTTCAAAATTTGTTGAGTTGGAGAGGGGAACCCTGTCACTGACTGCCACTGACTGGTCTGTGCAGAGAATCTGAGAGGAAAAACAGACGGACAGGTAAGGTGCATTCTACGGACAAGGGTTCTATGGGCAAAATACCTAATTTTCGAGCAACATTGACCAGAGCGGGGTAAGGTTGCGTGTTGCGCACGTCCAATGGAGGGAGCTGCATGACTCACTGTCGCTGCGAAGACCTGAGCACACGAGACATGTGCTCTGGGCATTTTACTAGGATTTAGGACAGCCTCGAGTATAGAATGTGAGTAATTGTCTCTCCTATCTCTTCCATGCGGTTTAAGTAAAATGGTGATAATCTTGACTTTCCCGTAACAGAGGTGTATCTGTGCTGTAGTCCCCACATGCTACTACAGTGGCGCGCAAAGTCTGAAACCATCCTAGTACCTTTCTTTACCGCCTCCTTATTGAGAACGTACCGCCAATTAGCTACAATTTATAATGGTGCGGGCCACTATTTGCCGGCAGAATAATTAACGTGATATATCAGCTGGTTTCAGACTTCTGCGGCTCCATTTGAAGGAGCACCTTCAGGCCAGTCTACTAATAAAAATTACTAACCGCAAGGATCCGTATTATATCAACAGTTGAGAGGACATATACTGAAAGGATCCATGTATGGGCTCCAAAGAGATACGGCATATGTACATTAGGACATGTACTGATACATCATTGATAGTTGGTTGCCCTTTCCGCTGGGCCGCCGAGCGTTAATAAATTGTGTTTTTGTATTCTCTTCTTATTGTCAAACGTGTCCATGCGAAAGTAGGATGTTTATACTGCGTTCTGGGGCTCGGAAAATGTAGAATGAGACTGCCGCCTTTCTTAGGCTTACTGTAGTAATTTGGAGCTACGCAGCATGTGAGTATCGTATCATGATGGACTAAACAATGTACGTACCGTCGCAAGTTGAGTCTGCAGTTTAGGCTTTATACAGGCAATGATTGTCAAGCCTGATAAAACAAGGAATAACCCCATTGAGCCAATAGATGCTGCCCACAAAGCTCGTTGGTGTCTCGCAGTTGTGGGATCTGGCCCTCGCCAAAACATTTTGTAAGTACTTATTTGCGTACAGCATGGCTTCATACAAATGACCCAGGCCCGAATAATTTGAGCATGAACGAAGCTTAGACTAGCCAAGCTTAAGATCATATATGATAGAATGAACGCTCTGTGATGCTCCTGCATTTTGGGTCAATTATGCAGTTGCGGTAGACAAGAATTTCTCTTTTGAAACGCACCGGAAAATACAACGAAAGTGATAGAGCAGTAACTGCTCCCACCAATAATAGGGCAGATATCATATGGGTTAATGAGGATTGCAAAGTAGAAACAGATAGGTACTGAAAAGGTCAGTATCGCTCTCCTTCTATTTAAGCGCCCTTACCTCATTCAAATTGAGTAAAAGAACAACACTGCCAATTTCCTGCTGTAGTATTGGCCAAGACAGGTCTGGAATAGAGTTAGACACGATAGGGATTGAGAAGAGGGGGCTGGATCATTTACCTTTCCTCCGCCTCAATTCAAATAGTAGGAGCGGAATAGATGCGATCAGACCCAAAAATGCGGCACCGCCTATGATAAGTTGGCTGGAAATGAGAAATCCACGGTTCAATCTTGGGAGGCTGAAAGCCTTGATGGAGAAGAGCCAGATAAGAAGACTTGTTCCACAGCAGAAGGATGCTATTGCGGATGCAGCTAGTTGAAAAACCGCCTCAGAATACATCTTTTTCTTGAATTTTTGATATTTGCTCCCAGACAAAGAAACCGTTATATCCGTGTTTCGAGAAGAAAAAGCCGTACCTATACTTTTCCTGAGCTTGGCTACTGTAGGGTTTTATATATTTTTTAGGCTTGGGTGAACCACTTTGATTCTATTTAATCCAACCCAAGAACTACCCAGGAGGTATAGGACAATAGGATGAGTTACCTGCTGCGGAGCGAGGAATTTTGGGGCAAAATGTCTAAGCGTCGAGGTAAACTGACTATAGCGAACACAAGATCTGCCAAGTATTCTACCTCCTGCTCAATATGCATGCACCACTTACCTCGGTCATTTTGCCATGATTTTGAGGAAGTTCTGACCATCAATCTCGGTCATATTTTGAACTATCCTGTCTTGCTTGATACAGCGTTGTGGTTGACTGTTCCTACTCCTGCAGGCTTGACAGAGCAGGCAGATACATTGAGATCGAATGAGATTCTCTCGCACGGGAATCTGACGGCTTGATTTATGACTTAGCATTTTCTGGTTCGTTCAAGATGAAACTGCGAAGTATGAATGCCCAACTTGGGGCAGGACGGGCAGAATCGGGCAGGATCGGGCAGTCTTAGTAATCATGTATTCTTCCCCCGCCTTCTGCCCCTCTAACAAGCTTAAACGATCAACCTCCTGATACCCTCAACCCGGGCAGCCGACGACGTCCATATTAATCACAACATCTCACAATTACTAGCAACGATACGTACGTGCTTAGTGAATCGCAGCGGTCAACTTTATACCCAAAGAACGCACGTTTCGAATTCCAACACATTCGAATTCCCACGACCAGGTTCGATCATTTTGGGGCCCCCCCGGCGAGCACTAGTCTTGGTGCGCTGATCCTTTCGGATGGCAAATGAAGCGAAGGTGACACAGTCCGACTTGGTATGGCATATGTCCCGGTATTTCGCATACTCTTTCTGACCTGAGCAGGCGAGCCGCTGGCAAAATTTTACCACCGCCACATTTCAAGAGTCTGATAGGAAAGCCGCTCACCAGATCGATGCGTCCCTGACCGAAGAACAATTCTTTGCATGCGAATCTTGCGAGGAGATACTGTTTCAGAATGGGGATGGCTCGACCCTATTTCGGGCAGAGGGGAGTGGACAAATGAAGCTACCGCCAGGCATACGGGTCAGGGCAAAGGGTGGGTCGGCAAAATCACGACCGGTAGATTGAATTTACGAAATTGTAACATGATGTCCAGCCAACAGTCAGACTGATCATCATGAGTTGTGCTGGATATATATCTGCCTTCACACACTTAGTCTCAATCTCCCCGGTTTCCTGACTCCAGTCTTGGCTGCTTGTAATAGCCTCGAAAACATCATCTCCGAACGCCACAGCTATCTGATTCTTGACAGCGCAACCAACCGAAAAATGCTCTGCTCTAAGTCAGTACTAGCCAAGTGCGACGTGGAAGTCACTTACCAGCAGCCATTGTATCGCTCTCTGCACATCCAAACAGATTTTGAAGGAGGCTCTGATCAAACATAATCATAACTCTGATTAACCCGTCCGTAGATCCCTCAGATGGGAGAAAAGTTGTGACGTAGCCGCGGACAGCCTTAATAAGCAACCGAGGAAATGTAGTTTGCATGGACTCAGGTTTGATAATTGTAGTATAACACCAGGATGGTCCTCCGCTGAGAGAGTATTGAAGACTTGGTCGTATAGTGCCATTAACAATTCGTCTCAGACTGATATAGTCTATTGCTTTGTTAGCTACATTGCAAGATATACGGAAGATAGAACCTGCTTTTTAGAAAATCTTCGTCGGCTGATGAGCTCAGAACTACCTTGTTTATTTCATCGCTCTTGGCGATAATCTTCACAGTTGTTTGAGATGCGACAACAGCTTGTTCGAGCAAGATGTCAAAAAGTTCTTTTCGCATAACCTCGATGGCCTTTTGGGTAAGACTCAGTCCACAAATGATTAAAGACACAGAGTCCAATTCCCTAAGAGCTGCCAGTTTCGGTTCGTGCCGCTTGTCGGGCCTAAAGACCAAGTTAAGCAGATGAGATAGTCTCCCCAGTGCAACACGACTGAAAGATGTCTCCTTTGCAGGCAAAAGTAGTTTCGCAGCCTCCGTTTTCAGCAGCAGCTGCTTCAGAGACGTTAGAGTTGTCTCCAAATCATTCGGGGCCAAAGCCTGAGGATCGAAGTCATCTAGGGAGCCGATCGTTTGAATGTAGGTATTCATAATACGGGAAGGTTTGCTGAAAATTGTCGGGGAAAAAAGGACGAAAGATGGAGTGGTAGACCTAGCTCGAGTAATGTGGGCAAATTGCCCAGCCTTTAAGGCATTTTGGACCAGAGCGGGGTATCAGCTGCGCCCAGTCAACAGGGATTTGTGATCCTGCAATGCACGACCACTGCATGTGCAAATGGGGCCAGAACTTGTGATGGGGCGAGTTTCTCGAGCATTTTGCCTCCATTTGCAGGATATTTTGACATTGTTTGGTCTATACACGTCTTTCACACCGCAACATTTGCGGGAACACCACCTTGATAGAGGCAATACAATCCTAGTTGAGAATGTGGCTATGACGAACCTTTCCCAAGACAGTTGGTGCAGCCATACGCACGTCGCTTTTCTGTGAAAGTAAATGTTATGGATGAGGGGCTCGGCGGCCGAGATTGGCGCTATTGCATATGGAAGTTCTGTACTCGAGCATTCATTCTTCCTTGATCTCGAGCATATAAAGGAACATGAACCGTCAAGTAGCTATGAGCCGCAATCATCTTCTCAAAGAAACGGTATAGCACCATACATCTAGCTGCACCCTTCATTATTTCTCGGAAACTATTGTCATTTTCTATAATGGATGCCATCAACGGTGGTTCCTACCACGGCCCCTCCCAAATGTCTCTTATAGATATCATCTTCCCCGGTTTCAGTATAGCCTCTGCCTCCGCACACCAGCTACTTGCCGGGAACTTGGACAGCTACACCCGACTTCTTTGTACTTTCGGCATGTTCGTCCTCTTCGCCCGCTATGCAGTTCGCTATATCTGGGAGATAGTGAGAAGTTACTTCAGTTCGTATGCCTCCAGTTGTGATAGGATGAGTCTGACAGTCTGAAGCCTCGACAATCTATGTCTCATACTACGACGAAGCATACGACATGCTAGTTGATTGGATAGCTGATCAACCATTTGTGCACAATGCCCATTCATTGATTGCTCGTGTGAGATCCACTCAACGGACAAACAACCTCTATTCGACAAAGAAAAAGCCCTTGACTTTTTCTCCTTGGGATGGATCGTTTCTTTTTTGGTATAACGGACATTTGCTCGTTCTTCACTGTGATGTCAAAGAGCATCGAGAGGATCTCCGTATCTCCTCCATTGGTCTTAATGCCAACATCCTGAAAAGTCTGATTGAAGAGTGTCGAGAAAATTATATTAAAAATACCCAAAGAAAGGTCTCTGTCTTCGAGAACCGCGAAGGGGAGTGGAAGAAGGCCAGGTTAAGACCAGTTCGGCCTATCTCCACAGTCATTATGGACAACGAGGTAAAGGATGACATATTAAGAGATGTGGACGAGTTTCTCGACCAAGATATGCAAGGTTGGTACGCAGAGCGGGGCATTCCCTACAAACGAGGCTATCTTCTCTTTGGGCCCCCTGGAACCGGAAAGTCCAGCTTCAGTCTATCACTTGCAGGGAAACACGAACTGGATATTTATACACTGCAACTGTCAAATATTTCAGACACCACGTTGATGAGGCTTTTTGCTGAGCTTCCGCCGCGTTGTATTGTTCTGCTAGAGGACGTGGATACCGCTGGGGTAGGACGTCGGGACAGCGTCGACGCAGACCAAGATAACGAGTCAAAGTCAGCAGTCACCTTATCCGGACTTCTGAATGTGCTTGACGGTGTCTCTTCTCAAGAGGGCCGGATACTCATCATGACCACGAATCATATCGAACATCTGGACGAAGCACTGATTCGGCCTGGCCGTTCAGACAAGAAAGTTCATTTCAAACTTGCCGATCAGAACATTTCGACTCAGCTCTTCCACACGGTTTTCAAGCAGTTGCCGAACCAAAAGCAATGCAACGAGGAATATGACGATGAGACGGTTCAGGGGCTTGCTCGTGATTTTGCCAGCAAGTTGCCCGAGCAAGTATTCAGCCCGGCAGAAGTTTTGTCATTTCTTTTGGAGCGCAAGAAGTCGCCCTATGATGCTGTTTCTGGGGTGGAGAGCTGGGTGGCGAAAGCAAAGTGCTGAAGAGAGGGAACGGAGAAACAGAGGTAAGGGACAATTGGTAGGTTCCCAGGGAGGGGTTTGGTTTTTTTTTTTGGGGGGGGGGGGGGGGGTTGATTAAGGGAATGTATGTTTGACGGCGCCAATCAATTAGTATTTTGAGAGCTTCCATCACTTGAGAATATACGACAGACTCGAATCTCGACAAATTCTTTCATGACAAGTAGTTTGGCCGAGAGAGAGGTCTGCTGATGGAATGTATGTCTGACAGCATACTCATGTGAATCATCTCGTTCACCAAGGTTGTCGAGCGGTGGGCGTTTATCGCAATATTTTCGGTTCGTACACGACAGTTCATAATATCGGTCCTGAAGCTTCATAGTTGAATCAATGTTTCATATCATTCATGGCATCACGTAAAGTCAAGTCCGAGGGCCAGAATTGGATGATCAATCCGTCATTGTCAATACCTATAGAATCGTATATCACCTGAGGCTAGTAGATGCAGCGAAGAAGCGGGCACCAAGAATGATAATAGATTGAAATCCTGACTAATTCAGGCGGATGCGGGCCGGGAATGCTTCATGCTTCATTATCATGCATAATTGTTGCTAATCCAATAAATGAGCACCTGTCTTCACGTTACACGAAGACGTTTTGCATCAACTATCTCTGGTTGACGTAGTCGTCGTTTTGAGGCTCGCGGCCGCTGCAAAGTCGGTCGACATTTCAATGTGGAGCGGTGAAAGTCGATGATCATCGCCCGCCCAAGCTCTTCATTCCAAAGAACATTGTCACGCCGAAGGTCTTCGTGGATGATTCCCAAAGCTCTGATTTCCTTGTTCGATTGGTGGATCTCTTGTAGAAGCCGGGGCGTCAGCTCCATCGATGCCGTGCTTTCCCCCCCCAGCCCATAACGAGCATATGGCGAATCTCTCCAGCCCCGTGAAGGAAATAAATTTTCGCCAAGTCGATCGTACCCAGGAAAACAGGCACAGCGGATCCTTGTGCCTTTTGCAGAATTCGGTATACCTCCGCTTCGCGGGAGACCTCCTTCCACAGCCCCGATGTGGTTCCTTTTCCGATGACAGTGTAGCCATATACGGCACAAGAAAGTTTGAAAGGCGCACCGTACGCCCCGCAGCCTCCAAGGGGTGTGCATCGGTCAATGTTTTCATCCAATTGAGCTTTTAGTAAACGCACCAAAGTTTCGGAGGTAATCGGATGCTGCAGATCATCTTTGCTTCGGCGATGGAGCATCACATTTGGACAACAGTCGTCTAGAAGACCGCCAGATTGCAACCCGAGTAAACATCGCTGGGTGCAAAATTGTGCATCGCGGTGGCGGGACTGGCTATCTGGGCCTTTATCATCATTTGTGTCTCTCTTTCGAGCCACGCGTTGGGCAGATGGAGAAGACGGAACATTACTGAAGGTTCGTTTGCGGCGTGTTGCTGGGTTTGAATCGGGGTCGGGTGATTGTGACGACTGTGAGCGATGCCTCACATCGGATGGATCACAGCGGACTCGAGATTTAGTAGACACTTGACGAGCTGTTGATTCAGGAGAATCTGGCGGAGACGACGAAGGTTCATACATCGAACCGGAATCTGGGCTTGGAAATTCTGGCGCGGTACTGTCGGAGTTGAGAGGAAGCTGCCGGAATTCATCTTTGGGAATGTGGGAGCGAGTGTGATCGAAACTGGTCTTCCATATAGGAATGTCTGGTCGTACGGAATTCCTCCACTCCTGACCTCGCACAGGCGAGTGGAATGCCATCAGACACAAACACAGTGTTCTTGCGACCGAAGTATTTGCAAGAGTAGCTTCTATTTCCAAATCCACTTCGCTATTTGGGTCACATAGAAAGTAGTAAAGCGTGCCAGGGTCATCATGTGGCACGCGGAGGAGGACCCGAGCGATCCCGTTGGTCACGTAGGAGTACTCGAGCCCTTCCTGGATCATAACATGATACTCTTGAACAATGGCAGAGCAGGCAAGGCGCTCTGCATTGTACCGCAACTTCGCGTCCTTGTCCGTGGGTATTTTATTTGACTTGACCATCTCCTTCCACAAGTTCATTGGTCGAAGACCCATCCGAAGGGTTGCGACGGGAAGCTTATGATGTGGCTTATACTCGACGGTCGTGAGGAGAGTGGTGCTGCGGCCGTCAACTCGATGGATGCAGAATTGGTCAGGTCTTGGGTGGTGCACACTTGATGTTTGACTTGTATCTGCTTCAGCGGCATCATTATCGTTCAAGGAATTCGTATGGTTGCTAAACTGGACGCCATCGCCAAGGCAGAACTCTTCACGAGCAGCGGGTATCTTGCACAACTCCGTTATTATATCGTTGACGTTTTCTTCCACAGCAAACCGCTCATAAGCCTCAAGGTCTTGCTCGCTGCTCATGGGCTTACGCCCAAGGCGTCGGCCTAACCCTTCTAGCTCATGCAAAGATGAAAACAAACGCGGCGCCCCTCCTAGAGTTGAATGAAGGTGGCTGTAGACGGACCTGAAAAGCTCCGACTGCAGTGCTGAGCAATCGGTCCAGTGTTCCAATCGTGTTGGGCAATATTTCCCCGTGGGAAGAGGTATTTTCCCGGTAGTCGACCGAGATGGTGTCTCGACTCTCAGCGGTCGGGAGAGCAGGTCATGGGAATGGCGTAAGAATTCCACGAAAGTGGTCGGTCGGCTGAGCTCTTGAAGTTGCTCTCGTCTCTCTTTCTCCTGTCTGCTTTCATCTTCGGCCTGCTTCTGTCGCTCTTCGGCCTGCTTCTGTCGCTCTTCAGCCTGTTTCCTCCTCTCTTCTTCCTGCTTCTGTCGCTCTTCTGCCTGTTTTTGTTGCTCTTCGGCCTCTTTGCGTCTCCTTTCCGCCTGCAGAAAAAGAGCCTTGTAATCTGGCGAGTTGTTGTCGGCCATCGATGTGTCGAGGGTCCCTTGAGACAATCGCGACCAGTCTTGGTTTGGGGGCTTGATCTGGGGAGCTGATGTCAGCTGATCACGGTTTCCGGTGGAAGTATTTCCCCGAGAAATGACAAGGTTTACGCTGGCTAATTTTAGCATCTCGAAGGTATGACAATATCCCCGTCGTCAACAAAAGAAGCCACAGCACTCACCAAAATTAATTTTCTCTGGCTTCAAAGGGACTACTCTGGAGGCAAAGTTGGTTCACTAGGTCGGTCGCCGCGCGCGTAGTCGTGAGGGTCGCATCTGTCTCGCCTCGGGTCGCTTGAGACAGATGTGGCAGCGGTCGAAAGGGCAAATAGAGTGTGGGGCTGGGATTGCTATTTGGCTTCTCTATGACGGCGCTCTGCCGTTTCTTGAAGCCTTCGTTTTTCTTCAAAGCTGACATCATACTTCGGTTAATGTTTGCTCCATCCCTTGTCGAAAGAAGTATTCAGCAAATAGACGAACGACGCAAGTTGAAAGCAACATAATAGGGAGCCCGCTAGCTAGCGAGGGGTATGGACTGTCGCGGAAGGGATTTACTCCTTGACTCCAGACTGGATTGTTGCCTCTGGCATAGACAATTCTTTGGCCACGATCGATTTTAATCACCGCTTCCAAGACATACACCGATTCGATGGTACCTAATGTGCCTCGTCAGTACATAGATTAGTTCTGTCCATCTTCAAAATCCTTTCAAGTAGAGTCACCATAGCGAGATCACTATCTCAATTGCATCTCTCGCGACGTCCGCATTCCGTCCTCCTATAGCAGCCCTTTACTTCGAAGGATAATTATGTTGTGTCATTTCGCTGTGAGGAAGGTACACAATAAAGCTAGAAGTCAGCGAAGTTCTTTTGAAATAGAAAGAATACGCTTACATCTATCGCTATCCGTCTGACGAAACACGCTTCGGCATGCTCTAGTCTTTGCGGTTAAATATCATGCAATCATTCCGAGGGACCTCGAGGGAAAATAAACGACGTACCTGACTTATCTAGGCAGTTAGGTCCCTTTTAAGGAATAGGATCTGTGCACGAGGCAAACTGAAGTGCCGTCGCTCACAGAACCCATGGCCGGAGGGGTGAACGTAGATCTCTGACACAGCATTTATAGATACGAAGCATTCTTGAACATGGTAGTCTTTGACTGTATCCTCAGTTTTGAACAAGTTAATGGAAAATTGGACGGGTACTGTAGAATGGAGTATCCCCGCCGAAAAAAAAATGAGGCCGAGTAGATAATCACCCGCACCGAAAACAACATTCCTTATCCTCAATTAAAGCTGGTGTTAGGTGTTCCATGTATTATACCCACTGCTTTGCATGCCTCATATTTTTAATATGTTTGCCCATATTCTTCCTCGAGCGATCCTCACGAAACGATCCTTTATTCAGCATCAACTAAAACACCAAGAAAATGTACACGAATTATCTCCTGCTTACCCGCTATTTAGATCGCGCTTTTTGGCATTGCAGAAATTTCAGCACAGGGACATAATTTTCTGAACGGAGGTATATTTTTATCTGGTAGATCAACCTCTCTCCTCATCTTTCCGGCGATCCCTCGACTTCAACGCTCAGCTTCGCTGAACCGGTTGTATGCCGAACTAGTAGTGTTCGAGTGGGCTTGTACTAGCAGCGTTGTGCTCTCCACGAGAGCAGTCTCTGTAGCACGGGCTGACAAAGTAAACCTCACAGTAGCGTTCTTCAATATTAAGTTCATTCTTGAGGGCACATTAGTCCATTCTAGTTTAGCAGTCCCAAACCTCCACTGGGCCCCACTAATCACCGCCAATAAGTCCGATTGACGTCATTTCTCTGGCTCTTTCCTGTACGTTAATATTCTAACGTGCTTTAGAGATGGGCTGGGTAGGAACGTGAAGCTCAAATTAGCATCGTTCTGAATACACAGCTTATCCTGACTGTCTGTACCTCGTAGCAGGTTTTCGTGTTAAAATTGAGACCGCAGGAAAAAGAGACATGGAAACCATGAACCCGCGGATGTTTATTGGAAGCCTCTATCAATCAACACCAATCTCAGAGGCACTCTACTCGCTCCCCGGAGGCTACTTTGCTGCGCCTGGGAACTGTAATCGAGGTTCCAAGAGCAAAAAAGCTCCTAGAGTCGGCTTACACGTTCTTGGAGCCGACAGAGCTGGCGCCGTGTAAGCTTATGTACTCCGTATACTGTATCCGTAACATCAATCTTAGGTACACTCTAGGCCATCCCAGAAGTACTTCAATCACCCGAAGATCCGCTGTTGACCTCTAAGAACGGCTTGAGGTTCCAGGAGCAGTAGAGTTAGTGGGACTGCCCAACACGTTCCCGAAATCGATAGAGCTGTGAAAGAAAGGAGTGAACATGTCCATGAAGCATCCCAAGGCTTCTTCTTCCATATTTTTGAGGGATTTCTGTTCCCAGGATCGACGGAAGTGTTTCTGGGAACCTTACCTAGTGTTCCAGGATCAATATACCTCCCAGTATTGGTGTTGACGTTCCCGGGGACAGATTTTACAGTCCTAGGCAAGCTAACCCGCAATCCTGAGAGCTTCAAACCCATTCCTGGGAGTAACTGTGCCCATACTGGGACCATCATTTTTTATGGGTCTAATAAGCTTCATTTCGGCGGAAAAACTGAGACTATTCATATTAGATTAGTTCTAGAGGTAATCAATGAATCAATCAATCACTTTCCGTCTACCCTAGGATGACCAGCGGCTGCTCTGGGAACTTTACCTAGAGTTCCAGGATCAGTATAGCTCCCAGGAGGGCTGGTTTATGTTCGTAGAGACAGACTTCGGTACTCCTAGGAGGCTAACGCGCGATCCTGAGAGGTTATAGAGAAGACACGCCTATATAGGACCTTCACGTTCACCTTTACCCCATAACTGATCAACCCTATCTAGCAGAACAACAGCTTTGTACTTGGAATTTAATATCTTTTGCAGTATTTGAGGGAAGGAGATTGAGTTTTTTCTGCTTGAGTACTGTGTTCACGAAGCTAAACGACCAAGGGTTTTTTTTCGAGAAGTAGCGTTCCTACGTTCCTGAATTCGATGGGACTGTTGAATGAAGGAGTCAATCCGTAGTCAGTTTCCCCTATTTTCTTACACGCACGCGATCAAAAGCGCTTGCGAAGATCATGCTACATATTGTTAGGGTAATTCTTATTTGATGGCTTCTATGTACCCTATTATTGCTCCTCTGTGTTGAAATTTATCCGTTCTCCTTGAAAGATTTCGGTCCCGGAATGGGCAATATTATTTCTAAACGGTTTTGTTAGCTTCCCAGGAATGTAAAATGTGTCTTTGAGAACATGAAAAACCTCTCCTGGGAACTGTATTGCTCCTGGAGGCAGCCATGGGCCATTCCAGGATCGACGAAAGTGCCACCAGGACCAGAATTTCTGTTAGTGAAAAGAAATTCTACGGCAGCCTCATTTATGGGGCTAGCCAATACGTTCCTGAAATTGACGGGCTGCGGAGAGAAAGGAGCATGGGACTAAGTTCATTCATCCATACTGATCTTGGACGCACTTCCCTTGATCCTAGGATAAGCCGTGGCGGTCTCTAGGAAGCTGAAACTGAGTAGACGAACGACACCCAATGTGGGCAGGCAAGTCTCCATGGATCTTCTAATAAGTAGAACGCTTCAATTTCGTGTATTGCAAGAAGCACAGCGGAACACCTCATACAAATACTCTGCGCCTTTAATACTCACATTAAAATCCTTCAAACAATGCCGACAGCGACGGCTAGAATTTATCTTTTGGACTAGCCCCTGAAATATGTCGGATTCGTTGGGCCGTTTCACCATCCCGGTGCCGACTAATCTCGCAATAACCAAGGACCCAAGATATCCAAAAGAATCTAAAGTATGAACTATCTCTGGGTCTTCGATAAGGTCAAGGATATGCCTGCAGAAGACGTCGGCAATAACTTCCTGAAGAGTTGGTTCATGTGACGGTACTGACGTCATGACCTTTTCGATCACTTCGTCGAACACTGGAGAGCCGCAGCTTGTATTCGCCCATCGAGAGAACTTCAAGGTAGCCAGAGTCTTCAATGGGATAATTCCGTATTTATCAGCTGCGATAAATACTTCGATATTGGTGAAAGCAGATTGATTTCTTAGCTCGGTATTTTCTGGCTCGGTATTTCTGGCTTTTTCTCTGGAATACAGATGAGACTCATTGTTGGTAAGTTCTGGGATGGGTCGATATTGAAGTATGGGTCCATCCTCACTGTAATCTTTAAGATAGAGGAAGGACAGGACACGCTCAATAGTCTCTGGGGTGTCATCCAGGATATTGATAACTTTCTCGGTGGATTCCTAGAAGAACAAGCGGCCAAAAACATCTGTTTATGGTACTTGTAATAGTACCTTGGAACCATCACCCATCGCACTATAGAAATAGCTTGACTGGGTACAAACAATAGCTTGGTGAACTTGGAAAGTAATTCCTTGACAATGAATCTTCATATCGGAGAATTACCTCGCAGAAGTAAGTCTCGCATTACCTCCTGGAGTTCGGACATGATCAATATGGATAGTGTCGCCTCACATTGAAGAAAGTTTCGACAGAAATATTATGTGAAGCTTATATACCCAACGTGAGTATTTTGAGGGCAAAATAATATATAGGAATGAAGACAGAGCGAGTCACGGTGTATGGCATCAGAACAGGACCATTTAGCATGGATATGACACGTATATTGTTCACTAGGTACAGTAAGTCAATTGATATGGGTAGGTAAATTGATTACTGGATAGGCTAAATGTCTCCATTCAATCCGATCTTCAGGAAATTTACTGTGACATCTCGAACTTCTGCGCCAGGCTGGTTTAATGAACTGTCTCAGAGCAAAATCAGATACTTTCACTCTATATAGCCACCCATGCGGTTTGCCCTTTAGTCCGCTGCCCTCCGCCAAAAGTCACTGTCATTGTCGATATCATAGTCATCAACATCGTAGTCGTCACTATAGAAATTATCATCATCCTCAAAATCCCCCCAAGACCTTTCGTCCCATTCTTCTTCTACCACGCGGATTACCCATCCGTGACTCTCCATCTCCTTTCTTGAAAAATCACTTATACCGTCCTTATAAACCTCGACAATAATCTCTTGAAGGGACGATATTGCTCTGAAGAGAGCATCGATTTCCGCGAAGGCCTCGGCAACAATTTGAGGGCCTCCATTCTCCCCAAGCCTAGGCTCCAAGCCACCCTTGCTACGTGGAGATGTGGTAAGTGTCCTCAAGTTGGCGCAGCTGCTCTGAAGTTTTTCGAGGGTGCGACGGCTGTCATCCTTCATACCGTCCTCATCATCGAGATATCGGTGAACAGGGAAGTCGATACGAATATGCTGGATGTGATTCGCACTATCATGTCCAATTCTATCAAGGAAACGGGCTATCATCTGAAAGTTGCACTCAATAAAATCGAAATGATTCTGCCCGAAAAGTAGCGATTTGGCCTCTTTGTAAACCGTCTTGTTCGTGCGAAGAACGTTAAGCTCCAGTTCACGGTCTCCGGACCAGCAAGGGTCTATAGGGTCTTCACGCAATAAAACATAGCCATATATCTTGTTGCGGAGTTCACCCGGGAGGTTGAGGAAGTTAGCCGGCATATTATGTGCACAAGGCGGTACGTTTGGTTTCAAGTGACACGAATCCGAAGGTGGGGGTCCGCTTTATACCTGACGGAACAATAGCAGGAGTGAATACCGGAGAAGGAGTTATAGTAAACCCGCATGTATGAGTGATTATTATGCCACATAAATTGCCAGTTAGGGGCCTTATAGCAATTCAGACTTGTTGACATCCAATTGGTGCGCTATGACTTACTAAGCAGTTTTTCTGGCTTGATATGACGGAGAAGGGAGCCAGGCTCTTGGTATGGTATCCTCTTCCCCACCTTGGAGTGGCGAAGTGTAGGAACAAAACGTCGCAAGAAATAGCTCCCGAAACGCTGCCTGTAGAAAACAATCGGATTTCTTTTCCGTATATGCTAAATGTATATCTAGACAGATAATATTCTTCTGTCCAATGTATTATGAGAAAGAACTCGGCCGGAGCATGATCCGTCAAATCCAGATTTCACACCAGACATATGCTTAACCGCCCAAACAAAAAGAGCGCCCCCGGAACCTAACAAACAACACATTGGGTCCAACAAGGAAGACTTCCATCCAATCTGCTTATGGAGCCTAAATTCGGAGTCAATTGAATCAAGTAGCTGTGTGTTCCAAGACGTGCATTTAATATATTCAAATGGTGGTATGTCCTGGTGTACAGCGCAGCACATGCAGAACAACTCATACCTGCATTTCTGCATTCCCCCCTCTTTTGCTGCCCAGAGAACTAGAAAAGCCGTGGCACATTCCATTACCTGGAAATTTTGTTGAATTAGCCCAGCTTTCCTCGTTCCCACTTCGGTTCTCCATACTACAGCGACCGATGAAGATGACAAAGAAGAGATCCAAGCAGCACCGAACCCAAGAGGAACCTGCAGGTCCGGTGTCCGTCCAGGTATCCCCGAAGATCGATTATGTCCAACCATTGTCATCGTAAGTCCTGTTGGTTCTTTAGAATCAAATTTATCTGACCTTTCTATAGGCCGTACGAAGCCCCAGTCGTGACCGCCACGATCGGGAATAAGCAATATTGCATCCCGAGATATTATCTTAAGACATGCCGACAACTTGAGCAGCAGTTGTTTCTGTATCCATACATTACACTGCCTGATGTTCACGAGGATATTGGCCATACCTTTGTGCATTTCCTATATTCAGGATGCTATGAGACGCTAAAGTCGTCACTCGAGGAGGGCACACCCAGCGTTGCAAGAGAGTATAAGAGAAGTGTGTTAGTTTACCAGGCATCCAGAACATACAACCTTCCTGCTCTTGAAGCTTTTGCGAGAGACTACATAGAACGGTTTGGCGAAGAAATGTCTATGCCTGACATACTGCGGATTACAAGGGAAGTCTTTTCAAAACTTCCCGACGACGAAACCTGGCTTCCGAAGTATATCGAAAGAAACCTCCAGCAGGCGTTGATGTCTAGCAAGTCAGAATTCGATTTAGATGAACTTTACAATGCCCTCGGTCAGGATCATTATTTCGATAATACTGTGACGAAAATGATGCTCGAGATACTCCTTCATTCCCAGGAAATCACCTCGCAGGCCGGGAAAAGCCCCTGTGAACAAATGCATAGTCATGGTAACGGAGATGGAAATGCATCAATAGACGAATCCATGGGGAAAATGACTATTGGACGACAGTACACAGAAGAGTCGACTAACGGAAATCCCGCTTCTGTGGAGGCTGCCGCTGAACCTGCTGATGCCGCTGAACCAGCTGATGCCGCTGAGTCTGATGTTGCCGCTGAACCTGCTGATGCCGCTGAGCCTGCTGATGCCGCTGAGTCTGATGCTGCCGCTGAACCTGCTGATGCCGCTGAGCCTGCTGATGCCGCTGAGTCTGATGCTGCCGCTGAACCTGCTGATGCCGCTGAACCTGCTGATGCCGCGGAGTCTGCTGGTGTCGATGAGCTTGCTGATGCCGCTGAGGCTTCTGCTGCTGAAGAGCCCCTGGATCAATTCTGTCCCACTAAGGTTTCGCTTGTGGATGTAGCTCTATACCGGAACTGGAAGAGCCTGTCCTCAAAGAAGAGGGCTAAACGAACGCGAAATCTTGTTGCAAGGGGTCTTCCAGTCCCAGGGAAAGACGGCCTGGTTTCCATCTTCGTGGTGTGAAGATTTCTGTCCCAGGAGAAATATAGCTCCCAGTAGCTGTTCATGTTCCCAGAGTCAGAATTTACACTCCTAGGAAGCCAGCCCGCGTTCCTGGGAGCTTTAAACCCCTCCTAGCAGCCAAATTGCTCATCCCAGGACCGGAAAGCTTTTGAGGGACTCTAAAGAGCTTCAGCTAAGTGGTAAACCTAAGAATATCTGAATTAGATCAATCCCAAAGTATTCCTCTCGATCCCTGGACGTAGAAAACCGATTATAGTAGCACGATAACTCCCTGGGCCAGCTCATGCGTTCCCAGACCGTGTAGAATCGTTAACAGGGCAAGTAGCTCCTTGGAACAAACAGCGTGATCCTGGGGTCGATATAAATCCTCCTGATGCAGAGGAGGAATTAATGATTATCGAACAAATGCGCAAACAAAAACGCTGGAGAGGTTACTCACTACCAAGGCTCTATGAGAAATGACAATATGTTTCTTCTGGTCACAGATTGCTTGTTCACTTACAACTACCTTACTTTCGTACATCTTATCAAAATATATCAAGGGCGGATTACTTATTCAATTATCAAATTTCATGTGCGCTTGTCGTTCTGACGACACGCATTCCCTTAACACAGCCAGTCTTCGATTAAATATAGCAACAAGGATGGTTCAATGTATTGTTAGTCAGCTTCGCAAAATTCGAGAAACCCCCTCTTTGCGTTCTCAGAGGATGAATGCAGCACGTACTGCTCCCGCTGAGCAGCCGCGCGAACGAGAGGGTCGAACGGCATTATGGGCTTAGTGGCTTTCACAGAAACTCTCCATGAGGTGCAACTATCGGTCCCAATATCATCTTGGATTACGTCCCACTGGAGGCGGACGTTTGCGGAACCACCAGGTTCTGAGACCAGCATTTGGTTCAACGTACCAGTGACTTGTGAGTAGTCTAACCACAGATTGTCGATAGGACCGCGGATACCGTGGGTGGTCTTCCGGTTTTCCGAAAGCCGAATCTTACCAGCAAATATGCCTAGAAAGTCTCCCTCGCGCACGGGGACGATGGAACAGACGAATAAGGAGCTGCCATCTTTAGGCAGGAGGAAGGTGAATGCGGACTTATCAATCCCACATTCGGACGCTAATTGGTTGTCGTAAGGTGCGCATATGACCTCAGGAGAAAAAGCCTGTAAACCCTTCTCCTTGAAGCTTTCTTCTTCACTGGTGAAGGCCCATTCGTTTTTGGCATTATTCCAAGTGGACTCGTGAACTTTTAGCCTCTCTACAACTTGGGGGTTCTCAAGATCCGACAGGCGCATGGGGTCACCTTTCGCGAGTCTGAGAGCCCGTGTTTCCAGTTGTTCGATGTGAGGTCTATGTTGGGTCTCCCACTTCATTACTACATCCACAAGGGGGATCCTTGACGTCTTCGGATATCCCTTGCAATAGCTATCAAATTCTTTGGTGCGGTAATAGAGAACTTTGTCAATACCAGCTTCACGCATTTGGAAGAGGTTTTTCCAGAAAATACGGCATTGCCTTTGGTTTTCCGCACCCAGCCCGTATCCAGCATCTTCCATGAACTTCTTGGTTGCAGCTTTTTCCGCCATAGTGAATCCGTCTGCGGGTCCCTTCGCGGCTGGCAGCTTTGAATGATCGATCAACGCAGCACCCTTAAGAATGATCTTCCAGAAAATGGTTTCATTGTATCGATTTTGCAGACCCTTGCCCGTGGCCAAAGCATTGTCCCTGCGAATGACGTCAACTGCCGTTTCATAATCGAATTCTGAAATCTCATCAACATATTTCCGGATGTTCTCAGGCTTAGTTGTTGTCGGGATACGGCTCGTTCGGTGCCCGTATAGAGCAATAGCGAAATTCACCCTCGCGCATTCAAACAATATAGATGACATTGCTTTCAACGTGTACGCGGAGTCTGCTTGATAGGACGAGGAACTGTCGACGGGGAGATCCAAAAGGTGGGCACCTTTCACATGGTCGTTATTAGGCTAGATCAAAGAACGTTAGCCTCGGGTCAAGTACGTGAAACAAGTGTCAGATGGCAGAAGTGACATACCTGTTGAGTTATATTTTGACATTCCACCTCGATAGGTTCATCAGCAATTCTGTCAGAAGGAGATTTGTCACCACATTTTTCGGACCTCTTCGAAACAGGCCGCTTTCTTCTCTTCCTCGGTTCTGCGCCTGCAAGATTTCCATAGTTCCTTTTTAGTGCATTCAGAATCCGATAGGAGCCACGTCCTCTGTGTGGTGAAGCCGGAGGCGTTTGTAAAGCTGAGTCGGTTGTTCGTAACGGAGACTCTTCTGTGTTGCCATCCTGGCTCGCCAGATGAGCCTGCAGGACTAGAATCACGGTCAACACCCATTCCATTAGCTAGGTAGAGTGCCTAACTTACCGTCATTATCGACTTTAGAAATCAAAGAATCAATGTACCCTTCGTTGTAGTCGATTCCAGAAGACGTGAGTGCGTCCCGGATAGCCTGGGCTAGAAAGCCTCGGGTGGTCTCGTCCATGATCTTTGGAGAATGCGCTGCGATCAAAGACGTGCACAAGTCTTGCACATTAAGTACCAGCCGCTCCTCTAGTCTGGAACTTTCGAGCAGACTGATCGACGGGCCAATTCCACCTAGGCGGGTTTGTTGACAGTTGTAAGCCAATCATGTATCCACAGCGTCTCCTTAACCAGATTTAGCAGTCCTGGGACGTAGATCTAGACCACATTGTGAGGTGACGTCACTTTCTGGTCTGAAAAAGGCCCCCCCCCTCCCCAGAGCGATGGCGTCCCACTTCACGGTTTTCAATATCACATCGCATCTTCGCGTTGGTGGCTTGAAAGAACAGTGGGATTGCAGGCAGGGTTGAATTGACTGTAGTTGGCCAGTGGTCTGCTTAGTGAGAAGAGGAACGAAATCAACTGTTGAGGGGACCCAGTCGTGCAAATTTCGGAAAGACAAGGTAGTTCTCGTACGAGATGGCCTTGGAACTTCAAAAAATCTACAGGATTTGAGATGAACAGGGCTGGTAGAAGAAAACATCAGCCATAGCCTAAAACATAACACCGCAAAATGAATACCTACTCAACGGCTTGTTGAAGCCAGCACATTCGTTGATTTTGATTGAGTGCGCAAAAGGCGACCTAGCAGGGAAGCCGTGGAAAACGTTCCAGGATGAAAAGGACAGAGGATTGTTTTTAAACGGTGACTCACATCTAGATGAGGTTCTAGCCCCCATTTCTTGGTTGTGTTGATCTGCATCACGTGCATTTCCTAATAGTCGAAGACCACCCACATTTCTCTGTTTTTTGAGTTCATTGTGGACTCCAACCCCCGCGCCTGGCCCCGCAAAGCTACTGTAACAGTCTTTTTATCTAAGCTTGCCTTGTCGGTTAGCTTCGCCTACTCCTTTCGGTATTCAATTAAAAGAACAAACGAGTTTGGTCGCAAGTCGCTGTCGCGGGCTGTCATGAATGGTTACCAGGCCATCGTCAAGCAACTTCTCGCTACAAATAGCTCCATTATGCTTGCGGATAAGGCTGGTCGGACACAGCCGTGGTATGGCGCTGAGAAATGGATATAGAGTTTATTGGGCCTTTACGGAGCATTGAAAAGTGAAAGACAAGGACAACAGCACGTCGAACGCTACTAGCACCGCCTTCCTATTATAGCCTATCAATCCACTTGCATGCGTACAGCGGAGTGGCATATAGCGTTGTATACAATATTTTGATCGTCAAAAACACTCATATGCCTCGCACAAGGGCTGGTTGACCATGCATTAGTCCTTGATACAATTTTATTATGTATATTGTAGGTTTTCGAGCGGCAATGTATGGCAGAAAGGGGCGGTCAGGTAGCGAGTCACAGACTTTTGCGGCGCCACTGTACGGAGTATATTAGCGCAGATCATTGAAAGAGAGTAAGTTATGGCACACCAATGTGGATCCAGGAGTAGAAACGGGCCAATCAAGTCGTTTACCCCGTTAACAATCAAAATCCCCATACATATTGTACGTCCACCCGTATCTCCTGTTCCATACTGGCAAAAATGGCAGTCCACCATGGAGCCCTCCTCCATACGAAGTCTTCTTCCATACGGAGTCTTCTGCCACATGAAGTTCTCTTCCACGTGGACTCGGCCCTCTTCCGTTTAATATAACATTTGACAAATAACGTCGCTTATATCACACTACCTTGTCTAGTCACAGCCGACTAAAGCATCATAATCTCCAAATTTCGCAAACTACGCAATTGTATAATGAATTTGCTCCGCAACAACTAGCATACTTACGTAATACATGGCTCCAGATGCTTCACCAGAGGATGATGATTTACCTTGGTGCTATAACTAAGTAATTAACTTCATTAATAAGAGAGTTATTAAGCAGCACCTCATATGCTACCATGGAAATCCCCCGGCACCATCTACGATACTGTCTCCGAGGAATATGCACTCTCCCTAAAGAGCTTATTGGCCGGCGGACCGTACATCTTTCCCAAGACCCCATCTGAATAATACATAATATATTGTCAATCCAGAAATCCGCACAGTATTGACCAGAAACTCATCATAGCATACCTGTAATGCGAAGAAGGTTCTTTGTGACCATGAAATTATTTATTGGACTTTATCTACTTTGCGTACTCAATATATTCTTGTCAAGTCAAGCTAAGTTACAGTACTAGCTGCTCTATGGTCTACCCAAGCAGCATCTGGTGACATCGTGACCTATTGTGAAATATCTCATATCCAAAATACTGTATGATATTGAATAGCAGTGACCCTTCATCAATCCAACTGAGTAACCATAAGTTGGACCGCAGTATACTCGCATACTTGAGCATATAGCATCTGTGATGGGAATGCTTATCGTGAGTTTCTGGGAACAGTCTCTTCTCTGGTTGGCTGCAAATCACGTTCTGTCATCACGGTCGGGGCCGGGTAATGGGAGCTCTGACTGGTCAGCGTTTTACCCACAGGGTGATGTTATGTAGTTAACATACCAATTGCGAAGTAAGAAATGCCCAAAAGCCTGATGTATCCGCTGACAAAATATGTACCTGACCAGTCTCTCGCATGCGAATACCTACACACACATCTGCATCACACATCTTGCTATATTCAGACGCCTTTTTCATCATGCTTGTCTTGCGACGGTACCGCTTTTGACGGATTAATTTTCTTTTAGACAGACGATTAGATCGAGCTCTTTTCAAAGCAGCCATTGGAAGTTGATGTCTTGGGCTTTCTTGAATGGAATAGCACTTGTCAGACGGGGGGTCAAGAGTGGTGCTTTTAAGGCTGGTTGAAAGGAGAAGCAGAATGAATACAGGCTCTACAGGAAAATCCGGTTGCGAAAAGTAGGTCTATTTGAACTTTCGATAAGGAGAGAAAAAATTGATTACTCTCACAAAAAGAAATTGTGGTCCTGTGTTGTTTTCACGTTATGAAGACAAAAATGGCACGTTAACCGCCCTCGCTAAACTGCGGACACCATATGGGACCCCGGCTCGTTTTCATAAATGGGTTGGGCAATACAATCTTTGTAAACAAACCGGTGAAAGGGTTGAATCAATATTCCAAGGGATTTTCATTACTGCCCACGGTTAATTGGTGTACAATATAATAGTCAAGCAGGCTACTGATATGTTCAAATCGCCCTCTTTGCGACACAAAATGACTTGCAAGGAAGTACTGTGATCAGTTAATTCTGAGAGACAGTAACCCAAATTTTGACTCCCTCAACTTGAGCTGAGAATAAAGAATTCAAGTGAGGCTGCAGTAGACTGTCGCGCACAAACGGTGAAGGCGACAAATCCCCAAAAGGTGTTGGTTAAAAATGGCCCGGATTGGCTATTTCGGGAAGTGGATTGCCGGTCCCAAATGGTGGAGGCAGCGGGACACCAAAGAGTATGGCAGAGATAACATCGCGAAAGTGGTCATTTCTTTAGGTAAACAGGGCAGAATGTGGTGCTGATCCCTTTGTACAACTGAGTAGGCAGTGTTGATAACTTCATTTTGCTTTTTATGAGTGTTTACGTTCATCATGATTTCATTTACAGATATGAACCCTTTGAGAAAGAACAAGTTTAAAATTATGAGATGGTGAATGAAGATCTTGAACGTGCCTGGACTCCACACCAGCCTCATGGCCTTTTTGCCATATGAACAAACGAACATCTTCCCAAGCGAGTAAACATGTCAATAGTAAATGAAAAACAAGCTATGTCATTAAACAGGCGTTCAAATTGATGAAACCGGTTTACTGCAGAGTTACGTTCAGTTCACCATCAACACAGAGACAAAAATTAAGGGGCAGGCGGTGGAACTGTGACAAAAGGGAGGTGGTGCAAGAATATCAGGACCTTTGGTTTAGTTTACTGAAGAGGTTCAACAGATTTCGGTCAACATACTATGAGGAAACGGGGAAATTGTCATGGAACTTCAACGCACTTGGCTGTTCAAAGATGGAATAGTGTAGCAGTGAAACAATTGGCTAGCCAAGAGACATCCCCCACATCAACTGTAGGTCCGTGCGTTTCCTAATACCTGGCCTACCGCCATGCCCCTGACAGGAAATTCTTTCACCTTGCTCGAAGACCACGACTAGCTCCGCTCCGTCCCGAGTGATCGGACTAGACCGGAGAAATTGAATCTACAATCCTCATGCTTGCTCAGGGATGTTCGTACAAGCAGTCTGTAGACTGGTGTACAGTGGTCCGTTGGGTGCGCCCAGCACTTTTTTCCAAACTACAGTCCTTTGCAGAAGGCCAGCGTGCAACTACGCGATATTTTTAGAACCATAAGAGACTGCCAGGTCCGTAGAAGCAATTAATCCCTGTGTGCAATCTATTTTTTATTCGCCTCATACCACGAGCCTTTCAGCCAATCCAAAATATGCACCAAGGCAATGTAGAACACATGGCTACTCCAAGGTGGAGAAAGGAGTACGTAGCAGCCAACCAATAACATTTTAGGTCTCTCATTAAGACTATGATTCATTTGTTATTCTTTTATCCCCCTTGGAGCTACTTATGGTTTGCAGTCAAAGAATGCGAAGACTTGGACGATGCGCTAGACTCTTATCAGCCTGGGCGTTTCGCTGGTAGGTATAACTCAGCTTTGAGGCGAACTGGAAATTGTTTACAGAACCGTGATGTTATGGATAGGCGGTGAATATCGGACCTCACCAAAATTCTGCTGGCAAATCGGTCTCCGCCTTAAAGTGGGAAGTATGACAAATCATCGATCTTGGGCTATGCACCAGGTTGATAGTCCTGCCAGTTTACATAGTCCTGGCTCGCAAGCCTATATCGGCCTATTTACATAGGCCACCAGCCTACGTAGCCCGCCAGCCTGCATAGCCCGCCATCCTATATCGGCCAGGCTACATAGTCCTGACTACATGGACCGCTAGCCTATATGGCTGTGTGAAGGGCTGAAGCAAGACTTGATTCAATCTAACTAGGCCAACATGCTGTTTACAAAAAGCTTAGAGAAGAGAAGGAATGGAATAAGCGGAACAGCGATAGAAGACGCAGGCAAGAGCGGTGGCAGAACGAAACATGCGAGGAAGGCTATGTGGCAGGGCCACATAGTGAGAAGCGGGTCTAACCCGTGACAGGCTGTGGCTACTTACCCAGCCGCCCAAGAATCCCGGGAGTCGTGTGTTCATGTGGGAGTTCACGCTTGTGGTAGAAATCCCCTGGGGGAATTTGCCCTTGAGCATCAAGTTACCCCAAGGTAAGTTGTACCTGAGAAAGTTCGTTCCTGGGTTTCAACGTCCTCGAGGGTATTCACCCCTCAGGATCCTTGACCCTGAGGGATTGTTGCCCTACGGTCATATACTCGGGGCGAGAGTTTATTCCTGCGTTCTAGGGACCTGGTAGCGAGATACTCTCAATGGTTTTGTTTGCATGAACGAAGCGAAAAACAGATTTGTCTATGTTCTAGGCTTCTAGCACCCAAAGCGAGAATCAATGTGATAATAAATAACCAATCATATCGCAAGCCGGATAGATACAAATCCGAATAGACAATGTGATTTCAAACCCATAGATTCTATCACTCTATCCTTTCTCCATACGGAGGTCCTTTTCACTTCTTTCAACTGGTGCGTGTGTCCATGGGGGAATCTGTTTTCGAAGTCGACTGTTACACCGTATAGGAGTTCCGTGTGACAT